CCCCCCCCCCCCTCCATCCTTCTTTTCTTTCGACTTGTGTGTGGTCTTGGGGATGGTTGCGCGCTCAAACGTCACCGCCTGGCTGGTAATCGTCCCAGAGCTCCAATCCCCGCCGGACCCTAAACCACTCCGAGCAAGCTCTCTCGCCTCACACCGTCTCCTCTCCGCCTCGAGGTGAGCCGTGAATTTTCGTTTTCGCGCAAAGACGACGCCCAACGACCCCTCTGACGGCCTGCACCGGCTCACTGCCATCCTCAACACCCGCCCCCCCCCCCCCTTCGCCGGCGGTGATCTCCCACCATCACCATGCCCTGCTTCAAGGGCATTGCGGTGAGCATCCACGCAAATGGTGCCCCGCTGCCTGAATATGGCATGCAGAAGCAGTCGAGAGTCTCCCGCATCAGCACCTACATCCCAGTGCCTCAGCCGAAGCTGACGGCGGATTCGAACAAGCCCGAGCCCGCCAAGTTCGCCATCTCCATCACGCTGCTGACTCCCGGCCTCGCGATTCCGTACTCGGCTCCCAAGTCTTGTGACAGCAACCCGTTTCCCAAGCCTCAGTATGTGAACAGCCTCCAGCCCGGCTCGGGCCCTGAGCGGGGCAAGTATAGTGGCATGGTGAGCCCGTACATTCCCATGACGCACTCGGAGAACGAGACGATTGCAGCCTACATCTACTTTGATGGCCGAGCCAAGGAGGAAGTTGCCACCCTGCTGCGGCCAGGTGAGGAGACGTGGGTGAACAGCCGATGGGTCCAGGTACCTGATGCCGAAGGTGGTGGATTGGCCGAACGCGAGTTCTTGTTCCGCGAAGTTGGCCTGGAGCGTTGGCTCAACGGCCTGGACTTGCAAGGCCACGATGCCGCAGAGAAGCTGGAGAGGCGCCGCCAAAAGTTCGAGAAACGAAGACGACGACAGACGCTGGTGCAGGAAGCAAGCGCCGGCGCGAATACCTCTGGTGCCCAGAAGGATACCCTGCGGTACGGTGCCGACGATGGCTCGCCAATCGAGCCAGTCTTCGATTCCGACTCATGGTCTGACGATGACGACGAGCCTCCTGAGGCTACGGGCCAGATCAAGGTGGCCATGTTTCGAGTCCTGGCCTCCGGTGAAATAAAAAAGGGCGAATATTCTCCTCAGTTTGATGCTCACGACGGCGACGACGAAGCCGGTAATAACGACAATGTCGCTGCTGACGTTGAACACACCACGAGTTTTGCCAAGCCGAAATCCCTCGACCCCAAAACGATTAGTACGCAGACGGTGACGGGGATAGATGGCCCTGATAGGCCTTATGCCGTCTTTACTTTCTTTTACAGAGGCGAGCGTACGTGTTTCGCTATCTAATTTGCGTCTCTCTCCCGATGGCAGACTAACAATGCGTGCTTTTCTAGGGCAATTGCAAAAAATCGGCGTCATGCAATCTTCCAAGAACCCCTCGGCCACACCTGGTTCCGCGAAAAGACGGTCTGGTCAATTAGACCTTTCCGGTTTGGGCCCTCTCAAGGCTGGCGGCACGGTTGGGTTCTCTGCATTTCGGGATCAGACGACCGAAACCTCTCGGCGAAGAAAGGCGAGAAAGAAGAGTAACGGAAACATCGCTGTGGATAGTGACGAAGAGGACGAGGACGAAAGTGATAATCTCAACAAGATGGAAGATGACTACAAAGACGGCGAGGACAAGGAGGCCTCCGAGGACTCCAAGTTTGGAGGCGAACTTGCGGACGGTGTCAATCGTATTCGCGTACGTATACTCTCGCGTATCTGCTGGCTTTGTTTGGATTCTTGACGCACGTCACTGACAGAGAGCGACAGCTCAAGCGGGCGCATTCGGCTGATCCAGACAGCCATTCAACCCCGGAGACGTCTCAACGAGGACAGGCTGAAGACAGTCCCGTGCCGCAGGTACCGCCTAGCCTTCAACCGCCTAGTGCCGTCCAAGCTGTCAGCGACCTACCTGCGGATGCTCTCGTCGGAAGCCCTTTGAAGAAGGCTCGGCCCAGTGTGGACGTCACAAATACGGGGGAGAAACTTGGGTCGACCCAAAGTTTAAGCGAGGCCTTGGATGCCGTTGTTTCTACAACAGCTGCGCCAGCCGAGACGGCTACAACATCGACGGCATCGCCGTCCAAGGTGGACGAAGAGGAAGAGCTGTGAGGGCTCTGTCCGCGCAGCAGTGCCCTTTTTTTTTTCGCACGACTTCGCCGGCGTGCGAGTAATCCGTGATATTCTCACTTGCACAGGGCTCCAGCTCCCTTGGGATGATGGGCGCGCGAAACAACACGGCCGTGCCCTTCTTTTCCCGGAAAGACAGACGTACGAATACCTCGGGCGGCATAGATTTCGCACGCTGAGGAACCACGAACCGCGAGGCATATTACCAATGCTGGCATGAGGCCTAGAATCCAAGACATGCCCGCAGGAGTTGATGGGTTTTGGAATGTGTTGCTATTGAATCAAGGAAACCAGGATATGAAAGCTAGTGGTTGTGTCGTCCAGGCGGTTGCCCAGCCGTTGGCCTTGACTTGGATTGAGGTTGGGGAATTGGTTACAGAAAAGAAATAAATAGGAACAAAGGAACAAATCCGGGCACACTCTGCCCGTGGGCATAGACAATATTGGGTGCTGTGATTTGGCGTGTCTGCATGTAGACTTGGACTTGGGGATACTTGACTCAGGGTGTTGGAACACGGGGGGACTTGTCGTCTCGAGAATGAAGCATCTCTGTTGTTGCGCATTTGGCTTTGAAGTACTAATTTCATGTAAGCGGGTACATAAGCCGTTGATATTCAAGTACATTATTAACCAAGATTGCTCCCGTCGCTGGATTCAAATCGTGGCGCAACTCCCCAGATGGTAACTTCTACCGTCCATTTCCACCGCGGGCGCCCAAGGACAAGTCTCGCACCGACGACTACTCACGGCGATGCCGGGAAGAAGGGCCTTGGCAAAGTGTCTGGGGACTACTTTTAACAATGGAGTCGTTCAATGACTGGCTGCTCGCTGCTGCCACACGCCAAAAGCCGGATATCGAGAGTTTCTGCCGGCTATCAGGCACATGTGTTTTACTCACGGCCACCCTGCACTTGGAAACATCATTACATCAAGACGGGCCTGGTCCTCGGCGAATCGTCGGCATTGTTGATTGGAAACAGGCTGGCTGGTATCTTATCCCGAGTATGCATCACGCTGGGCACTCACGGTGCGGATAATGTCACATGAATTGAGAATGTACCCTTGAGTCGGTCTCCCATTTCTTCTGATTTTACATGGCATATACGGTTGAGTGGGGGGATCTCTGGGAAGCAAAGACAATCCCCATTGTTTTGGATTTGACCCTTTTCAAATTGTATACTATAACCGTAACCCTACCACACCATCCGTCGGTTTGCCATCCTCCAAAAGCAGACCAACCTCCATTTCTCGGAGGCGCTGGAACCGCGGAGAAGAGCTTGACGGGTGTCTGAGCTCTGCTGGCAGCTGTGGTCGTATGTACTTTATTTCACAGGCTCGGGCGTATCTACGTTTCGCCAAGAAGCTCATTCTGTCAAGTTTGGGGCAAATATGCTCGTGACGGATCGACCAGAGGTTGATTTGGTGGTTACGTTTCCGTTTGCAGCATGCTTTGGCAACTACTGGGGTCGTGATGGTTACTGCGCCGTGAAATCGTCCTCTCTTCAAAGAGCACCCTCAGGCCCAATTCAAGCGTGGCACAGACGACTGTGTCGCTGTGGAGATTGAGTGAACGAGCCGGATGGGCGGCATGTATCAAGTTACAACGTCAAGTCAAGTGGGTGCGTGGAGCAGCGTCTGAAAAGCAGAGGGGACATAGGACCTATCAATTGTCTCTCGGTTAGCGAGGGAGACTGGAATTAAGTTTGCGGATATGACAGATGATGAAATGGGTTGAAATCACACTGTTGAGCTTGAAAAATTGAAAATCAACATGGAAATTCAGTTGGCCGTTCTTGAGAAGAATATGTCATCATATCAGGCAGAGGCTGCCAGTTCGCCGTGGGGGCTAGATGCAGTGCCAAAGCAAATAAACGACTTACCACGGGGGTAAAGGGTTTGGACACCAATAGAGCGGTGCCTGACGCTTCGGAATACAATTCAGAAGTCATTGCTTCTCATGAAAGCGTCCTCAACGCATGGCAGCGCATGGCAGCGCATGGCGACGCATGGCGCATGCATTCATCAAGGAACTGCTGGTGCTTTATTGCAGAGAAAGTCCGAAGACAAAGACGCGCGAAGCTGCAGTTTTTCAATGGCGCACGAGGTGAGGCATACTCGCATAAATGCATGGCCCCTTTAAGAAAGCTCTGTCCCGCCATTTATGAGTCTCCCGGGTTATTGATCAGTTAGCTACCCGGTACCGTGAAAGCGTGCCTTGTTAACAGCACGTCAGCTGCCCCGCTTCAGTGAGTCAAGTCAAATGAGCAAGTCCAAGTCAAAGTCGAAGTCTGCACTGTGGCCCCTCAACCCCCACCACCGCTGGATACTGATGCCGTTGAATTTACCTTGGGCACACGTTGCGATCAGCCCAACGATCTTTGTCTCGAGCCTCTCTGATCCCCTGTTAGCTTCTCGTCCTTATTTCTCGCTATCTAGCAGCGGCTCGTTTGACCTGACAATCCTTCAAAATGGCCAACAGTAAGCTCTTCCCATTGTCCGTTGCATCGTGAGAGGGAGGGAGGAAGGACCAGAGAAAAATCAACTCCAGGCAGGCAGAGCAAGAAGTTGACTGACCACCCAACTCTAGACTACGAAGACATTGCTAGTATGTGGAACAACAGCATGCTCTCACGGCGCGTTGCCGATCACTCCCCCTTCGAATCTGACGATTTCGTCTAGAGCAATTTATTGAAATATACTACAACACCTTCGACAGCGAGCGGAAGAACCTGGCCACTCTCTACGTACGCCACTACTGCGCGAATGTGAACAGCAGCGACCAGGAGCTAACGCATCCCCATAGCGTGACAACTCTATGCTCACTTTCGAGTCAGCCTCCTCCCTCGGCGCCAACAGCATCGTCGAGAAGCTCGCCGTATGCGACTGTCCTCCGTTTTCCAGTACCAGGAGCATCTCAATGCTGACCGTGGACTCAGAGTCTCCACTTCCAGAAAGTCAAGCACCAGGTTTCGACCCTCGATGCCCAGCCTTCCAACAGCGATGGAGGCATCATTATCCTCGTCACCGGACAGCTCTTGGTATGAAACAGCTCCACCAAGGGGCCGAAGCACATGCGAAGGCCGCGATTAACAAATATAACAGGTCGATGAGGAGCAGCGCCCCATGAACTACACTCAGGCCTTCCAGCTTAGCCGCGACGCCGCCGGCCAATACTACGTTTACAACGACATCTTCAAGCTGGTTTACGGTTAAGTCTTGTCGGGGACCGACACCAGGCGACACCCGTCGTTGACACGATGTTATTGTGAGTATGAGATACGGATTTTGTGCGCCGGAATGCATACGGAGCGAGACAGTTGATCAAGATACTTGGTTGGCTTGGAAGAATGATGTTCTAATGTTCGTGGCCGTAGCCGCTCTGCGGACCAGCCCTATAAGCAAGTTCTATAGAATCAACCGGTCTATCAAGTGGTGGCGCATTGTATCATAGTGCATGATGTACGGACCAGCTCACGTTGACAAGTTTTTCGGAAATTCTCCAAGTGTCCTCGTATTTGAACATGACAGCCGATCCACCGCTTGACTAGAAGCGGATACGCGGTACAATGGTGCCTGCGGATTCCGAAAGTCTATTGCTGGATACTCCGTACGCGTGAGGCAATGGGCTGCACGCGGCGCCCGTTTGAGACAGTACAGGGGTAGAGGACAAGAAAAGGCAGAGAGAGAGTCCTTTTGCTGAAACTGTCGTGTAGCACGGAAAACACGCAGTGGCGGGCGCAGCATCTGCAATGCTACTCCGTACAGAGTCCATGGGCAAGCAACTTGGAAGTCAACCGAGAGGGGTACCAGGCGGGTACGGCGTTGCCGGGGCAATCACGTCGCGGCGCTCACGTCTTGGCAGTCCTTCGTCACTTTTTCAACACCCAAGAAACACTGCAGCTGTATGCTTGTTGCAACTTGCTGGTGCCCGCCCAACTTGACACGCAACGCTTCCATGACCGCCAATGACCGCCAGAAGCCGGGCGCAGGTTTCGCATTTAAGCCCCGGAACACCATTGCCTCCTGGGAGAAGCCCGGGGTCCCCAACTCCTCCTCCCAGCAGCGTCCGACACCAACCAGTTTTGACGCGGCTTCGCGGCTCCGAGGTGCAAGCGCCATGGCTGACGAACGACGGCCCGCCGACGAGCAGGAGCAGACTCGTGCCAAGAGGGAACCGTCTCCGGACGACTTTGATGCGGTTTTCCAACAGCTGCAGCGCGGATTTGGGTCGGTCAAGCCCCAGCATACTCGGGGCGTAGACCTGTTGAGTATTGCTGGAAACGCGAGTGCCGGTGGACCTACTCCTGGCCACCCGACGAAAATTCTGTCGTCTCGCAAGCAGAAGGCGGACGTTTTCATCCACCAAAAGAGCCGCCCGGAGCACCACCTCGGGGGCACCAGGATGCCCGGCCCCAAACCGCCTGCTTATCAAGACCGCAGGCCTCCGCCGATGCCCGTCTTCGAGTCCGGCGGCCCGTCGAGGTCGAGGCCTGGCTATGCCGACCAAGTGTTCTACACTGACCCGAGGAAGGCGAGCGAAGACCTCAAGGCCCTGTTGGAAGGCGGCATGGAGGATGACGAAGAGGAACAAGAGTCAGAGGATGTCGCAGCCTCGCAACCGTCGCAATTGCCGCCACAAGGCCCTCAGAGCCACGATCAAGGCCAAGGCGGACGAATACCAACTCCGATACAAAAGGCCAAGAGGGAAAGCCCTATCGGTAAGGATGGCACGGTCAAGGGCCTCAAGGTGAAGCTGTTGCCTCATCAAGTCGAGGGTGTGGAGTGGATGAGAGGCCGTGAGCTTGGGCCCGTGAAGCGCGGCAAGGTGCCCAAAGGCGGGCTTCTAGCCGACGACATGGGACTTGGAAAGACGCTGCAGAGCGTGTCGCTCATCGTGACCAATCAAAAGCCCTCAAAGGACGGCACAGGGTGGAAGAAGCATTTTGAGGGCCTTGAGAAGACGACACTGGTTGTCGCCCCCTTGGCTCTGATTCGACAATGGGAACATGAAATCAACGACAAGGTCGAGAAGTCCCATGGACTCAAGGTTCTGGTTCACCATGGGCCTCAGAGAACAAAGGACTTCAAGAAACTGGCGCTGTACGACGTCGTCATCACTACCTTTCAGATTTTGGTCTCAGAACATGGCCGCTCGTCGGATGCTGAAAACGGCGTCAAAGCTGGCTGCTTTGGACTGCGGTGGTGGCGAGTCATTCTGGACGAGGCCCATAGCATCAAGAATCGCAACGCCAAGGCCACCAAGGCATGTTATGCACTGCGTTCCGAATACCGCTGGTGTCTGTCCGGAACTCCCATGCAGAACAACCTGGATGAGCTGCAGTCGTTGATCAAATTCCTTCGTATCAGTCCTTACGACGACCTGAAACAGTGGAGGGAACACATCGACCAGCCCATGAAGAATGGCAAAGGTCACATTGCCATTCGCCGACTGCACAGTCTTCTCCGGTGCTTCATGAAGAGGCGCACCAAGGAGATCCTGAAGAAGGACGGTGCGTTGAACCCTGGTGGCGAACCGAGCGCCGCTGGCGAGTCTTCGACGACGGGCTTCAGGCACACAGAGCGCAAAGTGGTCACCGTCTCTGCCAAACTGACTCCTGCCGAGAGAAAATTCTACGACCGGCTCGAGGCTCGTGCGGACAAGAGCATGGAGGCCATGATGCAAAACAAACTCAGCTACGCAAACGCCTTTACCCTCCTCTTGCGGCTTCGTCAAGCCTGCAATCACCCTAAATTGGTGGAGGGCAAGCTGGAGAGAGACAGGGACGCCCTCTCCACCGGTTCCAGTCAAAAGTCGCAGGACATCGACATGAATGCCGTTGCTGATATGTTTGCGGGAATGGGTATTGTTACCAAGACATGTTCGATATGTGGCAGGGAACTGACCTCGGACGATACTACGCTGGGTCGCGACAACTGCGCAGAATGCCATGACGATTTGGAGTATTTCAAGAACCATGGGGAGCTTCAAGCGCAGAGGCCAAAGAGATCAAGAAGAAAGAAGAGCAAGGGGTCAAAAGGAAAGAAGGCGGCCAAAGCCAAGGGCGAGGAGCAAGAACAAGACCAACCAAGACAGCGCACTCGGCGACCACGGAATAGAAATGCCGTTGTAGACAGCGACGACGATGAGGAAGAAGGTGACGGAAGCTGGCTTGTGCCCGAAGGCGAACGCGGCGACACGCACTTGGGCAAGGCCGGGGGCGAGGAGGATGAGAATGCCGAGGGTGGTGGTGACTGGGTCGGATCAGAAGATTCGGAAGAGGACGCGGACGACACAAATGAAAGCAATCTGAGTGGATTCGTCGTGGACGACGAGACAGCCAAGAGAGAGGACGGTCACCAGTCCGTTGACGGAGCGGCTCAAGACGACTCGCTCTTGTCCGTCGACGCTCTGACACACGCCATGGCGTCGCAGACGCTGTCGGACGACAAGCCAAAGCCCGCGACCTCTGGGCCGTGTGCTGAATCCGCCTCGGGAGACGACGACGAGGCCTCCGAGTCTGGCGCATCAGAATCAGAATCACCACACTCCTCCGAGGACGACCACGACAGCGACGGACAGCTCCGCTCCGGCAAGCAAACTCGGGTCGTCGCATCAGCCAAGATCCGCGAGGTGATCAAGATCCTGCACGCCGAGGCCAGGGAGCACAAGTTCATCGTCTTTTCCCAGTTCACATCCATGTTGGACCTCGTCGAGCCGTTCCTCGACAAAGGCGGCTTCGAATACGTCCGCTACGACGGCAGCATGAGGAACGACGATCGCGAAGAGAGTCTCCGCCGGCTGCGCGAGGACCACCGCACGAGGGTTCTGCTCTGCAGCCTCAAGTGCGGCAGCCTCGGGCTGAACCTGACGGCCGCGACGCGCGTCATCATCGTCGAGCCGTTCTGGAACCCGGTACGTCTGCCCGAGACCAGTTGTCGCGAGAAAGGGGGGGCCGTGTGACTTGCGACGGCGAGGGTAAGAGGCTAACATTTGTCCCAGTTCGTCGAGGAGCAAGCAATCGACCGCGTGCACCGCCTCACGCAGACCGTCGACGTGGTCGTGTACAAGATCACGGTGGCGGACACCGTTGAGGAGCGAATCATTGATTTGCAGGATAAAAAGCGCGAGTTGGCGGAGCAGACCATCGAGGGCGGCGCCAAGAAGGAGGCCATGAAGCTGGGCATCAACGAGATCATAGACTTGTTCAAGCCTGGCGGGCAGCACCAGGACGTCAGGCCGGGGCCGCCGTTGCAGGACACCAAGGGAGCTGCTGCGGAGCGCGCAGGCGGGGGCTTGGTGAGGCGGAAGCCTGTGCGGGAGGAGAGTGCTGTGTTTGGGAGGAGGTGGTGATGTTCTTTGGGCGGGGACTCTCGTTTGATGTCGGTCATGATGATGCTTCATGTTTGGGCTGGGCGGAGGGGGAATTGCCGAGGACTCTGGATCCTTCTTTCTTGTACATGTTGCTTTCTCGTCACAGCTCCAGAGTACCATTGGTTCTGGCCGACGTCCAAGTCCTGGCCGGCTTGGAAATTGACCTATTTATTATACGCACTTGGTTGCATTGATTGGCGGACAGAGGGGGCGCAGTATTCACCCAACGACGCGGTTTTGGATAAAGGCATGACATGGCGTTGGCGGCCATGGTGCCCGGGCTCTGATCCTTGGATAGATAATTCGTCATTAACTCTACTTGCCGCACCCACATTCCACACTGGAGCACTTCAAGAAACTCCCAGATACACTGAGTTAACATCACATGTCGTTGACTAGCTCCCATCATCCATCCCCCTGTCCCCATGCAGACATCTAATACAGATTCCCCTGTCGGTAGTAATCGTTCGGTGACGTTCCATCTCCAGGCGGCACGTACGGCTTATACTGCGGCTGCGAGGCATGAGCCTCCGGCGCAGCCTGGCTTGGCAGTCCGTGGCGAGCATCGTACGCAGTGCCACCGGCCTGCAATGGCTCAGGGGACATGGAGGTTGTTGGAGGGGGGGCCTGCTCAGGAGAGTTGAAGGAATGGTACTGCTGTTGCCCAAAGGGTGCCGAGCTGGGGTTGTGCGGTGGTGCAATGGGGGAGTCGTAGACCGAAGTGGCGAGTTCCTGTGCGCCGTACGTGCTCTGTGGTCGTTGTTGGCCGGGAATCTGGGAGTAGGGAGCCGTGTTCTGCTGAGGAGGCTGCGGGGGGTAAGGCGTAAAGGACTGCGGGGGGGGTGAAGACGGGTTCACGGGTCCCGGCTGCTTCCCGGCACCTGGTCCGAGACTGGGCGTGTCATCTCTTGATGGATGTTGCTGAGGCTGCTGCTGTTGTTGGGGGTGGGCGCCAGGAGGCTGTGATGGCACTTCTGCTCCGGCGACGTAGAAGGGAGCCGAGGCGCCCTGGGACGGGAAGCTGTGAGGAGGAGGCGGAGAGCTAGCTTGATAGTGAGGGTGGTCTGGACGCCGTTAGCCAAAGGCACTGTCTTTGTTGAGGGCGGCCAAGGTTGCATGTATACCGGACGGAGGTGCTTGGTTGTAGTAAGGGTCCTGGAGCGGCGGTCCCTGGGGATATCCACCGCCAGGACCAGGATAACCTTGGCCTGGAGCGGCCGGGCGCATGGCGTATTGTTGGTAGTTGTGTTGAGGAGGGCGAGACATGGAAGACTCCAGCAGGGCTTCATAGTCTCTTCGAGCCTTGATGAATTTTTCGTTGAGCTGAGTAAAATCATCTGTAACGCCAGGTCAACGAGACGCTCTTGGCGACGGACAAGGTGGCAGTGTCGCCTACCCTTCTTCTGCGAGTACTTTTCGATGAGCTTAATGAGCTTTGGCCGGATGGCCAGAGTCTGGTGATATAGTTTCTGCGTTGGGGTCAGCATCACGTTGTGGCAATCACAACGCACGCATGCACGGCAGCGCGCGAGCAGAGAAGACAAAACAGACCGAAATCTCCTCGTTGTCCTCTTCCCGAGGAGCAGTGTTGGACGCGCTCAGCAGCGTAAGGAGCTTCTCCACGTTCTTAATCTCAGCAAACACCTCGGCCTCCATCTGGGCCTCTCTCTGCAGTTCGTCAGGCGTAGGGTCCGTCAACTTCTCGACATAGTTGAGCGGGAAAATGCCCGTGTTGCCCTTGAGAGAGCCTCGCCACCAGTCCTTGTAGACGCTTTCCAGGACAGCAATCACATCTCCCTTCTTGAATTCAAGCTCGCCAGCCTCGGATGGCACAAAGTCGTACAAGGCTCGCACCCTGCTTACGGTTGCAGCCGTGGTGCCAGCAGAGACTGCCGGCGCCGGGGTGGATTCTTGCTGGCTGCTACCGCCGCTCTGCGTGCTGGGCCCCGCTTGCGGTGTCGTCTTCTTCCGCTCCTCCTCCTGCAAGCTGAGTTTCAAAGCCATCTGCAGCTCATCCTCCTCCTTCCGTCTGTCGGCGTCGGTGAGGCCCTGCTTCTGCGGTGCGCTGGGGGGTTGCAACGTCGGGTTGGTCTGCTTGAGACGATGGTAGGCATCGTTCATGACGCCCAACTCGGGATCCCTGCTGAACATATCGGCCCACTCCCTCATCTTCTCGAGGATCTTGGCCTTGACCTGGGAGTGGGTGTTTCGGTCATTCGCCAGCTTGAGAAGGGCATCGGTAAAGGCTCGACTGGAAACTTCGCGGTGCATGGGCTTTCCACAGTTTTGGCACAGGGCGTGGGCAAGCTGTCGGGCGGCGCATCCAAAGGTTAGCTAGCTGGCTCGGCACTCCGCTCACGACGTGGCGCATGTCTGCACCAGTCACCCAAATCATACCTCCAGAGTATACAGCTGTACGTTCGCATTACGGTGTGCAAGGCGTTTGATCATGCTCTGGACGGCCTCCTTGGCCCCGTTGGGATCACCGGTGACCTTGTCGCACACCTCGATGATGGCGCCCCAGTCCTCTGAGGTGAGGTTCTCGTCGGTCGCTTTGGCTGCGAGCGGGGAAGCAAAGGTCAGCTATGAAAACCCGGAAAACATGTCTTGAATCCCGTAGTAAAACTCACCGACGACATCGTCAAACGGCCCGGCAGCTTGTGCACGAAACATGGCGGGGGGGACGTGGTTTGGCCGGCTGGCTGGCGATGACGTTGCGAAGCAGCAAATGACTTGGTGTCCGCTCGTCCACTCGCATGTGCAGCGTCACCTCGTCCGTACCTTGAATGCTGATGGATATCTGGTATAGGAAGGCGATCACTTGTAAAGAAGTCGCAAATTAAAAGAAAAAAAAAACCCCCGGTAAAAATCAATAATTACTATACCAGTCGATTCTGCTGACGTCGACGACGACGACGACGACGATGATGATGATGTTTAGGGTGGATGGCAACTCGGTAGGTAATGGCTGGGAAGCGTGGGGCCCATGGGCGGGCACGTGTACAGTGTACATGCATGCAGCCTTTGGAAGGATACGGAGTACACCAAGATACTTTCATGTACTCCTGTGTGGGTGGGCCGTGCGATCGTCAGGGATGCTGCTTGGCCTGCCAAATAACGTTACCGGGTACCCGGATAAAGTACTTGATGCTATTTGAAAGTTGAGAGCGTGCTCTCTGCTGCGGGGCGACTCGGCCTCCTCATTTGAAGTTGCTCACGGCTCACAGCTCACGGCCAAAAGTCTGTCGTCATTACGTGAGGTTCCTACCTCCTAGGTTCCAAGGTCCAAGTAGTACTCACTCATTGCCACGCGGCCACTCCCACCGGCATACCAAAGCACTTCACTGTGAATTCATCTCTCGAGATTAATCTTCATCTGTAAAGTATGCTGCTTCACCAACACCATCGCTACTTGACGCCCCACGACCCTAACATGTCGTCTCATCCCTTGCCCTTGTCACTCTCCTTTCCCTTCTCATTGTTCCCCTTGCCAGACAGGTGTATACGCCGCCTTGCCCTTTGTGCCTTGTTTGTCACAGATGACTCCAATCACATAGTCCATTCTGTCCTGATTCCTTCCCATCCTAAAGGCCGTTTCCTGACATGAGGCTAGCCCGGGAAAATACATCAGTATATATGCCAACATAATCCAAAGACGCCAAAAATGAAACCACTGCACGGCATTTCGTCATGCCTGAGAGTAGCTGCTTTTAATAGTCGAGGTCCTTTACCCATGCCAAGTCTTCTGTTTGCCTCCTGTATATCCAACACAATAATAAAGGGAATTGCTACACGGGCATGACACTTTGGCTACACGGGCATGACTCTTACACGGGCATGACTTTTACCACTTCTGATTGGTCGCATTGTCTCTGTTAACGACGCTGGATTCTGCCACCTCAGCCGCAAGTACCTGGGCCATTTTAACCTTGCTTCTGTGTAAATTACTTCATTTCGGCTAAGCTACTACGCAGCAACCCAGTGGTCGCGCAGTCGGGGCGACCCCCTCGAGCTTGCTTTCTTCATTTTCGTAGCTTTTAATAAACCATAATACGGCACCCTATGCTGTAGAGATAGCGACCAATTCTTTCACTACAATCTTGTTCTCTTCTCAAGACGTCAATGTCTTTGCCTCGCACACCTCCTCGCAGGTCGCGGAGCCCTAGTCCCAGTGATCAATCACAAAGAGGAAAGCGACACAAATCCAGTCGGCGACGCAGATCTAGTCCTTCCACAGTTGAAGACCGACCACAATCCGCGAGTAGCTCTGCTACGAGTATCGGTCAGTTCTACGGCCTCGGGGACGAAAATGCACTCGATAACCTGTTCGCCTCTTTCCCGCAAACACTTTCAAGTCTCCCACACCCCCATGGTTCACAGGGCCGCCATGAGCCTGCATGGGGCCTTCGATCTGACTATGAGATATATCTTCAAAATGACTTCTTCCGTGGAAAAAGATGGAGCCAGCGAGTCAGAGCGCTTATACCAGGCCCAGAATTTGATCCATTCGCCTCTGAACCTCCCGAATCACCCCCATCCGCCCAGCATCTCCCAACAAGGACAAGAGCCGAGTTCGAGTCCGCAATGCGCATAGTACGAGAGGTTACCGGCGAAGGTCGAAGGCTAACTGTAGACCTTGCTCGATCATACGAACGTGTACAAGCTTGGCGAGAGAGATGGGGATGGTCACCATTAAGTTTCGAAGCATATGACTCTCCTCCACCGTACTCTCCACCTCGTAGGTCACCCACACAACCTCCTCGAATATCACCGACGCCCGAAAATATTAGTTCCTCGCCTATGCGACAGTCTCTATCTCCCGCCCCGGAGCCAATTCCGAACCCAATAATCCCTGGCGACCCAGCGCCCTCGGCCGAAGTTCTTTTTAAAACAACCAACGCATTTGCAAAGGAGAACGGATTTGGTATTATTCGGCGGAATAAATATTCCTATAAGGGACGGTTGATTAGGTACTCCATTCAATGCGACCGGTTTGGACAATCTCGGGCCTCGGGGGGTTCTGGTCTTCGAACCCGAAGGTCTCGGAAGTGTGATTGCAAATGGATGATAATTGCTGAAGCCCTAGAGGAAGGCAAGTGGCTTCTTCGACAACATAGAGACCCGAAACATCACCAGCATAACCATGAACGGAGTATTACGCCATCTGCGCATGTTTCCCACCGCCGCCTTACTACACCAGTTAAAGCAACCATCGAGTCAGCAAGCCGTCGCGCGGGTATTCGAGCCAGTGATGTAGCTGCTATGGTTGAGGAGCAATTCCCCGATACAACACTCCTGCGGAAGGATATCTATAATGCCCGTTCGTTCATTAACCGAGAGAAGCTAAATGGCTATACACCTACTGCGGCATTGATCAAACTCTTTGATGAGAAGAAGATCCCATACATCGCGAAATGGGCCGATGATGATCCAGATAGACTGCTTGGTCTTGTCTGGACCTTTCCGTACTGTCTACAGATGTGGAAGCGCTTCCCCGAGGTTATTAGCTTTGATAACACATATAACACTAATCGCTTCAAGCTTCCTTTATTCCAGGCTACTGGCCAAACCTGTCTTGGAACTGTGTTCAATGCTGCATTTGGCTTAATAGATAACGAGAGGAGGGAGGGGTTCCAATTCCTTGCAGAGAGTGTTCGCAAGCTCATTACAAAACACTCACTCAGGGAACCAGATGTCATCATCACAGACTTCGACAAGGCTATGAAAGCTGCCGTTAATGATCAGTTTCCAAATGCACAGCAACAGCTTTGTATTCATCATATCCTTTCAAACGTTTTGCTTAAATCGAAGACTAGGTGGACGGGCCAACGTGAGGACAGTACTACTAGCCCTAGCGCTAGTGACAGTGAAGACATTCCCTCACAGGCGGATGGCGGGTTGAGCACTACAGATAAGCATCTGATCGAAGATCGGTCGAGTAGTGATAAGATTCCTCATACTTACCAAGGCGTTGTTTTAATGTGGAAAAAGGTTCTCTATGCCGAGACTGAGGAAGCGTTTGAGCAGGCATGGAGAGATCTTTGTAAAGAGTTCGACGACCAACGAGCGATCTTACAATACCTCTACTCGACTTATATGCCTGTTAGTGCTCAATGGGCACGTTGCTTTATCCGTCGTTATCGTAACTTCGGAATCCGAGTTACGTCCGGCACAGAAGCAAGCAACAATAATATCAAAAGCTATCTATTAAATGGCATGAGCCACCTCTACCGACTCGTCGAGGCAATGCAGGATATGATACATGACCAAGAACGTGCCTTTAAGGATGCCTGTGGACAGGATGATGTCCTGACTGCTCCACAATACCTAGGTTCGATGGGAAACTATCTTGGTGAACTACGAACAACCATGTCATCGAAAGGACTTGGGTTAATCAACAAGCAATACTGTATTGCTCGCAAATTTCTGCCGACGGGGAAGAATCCCTTCCCCGACTCTATTGGACTTTGCGACGACGACTGTACGGTCTCTATTGAGCTGGGAATCCCATGCTATCATAAAGTCTACGCAAAGCTAGATTCTGACACACGTTTCACTAAATGGGAGGTCCACCCACGCTGGCGACTACGGGAATCGGCATCTCAAGATCCATACCGACGAATTCTTGACCCGAAAGTTGCCACTGCACTACGTGGAAGGCCAAAGAATACAGCGCAGGTTATCCCAGAAAGCCTAGCTATTACATCAAGTAGCCGATCTGATAATCAACCAAGTGGGCGACGAGGTCGACCGCCAGGAAGTCTCAATAAGCCAACTCTTGCTAGGAGAGTGCATAAAGCTACTCGAGAAACCATCACACAAACTGGTGGCCAAATTGGCATCTCAGCCCAGCAAGGGCCAGGTAGACCTTCTAAAGTCCTAAATGCTGGGAATACGACAGGCGTGCGGTACAGTGGACGGAGGACGCAACGAAACATTCGCAGGACAAGGAGTCAATGGGAACTGGCTAAGAGTGATGACGAAGATCCAGATTGTATCGTTGTGAGGCAATAAATTAAGTAGACCACATCACGTCTTTTGCCAGTATTTGACAGTTACTGGCTAACAGTACAAGGACGGTAGTTTAATCCGAAATGCAGGCTTGCAAGATAGCAGAAGACCAATCGCGCCCACAACGATAAGTGACTGCAATTCATGGTGATGTAGGAGCTTGTTAGTGAAGTTGGCTACACCGCCTTTCCGAGGAAGTATCTGTGGGGCCAAGAAAGTATGCGACCAATCAGAAGTGGTAAAAGTCATGCCCGTGTAAGAGTCATGCCCGTGTAGCCAAAGTGTCATGCCCGTGTAGCAATTCCCATAATAAATGCTTCTGTTCATGCAGATGCAGAAATAAATGCCATCGCTCAAGAGTGCCCGTCTTGGCCAATAATCGCTTCTTTACCACCCTCTTCGTGTTGTTCCCCTCGGCTCGAAAGCACTCCGTTCGTTGCTTGCATTGCCTACTCCGCGTCCTTCTTCGAGGCTTCGTCTGCCTTGCGCGTCCATCTCTGATAGATCAAATACAAGTGGCTCTTCGCCCACCACTTCGTCATCGGCTCTTGCCAGTCGGCTGAGCGACCCGGCAAAACTCCCGCGCGAGGATTGCGGCGCTGGTGTTGCCTTGGAAGCTGCCCCCATGCCAGCGTACCGACGTCGCGGGAATGGGGATTCTGATTGAACGCTCGAGGGCATCAACCCATCCGGTAAGTTATCCTCATTAGAGCCACGTTGCATGACATCCGATGTGGATGCATCTGATGGCCGAATCCTGGTAGCCGTTCGCAGGCCGCTGGTGATGCCGCCACCGCCGGTCGCCTCATTCTCCATTTGCAGCTGGCGACCTAGCAATACACTCATGGTAGGGGGCTCTCTGTCGCCAGCCCCGAGGCTAATGCTACGGTGTGCGCCCGCAAATGCCAAGTCTGTCTCGTCATCTTCAATCGCCGCACGAGTCTGCTGAGCTGCTGAGCTTGACCGTCTCTGATACGACACAATGCGAGGCGACAATGGTATGTCGATAGCAGTTGTGCCTTGCTGCGTAATGGTGCTTTCTCTGCTCGGCTCCGGGACAGCAGATGCTTGCCGTCGCCGGCCCCCTCGCGAAGTGATCCTTCCCGTGGCAGTGTAATCAATGATGGAGTTCTCGCTCAGTCGAGACGGAATGGCAGGTGTGTGAGGGGTGTGGGGAGACACGGGTTTTCCGGGAGAAGACGAGACAGACATAGAGGCTGGAGCTACCATGCCGGGAACGCTCGTCAATTGTCTGCTTGATGAGCTCGACGATCGTTGCATCTGCATTGACGACGTCATGGACTCTGTCAGAGCATTGTTCGAGTCCCTCATCAAATGGAACTTGGACAGCTGGGCTACCGTTTTGTTCGCCGCAAACTCGCCTCGCTTGGTTGGCTCAAAGCTTTTGAGGATTTTACGGCTGTCCAGAGCCTTCAAGAAGTCTGAAATGGCATCCTCCTCGGCATGTAATGACCCAGAACTGGCCCCGCCAGTTTCTGCCAGCAGGCCAGATCCAGGCTGAGCGACCGAAGACGCTGGGCTCTGTCGTCCGCTACTGTTTTGTTCGTCATCCCCAGCTCGACCTGTGGACATACGCCCTCGTCTGTGTGTGAAGCTGCTGCTGTAGCGGCCAGTGGACGCCGGTCGGGGCGGGCCAGCCATCGGTGTTTCAACAGAGCTCGAGGGTGGCCCGCCACGGAGAGAAGCGGGCATCCCTGCCGTCAATGAACTTCTGTTCCGAGGTTGTGAGCTCGTCGGAAAGTTTACGGGGCGACTGTGTGAATGTGTCGAGGAAGGAGATTCGGGCTCCAGTTGTCGGGGGACCGGCGATCCGGATAGAGAGCCGGCCTTGAAGGGCTGAAAAGATATGGATGTTCTCCTGCTTGAGCTCTCCCCCGGTCGACTGGCAACTGCCCTAGGGATGGAAGTGCGGCCTGAAATGGGCATAGAGCTGGGGGCGACTTCACTCCCAATGTCCGCTGGCAGGGACGTTGGTGGAGAGCTAGTATCCGAGCCAGGGGCTTTGACAGATCTGAGTGCTGATAAAGGACTTGTCCCCAACGGACCGTCGCCGTGGAAGGTTGACAAGCTCCCATAGGTTTGGTGGAGATCACTCAGTGTACGACGACGGTGGTCATGGAGCGATCCAACCTCAGCGACTCGGCCGTGGGTTCGGTCAGTCCTCTGTGTGACTGAAGGCTTGAACAAATTCTCATCAGCTCCCATGAAGCGAGAACTCAGCAGTGACTCGGAATCATCAATCCGAAAGCCACAGTAGTTTCGATATACGACAGCCGTGCTGAAACGGCCTACCGGAACTTCAAGGTCGCCAAATACATACTCGGTTACGGGGTCTCGTCGGCCATCGATGGGATGCTTCAACAGATCCGTAGCTAGTTTACCCGGTTCTGAAGCGCGGATTCGACATCGAGGGGTGAGAGCAGGATGAGAGGCCTTGGCCGAGCTCTGGCTTGCAAACTTCCAAGCCGGAAGAAGCTTGGTTGTGATGAAAAGTGATCGGAAAAAAACAATAGCCTTTTTGTAGATGGTGGGTAAGATTGGGCCAAAATCCTCGGCGAGAAGGGTCTGCGTCGTCTTGAGATCTATATGCCATCGCTCCAGTACCACTTCTGCGTTCCTCGACGTGGAGGCAGTGTGATAGCTGCCACTAGATGATGACTCGGATGAGTTGAGCTGTTCCATTACGTCCCAGCGCTTGCCGTCATCATCGAGAATGACAAGGCTTTGACTCTCTTTGAGACTCGAGGTGTCCAGGAATGTCTCGATGATCAACGGCGGCGGGCGGTGATCTATGCTCCCGCATGTCTTCCACGTTTTGAGCTCGTCTCTGAAATCATCTATTTCGTCCGTTTCTATTTGGAACTGTTACGCACAAAATAAAGAAGAAGAAAAGGCACAATTAGCAAGAGGGCTGTGTGCATTACGATTCATCCACGACAGGAAATACGTACCCATTTATTCGTTTTCCTCTGGCCACTTGCATTACGGATGGGCTGGACTTTCATTCTCGACTCGAGAATCAAGACGGCGGCCTTGTTGAAGAAATTCTGCGTGCAATTGTTAGTGACTGTCGGCTCCACGGGGACGGTGCCTCGATGGTGGTATGCAGCACATTGCATATAGCACAAGGCACACGGCATACCTGGACGATTTGATCCAGCTTCTTGACGGAATCAGCCGGAGGGCCCAAGGCTGGGTTGTTTTCCACGGTCGGCGACGCTGTAGGGTCCCTCCCGGAGACATTGGAGCCGGCACGTTGGCGGGTGCTCTGGGCGGCATCTCTGGCGGTGTTGGGTCTGGTCTGGCTGGTTTGGTTGATCTGCGGCGACGACGCCGGTGACACGGACAGCCTCGGCGGCGGTCTCGCCTGTTGATGCATGATTGTATTCAGCTCGAGCTTCGAGAAGCTCGGCTTCAGATGAAAGGGCTAGCCAGATAGCGAGCACCAGTGCATCCGATACGGCGGGAATCGATCAGGAATGGAACAGGATGTCGGGATGATGCTCTTCCATGGTCAATGGCTGTGTGGATACGAAGTAGTGCAGCAAGACGTCAAGACTGGGTTGATAAGAGGTGACGGCCTTGAAGGCCGGCTGCAGACGGGAAATATATCGACACTGGCGGTTGGGGCTGGGCCAGGGGACGAGGTGAGGATGAATCAATAGATGGGGAAGAGAGGGACGGCCGAGCAGTTGGGTGATGCCCAAGAGGTGCAAGAAGCAGCGAGAGGAAAGGCGAGCGATAAGTCGTAGACTCGTGAGTCGTAGCACCAGTCCCCAACGTGGACTAAAGTAGAGGAAGCACGGGTACTGCGTACCAGCACGAGTCACAGAGCCACAGCACGCGCAAACTGTACGAGGCAGTTGATAAGCCGGGGGTGACCAGTGGCCAACTGGCGCTGGTCAACGGGTCCCAGTGGCGCAGTCCTAGGCAATCCTTCTTGGGCTAGGACGATCTGTTTGGCCGGGGTTGCTGTCTGGTGCGTGCCTCAAAGAATGGGGTCCAGTCGTCAAGAATAATACGTACTTGCAAGCCACCTTGATTGAGCCTTTGTGTCCGCGTATCTATCTACCTGCACTTGAGCAGCCAGGAGGAGCTTGAGTTTGCGAAGCCAAACGTCCACTGAAGCCAACCTTCGACTTATTACTGCACACTTCGAGATGGTTTGCTGTGGGCGCCACAGCACGATGCAGAAGACGGCTGGGGTGATTGTCCCATCACGATCGGACACACCCTGCCTGGCAGAGACGAGAGAGAGAAAGGGAGAATTAAGATGGCATGGCCATGCAGGAGGTGTAATCGTGCCCGCCCCACTTTATGTGGTTCGGCTAGCAAAAGCCCTCACCACCAAAGGTGGTGCTCGACAGCAAGGCGGGCCGGACACCAAGGCGGGCCAATTTTCAACCTAATAACGCTATTAACCTCTTCGCCTATAATGTACACCCTTCTCGTCCCAAATTTCTAGTAGATCTAGTACAGAATCCAGACGCCATTTACGTGCCTTTTTAGCTGCTTCAAAAAACGTCCTCTTGGCGTGGTTGTGGCGCCTTTTGTCGGCTGCCTCAACAACCCGACGAGCAGTATCAAGGCGGTCATTCTCGTTTTGCTTGACCATCTCACGCGCGTTATCCACAGAAAGAACGCCACCAGTTTGTAGGGCGTGATATTTATGAGCTCTACGTCGCTGTGATAGTAATTGAGCTGCTTTTGTACGCCCAAGGTCTCTCTTCGTCTGTATAAGCTCAGTAGCTGCAATAAGAGAGCCGCGGATAAAACGACTGATATTGCGTGCAAACTCAGGCTCAAGGGATGTATCGTCTTCTAATACCTCCCCTAGCTTGTTGGCAACCTTATTTATCTGCCTGAGTGTTGTGGGCGTCTCAAAGTCGGAAGAGTTGTTGTGATATAACGGCGGCGGCGATGGTGTTGATGTGTAAATTGCAGCTCGTTGTTCAAGGGCCTCAATTACAGGCTGTGGATTGTAGGGTGAAATTCCAGTTTTTCGAAAGGCTGTGAGAATAGTAGTAGTCTTGAAAGCTTGTTTTCGTACAGCTTGAATGCAAGCAAGGAATTCAATCTTTGTAATATTCAACACGCCGTCTCGAACAATGATATCCAACGCCTTTGCATGATAATGCTTTAGTGGCTGAAATATCACAACATCAAGAGGTTGAAGGATGTGTGTAAGGTGCGAGGGCAACGCAAAGGGAATTATATCGTGCTGTTCGCAGTATTCAACGAATTCAATTGTATGGTGTGATCCGTGGCCATCTAGGATTAAAAGGCGATATCTGCCTATTGGCGTTGCAAATTCCTGAAAATGCTGTATCCAAGCAACTGCAATTTCGTCATTCGTAAAGCCGGTTGGTGAGACTGTTATTTTGGTATTAGCTTCAAGCTCCTTTATCCGATACCAGGACTCCATGTGTTTTTGCCCTGTAAGGATAAGAAAGGCAGGAATAACTTTGCCGCCAGCAGAAATGCATTCTATTGCTGTTGCAGTCTCCCTGTTTTCTGGCATTGAAAATAGATGCGCTCTTCTTCGCTTTGTAACAACTAAATGGTCCTTTCCCATTCCAATACGAAAGCCAGTCTCATCCATATTCCAGATATCTTCAGGAGGGACTCCGTACTGCTGAATAGCCTCTTTAAGCTTGTTGTAATAAGAAAGAGCTCTTGTCACATCTTCTGAAGCTTTTCGACTTGAATCAATCTTTTTTTGAAGACCTTTATGATAGTGATGCCGCTGGATAAAGCGTGTAGTCCATCGCGTTCCAACTTGCCTAGGCGGGGCAGTTGACGATGCCCTCTCTTTTAGGATGTAATTTGCAGCATCTGTAATGAATTCAGGTCGTACAGCGAAGTTGGCCTTATCAAGGCGATCGATATAGTTACATAAAGCAACTTCCTCTTCTCGTGAAAGCATTGTATTTCTTGCTGGATGGCCTTTCCTAGCAGGAACGCCGTTAGCACGTCGTTGAAGCCGGCTACGAGGCACGTTGAATTTCTTCGCCACAGAGCGAATTTTTGCACCTGGATTTTCCTCAATATACTCAAGAGCCTCGTTGACACGTAATTCGACATCGCTTTTTGCCGTTTGGACGCTAGTTGCAGCCATTTTCGCGGTTCAACGCGTCTAGGTTGAAAATTGGCCCGCCTTGGTGTCCGGCCCGCCTTGCTGTCGAGCACCACCTTTGGTGGTGAGGGCTATTGCTAGCCGAACCACATAAAGTGGGGCGGGCACGATTAGAACAAACGAACACAAGGGCGCCCGTGCCCCTGGTCCGGGAAGCAGATGGACTGCAGCTCTTGCACGGGAGAGACAGGTCATCAAGTTAGGGGTCAACATTGCATCAGTGACCAGGACCTACTAGCCCGTGCCCGAGAAAAGAGGTCACCAGCCACAAGAGCAGTCATCAGTCCCGAGGGCCCATCGTGACCTGACTATACTCCGTAAGTTACCAAGAGTAAGTACAGAGTACGGAGCACTTGCGACTAGAGAGACGACGGGCCCACTCCCAAGGCGCTTTCGTCATCACTGATCGGCCAGTGCCATTTGCTCGTGCAGTACCGAGTAGTAGTAGGAGGAGTACGGACGAGTGAGCCAGCCGTACTCCTAAAAAAAAAATAAAAAAAAAAATAGAGAGAGAAAGAAAAGCAAAAAAAGCCCAGCATGGTTCCAAAGCCATGTCTTTTGATCAGTTTTGATATCCCTACATCAAAACATTGCGCATCCAGGGCACTTCACCCTCAAGCGCGCAACAAAGAGCAACGGGTGATAACCCATGAGCCAATCAACATCCAGGACCCACCAGCTGCCAAGCGTAACCACCCACTCACGACATCGTAGAATTCATCGCGTGCTGCACTATTAAAATACACTGCAGCATATAATGCTCCGTACGCAGATGGAGATGGATAAGTATAGTTACGGAGTGCAGCGTACTGCTACCGTGGTCGCTGCTGGGCCCTGGTCCATGACTCCGTCACAGGGTGCTTGCCTATCGCAACGCTCCTTGTCCACTTCTAGGCAACAACCGCTCGGTAGACTCTCGCATCGTCTCCCAAACTATGGACCTCCCAAAGTCCGCGTCCACCCAATAGCAACGTGCAAAAGTTGCCCCGAGATCCCCAAACCGCCGTGTCACCCACCCACGCTCTGTCGCATCCCTACGCTTTTTTTTTACCACATCTCCGCTCTCGGATCACCCTGCAAATCAGGCTGCCACCCTTCACCTCTTGAGCAAAAACCACACCCGGCTAAACCCAGTCACGAAGACGAACGAGCATTCAGGAATCGGGATTGAGCCAGCCGGCGAGCCAAGCCGATTCTCCCCAGTCTCCATCCCCTCGAACCGTGGCACCTCCTTGAGCGCAGAACTGCCCACGGTTACTCCGTATTCTCCGTACACACGTACATGGCCTATCCCAGGCATCTTTGCATGTGCTCCAATTGCCAAATGATTCTCCATCACTGACCGGGACTGTCCTGCCTGCAGTCACACGAGGGAACTGGGTGCGCGCTGGTTGGCTGATGGCCTCGGTGTGTTGACTCGTTACACGACCTTCTCGATATCATACCCGGCGACGCGAGGCATTCATGTCCTGACTCCCGAGCTGTCATTCATCACGTAGCGAACATCCTCAACATTGATCAGGGAAATTTTCCATTGTCCTATAGTTTTTTTGTGGCATTGCTGCCAGTTGCGGGCCACAAAGCTGACTCACATAACCACATCTAACGGCTTCCAGCTTCTTACACCACTGTAGACAGATATGGTGACACACGAACAGTAGGTAGCTTGAGTGGGAAAAAACAACAAAAAAGAAGAGTCCGCCTACCTGGGTGGTCAACCTGATGGTCCCAAAATCCCGACGCCATAGCCCATCGCGTTCTGTTGCTTATCCCAATCGTACACTGGTAGGTCCTTGTCCATGTTTGCCTCGCCTGGCTTTACCTCCCCTACCTCCTGAAGGACCTAAAGACACATCGCCAGTTTTCTCAGATCCGCCCGGGTCTTCATTCAGATTTGACTTCCCACCTCTGCCCCTTCGTCCTCGACGATTTCCCCCACTTTGATCCTTTTCCTTGCCCCGGGCTTGCCTCCTGGCCTCCTCTTCTTGTGCTCGCCGACTCTCTTGGTCCCACCATTCCTGGAAGGCTTGTTCTTCTTGTATCTCTTGCAGTGGTCGCTTGGCCACAGCTTCCTTGACCCGTTGCTGCTCCAGTCGTTGTTGTCCAATGATGTCGGCCATGCTCGTGCCTAGGGTAGGTCCAGACTTGGCTGCTGGCTTGATGTACGATTTTGAGTGTGGCACAAGCGGTTTCTCCCCCGATGATTGACACGACGACGTTGTTGGTGAGGCTGGTGAGCTCACCGTTCGGCCTTGTCCTGGGAAGCGGGTGTCAGGAGAGGCTGCGCGCCGTTTTGACAATTGGGCGTTAGATCCAGGAGAAAGAAGAGGTTTCTGGGACAACGCAGACCCTCCGCGTTGTGCACTTTCCGACTGCATAGCGTCTCTTAATGAAGTCCTTGGGGCCGAAAGTGTCATCTTCCATGGCGTCGGCCGAGCTGTAGAATGGACGGCTTGCCAAGGCTCCGATTTATTCTTCTCTTTATCTGCCGCAGCCTCGACCTCGGCTTGCTGTACTTGTTGTCTTTTTCGCTCCTTCTGAGACATTCGTGCTAGTGGTTTGTTTGATGATGTTGCCTTGTCAGTCTGAGATGCCAGACCAGCCGTAAGCGCTGATTTGGATGTGGCTTCCTGCATAATGTCCTTGAAATCCAGCTTGGATGCAGGAAGAATAGGTGACGCCCACGGATCATCGGCAGATCTAACTGGAAGGGATGTTGGCTGGGGAGAGCTGCCCGCTCGGCATACTGGCTCAATGCTAGGCTCAGGAAGCTGTGAGAGTGGAATTCGACTCGAGCATTGTGAATTACCGGTTTCAGCATCCGCCAATGACTTGCTCTTGGCACCTCGCCATGCCTCTGAAAGCTTTGGTATATGGTCAAAATCAAACTCGTTCCTTGCATCCCGGAAGGCTGATACCGCAGGGGACGTTGGCCTGGTGATTTTGGGACTATCCTCGCCATCCATGTCGAATATAAGGTCTGTAAGAGAATCCTTTGGTCGCAAACGAGGACTAAAAGGTTCATTCCGTCCGTCTCTCGGTCTCCGGCAAGACCGTTCCGGAGTCTGAGCTGCCAGTACTGACTCGTCAAGGCTGCCAACACTTGCTTTGTAAGAAGACGATAATTTCTTTTCCTCGTCTTTCCTGGCAATTTTGAACGCCATCTCCCTCACCCGGCGACGTCGTTCCTCTTCAATATCGAGAGCCAAATCTGGGTATCGCTGATGGAGTAGCATATCAGCCCGCCCACTGCGCACAAAAGGAAACCTGGCCAACTGGTTGTTGCGCACGACCTCGTCCAGGTTCAACAAAAGATCTTCGTCAAGGTTATCTAGGAGATGATTCTCAAGCATAGACTCCAGTTGCAGGCAAATATACTCCAACCCGACATCCTTAAACTTGGTGACTGAGCAAGGACTAATCTCGTTGAGAAGGTTGGCGACATTGCGAGTTGTAACGAATTTACCCATTAAGCTTTGGCAAATTTGCGAGAGACGGTCGAGCATCAGCTCGTTAGCCACACCCATGACGTCGAGAACCACCTCCGAAAACTCATCCAGAGTTTTCACGCAAACATCGTTAAATAAATCTGACCCAATATCAGCATACAGATATTTCATAACATAGCGAAAGGTTTCCGGGCTAATATGTTTGAGGTCCACGCGGACCAACTCTGTCCCCAAAGACGTGTTACGACGCGCAGTTAGCCAATGGCCCTGAGACCGACCATGGAACATGCCTCCAAAAAAGAGACATCTCTGACAGACGAGATGGCTGTGAGCTAAAACTTCGCCTCCATCCAGCTCAATAAGCATGTCCGCATCATTGAAGAAAGTTGGATCTAGAAGGGCCTCTCGCATGTTTTCATCAAGACATGGCTCCGACCTAGTTTGTAGCCGAGCTGCAGTTTCCAGTTTCGGAAGGTTGAGTCTGGTTCCAAGCTTCATCAGCTCTGTTCGCACCTGACGGAATCGAAACGCAAGTGAAGGTGCCTCCTTCGTGTATTTCCACACCGGAATGACGACATCTAAATAAACGTATACAATCAGGTTGAGCAGAGTATATATGTCAATGTCAATAAACGTAAGGAGCGCCTTGTCCTTTTGTTCAATCACAATGATATCAGAGAGATTGTTTGTATTGCCGTTGGACTGATATTCCGATAACGCTTCCCGAAGAGACGAGCTTCGTCCTGCCAACAGCCAGCTATGAACAGGAAGACGAAGATCGGGGCTCGAAGAAGTTCGAATCTCCATGTTGAGGTCATCATACTGAGAAGAGTTGCGCTGTACCCACTGAAGCAGATCTTGTTCGATGTTTATCGAGGATAAAATCTCATGGGGTACAGAACCCGGCTGTTCTCTGGTTATCGCAGCATTCCACTTCTTCCGCGAACTGTGCTCATCAATGCCAGAGGTTGAGGCTCTAAAGTCGCTCAACCAAAGGAGGGAGCCCACATCTTCCCATATAGACTGGTTTGCGATGCTAATGTCCGTGGACATGATTTTGCTGTCGTTACGAATAGCGGCGAATGCACCAAAAGTTGAACTGCGAACACCAACACAGTTTGTGATGTATGGGACACGCTCGAATTTGAAATCCTTCTTCTTTGCATCGAGTGGGCTGGCGAATGCCGCGACTTTCCCCTTGGCGCGCTTGACTCGTTTCCAGACTGCGCCCGATTCAGTGCAGATGATGACGGAGCCATGTTCGCCAACACTCACGGACGCCACACCGTCCTTTCGTGAGTCCCAGACGCACTGCGGTTGGGTAACAGCACTCTTAATCTTTACAGGATTTGTGGTAGAGCCGGCAAGCTGGGCGGTATCCGTCTTACTGTTCAGCTGCATGGTGAACAAGTCGCCGTAAGACGTCACCGCAGCAATCGTTTCGCCTCCGGAAGCAATATACCGGATGTTGCGACGGCCCACCTCATAACGATGTGTATAGGAACGAGCCGATAGATTTTGGTTGCTGAAAACATCAGGGTAGGGAAATTTAACCAAATTGTAGCCGTAATTGGTAAAAATCCAAACAGTATAGTTGGATAGCAAACAGGTCGTCGCCTTGTCGATTGCTGAGACCATCTCGATTGGGGCCGAAAGCAGTGATGCTGCAACCTTGCGCGGTGTCTGCTGTAGTTCCAGCAATCTAGAGTCAGCATCCATGAGGGCAAGCTGCCCAAAATTGCGACCCCAGCAGTAGAGAGAAGACCCAGTATGGGCTACGGAGTGAATAGCCGACGCAGCAACGCCTTGCACCATCTCCTTCTTCAACGGCCCAAATACCTGCCGGGGTGAAACGCTCATCGGCTCCTCGTCCGACCTCATGGCTGGGGGAAGAGTATAGCCGAGCTGAGAATCCGAGTTGAGGCCCCAAGTCCAAAGCTCGCCAGCTTCTGTAACAGCCATGGAGTGGTTCTGCCCAAGAGCAACTTGCCGGACCTTGCGATCGATAAATGGCCCTTGCACGGGAACGAACTTGAACTGAGTGTTTTCATCGCCCAACCCTAGTCTTCCCCCACGACCGACACCGCAAATATAGAGGTTTGACACTGGGTCATCAGTCAGAACAGCAGAATGAAGTTTCGACATGACAACATCACGTATAGCAGAACGTTGGTGGTATACCAGGGTGGGAATTTCGTTCTGATCAGGGTGGGTGGGCGGTGATCCCACGTCTTGGCTGACTAAATGCTGCTTGTGAAACTTGTAAAGGAGCTCTTCCGGTCGCTGCAAAACAATGCGTTCAGGGTACTGGCGGTCGTCTTCGTCGCCAACCCCCAGCGATAAGTTCTTGTTGCTTCCAAACGTGTAAAATTCGTCTCCCATGATAGGTTGGGCTATACCCAACGCAACACTTGCAGCCCTAGCACAGAAACGTCAGATTCTATAGTGTGGCTGGGATTTCAAGGAAAAATATACATTTGAGCGGTTTCGCCATCACTGTCTTCATCGTCCAAATCTTTACCTGATTTCGGAGAGATTGAATCGTGTTTTAGCGACCGTATAGCTATAGTAGAGTTATAGACATCAAATGGACTGTTGCCCTCGTGGTCTTTCGTCTTTATCAGCTGGCCAACCTTCGCGACTGAGGATATATTGGTATGGTTTGTCAAATCGGCTCGTTCCCTTGCCAATAGCATTCGAGCTATAGAGATGTTTCCGGCGTAAAGAGATCTGTGGAGGGCATTCCAGCCACTCTCGGAGTCCTGAGCGTAGAGATCGAGGGAGGGGTGTTCGAGGAGGGCCTGCACAAAGTCTCGAGCGTTCGGATGGGTGGACGAGGCCGCGCGCAGGAGTACGGTGAGGCCGGCATGGTCGCGACTGTTAATTTCTTGACGATTTAGCGTAGATCCACCATCTTTGAATTTTCCATGTCCATATGTACATCCTGAAGTCCTGCGCAACTTGGGAGTCATCCGAGGAGACGAAGATGGGCCGCCAGGACTTGCACCTAGAAGACCGCCTCCAGCGTTTCCCATCCCAGGACTCTTGGTTGCTGCATAAGTGTTGGGGGCGGCAGGAGCCAGCAGACGCCGAAACCTGTCGACATCATTCTCCCAGTAAAATTTCCACAGAAGGTGACTCATGGGCGGCTGCGAAGTACGAGAGGACCGAGGTAACTCCCAAGCGCTTGAAACGACACCTCGCTGTGATTCTCTGGGGATCACGGCTTTTTAAAGGTGCGATTTGAGGCGCCGGAGAGTTGGAATGACCAAGGTGATTGTTGCCACCGTGTCTGTTGGTGCTGCAGGACGTTTTGCGACGGGCGGTGCGTGTCACGGTGATGGTGTAAGAGGCGACTGAAGGACGGACATGGATTCAAAAAAAAAAAGGGATCTCAAAGTTGTTCCCAAGGCAGTGAATCAAGCTAAGACGAATTAGATGATTCGGAAGCTGACGCAAATGCAAATGCGAATGTTCAGTCAATTATGTCAAGGCCGAGTCTGTCGTGATGATGCCAGAGCAGGAAGGAGCACGAGCACTCGAGTTGAGAACAAAGTGACAGTCTGAGCTGCAGGGCCAAAACCGACATGGGCCAGAGCCTGTGATTGCGCGCGTCAGCGGGGTCCGCAGGCACATGGAGAACAACATGGCAGGACGCACGCACCAGTTAGTTAGCCTAGGGCTCAGTGCTACTCCGTGATAATAACTACTTAAAGTACGGAGTACGGAGTATTCGGTGTCCAAACTCCAGCACAGCCAATAGCGGTCCTTGCTACGGTGTAGGGCGCACATGCGTGCATTGATGCATTTCTACTCCGTATTTGCTCGCGCTTTCAAACCAAGCCGCTCTGTTTGGGAACCGAAGGTCATTGATTACATCATCTTTGCAAATGGATGCATCGGGCAATGTGCTTTTCGTGACAGCATTGAAAGCATGCACGTTTTACATGGACGATTGCTTGTACTAATGGTGCTGCAAAACACTTTACTCTCATTTTGTTCTGCCACGTTGAGGTCGAGGCACGCTGGTCCCCGCCATGCTCTGCTGCAGGTCAAGGCTCCGTGGACACCACATCCCCTGCATGTGATGTTAAGACAATTGTGGAATCCGTGATCCTGTTGCGGGGTGAGCCGGCCCAAGGAAGAGGATGGCTTCTTGGTGTTGGGTGGTCGAATTCTGCATATGTACTGTACGGAGTACAGTAAACCAGGTCTATAACAATAACCTTCGTGAGCAATTTTTCATCGTTATAACCCGACTACAGGGGTTATATCGTTAAGATGCGACTACCCTTTTAGGAAAGGTCTCTACCTAGCCCTACTTTTGTTAGTAAGATAAGGCTGGGGGGTAAGGTAGTGTGTAATTATAAACTTATAAATATTAATAAGCAATATTTACGAGAAAAATCGCTATAGGTTAGAAGTTTCTTTTATATATATAACATATAGGAAAGGTACTTCACGCCTAGGCGTGTGTGCTGAATCGCTATAGCAGGGGATCGTTATAAACCTGCTTTACTGTACACGTCGCAAGGTTTATTTCAAAGTCGATATTACCTTTGGCAAGCGGCATATCTCGTCTCTATTCGCTAAATTGAAATTGTAGGACAATGTCTCGCGTGCCGTGAACGCCACAACTTGAATTTGCAGTAGGGCTTCGCGACCAGCCGAGCCGAACATTGAAAGGTCAATTGGAAATTCCGAAGTGGGCCGCATCCAGCCATAGAAAGTACTACGCACTATGAAGTACGTACCACGAAGCACGGCCAACTGGCGTTTACCCGCTCCGCAATCGACTCAACTACCTCTTTCATTCTCCCACCTTGCGCTCCAAGTTCCTCCTGTGACATCGGCAGGATCTCGTCAATTGTTCAAAAGATCACCGGCAAAGCCGCGATATTTTCCCGTCATGTCACAGGAGAAACCTCTTCCCTTCATTTACCAGTTCGCTGCAGGTGCGCCATGCTGGTGACGAGCCCTCAAACTGTCCCGATGTATCGGAACTGCTAACAATGCCGCAGGTGCCATTGCTGGCGTGTCGGAGGTACGCGCCCTCCACGCGACATAGTTTATACGAGACATATCAGGTTCTAATGTCGACACTTTTGTCAAGATTCTGGTAATGTGAGTTGTGCGAAGTTGCTCCCAAATGTAAGCCTCCCTGGGCAGCCTGCTGACACCCCTCTCTCAGGTACCCATTGGACGTCGTCAAGACTCGCGTGTACGAATTTTCCGCTTGCTCAGGACCGTATCCTTGACCCATGGACACTAACTGTGCCAGTCAACTGCAAACGGGAAAGGGTACCGGTGCCGAGTCTTACAATGGCATGTTGGACTGCTTTCGCAAGATCATCAAGAATGAAGGGTGAGAATTCTAGTTGCACGTCGCAGAGGCACGGCATTGACACTTCAAAGCTTCTCACGTCTCTATCGAGGGATCTCAGCTCCAATTCTTATGGAGGCTCCCAAGCGTGCCACAAAATTCGCCGCCAACGATGAATGGGGCAAGGTGTACCGCAAGATGTTCGGTATGAGCCAGATGAACCAGTCCCTCTCTGTTCTGACTGGTGCCACTGCTGGTGCTACCGAATCATTTGTCGTCGTCCCCTTCGAGCTTGTCAAGATTCGTCTCCAAGACAAGGCCTCTGCTGGAAAGTACAGCGGCATGGTTGACTGCGTTGTCAAGACTGTCAAAAACGAGGGTATTTTGACCATGTACCAAGGTCTTGAAAGTACCATGTGGAGACATATTCTTTGGAATGCTGGTTACTTTGGTTGCATCTTCCAGGTCCGACAGATGCTGCCCAAGGCAAGCACTAAACAGGGCCAGATGACGAATGACTTGATCTCCGGTTCCATTGGTGGAACTGTCGGCACGATTCTGAACACGCCCATGGATGTCGTCAAGAGCCGAATTCAGAACACCCCCAAGGTGCTTGGAAAAGTTCCCAAGTACAACTGGGCTTGGCCATCCGTCGTTACTGTGTTCAGGGAAGAAGGTGCTGGTGCCTTGTACAAGGGTTTCCTGCCCAAGGTAAGACATGCTTTCTTATAGAGCCGTTCGAATGTTGCCTTTTTGACACATACAACCAGGTTCTTCGCCTCGGACCTGGGGGTGGTATTCTCCTCGTGGTTTTCACCACCGTCATGGATACTTTCCGCAAGTGGCAGTCATAAACGTATACCTCGACTGAGCCACGAGGCCAGTGGAGACCAAATGCAATGATAAAGACGTGAGACGCTTGCCGAGGATTGGATAAACGATAGACGCAGAACTGTGTTTGAATATAGACAAGAAATATGGCAATGATGGCCATTCAGATTTTGCGTCGGTTTTTTTTTTCTTTTTTTCTTTTTTTTTTTTCGTTTTGGGGCGTGGGGTGGTATTTCTTCCGCCTGCCCCTTGCAAGCGGAGTCTTTTTAGGAGATATATAGCCACTGTTGAAAGAACTCCCATTCCCTCGGCCCCTTTTAAAAAACAACAACGCATAATTCATTCATTCCCATCGGTCAGATTTGTAGGTTTCTCGCGGTATCTTGGGGTCTGCTCGTCAAAGGTTAACCTTTACGCAGCTACAAGACCCGTCGCAGGAAGAGACGATAGTCACATGTTGTTCTGCTGGTGCCAATAAAAGTGCCAATACTATCAGCCGTTAATTCGAGTACCAAGTAGGAACTTGTAAATTCTCAGCGGTAAGTTGAGCAGCAGGCGCATGTCCGGTGGGCATCCATCACGATTCACGAGTCAGACGATTAGAGGTAGGCAATTACGTACTTATGTACGCGTCAGTAGTCCGGGTGGGAGGCGAAAAATATTAATTAAACTAGGAGCAGGTCCCGGGGTAAAAGTCACAGGGCTGTCAGACCAACCACCAAGCGGACGATGAATCGCAAGCCGTGTCTGCGGTTAGGCCAAGGCAACTCAGTTCTGCTTCCTTTGTACAAGGCAAAAGAACAGAGGAAGAAAACAGCACTACAAGACTAGTGTAGTCTGAAGGCACCTATGGTCAAACCGCATGGTGCAATGAAGTAGACAAATTTACTCTCGATTGACGTCGGACTGGACCAGATCAATGGCGAAAAGTATTACGAATTCACGGAAATGTGTCGAGTACTTGTGTAGGTAAGTACGTAATCCATGACAGCAAAGCCACGGGTAGGTGCGACTGCAGACGCCAGTGCTACCTACTGTAGGTACCTAGGTACTTAAGTACTTAAGGTAGTAGTGGCCGGTACCGCGAAGGTACTCCGGACAGTACTTCGTATCTGGGAACACACTAGCCGAGCAGCATGTCGACTCCATGTCGGGGTTGGGAAGGACAGGTCACGACTGAAGTAGTCACTTCAAACACTGGATGGGTGCTGCGACTCGACGCCAGTTGACTTTCTCGTTTTCGCCTCGCCCGAGGCCGACAAGACAGGTTGCATACCCCTGCTGGCATCGGGTTGTTCGTCACCCCCCATTTCCCTCAGTCCTGTCCTGTGTCAGTCGCGCGGCCACCTGAGCAGCGACATCTCCGCGTGCACCACTTGGCACTTGTAGTCCAGCTTGCCCTTGCGACGGGCACAACCAGACCAGCCCCGCGACGCCTTTCAGATCCGGGTGACGAAGCTCCCAACTGTCATCGTTTGACATCCCAGACAGGTTGCCTGTCCAGTCTTTCAATTAGCCCTGCTTTGGTGGTTGTTTTTGTGTTTCCGCGACGAGGCACAAACCACAATTTCGTACGCCTTTGTCTCGCAGCGCCGCCGACAGAGTCCAGCCGGATCCGACTTTGTTCGCCATCGACTCCACGGTCAGAACTGGGCTCGCCGTCTCCGCCCTTGGTCTACCGATTTCGAAAACAATCGTGAAAGACGAATTGGAAAAGTTCCACGACACCGACCTCTTCTGGCCCGTCGAAGTTCCCGCCTCCTGTCCTCCCCCAAGCACGGCCAAGCTCAGAGGCACCGAAGCCCCGCAGTCGCCCATCATGTCCAAGGTTATGCGAAGTGTGAAGAATGTGACCAAGGGGTATTCTAGTACCCAGGTCAAGGTCAGAGAAGGTGAGTAACCTCTTGGAATGACCCATGTTAGCACTTCCCAGCGCTCCTTGCTGAACAGACCGTCCTCGTTATGAACAGCTACGAGCAACGATCCATGGGGCCCAACGGGCACTCAGATGAGCGAAATTGCCCAGATGACGTTTAATACGTAAGCCTTTTTGATCCCTTGAGCCAGTAAACAATCGAGATTACCTTCTCACCATGTGCAGGTCGACCGAGTTTTACGACATCATGGACATGCTTGACAGGCGTTTGAACGACAAGGGCAAGAACTGGAGACACGTGCTAAAGGCATTAAAAGTCCTCGATTACTGCCTTCACGAGGGCTCAGAGCTGGTTGTCACTTGGGCCCGCCAGAATGACTACATTATCAAGACGTTGAGGGTGTTTGAGTACACCGACGAAGAGGGTCGGGATGTCGGCCTGAACGGTACAACCACTCTATGAACCGCTACAATGAAGGCTGATATGCTGACGCATGCTCTAGTACGAGTCGCCGCCAAGGAATTGACCTCGCTTATTGCGAACGAGGAACGACTGAGGGACGAGCGAACTAACAGGAAGACCTGGAAGTCTCGGGTAACGGGAGTAGAGGAGTACGAACCGCAGCATGCCGATTCGTCGGCGCACCGCAGACCACGGGACAGGCGAGCTTTTGTCAACGATGAGGAGGACACAGAATACAGACTGGCACTCGAGGCCAGCAAGGTTCAAGAAGAGGAAGACAGGAAAAAACGCGAAAGTAGGAGAAATGATGACGACGACAATGACCTGGCCAAGGCTATCAAACTCAGTCAGGAAGAGGAAGAAAGGAGGCGCCGAGAACTCGAAGACAGCAACGCAAACTCTCTTTTCGACGACTACCCTTCCCAACGGTCGTCAAGTCAACCTCAGTACACCGGTTTCAATCAGGGTTACCAGCAAGGCAACCAGGTAGACTTTTTTGCCAACCCTGTCGATCAAAACCATGTAATGAATCAACCCATCGGATTTATGAACAACGCCTATACTGGATATCAGCAATCTCAGCCAACCGGTTTGCAGCCAAATTACAACCAGGCTTTCGCTATGCAGCCCACTGGTACGGGCTTGTATCCCTACGGCCAACAGCAGAACAACATGACTGGCTTCCAGCCGCAGGCGACTGGATTCAATCCCTATGCCCAACAGATACCACAGCTGTCTCAGCAGTCTTCGGATCCTGCGCCCCAGCCAGGAAGCAATAATCCCTGGGCCACCAACAGATCCCAACAGCCATCCTTGATGCCAGCGCCCACAGGCTCAAACAACCCCTTTGCTCAGAACAACCGCCCGCAAACCTCCAAGCCTATTTCCTCCCTGGGCGCCTTGCCAGAGCAAAAGACTTTGTCATCCTTCAACAACCAGCCTCAGCAGCCTCAGCAGTCGCAGCCGTCCCTCAACCCACCCCCTCAGAAGGAATTGAACGACTACCAAAGCAAGCTAAACAGTCTTTTGGCAACGGGAGACGGCATGGATACTTTTGGCAACACTGGAGAGCTCCGCATTCCCGCTCAGCACACGGCGCCAGGCATGTTTGCCAACAGTGCAGGTTCTGGCGTTCAGCGATGTGGTGCCGATGTTACGGGCAACCCTTACATGCGTCAACAATTCACTGGCATGCCAAGCGTCACATACGGTAGCCAGCCCACGAACGGCCAGAGCAGTAACAATCCCTTTGGTGCTCGGCCGCAGCAGCAACCGGGTCAGGGCCAAGACCTCATTCAATTCTAATCTGGTTTGCTTTTCAAAGCCCTTGATCTCTTCTTTTTTTTTTTTTTTTTGTTGGAGTGTTTGTCTCTAGTAAGTGAAGGATGCTGTTCTTACAGTAAGCTGTAAGACAACTGACCTCTTCTGTCAAATCACGAATTTTTTCCTTCTTTTTTTCCCTCATTTTTTCGATGGTAGAGGAGAATGCTTCATTTTTTTCGTCTTGGCGCCAAAATCCCAAACCCACAACTATTGTTTCTGCCATTGATTCATCTTCATCTATGGGGAATACTCTGGAGGTAAGACCTGGGTTGTGAGGGGGAGGAGTTAGGCAAGACATGCTTTGCACAGGTGTGACAGGGTGGTCCAAATTACTTTCTTGCGACGGGTTATTTAGAGAGCGCTCTTTCCAATGAAAACTCCTAGATCTGATTCAAGACGTAATTCCCTTTTCTTCCATGTCCAATGACTAATGACGTCAACATTCATTCTTCGTCGACATCCCGGCGCCTACCGCCAGTGATGTGCCCAAATAGGCGGCTTGTGTCTTCTTCCAGCGGCCGCTGATTTGACATGGTCATGCCTCTCAAGTAAGACGAGGTTTGCCCATCTTGTCCGCTTGCATGATTCGAGCCTGTTGCCCGTGTGGACTTTTGTGCTGAAAACCTGTGGTAGCACACAGGCCATGTGTGGTTGATACTAGCCAGGGGGAGGCGTTCTCTGAGCAATCTACCGACCTGGATCCATGTTGCGACTCGATGTTGAACAGCTTCCAACCGCGATGGTCTTGAGCTTGACAGTCTGCTGGCTTGCCAGGCCGCATGACCCAACGATGCTGTTTGCAATCTGCGCTGTCTTTTCCTCTACCCAGCCTCCTCCATCATCTGCATAAATTCATCCAAGCTCACACCTCCCTTTCCATCATGGTCCAAGTGATCAATCATGCTCTGAATCTCCTCATCCGACAGCGTGCGTTCGTCCTTGATCTCTTGCGCCAGATGTCGCAAGTCCTCTATTGAAATAAGCCCGTCTTGGTCGTAATCGAACATGGCAAACACCTTGGCCGCTTCCTCGCGTGGGTCTCGATTGGCAATAAGCTTCGAGGCACATAAGCGGAACTGGTCAAGGTACACGTAGTATCTGTTGACGGGGCAAGAGGGGGGATCATGCCAATCTGGCGGGACTGAGCCGTAGGACTGAAGTTCGCGAAAGTACTCTGGTTTGGTCAAGTCGAAGCCAAGGGCGGCGAGGGAGTGTTTGAACTCGTAGGAATTTAGCCAGCCTTTCTTCTTCATGTCCATTAGATCGAACTGGCGGTGCGGAACTTGTCAGTAGTGGATATGGAGCGGGGAGTGGAAGCGGTAAAAGCGGCGCAAACTCACGACTTCGTCAATGTGCTCGCGATCCTCGTCGGCGATGGAGGCATATTCCTCGTTGGCGGATACTTGCGGAGCCAGGGGTTGCCGTTGATGTTGTTGCTGGTGCTGGTGCTGGTGCTGCTGGTGCTGTTGCGGTTGCTGGCTTTGCTGGAACTGGTTCTGCTGAAGGGACGAGGGCCCTATTGAGCGGCCCGGAAAGGGGCGTGGCGTGGTATGAGGATTCATAGCTGTAGGGCTGACGAGTTGAGATTTTTGAAGATTCTGTCTGCCCTCGGGCAAGGTGCAGGTCGAGGGTTGAATAACAGCGCTGCTACGAGGAATAAATATCGCAGCGTGAGCAACAGGGTTCCAAAAAAGTCGCTGCGGGTCTTAGAAATTCGGGGCGAAAGCGGGCGACTAGTTGTGTTGCTGGCGTTGTTATTATTTTCTTTGCCGACCTGGTGTGCGAGGGCTGTTGATGTTGATTCCGACGAGGCGAGAGGAAGCAGCATTTGCGACACGCCGGGTCGAGGCCACGCGCGATTCGCAGCTGAAGGGGTTCGTCGCGTTCAATTAACAGTGCCGGGGGGATTCTCCGTACTCCAGGGTACCCAACTCACTTAAGTAGGTACTTGAGTACTTGGTAGTGACCGCAGTGTACAGAGTACCTGCCAGGCATTCTTAAGGCAGCAGTGGACTGGCCTTTGGGTACCGTCAATTCCCAACTCTGATTGGGCCAGTCCACTTCAGTAGTCAGCATTCTGATTCCTGGCCAATGAGCTATTGAGGTCTGGGTCTGAGGCGGTAGTAAGTTGTCCTTCCCTGTTCTGGGTGTACACAGTTGACGCTGCAGAAAAAGCTGGCTGGGTTCTTTCCCACCCCCCCAAATTAATCTCACCTCACCAAATACTTTGTGCTTAGAAAAGCCAGCGACATCGTCGAGGAGTAAAAGGGCGTCGCCACCCGTTCCCCTCGTGCAGGCCGAGTCTTGAACTTTACCTTTCCTTTTTATTTCTTTACTCTTATTTGATTTGTCTGTCGCCTGCCCTGCGCCTACTTTGGGAACTGCCACAGACGCAAACTTGGACTGTGGCATTTTCGCGCCTCACCTCACACGAGGCTTCGCGACAACGCAAACGAGAGGACTCGAGTTACATCAGCGCTGTTGAGGTTGGATAAAGGTTGTAGTTGGCTTTGCATGGACGATACTTTTCTTTGACAGTCGCGGCCGACATCGGAAATTCTCCCCCACGACGAGAGCTGGCCGTTCAGATCGCGCCTCGGACGCGCGATTGGAGCTCTTGAAGCTCAACTATCGAATCGACTCCTGAGACCTGCAGCTTTTCTGCCGCAGATACGGCGCAATCATGTCGTTCGGTAGCGGAGGCTTTGGTGGCTTCGGCCAGAACAATAATAATGCACAGTCAGGTGGTTTCGGCGGATTCGGGTCCAACAATAATAATGCTCCATCAGGTACGTCTTTTCTTGCATGAGACGATAGTTCATGGCGCGCTGGACACGATTTGACTGACGCGGCTCTGTAGCTTTTGGACAAGCCACCTCTGGTGGGTTTGCGCAGAACAACACTACTGGAGGAAGCCTGTTCGGGGGAAACAGTGGCAATACTGGCGGTGGATTTGGAACTTCAACTGGTAAGTCCTCACGGCCAACGTGTCCCACCGTGGACTAATCGCCATTTTGGCCCAGCGTCCTGGACCTGGCTGGCTTGCTCACGTCGGCCGTGAAACGATTCACTAATGAACTTTGCAGGTGGTTTCGGATCCAATACGGGCGGCGGCTTTGGAAGCAAACCTGCGTTTGGCACCAGCACTTCAGGTGGTCTTTTTGGTGCCAACAATGCCAACAATGCCAATACAACCTCCACATTTGGCGGCTTTGGAGGTGGAAGCAACACCGCAGTTAATCCGACCACCTCGGCATTTGGAAGTGGCGGAAATACCACTGGTGGAATATTTGGGGCGAATAAGTCTGGCTTCGGCACATCAACGAACACTGGGGGTTCCCTATTTGGCGGTGGCAACACGACTTCAGGTGGCTTCGGAACCACTAGCACTGGTTTCGCAGCAACTGGTGCCGTAGGCGACCCTCCAGGCACCGCATCAACACCGTTCAATGCATTTACCGAGAAGGAGCCTAATACGTCCGTGACCAATTCGTTCCAAAACATTCTGTTCCAGGAGCCCTATAAGAAGTGGTCGTCTGAAGAGCTTCGATTAGCGGACTATGTACAGGGACGTCGACATGGCAATGCCACTGGAGGCGGCGCTTTTGGCGTTAGCTCAGGCTTTGGAGGTTTCGGCTCTACAAATGCTAATCAGACTGCCAATGCCTTTGGACAGACCAACACCAACACGACCAGCGGTAACCTCTTTGGCAACACTGGCAACGCTACCGCGACGGGTACCGGATTCGGGAGCGGTGGATTTGGTGCAAATGCCAACGCTACCAACACTACTGGTGGTAGCCTCTTTGGTGGCGGTAACAAGCCTGCTGGTGGTCTATTTGGCAATAGCAACACCCAGACTCAGCAGAGTGGTGGTGGTGGTGGTGGTGGTATGTTTGGCGGCGGCGGGACAGGAGCATTCGGTAGCTCCAACACTGGAGCTTTTGGGCAAGCCAACACTGCCAACAATGCTGGTGGTGGACTGTTTGGCAACACTGCCAACAAGACCACGGGAAGCGGATTCAGCTTCGGAAACACCAACAACACGAGTACGATTACTGGTCCTGCGTTTGGGGCCAATGCTACGGGAAATGCTTTCGGATCTACCCCAGCCAATACTGGAGGAGGAGTCTTCGGGAACAATCCCAGCAATACGCAGACGACCGGGGGTGGCGTTTTTGGTGCTCAGAACAACCAGCAACAAAGTACGGGAACAGGCTTTGGTGGTGGTTTCGGCCAGCTAAATCAGAACCAACAAAGTGGTGGTCTGTTTGGAAATCAGCAAAAGCCTGCTACCGGTGGCCTCTTTGGGAACAGCACCGCGACTGGAACAACCGGGGGGATTTTTGGAGGTGGCAACGCACAACAACAGAACACTGGCGGTGGCATCTTCGGAACCAGCAATAACGCAATGTCCGGAGGAGGTTTATTCGGCGGCGGCAACAAATCAACTACTGGTGGTGGTCTTTTTGGAGGCGGCAACAATGCCCAGGCTACGACAGGCGGATCATCACTGTTTGGTGGCGGCAATACACAACAGCAGTCTACGGGCGGTGGTCTCTTTGGAGCCAGTACTAATCAACAAAAGCCCGGTGGACTTTTCGGCAGCTCTACCCAGACGGGAGGTCTCTTTGGTGGCCAGAACAACCCAGCACAAGGCAGCTCCCTGTTCGGCGGGGGCACCAATCAGCAACAAAACCAAAATACTCTGGGTAACTCCCTCTTGGGCAGCGCACAACAGAACAACAATGTTCCGCAAGGTTTGACTGCTAATCTCAACGATGTCTCGGCGTACGGAAACCCGTCACTGTTTGCTGGTCTTGGGGGGAATGACGTCGCCAACCCTGGGCCTCTTGCTACGCCTCTGAATGGCAACTCGAAGCCACGCAAGGGTTCCATTCTCCCCATGTATAAGCTGGCCCCAGCTACCGCCGCCTCTCGCTTCGCAACTCCCCAGAAGAGAGGATTTGGGTTCTCATACAGCTCCTACGGCACCCCCGGCGGGAGTCCCGCTAGCAGCATTTCTAGCACGCCTGGTGCCATGGGCCGTAGCCTCCTTGGCACGAGCTCCGGTGGCCATCTTAGCAAGAGCATCTCCGCGAGCAACCTCCGTCGTAGCTTCAATACCGAAGACAGCATCCTTGCTCCGGGCGCCTTTTCCTCCAGCTCCAGTGCACGGTGGTATGGCAGCACGGGCTCCAAGAAGCTTGTCATTAATCGAGATATTCGAAGTGATCTATTCTCCACCCCTCAGAAGGATAGGATCGAAGCCAATGGAGATGCTCGCAAGCTGTCTAAGCGCGTGAGCTTTGATACTAGTCATGTTGAATCGGAGGACGGAACTCCCGTCCGAAATGCTCTCCCTGCTCCCGAAGACACACCGAAGTCGCAGCTTGACGAGACGACCCCCCGTCAGAGCAGAACCACCAATGGTACCAACGGTTCCCTGACCCCGGAGATGGAAGAGGTCAAGGGCAACGAGCTTGCTATTGTGCACGAGGAAGACAACTCTGCCACCCCGGAGGCACGAACAGCTCTCGGTTTTGAGAATGCGCCTGGCGATTACTGGATGCAGCCAAGTCGGGAGGAGCTGCAAAACATGAACAGAATGCAGCGCCAGCGTGTGGACAACTTTACGGTTGGCCGTGACAATGTTGGCTCTATTAGATTCAAGGTTCCGGTTGATATAAGCAACATCGAGCTGGACGACTTGTGTGGTGGTATCATCCAACTGGAACCTCGATCAGCCACCGTTTACCCGGTCCAGGCCAAAAAGCCCCTTGTTGGCAAGGGTCTCAATGTTCCCGCCCAGATTTCGCTAGAACAATCTTGGCCTCGCGGTGGCCGGGATAAGCGAATCACTAGCGACCCCAAGCGATTCAACAAGCACATTGATAGGCTGAAGAGAATTCCGGATACCACTTTCAAGAGCTACGATAAGGATACCGGCGTCTGGACATTTGACGTCAAGCATTTCACGACATACGGTCTTGACGACTCTGATGACGAATCGGACGAGGACATCGCTCCTCCACCCGGCCTTGCCACACCACCTCATCGCGTCCCAACCGGAGCCGCTGCCATGGATGCCCCAACCCATGGAGATTCTCATATGAGCTTCCGTCAGAACGCTGCTCTACCGGGAGCATTCGATGAGCAAGACAGTCTGTATGAACGTGACGATCTTGGTAAGCAGACTTTTTTAGGGATTAGCTCCGCGGATTCGGCACCCAATGATGTTCGACTTTCACTTGAGGAGGATTACTCCAGTGAAAGGGGTGACGAATATGATCTGTCCGAGGAGGAAGATATGACGAGGTCTTTCGTCGGACAGCATCTTGCCGCGGAGCTCGATGATACCTCGTTGGTGAATGAACAGGATGCCAAGGGTGCCACTCCTGGCGGCATTCTTAGAGCTCGCATGAGAGCCATGAAGGATCAGATTGGCCCAGTGACTCTCGAAGTTGCCGATGGCGATGATTGGATGGAAATGCTTAGGAAAACAGTCAGTCCCGTGAAGCGAGACCGACGACTGCTTAAGGAAATGAATGATTCCCCCTCCAAATTTGCCCTGGAGCCGGATGTTGGTGACAACTTGGACCCAGACTTGCGCAAAACATCCATTTGGGGGAAGAGCATGTCAAAAACAGAGCGAGCAAATGGTCTCGCAAGCACACAATTGGTAGCGGATAAGGGACGTGGATTTGCGACAAGCATCGACTTGATGAATTCTCTGTTTGAGAAGCCCCAGCCAGCGCGACAAAACATTCGCGCTTCTGCGCCAGCCAAAGGCTTTCCCCAGGTTGGTGCTCTAGTCCACAGTTGAAGTTTCAGTTTGCGCTCACGTCAGAATGGAGTAAAAACTTGGCGAAACTTGATGCCCATGTATTTAACAGCTTTGGAAATGAATCGAATACTAAAAATCTCGTCTTCTTTTGAACTAGTGGCCCTACGAACGTCAAGACAAGAATCTTGCTGTCAACAGTGACGAAAAAGCATATCACAAGGCCTCTCGCCCGACCTGGGGTCCTGATGAGACGCTGGTAGTAACTCGGCCGTTGGACACAGCAAAATCCAGACGAATCTTTCAGGACAATGACCTTCTTCAGTTTCAACGATCTGGAATACAGACTGAGAGACAAGACATTCGCCTTGCCAAATTTTCCGTGGAGGTATGATCTTCTGGTCGATTACTTGCAAAAACGCAGAGAGATACTGATCCAAGAAGTCTTCCAAGAAATTTCTTCGGGCTCAGGATAAAGTAACAGAAATCAGACTAGATGGCGATATTCCCATGGCTACGCTACGCGCGGGGAGTCTGCAGGACGTCTTCCACCAGCAGGAGATGAACGACCCGGCCCATGTCAATGAGAAGCGCGTCTGGGAGCTGGCCAGCATTTTATTCGATGGCGTCGTTTACGAGTCCGAGTTCAACCATATGTCAAGAAGACTGAGGCTGTCACAGTTTTGGACTGAGCTTGTGGAACAAGCGTCGACCACTAATATCGGTCTTGCTGGTTCTAGCGAAGAAAAGGCCGTGGCAAGTCTGGCAGGTCACCGCGTTGCCGAGGCCTGCAAATTCTTGCTGGATGGTAAGAATTTCCGCTTGGGAACTTTGGTCGCTCTGATCGGCTCGAACGACGCGGCGAAGAAAGACGTCGGTGAACAACTCAAGGCTTGGCATGATTCCAAGATGCTTTCAGAGTTTTCAGAGGCCATTCGCGCTGTCTACGAGCTACTGAGCGGCAACGTGTGTGTTTGCGAAGGGGTGAAAAACGTCCCTGTTGAGGATCGAGTGGAGTCGTTTGTTATTTCAAAGAAGTTTGGCTTGGACTGGAGACAGGCGTTTGGCCTTCGTCTGTGGTACGCCATTTCCCAGCAGGATAGCCCTGCCGTGGCAGTTTTGAAGTTCAAGGAGGACATCAACCAAGATAAGGAGGAACTTCCACGCCCATGGTACTATGAACAAGGCTTGAAACCAATGTGGAATGATGCGGAAGAAGGGCACAGGCAGGACCTGCTATGGGGCCTCCTTCAGCTGTATGCGGACAGGAACGTCGACCTTGAAGCCATGTTGCGACCTGAAAACTCGCAGCTCTCCCCGCTCAACATGAGATTGTCCTGGCAACTCGGCCAGGCGTTGGTTTCAACCGGACAGGTGTCGTTTGGCAAGAACGGAGATGAGAAGGCAGACGCTTCCACCATTGCATATGCCTCTCAGCTGACGGCCGCGGGTGAGTGGCTGGAGGCAGTCTTTGTCTTATTGCACCTCAACAACTCCAGCGTCCGCATGAGGGCGATCCAGGAACATTTGTGTCGACATGCTGGCATGATTGGCCCCGACACTGGCGCGACCTTTGCGCTTTTGACGGAAAAGTTTCGAATCCCCGCATCCTGGCTATGGGAAGCGCTGGCGTTGTACATGCGCAGTGTCAAGAGAGATGCTTCAGCCGAGGTACACTGCCTTCTTCGCGCTGGGGAGTTTGTTGAAGCCCACCGGGTTCTGGTACACCAAGTTGCCCCTCAAGCTGTTATTGAACAAGACTACGCTACGCTCTCTTCCTTGCTGTCGCAGTTCCAAGGCCGAGAGGAAGGCATTTCTCAGTGGGGCCAGGGTGGCGAGATTTATGGCTATTTCTTGAGTCTGGTGCAGCATCGTGGCAAGGGCGAGGGGCCCCCTCTTGCATTACTTGAGAAGTTGATGGCAGGACTGAACGTGATGAAAGAGCACGTGGGGGAGACGGAGGTACTGCGATATGCCGCTTTGTCTGACATGGCAGATGATGCGGCAAGGGAAATATCCAAACTGGCCAGGAACAAACAGGTATGCCACACGCGCATTGTGTGGGGTGTTGCCCCTGAAGGCTCGCACTTCTAACTTGGTGGTGACTAGGATGGCGAACTGCGACTGAGGATCTTGAAGCTGCCGTTGACGCAAGATCGGCTACTGGCGTACTCGGTGGATCTTGGTATGGATCGATACAGAGAGGTAATGTCCCACTGAGAGGGAAGTGAAGTACCAGAGTGGTAGGGAAGCCAGAGAAATCTCTACTGGCGGCGGACGTTGGCTGGCGCGGTGCAGCAGGAAAGGCCAGAAAGCCAACCGGAGGCTTCGCAAGGCAAAAGACAGCTGTCGAGGGGTAGGAAGTGTAGGCGAAGGTTTGTAGAACGGCAGCGTTTTAGATGGAATTTATTAATGGCCACCATGAGGTTTTGTTCCGAGTATCCGCGACTCGGTGTTGGGCATGCGCACGAGGAGGGACTGAGTGAGTGATGGATGGTCTTTGGCCGGACGAGGTGGCGGAGGACGAGGGCCGGAGGATTCCACTGGGCGGCTGGCTGGTGTTTACGCCAGGGGCCCGACATGATTGTAGCGAGGCCGCAATCGTTGACCGCGACGTCTGCGTCAGCGAGGAGCCTACTGCTTGGTCTGGACCTTTCTCACCTTCGCGTAACACATCGCTGTTGTGAAGTCAACCGCCTTAGGTGAGATCCTAAGCCTATATATACCCTACAAAATAGGAATACATCCTCTGCTCCGCCAGTTCCCAAATTCGCCAATACGCACTTGAAACGATCAACCCAAGATAAGTGCGGCCGCTGCCTTGCCAAAGATGAGATGTCCAGATATCATCAATCATTCATCTCCCCACTTGTGCGTCAACGTACGTCTTCGCCATCCGACGCCGCGTTCCCACCTTGGGACCCAGAATTAGAATTGCGTCTCGACACCTTGGTACTGCCGTTGGTCGCTTTGCTCTGGCTGGCTCCTCCCGTGGAGACCAGGACTCGGACTTCGTCTTGCGCTGGCTTTTCATCCAGAGCCTCTGCCGGTCCGGGGTCCCTGCCCTCGGCCAAGGCCTGGAGCCGGGCCTGCTTTTCCTTCCAACCGGGCGGCAGGCCAGGTCCACTGTCTGCGTTGCCGTAGTCGGACTTTTTCGTTCCCTTGGGCCACCGCCCAGGACCACGCCCCGTCCCTCCAGACTTCCTTCTCGATCCGTTGTTGCGCGGCCGGCTTGCCGCCGGTCGACGGGCGCTGCCACTTGGCCTGGGCCTGGGCCTGGGCCTGGGCCTGGCGGATGAGCTGCTGCCATTGTGATTATGAGGAGGAGCTGGTGGCTGGTTTACACTGCGCCGGATCCGCTCACGACGACCTCGTGGTACCGGTGGGAACACCTCGAATCGAGACGCGGGAATGTCCCTGTATGGCGCGTCCCAAGACTCCGGCTCGGCATCGTTTCTTGCGTCCACCGTGGTCTCGCCTTCCGGATCCGCATTTTCCTTGTCCTCGGTCTTGACCTTCTCGATAGACTTGACCGGCAACGGGGGCTGTTCGCTGTCCTGCTGGCTGGCTGGGGTAGACTCTGCTTGCGAATCCGACTTGCCAGCATCATTCAGAGCGCTCGGCATGGCCCGCGCACGAGTTGCTGCCAGAGCAGCCCCCTCTTCGACTTTGGCCTCGTCATCCTCTCTCGGGGCAATGGTGTTGATCGGCGGGCCCAGCTCGAAGTTGACCACGTTGCTTCGGCCCATGACATATGGCGTCCAGGCGAGAGCTGCTGGCTTCAACTGCACGTAGCCTTTCGACTGCCACTTGGTGACGTAATTGCGACAGTAATCCAAGTCGACTCGGAAGGCGTAGAGGCGGGTCTGGGGATCTCGCACCAGGGCTCGCAATCCTTCTAGGGCGGAGACAACATCGTCGGGAGTCATTCCGGTGTCTGAAGACATCTTCTTGATACTAAGTCCCTCGCGTCTGCGCGCATCGCTTTCCGCGTAGCCGAGGAAGTATCGACAGAGCTCCAGGCGCCAGTAGTTGCGGTACGAGACGAGGCCCATGTCCGACAGCGGCTTCTCCGGAGAGCCAGTCTTCTTTTCGGCCTTGGTGAGGAGGTAGGAGAAGTCGATGAGGAGATTGCCGTAACCCTTCCTCTGATGGATGGGCAGCGTTAGAATACACGACACATTATTTTGGCTGCTGGCTCGCTTCTCCTTGGAGAAGTAGCCCACAAAGTGATAGCCGGTGTCGTCGAACTCGCAAAGCACGTAGAACAAAAATGGCTCTACATCATAGTACAACGTCTTGGAGCCAAGAAACAACTTTGCAAGAAGGCAGAGGTTCTGGCAATAGACGGGATGTTTTCGGCCATCAACCTCGAATATGGAGACGGATTCGTGCCGGTAAATCTCGTCTCCTGGTGGGTGCTTTGTGCCGCACTTTAATTTGTGACGCCATGCCACATAGTCCGAGTTCATGTACTTCAGACAGAATTCGCAAATGTAAAGGACGCGGTTCCTGCTGTATTCTGCCGGATAAGGCGCAGCATACCAGGTATCAATCTCCCACCCACCAAACTCAATGCATTCAATTTGACTGGCATTGTCGCTTGCTTTCTTAGGCTTGCGAATGGGCAAGTCAGCTTCTGCCTGCATTGCCAATACACGAGCCCTCCACTCGTCTTCGGCCTTTTGCTTGGCGTGCTCGAACTTCTTGCGATCCTCGGAAGATGGGAGGGTTCTCGATGTGTCTGCCTCGGCTTCCGTCAATATACCACCGTACGGCTTTCCTTTCATCTCCTCCGTCTCTTTATCGAAAAACGAATAGAACGGCTGCGAGTACGATTCCGATGTGAATGGGGTTGGCATTGTGGAGATGAGAGCTGGCAGATTGGCCGTAGAAGCAGGAGGAGCAAGGGGACGAGCCGGCGTCAATCGCGTTGCCTGCGGCCGAGCGCCGCTCCCCCCTGTCCGTCGTCGATCCCGTTTCCGCCTCGATAGAATTTCTTTGAGATTGCCTGGGCGAACCTCGATTTTGATAATCAGAGAGGTGCGCGATCGTCTTTCGATTACCACTGGCGGCGGCCTTGCGAGCTTGAGCCGCGTGGTCCTTGATGATGGACCTCTTGCCGCATCGCCGGAGCGGCTCTCCCGAGCAGAGTCCTCTCGATCCGTACCGTCAACTGACTGATTCCTTCGACGCTTTCTCATCGTCAACGTGGCATCGTCTGCCTCTGCGGATGCCGACTTGCGCTTCCGCACCGGCCTAGAGCCATCCATGGGATAATCCTCGCGTACGAGTCCGTCGGTTATAGAGCGGCCGTCTGAGCCGCCGCCTGCCAGCTCCGCAGTCCTTGATACAACGCCAGGTTTTGATCCATGGGATCGTTCAGAGCCGGTGGGTTTCTCTACTTCTTCATTTTCGGCGCTGGCCGCATCGATGTCGTCCGCGTCATCATCGCCATCCTCGCTCTCGGAGTCTTCGTTGAAACACTCCGGGCATTTCCATCTTTTCGAATCTAGCTCGAGGATCAGCATCTCAGCAAGGCTGTCCGTCAACTGTGTCAGGAAACCCACTGTTTGTTACGGTCATCGCAGCAGCATCACGGGCACATTGCTGATGTGCTACGAGCCAGTCAGCTGAAAGAGATACCCTAGTTTTAGCACCAGGAGGGAGTGCCTTACCATTTTCACCACAGCGGGTGCACGCAAGGAAGGCCTCGAAATCCTCACTTGGGTCATTTTCTTCGTCTTGTTTGCAGAACATGCAAGCATTCGATTGCACAGCGTCAGACTCCTCGTCTTCGTCTCCAGCATCACCCTCCTCCCACACCCCTTCCTCGTCTTCCTCGTCTTCCTCGTCGTCTGACTCTTCTTCGCCTGCTGCGCTTTGCGCGTCGGAGTCGTCGCTTCCGAGTTCTTCCTCTTCAGAATCAACAGGATTCACCTTCACCCGACCAACTTCTTCGTCGAATTCGTCTTCTCCTTCTGCATCCTCGTCGTACTCTTCTCCATCGCCCGGTGTGGCGCTGCCCACGATGATTTGTTGGTCCATTCGGTCGTTGTCTTCCTCGCCAGAGGCATCTTGGTCAAGCTCCTCTCCGGAGGCATCTTGATCGCTCAGTTCCCCGTCCTCGCTGCCAGAAACGTTGACAGCTTCATTTTTGTGCGAGCGTGCACGAGTGAATGCCGACGGCGCTTGGGAGCCCGCGTCAGCAGTGTCGTACTCGTCGTCTTCGGAGAGCATGACACTCTGTTGGAGCTCTTCTTCCATGGTCTGTGCACTTGGCATCATGGCCCTTGCTTCACTAAACGGAGATTGTAGATGCTTTTCTCAAGCTCGAGCATTTCGCTTCCAAGCAGGCCGTGCGACGAGAAACAGTTCGAGGTGCGTGCGGACAGCAACCATGGTAGGTTCGACACGGTAATCAGGTACAGGTTTGCACCGCTGGCCCTGCGACACTGTCAGATCTATGTTGGAGTGTAACATAAGGTGAACAGACCTTGCTTCGGTAGGACACTGGCCAGGGCTTGGCTCTTCGCAGATGATTGTCGCAAAGCTTCACAAAGAACCCTAGACGCGTGTTCTACGGCACTTTACCACTGAGTCGCGAAATGCGTCTGGGCACAGTGCGCGACGATCTCGACGACGCGAAACGTTTCACCGACTACGTGGGCTGACACAGTGTATTTTGCCAACAGTTCTCACTGTCATGTGGCAGGGGGTTTTGTGGTTGTGGTTCCAGTCGCGCCTGAGGCATCAACTCTGGAGTCGTGGAGCAGCTAATCCGCCAATGTCGCCAAACTGCAATTCAAGACCTCATCATCGGCCGAGAGGAGAGACTTGCCCAGCACGTCGATTGAATACCATCGGGTGCACCTGACTGTTCGTCGAACGGCGCGCCCCATAGACCTATCTGGCAAGGATAAAGAAGCCCGCTTCAGCGGCCCGACTTCCGCAATGCCTGTTCCGTTTGAGACTCTGTTGCCCTATGCCATCATGATTGGCGTATGTGCATACTCCGGCGACTTAGCAGACAAGACGGACTGTTTCTTACGAAAAGCTACAGATGTTTGGTGTCACCGGGACTGGTCTTGCTGTAGTCAAGGCGTGGCGCAACGAAGGCAAGCGGCCACGGTACTCACTGGACCAGTGGGACAGAGTATGTGAAGCTGCCCCAACATTTTGGTTGTTGAAGTCGTGGCTAACTTTCGTCTCTCTTGTAGCAAAGTTAGATCATTCAAGATATAATTGTTTCTTTGTACGGCGTTCAAATCGAGACTAACGCTTTGTCTCAAGTGATGGACCGCGATCGCAGACTTACCGGCACGCTGCGAGGACAAATAGACAGGCCAGAAGCACCACCGGGGTTCGAATTCTCGAACGGTTGGAAGGTATGAAAGCCTCAATACCAGTGGGTATACAATGAAGACTACTAAAATTTTTATACAGCTGGAAAAGCGCTTTACCTGAGGACTTTTTGAAACCCGGACGATGGAAGAATAAAGGGCAAACACTAATCCGCAGTGTACATATACGGTCTGAAATATGGCCAATCCCGGCGTTGACGAGAAGCAGAGCATGAATTTTTCAAATCGGGAGAAAGCTTTTCACAGTGATCCGTCACATGCTAGGTGTCGAATAGATTCTCTCTCCTTCTACCCTTGGCCCGTTTTTTTATATTGAGACTTCTGGCCGATTCTTATTTAATGTCTCTAAAAGCGTGCAGGCATGGCATATCTGCTGGCTTGACATGTATCCGCATCTTGTGCATGCCCCAAGAGTCTGCAGCGGTCCTGTTGGTCTCTGCCTCTGCCCCTTTTGCGGTCTTCGACCACGAAGGGGGAGCTTGATTGATCCATCACCAGTTGATGTTCCGCTGGAAATAATTTCAGTCTCAAGCTCCGCTGGCTGGCGCTTCGTTGTCAGTGCAGCCTCCATTTCTGCGAGTTCGCCTCCGGAGGTCCGCGCATTCGCCGATCCGCACCCTCCCATTCCTTCGCCTTCGTCGCATCCACAAGCATCTTGGTTCTTGTCCGGAGTGAGTCGTGCCATATCTTCGCCACTCCTCACAATATCCAATATTGCACTTGGACGTACCTTCTCCAAGCTTTTGATAAGTGTACGGGCAGTCCCGCGGAACGCCTCTGGGCTGTAGATGCATTCCGTGCTGAAGTAGTCCAATTTTTTGTGATGTGCATACAGTACAATTTCCTTCTCGTATGCGTACTTCAGCGGCTTGCTTCTTTGAATACCAGTGGAGGCGCTGCCAGTAACGATACTCGTGCTCCGTGACAAGCGAGGCAAGTCGCCTCGTAACAGGTTCATGAGGACGGTCTCGGCGACATCGTCAGCGTTGTGACCCGTAACGACGTGCCTGATGTCCAACAAGCCGGCTCCACGGTCGAGGGCCTGTCGACGGAAAACACCGCAGTAGGTGCAATTTCCCTTCTTCCCTATAGTCTCGACGACTTGATCCATGGTCCAGCCGAAAAGCTCATCGTAGCCCACAATTTTCAGCGGCATGTCGTATTGGACAGCGTTCCGCTTCACTGTCTCTAATGAATCATCCCGGTATCCTTTGATGCCTTCGTCGATACTCAACAGTACCAAGTCCAGGCCGTAGTTGTGTCTCTCGTTCAGTGTTTTCAAGACCGACGCCAACACCGTCGAGTCTTTACCACCCGACGCGCCGATTGCGATTTTTTCGCCGGGGAAAAAGAGCTTGGATGAGGTTATGGTATGATGCACTTCATCTTCAAAGACCGAGAGGAAGCATTCCTTGCATAATTTGTGGTGGTTCTTGGGTCTCTTTATGACAGCCCGGTTCCCGCACCGGAGGCAAGCAGCCGGCGGCATGTTTCAAGGCAGGCGAGTGAAGTGCGCCTTTGATATGAATAGTACGAAACCCGTGTCTGAATGGCAAGAATAGTCTCGGGCGCGGTCTTTGGAACCTGGCTCTGCTCTTCAAAATATGTGTATTGTAAGATCCGAGCGCTTCTGAAGCAAAGAAAATCTTCCATATGCCAGTCAGGCACACGCGCTCCCTCTCAGCCTGTCCGTTCGATATGCTTGACTCGAGTAACAAGTAACATGATTGGGCCGCGCGAGTGAAGGAAAGCAGGGCACGTGATTCTTCTGCTCTCGCCACAGCCCAGCCACAGCGTGGCCAAAAATGGTCCTTTTTGGTGTAGTGCAGCCCCCACTAGCAGGTGTGGCACACACCGAAGCCCTAATTTTCCGCCCACCATCCAACGCAAGTTTTTTCATCCTTGATCCTCTGACAACTCATCCATCTCGGCTTCAAGCACCCGTGCTCTCCACGACTGAGCACCGCCGACTAAAACAAGATGGTAAGTTTCTAAATCAGACGCACTCTAATGGCCGCAGTTGCGAATCAAATGCGTGAAAGCGCCATTTGATCCTCGGCGTCGCCGATTCCTTTCGCGATCTGCTGGAAATTCCACCGACCCGTCGAACACACACAAGATGTCGCGTTTTGCACGTTTTGGCTGTGGGAGGCCGGGAGGTGAAGACTTGGCTGGAGATGTGGACATGTGCTGAAACATTGCCATGATTCCTCAATCATCTCGTTAGAGTTCAGAGAAGACCATTTAGCTTGAGCGACTCGCTAATGTCTTCTTTTCTCAATGACAGCCTCCCAAGACTGGAAAGAAGGTGGCCCCGGCCCCTTTCCCTCAGGGAAAAGCTGGATCCAAGAAGGCCCCCAAGGTATGTAGTTCCCTCTGCTCCTGACCTTGTTCTAGCGAGAGAGTGTTTGGATTGACGGGGAACTGTGCTGCAGAATCCTCTCCTCGAGAAGCGCCCCCGCAACTTCGGCATCGGCCAGGACATCCAGCCCAAGCGAAACCTCTCGCGCATGGTCAAGTGGCCCGAGTATGTCCGCCTTCAGCGCCAGAAGAAGATCCTCCAGATGCGCCTCAAGGTCCCGCCCGCGCTGTCCCAGTTCCAGCACGTCCTTGACCGAAACACGGCCGCCCAGGCCTTCAAGCTCCTCAACAAATACCGCCCCGAGACCAAGGTCGAGAAGAAGGAGCGTCTTCTGAAGGAGGCCACCGCCATCAAGGAGGGCAAGAAGAAGGAGGACGTCAGCAAGAAGCCCTACACTGTCAAGTACGGCCTGAACCACGTTGTCGGCCTCGTTGAGAACAAGAAGGCTTCCCTGGTCCTCATCCCCAACGATGTCGATCCCATCGAGTTGGTTGTCTTTCTGCCTTCTCTCTGCAAGAAGATGGGTGTCCCCTATGCTATTGTCAAGGGCAAGGCCCGTCTCGGCACTGTCGTTCACAAGAAGGTTAGTTGCAATTCTGCACGAAGCCTGCCTCTGCTCGAAAACGACATGCTAACCCAGACGCAATTTTATTTCAGACGGCTGCTGTTCTGGCTCTGACTGAGGTCCGATCCGAGGACAAGACTGAGCTCTCCAAGCTCGTCTCCGCCATCAAGGAGGGCTTCATGGAGAAGCACGAGCAGGCCCGCCGACAGTGGGGTGGCGGTATCATGGGGGCCAAGGCGCAGATGCGCATTATCAAGAAGCAGAAGGCTCTGGAGGCTGCCATCAAGATTTAAGCCCGTCATACGGAGTATACCATTTTTTGTGCATTGAGGGCTCAGGGGTTCATCAACGGTGTTGCGGGTTTCAGGACATGATGCCAAAAATGAATGAGATTTTCAGCGACGCACTGTGTATGCCGCTTTTCTTTGTTGCATGACAGTGAGACCTTGAAGGGGCAATGGCAGTTCTTCGTACACCGTGGCCCCCTTGTCGCGTAACAGACCGATGACCAAGCATCAGGACCTTGCGGGGCTCGATGCTTGAAAACGTAGTTGGTTTAATTTTTTTTTGTTGGTCCAATATGGAGTAGGCTAGAGTCACATGATGGTTCTACCAGATGGAGAAGACCTGGTGACTTGCACGTTTGTGAATCAATGCCTCCTCTCCTCGGGTGTGCTGGATGGTTGGTGCGGGCAGCGACAAGTCGTGATGGCAGTGCTCGTGCAACGCCCCACTATTAAAGGGCTCGCCAGGGCTCACCATCTAGGTACTTAACTTGGACGAGTACTCCGTACGTAACTTACGTACTCCGTACTCGGCAACGTACTCCGTTTGTGGCGCAACCCCCCCGGCGCCACGTAACACGGGGACGCGGACCCTTGCTCCGGAGTAGTGTAGTACGATGGACGATGGTCGGGCATCACCCGTGCGGGCCGTTCGTTTTAGCTCGCCCCAGTTTCCGCGCTTGAACCTCGTGGCCGACATGCATTGTTGAAATCTCGAGACGAAAAGGGCGGATTCAACGTCGACCAAAGCAGCGACTGTCCAGCCAACAAGCGAGACGACGAGGCGACTGTTCAATTTCCAGCCATCTCCATCAGTCCCCCGCGATGTCTTGGGAAATGAAGACGCATCACTGGCGCAACCACCACACGAGGTGGACGACTGGTGGCCCTCGACGCCTTGCAAAGACCCGTCAGGTACTCGGTAAGAGGTAAGAGAACAAGGCGGCACGTCGGGTCCATTGACTAGAACAAGAATACGGAGTACTACAGAATCGGGACTTGCGTACATGATGTCTTGCGTGCAGCGAGGTGCAACAATATCTTTGTATTGACCCGACGGTGACGGTCCCGGCTTGCGCTGTTCCCTCGTCGGGACGACGCAGCCAAAATGTCCATTGACATCCTGCGTGTCAAAATACACACCGAGTGCAGTCAGTTTTTCCGATCCAATTCGGCCGAAAAAATGGCTCGCCTGCCAAGCTGCACGGAAGCCAAAACACGGCCTAGACCTGTTCGCCTCTGCGACTGCACGCCCTGCCCTTGGATGCATCGTCGATTCGCACGCTGTATGTGACTGACTTGACAATGGTGCTTGTGTCGAGAATGTTCTCCTCGCTGCCCGACTTGTTGACGGACCCGAATGCGCTCTTGTCGTTGCTTCTGTCGCTGAGCTTGTAGGCCTCGCCATTTCGAAGGCCTCGGCTGCGGCCTTGCCCGTTGCTGGAGCCACCGGAGAACTTGGATCTGTAGTCTTTGGCCTTCTTCACGCAGACTGGTGCCAGGAAAGGAAGCGACGAAACCATGTTCTGTCAAGGCAAGAAGTCAATGGTTACCAAGGCACAAAGACGCATCAAAGCTCCCGTCGCAGTATTACTTACGCCAACGTTGAATTCGATGGTGCCCCAGAGGACCAGCATGGTCGAGTTGCCGTCGCCGTTTTGGATCCGGTCAATCTGTACATATCGCATGATGGAACAAACGGTGGTGAAGAGACCCAGCATGAAGATGGCAATGAGGCCCAGCTTCCTCGCCGGCCGCACGTTGAGGTTGAGGAGCACGGGGACGGGCAGGACGGCCACCACAATGTCCGACACGATGGTGACGACGGCGTAGCCGGTAAACGAGGGACCTGGCTGCAGGCAGGATCCCGCGACCCACGGCTTCCACGACTTCTCGACGGGACGACAGGCAAACACCAAGGAGAGGGCGCAGCCGAGGTGCGCCAGGAAGACGATGACCATGGTGGCCCACACGACCGTGCGGTAGACCCTGCGGTCGGTGCCTTGAAGCAGGCGCAGGTAGCTGATGAGCAGGGCGATTTTGAAGAAGCTGATGCCGAGCTGGTAGATGGGGCGTCCGGCAAAGTTGACCTGCGAGTACGGGCCGACACTTGGCTTGGGACGAAGCTTGAGAGGCAGTCCCAGGCCGTACCTGGTCTGCATGATGCAGAGAACGGAGTAGACGAGGGCGAAGACCATGGACAGACCTGCCATGTAGTCGTCTCCGGCAAGCCCACGGGCTGCACCTCTGATCCAGAGGCGACAAGACACTGTGGCCATGGACAGCACCGACAGAACAACGCACACCGTCACTATTGTCGCCCATTGTGACTGGGCCTCGACGTCTGGGGTTGCGTTCGCGACCCAACCCATTGCATTGCAGTCAGGGTCCCGAGACGAGAGTAGGGGAGGACGAGGAGGGGGAGGACGCCGTCTTCAGTCCAAGGTCAAAATTCTCAGCCTTGGCTTCGAGATGACGACTTGTTCTACCGCTTGAGCCTTGCCGCCCCAAACCTTGAAGGCGAGGTCCTCGGTGACCGCAACGAACCCGGTCTGCCGGAGGAAAGGTGATTTTCGACGCGCCTGACCTGCACGGTATCCGGGCACCTGGCCAGCCTAAGTTAAAATCAGACGCCAACGATTCCAATTTCCCCAAGGGAACAAAATGATGCGAGGAGTCCTGGTAGAAAACAAAAGGTAACAGCTCGCCCGAGAACTGTGAATCGACAGTCGTGAACGAGGCAGATTGCGCCGCTATTCTCTGCAGTCTTGACAGGGTCGAGACGGATAGACGGACTAATATAATATAGAAACACCAGACGGCCCAAGGAAGGCCCAAAGAAGGAAAAAAAAAACCCTCTACGCCAGACAGCATCGACTTTCAGTCCAGGCTTCTCTCCGCCACCAGGTACCAGAAGCAGCTCGCGCAGCGGCATGCCTGGTTTTTCATATTCATCCAAGCGAAGCACCTTGTCATTAATGAAAAGCACACACGTATCTCATTTCGTTCAATCCAAAGAAATACGTCTGACCAGCCAGGGCTACGATCCTACCACACGAGTCACCCAGACAGGCTCGGGCCTTGAATGTCCTGTACGGACGCTCGCTTTCGAGCCAGTGGCTTTCTGATGTTGTAGAGGCCCACACCACAGGTGATGCAATGCACAGCCCGGCCAAGGGGGTCGGTCACGCGCTTGATACTGTATCCCGTTGAATGTGCGAAAGGTCCGTTGATTGTACCGGACTTATGTTTTGTCTGATCGAAGCCTAGGATTGAAAAGACCATCGCCCCACTACTCAAGTACTTAAGCGAGCAACACTGCAAGTCCTTAAGCCTCGGCGATATTCTACAGTGGGTGCGCGCTACAGAAAGCTACATCACTCTAGTCGCAGTTGCAGGTGACGCGGTGCGTTGCCAAAAGGTATCCGATAGGTATAGGGGGAAAGTGGGGCCACCACGGCCAACGCACTTTCGGGCGATTTCTGCTACCCATGTAGCGCGAATGCAGGGCTGAGGTCAACGCCATCCCGGGGGCCGAGTAGAGCAAGCTGAGATGGCGCTTCCGTGGCAACTGAAGCCAGCGGGCCGTGTGAAAAATGCCGTGTCTGAAGTATTCTTTGTACGTACGGAGTACATGTAAAGCCCTTGCCGGCCGCAAGGTCATGCTTGACCACCTGACAGACAGGCAGTGCTTTTCTTTCATGCCTGCAGACAAGAATAGGCAGTCAGTACCATGTATCAGGCCTTCTGTTGTCCAAGTCATCCGTCTGGTATCCTTTGCAATAGCTAGACCCCAACAAAGATAAAGGCATTCAAACAGGGGGTGTCTCGGCAATGCTTACTGTCAAAAAGCCGTAGCGAGAAGCGCACAAGAGGCTTTTTTTCTGTATTGATTGAGGACAGTCGGACTGGAAGAGTCCTTGGTGGCGGCGGCGCCGTTGCCGCTTCCAGAGGAGGCAGGTCTTCTGTCACAAATGACGGTAACGAAGTGGAGGTATTCGTATGAACGTACTAGTTTGGCACCATGGGAAACCCTCTTCTTTCGGCTCAGATTCACTAGAGTTGCCTCTTCTCTTTGCCCTTGTCTCAAGCCGCGTTTCTTTCGCAAGGGATGTGATTTCATGCTAAATAAATCGACCAACACAAGTGCCACTACCCCAATCAACGACTGGGCCGGTTTTGTGGTCTCGAGACGGTGGTGACTCGTGGGTCTGTGGCCACTGGCTTCAGTCATATTATGTATACCGCACAGTGCAAGAAATAAGCATCCGGCCTGAGAAAGCGGCTGCGCGTATTCCATGGTAGGAGATGCTCCATCTCCTAAGCTCGAGTTGAGGGGCGAACCTGTCATGCAAATTGAGTCAAATGACTGAACGCAAGTCCAAAGGCCACGAATCGTCACCGAGAACCAAGGCATGTGGCCTTGGCAAGCAAACGCTTTCCCAACTCATTTCAGCCCCTTGAGGTTTTTCCACCGATCAACCTCGACAACATGGACTTTGAGTGAGCATCTCTCGTTATTAGGCGCCGCGGATACTGTACTCTAGTCTCTCGCCTGCGGAGCAGTCATCTGTCAATCCGAGGTTCGTTGGCTCCAGTGGTTACGAGTCAAGCACGAGAAAAGAGACTATTATGAGAAGCGCCGGGACCCAAAGAGCCGGGGGGATGCTACCACTTCCAGCACCTTGATTGGGCTGCTTTCGGTGGGAGAAGACGCAGAAACCGTACCCCGTAAGGTTCCAAGCATCTCCCTTCAGAAGCTTCGAAAGTGGGAACAATTGGAGATGCTCGTCTCCGCAGAACAGTTTCGGTGGCCATCCTGGGTCAGGAACGTTCCCGAGAAGCCAAGGCTCACGAAGTGGATTCTTTGGCAACAATTTCCCGCGAGCGTTCTGTTTGAATTTCATTCTTGTTTTGGGATCAAAGTGCCAAGAAAACCTTGGCCAGATTAGCTGATGAAGAAGGTGCCTCGGCAGTACTCCGTAGAAGTCAGGGCAAATGAGCGCGAGGCCTTTACCTTTTCCCGGTCTCTCTCTCTATTTTTTTTTTTTCCCTCTGTGCCTCTTTCACTTTGCTCGTCGGTTTCTCGCCCTTTTCCAAACAGGAACAATGAGCAGAAAGTAGTACGGGCTGGTCAAAACGACCCACTCGGCGCAAGGCTTCTCGTAATACAGGCCAATCAACGGCGGCCCTTGGAATGGTTCGACGCCGTCGACATGTCGTCGTCCGGTTGCTTCGTCTGTTCCTGTTCCTGGCACAAAAGGATGCGTCGAGTAAAATTCGGCGGGTCAGAGGCGAGACGCTCATGGCATCGATCGCAGTCCTAGGGTCTTTCAGGACAAGGGCCGAGGTGGACGCAACATTTGGGATGACACAACCTTGTGCAGGTGGCAGGTGAGACCAGGCGCAGATGCAATCTGTGCTACGGAGTAGAAGGCAACTACCGAGGTACCTGACCCAGGTGCTGCTGCACTACTCCGTGCACTACTTACTCAAGTAGGTAGGTAGCACCTGTGCACCGCGACTTCTACGTTGTTAGTTTGCTTGCTTGCTTTGGACTGCTCTGCGCTGCTCCTAGCATCCGGTGGTTCGGCTTCTCCTGCTGATGATGCCAGGCGGCTGACTAGCACGGATTGATGGATTGATTGATGGATTGATTGATTGACCGACCGATCGATTGATTGATTGGCCGGATAGCACTGGCTGGTTGACGGAGTGGAGGATTGATTGAGGAGAGTAGAGACAGAGACAGAGCACTCCGTCCGTGTAGGGCATAGGGCGGGCGACAGCTCTTTGCCGGCGAGCTTGGGCCACGCACAACCCCCAACAACTCGGGCGCTTGGCTTGGCGTGGCGTGGCGTGGCGTGACCCCAGCTTGGCCTCGGCGCATGGTGGGGGCCCCTGCTGCCCCGCTGCCCCGCTGCTGCCCCCCCTGCTGCTGCCCCTGCTGCTGCCCTGCATGTGAGCTCAGGTTGTTGAAGAAGGTTGCCAGTCTGAGTCTGGTGGTGCCGGGCCCCAGTCAGATAGTAGTTAGAATGGCCCTTTGCATCGACGCTACCTACGTCTCCGTATCCGTCGAGCAGTTCCTATCTGCTTAGTGTTTCAAGATTAAAATTCGCTCCTTGCAGTGCTAGTCTTTGGCTATCCATGACCATCCTTTAAGTTTGGCCATGTCCAGCTTGTCCACACGCTCGTCCGTTCTACTCCGTACTGCAACTCCTTGCTTGTATAAGCTCTGCAGACTGGTTGCAATTCCGTGCCGTCGCGCTCCCTCCCGACTGCGTCTTCCCACCATTGTTTTTTTTTTTTTTTTTTTTTTGGTGTCAAGTCATCCGCTCGCCAATGCCTCGTAGCCTCGAGACAGCCGTGGTCGTCTTGTTATCATCCATTTGAATCCCCTCGCCTCTCTTGGGGTCAATTTCAAGCCGTCTGCTCTCCCCCCCCCCGGGCGAAGCTCCGTCTTCGACACCATCAAGTTTCGTCATCATGTCTGCCAACCTCGACGAAAAGTCCACGCCTGCCCAGGTCCGTCATACGGACTCATCGCCCTCGACCGACAATACCGCCGACTCTGGATTCCTGCCCACCACCGCCGGCGTCACCAATGTCGATGCCGCGTGGAAGTTCCTCAACGAACATCGCGACGTCCAAGGCGTTGATGCCGTGGACCTGACTGCTCTGCGTCACAAGATCGACTGGCACCTCGTTCCTCTTATGTTTCTGTGCTATACTATGCAGTTTCTCGACAAGGTTATCCTAAATGTGAGCCGCAATCATGTCCTTCCATGCGACATGCGCTATTCTAGTCTTTGGCCCGTTGCAGAGTCAGGCCGACGAGTTGCCGTTGAGCAATTGGCAATTGTTGCCCACCAAGCCTTGGTCACTAACCTTGATTCCACCAGTACGCCGCCGTCATGGGAATCAGCAAGGATTTGAAACTTCGGGGCAACGACTTCTCCAATGTCGCCACATTTCTATTCGTTGGTTTGCTTTGCTTCGAAATCCCCAACAGTATGTTGCTGCTGTCCCTAGCCCCATCGTCAACGAGGTGACGAGGATCGCGTACGACCTGGAGAGCTGACGTATGGCCTGCTGCAGTCTACTTCCTTCAAATCTTCCCTGCTGCCAAGTGGCTCGGAGCCAATGTCACTCTCTGGGGCATCGCGACGGCTTGTGGTGCGGCCGCCTACAATTACCAAAGCTTGCTCGTCTCGCGGGTCTTTCTCGGCATCTTTGAAGCCACTATTGCTCCCTCTCTGATGCTCATTAGCAGCCAGTGGTACACCAAGTCGGAGCAGGCTCCTCGCTTCTCCTTCTGGTACCTTGGTCTGGGTCTTGGCCAAATCATCGGCGGCCTACTCTCCTTTGGCTTCCAGCACATGACACCTGGTGCTGCCCTGGCTGGTTGGAGAACCATGTTTGTCGTTCTGGGATGTTTGACGGTTGTCTTCGGCACCTGCACCTTCTTCTTCATCCCAGACACCCCAATGCAGGCCAAGTGGTTGTCCAACACCGAAAAGGTTGCGCTTCTCAAGCACGTCAGCGTCAACCAAACCGGTATCCAGAGCCGCAAGTTCCGCATCAAGGAGATCTTCGAGGCTCTGCTAGACCCTCAGATCTATCTCTTGGTTCTGTCCGTCATCTTGCTCTCTGTTTCGAGCGGTGTAATCACCACTTACTCGGCAACCTTGATCCGCAACATCCTGTCCGATGAGCCGCCGGCGTGGGCTCCGAAGAAGGCCGCTCTGCTGAACATGCCGTCTGGCGTCGTCAGCATCTTCTTCACGTTGTTGGTCGGTTACGGTATTCGTAAGCAGTCGCATAGATGGGCATGGATCATTGCCTGCATCGTTCCCGCGTGAGTACCACCATCCGTTGCATTGCCCTGATCTTTGAGCGAGCCGCGTGGGCTAACTCCTTCTCGTCGGAAAATCAGAATCATCGGTGGCGCCCTCATGTCGTTCCTGCCAAAGTCCAACAAGGGCGGCTTGCTGGCTGGTATCTACCTTGTCAACGCCGTCGTCGCGCCGCTCACGGTCTTCTACAACGTAAGTCGATATTCGACTCCTGCGCGGTCTGGGGGGGCATTCCGGCATCGACTAACCTCAATTTCCAGTGGACTGTCGCCAACTGTGCCGGCGCCACGAAGCGAGCCTTCGCCGCCGCCATTATATCTGGCTCCTTCTCCCTTGGCAACATCATCGGACCTCAGACCTTCCAGGCCCGTGACGCTCCTGATTATCGCCCTGCCAAGCTGGCTGTCATGGGCACTCAAGCCGGTTGCGCTGTCACCACTTTCGCCTTGTTCCTGTACTACGTATGGGCCAACAAGCGCCGCAATGACCGCAGCAAGCAGACCGAGGAGCAGTTCTTGTCTCCCGAGGTTTGGGCCACCTTGACCGACCAGGAAAACAGACATTTCCGCTACACTTACTAAAGGACACTGTATAAGTTTGCATACGAGAACACTAAAGTGTACATATACCCATACAGACAGATCCTCCCGTCGAGTCATGTGCGGAAGAAAAGACGTGACGGCAACGTCAAATCTATTTGTGGAAAAAGCCGCCGGGGGCGTGCATCCATCCTTGGGGGCGGTTAGATTTCCTGCGACGCAATTTGCACGCGCCTGATTCTGCCGCCAACAGTGCGCAAAAATGTAATGTAGCCTTTTGAATAAAACGACAAGGAAGGAGCAGCACAGGTCGTCGAGCACTTTGGGCCGGTCCAGATCGGGCGTGACCGCTCGCGGCAAGTTGCGGTGCCGGGTTGCTTTTGGAGTCTGGTCAGGCCTCTCTCTCTACATTACATTTGCCATACCGATTCCAGTACGCTGCTCTCAAGCCGCAGACCGATCTGTGCCCGGCTCCGTGTAGAATGGGTAGTGAAAACTGGCCCTTTGAAATATACAAAAGTCAAAAGAAGCTGCATTGCAAATCGGATCCAGGGTTTTTCGCACGTCGGGGGGTATCATCTTGACCGATCGGATTACGCGGCAGGGCAAACAATTGACAGCAGCGCGTGGTGGTGTCTTGCAAGCGTCATTGTAACCGAGTGTCACTCACATTTTCACAATAGTGCCAATCAAGGCTACAATGTAAGCCTTCCATTGTATATCTGCCTACACTTGCGGCTATTTTCATACTCATGCCACGTCGCCCTTTCCTTGCCAGTAGGCTATCAAATCAATGCATCCACAAAAAAAAAAAAAAAAAAAAAAAAAAAAAAAAAAGCACCCACGCGGAGCGCACATGATTGAAAACAACAAGACGCCATCCCAAAACAGTGTATCCCAAATGTTTCAAGACAAAAAACAGAGTAGGTTTCTGAAATACTGAGACAAGAGGCAGATGATCTAGGTTGCCCCAATTGTCTCCAACATGGCCCAAGATTTCAACACGTCAGCAATCCCGGCACGCCCAGTGTTTACACGACAGGCCCAGCCTTGACAACTTCCTCGGTAGCCTCGCTCTCGTACTTGGTGAAGTTTTCACGGAAGAGTTTGCCGAGCTTAACAACTTCAGTCTGGAAGCTGTCGGCACCGGCCGTCCAGGCCTTCTCGGGGTTGAGCAGGTCGGCGGGGACGTTGGGGCAGGATCTGGGGACCTGGAGGTTGAAGACACCGTAGTTCTCGTACTCGACGTTGGCAAGCTCGCCCGAGTGGATGGCGTCGAGGATGGCACGGGTGTACTTGAGGGGGCACCGCTTGCCGCCTTGGGAGTGGCCGGCACCGACCCAGCCGGTGTTGAGGAGCCAGGCGCTGGCCTTGTGCTGGTCGATCTTGTCGGCAAGCATCTTGGCGTATCGCATGGGATGCAGGGCAAGGAAGGGCTGGGCGAAGCAGCTGGAGAAGGTGGCTTGGGGCTCGGTGACACCGTCCTCGGTACCGGCCATCTTGGAGGTATAACCGGAGATGAAGTGGAACATGGTCTGAGCACGGTTCAGCTTGGAGATGGGGGGCAGGACACCACGGGCATCGCAAGTCAGGAGGATGATGTTGGAGGGCATGCTTTCTGACAGGCAGGGAATCTTGGCGTTGGAGATGTACTCGATGGGGTAGGCGCATCTGGTGTTCTCGGTCAGGGTAGAGTCGTCGTAGTCGACTTCGCGGGTGTCGGGGTCGAAGACGACGTTCTCGAGAACGGAACCGTAGCGAATGGCGCCGAAAATATCAGGTTCCTTCTCGGCGGACAGGCCGATGCACTTAGCATAGCAACCACCCTCGATGTTGAAGACACCACGATCACTCCAGCAGTGCTCGTCGTCACCGATAAGAGCGCGGTTAGGGTCGGCAGACAGGGTGGTCTTTCCAGTTCCAGACAGACCGAAGAAGAGCGTGACGTCGCCGTCCTTGCCCTCATTGGCGGAGGAGTGCAGGGTCAGGACATTGTGCTTGATAGGCATCTCGTAGAAGAGAACGGTGAAGACACCCTTCTTCATCTCACCGGCATACTCGGTCCCGAGGATGACCATCTCCTTCTCGGCGAAGTTGATGGCGACCGAGGTAGGGGAGGTCATACCCTCGGTGTAACGGTTGGCCGGGAAAGAGCCAGCGTTGTAGATGGTGTAGTCGGGGTGGAAGTGCTCCAGCTCCTCACGAGGAGGGCGGATGAGCATGTTTCTCATGAAAAGGGCATGGTAGGCGCGGGCGCAAATGACACGAACGCGAATGCGGTACTTTTCGTCCCAGCCGGCGTAGCCATCGATGACATAGATGCGGTTGCGGGTGTTGAGGTAGTCGACAGCACGCTCGCGGTTGATCTTCCAGACCTGTTGGGCGAGAAGAGAGAGATGTCAGTGACAAGCCACCATGGCCACGTGCCGCATGACGATAGAAAGTGCAAAACGAAAATATAAAGCAAACTGCAGCGAGACGGTGGGCAGACGCCATGGAGGCCCAGGCTGCAGCACTGGGCGTCGCACAAGACGACCTCTGGGCCCTGGGAGGACTTGCGGCACATGCGGCACCTGCAGGAGCACCACTGGGCACCACTGGGCTCCCAGCAGTCACGTTCGGATCGAACCGGGACGAGTCGCGCGACACAGCCCAGTCGACCATTGAGGATCCGAGCTTCGAGACGGAGCCCGCGTGCGGACTGAGAGCCGCCTAGGCTCGGCTGCTTGATTCGGCAGTCTGTGGGGCCAGAAGAAGCAGGCAAAGACCGTCTGAGACACGAGCCAGAGCCAGAGCCAGAGCCAGAGCCGCAAGCGAAGCACAGCAAAAAAATAAACATGTGCGAACGGGGCGGCAGGAGGCCAATGACGGCACCGGCGTTTCCAGAACTCGGAAACCAGCATGACGCCCGCATTGCCGCCATGGCTGCAACAGCGACGGCGGACTAGTTTGGCAAGCAATGTGTGGTGGTGAGCTGAGATTTCCCAGCTTCATCACACCAGAATCGCATCGCAGCTCGCAGCGTGCAATCATCGATGCTGCTGCTGCTGCGGCCTCGGGCTGTCACGAGCCACGCCAAGAAAACGTGGGGCTGCGCAAACGGAACGGACACCAAAAAAAAAAAAAGGTACACCGTGCGAGCGGCAGTCATGCTTGCCAGTCTGGGGTTCGGCTGGCACCTCGGTAAGACCTCCTGAGGCCCACGCCGCATGCGAAACAATGAAAACGAAATAAAACGGCAAAGACAATTCAGGCAGACACAACAAACTCACCTCGGTGCTCATGGGCTTGTTGACGGGACCCCACCAGATGTCCTTTTCTGATGACGGCTCCTGGACAATTCTCTTGTCGAGAGGTGAACGACCCGTCTTCTTTCCCGAGTAGGCAGTCAGGGCACCGCTCGAGGTGATGGCGGAACCTGTCTCGTAGACGAGAGCATCCTCGTATAGAGCAGCCACTGAGGGGTTGGGGATCTGTGCAAACCAAGTGTGTTAGATTTGGGGGAGATGCACACGGCGCAGGTTGTGTGGTCTTGTTGGACGTACAATGGCGACACGGTCGTAGTCAATATGGGCAGTCTCGTGGAGCTCTTCCTCGAGCTCAGTGTGGTTGTGGTGAGGCCTGAGGTGAGGAAACAAGTGTTAGTCAAGGCGACGGCCCAGAGGCCATGGGAGCCATGGCAACTTGAAAACATGGCCGAGAAGACGAGATATCACTTACTGAACACCGCCGGGGTGCAAAGCAGTCTTGTTGACGTTGCTGGAGATCACTGTGCTCGGCTTGTCAGACCAAGGGTCATGAGCGACGACGTCATGGCGACAACCTGTTCCTGGGGCGGGCAAACGGCAAGGGGAAGAAAAGGACAAAAGACTCACTCTTGCGCAAATCAGCTCTGGATTCTTGAATCTTGAACCTTGGGCCTTTGACGGAAGGATTGGTGTAGGGAGAAGCGGTCCTGACGACGGGGTCCGTCATCCTTATGTATTGAAATCTTGGAACCCCAGTTGGAGCGGAAAGCAGAGTAGGCGGGAGAGGGCAGGGAAGCTAGGGAGCCGGGGTGGGGGGGGAGGGGTGTGATGCGAGGAAGAAGAGGACGAGGACGGTTCGACGTGTCGCGTGTGAGAAGTAAAAGCAAAAGCGAGAGTCAAAGTGAAAGGCGAAGGTGACGATGGCGGCAAGGCTGTGGCACTGTAGCGCCATAGCGTCCAACAAGCTCGAGATGTCGAGTCAGCAGCCAGCTCTCGAATGTAATTGGCCAAGGCGCAGTCCACACCGGGTGGGAATCTAGGGCAGGTTCGGACGCTCAAGTAGGCAGGCACCCCGTGCGGTGAAGCAGTAGCTCAGGTACCCTGGAGCTGGCAAGGGGGTGAATCTCGGGGGGAATGGTGAGATGCGGTTGTGGCCCGCCGCTGGAGATTGATTTGCCTTGGGACTTGGGCCTTGGGACGGACTTGGGCCTTGGGACTTGGGCCGGTTGCGCGGGCGTGGTGATGACGGATGACGAGACGGGCGACGACTGTGTGGGGCGAAGGCGAGGGAAGAGAAGAGAGGGGTAGGGGGGCGTTTGCCGAGTGTCGACGTCGAGGCAGGTGATGCCTCGCCACGATATTATACCGGAAGGGATTTCTTAGGCTTTCTGCCTGCTGGCGGATTGGCGGGCTGGCGGGGTCGACTCGCTGTCGCTGCTGGCTGGGCACTGGGCGCCGGGCACTGGGCTACCGGTGGCTGCGCTGACGGCTGACGGCTGAATGCGCAGTGCCAGGCTGGAGCTGCGCGTCACCTGGAGGCCAGGAGCCGAGGGAGACGCCACGAGCACCCGTCGTCTTTGGCAGCGAGGCGCGCGGCGGAAGCTGCCGGCGGGTTTGGGGGCGGCCGCGGGCGCTAGAGTACGAAGCACAGCGGGCACTGGGCGTTGCTGGTACCTGGAAGTGCACTGGCTGGTCTGGTCAAGGGGCGAGCGATGACGGTGAGGCACGACCAAGGATGCTGCTGCGATATGTGTACAAACGTCATGCAGGATCAAGATGGAAACGGCCTTCTTTTCAAAAAGTCGGAATCCAACCACGACCTCGCCTCCGACGGATGGTGCTTGGCCCAGAGTCCGGGACGTCGATCCGATCCATGGTCAGGAGTCAGGACTCCCACGCTCAAGACTGAATGCATCGCGGTCTGCGCCTCCGCGCTCCAAGCCGCCGGCCGGAGGGAGGGAACTCTTCGGAACCCTTGAACGGTGCCCCGGACACGGCATTGAACTGCCGGCGTGCTGTAGAGTTGGTGGTTATCTGGGCAGTAGTACGCCGGACTGTGGTTGTGGCGGCCAGTACTCCGTACCGACTCATCAGCTCGTCGCCGTCCTTGCCAACCGCTGCCGCCCTTGGAAAACCGTGGTGAAACTACCCAGGACCTAGCCAGGTGCGACTTGCTCGTCATTCATCACAGTGGTAGGCAACGTTTCTCCAACGGGCTCTTTCGCCGTCCACCCCCCCGGGCCCCGGCATCCGCGTCCGCATCCCAACGGACGGCCGCTTCGTCTTCTTTCATGCGTCGGTCACCGTCGGCATACGTAGCCAGCAAGTCAGTAACTGGGACCCGGCTCGCCCAGCTTCTTGAGTACAGGGCAGTGCCGGCACGCTGCGGCGGCTGAGACAAGGACGACGTGTCTGAGCCCAGGACCGGCAACTCGGCCCCCCGTTTCGGCAATATCAGGGACATACAATTGACGACGCAGCCTCGCCTCGTACCCCGCGAACTCCAAGACCCGAATCTCTCGTCGCAGAAACAGGAAATCGGTGCAATGGTTCAATGCATCCTTGGCCGCCGCCCTGTTCGTGCACGCATCGCACCCCCCAGTTCCACCGTCATTTCAAAGCCGGCCACGTGATCGTCAGAGACGTCGCCGCTTCCATCAAGAGAGGAAGATAAGCGTCTTGAAAGTCAATTGGAAAAGGAAAAAATAATTCATTCTCATCTCCGCCCTTTTCAGTCGTCTTTTCATCCCTGTTCATCCCTGCCATCTGTAGCTAGCTAGTACGGAACGGAATACTCGTCGTCGTCGTGGGCGTCAAAGCTGCTGAGCCTCGCGGCAGCATCAAAATCAAAACTCGACCTACTGATTCCAATGCACACGCCCCGCTTGAGCGCGAGCCGTTGATGGATTGGTCGTGCGCCGGCGATGATTTCCCTCCCTCTCACTCCGTACAATATACTTGAGTAATGACGGAGGACCGATCAAAATCACTTGCTCCGTCACCGCCTCAACACGGCCAAGGAACAACAACAACAAGACGCCCCCCCACCCCCCTTCCGTCCCGTTGCAGCCCGATGCCAGCTTGCTGTCAAACAGAAATCCATCGTCAGGCCCTCCTGTCCAGTCTGCATTACATACTCCGTACGTACGTACTTACATACCCGCTCGCCGCCTGCCCCTGCAACCCCGGTCCCCCTCCCCTCCCCCTGGTCCCTTTTTTTTTGTCCCACCGTCTCGGCTCCACGGCACCACCCGCATCAGAGTGTATTTCACGCCGTCTGATTGGCTGCCGGCACCGCGAGCAGAGCCAGCTCCGACTTGTTCCGGCCGCGCAGGCTACGCTTTCTGCATCGAGGCAGGCAGTATGGGCCGCATATTTTGTTTTCCGGCTTAGGAATTGACTACTACGCAGTTTTCCCAGTGATTTTTTTTTTGTTTTTTTTTTATTTTTATTTTTTTGGGAGCAGAGAAATAAAAATCATCCTTCACTTGGTCTACCAGGACGCACAACAGGAATGGCATCCCGTGCTCCCCCACCTCTCCGTCGTCATGATAACTCAACTACAATCTCCATACATGCACGTCCCGGGAAGACCCATCGGAAGACCAGCACCGCGCGCACACACCTCCAATACCGAAATGCAGCCAAGGCCCAAGGCAACGCGCATCGAGACTATGGCTCCCTCCTCCGTATTTGTGTTTTTCCGTATCGCGCTCCAAGTCGCGCCTGTTGCATCCATCCATCCATCCATCCAGACTCCAGGCCTCACACACCGGGTCCCAGATGCACCTTCCGAATCCGCGTCGCCCTTCCCGGCCACGCCCCCAGCCCATTCTGCCCGCCGTCTCCACAATCGGGCCTCCCCCACTCCCACTCCAGGCGCCGTTCCGTCTCGGGCTCGGAGGGAACAGCCAGGACGGAGCACCGCCTCCCGGTTCTTTTTCGTCAGCAAAGTCGCCAGCCGATTTCCCCGGCGTAGAAAAAAGCCCCCTCCAACACCATGCATAGAAAGGACACCGATACCTCGAGAAATAAAATGACATCCGAATTCCCCCCACTACTGTCCAGTGTTGAAATCCTCTGTTTTCAATTTTTCAATCTTTCAATTTTTTTTTTCGTTTCTTGGCTCTGGCGCCCCCTCCGCCCCACGACGTCCTCCCCGACGTTCCTCCTCCTCCTCCTCCTCCTCCTCCTCCTCCTTGACGCACGTCACGATGCTGCTTTGTGCGTGACATTGCGCATGTCCATGGAGTAGTAGCAGCAGTCGCACGTACTCCGCCTCCTCTGCTTTGGCGACGACGTTGCCGGCTGCGGCCATCCCACCTGCACACACCCGCCGCCGGCCTCGCACAGAGCCGCGTCGCCTCGCGTCCCGTATCCTTCCGGCCTGTCGCCTTTCTTGTTTTGCTTTTCCCGTCCTCGCCCATTTTACATGGTATTGCCGAGTCCCTGTCGTAGATACGAGGCGTATCTGCGAACAACGTCCGGCCCTCGTCGCTCCGCTGCCCACAACCACCAACACAGACGCTCCTTTATACATACACACATACACACATACATACACACTTGCTCACACCGTACACATCACTGCTGTCGTCATTCGCTCGCTACCCATGGCCCATGGACCATTTGCGATGCCTCTTCCCTCGTTAAACTTGCATTGTCACGCACACCTGCACCCACGTCTCCCCCCCTTTTCTGTAGTTCATAGGCGTAAGAGGGTGCGTCATCATCGCGCATCCTCATGGTCGAATTATGCGGGGAGAAATAGCTCTCTTCTTTGTAACCGTTCTGAGGCCATCTATGCTTCCGATTGTCGTGGCTATTCTACCGAAATTCCACTTTTCCGCCTCGTGTGGGAAAAAGAAGAACAAAAAGAAGAAAAAAAAAGCAGCCCTCTTGTCGTGTCAATCATTTTCCAACGCCGGCTGTCTTTCGTCAGAGATACGGCTCCGTTTAACGGGAATCGTAGCATCTTCAGCACGCACGCAATGCATTTTTTCCTCGTTCCCCTCTCCACAAACCCCCATCTCCTCCCCATCCTCCCCCCCTCCTCCTTTCTTGACCCGGGGAAGGGGGAGGCTCTCTCAAATCGGGACGGCTTCATCGGATTCAGAACGCGTGGCGGCACCACCAGCACGGGGTACCTTCATTTACTCGGAGCCATCAAGAATGAGCTTGGTGATCTTGCCAATGGCAATGGTTTGTCCCTATGCAGTAACACATGGGTTAGTATTTGGTGCTTTCCGTCCCCCCCCCGTATTTCTGGTCCAGCGCGGAAGCGTCCACACGACCTACCTGGTCACGAAGAGTAAAGCGGCCCATCTGGGGATAATCCTCAAACTTCTCCACGCAAACAGATCCCGCTCCACCAATCACTTGCATGCGCGCAATGATGCTGTCGCCCCTCTTGGCATGTGTCGGAGGGTTTTTACTCTTTCTGTTGGTGCCCTTCTGCAGCTTGTGCAGCAGCGCAGCAAATGTGACTTCTTCAATGGCAGAGTGCACATGGAGGACGCAGTTGAATCCGGATGTCAAGATGCTCTTCAGGTCCAGAATTCGGATCTGCGCCTCAAACTCGGCCACACAGTGGACAAGTCTCTTGGGCGAGCAGAGCACGAATCCAGGCAGAATGTCTTCTTCCTCCACACCCTTGAGGCGCATTCGTACTTGGTCGCCGCACTGCAGAATCGAAACTTCCTCCTCTTGCTCCCCGTACTGCGCCGACACTTCCACAGGCTGCTTGCGAGGCATCAATACAAGAGACATGCCCTTCTTGACCACGCCAGCTTCGATTTTACCGTCCACCATGGTACCCATGTCTCGGTATTTGGCATTGACTGGCATCATGAATGGCGCGTTGATCTTGCGCTCGAGAGCGTTCATGCCGTCGAGGTATTCTAGCAGCGACGGACCGTCCCACCACGGTGCGAGACCCTTGGGGAGGCGGTCCTTGATGTTCAGCGAGGACTGGGCGGCAACAGGCATGAAGAAGACGTCTGTCTTGAGGTTGTAGCCCGTGGCCTTGAGGAATTGGGAGAGCTTGGTTGTGCACTCGGTGTAGCGCTCCTGGGACCATTCAACCGTGGGGTCATCCATCTTGTTGATGACCACAATCAACTTGTTCACGCCCTGCGTCTTGGCAAGCATGGCATGCTCACGCGTCTGTCCTCCGCGTTCAAATCCGGTCTCATATTCGCCCTTGCGAGCCGAAATGACCAAAATACCGACGTCAGCTTGCGACGCCCCGCCAATCATGTTGGGCACATATGTTTTGTGGCCAGGAGCGTCCAAGATGCTGTAGCGGCGCTTTCCTGTCTCGAAAAAGCCACGGCCAACTTCGACAGTCTTGCCCTTGGAACGTTCCTCCTTGGTCAAGTCCATGACCCACGACAGATACCACGACTCTCGGCCAGCATCCTTGGCTTCTCGCTTGTACTTGTCCATAGTTCTCTCGTCAACCATGCCAGTCGTCCACAAGATGGATCCGCCGAGGGTAGATTTGCCAGCATCGACGTGACCAATGAAGATAATATTGACGTGCTCCTTTCCGTAGACCTCCTTGAGAGTTTCGTCGTCGACATCGGCTGCCTGCTCCTTGGTAACGGCGTCAACTTCACGCTGAGCCTTCTTCTCGCCGGCGCCGGATGGGCTCGACCGCCCCGAAGATGGATTTGGCGAGGTCCTGCCCGAAGACTTGCTGGAGGAGGCAGTCTTCCCAGCCTTCTCGCCAGTCTTCTCGATAGCTTTGACAGCAGCCGCCTTCTGACCAGCCTCTGGCTTGTCCGATAGCTCAGGTTTGGCTTCCTCCTTGTCCTTGGTAGGTGTGGATGTGCCACTGACCGAAAGGACCTTGGCCTTTGGCTTAGGGGCTGAAGAATCACCGCCGATGCTAAGGACCTTGGGACCACCCTCCTGGGTCAGAACCTTTGGTGCAGTCGGAGCGGCTGCAGGGGCGGCAGGGGCGGGAGCCTGTGAGGGTTGCGGCTGGGTTTGGCCTTGTTGTTGACTGTACTGAGGGTATCCTCCAGCTGGACATCAAAGTTAGCACAGCTCCAAGGGAAAAAATCGTAGACAAGACGTCGCACACCATATCCCTGGTTATAACCCTGGCTGAAATTGCCTCCGTAGCCTCCCGGATTATACTGGTTGAAGCCCTGCTGCTGCTGACCGTACTGGGGATAGTAACCTTGCTGGTAGTACTGCTGCTGCTGCTGCTGCTGCTGCTGCTGTTGATACGGACTGGCAAAACCACCACTGTATGGCTGGCCTGGCTGGAACGATTGGGCACCGGGCTGAAACGAAGCGGCGCCGGGGCGGAATCCTCCTTGGCTCTGACCAGCGTTGACGTTGAGCTGCTGCTGAGCTCTCCGCGAGAGATTCTCGTCTTGTGCGGAAGGGTCGTCTTCCCAGGAGTTGAGGTTCGACATGGTATCGGTGGCAGCAGGAAGGCTATTCGGGGAAGCCCCTCGACGGGTCGAAAACGGAAAGGTCGGCGCAAAGACACGGCTAATAAATGATGCTCGTCGTTGATTGCGGGAGCGGCTGCGCGATAGTCAAACCAAGTCGGAACGCTTGAGCCTTGAGAGTAATTGAAATAAGGTGAGACGGTTTCTTTCCTCTTCGAGATACCGTGAGGCAGGGGGAGGGGGGCTGTTGGCGACAACACGATCGTTCGAGAGGATGGCCCGAATGCATTCGTGGAGGTTGAAAATTCAAGCCCCACCAAGAAGATGACGCAGGAAGGGGAGGGCGAGCAACAGGCCGCGGCGGGCAGAGGGGTTGATACTGTGCGCATTGCTGCGGAGCCGCACTGTCATCCCTGTCATTCGGGGCACGCAAACAAACGTCCACTGGTCTGCGTGTCCAGTTATATCAATCATTGACGCTGATTTTGGAGGGCCTTTTATTTTTAACATTGACTGTTTAGGGAAGCTAAGCAAGTCGAGTGTAGCTAAATCAACCTGCACCTCCTGACAGGCCGACTTTTCTTTACCAATACGTGAAGCCTGGACGCTCTGCCAACTTCTGCTTTCCCCACCTTCATCGCAATCGGATTCGTATATCCTTTCGTAAAAACTCCATCAGAATCCAAGGCTTGGAAAGCTTCCTTGTTGAAAATCCAGAGGCCCTTTGTGTATGTCGTGTCCCGTTCCTGTTTGGGGTATATCACGTCGTCCGTGGACCCGGTTTCCACGCTCAAAGCTCGATACAATTTTCAAAGCTGCTACCTCGCTCACGGTTTACTGATTCTTCACGTCGGATCCTCTTCCTAGAACCGTCATTGTCGTTTTGAACATGGCCGTCGCCATTGTGAGAGCGTTTGCTCGTTCTACTGGAAGAACTTTTAGATGATGGTGAACCAGGGCTGGCTGCATCGTCACCTCCCAGAGCTAAAGACGAAATTTCGCTTCTGCTTGTTAAAGCGCATCTGCTGGTGCCTCTTGGTGCGGCTTGATAATAAGAAGTTGGGCTGCAAAACAGGCTGCTCTCGGAGCTGTCGTTGCTTCCTGCTACGCTTTCGTTGCCTGGGGACCCTCCGACATGGGCCCGGATCGCTTCCATCGCTTCTGGTGATTTGCTTGTACGGCTACTTTTTGCGGCGTCTCTGGAAAGAACAATGATGTTGTTGATGTTGTCATCGACGAAAAGCGACTCCTCGGGAGCACTCGAATATTCCTTGGCGGTATCAGGCGCAGGCACGAGGGGTGGTATTGCGTCAACATCTTCAGAGACTGGCTCTGCCTTCGTCCCGTCGTCCCGTATCGTTTGGCTGCTGCCTTGAGTAAGAAATTCGATCTGTGTATCTTCACTCCCTGGCCCATCGTGGCTGCCAATCTCTTCATCGTCCTCAAGTGTGAGATCAATGATGTTCCGCAGAGATCCTTCCACGGTGTCCCTTGTCTGTTCCTCTACCGCCACCATGTTTTCAGGGTTGGCGTGTTCCTTCAATAATCCTCGGTTAACCTCAGAAGTTGGCTGTGTCTGTGCTCCGTTATTAATATTGACTAGGTTTCCTGGTGTGGACATGGCCCGGTGGAGATTCATGGCATGCGGACTGTCAGAAATATTCCCAATTCCGTCCCGATCATCTTTGTTTGTACCAGACTCGGAATCGGAATCGGAATCAGAGTCAGAGTCGGAGGCTGTGTCGGATGTAGAATCATCCCCGTTTTCTGAACCGTCGTCAGGATCTTCAACCGAATCTGCAACCAAATCCTCATCCTCATCCTCATCCTCATCCTCATCCTCATCCTCATCCTTATCCTCATCCTTATCCTTATCCTCATCCTCATCCTCATCCTCATCGGAATTGTTCGTGCTGCTTGTATGGCCACCACGGCAGACTTCATCACCTTGATGAACCCCATCATCTTTCTTCTCTAGCAGCTCCTCCTGGAGCTCGGGCAAGGCCATTGCCATCGTCCACCAAATGTCCGGACTGGGATTCAACCCACGCACAAGTAGCGAAAGGTTCTGCAACTTCGCTCTATCCTGATCTCTCTGTGCTTTCGGCATGCGCACCGTCTTATTCACATCTCGTTGAAATGTGAAGTCGTGTACTCTGCATCTTGCCCCGTTTGTGAGCCACTTGGTATGGTCCCAGAATGTAATCCGCTTGATTCCGCGTAGACAATGGACGTAGTCCAGACCCTGTAAAGTTCTCAATGACCTGTACATTCGGAGATTCGGTTGGTGCCGTGTCTTCAATCTCATGTAGCTAACCCCCCCACATGTCTCATGCTGTCGGCGCACGTAATACTTCGACGACTCAGGGAGGTATATGTCGAAGGTCGCAAGTCGGATGGTTTCTGGCAGCCACATCAAAGGTTGAGTTCGCCGAGATATATTTTTGCCCCGGGGACTCTTTTCGAATGTAAGATACTGGGAACCCATCCATAATAGCTCAACATGTTGAACCCTTTGGAGTCTTGTTTTGATTCCCTTCGCAAAGCAACCCTATTCGCCCAGCGATGAGAATGCGAAAGTGTTCTGTCCATAGAACAGATGCGCGCCCCAGAACAACCACTTTTTGCACACTACCAATGGTGCCAGCAAGACTTTCGGAAGCGTGGCATAAGTTAGGCTTACCGACGAGTCCCCGACGTGAAAACGACGTAGAGGCTGGGGGCGTTCCGGGTCATTGCCCAATACACCAGACGATAGGGAAGGCTTGTGGTATGGATCAAGCCTGGTTAAGACATGAACCTTCTGTCCATAAAAGCACAAAAGATTTTCAAGGACACGAAATTGGGCCATGTGCGGCAGCTGATCAAAGTAGCCATTCCTAGTGACTGCTGTAGACTCCACGGCACCAGGTACATCTCCTTCTGGACTCGGTTCCCTCAGGACCAAGCCGGGTAGAACCCGTGATGGATGTGGCGGTATGTTCATTTCGCGGCAACTAAGCCTGTAGATGTTTTGATAGCTTCCTAAACCGGCTGGAAGGCGAGCCAACTCACGTCGGAGGTACCATTTCAGATATTGTGGCCATTGCTATTTCACACTAGGTTAGCCTTTGATGTGTGCAGTTGGATTGGTACTTACCGCCTCTGTTCGTCTCGAAGTGCCACTTCTTGCTGCAGCTGCTGCAGCCAATTCACCGCGAAGCCGCCGATTTTCGGTTTTCATGACGAGTAACTTTGCACGGAACTCTGCAATCAACTGCTTCGACTCTCCAATTCTGAATTTACGCATTTGCGATTTGTCATGCGTCTTTTCCCACCTTGCTTGGCAAGTCTCTAGACAACCAGGCTCCAAGTCAGTATTCGATCCGGCGTCAGAATCACTGTCAGCGTTCCCATTGTCAAAGTTAATAAAGTCGCCAACTTCTTGGTCGAACTCGTCATCAGATTTACTCTCATCATAATGTTAGCACAAGTATCTGAATTTTCAAGGACATGAATCCACTTACACTATCCGAATCGTTTTCAAAGTGGTCCGCCCTCGTTTCGAGCGCCGCCTCTGGCGCGCCGCATGGAGCCACTGCATCTGCATCTGTTTGCTCGAAGTCTCCATGTGTGGTCTCATTGTCCGCCGTGTTATCATCAGACAGATCATCCGATGAACTTGTTTCGACAGCATGAGCAGAGGGCACTCTGGGTTCAAGCGTCGGGTCCGTAAAACCACCAGTCAAGTCTGCCGTGAGATCAATAACCTCCATGTGACTGGGTTCGTCACCCTGCTGAGACTGAGATGGCATGCTTAAATGATAGATGTGATACTGGAAAATGTCATGTAAGAATAGGCAGAACAAAAAATGCCTCCTTGGTGTGGTCCTCCTGTTGGGAGGCTTGCAGGAGTTGTAGGTGTGAAGCTTGGCGAAAGAGCGAGATCAACCAGAGGTCGACTTAAATAAGTTCACAAGTGCCTAAGGCACCTACGTGCACTATCATAAACGAAAGATAAGAAGGACAGTCATTGAGCGTGGCCACTTATGAGTTTTGCATACCTTGGCTGCGGAGAGACTGGCGACGCGGCGGCACCAGTTGTGATAGATCAGAGTCTCGTTCTAGACGACCGCCTTCGCTGGTGAGTAGTAGAACATTCTACTTTCTTTCCAGATTCCTTCCACGATCATTCAAAGGTGTTGTGGCCGTTGACGAATTATTTGCGTCTTCTACTTCCGTTTATCTGAACCACCAATTTACAGAGCCGTTAAGTCCTCCATCAGACTCCAAGCTCTTGACGGAATGCCACCAGCCCTCCGGAATAAAGAGCGCGTCGCCAGCGCGGAGCTCGACTTGATGCAGTTTCTCGGGTGATTTTTCAGCTTTCCAAACTGCTTGATGCAGCGCCTTTCTTTCTTGACCTTGCATCATATCAGCTGTCCTTATACGACTATTGCCATGCTGCCGTATTTGGCGCTGGATGTCAAAGAATAGTTCATCGCCAAAGGTTGGTGGTAAGAGCCGTACAACTTTCTGGCTGTACAGTTGGCAAAACAGGTTCGGATTTGGGTCTCTGTGCAGTGGTGTATAAGTCGGCTCCGTGCCTAGCCAGATGGACGAAGCGTAAATGTCGCCTTTTCCAGCACACAGGACGATTTCTGGAGTTGACAAATCGGCCTGGAGAGGCTCCGGCAAATCATGCAGAGAGGACTGAGCAATGTACAAGTGCAACGGATGTGTTGTAGTTGAGTCACGGGCAGCATTGAACTCTAGGGCCTTGATGAGAAGCCTGAAGGGCGCGTAGAGTTGAAAGAAGCTCTGGCCGTGGCCGTCGGTCGCTTCTGATTGCAGGATGCCTGCCATGATTTGCTCAGTCACTTCTGAGCTGGTCATGAGCGCGTGTTGGAACTGCGAGACGACATCTTGCGGCCCTGGGGACCTGATCAATTCGTATGGAAAAGGCCATTCCTGAAGCTCTCGGACCAGATATGAGGCGAACGGCAATGTTGAATGGCTGTCGTGTACGGAAGCGGATCTGTTGAACCATTTACTGAAAGCGGGTAGACGAGAGGCCGGTGAGCCGGCTTCAATTGGAAACAAATACGGCTTTTGAGGCAGGAATGCTTTCTCCTGAAAAGCTCGAATGTCCAAGTTCCCTCGGGATGATGGAGAGGCGACCTCGACGGACCGAAGAGGCTGCTGAGCACGACGAGAAGAGCTATGGAGCTGCCGTCGCCATGGCGTGGCGAGCCACGAGGTACGACTCATGACGCAAAGATAGATAGAGCAAACATGAGAGACAAGGGGACCGTACTGTTCTGGAAGTCTGTACAGAATAATCAAGAAAGGATAGTCAAGGATGATAAGACATGGTCAGAATGATCCCCCGACTACAATGGGATGTGCATTACCAGGCTGACGATGGCCCGGCGCATGTTCAAAACGGGAGGGAGCTCGGAAGTCGGCAAAACCTGGCACCGGCGGCGTTGCATCCCGCTTCCCAGCCGGCCGGCCAGCCAGGGAGGCGGGAGCCACAGGCAGCAGCAGCAGCTCAGCGGGCAGCGGGAAGCGGGAAGCGGGCAGCTCTGGCAGACGAGAGGCAAAAAAAGCTGGCGGCGTGAGTCCATCATCCATCATCCATCCATCCGCCGTTTGCTGGTCTGCCTGCGTCGGCTCAGAACCTGTGGACCGATTGATGGATGGATCCGTTTGTTGAGTTATTTGCTCCATCTGCTCCCCGGCCAGGCCTTGGTCGCACGCACTAGCACTAGCATTGTATTGCCAAACCACAGCTTCTCCAGCCGTTTTTTGCGCGCGCAGATCAGCCGGCCGCACCAACCAGCGGCATCGCGCAGCCTGACGACATCGTCTGGCCAAAACGCCATCCAAACCAACCGCCGACCGCGACCGCGATTACGACGGCAGCTGCTCAACCTCTTCTCACGGACGCCTCGTTCGTGCATCGGCGGCACGCCTGCCGTTTGACCACCCCGCCCCAATCCTGTTTCGACTCTCGGGCTGCCTTGCCGATAGCTGCCCCTCCATCAGGATTGCATCATCTGCGCTCGTCGTCTCGTCGTCTCGTCGTCCCGTCGTCCCGCCGTTTCGCCGACAATTGGCCTCGAGGCCACCTCGACTCCCGCCATGTCTACAGACTCGGGCGCGCCAGAGTCGTGGATCTCGAGCTTCTGTGCCCTTCTGGGCCATGAATATTTCGCTGAGGTGTCGGAGGAATTTATCGAGGATGATTTCAACCTGACAGGTCTTCAGACCCAAGTAGCCATGTATAAAGAAGCACTGGAGGTATGTGGTGGTCAAAAGTTTTCATCTTCATCCTTATTTTCAATTTTTTTTCCCGCGGCTTGTCTCCCCCCCTTTTTCTCCCTAATGTCCTGGTGTGGCACCGTGGTTTTTCGTCAACTAACTCTCCTTGTTTCTCCCGCAGATGATCCTGGATGTAGAGCCCGAAGACGATGACGAAGAGGAAGAGGACGAAGAAGACGATGATGATAATGAGTCCGGCCTTGGTGGTGGCCAAGAACGAGTGGGTGGCCGGCCAGGCGAGCGAAGACACCATAGTAGAATGGCTAGCGACCTGTCGGTCATTGAGTCTTCGGCAGAAATGCTGTACGGCCTCATTCACCAACGCTTCATATGTTCGCGTGCCGGGATCCAGCAGATGAGTGAAAAATACGAACTCGGTCACTTTGGTTGCTGCCCACGGACCAACTGTGACCAGGCAAGGACGTTGCCCGTTGGACTCTCCGATATACCGGGCGAGGATACCGTCAAGCTGTTCTGCCCAGCTTGCCTAGATGTCTACGTCCCACCAAACAGCCGGTTTCAGACTGTCGACGGCGCATTCTTTGGTCGCACATTCGGTGCTCTTTTTCTCCTCACCTTCCCCGAGTACGACCTCACCAAGAGGGGTGCCGACGTCCTCTCCTCAGCGACCTCGCGGATAACAGCCGACGAGGAGCTCGTCAACGGCATGTACGCCAAGAACATTGCTCCCAATCTAGGACCAGGTCTGATATATCAGCCCAAGATTTACGGCTTCAGAGTCTCGGAGCGAGCCCGGTCGGGTCCTCGCATGCAATGGCTACGAGATCGACCGGCCGATGTCAACGACCTCGACGAGTCTCGCATCTATGCCGAACAGTGCGCTGAATCCGAGGATGAAGACGAATCCATGAACTTGAATGGGGGCCGCGCAATGGTCCGTCGAAGACCTCCTGGCAATGCTCGTCTTCGTCAGCGACAAAATCAGAACGGCAGTCCCATGGCTCTATCAACGAACGGCGCCGAATCCGAGCTCTAAAAGCCGAAACACCAACTGCATCTTCGTTCTCCCTACCGGAATCATGCTGGACTCGGCATCCTTGATTGAAACGTAGGAAAGATGCCAGTTCTCAACCGAAGGACGGGTCATCATCGCCATGCCTGCTTGCCCCGAGGGGAGGGTTTCCGCCAATAGCTGCAGCAAGAACGAGGATTGTGCAAACTCCGTCTGAACAGAGCCAAGTATCCCACCCTCAGGCTTCTCCTGCAACAAGAATTTCAAGCGCCCAAACATAGTGGCATCTGCATAGATGGCGTTGGAGGTGTTGTTCAGGGAATACAATTCGGTTGGCCAACACCGGGGGATAATAATGGTAAGGGGGGGGGGGGAGACTAAAAAGGGATACTTGCATGCATGCATAATGGGTGTGTAAGTGTGCGGGCTGTGCTACGCTCAACGGTCAAACTAGGTCGTGTCAAAGTAAGATGTGAGTACATTTCGCGTTTTGACAGCGCAGAGAAAAGGTGTGCGGTGTCCCTTGTTGAACAGTCGCGCATGGGTATTGTTTTTCTGGGCGGAAACGGCGTCGCGACTTACCATACAGCGACGAGCTTCGACAGGTTTGCCTTTTATTTTTTCAACATGTGTCTTTATTCAATCACACACATTTCTACAGCCATATTTCACATTGGTGCAAGTTGTTTCGATTGATATACCAAACGCTGGGGGTAAACATGCTCAGCTATTGAATTTCGCGTCTCATAACCAAAACATAATTCGTCCTAGCGCAACGGCGATCCCTTCCCCGGCGTCCAACTCGTGCCGCCCCCAAACCCAGACCCGGGGGCCATGCCATTAATCTTCCTCACAGGAGTGGACGGTCCCGCCGTGGACGAGTCCGCCGGCAGCGGCGGAGTGTCTGTCCTCTGGACACCCACGTCGTCCCTGCGCGGGGGCTTGAAGTTGACGGCGCTTCCAGCGCGGTAAATATCCTGCAGCATGGTCTCCAGGATCCCAGCGTCTGCAAACTCAAGATATTTCCGATACAGCTTGAGTGCCGTTCGAGAGTCTTCGATGGAGTCGTGCGTCTCCATCTGAATGTCCTCCTTGAGGAGGTACCACGCTAGAAACGCCAACGAGAGCCTCCGGAACCTCGACTTTAAATAGAACAAATCGATTGTGTCGATGACTTGAGACTTGGGAACGTGGATGTTTATGACGCGGAAATCTTGTTTGAGGCCGTGGCCCAGGAATTTGCAGCCGAGATTGAGGAGAATCCAGAGCTTCTTGTAGGCCATCTTGAGCGGGAGCAGGCTGTGTTTAGAAATTCGTGGGTCCAGATCTTCTCGAGAGATGCCAGAGTACGATGTCAGGTAGTCCACAATGGGCTCTTGTATGGAGATGTAGTCGTCGATGAAGGGCAGTCCCTCGTTCTCGCCCTGTCCACGGACAACAGACGTTCGAGCCAACGCATAGACAATTGGTCGAATGGTCTCACGTTCGCCGTCGGAGTTCACCTCAATCTCAGGCTGTCGAATGGCAACGAACTCCGTATCCAGAGCTACTACTGTATCCGGGCCGGGCATTTCCGTTTCTGGATCCAGCATGTGGTATGTTTTATGCTCAGAGTTTGGATTTAGACTGCAGCCCAAGTTAGCTAGACCTGTCAATGGACACCCAGCATGCAAATGAGAAATACGCACTACAAATCATGGGACAGAATCGAGGTGTCCAGCTGGTCTTTCCAGGTGGAGTCAATCTTGTTATTCGCTTCTTTGATCTGGAATGATATAACACTGGGGATTTTCCATGACGTGTTGAACGCAAGGGCTTCTTCGGTACTGATAGACCTGACTAGGAAGTCGTTGAACAAGTGCCACTGACTGTGTCCGGGCGGTTCTGGCACAGCGTGTGCAACTGTTTTTGTTTTTCAGCTTCAGAGAACTTGCACGTCCTGTTGGCAGTACTCACCATTGATCATGGATACCAGGTGTGATTTTTGCATTTGGCCACCCTCGATATTTGTCGCCATCCCTATTAACGAGTATACGGTGATGTTGTGGATTCCACGCTGCAAGTGAAGTTTCAAGTCTTCACCCTCATAACAAAAGAACTGGCCCTGCTCAACAATGATTCCGATTTCCTCAGGAAGCCAGCCGGGAGTAGACCATAGCATGCGATGGTCGTGACTAGTAATTGCGGTATTCAACATCAAGACAGCCGGAATGCTGTGAATTGTCTTTCTGGTGGCTATAGTTTGGTAACGTTGACATCGGCCACACCAACCCTTAGAGGTAGTCTCTCTCTCAACGCTACTTTTAAGAACTTGAGAAAAAGTCACTCTGGGCATTTTGGCGCTCCGCCCAGGAGGTTTCTTGGAAGCTGAATTAGAGGGTTTCGGTGCAAAAGGATATCACGCACTTACAAATGGTGGATAGAGCAGGTCGTTGACAAACGTCGAGCCCGGTCTTGTATACTCGCTCCTACAGTTCATACATTGAATAGAGCTTGTTGCGGAGGTTGCAAGAATCTGCCGATTGTTAGGGACTCATTCAATGCAGTGTCTACTCATACCGACCTGTTCCATCGCAGATGATGTTGGTGACAAGCTCTTGTAGTCAGAGACAATCTTGTCCAGGAGAAACCTAGTTAGGCCCTGCAACATGACGTTTAGCGACGAGCTGCGGGTGTCCTCTTCGAGGAGGCCAAGCGGACCAGCTGATGGAGATTTAGCAACAATGTCAGAAGCAGCACAGAGTTCACGTGCAGTCTACCTTGTGGATGGCTACTGAGTATTCTCAGTATGTTTGTTGCCTGACAGATTGAGCCGTCTGCTTTTTGTAGCATGTCGAAAAGGAAGCCAAGTTCACAGAGCAAGCACATTTCGCTGAGACAGGCTGCAGCCGCATGTTGAAGGGCTATGTTTCGAATCAGGGGGGTAAAATGCATAATTTGAAGGAGTGAGTTGGCGTATGAGTTTGAAATATGAATTTCCAAGCCTGAGTATCGTGTTTTGTTATAAAATCTGAAGTTTTTTAAGTAAGCAGCAGGGAAACATAGCACCACAGGTCACAGGATTTGGTCAACTCACCCGAAATCAAAATCATCTACTCCGAACTTGCTGTACTTGATTTCAACGTTCCGGTACATGACCGGCACGTCTGACTTCTTACTTTCAATCTCGCTGTCGGTTACAGTGCTAGAAACGTCGTCATTCAGATCATTCGTCATGGACTCTGATTGGGCAGACTCTCTGGCTTTCTCACTCAAGAACTTGGGCGCCTTGAGACCAGCGTTTGCAGACTTGCGGGTATTTCTGGTATTCTCAGCCTGATTCCTCCGGAGGCCTCTTGTGTTGCGGCCATACAGTCCAAATTCGGTCGGCTTGAGGCTCGCGAGGAACTGAGGATCAAACCTCACTGGAGGGGCGCCAACATCGGAAACAAGATCCGGCCAGGCCGAGGCCAACACTTCCCAATAGAAGGGCAATCCGACAGAGTTCAACGGTCTTGAAGAAGAGGAAGTCAGCGTATAATTCAAAGTATCAATGAAGGCTGTCCATACGTTTCAGGGGTCCATTCTATTTGAGGAGCATGGTCCTCCGGGCTAGCAAAGTCTATTGGCGTTGACAAGTCGACAAAGTGAAGCTTCGAAGGCGATCCCCAGAGGTGAATATAGCACTCAGCATCGGTAAGAGCCATTGATTCACCAGAAGGCGCAATTTCAAACATGCTAAGGTAGGTAAGGACGTTTGCCTGCCGCACGTTACTAGTGTTGGGGTTCATCAAGTCGACCACATGCATTTGGCCGGACTGCGAGACCACGATACTGGTGGTCAACATCCTGGGATGCATGCGAACGTACGCCGCCCCGGCAGGGAAAGGTATTGGTGGCATTGACAACATCTTTTTAATATCAAACACGTTCAAAAATGGATCGAGCATGTATGTTTGGCCTTGTCGGAGTGAATATCCGCATGTAACAATGAAGTCATGCTGGGCATCCATGTCATTGATCAGCGCAGTGTGAGCATTCCAAGACTTAACAACTGCAAAGGACACTGGATCGAGGAGGTTCACCGTCCCATTCTTGGTTGCCGCACAGATATACCTTCCTCGTTTCATGATGGAGTACTGGTGTTCGGTTGCAATCTAGCAGCATCGTCAGTCAGCCAAAACAACATGAGATTAACAGCCAGCCGGCAAACAGACCTCCTTCACGACGTCGCCCTTATTAAGGTCAATGACTAGCATTGAATCTTGCAATCCCGCAACAACGATCTCCGTCGTCCCTTTGGAAGTAAAGCTCATGCACCGTAGCTCAGTCATATCGTCATCACTTGTTCCTCTGTTAGCGCTCCCTCCAAACACAGACACGACGCAAGTGGGACTGCGAAAAAAAAAACCGTACTTGAGATGCCATATCGGTGGTCCCCTCCTCTGTGCCATGTGAACATCCTTTGAGCCCAACGATATCACGCCTTTTTCGTTGACCAATATTTGTCGCACTGGCCCGTCCGTCGAAAGGTGTGCTTTGAAGGAGGTATACCGTTGTAATTCAGGGCCAAGGAACGAAGTTACGCGACCCTGGCTTGCAAGTCAGTATCGGAGCAATCCGGCCTAGGGGTGTCTTCTGGATCCATACATAATCGTTTCCGGTCCATAGCAGCTCTTGAAAAGTATCAAACGTCATGGTCGTTACCGGTGTCGGCATCGCATGTACGCCCGGAGGCGGGAACGCAATGCGGGCGACCTGACAGCAATTATGCATGAGTTAGCGACCGGTCGAAATACGTGTGAGCCGGCGGCACATCAACACGGCCAGCAGGAAAGAAACATCCGGTTGTGCTCCGATGGAACAGGTCGCCTCGACTGCAGGCGTCGGCGACTGACCTCATCCCAGTCGCCGTCCATTGTTGCTGGCTTGTCATTCTCCAAAGGCTGATAAATTATTGATAAATGATGCCTGAGCACCAGGGGGGCCTGCAAGGCTCCGTGACGGGTCTCAAACGCAATGCGCCTCACAGGATGCTCGTCGTCGGGCTCCAGGATATTGATGCATATGAATTCGTTGCTGGACTCGACACGCGCGTGGAGTTGCTTGACGTCGCCTGTTGGCGGGGCCAATTGAGGCTGCATCCGTCTGGGCGAGAGGAAGACCCCCACTTCTCTTACCCACGTCGTCGAAGTTGGCGCTACCCTACACCTCTCCCGCCCACAAATGCCGCTTCCTGTTTGGGAAGACGAAAGAGAGAAGCGACAATTGAGATTTGCTGTGCGAGATGAGTAATGTTTTCTTCTTTTCCTTCTTTCTTTTTGTCTCCCGATGCCTTTTTTTTTGTCCATGTTTCAAGGCGGACACGGACCGGGCAGCATCTGTCGGCTGGCATGCTACTCTATTCATTGGGGAAGCGGTACTGCAAGCAGGTCACCAATACTTATGCAAACAATATATTGCCTGCCAGCGGCGATGATTTCCAATCTTGACAGCTATGCTGACCAGCTGCATACTTTCAGACACAACCTCCGCAAGCGTACGCCCACCTCCCCAACGACTCGCTATCATGATATTTGGTGTACGATAAAGTTGACCGGCTGAGCATTCCTATCGACTCGTGGAACATCAGCAATCTTTTCGCCCACGAATTCCATCTCCACAGCCCACTTTGTATTTGTCAAGTGCCCAACCTCGTCCCAAAGGCGTTGAAAGCTGTCCTTGTCGTGCAGATATGGCGATATGTTACCCAAAGGAGATAAACTCGGTCGAGCAGTGCCAACATGCCGACCATAGATGAGGGCATTTCTGGTACCTCGCTTGAGGAATCCGACCAGACGTTTGCCAATATAGACTTGCTGAGTCCAGTTGAATAAATGGAAAAAACTGCCTGCGTATATTATAGTAACCTTGTGCAACAGGTCGTTTAGCCGGGTGTCACCGGGGTCCAGCATATCACCAATGACGAATGTGGCGCCGAGTTCATTTTGATCCTGAAATAGATCATAGCCAATATCAACAAATCTGGGCTGGACATCAGTTCCAAATAATTGATCTCCCTGGACTCCATCGTGACGAAGCTGTCGAAGAACCTGCCCCACGCAACAACCCAAGTCCAGAAAAGCATCCTTTGATCTGGGCAAATTGAGCCTGAACAGCACCTGTCGATAACAGGGATCGTTTTTCTCGGTCAAGCGCAGAAATTTCCACCGGCCGACGCAAGGAAACCTTGACATTCTCCACGCATCCTCACGCTGGAACGGGATTGTCACTGATCAGTCAACGAGCATCTGCCGAGTTTCTTGGTCCAAACACAGAACACACTCACGACTCGTAGAATATGGTTGTCAACATCCCTCGCGGGGATCCCGCTGTACTCGAGGAGCAGGTTGCGTATGGGGCCGATATCATCTGGCAGATCCGGAATATATGCCCAGTGTTGCAATGCGATTATATCCATCATACGAAAATGTGATGACGAGGGATACGCTTCCGGTCTTGCGTGTTTTCCAAGGCAAGGAAGCTTACCGGGTCTCGAAACGTCTTGATGCTACATGAACGCTGTCATGTTTCATCTCTGATTTGTTGCCGGTTGATAGCCAAGGCATTCATACTGCGAGTATCAAGAGCTCCTCGATTGAATTGTTGCAGCCAGATCCCGCCAAATGCTCCTCCTGCCTTGAGGTAAGGAGACAGGCAGCGCACCGGAATCAACGTAAACGAGCAAAAAGGGATCCGGAGTCTGGAGGGTGGTGGAAACCGTGAATTTGAGCGTGGAACTTTATAAACGGACCGGAGCCTACGGGCCTGGGTCGACGGGGCTCGATCGAGGGACCAGTCGATCGGAACCAGGTGGATGTACAAGGATATGGACACAAGATTGTCGTGTCCGACATGGCACATGCTTACACGCCTACCAATGTACGGAGGAATGTATCCGCCACAATGGAGCCAACGAGATGCGAATGCAACCTCGGGCAGACGGGGCTTTTGGGACCCAGGAATAATTGAGCCGCCAATCCGCACTGCTAGCTAATAAGTACCTGAAACTTTGGTCCGCAGTCATGCTCGGAGCTTATGGCTTAGCTTATGGCTTACTCATCAGCGACGTGACGGCTGTCTGGGTAAACGAGCCGAAGATTTGCCGCTGCTCCCGAAAATTCTTCCACCTCCGTGCTCATTCTCGAGGGGTCAAAACCACACAAACCACGGCGCCGAGTTCTTCCTCTTCCGTTGCGTGACGGGCCCATCGCATTTATCATCATCTGATCCAGAGAGCTATTGAAGCTGTAAGTTGATGCTTCCTACCTTTGGCTTGTTGATAACAACGCATCAGCACTCACCCACCCGCATGATTCGCTTGTTGCGTGTTGCATGTTGCGTGCGTGTTGCGTGTCATTGTGCTGCAATTCGGAATCGGCTGTTTTGTGGCGGAATCATGGTGGCCGCGCGACCATGCTAACAATGGCTTCGTCAGTTACTCAACGCGCCTGTTGACTCCCGGTCGGGAGCATAGCATCTGCCCCGGCGTCGGCACTTCCAGCTCCAGATTCCCTCATACATGATATACTTGGGCGTTTGCAAAGATTTTCAGCGCCCGAGTATCTTGCTGTGCCGGTGAAACAGGACCAACGCCGCCGGTGCCTACATTTGGCCGACTCGAGGGGAAACGGTTTCCGAGAGCGATATCATAGAGCACGCGCCGTACCGACATGAGCCCTGGCACAGAAGGCGAGGCTGGAGATGCGGCGGGGTTGACCTACCCGTCTCCTGGAGCAGAAGGAATGGAATCGGGCCCGTTCTACCACAGCGCTCGCGATGGTGCTCCCGAACAACGTGTTCAAGCCGAGCAACAGGATGTCGATGAGGTGCAAACGCAGGAGCATGACCAGGCACAGATTCTGGGCCAAGATGATGCGACATCTCAGCATCACGCATCGAGGCCGGCAAATCTAGAAGAGCTGCAGTTGGCCGCGCAATTGGGCCAAGGGCTGGCTGGCACCTCTATTCTCCCAGCGACCGATCCGAACATGACCGTCGAGGACCCCAGCATGCGCAACATCATGCCACACCCAGATGCCGAGCAGCACCACACACCATCCTATGTTCAGGAAGCTCCTCCGACCGACCCGATGGCCCAACATCAAATGCCAGTAACGGCTGGACCTACTCTGCCCCCGCAATATGCCATGGGAGAGGGGATTCCTCCGCGCAAGAGATCCAAGGTGTCGCGCGCGTGTGATGAATGTAGGAGAAAGAAGATCAAATGCGATGCGCAGTCTGATTCTGGAGAGACTCCATGCTCCAGCTGCGCGCGGTCATCCATCAGATGCTTGTTCAGTCGGGTGCCCCAAAAACGGGGCCCCAGTAAAGGGTATGGAGGTCAAAACACACCACATGACGCTATTCCTTGTCGACTAATTCATAGTGCAGCTATATCAAGGAACTCGCCGACAGAATTCACAGCATCGAAAACAAGTTGGAATCTGAGGGCAATCTCAGCCAAGACGACATTGACAAATTGTTTGCGACGGATCGATCAAGGCATAGCAGCGGCCCCGAAGATTCAACACGAAAGCGTCCCTTCTCAGCAGTGTCTCTGGGAGACCATGCAGCACCAACCACCGTTCGCCAAGCACCCTGGGCATCTCAGGCGCGTTCGCGTTCGATCCAATCGGCATCCGGTCGAGGAGAAGGCCCCGATCAAGAGAGCGGTAACAGTTCACTGGCACCGCAACCGACGCCAATCAAGTCCGATGAGACCCCGAGAACGCAACGTGCGGATTCGGCAGATGTACCCATGATGGATGGGGAAGACGCCACTGCAGTAGATGAGCAGGCCTTCCAGGAGTACGTACTTGGGCGCAGCTTCACCTGTCGCTGGCATCATGGCGAACTAACATAACGCAGCTTCCTCACCGCCGTTCAACCGCTCTACCCAGTGCTCCCGACCGACTTGGCCAGAGTCCAGTCACTGCTCTCACAGGCAAACGGACCGGTCCGATCCGCATTCTCCCTGGCGCTTTCTGGCATTGGGCAGCCATCGTCTGAGAACACCAAAATTGCCAGTTCTCTGCTTCATGAATGGGAGAGTAGCGACGCCCCCAGCAGCCGAGCCACGGACATTGTTCATGCGCAGACGCTGCTGATGTTGGTTATTGATGCAGATTGGCGGGGAAAGTCGACTCTGCCTTTTCTGCTCTCTCGTGCCATTGCTCTCGCCAACTTGATGGAGTTGTGGAAATCACCACTTGTCGACTCGACAACAGAACACGATTCGCATGACCAGCTATGCGTTCGAATATGGTGGTCCTTGGTGCTGATGGACAGGTGGCATGCTGCAGGGACCGGACAGCCTACGCAAATTCCTGACAGGAGTGCGATCGTTCCGGCGTATCTGGAGAACGTCATCGGAGAGGTCCCATTCCACCTTCTTCGTAAGTCAAGCTTTGATTTCGTATCCGTGGTCGGAACCGCACTAAGCGAGTCTCGTAGGCCTATCCAAGCTTTTGAACCGAATCTCGTTCGTCATTGGAACGCTGCAGACTGGATCGTATACTGCCGAGGCCCCCATGGCTGCCATCTTGACCGACTACATCGAGAATTACCGAGAGGACTTGCCCGCCCATATTGACGCAGCAGCGTATCCCATGATTCATCTTGCTTACTGGCACTGCCGCCTGCTCGTCACCATGCTCACGCCTGGCGCCACGCCGAAAGAGATCATCTGGCCAACAAAGGAGCTGGCCCACCTGCTGTCGGTCACGCCCGAGCTGAAGGGTCCGTTGTCGATTCATTTTGTCTCGCTTGCCACCATGTCGCTGAGCAAGTTGGCCAAAACGGAAGCCACGCGAGAGGATGCGGTGGACATGATCAAAGAAATCATAGACAGGCACAGCGGAGGTCATTGGGATGGTGTCAAGGACAAGCTTGCGGACGGGCTGAGACCGACGTCATCCTCTGCGGCCGGAACGGCAGCCAGTCAAGGACTACAGCATCTTGCAGACCTAGCAACAGCGCATGAGGGTCTGGCAGCAGGAGAAGAGGTTCCATTCGGAGCCGCCCTTGCGACCGGATACCTCCAGGTTGCATCATGAGCACGTGACGGAGACGAGTGCACGGCAGCGCTGGCCCTCATTCATGACGTCTGTGTAGGCTTGATTTGTGGGGTGTGTGTGTGTGTGTGTGAATGTTTGTTTGGGGAGCGGGTGCTTTGTCGAGGCGTCTGCGGCGTTGTCTACGGAGTACTGTGCGTGTACAATATCGCAACCGAGATTGGAGCAGGGTGTGAAAATCGGCACCCACGGGTGAAAACACGCGTCACTGGTATGTAACTATATCCGCGCGCACTTGTTGGCGGGTTTTGCAATGAGAAAAGTGAAGAATGAAGAATCTTGCCCACCCGCGGCTCGTCCCTAGGTTCGGGCAAACAAGTAATTCTAATTCCTGTCGACATGACGGTCACACGCACGAGTACCCGCAGGCAATGGTAGTTTTATTACTGACCAAGAACTATGCAGACGGAACATGTTGTCATGTCTGCCCCGTGGCATGGACTTTTGACGGCAAACCGTCGACTGCGAATGACGTCAGCGACTGCGACTGTGACTGACTGGCAGGCTGGCATGCAGCCCAACACCAACGAACGGCTCACAGTCCACTGTCCAGGACCACACCGCCAGCCGCCAACCGCCAACCGCCAACCAGCGCCCTTTTCGGCAGCTACTCCCCAGCCAGCCTACTTAAGTACATAATCCAAGCCCTGCCTCCAGAAAACAGAAAACACAAAACGCCCCGTAACCGCGAGCAACCCCCGAGCTTCTAGAAGAAGAAGAAGAAGAAGAAGAAGAAGAAGAAAAGAGAGCGGACCCCCCCGACCGACCTTGCAAACGCTCGCTCACTCGCTCACTCACTCACTCGCTCCGTCCGTACTCCGTACTCCGTACCCGTGCTCCGCAACACGTACCGTGCGTGAATGCCTGCCGCGCAGCCCCGACACTGACCGCCGCGCCCACAAACATGCGTCTGCATCCACGTATTCGGCGTCCTCCCTCAGTCCAGAATCCAGAGCCAAGGGGCCGCCGAGGAGCCGCCGAGGTGGGCCCTTGCTGCCTGTCCCGTCCTGTTCCTGCAGCAACTTCGATAGGGATGTCCATATCCGTGCCTGTGCCCCGTGCCCCGTGCCTTAATCTAAGTACTCCGTACCTACTTACTTACCTCTAGGTACTCCGTACTTAGGTAGGTATCTATCCCATCTGTACAACACAAGTACGTACTGGACTACCGTATGACCACGACGGCGTGGGCAAAAGTGGCCCAGGTCCCCTGTTGAACGTCGCGAGGAGGCGCCGAGGCGGGAGTCAGGACCAGGAGGAGCTGTCCTGTCCTTGCCCTGTCTTTTTATCCTCGTCGACATCTGCACATGCAACAGACTGCGGTGCGCATCATGTGGTGTGTGTGACATTGTGACTCTGACTCCAAAGCGCCGTCTATTGCGGGCTGCAACTCTAAATGCCTTCCGGGCTCCCAAAGCACAAAACGCGCCCGACAACATACACATAGCAAATATAAAGGGGGCTGCCAAAGGGATCAAAACATCCGGGACAAACCTCCAAAGTCTATCTACATCCCGTGTGCCCGATATCTTCTTCTCATCCTCACAAATACGCGCTTCCCCTTGCCTCGCCCTTTCCAAGCAGAGCCGGACCAACTGCACCTGACCACGTTTTTCTGCAACATTTGGGTGTGTATTTCTGCCTTCTCCATGCATCGTCGTGGCATCGTAACAGGACGCATCATGACTGCATCAAACGACATTGAAAAAAAAAAAACACAGTAAAGTATATACGTAACAAAAAAAAAAAGGCACAGGCTCTGACGCTGCTAGATTCGTGGGAGTCGACGCGGAGCCATGCTCCTGACACCATACTCGCTATTTCCCCCCCCGGTACTGCATCAAATGACGTAGTGTAGGCTCTCACAGTCTATCCAAAACACCAGACAAAAGGCGAATAAAGAATAGATATCAAAATCAATACGCCAGGGGCTACCTTGCCTGCAAGGCTTTGCACTGGCAGTTACCAGTGCTTCGTGCACCGCAATTCGAGAGGGTTCAAAAGGAAGTGTCCAACGACAGGAAGAGAAATGGGCGAAGCATTGCCCAAGGCGCCACTGCTTCTTCTTTTTTTTTTTTTTTTTTTTTTTTCTTTTAAAAAAAAAAAAAAAAAAAAAAAGCTCAAAGCCCAAATCTACACGCAAAATTGTAAACGCATAGATCGGTTGTGCTCCGCCAGCCACATTTCGAAGGACTAGTATCCGCTGAATTCCATGTCGTCCGCGGCCACTTGCTGTACCGCTGCTGGGGTCTTCCATCGCATGCTAAAACCGAGGGGATCAAGAAAAAAAGACAAAACTTTTTGTATTTCGCCCGTCATTTCATAGCTCCCAAAAAGGTCCCATGGAAGTTGCAGCCACTTGGTCCGGGCTTTCATCCACCGTGGTGGTGATGCGGTCATTGTAGTTGGGCATCCAAAAAGCCGCATCTTCTTCCACCATGGAAATGGTTCCAACCGCGACATTATTCTCAGCGTTCTTGTTGTAAAAGCTGTCATAGTCGATACTGGCCAGGTCTGTTGACCTCGCAACAATATTGGCCGGGCGGATGAGGCCGTTGGTGCTGAAGCAGCTCTCCACATCGCCATCTCCATTACCCAAGAAATCCTCGACTTCAGATACTTCGCCCGAAGTTGACGTCGTGTTTGCGAGACGCGGAAGCTGCTCCGAGCCGCTGCCGAATTCAAAGAGGCCGTTGAAGCTTCGGGCACCAGCTTGGCTGTAGCTTGACGGAGCAAAGTTTTCCGGCTTGGCTTCACCGAGGTCATAGTGACTCCAGTCGACGGAAGCAGCACTTAGACCGGCACTGAAAATTGGTCCATCTACTTCTGATGAAACGCCTGAGCTGAACATTTCAAAGGAGCCATTGACAACGTATGAAGGATAGTCGATGCCTGACAGATCTAGGGGAGGGAGTCCACTCTGCAACTGGGTGAAACTGCCGCTGGACATCAATGGAGAAGTAGTTTCTGACTTGACCCGCCGTTGTTCGCGAGCCGTCGCAGCCCGAGAGCGGTGGCCAAAGGAGTCGGGTGCCTGGCCGTCCGAATATAGCATGCTCTCTGACGTAGCACCGAGACTGCTCGCGCTGTTTGTGGAATTGACCCGGTTGAGCTGATATGGCCCGCACTTTTGGGCGGCACGATTGTGCTTGGCAGCTGGTTTGTGATTGCCGTTTTGATCAAACGAGAGAAGTCCGTCTGAGTGGACCGTATTGGCTCGTCGTCGTCTGATTGGGGGCTTGGGTGGTGCAGCAGCAGCAGCGGCGGCCAAAGGATCGCGATCCGATTCGGCTTCTGGAACGGTGTCCAAGGTCGGTTCTTTCTTGTGAACGCAAGTGCAGCGCCCACCGTGATTGCAACAACAAGTCTCTGCAGATTCGATATCTTGTTAGAACCGGGGAGCTGGGAAGAAGGCCGAAAAAAACGACCGGCAGACTCGTCCGCGGTGCATGTAGGCTGGCTCACCCTTGTGTCCATCCACAGGTTGTTGTAGATGAGCACACTTGCTCGTCTTCTCGCCGCAGTCGCACTTGACGTGGGCCGAGCGTGACTTTCGCATCGTGCGGCAGTGATGGCATTGTGACACAGGACGACCCTTCTTGTTGATGTGTTGCAGTGGGCGATCTAGACGGACCAGAGGTTAGCAAGCAGGACCTGCGACAGGAGGTCAAGCAAGGCAGGGGAGGGAAAGGTGGTGCACAGTGAAGAGATGGGCGAAGAAATATACACATATACGTATATATATGTATACGTATATATTCCCTTTTTTTCCCCTCCTTCTTCCTTTTTGATCCGAAAAAAAAAACGAGCCAGACTATTCCAATGTCGAATGGAAGTCGTGTGGGACATCGTGGGCTGTCACTGTTGCTGCTGCTGGACAGCCCAGAGCTTCGCAGGCCGCGGGCAATGTGCAATGTCGCAGTGTTGCAAGCGAGGAGGGGTACGACGCGCTGTGTAACCAGAGGCTTTGCGACTTACCAGAATGTTGACAATTGCTCACACGATGGCCTCGGACGCATGCCTCGCAGGCATACTTCTCACCGTCTATCAACATTGTTCGCTGCCGCAGGGGTGGGCGTGTGCAAAGAGGAAGTGATTGTGAAGATGTTGAGAAGGACTGGAGCGGAGCGAAGCGAAGCGAGGCAAGGCAAGGCAAGGCAAAGAAGGAGAGGCTCGGCCGGTGGAAGTGGGCGCGCGCGAATGTGCAATTGTGAGGGTGGGAGCGATGACGGTGGCAGTGGCACTGGCGAAGTAAGCCGAATCAGTGGTCTTGGCTGGTGCTGGGTGGTTCCTTCCGATGGATGCTGCGGTCAGAAGTCCAGGCCTGGGGTCAAATGAACGTCCGCATGTGGTTCCCACATTCATCAAATGCCCATGTCGAGTCTGGCGTACTCGGTACTCCGTACTGGACCAGTCATTAATCAGGCACTGGTCACTGCTAGCGGCCGGGTGCTCGGCGGATGGCGGAGGGTGGATGATGGCGGTTGGGGTCTGGCCTGGTCCTGTTTGCGGGCCTGTGGTGCCGGTGCAGCGTGGGCAAGGCTCCAGTGCTGCGGCTGGGGCTGGGGCTGGGGCTGGGGCTGGGGGAGGGAGTGCTCGGCGCTTCAATGTTACTGGTGGGTCTCGGAATGGCGGATGGCTGTCGGCGGCGTTCGGTCAATCGCTTGACTGGCGAGAGCCTCCCACTTCTCGTCAGTGTGGCACCGGGTCGAACGCACCAGACCAGGTTCACAGGCCCTCCCACTCCGTAGTGCTCCGTACTCCGTGGCCCTGGCAAGCCCGCCGAAAGACTGGGACTGGGGCTCGAGGCTGGAGACCACTGGAGACGGGCGACGACACCAGTGAATAAGGGGACCCAACTTGCTCCGCAATTGTTCCTCGTCTCCGACCGACTTCAGGATCCGCGGGGCGTCCGTTTCGAGGAGGAAACGCGGACGCGGAAGGCGGACAGTGCCGTACGTCTGCACTCTTCCAGAACACAGTGATGTGATTGTCTCGAGTCAATCAACCATGGGTGGTCCCTAACATCAGAGCCCAGCACAGCAATCAAGCGGTTAGGAGTGACTGCTGACACTGCCGGTGACTGGCTGACTGGTGGCTTGGCTGTTGGTAAAGGCAACCAGACAGACGACTTAGATGGTTGATGTCAATATGGAAAAGAGCAAGCAAGGCGAATGAACAGGCAGTCCATGGATGATGGGGTAGCCTGGCAGTCAGACGGCGATAGACTCAAATGTCGTCTTGCGAAGCAAACAACGCCGAGTTACAAACGAAGGAGCACCGCCAGTTGTTCGTGGATGGCAAAAGGGGGATAATATTATGTATAACAAAACCTTTCCGGCGGGAAATCGGCCTTGACCTGGGGGCTGTGACCAGGGGACACGGGGTCGTGGAATTTGGGGGAACAGGGAATATATCATTCGTACAACACCGACCCTTTCTGTGGGCTGTGTGCGAGTGCGCGTGGTCGGGTGTCTGATGGTTCGTCGCAAGTGGCCCGTCCAGCCTGTTGCTGTCTGCAACTGATCCGCAGGTGCGCCTTGGAGGAGACGACAGGTGTAGGTATAGGTGTAGGTGTATGTGTAGGTGTAGATATAGGTGTGGGCGTGGCGTAGGTGTGTGTGTGTGAGAGAATGCTGAGTGAGTACATAGAGTATGCAGTACGGAGTACGAGCGCGAGTGCGAGTGAGAGTGTGAGTGCATATATATGCACATGTGTGCAGGTAGAGAGGGAGGATATGTGTGTATTGTGTAGTTGTTGTGCGTGTGTCTGTCAGGGAGGGGAGGCGGCGGCGGCGGCGGCGGCGGCGGCTGCTAGTCGACAGGTGGAGACGCAACAAGCCTGTCCAGCACTGCCCAGCACTGCTCAGCACTGCCTAGTGCGGTCAACCACCTGTCCGTTGGCCTCTGAGTCGGTGCGAGTGGGGCTCGCCCCCAGGAAGTCACTGCGACACGACTGGCCCAGTTGAAGGCATTTTGATGTGCGCATGTGGCAGGCATGCTGTATTGGTGGGTTGGTAGCAGTGCGACACAGCCGGCTCGAGCCGTAGGCACGCTCAGCATTGTTTTGTGTCGTTTTGTATTGTGCGGTGCTGAGCTGGAGCTACTCCGTCCCTTTGAATGTGCGAAAGTGCGTGGACTTATCGTGGTGTTTCCTAGTGGAGCGATGTTTCTTTTAGTACCGGGTTTTGACTGGTCAACATGAACTCGGTACAATCGACGGACCCTCGCACATTCAACGGGATATGTCATGTCATCGATGCTCACCCATCAGCGAGTGAAATGGCAGACCCCAGGCATTGTCCTCTGAGCTCTCTCTGCACTGGGGTCGACATAAACACATGCGCCGGCTCGATAGGCTAGTGGGCCGGTGCCTCGTATCGTGCAGCAATCTGGTGTGTTTCCTCCAATACTAGCATTACCACGAGCTGTGATGTGATCCGCTGGCATCGTATCGTATTCAACAAAGCCTCTTCTTTGCTTTCCAACCCAACTCCCCGACGAATGGGCTCCGCTGAGATTCCACTCCAGGAGATGATTTTGCACGAGCCACATGTAAAGGCAAGAAATGAGAAGCGATTCAGCCGGGCCATACTACCCTCACAAGTCTAGCTACCGGCTGACCATTATCATTCTGTCCTGTCATTTGGGGCGGGCAATGCTAAACGGTGCCCGTGTCAAAGTTGGGTGCTAGGTCGAGTGGACAGACGACAGCCGGCTGCCGGACCCTTGCCCAAGGCATTTACCTACCTACCTAGGTAGGTGGCTATTCGAGAGAACCATTCATCTTGTGCGGACAACACGGTGATACAGTAATCCGTACGTACGTATTAACTTGCTTGCCTGGACAACATCATACATGCATGTGTGTCGACAGGGGCCCTTAAGCTGTCTGCCGTTCCAGCAGATTCAGCACATGTACAAACTGTCACGGCTCATAGCTTATCGGGTGGCCGGGAAGAGACGCAGCGGGCACGCGGCGAGGCCTGCTTCCTGTGTCGTCAGCGTGCAGCTCCGAGCGCAAAAGCCAATCCTTGTTTTTGCCCAGTGAGGGGCGGATACTATCAAGGCTCGAATTGGTTTCCTCGAAAGCCGAGCCTGCAACTGTTAGGTGCATACGTGCGTCCGTTGCGACGCAACTACTACTCCGTACACCATCACCCAAGTTCAAAAGGCCTGGTCCGTTGTGGCAGACACAATTGCAAATGGGTGCCAAGCGGTCCCCGGCTTTGTAGCCATGCGGAAGAAGAGAAGCGTCGCGTTTAGTTTCTCCTCAGAGCTCAGAACAAGCTGTAGTTGACAAGTAGGCCGGGTTGAGCAGCTCGCTGTGTCCTGCAACGGTCCTTGGCATCGACTATTCCTGCGGCAGCGGTGCGTATCACTGCAGTGGCCCTGCGAGGTGTATGTAGATGAACTTGGCGCGAGCCGCCGGAATTTGGGGCAAGCGACTTCTCGTGCTGTAAAGGCCGAGCTCCTGGGTCTTCTGTTGGCCACTGTGTTCGACATGAGCCAGGATGCCCCTCGGCCATTGCTTCGCCCAATGCCTCGTGCTTTTTTTGTGATGAAAAGGGGGATTGCAACTGGAAGTCCGCAGTACTTTTGACTGTACAGTGTGTGTTTGACGTTTGAATTGGTGTCAATTGTCAGACCGTGAACCTAGCGGCATCAGACCAACTGGATGCCCGTGCCGCCTCCGAGACAATCACATCCCTGAGCCTGCCAACTTTCAGGCCCCATCAATGCGTGTATTGTCTGCTACGGCCCGCCTTTGTAAAAGTAAAAATTCTTATGTAAAAACGAAAAGAAGGCGCCATGGTTGGAGCAAATGTGACCACCACGTCATCTTCCCTGGTCCCAAGCACAGACACTCGGGCTTGCTGTTCCTGGAGGCAGACATGCGGGGTGTTGTCGGCAAATTTCCAGATAGCCTGATGGTCGTCTGTCCATGTATGCTGGCGAGGTGCAATATTGATTGTTACAGTACTCCGTAGTTGGCGCTTATAGCGCAAAAGCTGACGTCTGTGCAGCGTGATGAGTGGCCTGCGTCAACTTCGGGTTGCTTCCATTCCGCACAAAACTTGCCCGGACGTCTTGGGAGCTAGTTGTGCGACACGGTCGGAGGAGGGAACACGACAAGTGAGTGAGTGATCAGTAGGGCGGCGGCACGATGCTCCAATGCTCCGGCACAGACTTGGGAAAGTCATCGGACGTAGGCGGGGTCACCGTGGCGGCGTCAAGCAGCGGCAAAGAAGGTCGACTGGGCCCCAAATTACGCCCCCTGGCTGGTTGCACGCGGTTTTCTTGGCATGCCTAAGGTCTTCGTTGCGAGGTCGTTTGAATCGGAAGACTAGGCCAGGGCCAGCAGGGAGCTTGCCGGCGGCTTGCGGTCAGCTTCAGCCTGGGATGCCGTTGGTTCTGCAGGTTCGGTCCAATTCAATATTTAGTGTCGCTGTCGTTTTGTAGAAGCAAGGGTCACCCGTTAGGTTCTAAGTTTGCGGCGAAAGCTGGGGCGGAGCCGACAATTAGAACAACAATAAGTGGCGCCATAATCAAAAATGGCCACGATGGGAGCCGCTGGCCCGGCAGGCAGGCAGGTTTTGCTGCGAGCAGACAAAGAAAGGACAAGTGGTGAATAAACCGTGCAGGGAGGGCATTGGCATGTGGACGAGTCGTAAAAGGCCCGAGGTGCCTCAGGCGTCCCGTCCGGGCTGAACTGGGAAACGGCCACATGCACATGCTCCTCGGGCGGACAGACTACCTGGGAAAGAGCTGCCCTGTCGTGGAGCACATGATGGATAGGATGATACTCCGTAATGCTGCTGGTGATGGTGATGGTAATTGTGTTATGCGCCCGTACCTGCCTATATGTACGTCAAAGGTGCCTCACTATGTTCCCTGTCAGAGCGCCATGGTGCTTTGCCAGGCCCAGCTTGGGCCTGTGAGAGCATCAATCGACCCGGGGTCATTGTTATACACCCACCTGTCCCTGCAGAGTTTGCTCGCCAGGCAAAGTTATTCGCTGGTGGGTTCGGCCACGTTTGCTCTATCTAGACTTTGGTCCATGTCTGTATCGTATCAGGAATTCCGGAGAAGCCGGATGATGGACATCTCAGGTTCGCTTCTCGTTCATCTACGACACGATGGCGTGGCGTGTGCGTCTTCCTGAACGCAGAGCATAATCCTGACGCAGCGACAGCGATGGTCCTGATTCCTGAATGTCTCTACGTACACAAGCCACAAGACAAGCAGTCAAGCATGCCCCGTTTGCCTAGCTTCGGAGGCATCATCTTGACATGGCCTTTCACCACGGCAGGCAATGACTGAGCACCTGCTCTGGAATCATCCCAAACCTGAAATCATATACACATCCTATGCTGTCGTGAAGAAGGGATGATTGAAGATGCCTGTGTGCCGTCTTTCTGTGTGTGGATGACAGCCCGATATTATTCACAATCTCATGTCCTGTTTCTCTACTTCGCCATGGCAGACTGCTTATATCCCACTGGTCAAAGGAGTACCATTCTTCATCACCGGTGCCTGGCATGCTTTTCTGTATCCGCCATGCGGCGCCAAACGAAGCCACAGAAAGGCTTGATATGCCTCCTTACTCCTACTTTGTACATTTGGCGTAACTATGAATAGAGCACGTGGAAAGCAGTGGTGACTGGGGTATGATGAATCCCATCGCTTCTAGTCGGCTGTAATGCCCGCGTGGCCAACGCAACCCCTCTCCCAGCTTCAGGGAAATACTACTTAGTTAAATGGTGGCTGAAGAGTGCCCACGGGGCCCATGACGCGGATCCAAGTGTAAACCGCACGAGCGAGGCGTGGAGCCGTCGACAGTTGACATGGTTGAGTTGAAGCACCGAAAACTCTCAGACCGGACCAGTTCTCGAGTGCTGCTCCGAGCGTGTTTGATGGCCCCGAGTAAATATAGCTACATGCGGAGCACGAGTACTGTCAATTTTTAACAGCTGCAGCAGACAGGTCGGCTTCTTTCACGTCCTTTTCCATGCACGTCTTTGACCCGTCGCAGCATGCCAGGTATCGTGACCGCAGCAGGCTGCAACGCAATGGCCACCTCGCTCGCTTGCCATGCAAAGACATCAGTCGGTCTTTTCTTTCGACAAAGCACCGGGAGGGAGCCATGTGCCCCGACTGGCATCATCTTCATTGGCCGCCGCGTCCACGGTCGATGCATCTTCCTGTGCCTTTGTTCGGTTTCCTCATTTTCTCAACGGTGCCCCCTTCAACCTCGGGCCCAGCACTTGGGTATCGTACTCTACTCCGCTCGCCATTTTCCGTTGCTGTCTGCTGGCCTCTCTCTGTACCGTATGCACTCTGCACTCTGCACTCTGCACGATTGGCACAAATCCGGCGCCGGGCTTCGGCATCAGTCGGCATTCTAGAAGAAGAGGCGTCCACGACAACCTTGGACCGGTGCTACGTTGGATGTTATTTTTGTCTCGGCGGGGCTTGAACAAAGAAAGGCGTGTTCCGTACATGCCGTTGACTCCCCAGCGCCTCCACTGCTGGACAATTCTCATTAATTAGTACGTACTAACTAAATTCCAGACTTGCGGGCCATGAACCCATCCTGCCAGGGCCGGCGGGCCGAGAGATGTCAGAGCTGGACCGCGCTGTGTGTTCACGGAATGCACGTGGACCAAACACAACAGGGCCTTTTTTGGTCTTGATCCAACCCTCCAGATCCGCTATCATATTACGGAGAGTGCCGGCATGTTGCTCGAACTCAAGCCGCTATGAGCAAGCCCAGGCTGTATCCTTCATCACATTCTCTTGATTTTGGAACTGACAGAGGCACGTCAATAATGCCTGGCGCTCTGCCGTCTACCTTGGACGACCCACGATGGTCCAGGCCATCCATCCTTTTCCAGCCATCTACGGAGTACAGTGTGGAGGCAAAAGGTATCTGGGTCCCACACCCGCATTTCTCTACTCGATAGCTGGCAAACGCACATAATGAGAAAACGTAAAAAGACAGTAATGGCGCTGTGGTGCCCAACAACCAGTCCGTTGCGTCCGTCACCACCAACTCACCAGACAATGGCCTCTTTGCACTCGGCCACAAGTCTCCAGCCCTCTTGCCGAGATGTCGACTCCAAAGCTGCCGCATATTTCTTCCATCATAATCAATGATTAGCCGCCCGGAGCGCAGTCTAGAAAACGTCGAAAGAAAATTTCTTCGCGCCTCAGGTATCTGGCCGACGGCGACTTTTGCGCATGGACCACGGATCCACTTTTGACAGACTGCTAAGCGAAGGCGTATTTTTTTGGCTGCGAGCCCCCAGCCAAGGTGGTCAACCTCTGACTTCTTTTTTCCCCAAAAGCCACTGCGACCCCGGAGCCAGTCCTGCCCTCGCCTAGCGACTCTGGCGTCGGGCATCTTTGCCTAGATGCCCTTTGTGGCATCAGTTGGCCATTTGGCCACGTCGGAGTATTTCATTGCAAATCTCATCTCTCAGCCTCGGAATCCCGCCCAACCACCAGACGTTCGAACATGAAAGCGAGCCTCGAGCGAGACTTGGTGGTGACGCGCCCGCGTACCGGCGTCGACTCGCGACGGCTTGTGGCAAGTACAGTTTTGCTTGCGCCTGATGCCGCAGACGCTTCCATCATGGCTTCGATCTGTTCTTTCCAATAGTTGGCCCATGGACGGACTGGGCTTTGCGAGCTGCCAGGCACCATCAAGTGGTCAAGCCGTGCGTCTACTGACGTGGTGGCTGGACTCGATCGAGTCGGTGGCAGACGTGGCCACATGACGACACTCACGCATGTGCCCAAGTGACCCTTTGCCAGATTTTTCAATGTCTCGGCATTGTATATCGACGTCCGCGCCAGCTTCCCATTGGCATGGACGTTTTCGCACTGGCATAGACTGAATATCACTCGTTGCTGGGCACCCGACTTTGAGATGTCGTCTTGATCATCTTGGACAAGTCGGGAATCAGCTGTAGTGACATGTCGTGATAGACGCGACAGCTTTTTGTGCGTGCGCTTGAAGTGTTGTTGTTGATGGCGGTGTCTTACCATCCTGATTTCTGGTCTGCTCGGAAGACTGGTCTTTGTTGACGGCTGAGAGGATGAGCAATGGTTGCGTTTATTAGGCCAACAACACAGTAGGACGTGAAGAAGGGCTTGTGTTGGAGTGCGTGACACTTGGCCGGCGTATTCCTGCCTGCTGGGATAGATTTAGGAATACAAGTTACAACTGCCCATCCGACGCTCGTGGTCAAGGCGCGCATAACGTGAACGGAGTGCGTCGGTCCTTGCAATGGGCCGGGGATTGCCGCCCCGATTTCAAGCGCCACCCGCCCTCACTGCTCCGTACAGTGAGTTGCTACTGTTTCAACTAGGGACCTGTTAAATTAAAAACCAGACCAGCATCTGCCACGCGTTTGCTTGATGTCACGGGCTGTTACATGCAGCTTTGTGACGCAGTGGCGAGTGATGCCTGGTTCGATTCCGTAATGACGGAACAAGGAAAGGCATTGTTTGGTCCCTGGCCGAAGGTCGGACAAGGTCAAAAAATATGACTAGATTAGATCGGAGCTTGCAGGACCAGATCGCAGCCGTTGCAAGAGGATTCCCGGCATGACGTAGTAACTAGGATGTCACTGAAAGAGGGTTTCTCGTAGTAAGTACCTAGGTACGTACGTAGCCTTGGTGTGCAAGGAGCGAGGGGTTACTAGAATCCGCCTTTGTTGCGGTTCTGAATATCGGCTCACCGTAGGGTACGTGGCATTTTAACATGGTCATGGACAAGTGCGCTCACCCTGGTGGCCTTGATATACGATTTTGCAAGACGTTCTCCCACTTCTGCTCCAAGTCTCCTTTGTCAAGGCTGAAGTGGGAGTACTCGTCGTCGTCGTCTTTTCCATCATGCTATACTGAAGGTCAGCTGGGCGCCTCGACCTGACGCATAAACTACGTTGACTGGCACAGTCGGCTTCTTCGTATGATGGGCTACAACCAGGGGCACTAGAGCCCGGTAATTATGCGTGTTAATGACAGGTCCTTATGTTTTTGCGACCAACCAGATGGCTCCAAGGCACTGGCTGTAACAGCACGAGACTTGGTTTGAGGATGGCTGCAGCGCTCTGTTCAGAGGGAAATGGACACGCCATCAACTGCTGGCATTCGATGTGACGCGGCCGGAGAGTATCCCTCCTGCTCCTGTGGACGCATGTAGACAGACTTTCTGTCATCTAGGGATCACGTAGTTTCTGACACAAGTGCCATGTGGTGTTGGCGTTGCCTCGGCCAATTTCGACCTCGAATTCCCTTTTCATATACATGGTGAAACCGAGTTCATCACCGCAAAAGAATGGATGGTAAAGGCGAAAACTCAGCTAATAAGTGCCGGAGAGCCAATTTTGAACCTTTGTCATGCCTTGCTACCGGACTTGTAGCAACTTGTGCCAAGCTGAATGCCAAATTAATCCCTTGTAGCTTCATGGCGAACATGGTATGTGGAACATGGACTTGAAGCAATGGGTCATTAACAGGACTAGCAGATGCTGCGACGGTCTGTCCCATCTCTGCGCTGATTTAGTTGAGTGGTCAATGGAACTGCTGCTCGAGGCAAGAAGCCACCCACTTTGCCAAGGATGAGATGAAGTATGAGACAAGTCGGCACCGGATTGAATATCTAAATGGTTGTCCTTATCCACAGGCTAGCCGCGGTGTTTCCCAGTTGTCTCTCACGGTGTCGAGAACACATTTGACCCAAGTCCGTATCTTCCCGAGACGCAGGACCGGAGCCGAATGTATGCGTACACGCCACACGATAAAATGTGGAATAAGGGGCGTGACTACACCGCGTATTTTATCTGTTTTACTGCCCTCTATGTTGCGTGCGACAATCTGCCATGGGAATCTGAGGGGGATACTTCTGCTGAATATGGAAGTGGAACCGCGGAGGATATTTTAAGGAAAAAAGTTACAGGCCAGCCATTTTACGCCTGTTACATGGGGGGGGGGGGGGGGAAGGAGGGGCGTTTACATCACCACAATCTTCGATGCAGAGTCGCTCAAGACTTGGAAAAGAAAGAGCAGGATACGTATGGAAATATTTTGATGTATGGCAGAGGAATAGGTTAGATCATCTGTTTGACGGCGTCAGCTTAGCGCAAGGTAACGGGTTGGCGTGCGGCCCAAGCACAAACCTGTTATTAGCATGTGAATGGTGGTGGATGGCCAAGTTCTTGGTCGACATGGATTTCTCGAAGAGTTAGGACCAAGCGCCCCGGCTTTTAGCATGCGGAAAAGGATGCCGGGGCGGCTTTGAGGCCTTGCTGTGTCGTCATATTTGCAAGAGATTTCCATATTCATGTCACAGCTTGTCTTAGATTCGACATGGCGTAAGCCATTTCCCCTTGGCCGCGTGCCTCCGAAGCACACCATGGGCCGGGCGATTTTGGGTCACCGGCTCCACTCCCGGAGCAGATGCACCGGAATAGGTTACACGAATGGAAGTTGATATTGAAGTTGGCAGGGTGATTTTTCTTTTTTTTTTTCCTTTCTTTTTTTTTTTGGGCGCCTCAATGGTTATCGGGAGAGCTAACTCGGGTCAAGAAAAAATATTTCAAGACGGAGAAAGGCAAGAAATGACGACTGAACACACAGGGGCTCGCTAGAACCCGGGGCCGGTTATAGGGTCGGGGGCCTATATGTGCCAGGGTCTTCTTCGTCGGTCCAGATCGCGTGCCCCTAGCTTGCAAGTTGTAAAGAATGGTTGGCGACGGGTGGTTGTGGCACGGGCAAAAAGTAGTAATCAGGTGTGGAAGGGTTGCCGCCATGTTTGATGGAATAGGCGATGGCGAGCGCACTACGTGTGTGCTTGGATGCCCGAGTACGGACGGAGTAGGCATTCGTTATCTGCCATGAATATTAATTAGCCGCTGCTACGTCTTGGTTTCCCCGGCATTGTCGGCAGGCGCGAGAGGAAATCGGCTATAATAATAAGAACAATAATGCCAGGGAATGCAGGACTGCGACGTCACGACTTCAGCGTGACCCCAATAAGAGAATACCAGGCGACGGCCTTTTCGGAGCAAGGTGCTAGTGGCATGCGAGCGGTCAAGTTGGCAGCACGGCCTGCATGGCAGCTACGTCCACAAGTGAAGGGCTCTGCAGACCAGAAGAGATAATAGTGACTGCGTGACTCTCAGTCCGGACGCATCGAGAAACACCGAGCCCATCGAAGTGCGTAGGGGCTTTTGATCGTGGAACGCGTGGGAGGCGCGAGATGGCGTTGCCGAAGATGCTGGCTACCGGCTGCTATGCTATCGACGGCTTGGTATACCGGGATTCTGGCAATAAGATGGGCCTTGTGCCTTCCGATGGCCGTTGTGAGATTCGCTGAAAGGATCAGCACAAGGGAGCGAGATTGAGTGACTGGACCTCTGCTGGGGGATGAAAACGTAAAAATGGAACAGTACCATCCATGGAAGTAGAATGGAGTACGGAGAGCGGAGTATGGCCTAGTTGTTGCTGTACACGGCTTGAGCGTTCAAGTACTTGCCTACTTAAGGCACCTAGGCGCCCAGGCGGGTACTCCGTACAGTAATTATAATGAATGTACTATGGGCGCCCACGGGTTCATTCTATGCTGCAGGGCCAAGTGCGGGTCCCGCACACCCACACTGTGCGCCTCATGTTCTCCGCTTTACCACTTGCCACTCCCCTCTCTTCTTCATGCCCACGGTCAACGACGTAGATGCCCGCTCGGTACTCCGTACAGCCACGCGAACCAGGTCGTCCAGGTCCAGGTTCTGTTGTTGCAACTGCTTGCTTGTCTTGTTCGGGTCCCATAAGTTGCATGGTCGAGTTGACCCGTCTTCATCTCCTGCCATCCATGCCTTCAGCCCCTGGTCCCCCCCACACGCCACGTCAAGTCGTCCTGAGTCTCGAGACTCGCCCTTCCCCCCGCGCGACTCTGCGTATCGAGACTGGCGAGCTCAACTTCTGCAAGGTTTTGCGCCATTGACGAGTTATTCGACTTTGTGCCTCGTACCTAGACTCTTTTCCCTTCCCATGTCAGAGAGGAACTTGGTGGTTCTGGCGCTTCGGGCTCGGCCGAAGCAGATCTGTCTGGTCGGTTGAACCATTCCACGTCTGCCTCTTCCTCTTCGAGCAACTGCACCTGAACGCCACTTAAATCATCCCGGCATGCTGTGAGCCATTCACTTTCGCCACAGTAGCCGCCCCTTCCAGCGGTGCCTCAACAGCGCCATCCTCTCAACCATCGCGGCCGTGACTATTAGGTCACTCTCCTCACTTCACCTTGCCTTACCATGGACGAGTCGAAGCAAGCCGACAAATGTTTGTCGGCGACGTCGCCCGAGCCGCAACAGCCACCGCAGCACCAAGCAGACGCTACCTCGCTGAGCCACCCGCAAGATGCGGCGCCTACTTCGCCGTCTCGGGATACACACACTACGGAGACCTCATCCGTGCAAGACGACCACGCGAGCAGTGTGAGCGGGCATGGCGCGCTTTCACCATGGAGTGCAGGTTCGGAAAGGCAGCTGGGGCATCACTCTGCTGCCTCGGATATATCAGGAGACCGCGTCTTTCCGATTCGCTCTGTCATTACTGTCGACCCATCGCCGAGACAGACGACTGTAGATGGAAACTTGCACCAGTCGTTTGATGCCGAGAGTCGTCGTGCTTCTAGCCATTGGACGTCAAGCCGAGGAGACTCCTCAAGCGACACAAAAAGACTGGATTTCGCACCCATGTCGCCCACAGCTGGGCAATCTGTCGCCTCTGGTACAGACTTGCGCAGGAAGAGAGCAATGAGCGGGCCGGTGTCGAGTATACAGGCTGATGCTGTACGCCATGGCTCTGTGGCGCCATTGCAGCTCGACATCTCCGCATCAGACCACGGTAGTAGTCAGGAATCCGGACCCTTGGGCGTTGCTGATGTCTCTGCCGGGCTTGACTGCGCCTCAAACACTTCTGGCAACCAGTCACTGGGCGAGGTGCCTCACATCATCACGCGCTTCACCCACGTCGAGACCGACGGGGGACACGCCATCATAACCGGACGCGACGGTGTATTGCAACAATGCGAGGACGAGCCAATTCACACCCCTGGTGCCGTGCAAGGCTTTGGCGTTCTTCTAGCTCTTCGGGAAGATGGTATGGGCGGCTTCTCGGTACGGTGTGCCAGTGAGAATTCAGGTAAAATCATTGGATACACGCCAAAGCAACTATTCCGCCTCAAAAGCTTTTTGGATATCTTGACGGAAGAACAACAGGATAATCTGCTCGATCACATAGACTTCATCCGTGATGAAGATGCTGATCCTTCTATCAACGGACCAGAAGTCCTCAGCCTATCCATTAAGCTACCGAAGACGGGCAAAAGCGTCAAGCTATGGTGTGCCATCCATATCAATAATGCTCATCCCGATTTAATTATTTGCGAGTTCGAACTGGATGATGACCACGAATACCCGCTTCGACCTGCAGACGAGCTTACCCCTGACACGCCCCACGATACCCTTCATTCCAATCCCACGCTAGAAGAGATAGAAGAGAGCACGGAGATTTTTAGCAAACCACTACGAATTCTACGGAGTGCAAGAAAACGTCGAGGAGAACAGGGGGCGATGCAAGTATTTGACATCATGTCTCAGGTTCAAGAGCAGCTGTCATCAGCTCCGAATCTAGCCACCTTTCTCAAGATTCTTGTGGGCATCGTAAAGGAGCTGACCGGTTTCCATCGTGTCATGATATATCAATTTGACGCATCATTCAACGGCAAGGTTGTTACGGAACTTGTTGATACATCTCAAACCGTCGATTTGTACAACGGCTTGCATTTTCCAGCTTCTGACATCCCACGCCAGGCACGGGAACTCTACAAAATCAACAAAGTTCGCCTTCTATACGACCGGGATCTTGATACGGCAAGAATGGTGTGCCGGACGAGAGAAGACTTGGACGTTCCTCTTGACATGACTCACGCCTACCTTCGTGCCATGTCTCCCATTCATCTCAAGTACCTGGCCAATATGGCGGTAAGATCGTCAATGTCTATTTCTATCAACGCATTCAACGAGCTTTGGGGGTTGATCTCTTGTCATGCCTATGGAAATCATGGAACGCGTGTATCTTTCCCAATTCGCAAAATGTGTCGCTTGGTTGGAGATACTGCGTCCAGAAATATTGAGAGGTTGTCTTACGCATCGAGACTTCAAGCGAGAAAACTCATCAACACGGCGCCTACCGACAAGAACCCATCAGGGTACATTATTGCATCATCGGACGACTTGTTGAAGCTGTTTGATGCTGATTTTGGTCTTCTCTCGATAAAAGGCGAAACCAAGATTTTGGGTGCAATGGATTATAGCCAAGAGGCCCTGGCGATGTTGGAGTATCTTCGAATGAGAAAGCTTACCTCAGTTGCAGCATCACAAGACGTTAGAGAGGACTTTCCAGATCTGAAGTATCCTCCCGGATTTCAAGTCATTGCTGGGCTTCTGTATGTGCCTCTAAGTGTAGGCGGTAACGACTTCATCGTCTTCTTCCGGCGTGGTCAAATTAAAGAAGTGAAATGGGCCGGCAATCCTTATGAGAAGACTGTTCGAGATGGTACTGCGGGCTACTTGGAGCCCAGGAAAAGCTTCAAGATTTGGCATGAAACTGTTCTTGGAAAGTGTCGTGAGTGGAATGAAGAGCAAATAGAAACAGCAGCTGTGCTCTGCCTAGTTTATGGTATGTGTTCAGAGTCAAGGCTCAACTCTACTACGTGAAGACTATGCTAATCAGCTATGACAGGTAAATTCATAGAGGTTTGGCGGCAAAAGGAAGCGGCTCTCGAAAGTAGCAAACTCACAAGACTCCTATTGGCCAACTCTGCCCACGAAGTACGAACGCCGCTCAACGCCATCATCAACTATCTGGAAATTGCTCTCGAGGGCTCACTGGATCAGGAAACTCGCGAGAACCTGGCGCGCTCTCACTCCGCTTCCAAGTCCCTGATTTACGTAATCAACGATTTGCTCGACCTTACAAAAACGGAGGAAGGTCAAAGCTTGATCAAGGATGAAATATTTGACCTAGGCGCGTGCATAAAAGAAGCAACCGACCCGTTCCACGTGGATGCAAAGAGAAAGGGCATCGAGTACCAGGTCACAAATCATCCCGGGCTCCCTCAATTCGTCCACGGGGATAGCCGGCGAGTTCGACAGGCATTATCAAACATCACAGCAAATGCTGTTGCACATACCCACCAAGGCTCTGTCAGAGTTGAAATGTTTGTTTCCGAAGTCCGAGACGGCATGGCCTTTGTCGATTTTGTTGTGGCCGACTCCGGCATCGGCATGAACCCTACGCAACTAGATGCTCTTTTTCGAGATTTGGAGCAGGTGAGCAGCGAAGAACCCGAGTCGCCAACTTCTGAAGCTGTGGGCAGGCAGCGCGAGACAAGGACATTGGGTTTAGGTCTTGCCGTCGTTGCTCGTACCGTTAGGAACATGGACGGCCAGCTTCGGCTGAAGTCCGAGGAAGGTCAAGGCTCCAGATTTGTTGTTCAACTGCCTTTTCATCTCCCAGACGAGACGCCAAGTCTAGAGCCTGGGGGACATTCTCAAGATGGTTCACCCGAAACTCAATCTGGCAGAGTGGTCGCCTCAGCATCACCAAACCTCAAGGCTACGCCGGCCGGCGAGATGACGCTCATAGAGCGACGGGGAAGCAATATCAACATGGCAGCTGAGATGGACAAAAGATCTATAGGAACAGCCAGTGCGGGCAGCCGCCGCAGCATGGAGAGCCTCGGAAGCCATGGGAGCCAGAAAAGTGATGCAGATCGTCTTATCGACGCCATACAGACACCTCTTTCTCTCAACGAAAACCAAGCGGGATATTTTATCCATGGTCAGAGCTCGCAAAGCAATACCTCTCAGCCCGCATCGCTTGCCAGCATCGGAAGTGTTCGACCCCCCAGTCCCATTCCGCACAACCAAGGCCTGTCTTCCCCCATCCAGCCACGACAGGAGCCAGGTACGGTGGAGATTCGAGACTCGAAAACTCCTGTTAAAGCAGTCAAGGTTCCTGACGACTTTGTGGACTTGCCGATTGGGACTTGCCAGGGGGACAGACCTGCTGTTTTGTTCGAATTATCCAGTCCAAAGCCACGACAGCCACATCTGGCGGAAAAGGGCGCATCGTCAAGCGACGAGCACCAGCTCAATATACTAGTGGCAGAAGATGACCCAATCAACATGAAAATTCTTCGAAAGAGACTGGAAAGGGTTGGGCACACCGTACACCATACTGTCAATGGTGAGGACTGTGCAACGGTTTACAAGGACAAGTCCCCCGAGTTCGATGTTATCCTCATGGATATGCAGGTGAGAATGCTAGCCGCAGAATAATCGCCCAGTACGTACTGATCCAAGCCATAGATGCCGATTGTCGACGGGTTAACCAGCACAAAAGTGATTCGGTCCACCGAGCAGTCCAGCGAACACAAGGGCCGCTCAGCAATGGCAGGCAGCAACCGCAGGATACCGATTTTTGCCGTATCCGCATCTCTGGTCGAAGAAAACAAGCAGGTGTACGTGGATGCTGGGTTTGACGGGTGGATCCTGAAGCCTATCGATTTCAAGAGGCTCGGCACTCTGTTGGCTGGTATTCACGCCAGCGAAACGAGGAGGGCATGCCTGTATCTCCCGGGAGAGTGGGAACGAGGCGGGTGGTTTTCTCCTGGAGAAGGGGATGGCACCGAAGACACAAGCTCACAGGCCACTCCGACCGCGCATACATAGAAGCAGCAGTCAGAAGGAGACGCGAAGACGGAATCATGAAGCGAAGAACAAGGAGAGATTTTACATCATTGACACGTTGCCCTGGTGCGGCGAGCTCTGTTTCGGCCAGCTGCCGACAAGCGAGTTAGAACCAGGCATGTGAATGCCTGCTATGGCATGAAGGGGGGCCATGCAACATGTTTGATTATCACGTTTGGGTTACACGAAGCTTGCATCGATATCAGTCATCCGAGAGCGGCCTTTTTCTTGTCACGACGCATAATTTACACGAGTACTCGATGTCTTTTTCCAGAAAGCAATCATACGGCGTTGGCTTGGGGCCCAGTGGTCGGAGAAGACCGAGACAAAAGGAAGAGAGCAAACAGGACGGGTGTCTGGCGTCTGTATTTGGTGCATTGTAGTTTTGACACAAGATGTGTTGATGATGGAGAGGCACACGCGGGGTCATTTCTCGAGTAGATACTGCACGCAATTTGTCACGAGGCATTGTTGGAACTTTGGGGGGGGTTTTCCCTATTCTCCACTTCGTTGTTGGAATCATTGTGTGCGACGGTCCGTGGGCTTGAAATGACGATTGGCTTAGTTGCTACGTGGTGGTGGTATGGTAAAGGCAGATGTATGCTGGGAAAGCGCATAGATGTAATTAATATACGAGACGCATCAGGTGGGAAGACTGTCGGTTGAGCTGCCATACGTCATGGCCGAACATTGACTATGCATATCATGTAGATCTAGCTGGTCAATGTTGCTATTTTGTCGGCCTCATCTTCAAAGAACCAACCGGGGGGGACTCGCACCGAGCAGCTTCAACCAGGGCAGTCGCCAAGCCACTGTGCACAGGGTAGGATTCGTCGCGTGCAGTCTGCAGGGATCGAATCACGGCGTGGCTCATATCGAAACAATACCAGGGAGAGGGTGCCGGTGTAAAGCGAGGCTTGTGATGATGTCAAAACCAAGCAACAGGTATACTTGGGAACGTCCAACTAGTCACAGATTTGACATGTAGATTCGCGGTAAAGGGGATTCGTTTTGGGGCTACAGCATATTCTAGAATCAAATGAAACGCCGCACTTGAGCCATGACAAGAGGTGTGAGCGCAATATGTACTACTACCCTTTGTATATAGGCGCTTGAACATGCGAAGAGAATCGGCATCCTCTGACAATGCGAGGTATCTAGGACTAGACGAAACAAATGAATAAACAGTTAAATAAGACGAGACCTTGAACACCTTTCACGGTAAACGAAGTTCTTCCCGCGAGATAAACCTGTGCTGGTATTCGCAGCCAGCTCTAATTCTTGGGACGCTGGAAGCAAATCAGTTTGAACCACCCGCTCTGCCTTTTCTCTTCGTAATTCTCTTCCCTGACATTGTGTTGGCTCACAATAGCCAAGAAGACTTGGTCCAGCGTGGTAGGACTGACGCTGTAGTGACTCAGACCCAACATCTTCTTATTCTCTTCCAGAAGGACGATGAGTTGACCCATGGCGCTGCCTTGGCGGGCGGCATGGGCCATGTCGCTGTCGTGCAACGTAATGTCTTCTGCCGTGCTGTTGGCGCCTTGCCTGTGGAGGACCGACATTTCGCTTGCCGAGACGCAGAAGCGCAGCTGTCCGTGGTATGTCTTGGTGTCGACCTTGGCGGACGGTAGGCGGGCTTGTATCCACGAGATGAGGCGCTGCATTTCCTCGTCGGTGGTTCGAGGGGCGGCGCTGGACACGAGATGGACGTGGAGCATGTCGCCGAAGCGATGGCGGAGGTTGTCGGGGGTTCCAAGAGCAATCATGCGGCGTGAGAGGATGCCCGCCCGGCCGGCGAGGGCATCCGCCTCCTCCATGCTGTGAGTTGTGAGGAGGATGGAGCGGCCATGAACGGTGGCGGCAAGCGTCTTCCACATGATCCGTTTGGAGGCGGCGTCGAGGCCAGACGATGGCTCATCGAGGAGCACCACGGTGGGATTGCCCATTAGTGCAATCCCCAGACTCAGCTTGCGCTTGTTTCCTCCAGAGAGGGCGTAGCCCATGCGGGATGCAAATGCCTCCAAGCCGACGGCTTGCAAGACCGCCGAAACATTGTGCTCGATGTCGGGCACGCCACGGATCCGGGCGTAGAATTCGAGATGCTCCCGAACAGTCATCTGATCCAGGGCATCGACTTGGGGGCACACGCCGAGGTGTGTGCGTGCTGCGGCCAGGTCTCTCGAAACAGATACGTCCTCGACGAAAATGTCGCCGCCGTTGGGGCTTGGCTTTATATCGCCTCTGATGAGAGAAATAGTCGTCGACTTGCCGGCTCCATTGGGACCCAAGAGGGCAAATACCTCGCCGCGCTTGATGCCAAAGCTGACATTGTCCACTGCCGTATTCTTCCCGAAAGATTTTGTCAAGTGTACGACGCGCAAACCATCACCAGTTTGCCCTGGGCTGGCTCCTCTGGTCAGCTCGTCAGCCGTCTCTGTGGCCAGCTCATCGGCAACCGCGACAGGTTCACTGCGACGGAAGAGCCCGCGGATGGATGAGCCGACACTGCCGCTGTCGAACCACAGCAATAGGCTGAAGAGGACGACGCACTGGATCGCCAGGTAAAGAATGGGGCCGCCGTATCCGACAAGTCTCGCGGGCTTCTTGGATACCTGGCCGCCGTCGCAAGCCGTCGCGAACAGATTTGTCGCCAAGAACATGGCCCTGGTTGCGTTCGCGACCGGCGAGAAGATAGATATCACAAAGTGGCATATCAGCAACAGTGAATCGATGTCATCAACCTCTGCAAATGTGACTACGCATATATATGCAATCAAATAACCAAGGAAGAAGACTGCTTGCGAGGCAGCCGACCAAGCGAAAGTGGCCAGTTGGGATTTCGTGAAGAGGGAGACGAAGTACGAGTACAGAATTGATGCAAGCCCATACAGGAGGAAGACAACAAACACGTATTCCAGGTGGAACCAGATGCTGGAGATTCCAGCCCACAATGCAGTCAAAAGTGCGGTGGAAATGACAGCAATAGTAAAATCGAACAACAGGTAGGCTCCCCAAAGCGGGAAGGGTCGAACACCGTTGGAATACTGCAGGGCTCGCACAAATCGTCTTCGCTCACCGGTTGGGTAGAGAGCAAAGAATGCAGGGTAACAAGATAGTGCGAGACCCATGTAAACCACCAGACTCAGGGCATCGCCGATGCCGGGGTTGAAGGGCACGTCGAACGACGACCAGGTTGTGGCGATGGTCGTGTTTGTCAGGAAGATGTCGAGGACCTGCTGGGAGGTGATTGAGCTGGTGATGAAAAGATTGGCTACCCAGCCGACGGTCGGGTTTGAGGTTTCGTCTCCAAGCCAAACTGCCGTGGTGATGTTGCGAAATTCGTTGTTGATTTGCTGCTTCCAATCATCAAAGGAATCGACCAGTCTGAGATTCTGCAAAGCCGCGGAACCCACGGACGCGCCGCTTCTTGAACCATTGAATATTGGTTGCAGCAAGCCCGTCACAGTCGCGACAGAGAGCCTAGAAGCTGGTCCAGCCAGGAAGATAATCTTGGTGGTGTTCTTGACTTGCGTAAAAGCGTCCTCGGTTACGGAAGAGGAGACTTGGTCAGCGGGTGCACAACCGACCTGTTTCTTGCCCCTGACATAGAGAGCCGTGAGGCCAGCGGCAAAGATGGGCAAAAGAAACGCGATGAGATACAATATCCAATTGCGTTTAAGCACGGTGAGACGCTTTCTGGAAAGGATCAGGGCCTGCTTGACATAGCCAACTCGCTTGCCGTCAAGCAACCTCAAGCCTTGGAGCGTAGAGCCCTCTGTTGAAGAAGGTAGGTCTTTTTCGTTTGTACCGTCCACTTCTCCGAGGACACCTGCGCTGGCGCCTTTGAACGCCTCTTCATCTTTGATTTCCTCTGCAAGCTGAAGGAACACATCTTCAATGGTCGGGCCAGAGAAGCGATACTGAGAGACGCCACTGCCTTCGAGAGACCTGATGACCTGAGCGGCCAAGTTGGACGTGGGTGCGACGTAGGTCGCCGATTCGAATGCCTCCTTCTTCTGGACGCCTGGGATGCTGGGCAGGTATGCTGTACGAGAATTCTTTTCCACATGAACACGGTATCCGCTGCCAAATCTGTCCTTTAGTTCCACAGATGAGCCTTGCGCGCGGAGACTCCCCTTGGAAAGGATGGCAATATGGTCAGCAAGGAGATCAGCCTCATCCAAGAAGTGGGTTGTGAGAATCAGGGTGCGTCTTCCACGCTCTGCGAGAAGAATATCCCAGATTTTTCGTCGAGACAAGGGATCCAGCCCACTGCTCACTTCATCGACACAACAGACGGCACTTCCGCCAGTCAGCATCATCCCCAGCTGCAACTTTCGCTTCTGGCCGCCGGACAGAGTCTTGGCCAGAGCATTGCGTTTAGGGAATAAGTCAATCGACCTAATGAGTTCCAATATTTCGGCCTTGGAGGCAGGAGCGTCGCCGGTCTTTAATCTGTTGAACGTGACAAGGTGCTCTTGAACAGTCAGATCGTCCCAAAGGACGTTCTTCTGCGGTGCAATACCAAGCCCACCCCTGCCGTCAATGGAGATGGAACCGCTGGTCAGCTTGTGCAGGCCTGCTATTGCGTCCAGAGTGGTACTCTTGCCGCTTCCATTTGCTCCCAGCAGGGCGACAATTTGACCTCGACGCGCCTGGAAGCTAAGCTCATTCACAGCCACGACAGGTTCGCGGGGCTTGGATGTGAAAGAAAAGACGCGGGAGAAAAAGCTCGGATAGTAAATCTTGGTGAGCTTGTTCAACTCAACGGCGTTCTCGAGCAGAGAACCCTCGCCGCCCTCTTGGAGCTGAATCTTGCGTCCGTCTGTAGTTGTGCTGTAGAGGTTCTTTTCGACCATGGCGCCCAGTAGTGGATACACAATGATTTGAGCGATAGCAATGATGAAAAAGATGACACCAGGCATCGCCCAAGAGCTAGCGGGCGGGGTTCTTGCGAGGTCGGCCGCAGTGTTCTGCTTCTCAAACTTGGCCATGAATGTGAGAAAGTAGACGTAGTTGCAAGGGGCAAAGAGCACTGATAGGGTGGCAACGGGGCCGATGGTTGGCCGTGTGAGCGCCTGGGCCAAAATGCCGAGGAGCAGGATGCTGATCAAAGTGGTGATGCTGCTCAGCTGAGCCTTTTTGAAGAAGGAAGCAAAGAGAATGGACATGGATACGAAGGAAAGCCCAGAAAACAAGTTGAAAAACAAAACAACGGCGATGCTAGTCTTCACAAAAACACCAAACCGGATGATGATGGAGCCAATTATCCATGCAGGAGCGTAAATCATGGAAAATGATAGATGATGGGCAATGATGCGAACAGCTCGAGCTTTCCATGGCCTGTCGACGGGCATCATGGAATCTATAAGCTGCGACATGCCACTTTCACGTTCAGTAGCGACAAATCCAGTAAGGTGGTAGGTGACCCATAAGATGTTGGCGATGAAGGCAACCGCCATGAAGTTGACGATGGCCTTGTGGTAAGCTTGGCGGACTTTTGTATTCCGTTCGGCTTGTGACATGCTGGCGAATGGTAGCCCGTCGGTCTTGGCCAAAGGGTCCTCGGCAGAACCATTGAAGGCGGCAATGAAGGCATCAACGGCCCTCTGCATGGGCAGGATGTAGACTTGTTCGACATTGGTGGACTTGAGGGCGTCGAACTTGACAGGTTCCCTCCAAAAGGCAGCGTCAGTCCGAATGGTGTAGTTCCAGAAACCGCCGGGGCCCTCAGTTGGCGATGAGCGCATCACCACGGCGCAGAAGCACGTCGAAACTCCGCGCAAGCTGCTGCGGCAAGTCGTAGCCAGGTCGTCTTCACGGCTTATCCTCACAACTTTCATGGATACGTCCGTCGCTGTCGCGGCGTTGGCAACCCTGTCTAGCAGGCGGTCGATATCGCCCGCGGCGAAGCCGTTGTTGACAAGAACAACCTTGGTCCTCCCACTGCCGTTGGCAGCTCTGAAGGCCTCGGGGAGAGTCATGACGGGACGAATTTGGCCAATACCGTAATTAGCAGGCGGGACTAAGAGATTCTTGGCAAAGCTGAAAAAGGACGAAAGCACGATGGGCAGAAGAAAGGCCATTACGAAACAATTTATCTTGTGGCGAAGCAATACTGCCCGGAAGTTCTTGGACATCAACGTCCATATCTGCCTGCTAACCGCCATGGCGAGCGGCAGCGGCCAGAGCCAGCGAGGATATCCGGTGGGCTATATAGATGGAGAGACGGTTGCTAAGGTTTGCCGTGAACGAAAATCGAGTCGTATCATCTCAAGAGGTTGAGGTTGAGCCGAGCGAGACGACGCAGCCTGTCGCATCACGTCGGGCCGAACAGCACCGACGGCGGGAGGGAGCAAAGGGCGAAGACAAGGGACTGAATATCCAGGGCTCACAAAAGTGAACAAAACAGAGGCGGCTCGCAGACTTGGGTGTGTAGCGCAACGGCAGATGAGTACACGAAGCTTGCCCTCATCAACTCGCGTCGTACTTGGGACCTGGGAGGCTGGAGCGGTCAATGCCTGACAACAGCACAATTACTGTTTGCGAAGAACTCTCGCCAACCGTTGATGGGGGATGCAAGAGCGCAAATGACGGATCCAGAATGGGGACTGGGGGGATGGGCCAGACGAGGTGGTCGGTCGTGATGTCACCAAGGACACTTTTTGCGACCAAAAGGGCCAAAGCGAGGGAGGAGCCGGGACTCGGAGGAGGTTGACAAGATTAGAGTTGGTCTGGAGTCGCGGCGAGCGGTCCTCGCCTTGGGAACATGAGACGTGAGACGGATTGTAGATGTACGGCGCAGTAGTCCGTGGCGTGCCAGATATTTAATCCCATGTGGTGCTTCTGGAACATACAGAGCCTCGCGTGACGCATCGGTCGATGCCGCCGTGCCCAGATTGAGCGAGACATAATCAGACGGCGTACCTTGGTTGACGTTGGAAAAGCCGAGAGTAAAGAGGTCAAGGTGGTGCTGGACAATGAATGGACTGGGCGTGCGAGGCGATGCGAGCCACCCGCCCACTCACTGACCGTCAGAGCGCCGCGGACTTCTGGTACGTATATTTTTAAGCTACCAACTTGGGAAGTTGCGACGGACGGACATCCGTGCATTGTCTGGATTCTAGATCCACCTTGAAAGCAGCCTAAACTCCGGCTCCTCCGTCTTTCTTCATTCACGACTGAACAACACGGAGCCACGCCAGTGGGACAAAGAGACAATCAATCGTGCCCATCATCTCATGGATGAAGCGCCGCAACCGCAACCGCACTGCAAGACACGAATTCTAGAAGACCACGGGCCGCCTGAGACATGTAGTTCCACATGGCCGTCATCATGTCTCGCATCGACGCTCAAGTGGCTGAGACCCCGTGCCGAATCCCCGACACACGGCCTAGTTATCTGCATCAAACTTTCGTGCTCAATAACGATTCTTGCCGTGTCAAATTCCATCCAGGGACTCCAGGCCCAAGAATAATGTTCATGATCGCAACGACTTGACCAACCTGCAGCATGCCTCACCCTGTAAAAAAGACGAAGAAGAAGCGGCCACGCCATCCTTCATCGGCACTCGGCGTCTGTCAACACCCGACTTTTAGACTTCTCCACCTCGCCTCACGTCCATGACGAAGATACAACTTCTTCCTCCGCTCGCCCGAGTCGACACCCTGCCGTGCCATGCCGTGCCGTGCCGTGCCATGCCGTCCTGCAACAAGAATCCATCTTCATCCATCGCGCGGTTTCTGGCGCCTAGCTGCTGTCAAGACTGAACTAAGCCAGGCAAAGTTGTCAGTAGTCAGTAGCAACCGTCTCCAGACGCCCCGACGCGACTAACGAGAAGGCGCGTCGGCCAAGGCACTTCTCAGACGCGAATGACACATCGAGGCAGCGTCATGGTGTGCCGAGGACCTAGCAGACTAACATCATGTCAACACCAGCAGTTCCTTGCAGAGTCCAACACAGGCTAAAATCCTGTCAACTTGGCCATCCAACCACCCCCTTTACTCATCTCAACCGAACCGATCCTTGTTTCAACGTCATTACATCATCGTCTTTATTCAAGCACGAACCCGCCGCCCTCGCCCTCACTATCTACTACCATGTCGAACTCATCCGTAACATCGCTCTCCGCGTTGGCCAGAGCTGCCTCCATCTCGGCCTCTCTATCGGCCTCTTTCCTCTCCTCCTCATCCACACCGCTCCATATTCTTTCCCGAATACGCAGTCCCATTAGAAGCCTTCTCCACAACTTCAGCGCCGCTAGCCTCCTGCGTCCATCTTCCATCTCTTGCTCTACATCTGCGAGTCCGTCAATCACACAACGAACAGCCGCCTCGAATTCTTTGGCGACGACGATTCCGTTGAGCACAGCTGTTCCCTGTCGCCCTTTAAACTGGAAACCCGTGAGGGCCGGTGCGTAGTCGGCGCCTGCTATGAATGCAGCTCGGGCTGCGTGCTCGTGAACGATGTGTACAGCTCCCTTGGGTATCATGCTGGGCACGTAGACCTCAATATTGCCAAACTTGTTCTTGGTCACGCGTCCGTCGCGCACCGGACGTGGTTCGTAGAGTATCGTTTGCTCCATGGTGTATATGGGGGTGCCGGCATCTTCATCCCCATCTGCTTTGTCTGTGTCGTCAACCCCAAATCCTCGGGGACGTGCCCTCTTTGGCAACCATTTGGCTGGTATTTCATTGGGTTTCACCTCTCGCCCCAGGCGGAACCACTTCTCTGCGCTCCGTGCTATGCGAACATCCCGTCTCCTGTATATCTTTTCCAAGGGGCCCCGACTTCCGGCGCCCACCGTCCCTGACGGTTTGGCCCCCGGCACCAGGACTTCGTGCCGCCTCATATGTCGCTCCAACGCAAATACAGGATGGTCCTTAAAGTCCTGTACATTTCTCGGCATCGGCTCTCGGGCCTCCAAACCCGTCAATTCATTCTCCTCAATTTGGTCCAAGTCTGTCGGATGTCGCCGTCGAAAAGGCTGCAGAGCCCTGCGCCACCACTGCCCGCCGTCGTTGAGGGCTGTTTCCACTCTCAAACGGCGAGTCTTTGCCGTGTAAGCCTTGGCATATCTCCTCGTCACATCTGCTGCGGTCCCGTCGGCTTCGAATGCGACAACATACGCAAGCATGTTCTCCTTGTCGGCAACCGGCGGCTCCAACGCTCTTGGTTTCCAAGATGTACCCGTGACCACGGGGTCGGCGGGCTGCCATTTTTGATGCCCAGTATCCAACACCTCTACCCAGTAGACCGGATGAGCCGATTCGCGAATGCGTATCGGTGAACCGAACGCCCGCCATTCTTTGGGAGCGGCAGGTCTCGGCTGAAAGTTGTAAGCCGTGGCATTCGGGTGACCCAACCTTCGACGCGCACTCGTGCCACCCGCAGATCCCGTCGACATGCCAGCACTCGCGGCACGAGCCTCATACTGTGCCAAGGCGTCTCTTGTTCCATCACTTCGCGTCGTTTTAGGAGCACGTTCTGCCGCCCTTGGTAACGTCGGGGCGCTGGACCCAAAGGACAGCGGCTGCAACGAGCACACCAACCTCGTCCGCACACCAACGCTTCGTAACAAAGCACAGTATAGCTGCGCCCCTACATCTCTTGACCCCTGCAGTTTCTTCGCCGCTTCGCGAAAATCAGCGCGGTCTAAGCATGAATCCAGATCATCAGCAGGTTCGTACTATGGTCTCCTCCGTTAGAATGTCTTTGAGGGGCAAAAAATGAAGCGGGAGAGACAGAGAGAAAAGGAGGGATTGGCAACGACTAACACGTTGCAATTGTTCCTTATCTTCGGCCCAAAGAGCCCTCCGTAGCCCTCGCTCTGTTATCTTAAACTGGGCCTTCCACACATCGGCTGCCTGTCTGAGGCCATTTTTCAAGCTTTCAGCCTGGCCAAACTGCGGCAAATGAGGCCCCGGGTTGAGAAAATCAACCGTCTTGTCAGTCAAGTGTGGCCGCAGAGATTCCTGTACCCGTTCGTCATTGCACCAATGATTTCTCCGCGCGACGTGCGACAGAAGGCAGAGCAGATGAGCTCTATGTATATCAATGCGACGCTCTCTTTCTTCCTTGGAGATCGGTTTGCGTCGGTGGCCCGGTCGCCGTGACAGTGATGCGGCAGATAGGTGAGCAGTCAAATTGAGTTCGAGGTTGTTCGATTTTCCAGCAGCGGTTTCCGTGTCCGGAAGAGACGAAGTAAAGTCGACATGTTGGAATTGTACATCTTCATCTTCATCTTCATCAGTCTCATCATCAGACTCGAGCTCCATAGTTTGCATTGTTGGCGTTGGGAGAACCACGTCTTGGAATTCAATATCCTCGTCATCGTCGTCGTCGTCGCCGCCGCCGTCACTTTTCTGAGTGTCCAGCTGCGCACTTGTCCGTGATGGCTCATTTGAATGATCTGAGCGAGGCACCTTGGGCTGCGACCCCCCCGGGCGCCTTCTTTTCAACGGGCGTTCCGGCGAGTCGTGTTCGGGCGCCGACACCCCGGCCTCGGTGAGCATCTGCTGATAAATATCTGGTTCGTCATTTTCGCTCCCCGTTCTTCGTCTGGAGCTTCTTGGGGAGACGGTGCGTTTTCTTCCGACCATCCTTGCGGCGGCATGTTCTCCGAGGCCCGATGTTTCTGGCGAGCCGTGGGCACCATCACGACGGGGTAGCGTGAAGGCGTCGTATTGCGTCACAACTTGGGCGCGAAATCACGTGGCTGTCTGTCACCTTGCGTTGTGGTGGTCGGTTTTTATTGGCAAAACAAAAAAAAAAAAAAAAAAGGGAATCGAAAAAAAAAAGAAAAGAAAAGAAATAAGAAGAAGAGAAATAAAAAAAATAGAACATGCCTAGCATTTAGTTCGGGTTCAAGTATATTTTGTTCCTCAAAGGTTGGAATTTCTCTTCATGTGATGGCTCTATTGCCGTCACCAGGTTTGCCGACTAATTGCTTCGTCTACACATCCGAAATCGCCACAATAAGTCTGCCACCTTGCACCGCAGACGATGTTTATGATGCATTCAACATGAAATAATGCTCACGTTTCAACTGGACAGCACTCTCTCCCTTTCTATTTGCCGCATCGACACGTCCCGTCACTCCAAGACCAAAGAAGTGGACCTGGCAAATTCCGGATGCCGCTGGTGACTGGACAGTGGACACATTACGGCCTCGGCTGGGCCCACTCTTCCTACAGATTGATATTCAATTCAACCTCAAAATTTCACCATTAGACTCGCTCCTCCAACTCCTCCATGTTGTCTGACACCTCCCAGACTTAAGTACTACATGAATTGAGCCTGACGGTTCAATCTGGTCATCTCATTCACACTCAAGTGGTCAAACAATTAACCAACGACAAATCCTTGGCATTGACAAAACTCTACTCGAGTGTTGGTATTCGACAAAAAAAAAAACCCCCCCAAAAAAAAACGCGCGAGAGAAAAAGCGCACGAGCCATCGCCTCCCTTTAACGCCGTTAAATCAAAGCCAAGTGTCAAAGTCACACTGATTTATTTCGTCAACCATCCCAAATAGTCGGCAACGATTAGGGTCACCATCCTGTCAAGGTGTCAAAAGGTCATGCTTGGCTTCAACAGGTCACAGCAGGAGAGACTTACGCGTGAGGGGCAATGCGGACGTAATATGTACCGAAGCCACGATAGAATCTTAACAGACCCTCTTGCCTGGCCACCTTGGTAAAGCAGTCAGCCATGCCCTTGTAGGGAAGCTTCCCGTCGGGGCCCTTGTGTTGCTTCTGCAGTCGAGTCTTGACGAAATCAAATGGCAAACTGAAGAAACTGGCGAAGAAGCCCGCAACCGCACTGGCGCTCAGTGTTTGAGCTCGCGCTGAAAGATCAGTACTCTTCTTGAGCTGGGCCTTGGCTTCACTGAAGAAAGCAAGCTGTCCGAAGTTGAGGGCCATGGCACGGACGACAGTTGGGGCTGCGCCAGCCCACAAGGCGCGGACACCTTCACTCTTGGAGATTGAGGAGAGGGCATCAACGACAGACTTATAGTTCTTCCGTTCAGCCAGAGATTTCAAGCCATCGCTCTGCATGCGGATAAGAGCCAGGTCGGCGGGATTACCCAGCATTGCAGCCAAACCGCCGGCAGCCAAGCCAGCAGTGGCCCGGTCGGCAAATGCAACCTCACGATCCTGCTTCTTAGCTCTAGCGGCCATGGAACGCATAAAAGTGTCAAAGAATCCCAAGCGGGCAGTAGTATACACCGCTTGTCGCAGGAGGCCTGCAGAAAGGCCAGTGTAAAGGTCAAGAACCCTGCCGCTAGCAACAATCTGTCGAGCAACAGCGATGGGTGTCGGCTTGGGGCCGCCCGACGTGCCTTCGCCAGCAAGTTGAATTCTGACTTTAATCATGTCCACCGGTTGAATGACAGTGGTAGCAACCATGCCGCTGATGCCACCATTGATGAAGGGCAGAGCTGTTCTCATCCACGGCGTGTGCAGAAGATCGTGAGCGACAGCCGCTCCGTCGGCTCTAGCCACACCCATGACTTCAGTAGTCTTGTTTCGAGCCGATTCCGCTGCTTGCTTCAGTGAGCCCCCAGCCATTTCGAAATCTGTTTGAAGTCTTCCCGTCACGGTCAGGGCTTAGAAATCTGAAGAATTCTGGTATTGAGGCCCGTGACACGGACTCGTGAAGTCGAAAGCGCTAACGGCGAAACACAATGTTAGTCGTTAATTTCACTGTATACTATGTGAAAATGGATAGTTTGGCAAGAACGAAGTCCAACACATCATTTCTCCGCAGCAGCCTCATCCAAAGAGAATTGCGTCCTTTGCTATGAAAGAGGCAGTATTGCCGCTGAGAGAGGTCGAAGTCCGCCACCAAAAACCATCGCTTGAGGCCCATGCTTGACAGCATTTTCGGGAGCTGCTGGAGCATTTTGCGGTAGAAGATCAGAAGTGAGCGAGTCCTCTAGCGAGGTCTGCGCGCATTATCCAGGTCGTCTGCCGCCGGAAGAGCTCCAATCCTGCCGGCGATGGTGGATCCAACACAGCGAGACTCCGCTTGCCGCCGGTATGGGTCCGGAAGTGCCATGAACAGTGAATGACTTACCAGGATCAGAGCGAGAAGGGATACAGTCGAGACTTATACAAGGTGCTGGCAGGATGACAGCAACAGGCCATCAGAAACCAAGAACAAGTCGGAAGAGAGCGAGAATTTGTAGCACGCTCGAGTGCGCGCAATCGAGAGCAGGCGCGGAGCCACGACCGGCAAAGCGAGGCGGGGTCGTCGCAGGTTTCTAGGCCGGGAAAGCAGTCGAGAGACAATGAGGGGAGGTGCGCGGCAGATTTTGCGGGGTTGCTCCTGCCGGCGACGTACCAAGCATCCAGAAACCAAGGTAATGACGCCAACGGGGATTGAAGGCTGGTGCGCTTGAAGGTAGCCTAAAAGGACTTGAATTTTTTTCTTTATTACTTTCCCAGTTCGGACGAGGAATGACCCGGACTTGTAGTACAATCCTAAGTTTTGGGAGGATTGCACCAGCAGCAGCAACGGAAGAGAGCCGTACGGCGCCGTTGATGTTAGTGAAGGCGTGCGGCCAAGTCGTCGTCTTGTGAGTCGCACTGACAAGCCGCGGCAGCTCGACCGACTCGGACGAATGACGACGTCGACAAGAATCTGGGGGCCAGCAACCCGGCACAACTCGACGCCTTACTCTGTACTCGGTACGGACGGAAGAGACACGGACGCAAGCAAGCGAAAAAACGACTGCGATAGGAGACCGAACAAGCCGGAATTCACAGCTGTACAAGGGATGTTGGAGAGGACGCTTGCACAAGCTTCAGGGGCGGGGATGAGGGGGATAAATAGATTCATCAAACGACGAAAACAAGGTGCGGTGCAATACACATGACACGCCGCTTCTGCTACTGCCCAGTACGGGATAACTTAAGAGGGTTTTTGTTGGACCACGCCCTCTGGTGTTGACACCGACGACATGGATGGAGGGGAGGCTTGTGGCGTTGATTTCCATCCTTTGCCCACCCTCCACCACAACCTGGACCACCGTTTTGGACGTGCAGCAAGTGGTCACGCATCAGCTTGTATGATGGGCCGCGGACAGTCGAGTCACGCTGACGTGTATCGCCGGCAACTCCAATTGAGTGTTTTGGCCCTTCTGCAGCGCGTGCTGCGGTGACTGATGCGCCCATGAAGGGCACGGAGTAGGCATTGTTTTGGCAATGGATCGGGAGCATCAGTTAGATTGGGCCATGATAGAGCTACTGGCTCCGTCATGACCCGTACGGAGGCGTACGGTGTGTGACCCCCCTCCCCCTCGTCTCTGACGGTAATTACAGAATCTCAGGTGGAAAGCGACGGCAAGTTGTTGCTGTGGGGGAAATGGCAACCCATTCGCGGGTCTTGGGGCGGATGAGCCACGATGGCCTCGAATTTCGTGTACGTAGTTCATCCGTAACAACTAACTACTGCTAGTAACCACGTCAGGCCCTGAACTCCCTGATGTTATTGAGGATGTTGGAAAATCAGTACCGCGATACGCGCACGGCATGCGCAAGCGGGAAACGTTGCAGCCCTGCGACATCATGTCGTCCTGTCGCCAGTTACAACCATGACCATGCGCAGCTTCACATGAGCCATGTCGCGCCATGTTCGGTTCTAGGCGGTGTTGAGAAGCCACCAGGTCAACTGACAGCATTTAAGGTGAGCCAGATATCGGATGATGTTACTCCGTACCAGTACCGTTGACCTCTTGTAGGACGTACTGAGTAAGTTACCGCAATACTACGGAAGAAAGAAGCAGCCAGTGACGTTGGCGAGGAATAAGCAATTGGCTCATTTTAGACACCATCCAACGTGCCAAGGGTTGCCATTGCCAGGGTTCCAACTTCCAAGCTCTTGCAACCCCACGGGCCCCAGCCTCCTTGTTTCTGTTGAGCCAGGCTCTAGAATCGCCCAATTCCGTCAACATGTCAAGTCCCATCACGAAGCAAACTACGCCGTGTCTGCGTCGCCGTAAATTGTATCACGAGCGCGGAAGTACCTTGCTTGAGCAACCTTGCTAGCCATGACCGGTCGATACCGGCGATTCACCAAAAACGTCGTCGGCTCGGCTGTGGTGATGGCGGTGGCTTGGCCGACTTGTTCCAGGCCAACAAACCCAGTTTTCGTACCGAGTCAAGTCGAATCGTGCATAAAACAGTTCCGTCCATCGTTTCATTTGACGATTCCGCAATAGCAGCGACATGACTGGCCAACAGACATGCCACGTCAGGTTCCAACAGAAGAATTTCCGGCCTGAGTTTGGAATCCCAGTTAATGGTACCGTCCCAAGGCGTCGTCGCTCTCGAATTTTCGTGGCGCTCGCCGACTGCACTGGTACCTGAGTTGCAAACCAAAAGGTTCTGTTATCCCGAGTCCTTTTCGACAAACTCGACGGCTTCCTGAAGGCTTTCCTTGGACGTAACACCGCATCTTGACGGGTATCACATTTGTTTTATGGACGACTCGGCCTTTTGAAGAACCGCCAGGCGTCTCCCGCAATAAAAACCTTAGCTGTATCAATCTTGCCCAATGCCTGGACAAACGTAATCCCAGAGCCTATGATGTCGCAGTTGTTAGACTGCTGAAAAGCTCATATTTTGAAGAGTATATACCTGTCGCGGCTCCAGTGATCATGCATCAGGTCCGTCCCTGCAGAACAGTTTGAGCTGAAAGGGAAGTGATATCAGGTTGCGAAGACATATTGGCTCTCTGGTTTACCCAAAGCAACTGAAACTTCTGAAACAATAAAATGTTGGAGTTGATGCACGCTATAGACAATGGTGCGATTGCTGAATGAATGTCGCCTCGCAATACCGGAAACCAACGCCGTGTCGCAGCGGTATGGCGCGGACAGTTCTCGCACTGTCTCTCAAGCTGCGATAACGCCGATAAAGCACGGCCAAATCACGGTGCTTATATTTTATACATACAGTAACTTTTTTTTGTCCGCCAGTCCAGATGAGCTTGTTCTGAACCTGGTGCTACTTCACGACAGGCTGCATAGCAGGCAGCATACTGGTCAACATGCCAAAAAGAAAGCGGAATGGCCAATCGAGCTTACATGATGTGTTCAGCAAGTATTGCGACGAAGTTTTTAGGGCCTTGAAGACCTCGAAGGGCTTTGAGAGGCAGCGTCTTAGTAAGAGGCTGCGTGACCCAGGTATCACGCCGGACAAGATCCATCGCCTCGAAAGAGAAATTGCAGTTCTTAAGGTAAGCGCTTGGAGGAGTCTGACAGGGCCTGTTTCTCAGAGCTGATGTTGATGCGGGTTTAGTCTCTCGACTTACATCAAACCGCGCGCGCGCACCTTCAACTGTCGTTGCTAAAGATCAAGTCAATCGCTTCTTCAACAGACCTGCCGGAGGAGTTGCGGCGGGAAGTATCGAAGCCCGATTTACCGGAAGAGGAGAAAATAGCGCTTCATAATGTCACGAGTGGATTGTATAATAAGGAACCTGTGAAGCAGGCCGTGGGCCGGGCTGTCAAGGCTGTCTGTGGTGTATTAAACGTTCCCTTTCCAGAGAACGCCAAGCGGACACGCAAAACAAAGGAGAAAAGTCTGGAGGAACAGCATTCGGATTCCATGGAAGGACTACCTGGCAAGACTATATATGCGACCTCTACCGAAACTTTGGCGGATAGGCTGGATGAAGAGTCTGAATTCGAGGGGTTTAGCGCTGACGTGGACGATCCAGGCTCGGTGCTTGACGAACGGGAACCTGATAGCGATGCTGAGGCGAAGGAGGTTACTGAATTTGACAAGATTGATGACTTGCTACGAAGCTCTTCTGACGAAGAGGAAGACTGGAATAGCGACAAGTATGCCCAATTTCGAGGCAGGGAAACGGTCAACTTGGACGACATTTCGGCGTCTGGTTCTGATGAGGAGTCCGAAGCGGAATCTGAATCACATGTCTCATCTCAATGTCGCTCTTCTCCCGGAAAAAAGCAGAACAAGGACAAAAAGGCTTCCACTACGCAAGGTCTTGTCAGGGATTCCACATTTCTCCCATCACTCATGGGTGGCTATATTTCAGGATCTGAGTCTGCTTCTGACATTGAGGAAGCCAAACCAAAGAAACGCCGTGGACAGCGTGCACGTCAAGCCATTTGGGAGCAGAAATATGGCTCTGAAGCCAAGCATTTGCAGAGGCCTCACAAGAAAAGTGGCCGGGACTCGGGCTGGGACATGCGACGGGGTGCCGTGGATGGTGAAGGCCAGAGACGAAGGACACCTTGGAAGAAAGGGATCCAAACCCTTGTTGTACGGAATGACACGGGAAGCGATGGGACATCAGCACCGATCACAAAGCGAGATGACGAAGGAAAATTGCATCCAAGTTGGGAAGCGAGAAAAAAGGCAAAGGAGTCGCAAAAGAAGATAGCATTCGCTGGTTCAAAAGTCGTATTTGACTAGCATGCTCGGCGCAAAGAGCCAACTTAGAACACCGCTTGCCCTCATAGGCCCAACTTTTACGAGGCAAAATTGACGCATTCATAGACTACCTACTCAAGTGCTCGGCTAGTCTTCTGATGCTGAGAGCCGTTCCCTCCCTTTCCGTGTACAAAGATCAAGAGCTGGATGGAAGGAGCTGAGGTGGCATTTGCCGTAGTGCCAAAACGTCCATGTTTTGAGGCAACGGTTCCGAACCAAAAATCAAATTACATCCCATTGCAAACCACTCTTTGGTACCCTATGGATTTAATCGACCACTTGACGTCAATCCCCGACTGAGACGATCTTGTTTCACGCAGGACCTAAAAGGCTATTGCCTTCGCAACATCCCAGCAGGCGAATTTCAAGCAAAGCAAAGTCATGGGGCCTAGCAAAGTGAATGGCCCACAAGACTCTTGCAAGAACTGCTTGAATATCTTTCATCGAGCTTCAGGTGACCAAAACGTCGGCCGGTATGGCTCGTCAGGCTTATCAATCTCTCATGAGTCCGGCGGATCTGCACATAGCAACTGCGTCCATTGTCAAAGGATCGTGAGGCAAGCGGAAGCCAAGGTCCAGGACCATCTACGACCTAGACGGCTTCATCACGCGTCTATAACGCTCGGTTGCGAGTCAGAGATCCAGGTTGGCGATGGCAATCATCTTTACTTCGTCAACAATACCGACATAAGAGACGTCATAAAGATAGTAATGGGTACGTTTAAAGAGGAGGTGGAATACCAAGCAAGCACCAAGAATAAAAATACTTCGGATGAAAATTCAAATCAGAGTAGTCGTATGCTTCCAGGATTCGATCGCAAAAGAAACTCCATCACACCGCGCCTCTCTGCAGTCGCTGAACCGGCAACCACGATCAGTGTGCCAAAGACAACATTCTTCACCCACACGAACTGGGGCAGTACAGGACTATCTGCGGGATATCCGAAAGACAAATCGTCAACAAAAACCACCATATTGTCGCGTGGGAGCATATCTGAGATTGTTTGGGCAGAAAACGTGTCGTCAGGCGCAGATGGGCCATGGCGCTCCAAGTCGCCGGCAAAGCCATTAGACAACTCGTCAAATCACAGACGTACACAAGGGCAGCCTATATTCAAGTCTCATCAATTTCGAGGTGCCTTGGATCCAGATGATACGGCGGCAGAGCTTCTTTCCAACCCACTAGAGTCACTGTCATCAAGCGTATCTTTTCAACAGCGAGCATCTCGATCAACTGACGAGGAGTCAAATATGACTTCGTTCCCAGAGCTGCGGCCACGTCATTGCACCAACGATTGGCTCAACCCACCGGCTGACATCGAACAACTCACCTGTGTGCCGACATCCGACCTGTACCATCGAGGCGTCGATGCACACAGCGGCAGGGCTCCCGCGTCTCCAGAATGCGCCTGGCAAAGCCCCCGGCCTATAGTCGTGACATGCGACCATAGTTTTTTCGACAAGGATCCTTTCTGTTGCAGTAATCTTTACCTTGCTGAGCGTCGAGCAACCGCTTGCTCGACTTCTGCTGGCAAAATCCGCCCAGGAAGCTCCGTTGGCTCATCTGTCCATCGACGGCGCAGTTCTCAGATCCCCCTTCCGTATGATTCGCCGTGGGATAGTCAGGATAGCTTCATCCCTCGAATACTAGATAAACTTCGCCGGAACACCCAGCACGATATCAACCAACAGGCATATCCACGGCCAGATTAGAACGTTTGGTCTGCTAAGCGCGGGAAGTCGATTTCATCGGAAGCTGGGGCGGACAGCAACGCTCCATCTAGAGACAGCATTGTGAAGGAACGCACCTTGAAGCCACCAACAGCGGATAACCTGGGGATATACGAAGCACTAACGGGGAGCAGAATGGCCACTGGCAGAAACCGACAGGACACATGCTCAGAAGATAACCGGCCGCACGTATGTGAAAACGACTTGGACCATTCCAAGACGAGTAGTAGAATGCCAGCCAGCTGAGACTAGACAGAAGGAGGCGGCACGGTGCACCTGGTTAATACCTAATATACTTGTTACGAATCCCTACGAGACGGTCCATTCCTGCTGTAGATGATGCTCGAAGTGGTCCAGGCCACTTGATTTCGCAGAACTGCTAGAGCTGGTAGCCCAGAAGTTGTGGAACCCGGTAGTAGTCTCCCATTCTATCAACGCGGAGCGTCCATGCGAGGGCTACGGCGCAGTTCATCAAGTGTGAAGCTCGTGAAACCAAAGCAAGAGGCCACACGGCGACGACGAGACATATCCAGTACGCCTTACCATATGAAATTCGCCCACAGCAAGCACCATGTATTCTCGATAGATCTCTCAACTCGACCAAGATGCTACACTGCCTTGGAAGCCCTCGCTCTATTCTCCTTGTGCCTCTTCTCCTTTGCCGCGCTCTTCCGCCTACCCATCCACGACTTGTTCAAGTCCCTCCTGTTTTCCCAGAACCATGTCTGAAAGTCACTCGATCCCGCTCGCCCCTGAGATGGGGCGCCTCCCCCGGCCTCGTCGCCGTCCTCCCCCTGCTCGTCTTCAGCGGCATGGTCCACGTCGGCATCGTCTTCCTGTGAGGACAAAAAGTTCTTACTGCGACTGGGGTGCGCGGTGTCAGGAGTCGGCGCGGCGCTTCGGACCTTTCGCCATTCAAAGTCTTGTCGGGTATACGGGGTCATGGGCACAGAGACAGGCGCGGCCTCGTCGTCAATGTCGTCCTCGTCTGCGTCGTCGCCGCCGCCGCCGCTGCCAAAGAAGCTGAATGGCTGGGGCTCTTGAGCCGCGGCTGCCTCGGCCGGCCTGGCCCGCTTGTACAGCGCTTCGAGGGGGTGGACTTTGCTGGCGGATGGGGTGGCGGGCGGTGGCGGGATCTTGATACTGAGGCTCCTGGAGGAGCTGGACGACACTGGTCTCGTGTCCTCTCGTTTGTTTGTGGGAATTGATGCCGGCGTTTCTGTCTCCCCGGCAGAGGAGTCGTCGCTGGATGTGTCGTCCTCTCCTGAGCTTTCGCTGTGCTCCTGTTCAGCCTCGGCCGCTTCGGATCCATCCGAGCTGGAGCCCTGCCGCTCTTCTGCCTCAGCTGACGATGTTCCGCTGCTGCTGGTGTCGTCACCGTCTGCCCGCTCCTGTGCAGAGGTCTCTTCTTTGGAGGATTTCTCGCGCTTAGGCGTCGTCGCTGGGGGCTCTATCTGCTTCACCGTCTCCACGACGTTGCCGTCCTCGTCGACCCAGCCTTTGCCTTGCACAAACTCTGCCGCCGGCTTGCCGTTCATTTCGGGTGCCGTGTTCTTCAAGAAACCAGGGAACTTGGTGGTCTTTTCGAACTCGTGAACCGTGACCTCTCGAATGTTCCCCTTCTTCTTCTTCTTCTTGTAGGCATCTGTGACGGGCAAATTTCTCACGGCATTCGGCGGCAGCCTCGTCTTGAGAAGACACTCGTCCTGCTCCGTGTATGTCGATTTTTGGCGTCTCCTCTTCTCCTGGTCCTGGTGCTGGGCAGGCTTGTCCTTGCTCTTCCTATTTCTTCGTTTTGCATCGGCGGGTTCCGTCCAGCCCCGCTTGACTTTTCGACCCTCGAGCACGAAGCCCTGCAAGACATTGTGGTCACGCTTTCGCTTCATCGTGCTCCCGAGGTCGTCTTTTGACTTGACCTTCCTTCTTCTCGACTCGGCGTCGGCATCACCCGCCGGTTCGGCTCGTTTCTCCGGCCGAGCTTTTTCAATGCGCACCTTGCAGCCCTTCAAGGTGGCGCCGTGGAGCTTCTTTCTCAGCTTCTCGGCCTCCACTTCAGGCAAGTCGACGAACCCGTACCGCTTCTCGGGAAAGGTCTCGAGCGTGTGGAAGGACATGTTGCGCGCGCCGGGGAGCACCGAGGCCGGGATGACAATCTTGACGAGCTCGTGGTCAAGAGGCGTGATGTGCAGGCGGGTGTAGTTGTCTCCGTCTGCTGCAGACGCCTTTGCGGGAGACGGTTCTGCAGCCATGCCGGTGCCAGGCCCTCTGACGGCGCGACGAGTCGAGCGTCGCCTGGTAGTGACGCTTTCGGAAATTGCAGTCGACTTGCCAAACGAGTAGAAAATTCGGCTTGGTGGTGATGAATTTGCCAAGGTTTAAAAAAAAAGCCTTGGGCGCTGTCAAAGTGAACAAGCGAAGGAAGACGGGCCAAGTACTCCGTACGGAGCGAAGTACCCGCTCTGTCAGTCGCGACTCGCCAGGGGCGTTTTGTCACACCAAAACCCCGGCGCGGCCACGCCACACTATTTTGCATCCTACTTTATGCGGCAGTGGTGACTGCTGGGTCGTGCAGGACTCTCCGGTTTGGTTCCGTAGCGAGACCGTCGACATGACATCTTACGTACTTGATAGAGGTTGTAAGACTGTACAAGGTGCCCGGTCTGGAGCCGACAGACCAGCCAATCATTCAACATGTGAACTGCCTACATGCTTCAGCGTCTCGTGTGATCGCCCTGCAAGGCAGTTTGTCTGCGCCATGGACTTTGTTACTTTTACACAATGTCACCCCAAGTGGCCCTGAAACTTGCAGAATTATACAGTCCTCGAAACACAACTAATATACAAAGTATGCTGGGGCATATCCATCATGAGCGCGTGTCGAAAAAAAAAACGGCTAGGCTCGTTATGCTGTGGGGAGTGGAATGATACATGGTTTTGGTGATACAATTGCAGACGCTGGCATCCTCTTTTGTGATTGTCTAGCCCCAAGGCTTCAAGGAGTTGTGGCGGAAGAAGGGCTGCGGATCTTGCTCTCGCTTGTCGCCCCCGATAGCTTTCCACCAGACATCGGTACTCCACCGAATAATGCGCTCGGCAGCGCCCCGTGGGGTGGCGGCAGGTCGAACGTCGAGATAGAAGACAGGCTCACCAGTGGGCTCAGGTTCGCCCGAGTAGTAGTCGATGACGTATCGGATCTGCTGTCTCTCGCCGTTCGCCTCTCGGGAGACGTACCAGTCGTGGCGGTCAAATGGCGGTTCGGTGCTGTGAAACGTTAGCACATGGCCGTGACATTTTATACGCACTGATGTTCGCCGTGCAGAAACCTACCCAAACTTTGATGGATAGATCCAGCCCAGCACCTGCAGCATGGTTGCCTTGGGGGTCAGATCCTTGGGCCGGCCCTGGAAACGGATGAGAGTAGGCTCGGGGTCATTGACGTCCCAGCTTCGCTCAATCTCCTCGGGTGCATGAGCCTCGCCGCGCCTGCAAACCTGCCATCCGTTGTACAGGCCCTTGCCGAAACGCTGCTCCCAACCGACAATCTCGGCCCAGGCGCCCTCGTTGAGGAAGTTGTGAACAGACACCATGGACTCGACGGCAGTGATGTCGGTGTCTGTGTATCCCTTGCGCAGGAGAGCATTGTACATTTGCTGTGGCGAAGGATACTCCCACGTGCCGTCTCCGCAACCCTTTGGTATCGTTGATTCCTCTCGACTTGTTGGCAGCGCGATGGCTTGATTGGGAGCACGTTCCTGCGACAGGTCGGGGAACATGTAATTGAGTGGGTTGAGCTGCGAGAGCAGAGATTTGGGCCCTTCTTGGTTTGGGCGAGCCTCGCGGGCTACGCGGCGGCCAGGCACGGACGGGCCAGAAGCCTGCTCAGGGGGGTGTTCATTGGGTTTCAGCGCATCGAGACTCTTCTTGCGCATCGGACATGCAGCCTGTAAGAGGGTGGGAAGTCAGGGTCCATATTGATAGTCGACACTGATGGACTTTATGCTGCGTACCGGAGGAGCCGTATTGCCAATGACCGGAGCATGGCCGCTTGCCGTAGGCACGGCGGCGGCGGCAGGCTCAGCCCAGAACCAGCCCATGATGAAGCTCAATTGGTGCAAAGAGTTAAAAGGCGAGCAAAGTCGAGTGGCCGTGGTGGGTGAGAAGCGCCAAGTGCTTTGCAGACAGAGAGAAAAAGCACGAACCAGGATGGCAGCGATGATGCTGGGAGAGGGATCATCGAGACGCACGAAATCTTGTCACGGTTGAACAGTTGACCGACAGCCCCGGCGAGGCCGTGGGGCGTGGGGCAGTCAGCACCGACCAGGCTGACGTGATTGGCGACAGCGGCAGCGGCAGCGGCAGCGGCGCCCGCACTTTCCAACCCGCCGCAGCTCGACGGTTCTGAATCCATCTCTGCTCCGGCTTCTCCCTACAGTCCTCTACGTCACCAATCCCATGTACTAGGCCAGCTGTTGCGGGCACCGGCTAGTGCGCAAGGCCTTGGACCGAATTGCCATCCGCGCTTGCCGACGACTCCTCGAGCCCCGCGAACCACATACGCCGTCAAACATGACAGATTCCGCCTGCAAAGGGGATCTCACTCGCTTGTGAGCCGATATGAGATTCGGAATCGTCTTGGGCCGGGCTTGTTTCCGGCCCTTGCTGCCTTCGCATTCCAGTTCGCCTCATCTTCTACGCCGCGTCGCGTTCCGACTTCACCACACACGCCAGATACCGCGCACGGCTTCGGGAGCAAGGGCAGCTTCGGCGAGGAGACTCATTCTCAAGGCCTCGACTGGTGCAGCTGCCCTGAGTGCTGGCGCCTTCGTCGAGATTTCGCAAACCGACAATGATGGCACCGAGCAGACGGGCGAACACCGAATGCTGGAGGTCTCCCGCGAGGAGATGCGCAAAGCCGTTGGCGACGACGAAACTGGGCTGCAAAGGGCGGCGCACAAGGTTGTCCTCTGGTTTGACTTGTATTTGTGGGAGCCGTTCTGCACGGGCTTTCGCTTTCTGCACCTCCTCGTCATCTTCGTGCCCGTCATCATCACGGTCCCCGCAATTTGGATTGGCACACGCCGCCCCGAGCGTGATGGCGAACGAAGCGGGACGCTTTGGTGGTACGGTTTTTTGGTCAAGGCAATGGAACTTGCAGGCCCTGCCTTTATCAAACTGGGACAATGGGCGGCATCTCGAACAGACATCTTCCCCAACGAGATGTGTGACGCCATGTCCAAGCTTCACTCGAACGCGCCCGCACACTCCCTGCACGCAACCCGCAGGACGGTCTCGGCAGCGTTTGGCGGGCGCGAGTTTGACGACATCTTTGACGAGTTTGACGAGAAACCGCTCGGCGTTGGGGCCATTGCGCAAGTCTACAAGGCCAAACTCAAGCCCGAACTAGCCACGTCAAAGGGTGGCATGAGCCGCTCCGAGGGATACCGTGGTGGCCTGTCGGAAAATGTGCGACGACACGTCGAATCCGTGCTCAAAAGCTCACCAAGGCGCGTCCCGTCATCGTACGTGGCCGTCAAAGTCCTCCATCCCCGAGTAGACAGAATCGTCCGCCGCGACCTGAAAATCATGCACTTCTTCGCATCTATCCTCAACTCCATCCCCACAATCGAATGGCTCTCCCTGCCCGACGAAGTAGCTCAATTCGGCGAAATGATGAAGCTCCAGCTCGATCTGCGCATCGAAGCCGCCAACCTCGAGAGCTTCCGCCGCAAGTTCCAGGACCGCACAACCGCCTCATTCCCCTACCCCTACACCGACTTCACGACGCGCAACGTCCTCATAGAAGAGTTCGCCCAGGGCATCCCGCTCGCCGACTTCATGGAAAACGGCGGCGGGGTATTCCAGCACGACATTGCCGACGAGGGCCTCGACGCCTTCCTACGCATGCTCCTCCTGGACAACTTTGTCCACGCAGACCTCCACCCGGGCAACATCATGGTGCGCTTCTACCAGGCAGCCCAGCCCGAACTGCGCCTCCTCAAGAAGCCAGACCGCAACGCCCACGACCAAGAAGCAGACGTGACGGAAATGGTCCTCGAGCGTCTGCGCCCCTTCAGGCGCCGCAAGAACAAGGCCGCCTGGGAAGCCGAGCTCGCCAAAATCGACGCAGAGGGGTACCGGCCGCAGCTCATATTCATCGACACGGGCCTGGTGACGGAGCTCAACGCCACCAACCGCGCCAACTTCCTCGACCTCTTCCGCGCCGTCGCCGAATTCGACGGCTACAAGGCCGGCCACCTCATGTGCGAACGCTGTCGCCAGCCCGAAGCCGTCCTGGAAAAGGAGGTGTTTGCTCTCAAAATGCAGCACCTCGTGCTCAGCGTCAAGTCCCGCACCCTGGCGCTGGGAAACGTCAAGATCGGCGACATCCTCCAACAAGTCCTGTCCATGGTGCGCACCCACCACGTCCGCCTGGAGGGGGACTTTGTCAACGTCGTCATCAGCATCCTCCTCCTCGAGGGAATCGGGCGCAGCCTCAACCCGGACCTGGACCTGCTGAGCAGTTCCCTGCCGATCCTGCGACAGCTCGGCACCCAGAGCGGCGCAACAATGGCCAAGAGCGGCGACTTCAGCATGATCTTGGTCTGGGCGGGCTTGGAGGCGAGGAAGTTCCTCCAGGCGAGTATAGAAGACGTGAGTCGATCCCCTGCCCTGCCTGGCCCCATCTGCTCGGCCGTGTCGGCCAGAACCTCTTTGTAACTGACCCGTCTGTCTAGGTCGAGCGATGTGTGAAATACGATTTACTTTCTCCCAATGTATGAGTGCGCAAACGGACGGGTGGATGGGAGAAGTCATCAGGCACGCGTGTGGCGTATCGGTATTGCATGACGGGTCTTGTATCTACTTTTGTTTTTTCCCCCTATTTTCCATGAGCGACGTCGGCGGTTCATCATCATCATCATCTTGTTGCATGGCGACGGGAAAGAATTGGAGAAAGTGCAAATTACAAGAATAGAGGCGCGCCAGCGCTGGACTTGCATCTTCCCTCTGATACATACGACAGGTATAGCATTATACGTGTCTCAATTTTTTCTCCCTAGTTGCGTCGCTAGGTATACTCTGTCCTTTGGCCCCGGCAATATATTCCCATGCTGCTGTCTTGCCATTAGGTCCCCGGGGCGACAGGGTGGAAAAGTAGGAGAAATGGGAAATAACTGCTTCGTCAAGTCATCAGCCTGTATATTAAAAGTTTTCTATGTAAATGCACACGACGGCCCTGCATCTGCGTCAACTCCAGCCTGATCCGCATACGTTTTGTCTACTTTGACCGAAGAGACCCCGCTGGTAGTGAAATCGTAAAGTCTTGGTAATATGACCAGGCAAAGATGCTACAAGGTGGCATGGGTAGGTAGCGTGCCTGGCGAAGAAGGTATAACATTGGTGGGCCACAAGTGTTTATACATGTCCTACTGAGGAACGCGAGAGAGCAAGCAGCCTTGAGACACGTATTGAAATAGTTGCGTCTCACAAGGGGAGCAACGTTGCTCTAGTCCGTTGCCCGGTAAAGAAACCACCCTGTCTTTACAGATGACGATTGCCTCGATTGGAACAACAAGCCCGTGCCGTGCCTTTCTAGTCGGTGCTGGCGCTGAGATCCATCGATTTGTCCCATAGGTTACGGAGGAGGGCGTTCGTGCCATCCTCCTCTCCGACCGCAACTAGGCTCGCCCCGCTTAATCGTTCGTTCAGTTTGGCAACGTCATCTGCGTCGAAGCTGCAACTCGCTCCGTTGGCTCTGCTCGATGCACCAGACTTGGGAATGATGTGGCGTGAATCCGGCGTGCTGGCATCCCGAGCATGTCGAGCATTGAGATCCATGCTTCGTTTGCCGTTGACAGAGCCAGGAGTCGTTCGTGGGATTCTTCGCGTCTTCGCCATCCCTGGAAGGCGACTTAGACGGTTCAGAGACCGAGCAACGGGGTTTTGGTATCGTCGAACGACGAGGTATTCCATACCAGTCCGTTCCAGCAGTTTGCCGATGCGAGGATCACGGCTGTTTCCCCCGTCGTAGCCGGGACCTCCAATGCCAATCAAGGGGCTTGCCCCAACCGCGCCCACTGCCCCTGTCAATGCTTGGGCAGGCTCCAATACTGAACTGGCGCGCTGCAAATTCAGCTTCTGCTGTGTGCGCGATGTTTCCGCCGAAGGGCCTCCCATTCGCCTGTCGGCCTTTGGTACCAAGGCGCTGTTGTCGATTTCAGCTGGTGGCACCAACACCGGCGTCGGCATTGGACTTGCATCGTCACTCTTGAGCGCGCGATCAAGATTTGCCATCGAGCCAGGCCTTCGGGGGACATCCTCAGACTCTTGGCCGGGACCGTGAGCTGGACGATAAAACGATCCTTGGCTTGCCAAGGCAGAGCCGGCAGTATCGACAAATCGGGAGACTAGCTCATCTTGATGGCTATCTGCCGAGGGCGTTGCGTTGCGACCAGTCGAGCTGACGGAGCGGGACAATTGCGCCGGTGCCGCATTGGCAATGTCGACAGTCATCTGGGGTGGTGCACCGTGTGACGGGGTTCGTTGTAAGAGGCGAGAGGTGAGGTATTCTTTGTGGTGAGACGTTGCACGGTTGGGTGATGGAGGCTCTGCTTCGTGAGATTTGGAACTAGTACTCGGGGTCACGGGCCGCGAGTTCTCGGCGCTGGGTCCTTGCCTCAGAGACGATTGAGCGCTGCTGTTGAGCGAGCCTTTGCGTGACAGGTATGGCGAATTGGAGCCGCTGGCATCAACCCACTCGTCTTCAGGATCATCGCTGCCCAGGTCGAAATGCACCTGGATCCTGCTGGGTTTGGTTGGCTGCTTATGTATGCCCGTATGGATACCCGTGCCGCTCGAGGTTCGTTTGAGCTTGTCCGACGACCGAGAGCGCTTGCCAACCTCGACGTGCGAGCGGTTGCGCTTCAGAGTAGTGTGCGACAAGCTCTTGGGCAGATTGGCAGTGAAGGATTGACGGGCGAGCTTGACCTCGCTGGTCGCTCGGCGATGGGGCGGCGGGCGATGGGCAGTCTGGGCAGCTTCGTCGAATTCGGTCGGCGAGGTAGGTCGTCGATTCAGCTTTGGGTTGTGGGCATGAGCGTGCGCATGAGCGTTGCCATGCTGTTTGTGGACGGCTTTTGAGGAAGGGACGCGGGCGTGCAGGCGACCGGCGTGACCAACGTGGTGATGCTTCTGGTGATGCTTTGTGCGATGATGGTGAGACGGAACTCCCGAGGTGTTTGTGGTATCGCTGTGAGAGTCGCTGTCCTGGTGGTTGAGGGGAGGTCGCGTTGATTGGCCGCCGGACGATGCGTTGTCCAGGTCCCTGTCTCGCGCCATGGTGTAGCAGAGAAGCACCCGAAGCCAGCCAAGGTACGGAGTACTTGGCTACTTGGCCTGTCCACACCAAAGGCACCAGAGGTCGACGTGCTTCCGGCGGCAGGTTACGCACCTGCTGTGGTCGCCGGCTCGAATGTGATGAAGGTCTCAGTGTTGGGCGGCAGCGGTGATGGGTCGAGCTTGTGGCTGGCGCTTGGTGCTTGCGACTCTGGGAGAGGGAGACATGCAGCGACGCAACGATGCGGTGTTGCGCTGCTGTGCTGTGCTGCCGTCAAGGATGTCCCGGTCCAATGTCCAATGTCCAGTGTCTGGTTACAAGATGCTGCGCCGTCTTCGGCCGCGGTTGCTGCTCAGTACTCCGTACACGTGTGAATATCGGAGTCGGCGATGGCGGCTGTGAAGGCGACCTGGCAGCCCGGTGCCAAGGTTTCTTCCGAGGTCCAAATGCCAATTGGCCGGCTGCAAGATTGGTGCAGGTGGCAGGAGCAGCCCGGACGTGCGGAAGAGGAGCTCTCGACTCTTGAAAAAGGTGTCCTTTGGGGTGTTGATAATTATAAGGGAAGGGACGGACTAAAGGGACTGAAAGAGACTAGCCATCTGGCATCTGGGTCGTGGGAGGGAGTGGGTAGACGGGCCGAGAAACGGAGAGAGTGTGGTTTTTCTTTCCTTCTTTCCTTCCCTCCTTCCCACCTTCATTCTTTCTCTGTCTTTCCTGCCTTTTCTTCTTCTTTTGCGCTTCTTCACTCCCTCGTCTTGTCTTGTTGAGCCTGTGTGCGGTTTTCTTCCGACCCAGACTCGAAACAGAGCCCAGACCGCCGTGAGGTCAGAGTTACCTAGGTAGGTAGGGGAGTGAGTGGTGGTGGCAGACAGATGCGAATGGATGGTGAGCGACGAGATGGAGGGTTGCAAAGGAAACTGGATGGACACGATTGAAACGAGACTAGGCACAGGGCTGCGCCGCGCTGGCGAGTGGAGGGGACGGCGGAGGGCGGCCGAAGACAGTGACTGGCTGTGCGCGACTGCGCCAGGCATCTGGAAGCTTTTGGCTTTTGGGGGCCCCGGGCAGCCCAGGCCGGCGCCTTGGCGGTCTAGCGGCCCCCAGGCCGTCCCCCAGGCTGGTGGTGGCAGAAGTCAACCCAGTTTTTTGTGTCCACGCAACATGCAAGCGTCCACGATCAAGTCGGGAGAGACCAGTCTTTCCGCGTCGAGAAATACCAGCAGCCGTCACCATCATCCATGTCTTACGAAACTGGTCAGAAAGTCGGCTCGAATATACTGAGTCGCATTCAAGCAAGCCAGTAATTCATCCCAACGTGAGCATCTCATTCACCAAGCGCTGTGTCTTAACGGGCAGACCGGGTCATCTTTTTCCTACCAATAAATATGCACCAATATACCCCGTACCGCAATATGTGCAGCATAACTCGCGATTGCCTAGCACCTGCTCCAATTCAGTACTTTTTGCCTCCCTCTGTACATTATACATACATAGGTGGAAAGAAAATTTCGATTCCTTTCTTTTCAACATGACTCTACAACGTCTATCGTGGTTCTACTGAAAACCTTCCATACGTCATCAGACTACACTCAATTTGCGCAATATTCAACTTCACGAATGACAGGTCGTGGTGAGTAACCGACGTTCAATGCCCGAGCCGTTCGTCATCCAAGGTGGTCACGTGCAGGGCTGCTTCTCGTAGTGGAGGAGTCAGGACGGCGTGGCACAATGAGCTTATTAGTTGCTTGCTCGGTACGTACCTTCCTCATGCTTCTCCAAACCAGGCTCCTCGTCGCTGCCTCGCCTGCCCTCGTCACCCAGCCTCGACCACGTCTCCATCAACACCCGAGGTCCCACGAAACCCGGTATAAATTATCTTTCGCATTCCGAAACACAATGTCTGGCGTCGCAGCCATTGAAGAGGAGAGGTCACAATACCAAGAGCAGGTTCGTTTTCCATATTCCGGCGCCCCGTCGACCTCGTTGGGCTAACTCGGCGTCCAGCTCGATATCGTGCTTCAACAACTACGAGATGATCCAGACAGTGCCGAGCTTCAGGCTCTACAGGAGGAGTTGACCAATGTCATTCATCTCCTCGATGAGAACATCGCCGAGCTAAGACCAAACCTGCCGTCTAAGCCTGCCCCAAAAGAACCCTCGCCGCCGCCGCCACAGCCCGAAAAATGGTCTCGTGAAAACCACCCTGCCTTCAAGAAGCCGCCTGCGCCCCCGGAGGAAAAGGAAGAACCTACAGTCACGTATCATGTGAACGATACCGTCATGGCCAAATGGGTATCCGGAGACAAGAACTTCTATCAAGCCAGAATCACCTCCATCACTGGGTCGTCCGCCGCGCCGATATACACTGTCAAGTTCAAAAGTTACGACAGTACAGACACACTAAGATCAAAAGATTTGAAGCCCGTTTCTAATAAGAGGAAAGCTGACGACTCTGCGCCGCAGCCGTCGGCCCCAGGTGTTGTGTCGTCTGCTGGGGCTACGATGTACCCTGGTGTCAAGCACGAAGCCCAGAATGATGCAGAGGCTGCGACAGCCTCGAAACCAAAAAAGATTCAGGCAAAAAAGGAGCTTGAAGCTGGCAAGGCAAAGTGGCATGCATTCAATGCAAAGTCCAAGTTTGGCAAGACGAATAAGAAGGACAGCATGTTCCGCACGCCAGAGGGTATTCATGGAAGAGGTGAGTGAATATGTGCATATCCAAGTTTGAATAGCAAAAACTGTGCTTCAGATTGCGCTAACAATCGGTCATCCAGTGGGCTTTACCGGTTCAGGACAAGCTATGCGGAAAGATCCTACTCGATCTCGTCATGTTTACCAGGTAAACGAAGACCTAGACTAACGACTCTCTGTTTCTTTCTTTCTAGTTCATGTTCACAGACGCGTTGCCAAGTCAAATCGGCGTTCAGGGAGGAATGTGTTGATTGGGTGGGCTTTCACGCCATTTTACGGTAACATGCCTCCTGATTGACAAAGGCTGGGGCTAACCTCGCGTCTTTTCGCACTTTGACGGCCTGCCGTCCAACCTCATAATAGCTCGAGTAACATAGGATATTCCACGTCAAAAGGAGATAATTCATTCCTGTCTTTCGAAACTGTGATTTGGTATGGACCTCACTGAGCTCTGTTGACATGGTACTTAAAACCCTTGCGACATCAAGATTGTGCAGACGTGCTAATGGCTTTATGTGCGGGATATCACATGTATTGAAACAATATTGTAAACGAGGCCATCGTTCCTGGTATTCTCAATTCGTCCCCAGGCCAACTTTTGGTAAGACTCTGTCGGCAACCCGTAAAAACGCTGACGCTCTCTCACTTGATGCCTCGGCGACGACCGTAGGCTTCCCTCGCTCGGCATCATCTCCAATATTTGGGTGTAGAGGAATGTCACCCAGGAAACATATCTCATGATCTTTGCACAACCTTTGGACCCTTTCATTCGATCCAAACACATTCGTCTCGCCATGACAATGGGGACATTTGAACAGTGACATATTTTGTACGAGACCCAAAATCTTCACATTCACTGCCTTGAACATGTTTATACCCTTGACAGCGTCCTTTGTTGCCAAGGTATGAGGGGTTGTGACGATTATAGAGCCTAAGAAATCCACGTCAGCACATACGTAGCCCGCGAACAGCAGTGAAGGATGAGGACGGGGCAGTGCTTGCTACCATCTAGAATGACCTGTTGGGTTATGGTCAACTGCGTGTCGCCAGTACCAGGTGGCAGGTCGAGGACCAGAATGTCCAACCCGCCCCAGTCTACCTGGTGTAGAAGTTGCTGGATGGCTTTCATGACCATTGGCCCTCGCCACACAACCGGCGCATTCTCGCCAACAAGATAGCCCATTGACATGGTTTTCACGCCATAGTTTGTGAGAGGAAGAAGCTGGTTATCTGCAACACCGTCAGCCACGGGCCAGAGGAGTTGTGCTGCGGTGGGAACGTCGCAAGGGTGGTCACATTTTGATAATCTTGGTTCTCCGGATAAGTCGAACAGTGTCGGAATGGACGGTCCGAATATATCTGTGTCCAGTATGCCCGCTCGGAGCCCCAGCCGAGCAAAAGCCAGGGATAGGTTCGCTACCCCCGTTGACATCAATATACATCAACGCGGTTTGTTTGATCAGCCTCGACTCACCCGCAACTGTGCTCTTACCAACACCGCCCTTGGCAGATGACACGGCGATGACTTTATCGACTCCTGTGATCTTGCGCCGCTGGGGACGTTTTCCCCAGGTTGGCGGGGTGCCGGATTGAGGCAGACCCTGTCAAAAGTGTCAGACCTTGTGAGATGGCATGGGGAAGGGACAAGTTGGCGACGTACTAGAGGGTTTTCGTGGTATAGCGTGTGAGACGATCGCAAGAGGCGCACTGCGGTCTGGCGCATGATTGGCGCTACCTACGTTGAAATGCGAATAGAGCTGCAAAAATTTTTGGTTATTCCTACAAGCAGGCAGATTGACCGTGTGAATATTACTGGAATATATCCCAAGACCTCACAACATAACAGATGATGACGCAGGCCTTGGGACCGGTGCTTTGACAAGCAGCAGCTGTCTGAATACGCTGAAAGGCTACCTTATCAGGGGGGGCAGCTCCGTTGCTGGCGGGTGGGTCTGCACGGGAGCTGCGTTCTGCCACTAGACACCGCTTAAAAGTTGAAGTCGGAACCCCGGGAGACAAAATCTTCTGGACGTGGGGCTCGTGTTTTTTGTCTCTAATCAGAATACAGGCACTACAGCAGCTGGACGGTGGGAAAATGGCCAAATTAAAAGGCCGCGCCAAACAGTTCCGGGACCCGGACGAGGTCATCATAAAGGGTAGGTGGATCATCCAAGAGCATTGGATCTTTGCACCACAGTATAAACTAACATTTACAGACCACGACCCGGAAGCCAACGCACGTGACGGCGCCAGCGCCGATGGAAGCGGCAGTGAGGACAGCGAAGACGAGAACCGGGGCACTGGGCACTACGTTAGTGTTGGAAGGAGCAGACTGAGACACAGGGAAAACGTTTCGCTGGGCCCTGAATACAGGGGCTCTCGAGTCAGCCGGTCTGCGTTGGACGACGAGAGCGAGGAGGACCGAGAAGCGGGAGAAGGCGACGGTGACGATGACGATGACAAGTATGACGATCCCGATGTCGCTGACCTAGAAGCCGATGAGGCCGAGGCCAACGACTCGGAGATCAACAGTGACGATGCTCTGGGCGAGTCGGACGTTGAACGCTTCAGAAACTACGCTTTTCGTGGCTCTGCGAAGCCCACAAAGCCAAGGGGGAGACCCGGGAGGGCGGCTGCGGCAGATTTCATGTCCGATGATGACGAGAATAATGAATCTGGCGAAGAAGAAGATGTGGATGACGGGCTTGATGCGCTGGCGAATGGCGAACTCGACCCCGAGGAGGTGGGTGACGAGGACGAAGAGTACAGCGAGGATGATGAAGACGGAGATGAGGACGAGGGAGGACAAGACAAGGGCGGTGATGATGACAAAGACGAAAAGGAGCAGGGGTCCGCGAAGAAAACTGCGGCCAGACCCCATCTATCTGCTCTGTCCAACCGAGCTGATGTCGAGAAAGGCGCCGCCATTCAGAAGCAGCGCGAGATTTACGATGGTTTACTCAATTTACGTATCCGGTTGCAAAAAGCGCTCGTTGCCGCCAATTCATTCCCCATGGTTGAGACGGACACGGATGCCGAGTCTGAGCCGTACGAAGCTGCGGAAGAGGCTGCCGTCAAACTACTCGACACCATCAGCAGCCTGCGTGAAAGCATCAGCGCGTCAACAAAAAGCGGAGAAAAGCGCAAGCGCGATTTTTCTGTTTCAATGTCAAACGACGACATCTGGGAACAGCTACAAGGAGAGGATAAGGACGCAATTGGCTTTCGCCAAGAACGACTGGAGAAGTGGTCCAAAAAGGTGCAAAGCGTCAACACGACGAGGCCAAGCGGAATCGGCGAAAGGGGCAAGGGCCTCATTGGCGCTCTTCAAGAGCAGTTAATAGTCCCCGATAACAGACTTGTCAAACGGACACGAGTCCCGCGGTCATGTGCTCCTGCGCAGCTGGCCAGGAAAGTCGCCATGGACGAGTACGTCTACGACGATGCAGATTTCTACCAGCTGCTTCTCAAGGAACTGGTTGAGCAGCGAACCGTGGAAGGCGCCGCAGATCAGGCCACCGGCGTGCCGACAGTCATGGTGACGGCGACAAAGGAGGCCAAGGTGCGCAAGCAGGTGGATCGCAAGGCCAGCAAAGGACGAAAGATGAGATTCACGGTGCATGAGAAATTGCAAAACTTTATGGCGCCCGAGGACAGGAGAAGCTGGGAGCAGGCGGAGATTGACAGGTTCTTTGGAACACTATTCGGCCGAAAGCTGCATCTGAACGAGGACGAGAGCGAGGATGAGGACGAGGACGAGGGCGAGGAGATGGAGGGAGTGGATATTGAAGATGGAGGGCTGAAGCTGTTTAGAAATTGAGCGGTATATTGATAGACTTGGACACGGTGTGTGCGTGGGCAGGCGCCCGAGGCTGACAAGTCGACGGCAATTGACCTGTGCAGCCACAGAAGTTGGAGGGAATTGCAATCTTGGTATCGACAGGCTGCAGGGCCTCGTGCGTGACGGAGCAAAGGTAACTTACTTTTCCAAGGCAACCCTCTTGGCCGCCGCCACCAAAGTTGCATGACGGAGCACGGAGTACGGAGTACGGAGCAGGTAGTTAACTTAGTTACGTACCCTGACTGAGGATGCAGCGTCTGCGCGTGAGCGGGGGTCACGTGCGGTCGCGTGGTTGTCGGCTATGGATTTGGGAAGTGGTGGCACGGCAGGCAGGCAGGCACGCCATGGGGGCTGACTGCTGACTGCTGATTCACTGGGTGGGCGCTGGGCGCTGGGTGCTGGGCGCTGGGCATTTCCCCGTCGAACCGACAGCCCCACCAACTTCTTTATCCCTTGATCGCAGGTGGAATCTTTCTATTTTTTTTTTTTTTAATTTGTTTTATTCTTGTCATTTTATGTTCCGGCCAACTCCCTCCGCAGGCTTCGCAGTCCGCAACGACGGGGTGCAAGGCACGAGGGCATTGAAGTGGGCGGCCGCAACACCATGGAGCAAATCGAAACACAGGCGTCGGATTTGCGCTACCTGGCGCAGGCTCCCGCCGCGCTCAGCGACACTGCAAGCGTATCCTATGATACACCGCGGCCTGGGCCACACGCCAGTCCGTCTGGTTCCGCTTCGTACGGAGACAATTCCGCTGCCGTCGCTGCGTCTGCGTCCGCCTCGACTGCCAGCAAGAGGAAGTCGATGGGCGATGGCGATGGAGCGGCGCAGAAACAGACGAGGAGCAAAAGGAATCGGGTGAGTTGCCATCACCGGCCCTTGGTCCCCCCCTGCCGCACGTTTGCTGCCTACGGAACCCGTCCACGCGCTCCAGGCGTCGGCCATTTTTGTCTTGTGATGTCCTGTCCGATGGTGTTGGTGTCACCCGAGTCCCCCCGGCTTGTGCGAGAGTCCAGATGCCACCGCGACGGTGCAACAACATGGATGGGTATTGGCTGACGGTGATTTGGTTTTTTTATTTATTTCCCCCCCGCCCCTTCATGACACGGTCTCGTGCTGACGTCTTCTTTGCTTCTTTGGGCTCGTAGTATATTTCCATTGCCTGGTGAGCCCTCCTCGATCCCCTCCCTCCCATCCAGCGCCGCCTGGCCATGGCAGCCGCGCCGAACACCAGCTCTGCATCCTCGCCCGATTGATCCTTTGCAGATGGAGGCTGACTCGGGGGAATCTGCACAGCAATGAGTGCAAGAGAAGGAAAATCAAGTGCAATGGCGAGACGCCTTGTCAGCGATGCGGCAACCTGAACCTGGCGTGCCTATACGCCCCCAACTGCTGCTCGAACAACTTCAAAGACTCGGACGAGTTTAAGAGCGTCACCAGCCAGCTCCGTCGCCTGCAAGAAGAAGTCAGCCGGCTGAACCAGACCATGAAAGCCTTGCAGGCAGAGTCGACTCGTCTCGTGGCGCCCCCAACCGATCGCGGTCTGAACGGGGGACCTGGCTCAACTCTTGCGCCGTCGCCCGTACTGAGCTCCACGTCCACGTCCATGCCCAGACCAGACCTGACGCACGCCAAGGTCGGAGCGTTTCGGGGCACTACCAGCATGGCCTACAGTCTAGATGTCGCAAATACCACCATTGCCAACATGGGATATCACGGCATGGACGACACAGACCACCAAGACCACCAAGGGAGCGATGTCGCCATCCAGGTCACTGCCACCAATGCTGGTCTCGATCCCCTCGTGGAGTTTGGCAAGGATGAAATGGTTCGGCTGTGCCGATTCCATGAAGATGAGATTGGTATAATGTACCCCGTCCTCAACATCCACAGTGTCATCGCTCACGCCAAGAATATTGCGCCGTTTTTGGACTCGTTGCGTAGGCAGCCGCAGCCGTCGGAGCTCATCAACGACGACAAGACGTTGCAGCTCAAAATGGTCATGTGCTGTGCGCTGGTTACAGAGTCCCATGGCCACAGCGACAGAGCCATTCGGCTGTATGAGAGCATGGAGGGGGTAGTCAACAAAAAGTTGATGTCTGATCGCAGTGATGTGGCCAACTTGCCGGTTCTTTGCTTGCTTGCTGGTTACAGGTTTCTTTCCTGCGACGAAGTCCTGGCCTGGAGAGTCATCGGCCAAGTTGTACGCCTCTGCCTGGAGGCTGGCATACATCAGACGAGGGGTCTGACAAGGATCCGGGACGACGTGGAGAGGAGGAATGCACTCAACAGCTTCTGGTCGGCATATGTGCTCGACAGGCGATGGGCGTTCGGCACCGGCCTTCCATACTCGGTGCAGGACGATGAAATCGATCCCACGCTACCGCTACCCGTGAGCAGAATCGCAGGGGGGAGAGGAGGAGAAACGTGGGCTCCCGAGTCGCTAATTGTCTCTAGGACGAGTACCCGTTCCTTGTCGCCATGATTACCTACTCGCGCCTTGGTGCCAAGGTCTGGCGCCAAGTGTCACATTTTGGACCCGTTTTGGCTCGCGAACTACGCCAGGAAGAGATTGACAGTCTTGACCGAGAGATTCTACAGTGGTATGAAAAGGTGCCCGACGAGGTCAAGGTGCGAAACTGGGATAAGGAGAAACAAATGACGTCCACACCCTCGTATAATCTCCAGCGTCTCAGGATCTGGACATACTTGAGATTCAACCAGGCGAGTTGATACCTGTTGACATTTGCTCTTACCCCTTTCCCTCGTAGCAGGGTACTAACTGGTCGGTGCCAGATTCGCATCTGGCTGTATACTCCTATTCTGCACAGCGCCACAAGCATCATGCAGCATCCGGGCCAAGCACAGCGCGTCGTCGACCTTGCCAAGGACACCATACAGTATCTAAACCACTTGAACGGCACCACGAACCTGTATCGACGGTCGCAAACCTTCTACCACCAGTTTCTCGCCTCGGCCATTTCCGTGGTGTTTCTCGCGTCGGTCCATGCCCCCGTCCGATTCAGTGCTGTTTGCAGGGAGGAGTTCTATCTCGCCCTCGACCTGGTGAAGGACCTGTCGGCCAAGAGCTGGGTTTCCAAGCGCCTCTGGCGCACCATCAAGTCGCTCAAGGACGTGGCACCACGATTCGGCCTCAACCCGGACGACGATGCCCATTCCAGTGCCGCACTCGGCATGATTGGGCTCGCCAGGGGTCATCTGGACGCCAGCCCCGTCACGCAGTCGCAGTCCCCTTTCCCCAGCCTGGCCATGCCTGCGAGCCACCACGTCCCAGAGCAGCCGGTAGAGAAAAACGGCAGGCTCATCCAAAGCGAGCTGTCGCGAATTTTCGAGGGCTACGTCGGCTTGAACGGTTTCCATTTTGGAGACGAACGAGTCGCTCCGCACAACAACCTCGGCACGTCCGACTCTGCCGCCGGCATCTTCACGCCCGACGGAACCGTGTTTCCGCACCTGAGGGACATGTTCTAGGGGGGGGGGGGGGAAGACGGGTGAAGAGCAATCGGTAATTTGCCCGGCTTTTGTTACAACCTGAACAATGTCTCACTAGGGGCTCCTTCTTACTGTACGCCGACTCGCAATCATGTACAAAAGAAACCAGTTTGTAACGTGCACGGTTGGTGTTGAAAGGGCGTCGGGTAGACCGTAGGACGCAACTGGATGCTACCCCTGGCCCGTAGGCACTCTCGCCGACGTTTCTATTTTCTTTGGCAGGCGGAGAGGCGCCAACTAGGTCAAGTTGTATGGAGGGCGTGTACAAGTCTCCTGGGGGCCTCCTCTTGCCGTCCTGGCGGTTACCGGTTGGCCTTGGTTCTTTTATGGCAACATCACGCCTAGGCAGGCAAGAAGACGACCAGACTGCGAATCTGGCATCGGGCTGTGCATCCCATGTAATTCAATGGCGATGTGATCGATTCGTGGGCACGCCAGGGCAACGGGTTCCCCGATGTCAAAGGTCCTCAGGGCACATTGTCGGGGAATAGAGCGCGGCCCGTGCTTCCATGGGCTTTCCCTTGTCTCCATCTGTATATATTTTCCGCGCATCGTTCCACTTGGCCCTAGAGGTTTTGACCCCGTTTATATGCAGACTATATGGGGCTTACTCGCTTTCGACGGCCGTCTGATCCACGCGTAATAGTGCCGTACCCTGATAACAATGCCTCAGTGGCATTTCCGCTGCTTGTCATTCATTACTGTCGTTAGGAAATACATGTGCCGCACAATGCCATCTACGTGAAACCCCTCGTCGTCTACTAATCATGACAAAAGGAAGCCATCCGTCCCGAGACCATAGAGCTCGTTTCGTTGCCAATCGTAACCATCTGCAGTGTCGTGGGGTCAGTCTCAAACGTTGAACGAGACGAAAAATGGAATGGAACTGAACTCACACCAGTTGTGAAGGCGCATGTCACCAATGGGTATGTGAATCCAGTATCCTTCTCTGGTCCGCGCAGACGATGAGCCGGCCTCGGTGTCTTCCGACGAAATGCTTCTCCTGATCGGAATCATTCTCCAGCACTTCAACCCTGCAATGTCGGCTCTTTGCATCCTCGTCGCTTCCCTACCCTGGCTTTCCAACAGAGCGACGTCTATCACTTCGTACCAGTCCCACTTTGCACAAGATACCGTCACTTCCGCGGTCGACGGCGCGACTCGGCTTATTAACGCATCCATTTGCGGCAGAAAGAAATTGTGAAGTCTTTCAGACAGTAATCGTTTGTTATCATATGGCCAAATCATGTTGGTGGCGTGGTCTACCTCGTGGATGACCATTCGGGCAAACGCGATCCGCAGGTACGCAAGAGAAGGGAAAACTGGGTGCTGATATTTGGAATAGTCCAGCTTGGAGCAAAAGCCTTCTACTAGAGAAAGATCTTTCGGCTGCCAGACCAGCTCCAGAGATCGGATATTTGCCAATATATGGTTCGGAAATAGATCGGACATGCTCTTCATCAGAACCGGCGACGCAATATGAATAGTGTTGGTGCCATACAAAACATCCATGGCCTCGAAATATCTAAGCAAGGTCAGGAGTAGTTGGTTAGCGGTGCCAGCGTCTTTCAAGGTCAATACAGCCAACCGAGCGATTTCAGACTCGCGGCGCAAATTTGAGGACGGGCGATGGGCCGATGAGCACACTTACGCTCGCTTGCAAGACAACATCCACCCCATGACGCCAATTTGACACTTGGCTGGCCACTCCCCCGGCCAGGTATTACACTTGCCCGATCCCCGAAGGCATAGATCCGTATCTGGTTCCCCAAAATGCGCAAACCGGTAGCTGCACCTCCTGCCGTAGGCCAACGCTGGCGTCTTGTCGATGTCGAACCGGTGGCACACGCAGCCAAACCACCTCCAATTCCTGTTCTTTCGAGACTTTGTATCCAAATGTGAGTCCGGGGTCAGGATTTCTTGATGAATCTTTGCATGCATGTCCCATCCATCGAATGGCCTCCTCTCAACCAAGTTGAACGGGGGGCGGAAATCCAAATCCATATGCAACGTGCGTTCTCCAAAAGCTGAAATTAAAACGAGCCTCCGAATTTCGGGTGGGAGGCGGCTAAAAATGGATTCCTTTGCTTCTTCATCCGGCTGCGGGCCTTGGCAGTGGACAGTCTTGTAAGCTGATATCGGATCTCCCATGGGCCTGCACAGCAGCCGCTGCAGCGACTGGGCCTTGCGCCGACGCTCTCTCTTGTCCCTATTGTGCTCGGAGAGCGGATATGCATGGGACCATGCTGTGCGAAGCAAATCACATGCTGTGAGGCCGACGAATAACACAATCATCAATGCCGTCCAGAAGACAGCCTGTGCCATGTCGGGGAGTGCCTTGAGCAACCCGCGACGACGGCACATGTCCCATACATTGGGCCACTCATGGTGCAATTCCCTCCACCAGCGGCCGACCCCGTCCATATTGTGCGCGAGTCGATCTTGACGACGGTTTTAGATGAGGTGATTTTACGTGTGGCATAGCTGCTGGAGTCGTCAGCGAACGGGGAGATGCTCAGACACAGATACGATCTGCAATGCTTGAACCTGGCGTTCACGTACGGAGGGAGAGGGTCGAGTGGCGAGAAATGACGACGAATCAACGAAATGCGCATTTGGCATGACTCTTGATGAATTTCGCCTCGCCGTCCGGGCGACGGGCAGATTGCCCCAAAGGGGGGGGGAGGAGAGCCGGCGATAATAAAGGGCGACCTGCGTCACTGATTCACCAGTTTGCCCTTTTTTTTTCCCCTGTAGTGGCCGTGTGTCACTTTAGAAGCGATGTCTGGCCATCTCAGCATCAACAGCAGCGACGGGCGACGATGGTCAGGCACTACTAGGCTTGGTTGTGGGCGAACGCAGCTTTGGATGAATGATGATGCGACAAGATTGCGGTCTGGTACTTTATTGGCGGCGAGGCGAGGCGAGGCGAGGCGGAGAGTTGGATGGCGGTGCCGGATGAAAAACAAACAAGGACACTAATCTACAGATGAAACAAAAGACCAAACATCAAAAAATTGAACTCAAGCAGAAGACAAAGGAGACGTCAACTAGTCCCAGATGTCATGGGCGCGCTAGCATTGCGTACAGGGCAAGAACTATGCAGGACCTGCCTTGGCTGCCTAATCAGGTAGGTGAGTGACTTCGATTGTGGTGTACTGCCAACTTCAAGCACGTTAGAGAGGTACATGCGCCATGCGGACTTGGCTGGGCACTCGGTCTCCCGATGGCTTGGTCCCGCGGTCGCCTGGCCTAGGTACCGACTACGGCATACCGAGTATCAGGTGACGACGAGTACAAGACCAGACCAGACCGGACCGGACCACAAAACGAGGGCTTCACCAAATCTCATCCAACAAGGACTGGTGTTGCCCGACGACGCCCGGACGTCATCGGCTTCTGGTTAGTGCAAGCCGCAGCACGCGCATGGCTGGGATCGACTCGAGCTGATGGGGGAGGGGTTGACGCAGCCTGGACGCGAATAGGCTAGAGTCGAGACTCGAGACAGCCCATCCATGCACAATGTGCGCCGGGATCAAAGGGGCTTCTCCGTCCTCGTCATGGCCGGACTGACTCCTCTTGCCCTTCATTGTAACTACACCAAAGACCTAGGTAGCCGTCGGCCATGCCGGATCGACGGCTTTCCGATGCCTGTATAACTCCCCAAAGCCTGCTTGCTGCAATGGATGGACGGGAAGACCCGAGATGGTCACGGACTGGGGCATCATAGGTTTGCCTGCTGACAAGCGTAGTCCACGTCGCACACGTGTCACTAACGTGCTGCAGCACATTATACTACCTGGGTAGCTATAGTATAGCACGCGATGGCCTTGTGCCTGTTCTAGTCGAATTCTATACTTCTTGCCTCCTCCTTCCGTATACTAGCCATGTTGAACGGCGACCCTCAAGCAAGCACAACGTCACCTTGTGCCTGCTCACGTAGCTGGTTGCCTGTCAGAATTCAGTGTCGTCGCGGCGGCTCTGTATGCCCCGAGCACGGCCCCGACATGCACGATCCGGAAAGTTGGGGGCAGTGAGTACCATGGAGGCTCTTTTGTCCCATCTCGCGAACTATATACGTACAGTATTTGATTCATAGACGTAGCGACGGTGCCTATGGTATGGCTCGCGGATCCGAGCGGCTGCTCAGTTGTTGGAAAGAGATACGCTTTCCGAGCCGTACATGCTGTACGCGGTGCCTCGCCTCGAATGGGTTTTGGCATGACCGGTTCGTATCCATGCCAATCAGGATCATGACGCAACGGGATAGCCTGGACGCTCCAGTCCCCAGCATAGACTGCATCCAGGTACGGAGCACAAAAGATGGTGATCCGTGCTGGGCATTAGTCCCAGCCACAATCTCCCATCCAGTCTTGGTCGACATGTCACAATGCCGAGCCCCAGACCAGCCAAGCTGACAATACACACTGAGCGGATATTGGACCGCACAATATGATTGTTTCCGAACCCGCCAGTCTTCCCGCCGGTGGTAGCGGAGGGACACATGTGGCGGCAGCGCGAGCGGCATCCAGCGTCCCATCGCCGGCCGCCTTGCATGTCGTCCCCATAGCACCAGCCAAAGCAACGCCCAATCCAGTGCGACTGAAGAGAGAGAGGGTCAGTAGTCAGTCAGTCAGTCAGTCAGTCCTGGCTGTTGCCCCGTGCCGACATGCCTGAGTAGCAGCTGACATGGATATATCATCGTGCACAGACAGATGCAATGCATACCCAATATGTCTCCTTCACTCTCCGCCTTTACCCGATTCTTGGACGAAGAACCCCGAGGACAACATGAAGACGCCCTTTTCAAAGTTTCATACTAGAGCTGCTGTAATTCCCAACGCCGAGCACCCAGTGGAACAACGTGCTCACGGCCAGCATCGCTTCGAAAGAAGCTCCGACACGGACAGAAGCCACCGAGGGAAAGGGACTGACTCACTGTACTGCACCTATCTCCATCATCATTACGGAGTATTTCCCCTCGCTCTCAACCCGTCTATTAAACGACGCTCGAGACCAAAGACGGCGTGTCATTGACAAGGATTTCGACAAGTCCCTGCGGCGGTGCGTCGACAGGACCGGGAGCCACAGTTGCATTGCATCGAAGCTCGTTTCCCCGCCATGCAGGTCTGCGTATTGAACGACCGCCAAGTCGACTTTCTTGAAGCCCGACTGGGCTTGCAGGCAAGAGTGGATTTGTCTCGTGTTTAGGCTTCAGGGAAATAACAAGGTCTTATGCCCACGACTGTCAAGGTATGAGTGACGCGCAAGAGAGAGAAAAAAGGAGGGCGGGCGACTTGGGCTATACTGGCTGGATTGAGTTGTTCTGTTTTTACCCCAGCGAGCTGAACAATTTCACACAACAGCATACCTGCCGGTTTTCCCTCGCCTGTCTCTGGGAGAGGGCTAGGTGAGAAAAAATGGACAAGTCTTTCGACAGCTGACTGGCGGTGATGGTGATGGCTTGACACTGTCGTGACAATGGCGTGTCGAGCAAGGGAGAAGGGAGAGCTGACAGTGTCCCGAAATAACGGCATAATATCAAGACTTGTACGGAGAACAGGAGGTAGTCGGCCAACCGCATCTGAATACCCAGGTGACTGGCTCCCGCGCGGCCGAATATATTTATATACGTGCCCGCGCAAGCCACAAGCGGACGACCATTACCCGAACAGCTGTGAATCATGGATCGGGCATTTTTTTTGTAGAACTTGGTATAATATTTATGTCGGGGTATTCTTTCCTCTCCAAAATAACGCAAGCTCTGGACACGTCAATGATGCAAGTAGAGATCTCCGCCAGATGTCTTACAGGTCCACTCTTGCTGAGACGGGGCTCTTGTACAATGTGGTAAAGTCAAACTCGATGCTACTGATTTTCTACTTCCGTGTTAGACTAGTCGACAATATTCCTCGCGAGAAACAGAAGCGTTGGGTCAAGAATATGTATACGTACCAGTAGAAATTTTCTCGTCTCGTCAGCGTTACCTTCCATGCCTTTGAGCAATGCTAGGAATGGGTCCGTCTCAAGAGCAGTGACTGCGTTTGTCTTGGAAATACGATTCAAGTTTTTCCTCGATCGGCTGTCGATAAGCTTCAGGAACTTCTCTCGTCGAATTTCTGCATAAGCGTCAAGAATATCCTCGTCGGCTCTACCTTCATAGTATCCGATGAGGCATTCTGCAAGGCCCGCCACGTCAAGGACGGCAGCCATACAACCATATCCGCCAAAGGGATTGCAGACATGGGCAGCATCGCCGGCGAGGAAAATACGGCCCACGCGCATCTTCTCGACGCACCGATTGTGAATGCGGAACTGATCCGTCTGCGTCACCTTGTATTGGCTTGGATCTGGATGTCCCGGAAGCATCTTCTTGAACGCGAGATCTCGGCGTTTCAAATGTTCTTCTTCAGATAGGTTGGCTGCGGAATCACCATATGTAACTCGCCAGAGTTCCCCCTCTGGGCCCTTGGCTTTGCCTCGTTTTGCAATGAGACCCCAGAACTCATCATCTATCATGTAATTGCCGCCCTCCCACCCATGGTCTGCGAATCCCTGATAGTATACCTAGCAACGAGTAGTTAGTTTGTCCCAAGTTTAAATTTCTGCTTGACAAAACATGAGGCCGTTGCCTTGTTTTTCGCATCAAATAATATAGTTGACGAGCCAGGGACTCACATTTTGAACCAGCAAGCGACTGTCAAACGTCTCACCCGGCCAGTCCCTGTGGAAAAGTGTTTTTCGTACAGTGCTCTGTCCACCATCGCACCCAACAATGTAGGGTGCCTCAAGCGTCACGGTGCGTTTGAATTCGCTTTCGCCGCCAACCTCGACTACGGCTGTTGCTGAGTTTGAGGCTTGTTTGATGTCAATGACCTTGTGGTTGAAGAGCAACGTAATGTAGTCGGAATATTTTTCTCGGCAGTGTCGTAACATGATCTGCAAGATTTGATTTAGTGGCAGTATTGTCATCCGATCTGTATCTAGTTCGACAACGGACAGGTCTATTCCGGTGAGAAGCTCGCCGGTCTGGACACTACGCCAACAGATGTAGGGAAAGTTGGCGATGCTTTCTGACCGAATATCATCAAGGATACCTGCTCGTCGAAATACCCTCGTCGCAGGTACGCCGTATTGTGTCGCGCGCAATCTCTCATCTACACGATCCCATGATTCCAATACAGTTGAATGAATATGACTTTGCGCCAGAAGTATAGAGAGCAGCAGGCCTGCTGGACCGGCTCCCACAATCAAAACCTGTTCATTGTCAGTTGAGGGGAACCAGACTACAAGCATTTTCGATATGTACCGTCCAACCTTGTCAAACGGCTTCAGCGATTTAGAATCGGCTGCAGGCGCCATGCTGTTAGTATCTCTATTCACACTGATTATGGACTCGAAACACGACGTTTCTTTGGAAGATTTTCTTTCGGGAATTTCGATGGCCAGATCTTAAATAGTCGATAGTCGGGAAAGCTGTTATCTCAAACTTCTCCCGCGACACGTTACACAGCATTGTGGCGCACGGGTCAAAGGTGACATCCGTCGTAAGCACCCTTGCTCTCATGTACTTTGTTCAACCGCTGCCCCCACCGTATGAATGAGCGGTCAGAAGGGCGGATAATCTGGTCACGAATTCAACATATTGATTGAAATCGGAGTCTATCCTTTCTTTCCAGTTTCCGCAAATATCGTCCGTAGCTTGTAATCGTGTTGCTTTTCGAAGCATTAGAAGCTCATAAGCGTCTCACGGACAAGCTTCCTGAAAGATTTGGATTAGCTCGAACGCCGAGTCAATCAGTCAATGCCATTAGGACTCAACTCCTGTTGGATTGAGAGTCCAGTATAAGCAAGCATGAGGAAGGGTTCCGATCCAAAGCCGTGGCTTGCCGTCAAGTGTTTTTAAAAATCAAGATGATGAAACCGAGAAGGAAAGGGGGAAGGAAGGGGTGCGACCTGTTGTCTCATTGCCCAGGGTCGGCCGTTCTGGGCATCCGTTGCATGCTGATATGGAAATGTTGTGGGCTGTGTAAGGTTGAGACCACGTGTTCCGCTGTAGAATCTGCTGAGCCTCGGCCAGCCGGCAGGTGCTCCGTATACCATTACCTCGCACCCTCGCTTTAAGATCAAGCAGGGACCGGGGATTTCAAAGGACGCTATCACTGCGGGTGAAGCCACGATGGGCATGCCTGGATGCTTCAGTGCGTGAGGATTCTGGTCATGTAAATACAAAGCGCAGTCGCGTGGGCAGCTCCGCCGGCTTGCGCGTCAACCCAACCCAGTTGGCCCAAGGACGAGACAAGTTTGGCAGGAACGACCCTCCGCTCGAAGTGAAATTAACCCGTTACGCCATCTAGATTCGCAGTCAGGTGCTGCGCAACGTCGTGTGGATCTGATAGATGCGATGTCGGCCGTTCATGTCCAGGCCAGCAGCAATGTTGAGAACTAGTTATAACAGGTGCAGTTGGCATGGCTCTTTCTAAACCGTTCATCATGTTTACCACCCCTCTTCTTCTTCTTTTGAGTCTGGGCAACCTGCCTGGGGTTGTAGCCGCCACTATGCATCCCACCCAGGTTTTACTCGTCCGCAATCCGGAATGGCTCCGACGATTGTCAGCAACAATATGATCACCAGCAACTCTCCGGAGAACTCTCCTCAACAAGAGGTGCCACCAACATTGTACCAAAACATCGATGAGAAAGAGCTAGTGGCCAAGTCTAAGAAACACCTCATTGAGTATGGCATCAAGTTCGAACCCGACATCATCACCGGCTCTCAGGGCTTATACATCTACACGGCGTCGGGCCGCAAGGTGTTGGACTGGACCTCGGGACAAATGTCTTGCCTCCTCGGCCATGGGCATCCCGAGATTGTCAAAGTCATTACCGAACACGCAAGCCAGCTTGACCACCTCTTCTCTGGCATGATATCTCCTCCAGTAGTCTCCCTTGCGGATCGACTTTGCAGCGCTCTTCCAGCCTGATTAGACAGAGCCTTTTTCCTCTCCACTGGAGGGAAGAGCAATGAAGCCGCGATAAGAATGGCAAAGACATATACCGGCAAGTTTGAGATAGTCGGCACCGGGGCTTCGTGGCATGGTGTGACGGCCCAAGCACTCGGAGCCCAGTATTATTTTGGCAGAAGAGGCCATGGATCCCTGATGCCAGGTATGCATATGCTGCCTGCGCCCAGTGCATACAGGTCCATTTCCCGGAAGCCTGATGGTTCCCATGATCGGGAGGCAGAAATGGAATATGGATGGAAGATGATTGATTCGCGGTCATGCGGTTCTCTTGCCGCCTGCATTGTCGAGTGCATCCAGAGCTCGGCCGCACGCATGTCCTTCCACCAGGATATCTCCGCGCTTTGAAAAAGCAGTGCGAGACCAGAGGCATGCTCCTAATCGTCGATGAAGCCCAGACCGGCGTCGGCAGATGCGAGGACTTTATTGCCATTAACCACGAAGAGGTCGTGCCGGACATTTTGACCTTGTCCAAAACCTTGGGCAACGGCCTCCCCCTGAGTGCCGTAGTAACCAGTGATGAGGTCGCCATGGCAGCCGCGGAGAAAGGGCCTTTTCTTTTACACGACTCATCAATGACCCCCTCCCGGCTGCTGTTGGCGACAAGGTCCTCGAGATCCTGTTCCGAGATGGTCTGATAGAGCATTCTAGGAAGTGTGGTGAGATACTGCACCGCGGCCTGCAGAAGCTACACAGCCGATATGGCTGCATTGGCCAAGTTCGCGGGAGAGGCCTAATGGCTGGCGTCGAGGTTGTGACGGACCGCGAGAGCAAGACGCGGGGGATTGGACCTGGCCAGGAGGGTTGGAGACCGCGAGTACGAGCTCGGGCTGTGGGCGAATTTGAGCAGTCATCCAAGCTTTGGTGGCACATTTAGAATTGCGCCCCCTATCACGGTGACGGAGAGCCAGGTTGAACATGGCCTCGCAATCCTGGAGAGAGCATTCGCCGAGACAGAAGGCACGCTACCTACTGTATCAAAGCAGCGACACGGCTTGGATCTGACTTTCACGGTCAGTCATTTTGAAAATTAGCAGTTGCGGAATAGGCAGAATAAAGACGGTGACATTTCGGGGGGAAAAGGACCTATTCCATACAGCGGGCGCCAGGCCATCACTTAAGGCCAATGCAAAAACTCCGTCAGGAAAACATGAAATGCCAGTATTAAGCGGACAACCAGTCAGTCTCCCGGACCATAACCGACCCTTTTGAACCCCAACACCTGTTCCATAGCTCCGACAAAAAACGCTTCGCAAAACTGAAAATGAAGTAAAAAAAAAAAAAAAAAAAAAAAAAAAAAAAAAAAAAAAAAAAAAAAAAAAAAAAAAAAAAAAAAAAAAAAAAAAAAAAAAAAAAAAAAAAAAAAAAAAAAAAAAAAAAAAAAAAAAAAAAAAAAAAAAAAAAAAAAAAAAAAAAAAAAAAAAAAAAAAAAAAAAAAAAAAAAAAAAAAAAAAAAAAAAAAAAAAAAAAAAAAAAAAAAAAAAAAAAAAAAAAAAAAAAAAAAAAAAAAAAAAAAAAAAAAAAAAAAAAAAAAAAAAAAAAAAAAAAAAAAAAAAAAAAAAAAAAAAAAAAAAAAAAAAAAAAAAAAAAAAAAAAAAAAAAAAAAAAAAAAAAAAAAAAAAAAAAAAAAAAAAAAAAAAAAAAAAAAAAAAAAAAAAAAAAAAAAAAAAAAAAAAAAAAAAAAAAAAAAAAAAAAAAAAAAAAAAAAAAAAAAAAAAAAAAAAAAAAAAAAAAAAAAAAAAAAAAAAAAAAAAGAGAAAAAAGACAACTCAAGGCAACATTTGCTTCCGTCTCTGTTGAAAATAGCGCTGTAGGCAGTGCCTTGCGGCTTGAGCGGCGACGCTCACGATAATTATTACTTGGAGGCCGACGAGGCCGAACCAGATGAGGTTGAGAATTCTGTCTTCGTCATATGCGGTGTGGTTCTTGAGGAAGACGGCCATTATTCTGTCGCCAGTTGGAGACGTGGACATTGGCCCGCAGCTGCCGTGACGGTGGAGGCGACGTTTCGGGACGGACGTTTATTTGCAAAAACGGAGAGCTATCAGAGAAAAGGGTTAGAAGAAAAAGGACCGTACACTCGTGGTTATTTTGCGCCGATGTATCAGGGAACTCCAGTCCAAATGCAAGTAGGACTTCTCCTCACCTGTGGAGCGAGGCAGCGCGTTTGCCCGCCGCATGAAAGGGGAAACAGAAAGAGAGAGCCTGCTGTGCCCGCACCGACAACTACGTGGACGAGGGGCAGGACGGTTATGTCGTGCTAATGTCCAGGGACATTGACGATGCCGAGGCCATGGAGCGCAACGGAGAATGAAGACCCGGAGCGAGCAGCTACCGGCGGTCTCGATTTTTCAAGCTGAAAATTGTCAATCAGCCCACAGACGACTTTTGGCGGTGACACTGACTGGCATTTGGCAAACTGGGTCGCTGGCCGGTGGCACTGCTCGGCAGGGAATCCGTGGGTAGGGCGGACTGGGGCGTTGGCATGTTGGGACGGTCCAAAAGTGAGGTTGGGATGCCAGGGCGGTGCGTTTTTTTTGCGGGCGGGTGGCATGGGGAGTGTATCAGCGGTGTCTGAGGCTGGCCCAGGGGGGACGTTAGCGGGTGCGGTACGTACTAACGTTATTATTATTTATTGTAGTACTCCGCATCGGGCAGGCAGGCTGGCAGGTTGGCGCATCGGCCGTCCCGTCCCGAGTTTACTTGGCCAAGTTGATGAGATGACTGCAAGTCGTTCATCACGTACGTTTGAAAGGGCCACGTGGCCTGGCCGGGCCGTTCAACGATGTATTCGCGCTGTCAACTTTTATGGACCGATCCGATATCATGTCCCGGTTCGCCGGGGTCACTTCGTGTCGTCGTCAAGGTTTGTTTGTAATCTCGCAACCGTGTCCTTTGTATGCGGCGTCATCCCAACCCACCCCAGAGGCAAGGGTCAAGGTAACTTCCCGGTTGCAAGCGACTCTGCGGTGAAGAATGGACCGCAGTCACCGCCATCTGGGATTTGGGACATGGTTGATGGCCGAAGGTTTGACATTATGCACGGTGGTGTAGGTTTTGTTGATCGTGGCAACTGCGAAGGCTTGACTTGACCGATCGACTGCATCTGCGGCAGAATCGGGCGGTCCCAGTGACGCTGCTCGCCGTGTCACGAGGTTGACCCCGGGACGGGGGGGCTTCGAGCTCATTCTTTGTCTATGGAAGAGCAAAAGGCCCTGTTTCTCAGACCTCAGATGCTATGGCAAGAAGGCCCACGGGCGAGATGCTCATGCAGAGCAAGTAAATGGTGGTTGCGCCGCGATGGCTACTTTGCTACTGCTGGAAGCTGGAATGGGCGAATAGTCAGTCAGTCATGCTTATCAAGTTCCAGATGCGTTATCTATTCACCTTCCTCCCAAGTACCTGCTCTGTACCCGGGTAGCTATCTCAAGTACGCAAGTACGGTTTCGGTCGAGTGCTCGAGTGGCTTTCGTACTTCTGTGTGTTGCGGCGAATTCATGTGAGCAGTGCCAGGCGGCCTCGCAACACTCAGCCTGCAGCTTGTTGCTCACATTGACGTGCTCGCTCATCCCGTCCATCAAGCAAGGTTCCCAAGGCTGTCTGGCAGAAAGTTGGTAACTGCTACTACCTCTTGAGAAACAAGTATAAACCACAAAATCTCTTGCAGCAGCTATCGTGTACTTGAGTAGTTGGTCGTCAGTAGATCCAAGACTTCAAGTAGGCATATCGTTGATTCGCAACGCCACGGTGCCTCCTACTGCCACCGTTCCTATCGGCTAGAATGCTAGTCTAATAATTCCAGACATCTTGGGGCCTTTGCACACGCAAAGAAAGGCATGAAGCGGCGTTGCAAGTATGCAGTGTGCGGCATTTGGCCGTCCCTTGCATCGTAGCCGCAGACAGAGCGCCGCGACTGGCCTTGACATTGACACAGTCGCGCAGCCGAAGTCATAACGTTACGTAAGTAGGTAAGTGGACACTCAGGTACCAGGTACCTGCTGGTAGTACGGAGTACGGAGTAGACATCCGCGTCCAGTTTCACATGTTTCTGGTGTGTGTAGGAGTACTCAGAGCCACGGTCGTTGATGACGTCGCCATCCGCCCCGCTCATGAGCACCGACGGGTGCCTGCTTAAAACCATCGCTCCTGTTCAAGCCTTCTCCCTCTCATCTCATTCGTACTCGTTTTGCCGAATCAGACATTTTTTTATCCACCCTGAAGAAGAAGCAGCTGGTATTCGCATCTACCATTTTTTCCTGTGACAACCATCCACGGCGCTACCGACACAAACACACACACACTCATCCTTCTTCATAAATTCAGAGCTGTCCGTCCCCAAGACTCCCTTCAACAGCGGGGTAATAATACACCATGGCCGCCGCAACGGTTAACGTCCAGAACATCGCAGCCGCGACAAGCGACCAAGAGATCAAGAACTTCTTCAGCTTCTGGTAAGCTTCCTGCCTCTCACGACGGAGCCAGCGCTCGACCATGGACGGCATGAGTCTCTGACGCCACCCCCTCTCTCTCTCTCTAGTGGTAAGATTGCCGATTTCCAAGTCACCCAAGAAGGCGACACCAAGCGCGCCGACGTCACCTTCGAGAAGGAGACGGCCATGAAGACTGCTCTCCTCCTCAACAAGACCAAGCTTGGGCCAAACCACATCATCGTCACCAGCTCCGGCTCCACCACCGACGACGAGGGCCACCACGACGCCAAAGCGGACCGCGACTCGGACGAGATCACGCAGGAGGAGAAGCCCCGCGCTCGCATCCTCGCCGAGTATCTCGCCCACGGCTACGTGGTCGGTGACGCCGCCCTCGAGCGCGCCATCGAGCTCGACACCAAGCACAACGTGTCCAGCCGCTTCCTCAGCACTATCCAGCAGATCGACCAAAAGTACCATGCGACGGATCGCGCCAAGGCTGCCGACACCAACTACGGCATCTCCCAGCGCGCCAACAGCTTCCTGACCGGCATCGGCTCCTACTTTGAAAAGGCCAGCAACCACCCGACGGGAAAGAAGATTGTCAAGTTTTACACCGACGGCTCGCGCCAGGTGCAGGATATCCACGCCGAGGCCCGACGTCTCGCCGACCTGAAGAAGCAGGAGCACGGCGGAAGCGCCTACAAGGCCGCCGGGTTGGAGAGAGTGTTGGGCAAGGAGGCCCCCAAGGAGTCTACTCCCGCCACCGCCAGCGCCAGCGCCACTTCGGGAGGTGCGCCGGCCACAACTACCCCTGCCGCTACTGCGCCTACCGAAGCTATTCCTGCCACCAAGCCTGTAGACGACAAGACTGGGTAGATGCTGGACAGGTTTACCGATGAGTCAAGGGGCTAGATTGGGAATGGGACGATGTGCGAAATTGATTTTCTTTTGACGCAAACAACGCACGTGGATGTAGGCGTGGAAAACTGAACGACCAGAATATGCAATCTATCACGATGGCTATTACCTCGTCTGAGAAAGTATCTTTTTTTCCCCCAATCTGTGTATTCGTGTATTTCGTGTACGATCTAGCACTGTACCGTAAAACTGGTGACGCCCCTTTTGCGTTTTCATTTCTGAATACGTGCGCCAACCGGGTTCCCCGTTTCCTTTGAGAACTTTTCTTCAAGATGCTCATCCATCGGTGCCTTGGGGTTGGATGGCAGATTCTGTAGCAAACGGCATGAGTAGGTTTTTTGATAGATGCAGCGCAGGGGAGACGCATATTATCAAAAGTCGGCCCAATCATACCTCTAGCTCGGCCTTCATCTTGTCGCCCTTGTCATCGACTTGCTCTAGTCCAGTCCCCTTGGCGGGAGGATCGTGCAGCTGTTTGCCGGTCTGGCGCTCCGGAGGCGGCGACTGTTTTCCCTCGGGCATGATCAAGTTGTGTAATTGGTTTGTATTCTTGCAAATTATGCTCGTCACTCGGGACAGGAGAGGAGGGCGTTTGTCGGGCTGTGGATGGCTCCTTTACACGTGAGGTGTTTGGGGTGTTTGGGTATTTATTTTACATGGTGACCCTCCTCTGTGCCCGTTCTTCCATGCCGTCATGTTTTTTTCGAGAGTACATGACGCCGGGCATTTCTGCGGGCTAGTCTGGCTGCAACGCACGGAGGTGTGGTGCGCACGTCAAGATGACGGGTAGACGTTTGCCATGACGTCTTTTTCTCCTCTTTTTCCAACTTTTTTTTCCAACAGTGGAGCTGTGGACGCGACGAGAAGAGTCCGCCCGGTACTCCGTATGCGAGTTCATGTTATTGCTCGTACCGTCGCCGGCAAAGAGTCGTCGTCGGGTCGGGGGATGTGAGGGAGCTTGTCGTCTGGCGTCCAGAGGTCCAGAGGTCCAGAGCTCCAGAGCCTCCGGCGCTGGACAAAGGCCAAGGCCAAGTCGGGAGTATGCATTACTCACATGATGCATTGCGGTTGCGAGTTGATGAAGCATTGAGGATGCTGTGGCATGAATATCCGCCGTGAATGATTTTCATGCTGGCCCTTGTCACGGGGCCCGGGTTGTCGCTCGGTGGGCGCTGTTGACGGTTGTTTTCATGCCATGGGCATCATCATTCATTATTTGCTTACCGGGGGACGCCAGTATGCAGCGGTTAAAGTTTTGTGGTGAAGCATTGATGGAATGTCAGTGGTACTTGGCCGGTTGACAGCTGCCGTTGTCCATGTGCCAGCTGGAGCCGGGCTGGCCCCCTCAGACCAGATGGCACCTCGCTAATAATCAGACGACAAGCTGCAGTGGATGGATAGACACGGAGTACGTAGTGCATCTGCTCCGCACAGGGCACTTGGTCATTCAGGCGGTCCCCACTTCCATCTCTCCTCTGAACCCGGACCACATATCGACTTACTTACAAACAAACCATTTCAATCTGACTTCTGACCACACCAGCGGGAGACGACGCAACCACCACACCGCAGTGCGTCTCCCTTCATGCACGGGAACTTTTTTTTTCTTCCCCTTTGTGCGTGTATGTGTGTTGGGCTTGGCTGTTGCTCATTTCTGCCGTTGGCTGTGCTTGTTCCGTCCACTCTCTGCAGCTGAGCAAAGACAAGACGCGACCGAACCAAGGCCACCAGTTGTCGTCATTGCCTCTCCTTCAGCCTTGCTCGTGCCTTTGCTCCTGCTCAACACTGAAGGGTTGGCTTCTGGCTCCCCTCGAGCCATGCCCGATCTCAACTCGGTCCCTCCGTCGCCGCATTCTCTCGCTCTCTCTCGTCGACAGTCGTCGCACCAAATGGCTCCTCCTCCGCATTCACATCCCCCCGTGGCGTCGCCGTCGCCGCCGTCGTCGATTAATATTCTCCCCTCGAACCAGAATGCCCTGAGCCACGCCCACAGCCGTAGTGCCAGCTTGAGCCAGCCTCACGGAGCCTCCTTGCCCGCTTCGCCTCAGTTCGCTGCCGCCCAGCCCATGCAACCTCAACCGCTGCACTTGTCCGGCGATGCGTCTGTTGGGCCTGGCCCAGGGCCATTGAGGCATCCACGTCCTTTGACTGCGTCCGAGCTGCATATGCAGCTTGAGAAGGAGCAGGAGGCAGTAGTACGTCCCGTCGGACGAACCGTCGGACCTTGGTGTGGTGTAGTCTGACCCGTCTTTCCTAGGTGAATCGATTGACACGCGAGCTTTCCCTCCTTCGAGCTGCTCAAAATGCGTCCGTGGTTTCCAACGCCTCTTCGACGTCTGCTTCAGCCTCAACTCACGATCCTATTACTGAATCCTCTCTCCTCTCCGGCTCGGGATTTACCATCCCCACCACTCGTCGACACCACCGTAATTCGTCGTCTGCTTCTCAGAATCATGGGCTACAGCAGCTCGCTTCTTCGTACGAGGCCAGACATGCCGTTCCACGACCTGCACAGTCTATCCCGCTTTCCCGACAAAGTTCGCACTCCCGAATTAGCCGAACCAACTCTCCCGGTCCCCAGCCAAGTGCTTTGGATCCGTCGAGTTACTTTCACAGCCAGCGCGTTCCGCACCCAACGTCTGTTGCTATGAGTTCAGTCGCCGCTACTCCTGGTAGCGGAAGCCTCGCGGATCAAATGAGCCCAGGTCTTATGCCCGCAACGATGCGATTTGAAGAAACTGCGTTTTATAGGAACGAGCTCGAGTCGGCCAAAAAGGAAAACGAGACACTCAAGAGACGCATTAGAGAGTTGGAAAGAATGGTTCAGACTCGCCGGTCAACCGAAGTTGCCCGCCCTCGAAGCGACAGTGTTAGTACCACGGCCAGCGTCAGCGTTGCCCCGTCGGGGGGTGTCAGCATTGCCGGTCCTCGCGATAGCACCGTTCCTCAACGACCAGAGCGCGAACGTGGCATGACTTCGCAGAGCGTTACTAGTGTTGCCGTAGGGGTGCCTGATGACGAGGTCAAGGTTGGGGAGAGTGCTGCAAGCTCCGGCTTGGCAGGACAGCAGCGACAGTAGACTTGGTGACCCGGGTATTTGGGGACGATGCAGCCGTACCACCGAGACAAAATTTCGGAATTCCACGCACACGGGCATGGATGGATAGGAGAGGAATGGCGTTGACGGCACCAGCTAGGTGAGGTTGTCAAAACCCTTTTTTTCCCCCGAGGAGCCTTGGAACGGTTGGCAGAACCATTCTTGTTATAATGGAACACTTGTTAGCAAGCGGTTGGTTGGGTTTTTAGTGATTTCGTTTGTATTCACGATATTTTCAAGCCCCAATTGCGCGGCTGATGTCGTAATTACCAGCATAAACACGCCAGTCTTCGGTACATTTCTTCGGTGCCCGTCTGCAAGTTTCCGCCATGGTTGTGCAACGTGTATGTGCCAAATACGCCTCAAAGCTTGGTATAGCAAACTGCTCCATTAATCCAATAGGTCCTTCAAGCTGGCAGACAAAACAAGCCAACCCGACTCGTCTACTCCTCCAGGACAATCTTACGGGGACTCCTACCCCCAATCCGTCTCGTCTTGGCCAACGGCGCGTAGTCGCTGTCCTCACCGGACCAGTCTTCTCCCGCTTGGCGCTTCATGGGTGTCCCTGGCATTGCGGTGTTGTCTCGGCCAAAGGCTCCTCTGGAGCCGTCGTCGTCATCACTGCTCTCCTCGGCCTTGACCGAGGCCCACGAGGCGGGCGCCACGTTTTCAAACGTCTGCCTCACCGGCGTGCTGTTGGCGCAGCTGCTCCTGGACAGCTGGCGGTCCGTCTGCTCGAGGAGTCGGGCGAGGGTGGTCTTGTCGCTCAGGTCGTCGATGAGCTTGAAGGCAGCGGCCAGCGCGGTCCGGTACCGCCTGGACTCGTGCTTGCTGTCCTGCAACTCGTGGCGGAGCCTGTCGGCGGACTCGCCGCGGCGCCTTGCCTCGCGCTCGGCGAGCCTGGCTTGCCGGAGGCTTTCTTCGAGCGACTTTTGCCTGCGCTTCTGCCGCTCCATGGCTCTGTCTTTGTCTGCGAGCTGCCGTTTGAGGGCTGCGATCTCGCGCGTGTGCCCTTTGATCTGGAGGTCTGCGGCTCTGGACTTTTGCCGGAAGTACTCCTCTTTGTCCATTGTGGCTTTGACTTGCTCCCAGAGGGTCGGGTTCGGATTCGGACTCGCGTTTGGCGATGCCAGTTCGGGGAGGCCTGGCCGGGGCGACGTGCTGCGAGGCGGAGAGCGTGTTGGGGAGCGGGCAAAGAGGGAAGCGAGGAGGCGGTTGGGGAAGAAGGATGAAAGGCTAGCGGGCGGTGGCCACCTGGGGGTTTCCGTCCTGGACATGGCGGCAGGAGATTGTGAAGTCTTACAGATGGCTCTAACAAGATGCAGTGCCGGCAAGGGGGGGCGGTGAGCCGCGGAACGCGCCGCGACGAGAGGAGAAGCAACACCGCGGTTGGGAGTGAGGCCGGAGATGAGAGGTGGCGCGGCATTTTGTGTTGACGCTCGATAGGAATGGTCCGAGGTGTCTGTAACTCGATGGCGGGCTGGGTTGAGGCGGAAGTGAGCGTACGCTGACAACGGCTCGCGGTGCGCATATGTAGCGGCCACAGGTCGACTGGGGAGGTTCATGGCGTCTCTTGATGCCATCCATCGCGTGAGTTGTGTGGCCCCATCAGGCTGCTGAGATGGCGAGCCTACGTATCAGGTGCTGAGGTCTACGGAATGCGTGGTGGGTTGAGAATATATATGGCTGGCTGCTTTTGCGTCGAGGCGGGCGCTGCGTCCTCACTTGTGATGATTCCTTGGCATTTTCATGGGCATTACTCTTTTATAGGATATGGTTACAATGTGCTTATTTCACGCGGGTTCTGCGACAAGCGCTCTTGGCGGCTTGACTCTCAGAAACTGCCTCGTCGCAGGATCGCCGGGGGTGCAGAGTTGGATGTGGGTTATTCTATTATTCAAGAGCTACCGAATACAGGCTGTACGTTTGGCGTGATTCTGTCGGGACTCGAGCTGGACGGCCAGTGTTGAGCGTGGCGGCAGCATGGATGTGCATCGTCGACATCTTTGGCTTGGAGTCTTGAAGTTGACGTTTCCCGATCCAGAGGCTCAAGTCGCAGCTACTCGGTGATATCACCCAGAACCCCGTACAAACTCCGTACCCGGCACTTGGCCTCGTCTCTTCCATGCACAAAAAGGGGTGGGTGGCCCTTAGCTTTGTCAGAATTCGGTTCCACGCTCAGACGAGTTGCTCTTCTCAGTCTCTCTGCAAGACTCGAGCTCCTTTGCACAATGGCGACAACCTCAATGAGACAAGATGCCGTCGTCTGGGGCATGGAGAGAGCTGATCTATACGGCTTGCACCAAGTCGGCTACCTACCAGGCGCCAGGAGCCAGAGCATCCGGATCTCATGGTTCATCTCTCATCTGCCGCTTCAATACTGAGTCCCCGGCCCCAAGTGATGGCGATGCAATTACAACCTGCTATATGCCATGCCGGTGGCGTCGCCTTGAAGTCCACGTCCACCCGCACAGTTCAGCGCCCCTGGGCTCTCTCACACCAGCGGCTTGCCTGGGCACGCGCCGGCATCAATATGAAATAGCCCAGACGACAGTCTCGTCTACGGCACTTCAGCTGGCGTCGCCTCCTGCGCAGGAGGGTGAGCTTGGGACGACATCCCTGGACTGCCTCGACGTGGGGGAGGGCCAGCAGCTCACACTGCGGATACGGGATGACGAGATGATGCCGTTCTGGTGCGTGTTCGGGGACACGCGTGCCTACTGACAACTTGGGCTGGACTTTGACACACGTTCAACTCTTGCTTGTCCACGCAGCCAGTGGCTCAAGTCAAACAGCCACGAGGCACAAGCTTGTCAAGGTTCATCACTCACTTTGACATGAACGCCCGCCAAGCGAGCCGTGGCCTCAACAAGTCGAAGACGACCAAGCCATGTCAAGTTTGGTATTCTGGAGGACATGGAGAGAGGTGCTACTGCTCTCGCAGACCAAAAGGCCTCCAGGTTTCCTCATGTGACATGTGCATGACACAAAGCAATCACCCACCGTGGCCTTGCGTCAGTTCGATCCGCATTTATAGACAATTGCACTGCCTAGACGCGAAGCTGGGTACTCTCCGGGAAGCCCTCAACTTATCCAGCTCCAAAGATCCTTCAAGGTTCCGTGACTCTCCATCAGCTGGTTCGGACACAGTGACATGATTGTTGTTGTCCCAAACACAACCGTTCATGGTCTCGGCGTTGCTGCTGCCGCTGCCCGAGTTGTATTCAGCGAGCTTCCCGACAAAGTCTGTCCAACGCTGTTCGCTCAGGATAGGTGATGTTACCCAGGCCGCCGCACCGCTTTCATCCAGCAACTTGTCCAGGCTGGGGAGTAGCGCACGCACAGCCATGGCATGGTGCTCGTCCAGCTTTGACGAGGTGAATTTGGTGTTCTCAACGTACCAGCCGGGGTCCTTCAGCATGCAGGTTGCCTCGTAGAGCCGAAGCATCTCGACGGTCACCGTGCTCGATTCCAGGGCCGCTTCATACGCCATCCTGTGCCCGACTGCCTGGACCAGCTTTCGACATCGCAGCAGAATCATGGCGTCCAACAGCTCGTTGCGGTTGCTGCCTTCCGTGCCCATAATGGCCTTTGCTTGGCCTGCTGCTTCCCTCCAAACGCCGTACTCGTGCCTGGCAAGCAGTGATGTCGGATTTCTAGCCTTTGGGATGCTGCATCTTCCAAGAAGCAGCTCCAAAACAAGCCCTGTGAATTAGTTGTCTTAGCACGTTGCACAGCCCTATCATCCGGCTTCAGCTCCCCATTCGTCATGTACTTACGACTGCAGAGAGCCAAATAGTCGCCCTCTGCAATTGAGCTGCCACGGACCGCAGACGCCAGGTCTGCAATCTGGTTGAGCGAGCACAGGCCCTGCCAACCACATCTTTCAGCCATCTCGTCCAAGATGGACTGACCATCGATCGCTGCAGCCGCCTTGAAGATGCAGGCAAGGCCATCGCGAAGCGGGGGCTGTTCTGCGCGGCAAAAGTCTCCCCAAGCTATCGCCGCGTATGCCTCTAGAACCGATGACAATGTCGATGCCACCAATACAGGGCCATGCCGTGTAGTCAAGCTCGTCGCAGGTATTTTCTCGGTCAGTTCGGGACCTGCTGGCTGTCGACGCTCGCCGCATCTCCCCAACATGAAGGCGGCGACCCTGAGGACAGGAATAAGACGCATAGACAGGCACAAGGTCGCGACCGTTTGTCGATGTACTTGGAGGGAAAGTTCTCCTTGCAGATCCTTGGCGGCCTCCAAAGTTCCCAGGAGCGCCGCCGGCTCCAGCCGGACATGGTTAAACATGGTAACACGGTGCTGGACATGTTTCGGGCCCTTGAGGGGGGGCAACGGGCGTGAACATAACCCTGAAGTCATGGCGTCGGCGTCACAAAGACGCACGATGAAGGGACGGGTTCCCCTTCGCTCTCCGTCCACAACCAGCTGCGCGAACACGACGGCGATCCGGGGCACGCCAGCTTCCGGGGAGGTCGAGGGCGTGCATTTTGCAGCCGTGGGACTTGGGGTGTGCAAGTCAAATGAGCCGTCGTGGTTGTAGGTGGCGGTGGTTTCCAGCTTGCGTGCGTCGAGGCCGTGTGCAACCTCGGCCAGCATGAACTCGCCGACGGATCGAAACTCCTCCAGCTCCAGGAGGACTCGACGCGCGTACGAGTCGGCGTGGTCATCGGCGGCGTAGGCGGCGATGGTTCCCATACAGAGGTTCCAATGTGTGCTGAGGATCGTGGCGACGACACTGTCAGCCGTCCCGAGGACTGGTCCGCGTTAACGGCAGCCGGGTTTCTGCTGGGCTTGTTGGCCGAGACAGGGAGGCTGCTTGCTGGATACTTACAGTCGGAGAAGAAGCCGCGGAATTTGGGGCTGAGTGTCACGATGTCCCGGGTGGTCATTCCGACGTGCCGGACAACACTTCTTGCTCGCTCATAGGAAAGTCGAATCTGCTCCGAAGGACGGCCATTGTCGGGATGGGAATTGACGTCCCAGATGGGAAGCTCAAGCAACTTGATGGTGCAGTCCATGGGGGGGCTGTCACACTGTGACATGGCAGCGGTGGGATTTTTTTCTTCTTCTTTTTGTTTTCTTCTCAACCAACACGTCTCGCAGGGGCAGAGACAAAGCCGAAGCCGTATGCATTGGGTGTGCGATTGCTCCCGCGGACGCAGTTGACCATCTTGCCGGCGAGTTACACAAAGCCCTAGGTAGTCGCCACACGCGTTCAGGTACAAAATCTGACCATGTGTGAATAGTCAAAATCCCCCATGAGTTGGTCTGTCCCGGAGGGCATCAACAGTACCGAGATGAGTGCTTTGTGCCCCGAGTTCGACTACTTTGTTGTGAACTTGTACACGAAGTCATCGTGCAAAATGCGTCTACATGGCAAGCACGGCAAGCGGCCAGGCGAATACACGGGCAGCACATGGCCGTCTGCTCAATCTGCAGTGCCCTTGACAGACTCTGGGTCTGACAAGGTCCCGGCCGAGTTCAACAGAGGCAACGCCAAGGCAACGACCTCGTCTGCAACACCCCAGCTGGTCTCGTACCCCCGTCCTCCAGCACCGTAGGCGTGGATCACACGACGTCTCACGTCCTCCCCGTTTGCGTGCCGAGGCATGCGCCGCTCGTCAAGCTCGAGTCTCATTCCTCCGTGGCGCGTGGGCCGCCTTCCCACAACATCTGCCACGACGCCAACCTCGCCCACGGCCCTTGTCGGCGGGACTCTGCCATCCGCGTGGGCGAGCGGCTCCAGCTTGAGCCCCTCCTCCAGTAACCTCTGCCTGGTCGGCATGCACGGCGCCCGCCGCCAGTCAGACGGTTCTTTGGTCCCGCCCACGACGGTGCCGCCGTCGAGGAACCTAGGGATCAAAAAGCTCCAGGTCCCGTCCTTGTTCTGCCTGGTGACGGTGCTCTGGACGTGGACGAGGTCCGTGACAACCGTCTGGCCTGCGCGAAATGTGTTCGTCTCATCGTCAGGGCACGGCCACGCTCCACGGGACGGGACGAGAAGGGCACACAACACACGGACTACATACCTCTTGTCGGGAAGCACTTCGGGTCCCCGAACCCGGCGCCGCTCGCGTTCACGACGAGCACCACGTCGTCGGCCAGCCCAAATGCCTCCCACTCGCTGCCCAGGTCTCTGCGCGCCGTGCTGCCGCCGCCGAGCAAGAACTTTCGCAGCAGCGCCTCGCAGTAGACGGGCGGGTTGATGCAAAACGTCTGGTACTCGAGCCCCAGCGCCACGCCGTCGGGCAGCTCCGCGCTCGGAAGCACCCTGAAGCCCGGGAGGCCGGTTTCGCGCGCGAACGTGGCCGCGTCCACTTGCTCCCGGTAGCTCTGGTCTGGGGCCTCGAGGAATTCCAGCCCAAGCGTCCGCGTCACGCCCGAGGCTGGCTCCTCGGCCGCCAGGCGGTGGAACCGGGCGACTGTGCGCCTGAGCCAGCCCGCCTCTCTCCGCAGCTGCGGCGTCGTCGCGGGGATGGGACGCACGTGTGCGCCCGCCCACATGGAGGCGTAGTCGGCCGAGTGTACGGGGTGCTGGTGAGGCGCGCCGGGGACCGCCGGGCCCGGCCATTCCCGGGCGACCATCAGAATCTGGGGCCGACGGCCCGGCGTCTCCCTCAGGCTTTGCTGTAGGCTTACGGCTGCAGAGAGACCGATGACCCCGGCGCTTGGGGGGTCTGTTAGCCTGGCACGGGCTTGGGCTTTGCATCTGCACCGTGTTGCTACTTTACCCGATGATGACGACGGTTGGGACTGGAGGGACGGACATGGTCGGCGTCCCGGTGATCTTCTCGCCGCAAATGGTGAGCGTATGACGAGAGAGCGGGCCGGGTTGCGTACCTTGAACTGTCGAAAGGGGCTCCAGGGACGGTAGACGGGGGACGCATCCGCGCCACGCTTCGGTGCAAGATGGACCGTCGTGGGAAAGTGAAGCTGTGTGTGGTGCTTGTGGTGGGTTGGGCGTCTGAGGTCGACCCCACTTATGCGGACGGCCGGGTTGCCGTGTTCCGCGTCCCGTATCCCGTATCCCGTATCTCGGGGGTCGGAGGTCGGACGGACGGCATCTACGTCTAGAGACTCGCTTTGGCAAGGGTGTCATCTTGGTGCCCGCTCCGATAGTCTTGAATCGCTGTCGGGATGTCGCTGTCGCACAAAAAGGCTCTATATAATAATAATAATAATAATAATAATGATAATAATAATAATAAAATAAACAAAAGGAAAAGCATCTTCAGGGTCTCCACCGGAAAGCCGGGTGTTTCCAGTCCAGATCCTCAATTTCCTGCTGCGACAGGCCCTTTAGCTCCTCGTCGACATCTCGCCCCGCGCGTCTCTTGTTGTCAAAGTTCATCCACAGGTGCGTCAGCAGCGCGACGACGAACAACGTGCCCGCGGCAGCCAGGTTCAGGCCGTTGCCGATGTGATAATTCGGAGCGTCCCACGGCAGGAACGCCCAGCTGCTGATCAGACCGCCGAGGTTGCCAAACATGACGTTGGTCCCGATGGCTGCGCTCCGAGCCGTGTCGCTGGCAACATTGGCAGATACCTGGGCGTTGGTGATGGCGCCGTTGGAGAAGGTGGACATGGCAATGACAAAGGTGGCCGCGTACCGCACCGACGGCTGCGTGGATCCCAGGAACATGCAGTACCCGACCATGACCAACGGCGCCGACAGCGTGAGGAAAACCTGCCGCCTGTCCATCCTCCAGCTCATGAGGGGGAAGGGAATCATGAACACGACCCCCACCAGGTAGGGCGGCGCGACGAGCAGCTGCTGCTGGATGGTGGTCTTGGATCCGAAAATCGTCCTGACAATGGTCGGGAGAAAGAAGGCGAACCCTTGGACGGTGACGTTGTTGAGGAGGAAGACGAGTGAGGTGCTGAGGGTCACGGGGCTGAAGATTCCGCGAACGAGCTTCTTGGTGTCCATCTTGTCCAGCACGACGGTTTGGCCGACCCGCTCCGACTTGACGCGAGCGACGGCCATCTCCTTCTCCTCGGGCGTCAGCCAGCGCGCCGTCTCTGGCCTGTCTGTGAGGATCAGGAGCGCAACGAGGCCGACGCCAATGGTGATGATGCCCTCTATGGCGAATATCATGCGCCACTCGTGCAGGCCGCCGAAGCGGTCCAGCCGCAGGATGGCCGAGGCGAGGAGGCCGCCAAACGCTCCGGCCAGGGGCGCGGTGATGATGTAGAGCGCCAGGCGGAATGCCAGCTCGGACCGGCGGTACCACCTCGACAGGTAGTAGGCGCAGCCCGGTAGCATGCCGGCCTCAAAGACGCCCAGGAGGAACCGGACGCCTGCCATCTGGGCGTAGTTGTGGACGTAGGCCGTGGTGAGAGAGGCTATCCCGAACAGCACAGTGGCGACGGGAAGAAACCAGCCAGGTCCCACGTACTTGCAAAGAAGATTGGCGGGAATCTCGAAAAGAACATACGAAATGTAGAAGATGGAGATGATTTCATTGTAGTTGTAGCCCGTAAAGCCTAGTTCGGCCTCTAGGCCTGCGATTTTTGCGTTGCCTATTTGGGCAAGAGTCAACCTTTTTTCTTTTTAATAAAAAGTGGTGAGGCCTGCATCCGATGTTCGATTGACTTCTTGTACACATACCCATGTTTGTCCGATCGATGAAGCAAAAGAGGTACAGCACAGCCACGGTTGGAACGATGTATAGGTCGATCTTGAGCCGAAGCTTCCTTTCGGCGGCTGGGTCGAATCGAACAGGTGATTCCCCATATCTGCTTTGCGTGTTAGAATCACCACGTACACATACACTATGGCTACCGAGTGCTTAATGAAGACTCAAGAGCCCCTCGGGGCGAGAAACTTGCTTGTTGGGAGTGGCCTCGGGGCGCTCAGCCGCCTCATCAGACGTGTCAGAGCTAACAACTTGGTCGATACGCAACACGCCTCGGCCGTCATATGCAGGCATGGCCGTCTCCATATGCATGGCGTGGTGATCTAGCTTTTGAGGGGCCATGTTTGTATGAGCAGACGCGGGCGTGGTGTCGAGGTGACAGACCTCCAACCAAGGTCAGTTCAACAGCAGGCGGCGTGTGTATATGCTCTACGGATGGCATATACCACCGCGGTAGCGTATCCGGTATACGGACCAGACAGTATTTCCCTTGGGGCGAAAAGTCGAGAAGAGCAGGGCCATCCGCGGGACGAGTTTGGGCCCAAGACGGGCGGGCGTTGAAATAAGAATGATTCAAATCTAAGTCACGGTTACTGTTGCTAGTCCGTAGGTACCCGTCACGAGCACAACTACAACTTGGCAGGCCTGGTTCCACGCGTTCCAGGGGGGTGGCGGCACGCCAATTACCAAGCATCAGACCTCATATTGCCGCTCATATGGCATATGGATACGTCGCTGGGCCGGAAGCTAGGCTGGAACCTGGGCTGGGGTCGGGGTGGAGATGCGGCTGCGGCAAGCCATGGGGGCCCCTGGCCGTGAGACGAGGCTAGTATGCGTCAAGTCGGCGATGAGGACGTAAACCTGCACAGCTGTTTGCCGTCCACCTCCAAGTTTCGTGTCGTAGACAGGCGTGATGTTTGCGGGGAACGGCCACCATCGGAAGCATGAATCGTCTTCCGAAAATCCGTCCCTACTCAGTCAACCAGCGTGAGAGCGAAGGTCGGACTCCGGGATTACTCGACTAGTAGTTACTCCGTATTACTTAAGCGTAAATCGTAGTGCTTTTGAAACGAACCAGGAAGCCGGTCCCTTTAGGCGCCTTGGCATTGGAGGACAATGTGCCGCCCATGGACGCATTCTCCGTCGTGTGTGTGTCTCGGCTGGGATGGTGCCTTGGACAAGAAAGAGGGCGTCCCAATATGCGATGGCACACGCGGATTGGCTCCTCTCCATTCTCCTCCAGAACTGAGCCAAGACGCGCGACGGTTGACGGTTGACTGTTGACGGTTGATACGTATAGTCCTGCTCCGTATCGTCAATGGCTCGCAAACCCTCGCTCCAGATTCATCGGAACCAATCGGAACATCAGTTGGCAAATGCTTTCCCCGCGTTTTGTTGCATTGACGTGCCGTCTGGGACGAAAGCAGGCAATTCCTGGCCTCTTTGGAGTCAAAGCCAAGCACGCCGTTCCGTGTTGAACCGGGCATAGCCTATGGCTCCGTACTCGGGTGGGTTTTCATCTTTGTTCAAAGTCTCGATTCAATCGCATCCTCTCGGGAAGTTTTCTAGTTTGGGCTGAGGAGATCAACCCGCCCCCGCTTGGGGTCGACGCGCGTCGACGGCCCAAAGACGCCGAAACCCAAGATTTAAAACGACGGGCTGAGTTCATGCGACTGCCGGATTATGTCATCACATTGTTGTACAATTGGCTGCTTTGCTGCCCGATCCACCCACGACTCCTGAGCACGTGACTACTCGCCAAAGTGGTCTAGGGTACTCCGTAAGAGCAGGCGCAGGCCACTCGGTGGCGGCATTGCCGATTGCTCTCCTAATGCTTGGAAATATCCAAGTTTCCATTGGCCGGCTTACCCCAGTCGTCGCGTGAGCAACCAATCACAGCCCGTCTATTATGGTGACCTTGCCGCCGCCAGCTCGCACATCACCGGCAACCGAGTGTATCTATAAAGGAGACGTTCGCTCTGCTTCCATCTTGCTACTGGGCCCAAAACAAGCCAGCACGCATCCTGTCGCCCTCACGCCGTGAAAAAGCCATCATCATCCACTCGGTTCACTCCGTATACCTCTACCTCCAATCACCATGACCGTCACCAGAGCATCCACCTGCTGCGCCAAGGACGGTGCCGTCTGCGCCTGTGGTAAGTCGTCCACGCCTTCGCCCAACATGCATCATCACCAACCACATATCCGGACTAACCTGGCGCAACCCAGCCCAGAAAGCTACCTGCTCCTGCGGGAAGCAGTCTGCGCTCCACTGTACCTGCGACAAGGCCTCATCGGAGAACAGGGTCGAGGGGCCTCGATGCTCTTGCCGAGCCAGACCCGCTGGTGACTGCACGTGCGATCGCGCATCGACTGAAAACGCCGCCATCTCTGGCGCAACGTGTCAGTGTGGCTCAAGACCCGCCGGTAGGTTGCCGCCCCCCACGGTTATATGTTACATATACTCCGTACCAAGGTCGAATGCATGCCAACTCTTCTAGGTGGGTGTACTTGCGAGAAGGCTCGCGACGGGGGCTTCAACCCAGCGCTGGAAATCGACTTTACCACCCAAAAGTGAAGTTGCTGGCTTTGGGCACCACCCTCTTTTTTTTTCCCCATGATGTCCGCTGTGCTTGTTGTTTTGCATTTGCCAAGGATACCCCTCGCGGCTGGTCTGGCTCACACGGCGTTTGGGACGGCGCCACGGGCTGGATGGAGGGCGGGACGAATTAGAAAACGGCCTTTGCATCTGGCTTAGGGACTTCTGCATTGCCTTGTCTTGGGAGAGAATTATTGTACTCGTCATGGTTGATAGAATAACTTTTATGGTTAGACACTACTATCTTTTTTATTTTTTTATTTTTTATTTTTTATTTTTTTTGCGCCTCACGACATTTCCATATTGGCATGTGCTGTCTTTGACCGTCTTTTCGGCGTCGCAACCGTCGCGGCGCGATGAAACTGTAGCTGCTCCGGCGTTGGATGCTTCAATCAGCACCAACCACGTGTGGCAACGTCGATTCTGGACGTTTACCAGGATACGCCGTGTATTGCGGTATTTGCAACCACACCGCGGGACAAGCAAGCCATCCTGTTGTGACCAAGCCCAAGCTCTGTTGGCTGATTGCGCCGCATCACTCGGTCCTAATGCGGAGAGCCCTGATTTGGAACCCTGAGCAAAAGCCACACAACAGTTGGCGGACTTGGGCAACTAACTACGCGCCTGTATAGTTACTTACTTTTGTTAAATTATTTCGTTCCTGATTTAGTGTGTTTATATACCTAGCCTTGAACCGTCAGCCCCTTCCCTCCGGTTATAAGTAGACTCTCCTCTGAATCAATGCCTTTCTTCCTCCCCCGACTCCATTTTAAGACCAACAATTTCTGCGCCATACATTTTTCGTAACGAGATACGACCGCTGGACAGATATTTGCACTTCAGGCTGACTCCCAAGTCAGTGAAAAAATTTCCGTGCCCGCTCGAGATATTCCGACTTCAGTTTTCCCATCTACACTCTTCACACTGGCACCAATTCTTTCCCCCTTTCTCCCCAACACAATCTTCTTGCCGTAGGTCTCGGGAAGTTTGTAGAAACGTCGTCCATGATGGCTAAGGAACCCTTCCAACTTCGCTTGCGTGACATCCGTTTCGCTAATATCGCCCCGGTCTATGCCCTCCTCCAAGGCCATCAGCACGAGCTGTGACACGACTGGTTGAGTGAAAACTCCGGCGGGAGCTTTGCCGCGCGCGGCGGAAGTCTTGGAGGTCACCTGGTGAGGCGCGCTGTCGCTTCCACTGTGCGGAATGATTAGCATTCGAATATCGAGCCGCACGTCTCTTCTGCAGGGACTCACTCACAAAAAGAACTTCGGACTTCCACTGACCAGAGCCTTTAGAAGAGCACCTCTGTCGGTGGGCCTTTTCGGAATAGGTTTGCAGAAGGCAAACGGGTCGCAGCAAGCATCCGCACCGGTCAGATAAAGGTGATGCGCCGTAATCGTTGCTAATGGTCACGGTATTAATTTCGACTCACACGTGATGGAGCACAAGGGCATCGCATACCACCAACAGTAGGACCGCACGCCTTGACCGCCTCGACGGCTGCAGCAGTGGTGCAATGTTCAAGCTGGAAAAAACGGTCAGCCATGTCGTTAGTGAGGTTTGTCAGTCATCTACACACAACAATCCGAAGACGGGGGAATCGATCGTGGAGCTTCTTGAGAGTTGGCAGGAATGCTTCCTCAAGAGTAGTGCCTTCAGGGGCAAGGGACTCCAACACCTCGCCATGAAGGTTCAGCACTGTCATCGGTAAGTCTCATGGCCATAAGTCACAAAGTCGGGAGAAGCCCATCTCACCCATGTCGCTCTCTTCCATGGCCGCAAATGTAGGGTAGAAAGCCTCAACATTGGCAACGCCATTTTCAGAGTTGGTAGTGACACCTGAAGGGGTTTAGCATTGGCTTGTTGAGTTGACAAGAGAGCGCCCAGGCTCCTTTACCCTGGGGATACATCTTGACACCAGTGATGCCCGCGGCGGCAGCCTTGGCAATCACATCAGGGGTGACAGACGGATGGAGCTTTGGTTTGTGTTAGAATTTCAAGCTCAGGCTTTACAAGAAATCATGTGACGTACAAATAGGGACATGAGATAGTGAACATTGGGATCGATCTCTTGCAGTTGAGCCTTGTATTCCAATGCCTATTTAGCACCAACGTTAGCATTTGACTTGATTGATCATGTTCCTATTGATTTCTGTCCATGACAGCGAGCGTTTGACATGCCTATACGCACCCTCTCGACAGTTGTGATGGGAGGAACCTAGGTCGCGATAAGGTTCAGTGATGTTTGCGCGTCAAAATTGGCGTCACACAACAGACATGGAAACTAGCGACGGCGACGAACAAGGTTTGGCATGCTATTTGGATTCATCAGCATTGGCGCACATGGACTGCCGACTACCTACATCGCGTTTGACATGAATGCTTACACAAAGACGGTATCCACGCCTCCCTGCCGGATAGTGGGAACCACGAGCTCCATGAGCTCAGCCTGTCGCAGATGGACATGCATGTCCGCTGTCGGCGGCAGCTCGAGGCGCTGCGTGGTCTTCAATTGCATCGCGCTGGATGTGAAATCGAGACATCCACAACGGTGCTATTCTTAATGCGAAGATGGACAAACTAGAGACAGCAGCCAAAGCTCGCTCCGTACTTTAGGGATGGATGGTGGGGGATGGTGGGGTTGAAGGAGGGGCAGAAAAACCAACAATAATTTCAAGTCATTCCGATGTCACGTGCAGCCAGGAATGTCTGGATACAGACTGCTACTAAGTATCGACTGTACTGTGCCTAAGTACGGAGTAGGCAGTGAGCACTCGGCCGATACGGTTTTTTGGTTGCATGTTTTCTCGAGTTCGGAGTGACTCGCTTTGGGTCGTTAAAGTCATGCCAAAGCTGAAGATGTTCATGCAGCTGCCTCCTGCACCAAGCATTCACTCGTGAGGAATCAACGCCGCTGGCAGCAGCCACCAGCATCATTATAACGATTGAATCGCAATACAAATCACAGGCAAAGAAGACTAGTTGGAAGATGAGAGCTCTCTTGAGATTGATGCATTTATTCTGCCGGGGCTGTTGCTGCTATCACAGCCAAGCAATATGACTAGGAGGGTAGTTAAGGCCCATATATAGCTAGAATTACTAGAAAATCCAACTCAAAAGCGTAGAATTCAATGGAAACACCAGAAATCGTGTTTTCAAGCGATTGAGAGCTCGCCTGGCGCAGCGCTCTTTGGAAATTCATCTAACTCAGGCAAGCACCTTTTCATTTGATTGAGGGCATCTGCTGCCAGGCATTTACATTGAAAATGTACTGTGGGGCATGGCAGCACGGCCACTGGACAAAAATCGGGGCGTTGTGGGGTATTGAGCGCCCCGAGCAATTAACGTACGTACGGAGGCTGGAGCAACCCTTCCCGACATCCCCACGTACGACGGTGATAGGCCCACGTGTCGAGATGCACCTGGCTTTATTCTTTTGGCATTGTCGTCATCATAACCGGGGCCTCACCGCGCAACATAATACAGCGATTCCCAGCGCACTGATAAATGCGGAGATGCGATGTTTCTGAACCCAAGCCGACGTTCCCAACCAGTCCTTAACTCTGGTACGCCACACGCAATATGACTCCGTCCGTGCCATGCAAATGTCCTGTTCAAGCGTTTATTTTGGCCGCTGCGTTGGCCAGCGACCCGCTTCCTCTGCTGCTGAATATGCCCATAATGCCGAAACCAACATAGAACAGGCCCAAGGGATAGGCAACCAGACCCCTCATGCCCTTCATTCTTCCGACAGCGCAGAACATGCCGCTGGCGCTGTACGTACACCACATAATGGCGGCGGTACTCAAGACTATCCCGAGGGGCGTGTCCATTGGCATGACAATCCCGAAAAGGCTGGTAACGACGAGGGGGAGAAGACAGTACCCCAGGACCGACGCTGACCTCGGGAAGGTGAGGGTTGCAGAGAAATGGCCGCCTCGCTGGTGTTGCGGGGGCGATGACGGGTCACTGTACTGAGGCTGATAGGACTCGGATGAGGGCGCGGGCGGTTCGGTCGGAGACATGAGCGACAGGATCATATGTAGCGACGTTGATCCAAGCAGGGCCAGGCCGTAAATGTAACCAAAGTGCACCTTGCCAGAGAGCAGCAGGATGGTGCCGAACAGGAGAAAGAAGAGGATGGGCCCGGCGAGATCGGAATCGTCCATGATGTGCTGGTCAATGTGTCTGAAGGGGTTCAAGACGGCTAGCGTCTGGCAAACGCTCGTTCGTCAGCATCGACCGGATGAGAAACTCGTCTCGGCCGGCTGGCCGCGACAACGGTGGCCGGCGATGACATACCTTCATCCGGATATGCCCAAAGTTGACTCCCAGCTCTTCCAGCAACGGGGGCTCGCCGTCGTATCCCTCGGTCGAGAAAGCCGCCAGCCATCCCGTCCTCAGGCCACCATGTTCGCCCATCCGGCCGGACACACCAGCGCCGCCGAAGCCAGCCGACACGAAGCCAGCTTGGGCGCTGGACCCGAAACTCCCGGACGGCCCGGCGCCGTAGCCGTACGATGCCTGTTGAGGGGTTGCAGCACCCGACACGGCGGGTGAGTATGATGACGGATAGAACTGAAGGTTTTGGGCACCGCCGCCGGCTGCTGGCGCGCCGTATTGCGGGTTGTTCGGCTGCCCGCCGTAGTAGTTGGACATGGTGTGAGGTCGACCGGGACGGAACGAGGCCCTGGGAGATGTGTGGAGCTAGCGGCGACGGAAGGCGATAATTCCACCTGACGGAGGAGATTGTCGTATTGGGTGACTTGATTGATGCCTTGGTGTTTTGCTGCGATCGGACAAGCTGGCTTGTGCTTGGCCTGCCCTGCCTCTTGCCCTGCTGCCGGCGCCTCCAGGCCTCAGGGATTAAGGGTGGGTGCCTTGGATTTCAGGTGGATAACCAACTCCAGGACGACCAGGGACCAGGACCCGCCAAAACGCTGGCTGCCGTGACAGCGACCTACATCCATCGGTACATGTACGGGAGCTATTATTAGTCAGTGCCAGGTGTGTACAGGAAGTTGCCAGTGATTGTTGAGTCCATTGCGACATGCTGTGTTCTGGATCCTCTGTTCGTCAAGGAGCCATTCGCAAACTCAGCCAGTGTCATTGTGGTCAGGTAACCGTTGGCAGAATGTGATGACGTGCCGCTCAGAACCGACCGCCATTGCCGGATAAGCGGCAGTGTGCATGCGTAACCAACCTCGATTATTTCCAAACAGCCAGCTGGGACTTGACGCGCACTTCAAGGTTGAAAATTTTCCCCCTCCCTTTTGTGCAACCAGACTTCTTGTTCACGACAAGACCCAACTTTCTGCCTACTTACTTACTTAAGTAGCTTCTAGCGTGTACTAACCAAAACTAGTGTGCGCATTGCGGGTGCCCACCAGCTTTGGATTTTTTTTTTTAGCGGCCTCCGATGACCCTGGGAGCCAAGATTGTGGCGGTGTGGCATCTGTGGCTTACTGTGGCGGTCCCCTTTGTGGGCAATCTGGATTCTGGCGCCGAATCAAGTTGCTGTTCGGGCGATTGCGCAACACTACACCGGTAGCGGCCCCCAGGTGCCAGTGGCGGCCTCAACGTCCATGTATTTGCGCACGTGCGGTGGCAACATCAAAATCAGTCCGCTCAATGTTGCCCCAGCCATCTAAGAATAGCGACATCGACATTTGAAAGATCTGCAGTGTAATGGTGGGTGACGCGTTCTCTCTGCCGTGAGCCGCAACCTCACCCACATGTTCACCAACCCCTTGGGCCCAACCGCCATGTGCGGACTCCGGAGCCGGCTATAAGTAAAGGCCTCGCACTCGTCGTTTGAGTTCGGTCGACTGGTATCTGTATATTACCTCGTTATTCTCTGGCACTCATCCTGGAGAATTCCTCTTTGGTGAGTCTCGTCACCTAGCCTTTGAACTCCTCTTGGACCTGTCGACGACGCACAACCAAGGCACAAAAGCCCTCCACACAAGACTCTGTCACAACTCGCCCAACATGCGAACCACGGCTACCTTGTCTGCCATCCTGGCCGCTTCTGCCTTCACTCGGGCCCAAAGCATTGCTACCGAGCCCCAGGTCACCTCTACTGCTGTTGTCCTGCCGCCTCTGTCCACCGGCAACACCATCTCCCACGGCAACGAGACCACGGGCACGGGCACCATTGAGTGCTCAGCCATTCCCTTCTCAAACACTTCAACTGTTTCGGCACCACCAGTTCCTTCGACCAACTCCAGCGGCATCCTGCCTCCTGGCACTGGCACCGGCGGCTCTGGACTTCCGCCTCTCCCGACTTCGTCCACACCCGCCGGCCCAACCGCCGGCCCAACCTCCGGTGCTACCTTGGCTACTACACAAAACTCGTGGTTGGCCGCGGGCATTGCCGTCTTCGTGGCTTCGCTGGTGCTGTGATGGCAAGATGAGGTTTTGGCTTTGCGACTTGGCTGCGTCGGCCGTGACTTGAGACTAGACGACATGTAGACTATACTTTCATACTATCGCAGGGGCATCTAATGGAGCTTGATGGGAAAGTTGCAGACTTTTACAGTCTGCCATGAATCTTCTTTATAAAACCAATCCAATGCCAATCCGATCCTGGACAGACATTCCCAGTATTCATCAAAACATCGCTCAGCATCAAAGTGACATGAATCCGACATGTGCAAGTGAGGTGACGCGTAAGGCAAGCACAATCCCAGCGTCAGGCTCGCATGACTGCTGACATGGCAGCCCTGGAGCTTGCGTGGAACCGGTCAAAGTCTCGGACGAGGTCGGGAAAGTCCTTGATGATTTCAAAGCAATGCCCTCTCAGCTCCATCATCTGCGCATGTCGCTCCTCTGCGCCTGGTCCGGGCTTGGCACCGCCGCCTCCACTCTTGGACCAAAGCACCGTCATCTTGTTCAGGGTTTCCATCAACTCTTCATAATCGCGCTTCCGCAGTGTCTCCTGAGGACATTGTCAACGTTGTTGTGTGTCCTGGGAGCAGTCCCTCGGCTGTTGTGGACAGCAAGTGATGCCCTCCAGGCTCTTGATGCATCGTGGGGTTGTCGGCCGCCGGGGGGGCAACAAACAAAGCCTGCCTACCTTTGCCCTGTGTCCGTAGCGGACAGTAAAGAAGATGGAATCATCCGCATATCCCGGCACAGACAACATGGCTTCCGACACCTCGGCGGCCCTCTTCATCCCGCTGTCTGGTTCCGATGTTTGACCCATGGCTTCGTTTGGGCACCACAATCCGAACACTCGGTCTGCCTGTGAGGGTTTTCGGGGCAGAAGTGCCAAGCAACGGTACCTTGTTGAAGGGTTAACAACTGGTTATGCTTGCGGGGCTCGATGAGAAACAGTGTGGTCTCTGCTGCTGTTCAGAATCGCGATGCTTGGTTTGAATCGATCAAGAGGACGCATTTGAAGTCCTGTGGGTGCTGGCGGAATTGGTCTCTGAGAGTGTTCACCCATGACTTGACAAGCCCATAAGCAACATTGAACCTATAAGAATCAGCACGAACATAAGCACCGACTGGGTGCTTAGGTGCTTACATCTAGGTAGGTTTCTCAAGGCACCTAAGTAAGCCTAAGAGCTGCCATCCCGAGACTGTGGCACAATCCAGCTACAGGCTACAGGGCAGCACTTGTCGAGGGTCCAACGAATTCTTCTCCCTGACAGATGGGAGGCTGTCATCAGCCATCAATGTAGGGTGCCCCGCCTCGGTATGAGATGATTGGGGATGAAGAAATGTCACAAAAACTTGCTACAATTGCCAGGGCTCTACGCCGTATACGGATTCCCTTTTGGCCTCGCACGATGATGTCCAAAGTCGTCAACCCGATCGGAAAGGAAGGCTTTCGAGACTAGTCCCGTTCCGTGCGTGTCTCGAGTCTCGACTCTCGATGCGATTGGCCATTAGTCATTGTTCACTATAGGTTCACTCGTCGGCACATGCGCGCGCCAAAATGCCCCACTAAACTGATCAATACGGATCGCACAACTCAAAATCATTTGCGACAGACACCAAACACCGACTTGTACCTTCAATCCATCTTGGCCTCGCCCTCTCTCTCCCCGTTCCGTCGGCTAGCCCGAGCCGCACCGATCTGCCAGCATCTATTTCACACTCCTGGCCGATACGTCTGCCAGCATGAGAAATAAGAGAGCGAGGCGCAACGACGACGATAGGAGCCGTCCTCGGGACAGAATCCGTCGCCCTTTGTCTCCAAGACGTGCGCAGTCTCCAAGTTCCTACGACAGGCCACCTCCACGTTCCGATACCTGGAGACCGAGAGCCGGCGACCAAGATGATCGCAGTGGGCAATATAGTCATCGAAACGATGACTACCGGTCGTTGGATTCTTACCGGCCGCCGGTGCCCCGTGGAGACTTCACCTTCAGGTTCAACAAACCTGCCGGTATACCCGACCTCCAGCCCAACGGTCATCTGAATGAAAACAGGGCGCCGCGGCGAGATCGATTCGGTCCTCCGAGGAAGCCCGGTAGGCGCTGGCAACCGCCGCCTCACCCCTCGGAGCGAGCGCTCATTTCAGGAGCAATGCTCAATCTACCCGAAGAGCGCGTCGACCCAGGAGACGGCGGGGCCAAATTCCGCGACCTGGACGAGATTTCAGACGATGACGAACTGGAAATGGACATTTCGTCAGCATCCGAGTCGGAAGAACCGTCAAGGAAACGCGCGCGCACAAATATCACATGTGAAGATGCCAACTCGGTTCCCAAATGGTCTAACCCCGATCCCTATTCGGTGATGCCGTGTCCAGATGAGTCGCGCAAGAAGCGCGACGTTGTCAAGCTTATTCGAAAGGCCAGGGTAGAGGCTGCCACCAAGGCAGACGCGTCTACCGAAGCTGAAGACTTTTTATCGTTTGATATTACCGAGGACGAAGAGGAGGAGGAAGGCGATGACAATGACGACGACAGGACAGAGATTTCGCGTCCGCACTCTGAGCCCCAGCGCCCCTTGCCAACATCCGTCCCGGCTTCATTTACCCACAAGCACCCAGATGACAGAAACAAGCGGAACGGCCTCCCAGCCCCAGATCACTCGGGTCCTCTAGGGTCCCGGAAGCGAACTGCAGACGACGAAATCAAGCCGCCAGACTATGGACAGCTCAAGAAAGCTAGTATGAAGCCTTCAAAAGGTAGCGTTACATCAACCTGGCTTCCAAAGAAGAACGAGGATCCGTGCCCGTGGCAAACGCAAGACCATTCCGCTACACACAACATGGCGTTTCGGTGCGTGACGGAACCCTGGGGCCCTACCCCGTGTGCTGGAAAACCGTGGCTGACTATTGCAACGCAGGTTACACAAAGAAATCATCGACTTCTACGACTATGTGCGGCCACGCGCATTTGAACAGAGAATTCGGGACAATCTGGTCGAAAATCTCCGCAAAGCCATGAGACGAGACGGACGCAACTTTGCCTCGGCACAAGTGCACCCCTTCGGCTCTTTCATGTCGGGCCTCTATCTCCCCACAGCGGATATGGACCTCGTTGTCTGTTCAGCCAGCTACATGCGCGGCGGACCGCCGACTTATCTCGGTGCCAAGAGTTGGTTGTACAAGTTCCAAAAGTTCCTTGTCACGCAGAAGGTCGCAGACAGTGACTCCATTGAGGTCATTGCACATGCCCGAATACCGCTGGTGAAGTTTGTAGACAAGCTCACAGGACTCAAGGTGGATGTGTCGTTTGAAAACCTGGGTGGCGTAACCGCCGTGGATACGTTCCTGTCATGGAAGAAGCAATACCCTGCGATGCCCATACTCGTCACTGTAATCAAGCATTTTTTGCTAATGCGGGGTCTGAACGAGCCCGTCAACGGAGGGATAGGCGGCTTTTCAGTCATTTGCCTGGTCGTGAGCATGCTGCAGATGATGCCTCACGTTCAAAGCAGGAGCCTCGTTCCGGAGCACCATCTTGGAGAAATGCTCCTCGAGTTTTTCGAACTCTACGGTCGCCAGTTCCAGTACGAGACGAATGCGATATCACTGACAAGACCAATCGGGTATATTCGAAAGGTGAGCCTTTGGTGCCCTCGGCGGTAGCGTCCAGAAAATCCAGGGCGGCCTGAGAGGCCTGCTCGCAATCTGCAATGTTGCCGCTACTACGGCTGCTAACTCGACGCACTACTAGTCCGAGGTTGCGACGTTTACATACAGGAATCGAGACCGGCTGTCCATCATCGATCCAAACAACTCCAGCAACGACATCTCTGGCGGGTCATCAAATACAAACTCCATCATGGCGCGTTTTGAGGATGCGTACTATGCACTGCGGGATCGAATGAAGGAAATCGCCCTCAATCCCCGAACCGGAGGCATCCTCGACGCGATTTTAGAGGGCGACTACTCCTCCTTCCGCCTCCAGCGAGAATACATAAGACACGTGCATGAACAGAATATCGGACCTTGTTCTGACTAGACCAGACACACTACCAGCATATCACAGCCGTGCGCGAGATACTGTCTGAATCGGCGCTCAGGAAATCAACATCATTACGCAACTTGCGAGCAGACTTCGGGTTCCCCGCAAGGGACATGGCGCACGTGGCGGAATAGCAAATAGAACCGGATCATGTATTATAACGATGCGACGAGTAGCGCCGACTTTGCTTTTGCTTTTGCTTGACCGGCTACCCGGTCTCGCGACATCATGACTCTGGACAGCCCCTTGTTCATTGGGTGAAATTTATTCATGTTTGGCCGTCGTCCCTTTTCAATGGTTTACTAACGCGGGTAGTGACATGTCCCCCCCAGATGATGATTGCAACAGCGAAACCGCCAATGGCTGCTCGCTCGGTACTAACTTGCTTCTGAATCTTTGACCAGGATATGATTCTGTTTTCCGCTCGGGAGAACACTTGACGGTGTCTTGCGCGGCGGCAGATGTCAAACATGCAGGCCAATGACATTCGTTGGACCTGGTCCCGGTAGCATTTGCTATCACTTTTCCTCACTGCAAGCCCTGCCTTGTGTAGGGTTGCGGAGAGGGAATATCGCCGGCTGGGAGATTGACGCTCATTGTCCACCTTGCCCAGTTGCTTTGCTGGCAATGCGATGCAGCTAGCTAGCAGTGTTGGGGATCTTTGGCACCAAGTGAAGACTACCACGCGCACGAAGGGGTGCGCCTGAATATGCGAGTTCATTGGTCGAGCGCAGATGCTCTACAGGGCCGTGAAGCCTGTTGGATTTCTGTGCCCCCGATGTTGTCGTCGTCGTCGTCGTCATTGGGTCGGCGAGCAGCATGGCCAGGCTTCAACGGCGTTTGTCGACGGCAACTCGAGACCACCGGAGACGACATCCGCCAACCTCCACCAGTCCATGCCGGGGCGATGGGCCTCGTCGGCCCAGTCGCAACGATCGACGGGCCCGTCTCGATGTTGAGTGAACGGGTGGCAGGTGATATGAAGTCTTGGACAAGCGTCGGCTCTCGGGAGAGATCAAGGCTGCCCTGCTCGCCCACGAACTCGAAAGGCGGGGCCGCGCGCCCACGCAGCAACAACCTGCAACTTGCTGGATGTAACAATGGCACAATGGCTGCAACCTTTTCCTACGCACCCAGTACGTGGTTGACCTTGGGCTCGCCACACGCGCATTCGCCGCGGCAGCTTGACGTCATCTCTCTTCCTTTGCTCAGGACGACATCTGATGGTGCCCGCCGCCCGCCCTCTGCGCACCGGAAAAGTCCGACGACGGATCTACCCGTGATTCAACAATCGAGAGGTTCGAAGCCAAAATGACATCGCTTGAGCTCTACCCCACGTCGCCCAAGCACACGCTGGCACAATTCATTGGCAGGTCCATTCGCGACGTGCCGACTCCAGCTGCCGTCGTCAATGTCGCGGCTGTGCGGCGAAACTGTGAGCGCATGCTCCAGACCTGTCTCGAGCTCGGCCTGGGCTGGAGGGCCCATGTAAAGACACACAAGGTGCGTGAGGGCGGCCGAGGACCGGACGGACCTGTCCCAAGCGCGACGAGCTGACTTGAAGGCCGAAAGACTGTGGAAATAACCGAGTTCCAAGTCGGACACGACGTCACGAAGCCCGTCAACCTCATCGTCTCAACCTTGGCCGAGGCCGAGTTTCTCCTGCCCAGGCTGGAGAAGTACAGGAGCCAGGGGAGAAAGGTCAATGTACGAGCCCGGGTCCGGACTAGGCGAGGGGGCCAAAGAAGAATTGAAAACGAACAGAGTTGGACAAATCTCGCCCCTGCTTGCTGACTTGTGCCCCTTGGCAGGTTCTCTACGGACTCCCAATTTCTCAGGACGCACTGCCGCGCTTGGCAGCAGTTGCTCGGGCCCTGGGGGAGGGCAGCGTGTCCGTTCTCGTCGACGATCCTGCGCAAATCCCAATCGTGTCCCAGTTCCGACGCCAGTCGGGCGTGATGCCTCATGCCCACATCAAGGTCGACATGGGCGGCAAACGAGCCGGCGTCGAGGTGCAGAGCCTGCGGTTTCTGCAACTGGCCGATGCGGCACTCGAGGCACACAGCCAAGCCCAGATTAGGCTTTCTGGCCTGTACTCGCATGCGGGGCATTCGTATGGAGGCGACAGCCGCGCGGCGGCCATTAAGACGATGAGGGCGGAGATCGGTGCCATGCTCGAGGGCGCCGACCGGTTGACGTCGCGCGCCGCGGACAAGGCGGCCGCCGACCTCCCTCCCCTGGTGGTGTCTGCCGGGGCGTCGCCCACGGCCCTGGCCGTTCAAAACCTCATCAGCACGGCCGAGGAAGGGCGGGACAGCAGCGTCCCCGGCCAGCTCGAGGCCGAGGTCGAGGCGCTCGCGGGCCTCTTCGCCACTGCCAGGCGCAAAGGGCGCCTTGTCGAGATCCATGCCGGCGTCTACCCCGTCCTGGACTTGCAACAGCTGGCGGCTCACAGCATTTCCGGCTCCAGACTCTCCTGGGCGGACATGGCGCTGACGGTCCTGGCACAAGTCCACAGCAACTACCCCGGACGGGGAGCCAACGGGACGCCCGAGGCTCTCATTGGGGCGGGAGGCATCGCACTGGCCCGGGAAGCATGCAAGGCGTACGAGGGCATGGCGATGCTCACTCCGTGGGGACGAAAGGATGTCGGCCCGCCGACTTGCGACGTTGAGCATTTCCACGGCTGGATCGTCGGTCGCTTCTCCCAAGAGCACGGCATTCTGACTTGGAGGTCTGGAAGCGCCAGCGAGTCTGGGCCTGTCCAGCCAGATCAGGAGCTGCCCGGGGTTGGCGAAAAGGTCCGGCTCTGGCCCAACCACGCCTGCATCACCAGTAGCCATTTCGGCTGGTATTTCGTCGTGGACGAGGACGAGGCAGGCAAGGAGGATGAGATTGTCGACGTCTGGGTTAGGTGCAGAGGCTGGTAAGGGCAGTCAGTGCATCCACGGAGGAAGGGCCTAGAAGACTGGTCGTTTGATGAAGTCGATTGCACGGCTCATCTTGGGCAGTTGATGGCGACACTGCTGCACTGGCAAATGGCGTTGATGCTGACACCGATGCATTGGCAAATGGCATTGATACTGCCGCGGCCCTCACGTTGGCGCCAAGACAATTGCGACCAGACAGTTTCATAAATACTTATTACCATGTCATTATTACAGAGGTGCTTATGAGCACGCAACTTACAGTCTGCGGCCAATCAGTTGGGAACCTCGGTTCAACAAGCGCTTTGTGCTACTTTGGAGGCTGAGATGGGGTAGTTCTGTCTGTGACGAGATGATTGCTGACCGCGGAAAGAGGAGGGGGGTCTTCGCTGTGGCGCTTGGTTCTCGGAATGTCGTACGATCAATCCAAGGTTGCCGAAAGGCAGTCCATGCCCCCTCGGTAGAGACGACGACTTCCAAGGAAGTCCCAAGCCCATGTAGATTGTCGATTGCATTGGCGTTGTTGCAGCCCCAAGCCTCAGAGCGGTGCAGGGCCAGCCAATGCTGCCGACTCGAAGACAAAACGTGGCATCAGGAGGGGCAGGCAGGCAGCACGGAAGTCAAGTTATGGGAAATTCTGCGAGACCTCGGACACATCAAGGTTTGATACCTTGTGGGCACTTGTTCATGCGGCATCGGTCTACTGTCATCTCGTCTTTATTCCCATAGTGTCCCCAAATTATGTTCCTGGTTCCGCAAATGATTCTCCTTTACAGCAGAGCGGTGCATTCAATCTCAACATCGGTGTCGAGGGGCAGGGCCTTGACGGCAACGCACCTGTACATCATTTATCAGCTTGCATTTCTACACCGGATACTAATCTGTTTGCATGAGTATTCTTATCAATGCAGGCCTTTTGACATGACGTGACAAATTCAGCGGGCCTCGGGCAAGCATTCCGTGGAACAACGCATCGATCGATGGAACAGGGACGGGGTTCATTCCGTGTAGTGGCAGGTCTGAGCCTGTAGCTGCACATCGGCGAAGGTGGTACGGAGCATGAAGGAGGCGCATTGCTTCCGCGCTGACAGAGTCTAGGCGAGCAAAGCAACAGGGAGGCCAAAGGACCAGGTGTTCAGGACGCGGAACAGCGCAGCCTTACGTTCGGCAAGGCTTGACATTGCCCCAGTAGGTGGTGTAGACCTCGTTCATCTTGGCAAAGTCATCCATATCGGAGAGGAAGACGTTGACCTTGACGACCTTCTCGAGGCTAGAGCCAGCAGCTTCGAGGATGGCAGAAAGGTTCTTGATACATTGGTGCTGGTGGATCTGTCAGCTCAAGATTTTCACACATGGTCGAGAGTCGACATATCCGCCATGGCCCGAGGGGACTTGTCGAGAACGTACAGTATGAGCCTGGACGTCGCCGTCAATCAGCTTGCCGGTCTTGGCGTCCATGGCGACGGCCCCAGAGACGAAGACCATGCCATTGGCCTTGATGGCTTGGCTGTAAATGCCAGGGAGAGGCTTGGGAGCCTCGTCGGTACTGACAGCAACTTTGGAGGAGGCCATTGCGATGTGATGTCTCTGGCGGTGCGCTTGGGTACGGTCGGAGCAGAGATGCCGAGAAATGGGGCGAACGTTGGCTTGCTGGGGAGCGACAAGGCGGTTTTGAATGGTGAATCGACAGCAATCTCTCTCTCACATGACGACCCGGGTGCCCGCCTGCCTGCCATCTTCGTGCCCTTCAGGCTTAGCCTCCCCTCAACACTTTTGCCAACATGATCCACAGCCCTGACGGCCAGAATGTGACGCCTCACGGTCTGGTGGCTCGTTGGGTCACGGTCACGGTCACGGTCACTGTCGCCGTGCCATCCATTCCCTCTGTGGCCGAGAGGAAACGTGAGGTGGACAATGGGCGCCGCCGCCGCCGCCGCCGCCGCCCCCCTCGCCACAGTGTGAGTGCTGGACTCCGCACAGTACACGCACCACGCATGCAACCAGACATGTAACATGCAACATGCCGCTTGGCCCTGAACCCGTCGGCATGTACCTTGGCGTGGGTTTTCGATTCCAGGATCATGAGGAGCCCTCGAGCGGAAACAGCCGTACCGGGACACGACCAGGGTCACGCTTGGATAACGCATCAAGTTGACTTATTCGTCATGATCGATTATCGGCAGTGCGCGCCTGCGACCCGTCGTCGAGGCGTTGACCGCGAGTCGGCCCTACTGGGTACTGGCTGGGACTGGGAGCAGGGCCCCCCCACCTTGGCCCTCGACGCCACTGACTGACAGGCAAGGTTGCTCTTTCCCCTGGCCTGGCTTGTCGACTTTGCGGGGAACAAAAGCCATTTGGTTGGGTGGGGGTCCATGCTCAAGTCAATCTTCTTCATGGATGCTTGATGCTGATGCGCCGGCAACCGGGATCTCTCAATTCACCGCCGAGGACGTTGAATCATTCGCTCCCCATCGTCCTCATCCGCCGTCAGCATTCGAGCGCTGCACACTTCGAGTTTCTCCAGGGACCACCCGTGGCGCTGCCTGCAGGTCCTGATAAGGGACGTCGGCGGTGGAGACGAGTTGGTTTGGAACTGTTTCCCCTTGTCCGCACGGGGGCTCCCATCGCGATTAGGTGGAAATAGCAATGGACTGGACGGCTGAGAGCGACGCGGCGTCGGACACCGTTCCGCTTGGAAGTGCCTCTCGAGACCCTGACTGAGTGCCAGGTTCGGTGCCATCTAGGCACTCACGTCCCTCCGGCGTTCGGTTCCGAGAGCAAAATTTGATATATTAATGACCAGGTGCCGTTGCTTTGGTATATAAGCTGACCACATCCTCTCGCTGCTCTTCTCTTACTCACCGTTTCCTAACCTTCGACGCACCTTGATATTAACTTGGTCCTTCAGCCAGCCCCGAGTCCCGACACCCGTCATCATGATAGCCTCCACCGCAGATGTCGAGGCCATGCGCAGGGATGCCGACGAGACTGATCAGTGTCCCAAGGACAATCTGTATAACGACAGCACGGCCGTGGTCGAACATGCCGCCGAGCGCAGTCTATGCTTCAAGTTCGATGTTCGTATCCTGCCGGTCCTGGTAGTTATGTGTATGTTCGGTTCGTCAACTATAGCTAAATGTCACGCGTCGGCTGACGGGACGCACACAATCATGCTGACTATACGGTCATGTAGACCTGTTCAACGTCCTGGATAAAAGCAATCTCAGCAACGCCCAAACGAATGGGCTCAGCAGGAGTAAGGGCGCTCCCCAGCGACGTCCAACACTCCTCGAATGCTCAGCGCTAACCCCTATCCCGACAGAGCTGAACTTTCAACCAGGCCAGTACAATCTCGTCGCATCCATCTTCTTCGTGCCCTACGTCGTCTTCGCTCCTCTAATCGCCATGCTCGGCAAGAAGTATGGCCCAGCCCGCGCCTTGTCCGTTATGATGGTCGGCTTCGGCTCCATAACCCTATTTGGGGCAGCCTGCCAAAACTTCAGCGGCATCTTCGCGGTCCGTTGGTTCCTCGGTATGACAGAAGCCGCCTTTTTGCCCGTGACCATTTACTACCTGACGACCTTCTATCGACGCGGCGAGCTGGCCAGACGACTCGCCGTCTTTTATGCTGCTTCCAATGTTGCCAGTGCCTTCAGTGGAATGCTAGCGTTTGGCGTGTTCCACATCCATGGCGAACTGTACCCTTGGCGCTATTTGTTTCTGATTGAGGGATCGGCCACCGTGCTTTTCGCCGTCTTCGCCTTCTGGTATCTGCCCAAGAGTGCATCCGAGTCCCAGTTCCTCAACGAGGAAGAGAAGGCTCTTGCTTTCCACCGTATGCAAATCGACTCATCCTCGGCCGTCTCGGAGAAGTTTAGCTTCAAGGAAGCCCTGCACATATTCAGGTACCCTTCGTCTTATGCCTTCCTCGCCATGGAATGCTGCCTTGGCGTACCGCTCCAATCGGTATCATTGTTCTTGCCTCAAATCATCCAGCGACTTGGCTATTCTACCGTCAAGACGAACCTCTACACAGTCGCGCCGAGTATCGCGGGCGCGACCATGCTGATTCTGATGGCTTTTGCTTCTGACTACACTCGCGTCCGATTTCCCTTCATTGTCCTCGGCCTTGCTTTCGCATTGACTGGATTTATCATCTTCGCATCTATTACCGACATCCAGGCCCAAATTCAAGTTGCGTACTTTGCAACCTTCATGATGTGTTGGGGTGCTTCTGCGCCGTCGGTCCTGCTTTCCACGTGGTACAATAACAATATCGCCCACGAGGGTCGTCGCGTTGCCCTCACGTCGGTGGGCGTGCCCATGGCCAACGTCATGGGCCTGGTAGCCAGTAACGTATTCCAACAACATGATGCCCCCAAGTATACGTCGGCCCTCATCACCACAGCCTGCTTTGGCGTTTCGGGTGTTCTTCTTGCGTGCCCTCTAGGGCTGTACATGATTTTTGATAATAATAGGCGTGACCGCAAGGCAGGAGTCAAGGTCAAGGCTGGGGACGTGCCAACCCTCAAGCTGCGGGATGGCCCTGATTCACCCGAGTTTAGATGGTATCTATAGAAATCCCTTCAGCTTGTCGATAGCCCAAGTATCTACATGTACTGGGCAGGCGAATTAGATTGAACCTTGCAAAAGTTGTTCTTATCCCCCTTTGCCTTGGCGCGGTTTCCAAGAGGCAGGATTTCAGCAGAGCGCAGTAATGACACCTTGCTCAGCTACAGAGACCGACCGAGAAAGTTCAGGCCCCTCACTGGTGAAAAGTCATCGGCTTGCAAAAACAGCCCCAGGTCTCCCAAAGCATCATCGCCCTCCCAGTGACCATTGACCAAATTGAAGTATTGGTCTTGGAACAAGTCGTCCTGGCTGCGCAGTTGCTCGGCGCTTGGCGACGGGATTGGATCTCCTCGAGATGGCGCAGCCGAAGCGTCGCCATTGCTGCCGGCAAAAGGGTCTGGCCGTTTTGACTCCGTCGCCGTGGAGTCATGACCGGAGCCGTCCGTCTGCGCAGCGTGTAGTCTCTCGGCAATAGATCGATCCAAGTATTGGAGAAACAAGTCAAGGACGTTGTTGTTGATCCTCCAGTATTCCTGTATCTCCTTGAGGCACAGCAGGCACATTTGCGCCCTGTGCTCTGCCATTCGTCTTGAAACGCCGATTCCTCGACGGATACTGATGACATGGATGCAGAGCGCTGCAAAGAGACTAGTGATTCTACACACGGGATAAATAAGTCGACAGCGATGGATAAAAGGACGACGGGCAGGCCCAACGTACAAGTGCATTTGCCCGTATCGCAGTGTGCCATGCGTCGACATGTCCTCTGCGATCCGGCTTATCCTGCAAGCAGCGGCGGTGACGACCCAGTTATTCTTGTCTCCTTCGCCATGTCGCAGGAAACAATTCCTGTGTATTAAAATACGGAGATGGCTGTGTAACAAGAGGTCAGGAATGACATGGGGCCATGGCGCTTCTTGTAAACCAACTCACTTGTATGCCAGATGCAATAGACATGTCCATACAGACTCGCGGGCCCCATCTGCCGCATACTTCATGGTCTCTGGCAGACTGTCTTTCCACGCCTCCAGGGCGTTGTCAAGGTCACTGACGTCGCCGGCGGTCGAGGCGCGTCTGCCGGGGGCAAAGTGCAAATCAATGACTCGGCCAACTTTCAAGTTGCCGGAGCAGTCGGTGTCAGCTTCATTTCTGCCTACTCTGCAGTTTCGCACGGCCTCAGCAGCCGGCGCTCTCTGGAGCCGTACTCACGCAACCTGGCAATCTCTACCATCCTGATGGCGTACGTAATGTGCTCCGGTTGGCACGAGCCGAACAGCGGGTCGTTGGCACACAGGGCCTCCGACTCGAGGTCCGTGGCGCCGAGAGGCTCAATGTCGCAGTCCTCATCCCGTATACGACTGGGCAAACCGAGCGCGGCCGCTACTTGACGCTCCCGCACCTGTGTGCCTGGTCAGGCAGAGCCGAGGGTCCAAGGTCCATGGCGCCGGGGGCAAGAACTTACATAGATGGACCACCATATTCTCCGTCTCATTCGGTTCATGTGCGCGCTTTTGGACGTCGATCGCGGTCTTGGGCGGGGGGGTCTGTGAGCACTCCGCGCGTTGCGCGGCTCGGTTGGACGGGGGACGACTCACGATCTATGCAGTCCGTACGACTCTGACAGGGTAATGACGACGCCGAGCCAGTATCGGACATCTCGGACATCTGCGGGGCCGCCGCGCCAGAAGCTCATGAGGAAGATGGACTGTATCAAGGTGATTTCGTCCTTTTCCCAATCAGCGTGGAACAGAAGCCTGGCCCTCGTGTGCAGGATGCGCTTGGCCTCGGATCGATCCTTGAAGCCCATGGCCACGATTGTGTCGTCGTCGCAGTACGTGGTGCCTATGAACAGCATGGCTTGTAGCAAGAAGCGGGAAATATCCATTGCGGTCAGGCGCCTTGTCACCTCGGCCCGGTCGAGGATGGGGAAGCCCGGGTGGAACCATGTGAAGTAGGCCCGGAGGGCTGGGAGGCACGCCTGGACATCTGGAAGCGCGAGGGCGCCCTCGTCGCGCAGATAGCGCATGGTCCCGGCGCTTGTTCCGGCGCCCTCGACCTGCGACTGCGAGCCGGGGCTTCCGGGGATCGGGAATGTGAGCCGAGGTTTTTGACTCGAGGCGTTGCCGGGGCCGTCCGGGGCGGCCGCCTCGTCGCCGGGCACGAGCGTCAAGAAATTGGATTCCCCGAAGAAGAGCGTGCCGGCTGCAGAAGAGGCGGCCGTGGTCGCCGCATGGTCGGGGCCGGTGGTGGCGTCCTCCCCGGCGACGACCGGGCTCGACCTCGGCTCCGCATCGGGCAGATGGGATTCGCCGGCGAGGCTGGACGACGGTCGCACGTTGGAGTCGGCGGTGCATGTCGGGCTCAACGACCCTCGGGCGCCTGGCGGCGGCGCGGGTTCCAGACGGCGAGACCTGCGCGGGTATCTGTCACCATCAATCAGTCGTCGAGTCGGGATGGCGGCGCTTTCAGCAAACGAACGACAGGCGGCGTACCGTCCGCGGCGAGACGGAAGAACCTCGCATCTGGCGCCGGCAGCAGCACAGTTCGTGCAGGGCTGGACTTCGGTCACGTCACAGCGGACGCGACGGCTGTTGCATTCACGGCAGGCGTGTTTGGCGCGGGTCTTCTTGGGTTTCTGGCTGGACGGTGCGATGTGCGGCATGGCGCCTGCGGGGGAGGGACATTGGACCCTTGCGCCCGAAGATTAGGAGGGGATAGTCCTGTCGAGTACGGAGCACGGCGTTGCGAGTGTAAATGCATGTGGATGGTGTGCATCGGGTGCTTTGGATGGGTGTGGGCGAGACGGGATGAATGAATGAATGAATTGTGGGTGAGGGAGTGCGATTTGGTGTGGCGACACATGACACATCCATGACCCTTGGGCTGCTGACACGTGCATGCCCACCTCCCCTCCCACGGAGATGCAACAACAAACTACCTCTTCTGGCCTTTTTTTTTTGTCTTTTTTTTTCATTCCTTCTTTTTCTTCTTCTTTTGTCATTTATTTGTACAGTCTTTTTTCTTCCCCCCTCAACACCGGCCGAGGTGATTCGTGCTCCCCCCCTCCCCGACTCGCACTCAATAGCTTCTCGGCAGCTTCAACACCTTCTCACTTATATAGTTCAAAATCATTTCCCGACTCACGGGCGCAATCCTCGGGACAAGGCACTCCCTGAACCACCTCTCCACGTCGTATTCTGCGGCATATCCCATGCCCCCGTGAGCGAGGACCGCCCTCTCACAAGCCGTAAAGGCTGCTTCCGCTGCCACATACTTTGCGCTGTTGGCTGCCACTCCGACAGCATCTTGTTTGACGTTTGCGTCATGTGCACTCTGGTCATATAGCCTTGCCGCATGGTAGGTTGCCAACTTGGCCGCTTCAAGCTTGACATATGCATCCGCCAAAGGGTGTGCAACACCTTGGTTCATGCCAATCGGCTTCTCGAAAACGACGCGCTCTCGCGCATAGGACGCTGCTCTTGACAAGGCAGCGTATCCCAGACCCAGCGCTTCGCCGGCTAAAAGACACCTCTCGGCATTCATTCCGTGCAGAATCATCTTGAACCCGTGCCCTTCACGGCCTATTATTGCCGACGCCGGAACCTGGTAGTCATGGAAGAAGACCTCGTTGGCGTCCACGGCCCGGCCACCCATCTTCTTGATTCGGCGCAGCTCCAGGCCTGGTCGCGCACGATCCAGGTCAACACAGAACAGGGAGAGCCCTTCGCTCGGCTTCTGGACCTGGTCTCGGGGCGTGGTGCGGGCCAACAGTATCATTCTCGAGGCCACTTGCGCGCATGTGATCCAAATCTTCTGGCCGGTGATGCTGTACCCGTCCGCGGTCCTTCGGGCCGTGGTAGACAACCCCAGCGTATTGAGTCCTGCGTCTGGTTCCGTCACGCCAAAACATGTCCGCCACCTGCCGGATATGATGTTGGCCATCGTTTCATTCAACTGCGCCTGCGTGCCAAACTTGGCCAGCGGCTGGGTCGCATAAACGTTGGCGTGGATCGCCTGTGCTCCAGCCATGCCGGCCCCGGATTCTGCAATTGTCTGCATCATCATGGTCGCCTCCGATATGCCGAGGCCTGAGCCGCCGAGCGACTCTGGCAGCGCAATGCCCAGCCAACCTCCCTCGGCAACGGCGGCATGGAATTCTTTGGGATCCTGCTCCTTTTGGTCGCGCTCTCGCCAGTAGGAGCTCGGGAATTGGGAGCATATTTGGTTGATGGAATCGCGCACCAGCAGCTGGGTTTCAGTGAAGCCAGTTGTTTCCATGATGCGCAGCCTCCGGCTTGCGGAGAAGCACCGGCTTCGAGGCGCCAGGAGCGGTAGCCATGGCTGTTCGCGCAAAAGAAGGGACTTTGCTTCGCCAAGGCCAAGTGCTCGAGGCCTTGTCATCTCGCGCATCATTCGTGTGCCCATTGACGCTTGCAGTACCAGAGAGGCCAATGGGTAGCTACTCTGGAGTCCGTACGGAGTACCTAGGTGGGGTATCCATGCAAGTTATTCGTGTATCCGTGCGTCCATGTAGCCGACTCGACCCTTGTGGGTCTTGGGGATAGCCGAGCTGGCTTGCACGGTTAATGCCGTCGGCCCCACCCAACAATGTCAGCGCCACTCGGTACGGGACCCGACGGGACCCGTAGCGCGGCGCCTTCCCTTATTACGCTGACCAACCAGCTGTCAGTTGGCGACAACATGACATTTGCGCAAAGTGGCAGACGCTGTTTCGTGATGCGATACATGACGGTGAAAAGAAACCGAGGTATGAAAAAGGCAAAGCCTGATTTGAAAACGACCTGCGCTTCTGCGTGGGCCACAGCGCACACGAGTGGCTTTGCCTGGTCCAGACTCCAGTCTAACATTTCGCCTTGTGTCCCTTTTTGAAGCCTATGCGGAACAAAGGGTGAAGTCTTTCAACCCGGCATCCGGCACCACCTCGTTGGGTAAGCAAAGCGCAATGCCCTCTCCCTTCAAGTCCTTGAATACTCGACTGTATTCTCTCTATGCCGAACATCAGTAACCCTGTCTTGCAGATACCGAGTATATGAATTTTATGAAGCAGTGGGGCCTACTTTTGTGATGAAAATGAAATCGTCATATATTCCATCCTTCTTCATCTTTGGACGAACAAGGTCACCTACTCCGCCAAGGAGAGCGACGACTGTTGTAATCTTGCTGTCCCAAGTAACGAGCGCCGACACTAGCTCCCCGTCTACTCTGGAAGATTCAGTAGATCCGTAAGGATCTAGATGAAAATGTCAGCAATCCAATTGTTCTCGTTTCAACCCCGCCAAGGCACGCACGTGGCTGACTTACTCTGCATCTTCTTCGCCGTCACCATGCTGCGCCACCACGCCAATCCAACAAACAGCCTTGTCAAACGTGACGGTGGGCCAGGCACTATATGGTGTCATGACATCATGTTCCTGCTCTTTCTGGCTCGCGACAGAGGGTAATCCAGCTGGAGAGACGAACCATGATCTCGTCCGTCTTGGGGTCCGTAGAGTTGTTGACAGATGCGAAGAGGCCAGGCGCCTTGGTCACCACTGAGTTGCAAGTTCTTGCTCTCTCTGCGTTGTGATAAAGCCTCCTATCATTGCGACACGAGATTCAGCAAAAGATGTCCCCAGGGCAAACTAGCCGGCGAGATGTGTACTTGCTTCGCAAGGTCAACATCGTAATATGGCAGCTCGAGGACCTTCCAAAGTTCATGGCTAGAGAACCAATACCCTTGCATGCCTGTTAGCTCTGCTCGTGTGTCAGAGGACGATAGATGACACTGGACAACCGTACCTTGCTCGACGGTGATGGGGCCGACTCCGCCCACCCTGTATTCCACGCTTCTGAGCTTCGCCCTCTTGGCCTGCCACAGTGCGTCCCTGTCTCTCTGGTGGAGCCCGCCAAAGGCGTTGAGGAAACGTGTGAATAGCTCGCCTTCATAAGGGTCATCGAGGTAGTTTGTACCCTCACACTGGTATCCCTGTTTCGGATCCGTCAGAGGTAAAAATTGGTCGTTGATGCTTGCTACCGCACGCACGTGGCCATCGCCTCGGTAGAGGACAGAAGCAGCTGTGGTCTTGAAGTAGTCGAGCCACTCCTGCCAGCCCTTGGAGATATTCTCGGGCGATTGATCACCACTCTGCTCAAGGGCACTGATGCAAGCATACACCGCCCAAATGAGCTCGCTGCAGTACAGGCTTGCGTCGGCCTTGAATATTCACGGGGAGCCTTCGGCCCTGCTTACCCGTTGTCCAAGGCAGGCACCCGATTTACCCAGTCCCAAGCTGCAGACAGCTGAAGCTCGCCGGTTGTCATCCAGGGCAGGAACCCGCCGAATCCGGGCCTGGACTCGTTAAACTGAAGATATGTTCGAAGCTTTGTTTTCAGGATGGATGCTGCAAGCTTGGGGGCTTTTGAAAGATTCTGGGGCGCAAGGAAGCGTGCTGCTTCTTTCGAGCCAGAGATGGCGTGTGCGTACAGCATGATCTGGAGAGCCTGGATTCATCGACATGTCAGACAAGTAAACCTTGTGGGAAGCGCTCGGGCACGAATCGGGATCCCGTTACCTCTTTACTGGCGGCACTGAATGGATGCTTTCTGGTTGAAGCTCCCGTGGTCCAGTTGAGCTGTGTTCCATCATATGTCATGCCATTGGCGGAGTTGTACGCAACATTGTTTTGATGAAACTTGCCCTCCCAGAACAGGAGGTCCAATTCGAACACGCTCGGGTCCCCGAGCACGTCCTCACGGGACCAATCGGCCGCAAGTCGACACCGGGGAGAGGCATGAGGTGACTGCAATGAGGGCAAGGCAGACGTCAATGTGAATCCGCACGAGTTTCATTTGGTGGCCCACTTTAATGGAGCGCGTCTAGGGTCGAACCGGAGGGAAAAGAAGGGGGAAACCAGAAACAAAAAGGCTTCCGTTTGAAGTGGCTTCGGCCTGTATGGTTGACTTCGTCCTCGTCAAGGCAGCTTCTGCACTAGTATCAACACCAAGCAAGGATTCGATACGCCGCCGTATTGAAACGCCAAAGTAGCCTCGCTCTTTAAATCGCACTAGCGGAAACAATCCGGCCAGCCGTCGGCTAGCGGTACTCCTAGGTACCTAGACCCACTGGGCAGTCAGCTGGGCGGACAGGTACCCAAGCAGTCGTCGTCCCGTGTCCCGTTGAGGTGGCAGCCGCAGATCCGGAGTTTTTATTTTTCGTCAGCCAGTCAAATTGTGGATCTTCCACGTGGCAAGCGACGTTGAAGGCCCTTTTTGACCGACATAAAATCCCGAAAGTCTCTTGATTGATCCCTCCGTGTCTCGCGTTTGCTCCGTCCCAGGGCTTTCGGGTCAGGCAGGTCGGTCCTTATTAGGATGTGAAGTCATCAGGTCAAAATGACCAGCTCGTTGCAGAGCTCGCCTCCACGCCGTCTGTCGCCAATCCTGGACAAGCCACGGCGCCAAGCGATAACTCGAGCCTGCGACCGTTGTCGCCGAAGAAAGGCAAAGGTACGCACGGATTTATTTTGTATTTCTCCGTCGGAGCTTCTGTTTAACCTGGCGCTCTTTCTTTACCTGTCTCGTCTTGTCTTGTCTTGTCTCGTCTTTTCTTTTCCCTTCTTTGTCCATGCGTGTCGTGCGGCTAACTTGCGGGACCACGCAAAAGTGCGATCTTGACAACGCTGTAGGTACTTGCTCACATTGCCGAGACAACAATGTCCGTTGCACATATGACTTGCCCTTGGCCAAGCGTGGGCCAAAGTCGAAAAAAAGAGGCGACTCTTCTATTCCCCCAGAGTCTGTGTCGACATTCCCCGGTCGAAGCTGCACACACCAGGCCCTGCTCGTCCGTCGCCCTACCAGCTCGACCGCAGCCACCTTTCAAAGCCCGTCAACCTCGTCAACAACCTCCTGGGAGCCTTCAGCTCAACTCGGTGTCGGTGCCGGCGCCGGCACGGGACCGTCTCCAGCTTCGACTCGAGACTTTGCCTCCATAGCAAGTCCCCCGGCAGCGCGTGGGGTTTCTGCCGTCAAGCGGTGGCACGATTTATCCAGAGCCATGTCTTCCAGAAGCAAGACCCTCGAGCAAATGGTTGAACAATGCTTCGGCCTCTTTTTCGAGTATCTCTATCCCCTCACTCCACTGGTGCACGAGCCTAGTCTTCGTGACGGGCTTTCCATATTTACGCGAAAAGCATCCAACTCGGCGTTGCAGAACGCGCCGCGAAATGGAAATGACGGCGTGGCGGATACCCTGTCCGCCTTGAACCCCCCGGCATGGCCGGGCGACTCTCCCGATGTTGCCTCCGGGCCCGGGGGCGAGGCGTCGGGATCTTGGCATGACGCCACATTCACCCTCATCACGGCCGTTTGTGCCGAGGCGGCCTTTCTCCTCCCCAGAGACCTGTTCCCCGAGGGTGGTTCTGTGGCCGATCTCTTCCTGCAAGCTTCGAGGGACTGTCTGACCAGCTATCTGGAGGCTGATTTGGAAAACCCAAATGCAAACTCCATAACCATTCGCTACTTTCACTCAAACTGTGTCCATGCGGCTGGGAAGCCCGAGTACTCCTGGCACATCTTCGGCGAAGCCACCAGACTCGCACAGGTGATGAGGCTGCACGATGAGACCTCCCTGGAAGGACTGTCCCCCGTGGAATCCGAGCTGCGTCGCCGCGCCTTCTGGATTGTTTACATGGGTGATAAATCAGCCGCTATTCTGAACAATCGGCCAATGACGATGCACAAGTATTCGTTCGAGACCGGGGTAACTACAGCATACCCGACTGGAACTGACAACGGGTCTGCCTCTGCGGCAAACATGTCCAACGTTGCAACGCCCCCCGACACCTACTGTAGGAACTTCATCACGGGATTCAATGCAAACCTGAAGTTATGGCAGGCCGCTTCAGATCTCCTCATTCAAGTTCGACTCTTCCAAGACCAAAAGTCCAACGAGCTCAGTGCCGCAAATTCACCGAGTCAAGTACTGACAGAACCCGAGAGGCAGCGCCTAGACTCCCTCTTTGTGCAGTTCATCACTTGCATGGATGATCTGCCCCCTTACCTGCAGTCGTATACGTTTGCCTGTGTCGGAAACGCCGGCGGCCCCATCTCCGAGGCCAAGCAGTTCATAATTCAGTGCGCCAATCTCCAGGTCTCGTTTCACTGTCTGCGCATGGTCATCACCCAGAAGTTTGAGGACATCGCCTTCTTGGCCGCCGGTGCTGAGCAGGCGGACTTGCGCAGGACGGAAATAGTCAGGGACATGCTGAGGGTGATGCAGGAGGCCCCCTTTTGGGCTTTGCAGGTGAACGGTGAACCATACGTATGCTCGGGTCGAGGCAAGCCATGTGGACGGTGCGACGGTGCTAACATTCTGTGCCTAGGTGGAAAAGATTAGGCTGATCGGTGCTACGTTGCTGTCTATTATTCACCGCCATCAGGCGTCGCCGCTCGCTGCACGAGCCAGGAGTGATTTTAGCGTTTTGCTGGATATTTTAACGAGGCTCGATTCGAAGGCCTCGGATGCCCTCAAGAGTACTTCCACGTGGGCAATGTAAAGGAAGAAGTGAGACGGGAATTTGAGCATGATTTTGGCCGTTGGCTATGTGGGATCCGCGGCTGTTGGGATTGGGTAACGAATCGTGTAGAGCTGGACTGTGGACTTGTAGGATATTGCATGTCTCATCCTTTTTTTTTTTTTTTATTGAATAGATGCATTTCACCGTCACCCTGTCTTTCCGCGAGCATTGTCCTTAGTGTCGAAGCAGACTGCTTGGGAGGACTGTCCGCCTTAGGGTCTTGTAATCAGTGAATGTGACGCCGAAACGTGGGCCATATCCATCAGACCATTCTTTGGCTGGTGAACTACCGGATCCTGAGAAATTGTCGAGAACTCACCCAAGTGTGCCCATGCAAAGAAGCCTTTGGTGACAGCGCCGTCGTCCACAATGGACTTGCATATCGAGTCCAGATGAGAGTTGAAGTACTTGATACGGTATGCGTCATCCACTGCTTCCTTGCACGCCATGCTATCCTCGCCGGGGCATGGGCAGCCATTCTCGGTGATGCAAATGGGCTTTCCATACAAGCTGTATATACGAGTCAGGTGTTTGCGGAATAGGCCAGGGCAAGAACGTAGCCAGTGTATGGCGCTCTTTTCGCCCACGGGGGTTCCTTGCTTGTTGTGCTGCAGCTCGTCCAGGTTGCCCACGTAGTCGGTATCTGGTACGTGCCCCTCTCCATGACGACCAAACTGTGATGTGTAGTAGTTCATCCCGTAGAAATCAATTTCTGCTTCATTCAGGAGACCAAACTCGGCTTCGGTGACAATTGGAAGACGATGACCCAGTTGCCCACGCATGCAGCTAGGGTAGTCCGTCTCCAGGCTATATTTCCGAGTTACTTCTTGGACCTGGGGGAGAAAAATAGGTAACAGTGAGCTGCTCACAAGATAGCATTGGCGAACCAGCCGATGTGTAACTTGATCCGTCGCTTAGCAGCCTCCTTGTCGCGAGAGTCTGTGCTATCCCAAGGCTCATAGTAATCACCAGTTAGTGATATGCCAATTTGACCGGCCTGAGAGGGCTTGAACTCCTTGTTGTAGGCAATACCGGCGCGAACATGGCTCAAAATCTGTGCTTCCCCCGCGATCCAAGGCTCAGTAGCACTGTTGCCCGCTTCTGACAGGTCGTTTGTGCCGCTTCTTCCTGGCGCATGGCGCCCAGCAGACTATCCCTGCGTTTCAGAATCAGCCATTGCTCTTCTCGGGAACAAAACCCCTCAGTATCAAATGACGTACAAAATGGATTGAACCCATGGCTCAGTTGAAGTGATCCAGTCCTTGACTCTGTCTCCAAAGCGCTCGTATCACACTCTTGCATACCGCTCAAAGTCCAACTGAGACTCTTGAACATCAAGCCACCCACCATGACGGTCATGGAGTCCCTGAGGCAGATCCCAGTGATAAAGAGTAACACAGGGTGTGATCCCCCCTTTTACAAGAGAATCGATGAGTCTGCTGTAGAATGAAACACCTTGTTCGTTCAGGGGGTCGTTTCTGCCACCTTGGGGAATAGTGCGGGACCAAGACACAGAAAACCGGTACGCCTTGGCGCCATATTTGGAAAGAAGATCAAAGTCTTCCTCATACTGGTGATGGTGATCGCAAGCAATGTCGCCACTGGCTCCCTTGGTCCGACTTGGTTCGAGATGGCAGAAGGTATCCCAAATGGATATGCCTCTGCCGTCCTTCGCAACAGGCCCTTCTATTTGATAAGCCGCTGTTGCAAAGCCCCATTCGGAGGCATGAGCTCTTGCTGCCCATTGCTGTATCTTCAGCCATGTTGGGACCGCGACAGAAGAGTCCGCGACCGAAGTGGCTTGTATCGAGCGAGTGAGATGCACTTCTTGTGGCCTTGGGGAGTTGGGATTCTGCTTTTCCTGACAGACGAGCTTTGTATCAATGTTATGTATAACAGAGGGAGGAGGAAAATCAGATGCCGAGGACCGTTTCTGCTGCATTTGCCAAGTTCCTGCCATCTCCGTAGCGGGATATCAAGTGACATTGGTCCGAGGAATTTCTCCGTTCGATTTCTCCTAAACGCCGACACACGTACACACCCAGTTGCGCGGAAGCAGGATTTTGTTTTTCTCCGCCGTGCCGATTCCCAACTCCATCGTGGGGGCCCACACTTCTCCTCGTCTTCCCCCACGGGGAACCGTAATTTGTCCCAGTATTTCGTCTTGGAGCCAGCCTTGTATGGACTCACTGAGGTGTGCCTGCCTGGTCGAGAAGACATGTTCGACATCATCTCCACTCGATCAATCGAGATCAGTGTGACCAATCTCGCTTGGTGAGGACCATGAAGCCTCTAGCTCATCAGGGTCGAAAATCTCTCGAGTTTTGCAGCCGTTCCGGCTTCTCCTTGTCGGTCCCCCGATGGCCCTCTCTGCTGCTCATACGGCGGATGGCATCCTGTCGCCCATTGACCTCAAGGCAATTCGTCCGTTTTGGAAGAGGAAAAACGGCATTCTACTCTACTTCCTCCTCACTTCCTCGCTCGTCACGACCGCCGCTCTTGGCATCGACGGGGTAAGTCCCAAAAGACTCATCTCCGGATCCGCACATCGTGCTTTGTGCATACAACTAAGAAGAGAGGCGTCGTAGTCCATGACCAATGGCATGCAAGTTTTACCCATCTGGCAGGAACGGTTCGGACATCCCACAGGCTCGAAACTGGGCTTCTTTGGCGCTTCCAATGCCATTGGCGGAGTGATTCCCCTGCTCACGTTGAGCTGGATGGGCGACAAGTTTGGCCGTCGAGTTCCCACCGCCCTTGGGTCCCTGGTCATCATTGTGGGCGTCCTTGTCGGGTTTTTCGCGACCTCGCTAAACATGTACATTGTGGGCAAAATGGTTCTTGGTTTCGGAGGTGCTTTGATTCAAATGACGGCTGCTGTGCTGGTCACGGAACTCAGCCACCCCAAAGAGCGAGTCCAGGTCACAAGTCTCTACAATACCTCCATTGTGCTGGGCTATGTCGTGGGCGCGTGGGTAACGTATGGTTGTTTCCGTATTCCTAGCCAGTGGTCGTGGAGACTGCCTACTCTTATTCAGATTGTTCCCTCTGCGTACCAACTCGCACTCATCTTCTTCTCTCCAGAGTCTCCCCGCTGGCTGGTTGCCCAGGGCAGGAAGGAGGAAGCGAGAAGAATCTTGGTCATGTACCACGGCGAATGCGACCCTGGCTCTCCTGTTGTTGCATTCGAGTTTGCTGAGATCCAACATGTCATCGCCAGGGAAGCCGAGCAAAACATCACCTGGAAAGAATTCTTCTGCTCGATGCCAAACCTGAAACGAATCGGCCTCTGCTTTGCCACTGCAGTCTTTAGCCAGAGCTCCGGGAATCTTCTCGTGTCCAACTACCTCTCCCAGATCCTGAGAGACACTGGTGTCCGGGCCGACAAGGAGATTACTCTTGTCCACGGTATGGTGACTCTGTGGCAATACATTGTCGCTCTGGGTGTCACCGCCCTCATCGACAAGTTCAAGCGGCGTACGTTCTTCCTTGTTGGTTCCGGGGGCGTCGTCGTGACATTCGTTGCCTGGACCATCGCCGCGCAACAGTATCTCGAAAAGGGTTCGCTAGGTGCAGGCCGTGTGGCGCTTGCCTGCATCTTCATATTCCAAGCATTTTACACTTTTGCATGGACAAACCTGGTAGTCACTTATCCCCTCGAGGTTGTCTCGTACCGAATGCGGGCCAAGACATGGGCGTTCGTGCTGCTGACTATTCAAGTTGCGTCAGTTTTTGGGGGCTACGTGAACCCGATTGGCTTTGGCAACATTGGCTGGAAATTCTACATATACTACTGTGCTTGGGTGACTATGATCTTCGTCACTGTCTACTTCTTCTTTGTTGAGACTGCAGGACCAACACTTGAGGAACTCACTTATTTGTTCGAAGGCGCCGAGACAAAGATGAATAGTATGCGACAAAGGGAATAGGGCATTCTACGGTACACGTGGGCGGAGCAGAAGTTCGGGGCAGAGTCTGGTTAACAGAGCGTGCAATTTTCTGTAACAGTATCCCTGATGAATTGTTGTTTCAAAACGCAGCGTACTGCACACCGAGCAAGTGGTTAGGGTTGGGGTTAGGTGGAAAAAGTTGCCACCGTCGGCGCTTTGACTTTCTAGAAACTGACGAAGCGAGTGACTCTGGAACTTCGTCCGACCAAAACGAAGCACCACCACCTGCAAGTTGCAACCCACCCCAGTCACGGTTGTGGCACCCTCTGCCATCTGTCTTTCCCCCGTCGTCTGCTCCGATTCATCGACGGTTCAGGGCGACAAAGTCGAAAAAAAGGGACAATGATTACCATTAGCCGTTACCCGTTATCGTTGGCACGAGGCCGGACGCCATCGATGGCCATTTCCCAGCTCGTCGAAACTGTTGCGGATGTGGCTGCCGATGTCTCTTCAACGCCATCCCCGACCACACGACCACAGGGACGAAAATGCCTCAACCCGTTCCGTCCCCGTCCTTGGCGCTCGCTCACCCACCAAGGTAGGGATTCGTGTGGCACGAGCTCCAAGGCCGAACGAGTCCAGCATGGTCCACTTGACTTGCCGGTCCGAGACTACGTACCATCATCTCTACGGCTTGAATAGCATGGGTTCATCATGCCATCGAAAACACATGCGTCCGGCACTCGGCATGCCACCACACCAATCTACAATCTTGTTTCAAAGTCTCGTGGCGTCCATTGCCAAGTACCGGTCGCTCAGGGCCAGGGGGGCACCTGCACACTTCCCGTCACTCTTGTCGGCCACTTGTTCGGTCGAATGAAAAACTTGCGAGTCCAGAGCTAGGCACAAGAATCACGATTTTTCGCCTTTCCCCTGCAAGCTGGGATCACCGTCCGGCTTCATGTAACCCCCCCCCCCCAAGCCAGCAGCACAAACACCGGATTCAGTCCGGAGTACTGAATACATGGACTTCGTTTCCAGGCATGATCATGCCAGAAAACATAAAGTGCTACATGGGCCCGCCCAGAGTGACGTTGTGAACCGCATCGTCTCCAGTCTCAGCCTCTCCCCGGCCATCAGTTTGCCAACTCCAGCTGTGCAGAACCTCCATCACTTTGAACCTTGTGGTGAGAAAACTCGTCTACTGATATCACAATGGGTGGCGGCGGCAACGACAAAGTCGAAGCTGAGGCCCTTGAAGTCGCGCGTGCCGGCGGCCACCGAGTGGATGCTTTGCTTGGGGAGATGGAGCAAGAACTCGAAGCTTGCGGCCGTCTGAAGCGAAGCTTCTTTCATCTTGAATTCAAGGATTCAAAACACTTCACGTGGCTGCTTGTAGCTTTTGCAAGTATGGGCGGCCTTCTTTCTGGACTGGATCAGAGTCTCATTTCCGGCGCAAACTTGTACCTCCCCAAGGACTTGGGTCTCACACCCCGAGAGAACAGTCTAGTCAACTCGGGCATGCCGCTTGGTGCAGTTGGCGGCGCGCTGATCTTGTCCCCTGCAAACGAATATTTCGGAAGAAAAGGCGCCATATACTTATCCCTGGTTTTGTATACCGTCGGGGCAGCTCTGGAAGCTGGGGCTATGGACTTTGGTGTGTTGCCCTTTTCCCACCTCAACAATCACCCCAAGTGCTGACGGCGCCCGTTCCGTCAAAGGCATGATTGTCGCCGGCCGCGTTATCCTTGGTCTCGGGGTCGGTTTAGAAGGTGGCACCGTTCCCGTCTACGTTGCAGAAACAGTCGAACGGCGCATCCGCGGCAACCTTGTGTCGTTGTACCAGTTGATGATTGCCCTTGGAGAAGTTCTTGGCTATGCTGTTGCTGCCATATTTCTTAGGGTCCCAGGCAACTGGCGATACATTCTCGGTTCCTCCCTGGTCTTTTCCACCGTCATGTTTGGCGGGTATGACCTTGCTCCATTCTCCTTTTCTTGGGAGCCTCCGTGGCTAACAGCGGGCATCTGTCAGAATGCTCTTCTTGCCCGAAAGCCCCCGTTACCTCATGCATAAAGGTAAAGCAGTTGATGCCTTCCAGGTCTGGAAACGTATCCGAGGTGTCGAAACGACCGAGTCCAGGGAAGAATTCTACGCCATGGCTGTAGCGGTCCGTCAAGAAGCCAGCGCTGTTACTGAGCTAGCCAAAAATCGACGCTTCCCGTGCATGGACTTTTTCACGCAAGTATCCCAAGGCAGCCGTTCACGACTCTGCCCGTAATCTAATAACCCGTGTAGGGTACCTCGTGCCCGAAGAGCCCTCGTCTATGCAAACACCATGATTCTCCTGGGGCAGCTCACCGGTGTCAATGCCATCATGTACTACATGTCTGTGTTGATGAACCAGATTGGATACGAAGCCGAGAAGGCCAACTACATGTCTTTGGTCGGCGGCGGTTCCTTACTGCTCGGTACAATTCCCGCTGTTTTCCTCATGGAAACTTGCGGTAGACGCTTCTGGGCAATCATGATGTTGCCCGGCTTCTTCATCGGCTTGGTTCTAATTGGTATCGGATATCAGATCAATATTGAGACGCACACCATGGCCGCGGAGGGCTGCTATCTCGCAGGTCTGATTACGTACATGGCTTTCTTTGGCTCGTACGCCTGCTTGACATGGGGTAAGTCAAAAGGACGCTCAGTGATGGCCTCGCCATCATTATAAAAGTCAGTCCGCTAATGATTTTCCTCGCCCAGTCGTGCCGTCAGAAGTCTACCCAACGTACCTTCGAAGCTACGGCATGACTACGTCAGATGCCCTTCTCTTTTTGGCCTCCTTCATTGTCACCTACAACTTCACTGCAATGGAACAAGTCATGACGCGTACAGGGCTCACTCTGGGATTCTACGGTGGTATCGCTGTTCTCGGCGAGATCTACCAAGTATTCTTCATGCCTGAGACAAAGAACAAGACCCTGGAGGAGATTGATATGGTGTTCCAGCGACCAACTGTGGACATTGTGAGAGAGAACTGGTCTGGGGTGAAGGAGAACATTACGGATCTTTGCCACGGGCGGTTCCGGAAGGTCTTTGTTGCGCAGACTGATCGCCAACCACGGATTGACGAGCTGGAGAAAGCATTTGCGTAAGGCGCGACTCGAGAACCAAATTCAGGGCGAGCTGAAGTTCTGCCCAAGGGGGGATATATTATGATTTACGATGAACTTTACATGTTTTGACCGTCTTGAATAAAGACTTTGCGGTGAAACACGGCATACAAGTCCCAGGAAAGGTGACTTGCTATCATGACCCTGTGTGTGTGTCATCACCGTCGATGACTTAAACCACCGCCCGTGATGCATTTTAGGAAGATGTGCATCCAAATAACGACTCTTGAGATCAGACTGAGCCTCGATTGAGACGCCGGCATCACTGTGGGCGCAAGGCCCAGCATCCCAGCAGCGATATACCCCCAATTCAATCAGCCACTGGCATAGATGCACGGTAATCGTTGCCTCGCGTGCTCACGGAGACGCACGCGGTTTGACCCCGTACAAAGTCCACCCACTGAACTGCCAAGCCATTGCCAGCACGAACCACGCCGGCTTGGGCGGCACTCTAAGCCGTCTGCTGGCACGAAATGCTGACCAGGAGCCCACTGGCCGCAGCCGTGAATACGGACGTGCCCTGCTGTGCTCCCGGGGAAGCATATTTCATATTCCCTATTCGGGCAGGAGGGTGGCGACAAGTCGGCCCCGTCGGCCCCACATATCCGGAGTCCAGTCGGACCAGTCCTCTGGCATTTGCTTGGACAAATTTGCTTTCACGGACCCGCACATTGGGAGGGCGGAGACTTTACAACTTTACACACGGGAGGTCTATGGGCACGCGGCTCCAGGCGGCACGGTGTCCCGAATCCTTCCTGATGGACAGCACTGGTCTGGTGGGCTGTGGTCTCAACAGCTATGGGATGGATGGCTAGGCTCCGATATCGGCATCTCCAATACCACCAGCTCTCGGGCTATCGGTTCGGTGGTGCAGCGGCGGTCAGGACTCTCTGGGGCAGACATTTTTGGGGAATCCTTTGACGCGTCTCTGGAGCCATTCAGACCCGCGCAGCTGGCCTTACATCCTTGGGGCGGCTGGAGCGATGAGTTGTTGGACTTGGTGGACTGTTGGGGATGTTTCTGGCCCAACCACGTCCGGTGTGGCTCTCTGGGATTGACACGGGTGCAGTCGACTGGCGGCTTGCAAACATTTGGAAAATGTACGCAGCAAATTCCGCAATAATAATCCGTGGAAAGTATGACACCACCGTGTCCTGCAAGTCGGCCAGCGGGCGAGCGCTTCGAGACTCAAAGAAAATCCCTCCCTCCCTCGATGTCTGTCACGGCGCGACAGTTCGGGGTCAGAGCTTGGTCCATTCTCACAGGCCCATCCGGGAGTACATCGCGCACAGGGACAGGATGTTCAGTCTCAATTCCACGTCTGTCAACCTATCAAAGTATCACCAGAAGCGACAGGCACCCGTCATTGGCCGGCCGAGCTTAAACTCCTCAAGGAGAACTCCATACAACGGCCAATGCTTGCTCTCAACCAAAGGATGTATCCAGAAAGAAAGGGTATCCTCTCGACGTCTGCCACGTCCGCGGAGGGCAGTTACTGGAGTTGGATGAAAACATTCAGATGCCATGGCCAAGTTTGAAAGACAACGACAAGGGAAACACACTCACTCGCTTTGTTGATCACCATCAGGCCGTGGAACGGTGCAGCCGGTCCAGAGTCGATACTTACGCACTACGGCGCACAGATGCATCAGCACGTGTGTCCTGGTACGCGGACACGCCTAGATCGAAATCAAAAACACTCACAATCTGAGAGGTACGAGCGTTAGACAGTCTCTTGGGAAACAAACGGGCGGGCTTAACCTCTTACGTGCTGCTCGGGATGTCACAAGCTACTTTAGCATGCAGATCTTGTGTTTTGCCATTGCATCATGGTTACTCACGGCCTGCATTCGCGCTGTTTAGTTTGGAAACTAGGAAATGCGGCCTGTCTCCTTTATTCAGCTTACCATCTAGGAATTTGTCAGCCCAGGCAGGCTCTAGACGGTCGTAAACTGCAGCGTTACGACCGGTTTGCTACTCACGCACTAGCAGATTTGGTCATGTTAGAATAAAGAACGTACTCCAAGCCGACGTCATATACTCACAAACTATGCGAAGTGAGGTTTCAGTGCCGTGCTGCTTGTGAGTCGCTTGAATGGAGGAGCTTATTACATCCTGTGCGCGTGTTATTGCTTTACATCAGTGAAGAGATCATGTATAATGGCTGGCTTACATACTATACAAAAAGCAAAATTAGCACGTGAACCTTGGATTCAACGGAGCCGTGCAGTAGGAACTCACAAACTAGAATTTTCGTTTCGAAAAAGTGTCAGATGATGCCCATGGCTTGGCAGCGATGGCACTTACTCCCTGAGAAACGTCACGTCATTAATAACGCATTAACAACGCACCAACTATGTCACAGCTTCGTCTTTGGAGAGACACTCACCGGCTGAAAGACATTGGAAAAATTAGCCTTGTGCGCGACTCCGAGGGCCGCCTCCGAGGGCCGCCATCACTCACCTCCTGCAATCCTCGAGTAAGCCAACGACGAATACCAAGGCCCACGCTCAGAGCTACATGGAGGACGTACTTGCTAGAGTTCACATGTGTTGGCGAAAATACTTGCTGAGATCAAAGGCTTGTGTGTGCGTTTTTTTTTGTTTTTATTGAGGCCGCCGTACTTACTCCCTTGATCCCGCTGACTTAGTCCAATTCCAACACGTGACGTATTTACCCGCTTCAAGTTGCGGCTTGAAATACTCACAAACTAAATAGTTTCTGTATTAGTAAAGCTATTCAATGCTATATGTGGACATGAAAGGAGAGAGACCAACTGTCTGATTGATTAAACGCATTAGCACCAGGGTATCTGCTGTTTTCGACGCTAGGATGAGGGTGCCTTACTCCCTGGATCGGACAGGCCCTGTTAATACGTTGGCAGTTACTGAAGCTCTAGTCGTCACTCACTTCCTGGATCAATGTGTCAGCAGAGTTCAGCCAGCCACAGGTTACTTTGACGCGTGTACATACATGCTATTACCGTCCAGGCGCGAAGTAGTGAGCCGACGTGTCGTCTTTTCGTTGCAGCGATAACACATACACTCTGTATAGATGGCTAAGTATTCAACGCGATACCTTGGGGCAGCAGGGTTGACCTACACACTGTCCCTTGGTTATTGCCCAACTTCCGCATGAATGATGCCATGGGGCGTCAACGTACATACTACAGCCAAGATACTGTAAGCATATTGCGTACTTCAATACTCTGGAAGGGAAATTACTCACAAACTAGATAAATGAGCACTTCTTCTCATTCATCATCCCCTGGTAGGTGGCAAGGGCCACTCACATGCTGGAGGTGAGTATCATTAGCTTGGTGGTCGGAGCCGTCAATGGAGTAAGTTGAACCTACACACTGTGGAAGCAGTAAATTTAGCGTCCATGAAGCAGTTTCTAATCTTCTGCGGCGATCATGGCACTTACACTCTTTACGTAGACCGCCGTACCGCGTGGTTTCCATCTTCAGTATCGGGTGTACTTGCAAACGACCGGACATGTGCTTACAGGCTAACGGCAAAACTCCTCTCAGCAACGGGCCGTAACAAGTCACGGCAGACCCAGAGACACTCACTTGCTAGCTGTATTGTTAAACTCGCGCAGGCAAGTCGACATCATTACATACCCACTAACACGCGAGCACTCATATTAACATTTCCTGTTGTCCAAAATTCAGCATGACGTTGTGAACAGAATGGCTTACTCGCTTAGGTTACCGAATAAATCAGCATCCTGCCGTCATGAACTGTTCCAGCAGAAAACAGAATAGTGTCATACTTGCTATTTTCACGTTAGTCCAGTTCGCTGAGGCCAAGACGGGAACTGACAGCATTGGCAGCGGCCAATCCGGCAGCGATGGTGGCAAACACCGGAGCAAACTTCATCTTGCGCAGCACCGAGGAGAGGAGAGATGAAAAAGAGTAAATATGAAAAAGAGGAAGCTTCCAGCAGCGGTTCAGAAAGTTAGCAAACGGTTCACGCTTGAGAGGTGGGAGGAACAGGGCGATGGGGTCGAGGCGTCTGTTTTCCTGGTACACAGTTGTTTTCTGCGGTGGATGTAGCAGTGTATTATATATATATACCTAAAGCATCATCGTATAAGTGGCGCGTTCACTTGCGACACGACTTCTAGGTGAATGCATTATAGAATCCGCCTATGTATAGTGTGCCGGGCTCCGGGACAGAGCTGCATTTCCGTTGTAGAATATGATTGATGATTCGACCCATGGATTAGCCGTTTCTCACCTATTTGAGCACCAACTAGAAATGTGACAAGTGACAGCCGCGCAGTCCCCGATTCGCCGTAGTCAGGATAATAGAGTTTCTGGCCCCCATCTCACCTCTCGTCTGAGCAGGCGCTGTCTATCAATGCTCGAACCGGAATACTGAGCACGAAACGCTGAGCACATTGTTCACGAATTCCCCTTTTGATTCGTAGTCAGCGACGGTTCCGAGAGGAGGGCCAACAGTCTAAACTGCATGTAGACATTCGTAGTGGTTGGTTCATCAGCCTCAAGACGATGCAACGTGACGAGATGAAACATGCGGGAGTACGTACGGGGTACGTACTAAGCTTTGGAAACGGCTCCAAGCTCTACGGTTCAGGTTCATTAAGAGTCTCGCGATTGTGACTGGCCCAAGGTAGGGTCAGCCACCTGGACGTGTCGGGCGGAGTTGCAATCGTCCTTCATCCACCTCAGGGGGAAGGGGTAGGTGTCGTCAAGGACCTGAGGATAAAAGGGCAGGCTTGTCATGACCGGCCAGAGACACGCCGTCTTGCGCAGATGGACAACCTGCACGGCTCACTCGGTCGACGTTGTACACAATGAAGTCTGTTGTCATCATCACCGCCGTCGCCCTGCTCGCGACCGCAGTTCCATCTCGGCCCGACTGCCCACCACGCCCCCCAAAGCCACGTCTTTGTCAATGCAGGGCTCAGTGTCCATGTCCGTTTGGGCAGTTGTGGGATAACGTGCACTGCCAATGTGCGGTTTCTCGGTGTGCGGCAACAACATGTCCCGGCGGATACCGGTTTTCTTCCCGCGAGTGTGTGTGCCGCAAATGCGGAGGGTGGTGATGAATCCTCCTATCCACGGAACAAGCCAAGGGAAGGCAAAGGCAGGGTCTGATTCTGATTGACGAAGCAGCCAATTTTTGCAAGAGACGGGTGCAATGGCTTGCTTGTCTGGTCAAAGAGGAATGAAGGGTGGATTCCAGCGAAAGGCGAGGATGCGGTCTCGGCAGCTGCGCATTGATTGGGCAGGATTGATGAATAATACAGAAACTCCACGACACGTCACGGTACATGTCACGGGCCGTCAGGTCAGCAACCCAGCGACCGCCCGCCGACGACACACGCCTCGCTTGCTTGCTCGACGAGGAGAAGAGCCCGCCATTTATTGTGGTCAAATGGGTCAAATGGCGACTGGAGTCCACGTTGTTTCTCCTCATCCCTCTTCTTGTCTCTTGTCCCGTTTCTTTTCTGCAACCCCGCAATCATCCAGTTTCGCGTCGTCACATCCCCTCCGTCACCGACGACATGTGACAGAGGGCGAAGCCGTAGACGCATTCCAAAGCAAGCCATCGACGACGGTCGGGCCCGACATCACATGATGGCCATGACATGAAGAAGCCGGCCAGAGATGGCCCAGCGGCGAGCGCTCATCACGGGGCGCTCTCCGACGCCTACTTATGGTCCCTACGTCGTACAGCAAGACGTTCCAGTTCCATCACGTCGACGCATCACAAGCCGTTTTTGGTGGACTTGGGATGAATGTCGCGTGAACTCGATCCACGCCATCCTTTGTCCACTTCGCATGTCTTTCAATCAGCTACGCATTGGCGCCGCGACATTGGACCGTATTCTTCCCTTCTATGGAGCCGTCTCCTTGTTCGATCCATCGAAGCCCCCCGTCGATGCACCGACATCGGCTGCACCCGCCCAAGTTCACAGACCCAGACTCCATTCTCCGTACGTACATGAACAAGACAAAACGCACAAAAGCCCTGTTCACCGCCGTCTGTTGCTTGTGACTTGTTGCATGCGTCTCGTACTTAGGCTGTGGCCAAGCGACCGACTCCCTGCAACCACCCCCTGCTCACGCATTTCGATTCCAATCCGTGCCCGGCCGTCTGGCTTCCTGGCAACCAAGTCCGTAATTACCAACGTATACGGAGTAGTTCGAGGGCATTCGTCTGCCTGCGTGGCCGTTGCTCTGGTCGACGAGACACGGCTCGGCTTCCAATTATATATCTCGCTTGCTGCAAGCCTGCCAGTCGTTGCTTGCCGTCGTTACTTGGTGTGCCCTGTCGGAAACTCCAAAACCCTTGCAGACCGCAACTTTCAACGCATCATCACGGCTCTCCCCTGGTCTGTTTTTACCGACTTGTTTGAAGGAGTAACAACAGACTGGCGAAACACAGAGATTGGATAAATACGTCTCTCTCTCTATCCCGTTCTCTCTCCCTCTTTCTCTCTCTCTCTCTTTTTTTTATTTTATTTTAATTGTCATTGTACCCTCCCGCGACCAGACAGAGACCCACGCTCGGATGATTATTGTAATACCGCCGTCATTATTCTCCCCCCAGATACGTTGACCGTAATCCTGGCTTCTTTCTTCTTTTCGTCCTTATTATTTTTCCTTCTTTCTTTTCAATCCTTCCGTCTCTTTTCCTCTTCAAAAAGTCCTAGGCCCCGTCGCCCGACATGAATCCCAGGTCTAGCTTTGCTGCGTCGGACACGACCTACCACAGCTTCCACGACATCGAGTTGCAAGAACCGCCCTCGCCTCCACGCCCAAGAAGCCCTCTTGGTGCGAGTGCGCCGGCAGCAGACGGCGCGACTCCATCCAGTCAGCAAGAGCAGGAACCTCTCCGCACGACAGCCAAGATGCAGCGCCGCGACTCAGGGTACGAGTCTCACCAGTCCGGGTCGGCACGAAACTCGATCCTCTCCGGCCCCCCGCTCACAAAAGCAACGCGCGCTCGCCTTCACTCTCGCCCTCGGTCATCCACACGGAAATCTGCCAAACCCCATCTGCACTCACGCGCCAGCAGCAGCGCCAGCAGCAGCACCAGCACCACCCGGAGCCGGAGTCGGAGTCGTATCCGGAGCCAAAACGCTCCCTCTCCCGCGGGCTACGTCCAGTTCCCGACCCCAGACCTCGTCGAGCTTACCGAGACATCACCACCAGCCGATCCCTCACCTCACCTGCCGCCGCCGCCCACGATTCACTACTGGACGAGCGACAGCACCCGCCGACTGGAGTACGCCGCCATCGACGCCGCCAGCCGCGGTGTCAAGGGCTGGATCAGGAGACACCTCGTCCCGGACTGCTTCACCCCACGACATGTGGCGTTTGACGATGACTCTGGCAGCGTGCGTCGCTACAGGCTGGAGCTGCAAGACGAACAAGACGAAAAGGTTTGCCGTGGGGACACACGACGCCGCAAGGGGTGGCGCTTTTTCTCCCTGCGGAAAAGCAGAACCATTTGATTCCCCCCGCGGGCTCAACAGCAGCAGTACGGTTCCGTTGGGGGCGAGGTTCTCTTCTCTCTTTTGTCAAGGCATTGCATGGGATTAGATTTGATTTATACGGCTCGCATGGCATTATTCGGCGTTTTATATACCCTCTTCTTCTTTTTCTCTTTCTTTTTCTTTCCCTTTTCACCTTTTTTTTGGGGGGGAGGGAAACGTGGGACAAAAATACTCTTTATAATCGGTTTTTTTTTTTAGTTTCCGTAATCGCATTTGGACAGCACGGGCGTCGCTTCACCTACCCAAAGATACAGAGAATGGCATATCACAACGATGTACAGGATGATCATCAACGACTCCAGACGAATATCATCCCCCCCCCCCCCACCAACACATGTCAAGAGGCATATAGCATGACGAATACAGAAACTTGACGACTATTCACACTTTCAATGAGGCACTGGCCACTGCTCATCTCGGGCCCTTTGGCGATTGACCTCTAGCAAGTTTTCATGTCCTAGAATCGGGCTTTCTTCCAATTTTTCAAGTCTTAAAATGAAAACACTTGGATAGTAGCAAATTGATTAGGCTATTCGTTCCGACCCGAATTGAAACGTGATCGAGTAAAACAAAAAAAAAAAAAAAACACCGGCTTGCATCCAGGCTCCTCCCGCCCCCTCGTACACCCAGTCCTCATTCCCTCGGCTTGACCTTTGTCTTGAAGCCAACCGGCCTGACGTTGAACCAGCCATCCTTGCCCAGCTTGTACTCAGGCTCCGCCATCTCAAAGTCAATATTCTGCAGCATCATGGCCAGGACCAGCACGCTCCATTGCCAGGCAAAGTGCTTTCCGATGCACTCCCTCTTCCCGTTGCCAAACCACTTCTTGGCACCCTCGGGCAGCCGCTCGAATTGCTCGCCCATCATACGCTCTGGCTTGAAGGCCAGAGGGTCTTCAAAGACGCTGGGGTCGCGGTTGACCCCGGCCAGGACAATGATCATGGGCTGGTTGTGGGCGACTTGGTATTTGCCGCCCGCCAACTGAACGGGCGCTTTCGAGTCGCTAGGGATAGGCTCGATGTTGAAGCCAGGTGCCGGGGAGGACAGCCGCAGAGACTCGCGCACAAGTGCTTGCACGTATTTCAGCTCGTCCAGCTTCTCGACCGAAATGTCGCCGTCGCCTACAACGGTATCGATTTCCCGTCTCGCGCGGGCCAGCGCATCCGGGTTCCTGAGGAGCAGCAGGATTGCCGAGGTGAGGAGGCATGGCGCCGTGCTGCTCCCAATGGGCATGGTGACAATCTCGTCGATGACTTGTGAGTCTGTCAATTTATTCTTGGTCTCGGGGTCTTCCTTGTTCAGCAAGACGGTGAGGAGGTCTTGGCGGGCAGTCGGGTTGTCCTTGCGGTACTGAACGATGTCGGCGGCGTGTCTGCGCATGGTCTGGATACTGTTCCTGAATTTGCTTCGGTAGAAAAGCCAGTTGACCGGTGAGAGTCTTGTCGGCCGCATCATCGCTTCCGAGGTTGAGTCCTCCATTGCCTTCAACATGGGGTGCTCTGGCCCTTGCAGGCAGTTTAGTTTGCGTCCGAACAGGGTCAAGGTGATGGTTTCGAGGTCGACCCTTTGCAGCTCGGAAAGCGGCGAGATGACGGCGTTTGCGCCAAGCTTTTCCATTTGCCGATGAGCTCGTCGGCCAAGTCGCGCATCTCTACGAAGCTCTGCTGCCTGAGAGCTTCCACGGTCAAGTGTGGTGCGATGATGCGATGAGCGACCCCCCAGCTTGGCTCGTTGTCGAACGCGGTGAAGAGAGAATCATGGACGGCAGCCCGGATCTCGACTATTGGCCCTCCGACGTACTTCCTGAATCGCTTTTCATCACACAATTCCTCGGCGAGCGCCACGCTACCCACAAACACGATCGTGTGGCCGAGGACGGTGACCTGGAAGATCTCTCCATATTCTTCGGAGAGCTTGTTCAACGATGCCCAGGTGTTTCTGGCGTCAATGGTAAAGATGTTACCTAGCAGAGGTACGCCTGGAGGCCGGGGGATAGGTTGCGGCATCGTTGGCGTCTGCAGGGAGCTCGTGTGCAAAGTACGAAACACCGCTTTGGCTGGGTTTCACTCTAGGTTGATGCCATCGAGACGCTGCTCGCTTTTCAAAAGCACCGAGGACGAGCCAAGTTTTCTGAAGAAAAAAAATAAAAAGAAAAAAACCTAGGAGAGAACCCCGTCCGAGATGGTATTACTGTTAGAAGGCACGGCAACCCGACAGCTCACCTGCAGCCACCACCGGATCAGCATCCCTTGCTACACAAGGAGCTCTCGACCCGACCAGGACGAGTACAGCCCGCCACACACGTTCTGGCCGGGAACTCCAGAGTCGTTTCTTTTTCCGCCACCTCCCTAGCCGTCATGATGCATTGGTTGGCAGGGGTGAGCAGAAACAGAAACACCGATGCATCACAGACTCCTTGGCATGCTTTTTGACGTTTTCTGCTGCCGTGGTCAGTCAGTACGTACGCGCTTTTGATAAGACTCGGCAGCTTCACAAGGAAGAGCACCCAAGACATGCCTGCGCTGGCTGAATCGACCACCCCCTTCCCGGTCGCAGCTAATAACCTGCCGCTGGCAGACGACAGATTCCACATTCCAGCGTTTGTCGAGACCCGTCGGCAAGGTGGCTTGGTGCTAGTATTCGCGGAGAACCATGGGTCAAGCTGGCGATGCGAAATAACACAGAACCAATTGGCTGGAGCATTCTTCGGCCGCCGTCCTCCGTCCTCAGCCCTTCTCTTTTGGAGCATCTGCAGTGGATCGACTCCTCCGAGATGCTGTGCTACGACTCTGTACTCTGTGCCGCAAAAGCACTCGTTGTCATTGCAGTCGACTCGGTTCGTGCCCCTTTCTCTGGTTTCCTTTCTTCTCCGGCTGCCAGGCGGCATTCCCCCTCTTTCCGTCCGTGTAGCCCGTTCAACGTTGGCGTCGTCTGCAAAATATCCTGCCTTCTCCATTCGGGAGGCACGCCGGCGCATGGTGTTTCAAAAGGCATTGTAACAGAAAACGACAGCCGCTCAGCCCGAGGGTTGTTTCGTTTCGACGGCGCTCCCTCGCAGCGATATGGCGAGAGGTATGCCAGAAGAGCGTGGCCAGTCCCCGGAGGCAATGTACAACTTGTTACTCGCATCACACGGCGCTCCTTGCCGTCCGGACAAGCGCCCGACGCAGAAACAGAACATAACAGCAGACGGAGTTCGTAGTCTGTAGACGTCTCGAGCTCACCGCCAAGTCATAGCAAAAACAGCCCTGACGGCACCCGTACTCCGTACCAAGTACACAGCAGTTACTCCCGTCACGGTACGCACGGCACAGAGTACTTCGTACTACAGGTTGAGCTGCTACAGAAGTGGGGTCTCGATTAGTCATCCCATAACACGGAGACCGTAGTCATTGGTCAACGCGCCGCAAGCCGACACAATCGCAATAAGCTCTGCTCCGTCACCGCGGCTGCCGCTCCTCAGCAGTATCATCGCCAATCCTCCTCCGCCACGCCCATGACAGCACCTACAAGCCCTCGAAGCTACCTATATCCGCAGTCATGACGCGCGCTCAGCAGACCATCTCCCTCGGGCTCCTCGTCTCCTCCGTACGCCCCCGATCCGCAATCACGACTCGACACACGCAGACAGACAGGAACCTGTGCTAACTTCCCCATCTGCAGCTATACCTAGCTCTCTACCTGCAGTTGATTCCCCTCCCCTCTCTGATCCAGCAGCACATTGTCCCCGTCGTACGTCTCTGTCCGTCCCCGTCTCCGCGTGCCAGCCAGTTCCGGCCCCAGCTAAACGTTTGCAACCCGCAGCTTCCATTCTGGGCCCTCGTCTCCTTCGGTGCGCTGCTTCTTTTCCGTCTCGGTTGGGGTATCATGACGTTCAACAATGTTCCCGAGGCGCACCGGGAACTCATGCAGGAAATCGACATGGCCAAGGCTGATCTCAGGACCATGGGCGTCGATGTCGATTGAGTACTACGCAATCAGCCAAGATCCGGGTATTCCACAACGGGGGAGACGCTACGTGGAAAGTAAAAAAAGTACAGCACCGATGTGCGGTTTAGAACAAAGACAGGACCATAGGTCAGACAACTAACAGTGGTGGAAGAGTATAATAATGCGGATTGGTATCATCGTAATAGAGCAAATCATGCCATCCGATATGTTCGCTTGGAATCTTTCAAAACGTGTCATGGTCATCATGTCTCATGAAATGGTTCACCGGCGTCTAGGCGCCAGTCAGAAGCGCCACAATGGTTTGCACTGCCTTCCTCGGGGGCTGGCCGCCGTCTATCAAAACCTCCAAGAGTTTGGCAAATTGACCAAAAACACCGCCCTCATCCGCTTGCCGCCCTAGAAGCAAACCGAGAGATTAGCGCATCATCGTCTGTCCCGGATGGCGGTCTGTGAACTTACATTTGCCAGGGATCCCGAGGAACAGTCCCATTTTGCTTTGCGCTTCGCCGGTCCAGTCGAGCTCGATCTTCCATTCCAATCGCACAGCCGATTCTGGGCCCGCTTCTGAAATCGTCGGGACCGGCACATCGTATGACTGCTGGCCGAGAAATCGGAAGAGGTCTGCCCTGTCACATGTGTCCAGTTCATCGTCCTGAGAGCCGTCCTCACCCGGTCCAGGCTCCGCCCGCATTCGTGATATCGCATCCAAGTAATCGCCCTTGGCGGCTAGACTCCGCTCCAACTGGAACCAGAAGCGAGCTCGCTGAACTGCCACGCGATACCACTCCCCCATGGCCCAAGACAAGATTCCAACGTTGTGTTGCATTGTTCTGTTGCAATCTCCAGAGCATATCTTGTCAACAAACGGCCTGAGCTCTGGTCTTGCGCATGACTCCAGCGCAGGAACCTTGAGTGCTAGGATATTCAGATTCATCGCATTCACCACCATGTCGACTCTAGCCGTAAACAAGCCCGGGACATCTCGAGACCGTAGCGTGATTTGCCTCCGTTGCCGCAGAGGTTGATTGTGTGCCGAAGGTAGAACCGAGACTTGTGACGTGGCAGAGAAGGGACTGAACAGTTGCAAGAATGGTAAACCGTCAGCGGCCGACATGGGGACGGGGTGGTGAGATCTGATGTTGGCTTCGTCCGTCTCGGGGTCTCCTTGATTTGACGCCAATCTTGAAGGGCCAAACGGCAAGATTCCCACGGGCATTAGCGCCGCCTGTGTCATCTGATGAGCAAGTCTCGGCGTGGGAGCAGTCCTCGTCGCGACCAGTGTCTTTTGCACCAGATTTAAAACGTCCTCTTCATTTTCGGGAGCCACGATTCGGCCGGCTCTTTGCATAACGCGGATGCGCTCATTTTCCCGGGCCGCAAGTTCGATTTCTCGCCTCAGAACCGCAATCTCCCTCCGCAGGCGATTTCTCTCCTTTAGCTTGTGGATGTTTTTATCAGACGCCAGGACTTGGCGGGCGGGATTCGTATTCGCATTCAGGCTTCGGTCCTGGAGCGGAAGCTCCCTTTGCATAGCAGAACGGGTCGCCGGACTCATCGAGACGCCGGCCCTCCCGGTCGGGGTTCCCAGACCGCGCGGCTTCAGCGGCGAGCTTTTCATCGGTGACTTCTTTTTATGCCCATCTCGGTCTCTCCATCTGGGGCTGCTGTGGATGCCTCGCGGAGGCGTCGAAGACACAGCATCTGAAACGGCTGGCGGGAGCTCCGGCTCGGGAGGAGGGGGTATGGGCACCCCTGTGATGGGCTCTCGTCTCTGCATCCGTCCTAGAAAGGGATTTGATTCATCGTCGCCTTCTGGTGCGGGGGGGGGGAACGGCCTCGGGTTTGGTTTTGTAGGAGTCCGCCGTGGTGGCTCTGTCAGTCCGGCCTGAGAGCTGGTCGTTGGTGGTCTCGCCGCGCCCCCGGTTTGTCCTGGTATGTCTGCCGGCTGGTTGATAACGCCTGCTCCGATATTCCCGTCTGCTCCTAGCCGTGGCCGAGCAGCGACGGGCGTCAGGGTTTGAATGCCGGGTGCCGGAGCTGTGGTTGTGGTTGTGGCTCTTGGCGTCGATGTGACAGCTGAACGGCGTCGCTCCAATATTTGCGGGTTATAGCGCGAAAGGCTCGCTCGAGTAGGTGATGCGAAGGATGGTCTACGTCGTCGGCTTGGAGATTGTGACGCTGTTGCGGGTGCAAGGTTGACCGGTGCTGGCGCAGCTGCTGATGTTGTTGCGGGCGCTGGCGCTGGCGCCTCTGGGTCTGGAGAAACGCGTCTTCGCTTGGGCGCAGACCCTTCCATGGTTGTGGAAGAGCTCACGTTGCAGTTCGGGGCACGAGCATGGTCAGAAGACCTCGCACCGTCGAGAACATGTACAGGCAAGAGACGGATCAATCTGTTGATGGTCGGAGACAAAAGACGAGCCCGTCGACAGCCGGTGTCTGATCGCGTTGCGCCCAAACAAACCTGAACGGCCAGCCGGCTCTAGTGCAAGTACGGAGTACGGAGCAACCATAAAGTGGATTCAATCAAATCCCAGGTGCCGGCCGCAGGACGCAGCTCAGGCAATTGTGGAGCCGGATCCCACCGTCGTTCAACGTTGAACTACTCCGTGCACGCGGCACTACGGGCTTCGCACAAGGACGGATGCTGCTCTCTAAAATCATGTATATTTGTCGGCCTGTAGTCGTGTGGTGGTGCAGGCAGCCAAGCTCATCGCCAGGACAGGAGCGCGGAACAGAATGGCAAAATCAGCACCTCATCATGAACTGAAGTTGGCAGGCGGTGCGAGCCGGCACTTGGCGCCTTTGTCTCGATTTGCAGGCAGGCAACTTGGTAACCGGTTCCACCCCAGCATCAGTCACCCCAGGCACCATCACGTGCGGCAACGCCGATTCCGCAGCAATGCAACGCTTTGCGCGGCCCGAATGACGTTTTCCGACGCCGCGCCGCCGAAAACCCGCCTTTTTGCCCCTCGAGCAAGAAGGCCAAAAACATCCCGGTCACGACTCACCAACCTCTCCGGCTCGGCGCATTTTTCCTCGCAACATGACAGGATCATAAATTCATACACATCTAAATCCACCCCGCTTCTCCGGCGCACGATGCCAGCCTCAGCCAGAACAGTCGTCCCGCCGCTGCGGCTAGTGCCGCGCGCAGGCCTCCTCCCGGCCAGAAGCCTCGCGACGTCGACCCCCAGCGGCAAAGACGAGCAGTGGCCGCAACGCACACCACTAGGCGACTACTATGCGGGCATGCTGCGCGATCCGATCCCCTACCCGTTCTCTCACAAACCCGAGGAGCCGCCCAGCACGGCGGACCCCAGCGTCCTGCCGCCACACAAGCGACCAAGGATGCCACGAGCACCCGGGCCCAATAGGTCCGAGACGCGAAGCGCGGCCTGCGCGGGCGCGACTCCCACTTCACCGCCCGAGCCGGTTCCCCCTCCGCAGACGGCGCAAGAGAAGGCTCGTATTATATTCGGATCGCGACTCCTCGGCCCGGCCGAGCACGCGGATAGATTGGCTTCGAGGCGGGCAGAGTCGAGATACAAGGCGGGTGTTTTGGTTCCCCCGCGGCCAGAACAGCCGGACAACTGCTGCATGAGCGGTTGCGTCAACTGCGTCTGGGACCGGTACCGAGAAGACATGGAGGAATGGACAGCGAGAGAGAAGGAGGCGCAGAGACGGCTGAAAGCTGGGAGGAGAGCCGTGGATGCCGCCGGCGGAGGCGGCTCCGACTCCGAGTCGAACTGGAAAGCGCCGGCCGCCGGCGGCGGTAAGATCGCCAAGGACATGTGGGATGAGGATGTCTACGAAAACGTGCCGGTCGGCATCAGGGAGTTCATGAAGCAGGAGAAGAGGTTGAAGGAGAGGCACGTGCGTGAGGGCACTATTGGCGGTTGAGGCTAGTGTTGGTCGGCATGGACTGATGTTGAGGAAACTTGGAGCAGGGCACTCCAACGGCCTTTTGAATGACATGGTTGATGTACTGCGGTGGTTCCTAGCACATAGCATCGTACAGTTTAGAGCGCATATGCATATACCAATCTGTATATTTCAATTTTTGATTTGTTTTTTTGAATTCCCTATATCGACTCAGAAAGCCGGCTTCTACTCTATATCTGTCCGGAAAAAAAAAACACCAAATTAAATACGGGTTGCTTCAAGCCTTGGGCTTGGCCTGGGCATTTCTATCGTGCTCATCAATGTCGAGAGCCTCCCAGGGATAATTGATCCAGGCATCCCCAACGGTGACGGCCGCCTCGTATCGGGTGGAAATCATGTCGTGGGGCAGAACGCCCTTCTTGGGCTTATCCTTGTTCTGTACAAACCAACCTTGTTAGCGCACAGCTACTCGGGCAACATCCAAGGCAGACAGATTCGAGGCAGGCACATACGTGGAGAACAAAGATGCAAAACTCGGTCTTGGGCTGGTCACCGCCCATGCGCTGACGCGCAGCCTCGACGTCCTTCTCCAACTCCTTGACGGCATATTCCAGCGTCGTTCGGGTGTCATCGACCTCGTCAACAATGAGGATTCGCTTGCCAACCAGGTTCTCCATCTGTCCCAGCGCAGTGAGATCGAGCCACTGGGTGCGGGTAACCTTCTTGCCGATCTGCTCAACCTCGGTATCCTCGCCGAGGGACTCGTACAGGGACAGACCAATGGCCTGGATGGGAATGTTGGGAGAGCCGGGCTTCTTGAGGAAAGTTCGCAGGATACGGGCGGGAATGTAGCCGCCGCCGCCGATGGCAATTATGAGCTGGGGTTGGAACTCACCCAGAAGACGGTCGGCCGACTTCTGGCACAGCTTGTGGACCTGGGCGCAACATGGTCATCAGTGAGCTTGTCGCCGGCCAACATGGTCTGTTTACTCGGTCCTGTCTGTCGCCAGGTCTTTTTTTTCCCACAGCGGACACATCCATCACCCGCCATGCGCAATTGAAGCATGCCTTTCCGAGCCGTTACAGTCACACTCACCTCATTGTAGGTAACGTAAATCTTGTCGACGTCGCTCATTGTGGCTTCGTGTCCAAGTAGCTCGGAGGGATAGAGGTAGAGAACAGCGTCTGGTGTGGCCGAGCGGTTATCAGTATCACGGTATCACGACGACAGGAGGAAAAAATTGAGCGCAACGGTCGGATTACAAAGTCGGATGAGACGAGGCGTAGGACCCTGATGGGGGTGGATGAGGCAAAGTGCCCGAGGGGGAGAGGGGGAGAGGGGGAGAGGAGGAAGAGGAGAAGGAAGAGAAGAAGGAAGGGAGGGAGGGAGGCGAAGAGGTGTTGTCGAGCGTCCTGATTGAAGAAATTTTTTTTTCCTCATTTCCATGTCGGGACTCGAGACTCGGCATCTGCTAAAAACTTAGGCTGCTTCCAGCACGCGGCCGCGGGGCTTCAAATTATCGATACCCCAACCAACCAGTTTGATTTTCTGTTCGCCACCACTCACATTCGAGTCAGCACTTGATTTCATGCCAGAGGCGAAAGACATCATCAACTGACGTATATTGCGCCGCCAGCGATACCCCGCCATTATCCGTACTGCTTCGTCACTGCGGGGGCTCTGCAGCCCACTTTGGTGTTTTTCCTTTTTTCCTTTTCTCCCTTTTTTTTTTTTTTCCAGTGTCAACTTTCTTTTCCCTTCCGAGACCCGCAGTTCGCCAAGTCTACATACACGTCAGCCGGTCTCTAAAGGACCAAGACAGACCAGACCCATCAGACAAATTCATCCCTCCCATCCTGTGCTACCTTCGGTGCGTCTCAGCCCACGCAGCGGGTGTCTTGACACCTCGAGCGTAACAAAGAAGGATCCTTCACATGTGCCATGTGGCGTCCAGGTTGCAGAAGAAGGCCGAACGAATCTGGGAAAGTACCAAGTACTATGTTGTTGTCAAGGCCTAGGTGCTTTGTCGCACGAATGTCGAATTGTCACACGCAAAAGTGAGACACGAGGAACATGTTTCAAGTCCAAGTCCAAGTATGAGCAAAATACTCAAGGCGACAGACAGTATATAGTCATCTTCCCTTCATAAGAATGGCATTTCCAGTGCTTGCGATTAACCGTTGCGCGCTCTGAGCGTCGTAAAGTCCGCTAGATATTAGTCCGATAAGGTGCCTGCAGCCGCGCCACCAGACAAGTCCATGGCCGGAAATGCAAGAGAAAAACGTCGTGCGCAGCAAATCGCAATACGTAATACAGTAAACCAGGTCTATAACGATAACTATAACGATAACCTTCGTGAGCAAACGTGAGCAAATTTTCATCGTTATAACCCGACTACAGGGATTATATCGTTAAGATGCGACTACTCTTTTAGGAAAAACCCCACTTTTGTTAGTAAGATAAGGCTAATAAGGCCTGATCAGGCCTGATAAGGGATTTTAGGGGGGGTAAGGTAGTGTGTAATTATAAACTTACATATATTAATAAGCAATATTTATAAGAAAAATTGCTATAAGTTAGAAGTTACTTTTATATGTATAACATATAGGAAAGGTACTTTACGCCTAGGCGTGTGTGCCGAATCGCTATAGGGGGGGATCGTTATAAACCTGCTTTACTGTAAATAACGTGACCCCGGTGAATGTTCTGGCAACCAAAGGAATGCGTGGCAAATGCGACCAAAAAAACAAGCTGACAGAACGGGGATTCGAACCCCGGCCACTTTCGTGAACGGAACGCTGCTTTTCGCAGGCGAAAGTACATATCATGTGCTTGAGACCGTCGCCATAGACCACTCGGCCATTCTGCCTTGGACGCTTGATGCCGGATGTTTGCTATTGCAAACTATGCGCTCTTCACAAGTCACGAGTACACAAATGCTAGACAAAGTCATCATGTTTCCATAATTTACTTACACGTGTGGTTGTCATCCTGAGCACTTTGGCGTTTGTGGTATATTTACACAGCTTAAAAAGTCACAAATACCACACCACATCCCCTGTGGACTAGTACTCTCCATCTACGCATGCGGTGCACGCTATGTACTTGGTATGTATGCGCTCACGCCCGACACGCCGCCTCGCCCTGCGCAACGACCAAAACCACCGCGGCCCTCACGAAGCCAAACATTCCCACGCCGAGCATCATGACGGCCGTCCCAACCGCCGCCCCGATCACCACGCGGCTGCCCTGTCCAAACGCCCACCAGACCACGCAGAACCCAGCGCCGCCCCCCACGGCCAGCACGACGGCCTCCACCCCCCAAAACGCCCCGTCAGAAAGACCCCTGGCCTCCAGGACGAGCATCATGCTCAAGGTAAACAGGCACAGCACGCCCAGAGCCGGCTGGAAATACATCCACAACCTAGAGGTGGAGGGAACGAGGACAAGAGGAACAAGAAAACCCATTAGCATTTTTTCCTTTCTTATCTTTCCCCCTTCTCTCAAGGCAAGGAACCCGGAAAGTCAGCATACTTGACCCAGAAGCCAGAGTGGGAAGCGGCCTCGCGAACCGCCACGTCCACCCACACACAAAACAAGCCCATGAAGGCGAGGAACTGCGCCGCCAGCACGGACGCATGCATGAAGCTGACACTTCTCCTGATGCTCCTGGTGCTCCTCCGGCCGTCGTCGCAACGGCACGCCCCGGCCTCGTCGCGCGCCTGGCGGCCTTCTCTGTCCGCGTTGCTCGTCCACGGCGGGAACGGCGTGAGCGGCAGCCGTGTCACGGTGTCCTCCGATACCATGGACAGGGAGGCCTCTCTTGCGGCGCCGCTGGGCGACTCGTCGCGGACGTGAAGGAGCGGTACTCTGGGCACCTTGGGCGCAGACGGACCAGCCTGTTCCCGAGTCGTCGACCGTGACCCGGGGCTCGTGGACGAGCGCGTGTCAGAGCACGACGGCCTGCGAGGCCACGGGTTTGTAAAGACGGGCAGGGCCTCCGTTGGCGGCGGATAGCTCATCGCGAGGGACAAGGAGTCGCTTGGCGGAGGGGAGATGGACACGTATTGTCGTGAGGGGCGGCGGGACTGTACAAGCGGCGTGAGGAGGTCGTCTCCTTCGTCGTCGCGCAGGAGTCTGGGGATCTGTCGGGTCGAAAGGGGCCTCGGGGCAGGGGCCGCATCCTCCATGGTCGCTTCTGCAATCGTATCAAACCAAAGCGGGCGGGGAGAGATGATGGCAGTAGCGGAAAACTGGGCGAATTCGATGCAGAGGAGCGGCAAACGAAGGAGAGGAACTGAGGAACTGGGGACAGGTCTAGCGTCATGTTCGGGTTCCTCGTACAAGTCATCTGCCTATTGTCCGTCCTGCGTAACCGGCCGGCTCGCACAATTCACTCTGCGCTGCCCTCCCCCAGTAAGCCCCAATCACTCCCTGCTCGCATTCTCTTACAAGCGTCAATAAATACCTGCCACATGTACAAGGAGACCGCCTGGTTGGACATCACTGCGTAGGTAAGTACTCTTCTTGTTCTCTTGTCACCCGCACGGTGCAACGCCTGGTCACTCCAGATTCATATGTGCTTCGTCCCCAATGCCCCAGCAGCCGCCGTCCTTGCCTTGCTTTTGTAACTCCAACTCCGTCTCCAAATCTAGTCCGCTGGCGTCGTCGTCCGGCATAGTTTCCGCGATGTTCCTCGATTGACCCTTTTCTGTCGATGTACTTGATGTACTTGATTTCCCCGGCCCCCGTCTCCTGAACGATGAGGGCCAGAATGATGACTTGGACGATGTCGAGAGAATCGATGCACCGTCGTCATGGGTGTCGGGTTGGTCACTGGGCACGGCGTGCGACTCAGCCGGAACTGGGACCATTTTCTCACCAGAAGTAGAATAGCCCTTCTTAAGACTTTGCGTTGGTGATTGCGAGGCGCCGTTCTCGCCTGGTAAAGTCGAGTCTGATTCATCGACCTCGACGAGCTCTGCGTCTCGGTACCATTTTCGACGTCGAGTCCACTTTGCCCAGCCGTCCTGACCTCGCCGACCATATTGCCACTGAAGGCCGCTGTTAGTACGTCTGCGTCTACGGGAACCTTACGGCAGCTTTTGGATGTGCTCGTTCGCAGCCAGCTCACCTTATTATCATAGTATATCCAGCCATTCTTGCCCTCCTCGCCATCGTAGTCGACGGGCCCTCTCTCATCAGAGGCACCATCAACTCTCCATTGACTGCCCTCGACCCACTGCCAACGCATTCTGCTCCCGTCTTCGACATCGGGCAGCTCAAAGTCGTCCCTTGCAGGCACGGGGTTGTTGTGTTCATCAGTCCACGCAGGGCGTTCGTAGGCAAACAGACTCGCTGTCCAGCCCAAACCAACCCATCGACGCTGGTTTTCATATATGATGAATGTGAACTTGACGCCAGAGCTCTTTCTGCGCCCAGCCTTGCGATTTCCTTTGTCAACGGCGGCAGCGGAGGGACCCTTGGCGGCTTCGGCAGCCAGCTTGTGTCCGGTCTTGAGAGGCCCGTCAAAACGGAGTCCGGTAATTGCTGCTGCAGACCGTCTGACGAGTGAACTCCTCCACAGAAGAGTCCTGGTAACCCTCAAGGGTCTTGCGTGCCAGGACAAGATGATTGTGCCAAACACCAAGATGACTCGACGAGTCGTGATGACATGGAAAGGTGGCATTGTCAAGGCGAGCCAGAAGGGAGTTACGACGAGAAGCCTGACAAACATGGCTGTCAAGGCGGGCTTCGTGGTTGCGCTTGTGGGGGTTCGTTGCGTACTGAGAAAGTCGGTCATCTCCAGCAAGGGCTCCATCAAAACGTTGCACCGGCCGGTAAACTCCTTGAGCGTCTCCACGATCTCGTCGAGGGTCTTCTGATGTTTGGTGCTTGTGACTTCGGAGGCGGCCCTTTGGTGCTTGACCTTTTTAGAGTTGGCCCCTTCGGCGTGAGAACCAGAGGCCGACGCAGAGCTGCCACTAGACGCATCCTTAGTTGGTCGAGCTGGCTCAGTCCAGCCGCTGCTGCTCAAGGGGCTATACCTCCGTCCATACATGCCGGCGATGATGACCATGCCGATGACGACGGGGCCAGCTCGTCGCACCACGACATCTCCATAGAGCACTACCAGCCAAAAGGCCGACAGCAGCAGAAAGCTCTGCCACGGATCGCCGGTGCTCCAGGTCAGCAGGCCGACGAGCTTGTTGAGCGGCAGTAGAAAAGGATGGCTGTAGGCGAGGGCGCGGGTGACCTGCGGTGGCGTGGCCAGCAACAGCGGGCTCTTTTGGTGAACCAGGATATTCGAACGACGAGCGGACGGCGAAGGCGTGTTGGCGGACAGGGTGACGGGAGAGAAGGAGGCGTAGGTCGGCGGCGGCCCGGTCGCACTCTGCGACTCATATGTCGAGGCCGCAGAGGCGTCGTCGCGTGAAGACATGGGCAGGTCTAGGTGCGATAGCCACGGAGATTCCTAAGCATTCGCAACGTGTTTGTGGTCAGCAGCCGCCAGTGCAAAAGACGGGGGGGAAGCGCGAGCAGTGCGCTCTCGAGGACGGTGACATGTGCGTGATGATGTCGCCGGCCTCAAAGGGGGAGGTGTGTGTGTGTGTCGCGACATGACGTGGCAGAAGCCGCCCACGAGGGGTCGCGAACATGTTCCCAGTGAAACTCACAAATGCAGCCATTAAGCGCTGTGGTGGCGACGGCGACACGGTTGGAGCAACCTGGCAAGCGTCATCAGCCCGGAAGACAACGGGTGTTGGCAGCGGCCTTTTGGCGACGTGCGTCTTGCAGTCTGGCGACCCCGACGAATTATTTATTAACAGGTGCGGAGGAGGGGGGAAAGCGAAGATGGAACGGAGAGGATGGCGGATCAACTACTCGGTACGGCCTGGCACCATGGCATGAAGCCAACACTCGCGCTGGAAATGGAGGTAGAAATGGCCTTCCCAAGTCCCTTTCGAGGTACTTAGCTTACCTGGCGGTTTATTACTACTCCGTACCATTGGCCCAAGGCTTCACGGCGGAGCTGTATGGAGTCCGGCGCTCAAGCCGAGGCCAAAGTTCTGCCCATGTGAGGTACGGAGTACTTACCTAGGCAATGTACGGAGCACTTGGGTGCCTGCATATCCAGGCTGCACCTGGCGCGCGGGGCATCCGGGGCACCGCACCGCCCCATCGCGGCAGATGGCGGATTGCGGCCTCCTCAATGAAGCTTGTCTGTAGTAAATTAAATTGACGAACCCGGATCTCGGGGATGAGAAGTGAAATTGCCCACGTCTGAGCCGGGCTGTCCTTGGGTACAAATGTGACCGACTGACTGGTCCTTTGCACCAGGTAGGACAGTGCGGAATTTCCGCAACGTAGACTGTATACAAGTCGCAATCGACATTCAGCCAATACAATGGAAAATTTATTCCAGAGATGGACGATGGACTGGCCAGGGGAGTAGTCACCGCGCTATGACATGACGGCGTCAATTTCTAACATATATGTATATTTGAAAGAAGAAGAGGAAACATGCCAATTTCATGAGCCACATCGCCGTTCAAGTCTAGCCTCTTCGTGAAAACAAATCGTCGCGTCAATAGTGACTTCTAATAGCACGTATCAATCCATTTCCATAAGAAAAACCAGCCAATTATTTGGTGAGATTTTCGTTTCGGGCCTTTTTTTTTTCCTTTTTTTTTCCTTTTCACACATCTCCTCCCTTTCCTTTCCTTCTGATGCCATCGCCCCTTCTACCAACAAGTGAAGCGTCCCAGGCCGAGGATCATGTTGGCGACAACTTCCGAGAAGGGGGCGACCAATCAATATTGTAACTCATGATTGACCGCATGAGCTGCAGGAGCCTATGACTATATCGTCAGTATACCGGCCCGCCTTCCTCTTGTATCTCAACGTTTGCATGTTGGGGGTGGGTGAAAAAGAAAAGACGGGACAAGGACAGGACAGGACATACAGCTTGAGCCGCAGTTGCAGGAGCTAGCAGAGCCAGAGCAGCCACAGTTACCAGCCATTGCGACGTGTCTTTCAAAGGGAATTGTTAAACCTGAAGAGAGAATAAAAGTGCTGAAAAAGGTTGCAGATGCGTCTTCTTTTTGGAGTTGGAGAAGAGGAATTCGATCAATTGCTGGTGGACGTGCGAGCGGTTTATGTAGACGAGGAATGCGCGCTTTGTGCGGTGGCGGAAAGATGACAAACGTCTCTTTTTTTTTGCCCGCGCAAATGCCGCACACACGACCTCACCACTTCGACAGGGAACAGTCGAGACGACTTGACTTGCCGCCGTTGCCTGCCTCATCTCCACAAGAGCTGTGGCCCGTCGCCCGTCGCCCGTCGCCCGTCGCATGGACGACGCAACCGGAGTGGAAGTGCTGCGTTGGGAACGCCGGCCAACGTTTCCATCAGCCACCCGCGTTTGACGTCGTCTGCGTCTCTGTCCGACAACGACGTCCTTGCGCGCATTGTGACAACAAGGCTTTTCCAAACGCATCAGTTGTCGTCCGGCCCGTGCGTGACTTTTATTTCTGCCAACGCCGCGGCCAACGGCAACGGGGTGCAAAACTCGTCCACTCCAACGGCACCACGACACAACGTTTCTGCCCTTGCGTCCGCTATGCCATGCGGCAATATCTACTACTGGTATCCCGGATCTGGAGCCAGACCAGCTGCGGTGATCATCATAATGTGACAACCGCCATGAAACAAAGAGACTCAAAGACCGTCTGTTATGCCGAGTCGGCGGCTTTCCGAAGACAGAGAGCTCCATCAGTCATGACCTCGACCTTGACCCTTGACCGCTCATCTCGCCCCATCCAAGACCGTCGGCCTCTTCGCGGGTGAGGGGACGAGGAGCATTCATGCCAAGCCAAGAGGGCAGAGTGTGGCTCCGATTGTGAGCATTACCACGTATTCTCGGCCCGTTCCAACTGATGTGTTTGCAAGTTTCCCTCCCTGGGCTTGCGCTGCGGTTGGCCGGCCGCCATGTTGCCCGCACTGCGAGACGCCAAATTCATCGCTTGACATGTTACGTAGTAGCGCACGTCTGGCGTCTTTGCGAGAAACTCTTCAGAAAAGCTCGCGTCGGCTGTACACGCACCCCTAAAACCTACGAGCTTGTAGAATGAGCAAACCCAGGGAACTGCATCCGTCGTGCATTGACAGTATGTCTTGTATTCATGGCATGGAACTCGAGCAGTTCCATGTGATGTACGAGTCATTAGATTCAGTTCCTGGTGGAAAAAGAAAAGAGGGCCTTTTGGCATCGGTAGATTGTGTTAGTCCTCGTCTGTTGCCACAGTACATTTACACAGCGCCATTTGAAGCGCTCATGGGCACACGCCAGCTTGCATGGGCCTTGTCAGATCTTGCCTGAAATCCAATCCCTTTCCTTGCTCTTGGACAGGCCTGCCGTGCCGGTGACAGGCAAGCCACGCTTGGTCAACTCCTCCTCAATCACCTTCCACCGACCCAGGGCCGTCTCCCTTTCCACAGGTCCAATCTTGCGGCTGTGCACCTTGATATTGCCGAGTTTCTGAAGATCGCCACGTGTCGCCAATACTTCGGCTAGCTTCTTGGGCTGCGGTTTCTTGGCAGCAAGAGTCAACATGTGCTTGACGGTGCGCGCGGCGCCGAGTTTGGCATCGGCAACGAGGGTGCCCGTGAGCTGGTAGAGACGCTTGCGAAGCTAAAGGGGAAAAAAGCTAGTCAGATAGAGCAACAGTAAAGCCAGCAGCGTTGCGGACGTGGGCGGCAGAGCACATACAGCGAATTTGAGCTGGTCATCCAGGACGAGGTCCTTCCATGACGCGTCCCACGTCTTGAGCATCTCGCGGGCCTCCTCGGGACGAATCTTGTCGGTTGCCTCCGCCTCCGCCCCGTCGGCCTCGGCCGTGAGATTCCGTGCAATGGTGGCGACATCTCCCTTCAACGAAGCCTGGCCGCCTTGAACCTGGACCTCCGCGGCCAGCGTCTGGTCCAGCTCGCTGCGAGGTCCCTCTCGCCACTTCTTCGTTGCCCACTCCGACAGGACGCCAGTGTCCCGGAGAGCGAGGACCTCGACAACGGCCCGTCGCAAGTGCACCTCGACGACATCCTTGTCCACCACCTTTTCTGCGCTGCCGAATCCCCTGAATTCACTCTCTTGTCCCCAGTGGCCTGGCTGCTCCCACCAGGTGCTCAGCGCGCCAATCTCCTCCAGTCCTTCCGCCTCGGTAGCGGGCGCATACGACGGATCTGAGGACTTCAACTCCTTCTCGGACGCGGCTTCGCTTCGCCTCGGCGGCAGTGTTAACCGAGACTCTAGAACAGCCGCTGGCGTCTTGTCCGCCCTCCCCGGGAACTCGAGCGCCTCTTCTGGCAAATTTGAGGCATCCTCGGGTTCCGGACGTTGCGTATAGGGGTCCTCTGGGCCAGGCGCCTCGCCTTTCCACAGCTTACCGCGGACCCATTCTGTGTTCCTGCTTCGGGCGGCGCTCGTCGTCGAGATGGCTCGGCAGGCGACAAGGGGTGTTCTGGACGCCGACGACGGCGCCGCCATCGCCAATGGCAAAGACGCGAGTCTCCGCACGCGCGTTGCCCCGGACATGCTTGGCAGTTGTGGCCGTCGACGCACCCGGACACAACAGCTACGACGTCGAGGGTAATGGAGGTAAAAAGACCGACACGCACCGAGGAGAATCTTCAATCCATCGACCTTGCATGGCCAACTTTTTTCCGGTGCAGAAGCCGGCGCTGCGAGGCGGAGCTGGTCCCACGTACTTAATGTGGGTCAACTTAAATACACCAGAGGTAACTACTCCGTACTCCGTACTCGGTACTTAGCCAAATAGCTACAACTTTCGACGGGTCGTCGGTGACCACCTCCTCTCCATCAAAGCCTCAACTTCATCTCCCCGGATGCCATGTATTCCGCGAGAAGCACGATGGGCCGAATCCAGGCCCTTGCGCTAATACTCGCGGCTCTTTTCGCTCTCGTCTCAGCAAGTTGTACGTTTGCCGGGCATCACGCCATCCATCAATTCCACCGCTAACCTTGGCCTCGCGACCAGCCGCGCCAACCTTTTGCAAATGCACATGCTTCAAGAATAGCACAATCATTCCATTAGGCCCCAAGGGAGAGTCAATGGGCTCTCCGGCCAATTTTCTCCCACGCCTTTCCCTGTCTCCCGAGACGAACACCCCTGGCGATGCTCCACGCGAATCAACCCACGGTCAAGGCTTGAGTCGACGGTCATTGTCAACTTCGTGTTCGGAATGTACGAAATCATTTTGCCTCAGCCAAGGAATCGATTTCTGCAAAGAGGCGCAAGAGGAGAACGTCATCACCATGTGCTTCCAGCGAGACAGCAACAAGGACAAGACCATTGTCTGGGGCTTCATCCTCGGAACTGTCGGCCTGCTTGGATGGGCTGCCTTCAAGCGAATCGTCGAACTACGGGACAAGAGGGCCGTCTTTCGGCAAGACATCAGCTACGCACCAGTCGGCGGTGAGCGATGATGGCTCGTTTGTGCCTAGACGACGATACGACCTGTACATTTTCCAAAGTTTTCGACGGCGTTTGTGGGAAATCTTTCTTCACCACGTGTCATGAGGCGTGTCTGGATTGTCTTCTGGAAAGGCACCTGGGTTTGGTCAAAATATCCGAGAATAGGAATTTTGTGAACCATTCGAGCCACAGATGCACACCTCACTACTCTTGTGTCCTTCAATGACAATACGTATACAACTATTTGTTAGATCCTGGCTGACTGACCGCTCAACAGTCTGTGGGAAAATATTCTTTCGTTTGCTCAAGTCCAACATGTGTCTTTGTGCACCAAGTTGTTTCTTGTTTCCTTTCATGGATATCATCAATCTCCCGCACACTTCTCTTCTACGGCTTACCCCCGCGGGGCTCTCTCCTATGCTTTGACCTCGGCCACTCCGTTGGCAGATGAACCGTTGACTTCACGCCGTGTCCGAATGGCCGCAGCAAGATCCTCCAGCACAGTAATGGTGTTTTCCCAGCTGATGCAAGCATCAGTGATACTGACGCCCCTCTTAAGCCCAGATGGGCCCTCAGGAGGAACCTTCTGGTTCCCTTCATTGATGTTGGACTCAATCATGACACCAATAATAGCCTTTTCACCCTCCCTGAGTTGGTCTGCAACGGCCTTTGCAACCTTGGGTTGGTTGTTGTGGTTTTTCTGGGAGTTGCCTGGGCTTTCTGTTAGCAGCAGCATCTTGCGCAGTCGAAAGAATAGGCAACTGCCACTACGCACCATGGGAGCAATCAATCATGATGGCAAGTTTCTGACCCTTGTCTGACAGGGACTTCTTGGCTGTCTGAACACTTTCCTTGTCGAAATTGGGGCCTCTGCTTCCGCCACGAAGGATGACGAAGCCGTGTTCATTGCCCTTGGTGCGAGTAATAGCAGCCAAGCCCTGCTTGGTGACTCCCATGAAGTGGTGGGAGGCGGCAGAGGCACCAATAGCATCAATAGCAACTCCGAGGTTCCCGTCAGTTCCATTCTTGAATCCCACGGGGAAAGACAGCCCTGATGCCAGCTCACGGTGCAGCTGAGACTCGGTGGTTCGGGCACCAATGGCACCAACAGAGATGCAGTCGGCCAGGAACTGGGGAGAGATGGTATCTAGCATCTCGCTAGCAATAGGCATGCCATTGGTGGTGAGGTCGACGAAGAGCCGACGGGAAACCCTCAAGCCCTTGTTGATCTGGAAGGATGAGTCAATATCTGGGTCATTAATCAGACCTTTCCAGCCAACGGTGGTCCTGGGCTTCTCGAGGTAGGCACGCATGACTATACACAGGTCGTCGGCGAGCTTGTCGGAGAGGGCCTTGAGTTTGGCGGCGTACTCGTGGGCAGCAGCAGGGTCGTGGATGGAACACGGGCCGACAACGACCAAGAGTCGGTCACTGCTGCCCATGATAATATCGGCAGCATCATTCCGACCCTTGACGACGGTCTGGACAGCACATTCCGTCATGGGAATCTCGCAAGTAAGCAGAGCTGGCGGGATCAGAGGGTCCTGGCCGAGGACTGCAGAAGACGTCAGCTCCATAGATTGCGGCAGCGGGTTTGAAGCAATTGAGATACATAGATGCCACCGTGTAACTAATGGACCCTGATTGACAATGTTTGACCCCTGTGTGACTCAAAATGCCAGAATGGAGTGAGACGTGGCGGTTGGCAGAAAGACAATAACAATTGCGACCCGATCCAGACTGGACCGCTTCCCACATCTGCGTAGGACCAACCGAACAGGCAATGAAAAGGGGGATGGATATATGGATTGGTGTAACGCTCACTTCTGGTATCATCGGCCGCCAGCGGCTGTTGCAAGTCGATTGCGGCGGGCATTGTATAGTCTGAACTGGAATGGAAGGTTGTGGTGAAGAGGAAATGTCGTGGGCAAGGTCGCGTCACAAGCTAATCAGACAACGCCTTACGACCCTCGTAAGTGGGTGGTGGATGGGGGCCGGTCGACAAGTTGGTACTCCGTAGATGCGTGTGATATCGATCGCAGTACTCGGTAATCTGCGCAAATGAATCGGGGGGAACAGTTTATCGACAGGTGGAATTGCACCTGATCGGGGGGCGTGGACATACGAGGCCTTTAAGAAGGAGTCGACATGAGTCGGAAGCAAATGGGCCGTGTCAATGGACAAGCCATAACAACAGGATCATGGGGGAAAAAAAAAAAAAAAAAAAGACATGGATCGGAGCAGCTTCGGAGCGACCCCACCAGAAACCCTGAGTTCTGCGCAGGCGAATTGCAGGCCCACTTCCTCCCACTGGCCCCTCTACGGCGGAATCCACATCGTGTCTTTGAGAAGGGATACTCCGTACGGAGTACGCAGTGGGAGGTATCATGTTTGTATGCACATAATGCGCCCACCCTTATTCAGCATTGAGGAGTCGTGCGTGATGCGTTGCACGTACGTCTGGAGTTTATGCGCTAATAGTAATAATAACAACAATGATAGTGATATAATGGCGATACCCTGTAGCCATGAACTTGTGCATATGTGTAGGTGCCCAGGTAGGTATTGATCGGCCGCTCCCGTGACGGTGCGGAGTGCTGACTAATCGGCCGTGTCCCAGTTGGGTTGCAGCAAAAACACCAAGAAGTGATAACTGTGGGGTTAGGGTTGATCCTGCTGCACGTCTCGACGTAATCCAACCGACCGCCTCCAACATGGCATCCCGCGAGGGCATGATTCAGGCGACCCATTCTTTCGCTGGCAAACTCTTCCAGATCCTTGTCGTTGTGCTCCGCACAAGGCTTCCGGTTGTCAACAGCGGCACGTCGCTGGTGTATATGGCAAGCACCACCTGAGCGAATACAGGAATAGCGAAACAAGAAGATGTATCACGAAATATGGGAGGCTATCCACAGACTGCTGCCTGCTAGAGGCTTCGGAATGCTCGTCTCCAAAGCACGATTCGACGAGGTAGAGAACAATCACTGATGCCTCAAGGACTTACCCAAAGTGGGTTACGAGCAAGGGCGGCAAACGTGGCGACGGGTTTTCTAGATTTTAAGCCACGGCAATGTAGGTCGGTTGTGGTGTTGGAGGAGAGGAAAAAGGGTCAACGTTGTTTGCATCGCCGTTTGTTTTCGGCCGTTGTCGTTTACGGACCGGCGAGGTGACTCTTTTTGCACAACGGCGACGGGCAGCTCGAGCCTAACAACTACCTAATCGTGCATACCTGTTGATCCCACAACAGCTGCAGAGTACACACACAGCAAGACGATTCTGCGTGGCATGCTGTCGATGTCGATCCAGCAATTGCTGCTGGCCGCATAAGTCAACTGTCAGCCGCATGAGACGCGCTGGACATTTATGGAGTCGAGTTTGCCGCACCACGCTTGGCTTGGCTTGGCTTGGCTTCGCCTCCCCCTCTTGACCTTGCCTCTTGACTCTTATGCTGCTTGAGTGGTCACTGGTGAGTCGTGACGACCCGCGGCTGACTCCCGAGTCCCGACTTGCTGTCGTCTCAGCTGTCGCCTTGCACCGCCAATCAACTTTTACTTGAGAAAGACATCAATTGTCACCCCTCCATGGCCAGCCCCCCTTCGCATTGTCTATCCATCCATCCATCCATCCATCCATTCACTCATTCATTCATTCATTCACCCATCCCCCTGCGGAAAGACCCATCCCTCTGTCTGCCCTCTGGCTTCCTGCCCTGACTGACGTCTACGTCTCATCGCCTGCCACGACCGACTTCCATCAAGTTGCTTACTGTCTGTCGGCCTCGCCAACTACCAAGCTGGCTTTCACTTTGCCATCGATAGCATTTCGCAACCATCAGCACCTCGACCGACACCCGGCATCCTCATCCCCCGTGACAGCCCGAGCTTGCATGCGATTCATCTGGTAGACGCCAGCGGACATGTTTGCTACACAACGCTATCTGGAGGCTGTTGACGCCGGAAGAAAGCGCTTCAGAGACGACGAGGAAATAGCCAATGCCGCTGCTGGCTTCGGGGAACACAGAAATGTACGACTTGTCCAGGTTGCCTTCTTTGCCTTGCCTTGCCTTGCCTTGCCTTGCCTGTGCCTAGAAAAGAAAAAGACCAAGACATCGTTTGCTGCTAACGACTTCGTAGAAACGCATCCAGTCGCTACCGCTTCGGGCACCCCCTCGACCAGCACAGCACAGCCCGTCCCCAAGTGTTGTGCCACTCAATGCGAGCTCTTCTTCTGCTGGTCCTCGCCCTCACCTCGAGCCCTTCCAGCCTCCGTCTGGTCAAGATGCCCTCCTGCAACAAGATGCCGAGATGGACATGATGGACACGACAATCTCGCCACCTCTGGATCAAGATGGAGTCGCACAACCCCCCGCCCTACTACTCGGTCGTTCAACGGCTCGAATGCCCACGCCCATCCAACCACATTTTGCGGCACAAGTGAGGGGACAGCACAGTGGATGGGCTGCTGATTTGCGAGCCCAGACGACCCCAAATGGAGTTGCGAATCTCGGCCATCATGTCATGGGCATCTCACAGGAGCAGTCAGTGTCGCGAGCAATGACGAGAGGGCCAGACTGGCAGACTCTGCAAAACCACAGACGGCCACCTTCACCCATATCGGAAATGAGCGACCCCAGTATGCAAGATGGCAGTGATATCCCAACATGCGTCATGATGGATAGTGAGGACCACCTTGGTCAACAGAGCCAGCTCAGTCCAGTCCACGGCGCAATGTCTGGACACCCATCACCATTGCACGCCATGGAGCACCCAAATGCCATGATTGATTCTGATTCTCATCACCTCCTGCTACACGGCGAATCCGATATCGATCTTTCGACTCCGTCTCCAACTCGCAAAGGGCATCAGCGCAGTAAGCACACGGTTAACAGCTGGACGTGGCAGCCTGGCATGAAGAAGAGTTTCAGCATAGGATACCGATCGGACTGTGAGAAATGCAGGCTCAAAGTCCCAGGTCATTTTAATCACATTGTGATCTCATAGGGGAGTGAGCACAGGATGGTGGCGCGACTTAATGCGTTGAGAAGCTTACTACACACTGGATCATAGTGACAGTCTTGTCGACTCACAGCATCGAAATGTTGTTGGACTGAGTTGCCAATATCACTAGGGAGGACTGCATCATAAGAACAACCTGTTTTGGGGGCTGGATGGCGCCGAACATCATTTGGGTTAGGATTATACACACTGGGTTGAGCAATATGATCAACCTAGCCTGGAATCCGGCAGCACACGATGATGAAGTGGTTCCTCGCACACTAGCATTTGTCCCCGTCTTTTTCTTTTTACACAACTAGCGATTGGACGAGGTTCAGTATTTTTACCATGACACGACTAAGCGAGTTTTCCTTTGCAACTTTGACACAAAATCTATGGGCGCACTGGCTACGAACTACTGGCTATCACCATCGGGCATATTGCAAAAATGTCTATCATTATAACGTGGCTTGAATGCAACTCCTGCGAGGCGCATTGCACAGCACAGTGTGTACTGCTAGCAAGAATGAATTGCTTGATGAAGACGTCTCGTGAGTAAGTGTTCATACAAGGCGTGAAAGAACTCAAGTCTTGTGAAAATGCTCTCGTCTTTAGAACAAGGTTCATATTCAGATAGTCGGGATATGAATCCCTCTGTTATTACATACATTAACGACTCCCGACGCCAATCTAATGCTCAACCAATCCACACAGATATGATACATTTTTTGTTTCCGCCTCCTCCCTATGCCTCGCTAGATCACAGAAATGATTGTGCCTATGCCGCGCCGTCCGTCTACCAAGGCCACCAGCCACGCTTTCCTGTCTTTTGCTCCGAGTTGCGAATATCCAGGCCCAGTTGGTCCAAACTACCGCCTTTGAGTTGATTCTGTTTTTCTGTCTCCCAGACGTCCTTGGCCTTGGCCTCAATCGCCTGCACTACACCATCCCCGGCGGCCAACGGCGTAGAAGCCCCAGACGGCGTCTCTTGAGCTGCGGTTGACCCACCAAAGAGGCCAGACAGGACGCCGAGCACGCCCTTTCCTTCCTTGTGCCCATCGGCAGCATCCCTAGAAAACGTCGGCTTTACGTGTTCTTCGAAATGCGTACGGTGCTCCGCCGGTGCCAGCAGGGGCGGCAGCTTGACGCCAGTTTCTCGGGCTTCGCGATTAGCCTCTTCCACGAGGAGGATCTGCTCATCGGTTGCGGTCCCCTTGAGGTACGCTATGCGCGCGGCGGCGAGGGAGTCGGCCTCGAGCTTCTTCTGGGCTTCGACCCATTCTGCGCGGCGGGCGCGGTTGTACTGGAGCATGTCCCAGACGGAGTAGACGCTTACGACACCGGCGACGGCTGCGAAAAAAGAAGAATTAATATCCGAATTGCAATGCAATGCCGCAACATAAGGAGCGTAACGCGACGTACCCGTAAAGACGACGATGCCGCCGACGGTCCATCGATGTGCTACATCCAAGAACCTTCTTGAGGCGTCGATGACCCGGTCTGTCCTGCTGACCTGCGCCTTCTGCGCGGCGATGTGTGCCTGCCTCAGTCGCCGGACACGCTGCTCGGGAGTCTCGCCGGGAAGCCGGAGCGAAGGCTTTGGCGTCGCGGGGGGGGCTCGTCCCCCGGCTGCACCTGCACTGGCCGACTTGGATGTGGCGTGAGGCATGGTTGATGTGAAGCGCGTTGCGTCCTTGACGCTTCGAGGTCCTATCCTGGACGCCATGTCGGGCTTACGGGACGGGGCGGGAGTCTGTGTTGCTGTACACTTGAGCGCACGGAAGAAGTTGTCGAGACTTTGGTTGGGGGGACGGTCGAGAGAGGACGGCCTGAGGGGGTCTCGTCGTCGTGAGATTTTTCGACCGTAGCAAGCTGGGTAGTGTAGTGATTTTAGCGTCTTGTGATTGGGCGGGAAAATTTCGGACTGGGCATCTCCAGCTGCGAAGAGGATGTGATTTACCCAGGACTGATTCAATGTCCAATGCAATGCATCAGTCGATGGAGTTGATGGGAGTGATGACACGATCCTTTGTTGATGGTTGCCGAGATGGGGGCATTTTTTTGAAAAATACGATTGGCTTCTACAGTTTGGCGGTGATGGAAGGTGAGGTGCTTGCATGACACGGAATGACTAGTACTCCATACACTTTAGGCACAAGGCGAGGGCTCATCGGGGACGGAGGATAATACAGAATTTCACTTGCATTTTTACCGTGGCTTGAATGGAAGACAAACCTTGAGCCCGACAATGTTTGTTCTAGACGCGCTTGTCTTTCGAATGGCTCTCCATTTCACCCTGCTCAGTACTGTGTGAGGCGAGGTGTCAAAATCCGATGCATTAGCTTCCTACGTCGGAACCGGTGGTGTAAATGCAAGCCTTTGGGCGGTTAGATCAATCTTCTGTCGCTCCCTGCTACACACCAAGCAACAGACACACAAGACACACGCTACAGGAATCAGATGCACCGTCTTCTTCATGACACCGCTCGAGGCAGCGTTCACAATGAAAACGAGATAAATCAAAAATTACGCCCCCCATGGCCCCGAAGGACAATGGAGCAAGCAACGACTCCGCGCTGTGCAATGCAGGCCTTCCATACTGAATTCCCCGAATCTTGAGCTGGGGAATTCGGAACAAGGTAAGTATGAAGAGGAAAGAAAGAAAGGTTGAAAGAGAGGCAGAGCAGGCGAGATTATATACCTGTTTTCTGGTGCCTGGGGCAGCAACTTCTGTCCAGCCTTAGTCATCCTCCGCGCCGGGAGATGTTCCGCCCACACGTGACCCACGCACACATTTGCGCCAATTCTCGCTTCCTTGCGCTGGAAGAGGGCACACCCCACCCGGTACGTAGCTTTCGTAGGGCACGAAAACCCTTTGGACAATTTGTCGAGCCTCCATCTCCGAAATTCCAACGCCCATTGACCATCGACAACCGGAGCGAGTTTGATCGCAAGCAGGCACAATGGTACAAATACCCCGTCGAATAAAGGCATTTGCACGGTTTGAGTCATCATTGCTGACGAGAATTCTTTTCCTCCCCAGGCGATCAAGCACAACCAGAAGCTTGTCAACAACCGTGAGCAACCAACCCACCCCGTTCAATCGAGGAGACGACCATGGCAGCGACGACGTCGGACTGACATGTTTTCCAATAGACTTCCGCAAGGACTGGCAGCGACGGGTTCGCACCCACTTCGACCAGGTATGCGATCTCGAGATCGACCCAAGAATGAGATGGCGGTAATGAGTGAGATTGTGCTGTTGATGTTGACTCTTGATTCTTCAACAGCCCGGAAAGAAGGCCTCGCGTCGTGTTGCTCGCCAGGCCAAGGCTGCTGCTCTGGCCCCTCGCCCCGTCGACAAGCTGCGTCCCATCGTTCGATGCCCTACAATCAAGTACAACCGCAAGGTCCGCGCCGGCCGGGGTTTCACCCTGACTGAGCTCAAGGTACGATTCTCTCACTCGACCAGACGCAACCCCAAGTCCCGATTTGGCGTCGCGAAATCTTGGTCCCCCCGCCCCTCCTATCTCTCCCCTTTTTCTGGGACGAATAGAGACTCAGAACTCGTTGGAGTCTGGGACGCGGGTTGAGCTGAAGAAGTTTTTTTTTTTTTTTTTTTTTTTTGGGGGGGGGGGGCATCTGTGCATCTGGTGTTCTAACTCTTTTTTTTTTCCGTCTCAGGAAGCTGGTATCGCCCGACCTTTGGCGCGCACCATCGGTATCGCCGTCGACCACCGTCGCCAGAACCTCTCCGAGGAGAGCATGGCCATCAACGTGGCCCGTCTCAAGGCCTACAGGGAGCGCCTGATCTTGCTGCCACGCAAGTCCAACGCCCCGAAGAAGGGCGACACCAAGACGGACCTCTCCAAGGTCGAAAAGGCCGCTACCATCTCATCCGTCCTGCCCATCGCCCCCGCCAACATTGCCGTCAAGGAGATCAAGAAGAGCGAGATGCCCAAGCCCATCGACGGTGGCGCCTACACTGCTCTGCGCATGGCCCGAAGCAACAAGCGATACCAGGGTGCTCGTGAGAAGCGTGCAAGGGATAAGGCCGAGGCTGAGACTGCTAAGAAATAAACTAGCAAAGAAAGGGTACTGGTGTTTGAGGGTTTTTGCTCTTTGCGTCTCTTGGGAAGTGGCTACGTCGGCTAGAGAGTCTGAGGGAGTCGTGGCCCCCGATTCATGGTGGAGAGATACTTATAGGTCCAGGTCGAAAAATATTATCGCATGCATGAATGATCACCAGCTTGCTCTGCCTTGTATGAAATAGCCAGTGGAAAGTGTTTGTGCGAAACATGTCGAGTTTTGCGAGCCACAAGTGACGTGGCACGGCAGCGAGGTCCATTCCGCACAAATTCTTACATTCTTCTATTAAAAAAAAAAAAACCGTCCTTCAACCTTTGTGTACGACAGCTGCCGGCCCACTGGCTTTGAACAGGCCTTTCTGATTCACAAATGATTCAGGCAAAAGGTGCTTTGGTTCTATCTGCGACAAGAAGCTGGGTTCCGTCCCGGACCAGGCTTTGCAACAAAGCAAGTTTCTCTGGTGCCAACTCGCTCTTGGAAATCTTCAACAGCGCGGTGCATAGGAACAGCGCGTTTTCCCTATCTGCTCTTGCCATGCCTTCCTTTTGCTTCGGGTCAGCCTGCTGGGGTTCCAGCTGCAACTCACTTGGCGCGCATGTCACGTCTGGGTTGGACGCCGAATGCTCGGGCTCGACACCAGCCGCAGCATCGGCATCTCGGTTGTTTTGCGGCTTTTGGCCCGTGATTGTTTCAACCAGGACGCTCTCTGCTGCCTTGTCGTCCAAGACGGATAGCACGACCCTCGCACCACTCTCAGACCGAGACATTAGGGCAAAGACAAACCAAGCTTCGGAGCGCAGAGATGGCCATTTATCTTGAGTTGTGAGAAATCTCAACGATTTTTCGACGTGGTGGTCTTTGTAGAAGTTCCTCCTTTTGCTCTCATCGCTGTCGTCGGTGGCGCCTGGATTCTCAACCACTTCGGACACGGGTGGAGGGGAGTGAAGGATCCGGCAGATGGATGCCACGCATCTGGCCGCTTCAAGCTTGGTTGGTTCCGCGTCTGAGCGTCCAAACAGAGATATTAGGTCATTTGCGCTGGATGCTTGACGGACAGGACCATCTGTGGGATTGGCGTCCGTGACGGCACAGATCTGGTCAAAGTTGGTAGGGCAGTTGAGTAAGAGCAGGCGCGTGAGAGAGGCTGCTGCGAATTGGATCTGAGGTAATGTGTCGAGGGAGTATATTCTCGGGACACATTGGGGGCGCAGTAGACCTCTTAGCTGTGGCTTGTTCGCTTTGGGAATTGCCAGGTTTCTGAGGAACGAGCAGGCTGCGTGGAGGAGTTGAGTGTCGGTGACAGCCGAGCTGGATAAGAGGCTGACGAGGGGCTCATGCGCTTTGTACGTGTCTACCAAGGCAATTGAGATGTTGTCAGAACGAGACAGGTTACCCAAGGCCAGGCAGCCAGCAGATTGCAACGAGGGATTGTCCCCCCGGATCCAGGCCAGGAAGGATTGCGGCACAGGGTCCGACAACGACGACAACGGGTACGCCGCTGCAAAGGCGTCGTTGCCAGAAACGTCTGCCAGGGTCGTGAGCAGGGAAATCCGTAGTTGCTTCAGTTGCGAGACGGTGTCTGGGTCGTCGATGCTGTCGACATTGAAAGCAACATGAGCGTGGTAGAAGACATCCATGAACAACCTCATTCGCACTTCCGACACCAAGCTTGACTGAAAATCTTCATTGGCCAGGTAGGCTACGGCCACTGTTACAATGGCAACGAAGTCGTCGGCGTCTTCCTTGGCCTTTGGCTGAGTGGCCAATTTGAGGAGAACCTCTACCGTGGACGGATCGGCGACGGCGCACTCTCCCTCCTGCGACACTAGCAGAGCCAATATTTTGCAGATATACGGCACGAATGGCGAATATTTGGAGATGTGTGGCAGAGACAAAAGGTCGACGAGCTGTTTGCTGAGGCAGGACTTTGAAGCCAGGGCCTGGGCAGGTTCTGGACGGCTTTAGCACAGGTCCTCTTGCGTGAAGTCGGCGCCAGAAGAGCTCCTTACCGTAGTCCACCAGGATGTTGTAAATGACTGGGATGTTGAACGGTATCATGTTTTCATCCTCCACGTGCTTGGTGATGGACAATAGTCGATTTTGCTGCACCACCCGAGCTCGATTCTCATCGGTATCAGCGCAAGAGTTTCCTGTCAAGCGAAGAGAGTGTATATGAAGCTTTGGTCTCGGGGCCCCCTCAGCCAAGACGCCGAGGAAGAAGTCGAGGATTCCAGAGTCTCCATATGGGAGACGCCATGCCACTATATGTCGGTGAGCTCGGATTCAAAGAACCAGCCCAACTCTCCCTCTCGATCCCGTCAACAACACGTGACAGCTATTTCGCAACTCACCATCTCGGCTTCCGTCCCCAAGCTTCTCTGCCACCAAATCCAGCAGCTCAGATTTAGTTGACCAAGCATCTTTGCATGTGGCCAGAACTTTGGAGAGCAGCTCCGTCCGCCTGAGCCGGATATCAGACTGTCTCGATGGGCCGTCGAGTTCTTCTTGATTATCATCACTGCCGTACTCTTGGAGAATGGCGGCAACTTCCTGGGGTGTCATGGTGCTGTATCTATGTGGCCTTTAGACCAGCCTTTGTGAGCAAGTCGGAGCGAGCGGCCCGAGATCCACGAACCGGTATCGTGGACTCGATGAAAGGACAAAAAAAGAAAGAAAAATAAATAAAAATAAATAAATAAAATTTTTTATTTAAATTTAGGTCATTAAGCTCTACTTTCATTTTTTTTTCCTTCTTCTTTTTACCCAATATCAATCTCCTCCTTGCCTGCTTTGGGCAGATTGGTCCAGGCAAGGTCATGCAACCATGGTTGTCGCCCTCGAATCTCCCGAATCCGCCGAATTCGCCCGGCAAAATACCGGCCAAGTTCTTCCGACGACAGGAGCCATTATTGGCTGGCAAGGCCAGGCCAGCCGCGGTGGGGAAAAAAATACAGGCAGCCTCGCGACGCTGAGCCTCCAACTTCTACAACCAGGTTTGTGCCAGACCAGGGACATTTTCCCCCTCCGCAACAGGCAGCCCATTGATCAGTTCTCCGCCGGGCCACCCCATCGCCATCGCCAGTGACTACAACCAAACTTGTCGGCCTCCTCACGATGGTACGGGATCCCGCTTTGCTCTCTCCCCCGTCTCGCTCCAGGAGGGCATGGCTTCCGAGCCGGAGCCCTGCTTCGATGCGCCTCCTCAGCAACGGCCCAGCCGCCGGCCAGCCGCTTCTGGGAACCAAGACACTGACGAGAACGAGTTACAGGCGCACCGATTCGTCGTCACCGCCTTTCTGACAGGCTCCCGGATTCTCGGCCGGTCCTTCATGGCGGCCTACAAGCAGGCTCAGGCCGCGTCGCAATACCAGCGCGCGCAGGCCAAGGCCGGCGGCGGCGCATCGGCCCGGGCCTCCCTGGCGTCCGGCATGACGCTGGACGAAGCCTGCAAAATCCTCAACGTCAAGCCCCCGGCCGGCGGCCAGGCAAACGTCGAGGAAGTCCTGGAGCGGTACAAGCGGCTGTTCGACGCGAACGACCCCCAAAAGGGTGGCAGCTTCTACCTGCAGAGCAAGATTGTCCGGGCAAAGGAGCGCTTCGAGCGCGAACTGGGGCCGATACGAGAAAAGGCAGAGCACGAGGCCGAAGTCAAGGAGGGCTGGAAGCCAAAGGTCTACAAGGACAAATAAGCGATACCCAAACGCGCCATTGTGGAAATACTTTCTCGGCCCGAGTCCATGTGTCGGATCACAGTCCGTCTGTCAGCTGGTCACTTGTTGTTGTTGTTATCAAGGGCGTCAAGAGATTGTTTTTCGACAAGCGGGACACTTTCGACATCATCTGAACAATCACATTCCGGGGGCGCGAGAACAAAGAAAAGTAAATCGATAATCGAAGTCAGCAAATCGCCATGACGCGACGAGGCGCAAGTGCCGCGCAAACGAGGCCATGCTTCCTGCGGGGATGAGGTTTTGATTTCGTCGGCTTCCATTTGTATACGTATACATCTTCACTCAACTGCGGCATGGCACGGCGTTTTTTTTTTTTTCTGGGTGGTACATCTAGAGGTTTGAGACGGGAAAAATGGCCGCCGGGGACCGACTTTAGACGAGAGGGGGGGGATGATGCCTTGAGCTTAACATACTTGTATTATAGGACACCTACATTCGGCGTTGAGCCATGGCTGCGTCTCATGTACATGAGTGATTGTAATGTAGCAATTTGTACGATGCGCATGGTGTGCCGGACCACGAGCGGCCCTGAATCCTGGTCGGCAAGTGAGTTGCTTGCGTCACAGTGATGGCACGGAAGAAGTGTAGAGGCCGGTGCCAGTGGTTAGATGGCAGCTACGTGACGGCGAACATGGCAGCGCCGTGACGTGACCGACATTCGGACAAGTTTTCCCCATCTTTATGGATGGGAGACTTTTTTAATAAATTCCACAGGTACCCTACAGCTTCCTCCTTACCAGGCCCTTCCAGAAATCAAAGCTATTCTCATCGCTCTGCAATGTCCATATCTTGCCCGTCCCGCGTCCCTCCGCATCCGTCTCCTCCACCTTCAACATGCCCCAGTCCGTCGTGATGCCCAGCACTCGGGCCTTCACACCGCCCTCTGCCTCCAAGGAAATAGCCTGTCCCGTGTGCAGCCAGTGCCGGTAGTACCTTCGCTCCAGAGCTTGAGAAAAGCCTTGCCGGCGGAACTGTGCGTGGATGGACTCGAGACGAGTGAGTATTCTCGCCAGCAAGGATTCCAGACGGAGAGGACGCGCATTGGCGGGCAAGAGATCGGAGACGGATGCGGTGGGACGAGGGTTGAGGGCGTTGATGCCGACACCGAGAACGACCTGGTACGAGCCATCGCAGTAGCCGCATTGGGAGAGAATGCCGCCGATTTTGACGTAGCTTTTTGACGACGCTGGCTTTGTGGGGTCGAGGGCGTCTTTGTGTGTGTTGCCCGTCAGCACGGTATGCATCACGGGGTGACGTGTTTGGGGGCAGGCGGACTTACAGATGTCGTTGGGCCATTTGAGCTTGATGGGGAGATTCTCGTAGCCAGCGCCGTAGGACTGGATAGCCTCCACGACGGCAACAGCGGCTATGTACTGGATGAATACTACCGGTCGGGAAGCGGCCAGGTGGACAGGGTGATTTATGATTGTCGAGAACATGAGGCCTCCGGGGGGCGCGACCCAGACGTTGGTTCCCCGACCACGAGCGGCGACTTGTGTTGCTGCGGAGAATGTGAATCCCGTGGGGAGCTTGGATATCAACTTGGGGTTCCTGTTGGGAAAGCGTCAGCATGTGCGTTCCGGCAGAAAGAGCTTCGCTCGGGCTGACGTGCTTTTCTAGCAAGGAGTTGGTGCTTGTGACGACATCTCCGTACATCAACACGCTGCCCCAATCCTCTGCGCCGGGCTCCGTCATACGAAATGTCCGAAGACTCGAGTAGTAAAGCTCGTGGCTGAAGCGAGGAGTCATGTCCGTTGTTGGCAGCGCTTCTTCGTGAGCAATGACGCGCTTTGTCAAGGTGGTGTAATCAACAATCCCGGACTCGCGTGGAGGATGCTCGTCGGCCGCATCGAGGGATTGCCGCAGGTCCTCTAGAGTGAGTCGGTCGTGGTCGGTCTGGATACAAAACCTGTCCGTTTCGCCTGTTATGAACTCTTGCCCGTCCTCTTTCTCAATGACTTCGGCCCAGGCACATAGCAGCTCCGAGACTCGGGAGTTGTCCATGGCAGATAGGTGGATGGTGGAGAGAGCGGGCGCTTGTGCGTTCTCGGCACTCAGCTCGAGCCCAAGTTTCTCGAGACAGGCTTTTAGAAAGCTGAGTCTTTTGTCGTCATCTTCTTGGAGCTTGTCGATGAGGTCGTCGTACCCCGGGATGGTAGGTTGCGGGGAGAGATTCGCAGGAGCAAATCTATCAGTTGTGAGCCTCGACACGTTTCTGCTGCTGTTTCTTGTGTTTTCTTCTTATTTCTTGTCCTCCTCGACTTCACACCTGGCGCGCACTTACTCGGGATGCGGTCCGGACAGCAGAGCCTTGCCGTCTCCAACGTGACACAGCACCACGGCAGCGTTGCCACGGCCGCCATCCACATCCAAGTCTTGGACGTAGGAAGCTAGAACTTCCACGCTGCGGCCCTCGGCTTCGCCCACGTCGACAAACACGCCGCCCCCGTTGTAGTAAGAGGCGAATGTCTCGGGCAGAGGGCGCTTGAACGCGCCCGTGGCGACCGTCAGGACGGCAGCGCGCGCACCCCTCTCGCTGTGATACTCGAATCCCCTGAACGCGCCTCCCCGACAGGTGCCGGGGTAGAAACCCAATTCCCTGCTTCCAACAAGTTCCAGCGGCTTGTTGCCCACCTCAAACTCGCATCTGCTGCTCCCGTAGTACCCGCCGGCGCAGAGGCCCAGATAGGCACCGCCGCGGCGGACGAACTCGCCGATGCGGCGGTTTCCTTGACCATTGAGCACCCTGCAGTAGCCCAGATCTGCGCCGCCGGGAATCACGAGAAGTGCGCAAGAGGGCGCCCATGGTTCGTTGAGAATGACCGTCTCTGAGACGGGGATGACGGCATAGTTGGGCAAAAGAAGGCGCTGCAGTGAGTGCATGCACTGCCGGACCGATTCAGAAGTGGTGCCTGTGCCTGTAGATTTTCCAAGACGAGAGAAAAAAGAAGAAGAAAAGGTCAGAAGCTCGTTGTCACGGAGGTGAGAAGCGTGGCTGCGTACCGGAGTAGACGAGGACGTTGAGCGGCCTGGGAGTCATGATGCCTCAGGATGTCACATGTCTGTCTGGCTTAGGAGGTGTCGACGGAGCGTCGCGGCCGTGGAAATGGCGACAGTTTTCCCCCTTGTCAACCAGATTGCTCGACGCTCCAGGGTACGCAATGGGGTCACGGCCACAGTCGCCGGGTCAGTCGACAATGGCGCGGGACCAAGGGAAACGTTTGTCGGCGACGGAGCGCGTGGAGGATGATGAGCCGGACGAGTGGTGAGTCGTTGGGTCGTTTTTTCATTTTTTTGGTCCTGCAGCTCTGATGCTGAGCCGCGACGCACGAACGCTCACACGGTTGTGACGCAGGGACAAGAGAATATTCAGCACTGGGTGTGCAGGTAGGCAGTCTTTTTTCTGTCTTCTGCCTTTTTTTTTTTTTTCCTTTTCTTCCCTACCCATGTCATGTCATGCACTCGTCTCTTTTTACTCTCTTTTTATTCTACTTTGACTTTTTTTTCCTTTCCCCTCCCCATTGTCTAGCGTCGGCAAAGCGGAGACGCCCTCGTTTGTCGTTGGGCGTGTGGGCTGACGGACCTGTTCCGTGCAGATGAGAACATGAAGATGACCGATTGCTACTTTGAGAAGAAGGACTGGAGGGCCTGCGCCGCAGAGGTGAGCTTGGATGGCACCACTTTGCTTGCCGAGAGTCGCTGACCATGGACGATGCCGCGCGCTCTCAGATGGAGGAATTCAAGCAGTGCTGGAAGCGACATGGGAACGACGAACGCACACTGAGCAAAGGTGCGTGACGCGGACGCCAGTCTTTGTTCGCAAGGGACTTGTTTTACTTTTTCAACAAGAATTGAAATAGAAAAATCCATGTAGACGAATAAAAGAGTCGAATGATGGTACAGTAATAATAACCACAGCAATAGTAGTACAAAATCACATGTATCATTCGTTGCCAGACCAGACCAGACCCTTTTCGATTGCTCGTGTGGGGCTCGCCATCCCAAAATTCATCCCGGCCAAAGGCTCTCTCTGTCCCATTCCATACCTCCAACCTCCAACCTCCAACCTCCAACCTCCACCTGCCTCAATTCAACTCCTCCGCCCCCGTGCGCAGCCGCCCAGCCCGGCTCCCGCCCGTCGCGCCCGTCGCCAACCCCATTGCATGCTCCAGCGCTCCGGAAACCAAAAGCCGCGTGACAAATCATGATGCTCTCCAGACGAGCTGCCTCGGCGGCCACGCGAGCCCTCTCCCCGCGCGCGTCCTCGCCCGCCCTCGCCGCCCAGTTCTATGCCACGGCCGCCGCAGCCGCCGCCGCAGCCGCACCCGAGGCTCCGGCATCCCCGAAATTCGCCGCCAAGCCCAGGGTCGTCGCCAGATCCCCCCTCGGCGCCATCAAGGCCACCCCCCCCCCTCCCGAGGCGAGACCGACGCAGGAACCCCAAACCATCGCCTGCCAGCCCGAAGGGTCGCGCCCGCCGGTCGACGCCGCGGGCATCCCCGTGGTAGACTGGGCAAACAGCTTCCACGGGATATCATCCCAGCCCGTCACGCGGGAGCAGTTCAAGGCGCTCATGGCGCCGCTCGCCATCAAGGACATCGAGGTCAAGCCCGACGGCGTCATCTACCTCCCCGAGATCAAGTACAGGCGGCGATTGAACGAGGCCTTCGGCCCCATGGGCTGGGGCATGATCCCCAAGGGGGACGCCGTCGTCGGCAACTCCATCGTCACGAGGGAGTATGCGCTCATCGTCGACGGCCGGTGAGTCGTCGCCCACCTTGCCCGTGGGCAGTTTGCCCGGAAGACTGCTGACCGGCCCTGTTCTGCTTTCCCGAGTCGCAGCTTCGTCTCGCAGGCCCAGGGTGAAAACGCCTACTTCTCGCCCGACCAGCTCCCCTCGTCCGTCGAGGGGTGCAAGTCAAACGCCCTCATGCGCTGCTGCAAGGACCTCGGCATCGGCTCCGAGCTCTGGGATCCCCATTTCCTCCGCTGGTTCAAGAAGACGCACATGGAGCAGGCGTGGGTCGAGCACGCGACGACCAAGAAGAAGAAGGCGTTTTGGTTCAGAAAGGGCGAGGTGCACGTTTCGTATCCCTATAGCCTGACCAAGTAAAGAAGAGGGACACTGAAGAAAGGGCAGATGCACAGCCGCATCATCATGCAAGGACCTGCGTGTCCTCCAAGAATCAGAATCCAGCGCCGAGGTGGATGGACCGAGGCGGCTGTGCGTGTTTGTACGATAGAGCAGGAAATACTCCATTAGGTGTGGCGTCTTTCTACGCAATGCATAAGCGACGGAGTTTTGCAGTGGTTTTTTCAAAAACGTCCGGCAAGTCATCTTCTTACGGACAGATTCAAGCCAGGTTTGGTTGAGAGAGGCTGCGGCACGTCGCCACCGGATATATTACGGGGCGAGTCGGGCCCAGGGAGTGATCGAGCCTCAAAAGCACATCTAAACTCCAGAAAGCACTGGTTTCCAGACGACATGTCCCAAGCTACACGCGACGTCTCTGGTATTCTTTGGGTCCCCCCGGACCGGGGCTCGCTTCTCCAGCGCCCCCCCAGCCCCATGGCATCCAAGAACTTCCTGCCGACCCGGACGGGACGTTGCGCCGACGAACAGTCACCTCATCTTCCGCCCCGCTCTCCGCCTCGACCTTCTCAAAGTCGGTCTCGCTGCGGCTCTTGCTCAAGGCGCTCGACATGCCAAGTCCACTGGGCGGTCGGTGAGTCATCTGGTCGTCGTCCATGTCGCGCGTACCGCTTGGCGCAAAGCTTCCCGGTGGCACGGTGCGCGAGGTTCCAGCGCCATCGCTCTGAATCTGCTGTGCCTCGCGATCCAGGGCGCTCAACACAATATTGAGGCGCTCACGCTGGGCAGCAATAAAGGTCATCTTCTCGGCCGAGCCTCGCACGTGTGGAGGAATCAGAGTCCCCGAATCAGTCATGCTTGTGCCAGACGGACCACTGGGGTTGCCGGCAAATCCGCCCGCCTGGGAGGCAGCCGAGACTGCGCTCGCCAGCAAATTGTAGAACTCGTTGCCGGTGTTGGCGGTGCCGGCCCATCTTGTCCTCGGGACACTAAAGCGAGCAAGTAGCGACTGCGTATAGCCCTGCGGTCCGGCCGGTGATTGGGACGGCGCGGGTTCAGGCTCGGAGGCGGGGAGGTTCAGGACGTTGGTTTTGAGGTACTCGATGACGCGGCGGAGATAGGTCATGCCGGTGGCTTTCAGGCGCTTGTGGGCGCTGGCGATGAACTCGTCTATGCTGGTTTCATTATTTGCAAGAAAGGGGTGGACATGTTCCTCGTAGAGAAGGCGGGCGCCCTGGGTTTGGGGGAGAATAAGATAGAGGAAGAACAGCAAGCGAAAATAGCCGTAGAATGGTATCCTACGGTGCAAAGGTCTGTAAGTTGACTTGTCTCCCTATCTGACGGCTGTTGATGCGACGAGACGCCGGGCTGGGGGTACGCACCAGAAGAGGATGAAGGATAGCCACGACTCAACCAGCAAGCAGATGCTGAAAACGACCCAGTACATGAGCCATGGTGTCAACTGAGCGGGATCTGATGTCTTGAGCGCCTTGTACGAGGCGAATATCGGAAAGAGGAAGGAGGCGACGGAGCTGTTGCGAGGGACGACGGGGTCAGCACGCGATGCCTGGCGTCGCATGTGCGAGAGGAGCACGAGCGCTGGTGGTTTTGCCAGCGGAGGCCTGTGACGACATGGCGGCGGGGCAAAAGCTGGGAAAAGCTGAGGCGCGCGTCTGGCTGGTACTCACGATAAGAGCATGGCAAAGAGGTCGAACATGGTTGTGGTTTGTCGTCGAGGCCGGTGGCCCCGGAGCTCTGGATGAAGACGAAAGGCTCGCTGGGTGTCGGCGGGCGGAAGGCGGGCGGAAGGCGGACGGGAGGGTAAAAGTACGGATGGGTATGGCTGTGAACGACAAAGAGTGAGCGACGAATGGACAACAATAGGATGAGTAGGCAAGGCTCGGCTTGCTGGGCGTGCATGGTGAGGGGAAAGTTCGAGATTGACTGACGGACCAGGCAGACTATGATGATGATCAGTTGCACGTTGGGGGAGGTCACGAGTGGTCACGAGTCGTGCTTGGGCGGTGCTTGGGCGGCGCTAGGTGCTGACACCGCTGGGCATGGCCGGAATTAGAAGGCATCAGGCGCTGCCCGTTGACGGCGGCTTGGTGGAGCCGGCGCTGAGACGGCCGGCGCCTGGGGTTCTGGGCTTCTGGGCCTCTGGTCCGGTGCCAGGCAGACCAGGCAGGCCAGACCCTGGACCTCCGCCATCGTCATCGTCGTCGTGTCATTGCTGGTCGCATGTCCGGATCTGCACCCGTGACATCCGGGGGTCTCGGACCTGTGCTGGCCAAGTGTGAAGAGGCGACATCTCGTGTGACTGACGCTCCAGAGCCGCGTTTCTGGAAACAGTCCAGTTCCTTGCCGGTGCCTGGGGGAGAGACTCGACGGATCCTGAGAATCATTCGCAATGGATTCATTCAAGTCCGTGGCCATCGAAAACGCCACGGCAGCATTGATCCAAGCCCCTTGTTTGTAACACTCTCTATTGTTCTCCTTCCATCCAAGCCCTCCGAGCACCCTCTGTGCCGTATCGTAAAACACGGGACACTCAACCAATAAACCCTCGCAACTGGGCCTCGTCCATAATCCCACTCTCGTCCAACCGAGCCGTCTCGACAATCTCCCCATGAACACGCTCGTACTTGGCCAGCGTGGGTACGCCATTGACGTTCCAATTCTTTCTAAACACATTCTCTGGACTCCTCCACCTGAGCGAGACCCAACTGTCAGTGCGTCTTCCGGGGAAAAAAAAAGTTGCACCCCCCAGACAGGAGAACGTACTCTGGCCTTTGGCCAACTTCAACCACAGACACCGTTGGTGCATTCTCCCCGCCAAACGCGGCCTGGATGTGTGGCCACGAAGCCCGAACGTCGGGGCACCACGGCTGCTTGGTCTCGGGGTCTTCCGAGGAGATGAAAATGACGAACGCTTTTGAGGCGGCATCGGGCAGTCGGAGCTGCTTCGCAGAGGCCGGAACAACAAAGTTTCTTGAAATGGGCATTTTGTTTTTGTTCAGGACCAGATCAAGGCTTGAAATTGTACAAACAAGAGCTGAGATTTGAATCCGACGTGGTGGAAAAAAAAAAAAACCCCCAAGTCAACGGAACATGGATGAAACGTCTCCCCAGTGCTTCTTTCCCCACATCCGAGGGCAAGCAAATCGTTTCCATGCTTCGTCGGCTCTGCGGGGTCGCGCGTTTGCTGCACGTCGTCCTCGTTTTGTTTTGCTCGACCCTCATCTTGTGCCTCCCATTCGAGCCGTCGCTGGTCGAAAAGAGATGGAGAAGCCTGTCACTTTGCCAGATTGTTTCAGGATCGATGCGAGTGCAACTGCTTCGTCGCCTTCCAGTGCTTCTGGGCTGGGCTCGCTACACTTGCCACACCGTCACAGCAGCATTCAAGAGAAATATGAAGGGTATCCCGTTTCCATTTTTGTTCTGGGCTGTTGTGACTGTACGTAGAAAGAAAGGATCCGTCTTGAAAAAAAGGAAGCCTCGGCGGCTGGACACAAAAGGCAGACGGCAGGTACACAACAACCTCCCGGAGGGAGAGCAATCCCTAAGGCCACAGTTCTTGCGCAACATCAGCAACCAGCTTGAGCTTGTCAAACATTTTCTCTTCCGTCATGCCATCCGCGCCGGCAGCGACGCTCGCAAACCCGCACTGCGGACTAATTCCAATGTCGGCCATGACTTCGTCCACGCGCCGACCCTGTCCGCGGGCAATCGTCTCGGCGGCCTGCAGCACCTTGCCCTTGATGGTTTCTGCGTCCTCCAACCGGGCATCTTTCGTCGTCACTACTCCGAGCACGACGTTTTTGCCCCGGGGCAGGAACCGGAGCGGTTCAAACCCTCCGGAGCGCGCGTCGTCGTACTCCAGGAAGAAGGTGTCGTAGTCCAGCATCGTGAAGAATTTTTGAGCAATTTTCTCGTACGACCCTTCGCTGAAGTGCATCGATTTGGCAAAGTTCCCTATACGTCCTTCTTATTAGCTGTGGCACTGTTGAGGAACTGCCAACCCATGTGTATGTGTATTGTATTTGCCATGCACAGGATGGAAATGCATGTATGGCGCCTCACCTCTGCACACGTGAAGCCCAACGTGCATATCCGCAGGTCGGTCTGCAATGCAGTCATTGTGCGCCTTGAGGTACAGGTCAAACAGGCGATCCGGATCATCTCCCTCGGCTCTCAGGGACTCGACCATGTCATCAGAGCAGAAGTAGGCAAGCGTCGGGTCGTCAATCTGCAGATTCCGCAGACCCGCGTCATACAATGTCTTGATCTCCTGCCTGTAGGCCTTTGCCAGGTCGGCAAAGAAGTCGTCGTCGTCGGCATAGACGCTCCTGTCGTACGACTTGCCCGGGGCCAGTCGGAGGTGGAAATAGCACGGCGGCGGCATGGTGAATTTGCACTCGCTCCACAGCTCCTCGGGGACCGAGTCGCGAAGGAGCTTCCAGTTTTCGAGGTACGGACTGGTGTCGTAGGTGATTTTACCCTCGCACACGGCGGCCATCATGTACGGGCGGCCGGCCTTCTTGAGGGCGGCGACGGGCGGCGCGGACGGTCGAGCGAGCTCCCATGGCACGGGGCTGACCTCTCGAAACCCTCCCAGCTTCTCGAAAAACCCGGAGAAGTAATACTTGCGGTCGAATTCGCCGGATGACAGGGCTCGGACTCCGTGGGCGCGTTGCTTCTCAACAATGCTGGCGATTGCGTCTCGTTGGCCCTGGCGAAGTTGGGCGGGCGTGACGGCGCCTGCGTCGGCTTGCTCTTGAAGGCTTGAGAGCGCCGACGGCCGTATGAGCGAGCCAATGTGGTCCGCATGGAATGGTAGCTTGTGGCCGGTCATGGTGATGCTGCCTGGCAACAGGAGGGCGGGTTTGAAGTCGAAGTTGTTGCGAAGAGCCGAGACTCGAATGTGTGCGTGAGCCGCTCCGTCTGATTCTGATGGTATGCGGAGTGCTTTGTAGCAATACTGTCGTATCGAAGACCTTGGCAGACAAGTCCATCCTTTCCCCCGGTTAGCAGGAGTCGGATCACCCCCTCGGCCGTTCAGGCCATCATGACATCAGCAAGGTTGCAGCCCACGGCAACATTGCCATCGCGTGCCGCGGGCAGGCCATACTGCTCCTTTGGATGGACCTCGGGAAAGAAGCATCAGCATCAGCAGCAGCATCTGCATCTGCATCTGCATCAGCGTCTGCGTTGGCCTTGGCGTCAGCCAAAGTCTTCATTCTGCTCAATCTGCCGCGCTGGCTCCTGCCTCCAAGGAGACTAAGCAACCCGAATCGAGGCAAAAGGAACAGAACCCTCACGTGCTCTGCGATTTTTTATCTTATTTTATTTTATTATTCTACTTTTTTTCCCTCGACGACGTCCATGGTGCCAGATCGCTCCACTCCAACCTGTCTCTTCTTGGCCAGATTGCGAGACTCCTGTTCCCTTGACATCGTGGGGAGCCACGCAGTATGTCGAACGCGTACCATCCATACCGGAGCAGTGTCTGCAGCGGTTTCAGTTTGATTACATGGTTTCACTGTACGGGGAGGTATGTATGGAGTTATTTTCGGAAGTTGGAGTTCAGCCTGCTAATTTCAGCGAGTATCATCGTTGTCGAGCATCGGAGATCTGGTCTTGGTTGAATGCATTTACAAAGCAACTGGATACGGCGAACGAATTAGGTGTACGTACCAGATTACGGTATTCACTGACAGCTCCCTGTCGCAAGTCGAGGGCATTTTCCGTCTCGTGTCGTCGTATTCGATGCGGTGCTACACATGAGGTGCCAAGAACCATTGTAACAATCAAAACATCCCAGTGGCGCCATTGTCGATTCAACCTGACCAACAGAAGCCTCCATTAGATAGTATTCACGAAATGGAAACCCCGCCGATTTCATCTACGAATTCACGTCTCGAGCAGTTGGGGTCGGTAGCTTCTCTTGGATATTCCGGACACCTACCCTATACGGACCCACGATGTCGTTTTCGAGAAGACGACAGTTCTTGCTTGCCCACCCCGGTCTTCTCCCTCTCTCCGCCACACGAACGGCCACTTGTCTCACCCCCCGCACCGTGTCAGCGACGGCACGTCGGCAGCGAGAGCAGCATCCCGCTGCTGTTGACTGTTGACTAAAACCAACCCCCACCCCCCGGGCTCTTGAAGATGCCTCCCTCTCTGGACCGACCCAGCCTATTGTCCAGCAAACGATCCTCAACTACCGCAAATGCGCGTCCATTGACCAGTCGTGCCATCCTGAAGAGCCTCGACTGCCGCAGCCAAAGCCAAAGCCGTCTCGCGGCGACCAGACGCCCAGTCGTGTTCTGTATGGAGCAATGCCGATGTCGCTGTCAAACAGGTTACTGGAACGCGCCATAATGTCAAGATGAGACAGAGCCTAGCAGGAGTCGTCGAAATAGGGAACAAGGGTTTATCAGGGCGCCGATGCTCAACAGAAGATCAAGGGATGGCCCCCTCTGCTCGCCTACACGCGCATCATTGGCTCGCTAGTGTTCGCACACGCACGCGGCGAGCAGACGAGCCAAGTCGAATCCCAGCGACTCCCACTCCTCCTAGGACCACGCCGTAAAGGATGGCCATGAGTTGGAGCCGAGGCCTCGAGAAGCAGGTGTACATGTGCCAAGCATGTCGGCAAAGGTCACGCATGGCCATGTCCTATTCGAAAGCTGCGCGAGAAAAGGAGCCCAGGACGATCCCACCTACTATGCGTGGTGCCATGATCCGGGCGCCTACCCGACTGCTCAAGCGCAGAATTTGACGCATAAGCTTCGCGGCCTATCCCGATGGTCCGGATCGACAGTGCCAGAAATTGATACCCTGCGCCTGTTTCGTGTTCGCGCGAGCATCTGACCGAGAGGTGTGGCGGGTTCGGTACAAACGCGTCTGGCTCTTGTGCTGGATGGACGCAGGTTGGAATTTGAGCCGGTTTCAGGCCCAGCAGTCAGTATGCACCAAATTGACATGCTGGTAGTCATAGGGGTTTCGCTTCCGGAGCCCTTTTGACTCGTGTGCTGGCCTTCATGCTACGCGAACCTGGGGGGTTCTTTGGCGGTCATTACGATTTAAGACAGCGCACCCAATGGGATGCCCCGAAGCAGCAACACCAGCATTCTTGTCATGAGGCACAGCTCACGACGTTCGGCTTCGGTATGCGCGCGACGGGCAATTGAAGCACATGCTACATTCTCGGGTCGGGCGGCGACGCTGGGAGTGCTACAGATACTATGGTTCAAGACGCGTCTGGATGATTCCGAGTCCTCGCCCGTGCTTATAAACGGCGCAGAATCTCCCCGGGGAAGCTGCAGTCTCTTCTTCCTCCATCGTTATCACTACCAAGCCTCGATTTCATTCACTAACAGTCTCCCACTTCCCGAGAGCTTATTCATTCTTTTTGTTCGCCTGTCTTTCTCTTGTCTCTTATCGTCGCCATGCGCTACTCACTCCTCGCCCTCGGTGCAGGCAGCATGGCCGTGGCCATGTTCACTAACACGACGGACAGCCCAGCTGCTGACAAGGCTGTTGCCAACACTATGCCCCCGGCTGTTGGAGATTACGAGCTTTTTGGATGCGCTCTCGCCGACGAGGGCATCAAAAGCCTTTCCAAGGTCGCATCTACCAAAGACATGGACGTCGATTTTTGCGGCGCCAGTTGCCAGTCCAAGTTCATGGCTGTCAGTGGAAAGTGAGTAACCGCTGATGACATCAGTTTCCTAGCCAGTCAAACGCCGAACAAAGAGAGACCTTGGGCTAATCGAGACACACCAGTGACTGCTTCTGCGGTGAGACAGCAGACACCGCGCAGAAGGTCGACGCGGCCATGTGCAACAGCCCCTGCCCGGGCAACCAGGCTCAGTCATGCGGCGGCAACGGCGGCAACACACGTCGCGATGCCGTCGCTGCCGCTCCCGCTCCCATGAAGGCCGTCTCCATGTACGTGCGTGCGAAAGCTGGCGAGGCCGGTGGTCCCATCACCCGGACTGTCACTCGCGTCGACGTTGCTACCATCACCAAATGCCACCCGACTGTCACCAACTGCCCAGCCAGCAAGGCTACGCAAGTCGTGACCCAGGTCGTCGACGCCTGCCCCCGTCAACCCCAGGCGATTGAGTGGCACAAGAAGAAGATTATCTGCTACGGCGGCCACTGCGCCCACGAGGTCCCTTGCGAGTGCCAGAAGCAGCGCGTCGTCTGCGACGGCGCCAAGTGCCATTCTGAATATTCCCACAGCAAGGAATGGAGCAGCCTTGTCGTTTGCAAGGGCGACGACTGCAAGTGGTCCACGTCCGACGATAACCGCTGGTACGAGGAGAAGATTGTCTGCTACGGCGGCAAGTGCGCCTGGGAGAAGTGCCACAGCGACGAGTGCCACAAGAAGCTCGTCTGCAGGGGCGACGAGTGCAAGCACGAGAAGTGCTCCGGCGACGAATGCCACAAGAAGTTCATCTGCGACCACAAGGGAGATCACTGCAAGCCCGCTGCCCCGTGCAGTGGACAATGCCCCAAGCCGCCTCCTCCGTGCCACGACAAGTGCGCCAAGCAGCCTCCCCCTCCCTGCCACGGCGAGAGCTGCAAGGCCGTCCCCTGCAGCGGCCACAACTGCGCGAAGCCAGTCCATCCTACTGCCACTGGCAGCATCTACCCTCACCATGTTCCCACGAGCCCTCCCATTGTTGGTGGCGCCGGCAGCATGGTTGCCAATGTCATTGGTGTGGCTGCCGGCCTCCTCTTCATCCTGTAAACGCATAGGAGAACCGACATTCATCGAGTTCGATTCTTCTGCAGTGGAGACGCGGACGCTGTGGCGCATTTAAGTTTGGGATACGTTTCTTTTTTCTTTACTTTCCTTTTTTTCCTTTTGGGTCGGCTTCACACTCAGGAGTTGTCGGTGTTTCACGTTGAACGCACGAGAGGTTGGGTATCGAAATGTCCGCCTCTGGACTCGCTCCAGGAGGAAATCTCTGTCAAATTAAAACATTATGTAGCCAACAGAAAGAGAATCTCACCATACACCACATCATCTACTCCATCGGGACCTTTTGACGTGCGAACTGTTTTGTTACATTGGCCAGAAACCCAGTATCTGGACTATATCAACCATACAATCAGCTAGTAGTTACTAGGCTTGGTGGATGAGTAGCGGGCACAATGAATCACATAAGTTGTGCGTCGGAGATCACAACGCCGCAACATGGGACGCCGTTCGTTCGACAGTGGTATGAAGGGGAAAGGGGTGTGTGACTCAGCCAGAAGTCTAGCCTACATGTGTTATCGGGCGTTCCTGGCCGCCTTTTGCCTCGTCGTACTACCGAATGGACGCCATTTGGCCGTGACCACACTGAAAAAGGCAGCTCATGTGACAGACGCGAGAAATTAGGGCCATGGAGGAGGGACAATGCTTCGGCTCTCTGCAAACTGCTTTCGCCGCAGCACGCTCGAGAGTTACCTTGACTGTGGCCGAAGCGGTCTTGCGGTGGTCACGAAGCTCGTCCCCGGCTTTCTCTGTACATGCGCGTAGTTGGCCAGTGCTATTTATCATAAGCCCCGCAGGTCCATTTACACGCTCCAGATGCATTGAATATTGAATCGTACTTGCGTGCAGTTCATTGTCCAGGATGTTGGGACCATGCTTGCACAAGGAGAGGCGTAAGCGAGCGAGACACTGTGGAATGACCAAAGACGGGACAAGGACAGGCCAACACCGATGCCAGCTTGATGGCTCATCGATGTAATACCGATTTGATGACGGGGACCTGGGCTAAGAAGCCAGGTTGCACGACACCAAAGGCCCAATAATGGCGCCTGGCGATCTGTACATGCATGTTGATAAAATGCAATTGGTGCAGGCCCGTATATTTGAGTCCTAGTTTTGAGCTCACTAAGCTTGCGGATAAGCATGCGGGGACTTGACAAATCGACTGTCATCTGTCTCATCTTCAGTGTGCCGGACAGCCCAGCCCAACCAAGAGACCACCGGGCGGCGGCAAGGCGGTCTGAGTGCGTATCGATGGATCGTGTGGGATTTCCGAGGAAAACAGCCCATGAAGATCGATCGAACTTTCGGGGAAATCTGGCGACAAAGAGGACAATGTGGTGTGGTGGTAGGAGAGCGAGTTGTGGTTGTGGTTGACCCGAGGGTTTGGGTCGGCGGACGTATGGCTTGTAGTCCAATTTCTGCCGGAATGTTACCTGTGTGATACCAAATCTATCATTCCCCACGTGTAGCTTTACCATCGTGCCCTTTCGTGTGGAGGCAACGAGAATTTGCCTGGGCACCCTCCATGTACGGCCCGGAAATGGCGGCGTCGAGCGATTTGAGGGTGGGCAAGGCAACTGCTTATTGCCTCCCCTCCCTCCCGAAGCTCCCACTGTGACGGAACGACTTGTCCGACCAAGGACCATGGACCATGGAACCAAAAGACCTTCACCTCCCGACAGATAGTTGACTGGGGCTCCCAATGGTAGGCAAGAAATGCCGGACCGGACGGCGGGTTGATGCATGACAGGGAACAGGCCTGACCCAGCAGACCCGACATGCACGTCTGTCTACTGGGACTAGCTAGCGCACGTTTTTCGTAAGCATCAAGCCCGTCTCTTTTCAGCTGTTGTAGTTTGATGAACTGTGGCGTAATTCACGACGAGTAAGCCGTCAAGCCATAGCCATGTAGAACCTCGCTCACAGAGGACTGAGACACCGGACTGCAGACGCCTATCGGCGGTCCCAGTGTGTCTTTCCGGGAGCCGGCATGATTGGCATCGATCATCAACCCCCATCTCGATGTGGGGATCTGAGCGCCATCACCATCGCCGTACGGGGTCCTGCGGAGTCTGTAATAAATGATAGTCTTGGAGGGAACCACGTTGGGACTGAGATTGATGTTAGCGACATGTGACCGCCATCGGTGTGTGTGTGGCAGTGCCGCCGTCCATTCGGGGCGTCGATACTCGATTGCCAGTGGACGGCAGGCAAGAGCAGGATGGGACGGATGCGTGAGCGAGTCCCGGCAGTCTGGTTCGACTATCGTTGACCATCGCACACCTCGCCTCTTTTGAGAAAAATCGCCGTTTCCGTGTTACGTGCAGAGTCCGGAGTGGTGAGGTCGACGACACTGAACGGTCCAGACCATCGTCTTCTCTGCCAGCGACGTGGCTTCGGGGTTTCTGGGGCCTTTGCATCGTTAGCCTGCGCCGCTGTCCTCCGTTCTATACTCTGGCCCGGCCGCGCTGGGGCAGCAAAGCGAAGCTGAGGGAGCTAGACGAAGCTGTCGACTTGCCCTCAAGCTTGATTTTTCGCAGCCACGATTCAATGTGAGGGGGTCCGAGAGCTGCCTTCAGTCCGTTGACGGGACCCAGGTCGCACCTTCCGATCAAGGGCAGAGTACGGAGTACTCCGTAGAGGGACGCGACTTCCTCGAGCACGTTTTTGACGGGCGGAAATACCAATCACAACCAGCCTCTTCGCCTCACACCGGCCTCGGGCAGCACCCGCACGCTGGCCCTTAAAAGTCAACTTCCAGGAGTCATCGCCACCGCCTTTCTAGCCTTCGGCTTCATCACGCTTCGCATTCTTCCGCTCCTGCTGCTCATACCTCTCTCTTCCACTACGTCCGTCGCACTCTCGAACACACACATGCCAATTTGCGCTTCCCGGGTATTGGTGGCAAGTGGGACCATTTCATTGCAATAGGACAAACGAAAGCAAGGCAAAGCAAACAAGCGACCGGTCAATGAACAGAGAAAGCCAAACCAATACGCCGGTCCTGTTTCCGTCTTAAATCTGGTCAGCTCAGAGGCTCAGAAGCTCACAGACAGCCACCTCGCCGTGTGAAGTTTGACCTTGCGAGCCAGTCATTGGCACTCGTCTTCCTCCCGTCAAAGTCAGACCTTCGTTTTGAGTCTCTGGAAACTTGGACTTGGGACATTGCGCTGCCGATAGTACTCTCTGTAACCGGAAACTTGAGAAACCCAATTAGCCCCAGCCTACCGTGCTTGGGCCAGTCCCAGATCCCTCAGCTCAGAGCACGGAGCGCATACCGACCATTGATAACCCCCTCCGCAATAGAGGGCGGCACGCTGCACCACCTCTCGAAACCGAGTCCATGGCAGAGGGTTTGTCCAACACAGTTGTTTGTTCCACAACGAGGACGGCGATCTAGCCTGCTCTTCAAGGAGCGGGTACGTTGTCGAGCATATTGCTTATAACAAGGCCGCCTCCCTCCCGTTTCACTCTCACGATGAGATCTACGATGCTCTGATCTGTTCCAGAATTGCCCGCTTTCCGGTTGTGTAGCCAGAGACTTGCGTATAAAAAAAAAGAATTTCGCCCAAAATGCCTGCAGATCCAGCCGCCGCGCCTGGGCTGCATGCGGCACATGCACCATCGATTTCATCAACGGGAACCTCCATCTCTGTTGCAACATCAGACGAGGTCGCCGTTATTCGGCGCATAGAAAAGGGAGAGTATGTTGACGGGCAAGAGGTTGACGATGATACCCGCAGTTTGACCTCGAGTATCCGACAACACATTGTTGATGGGGGCCTGCGATATCACGCATATCACGCAGGGCAGTACGCCTTTCCCAATGACGAGAACGAACAGCACAGAGACAATCTGAAGCACCTCTTGACATTGCACCTGTGCGAAGGAAAGTACTTTTTCGCTCCGATACATGAGCTTCTTCAGAAAGGCGGCTATGTCCTCGATCTGGGTGAGTGAAACAAGGCTACAAACCCTCGGAGACACGAATGCCCACATCTGCTAATATTGTCAGGCACGGGAACTGGCGCGTGGTGCGTGGAAAGTAAGTTGCTACTCTAATTTGATCTAGCCGTGACTGTATGCTCTGATGGAGGCGTCGTCAACTGACCGTATGATTCCCAGTGGGGGACCTGTATCCAAACGCCACCTTTGACGGCATGGACTTGTCGCCAATACAACCTGATTGGGTTCCTGAAAATGTTTCGTTCATGGTTGACGATATCGAGCACGAGGCAGGGTGGACATATGAGGAGAATGAGCTTGATTACATTCACGTTCGACACTTGATACATTCTATCAAGGATCGAGAAGAGATGTGGAGGCGAATCTACAGGTACTGCGAACAACCAACCACCATGCTACACGCTGTTGCGTAAAGGCTTGCAGGGCTAACTCCACGGAAACAGCCATCTCAAACCAGGTGGATATGTTGAAGTGCAGGAATTCGACTACGCCGCCGCTTGCGACGACCACTCCTGTGATGGCCCGTACGCATGGCGGGACTTTCTGAGATACCTTACCTCTGGGCTAGAGGCTCTTGGGTCGGATCTGCACAGCATACACCATGTCGAAAACGAGCTCCTTCAAGCTGGGTTCGAGGAGCTCCACTACCAGGACTTGAAATGTCCCCTAGGACCGTGGGCTAAATTGTTACGCCTACAAGAGTGTGGGCATCTTCTACGAGACATTGTCATGTGTGGACTGGAAGGCCTTACTCGACGACCATTTCGAGATGGTTTAAGGTGGACACCCTTACAAATAGAAATGTTTCTAATCGATGTACGGAAGGATGTGACTCGGGTTGAGAATGGCATCCCGCCATTCCACAGCTATTTTCCCTTTAGGAGCATTTATGCCCGGAAACCTTTGGTAGTTTGATGTTGGATAGTACGGGTGACTTTCAGGTTAGTCAAGTGGTTTCAAGTTGGGACCAGGGAAAAGCTGTTGGCGGTATACGAAAGACGGTCTCGTGCTTCAGCATACCGACGTGGACGAGAGGATAGATATGACATGGAGCTAGTTCAGCTGATTTGTTACCATAGCAAGGCCAAAAAGGGGGGTCGTCAAGAATGCGTAAGCCGGTGGCATTGACCACTGCAGAATGAAAGTTTATTTTACTTTTGCGCGCCATCATCGTGGCTGCGGTGAAGAGGAACAGCCCAAGTTCAAGGCCAGGAGCTAGGGTGCCTAAGCAGGAAGTCGGGTCACGGACGTGATTCCGAAGTATTCGATGCCAGTCCATACACAGCTGAGTGGAAGGGACTATTTTCTAGCACGTACTGACCTCGTGGACGACAGAAAGACACTAGACGAGAACTTTAATCTACCTGGAGAGCAGGATGGGTATCTTGGAGACGAGTCGACAGACGCCACCAGATGCACCATGAAGACAGAAGTGGTCGAGAACCGCGTCCTCCATGGCCAGCAAAAGATGTTTGACGAGGCATTAGAACCTGGTCATGGTGGATAGTACCGTGGAAGACATGATTCCACTCGAACATCGGAGTAGACATTCGACGGCTAAGTTCCAACGCAAACCGAGTTGCTGTTCGCTGTGCCCCCCGGGTGGACTCTCACGAAAGCCTTCTTGCTGCGGCCTCAAAAATCTAAACATGCGCCATGGCAGAGCCGTCGAGCACCAAGCAAGTCTAATATAGTCTCGACAAGTGTGTCCAAGTTCGTCTTCTTACATACGCAGGTTTGCCGGTCGCTGAGAATACCATAAATACGTGCCCCTTGTCATCTTTCTCTTAGGATTTCTTTCCCCCTGACCATCCTGCCTCGTCTTCATCCCACCGCAGTCTGCTTCCAAGCCTGCCAAAGCACTTTTCAAGACAATCACTCGTTTGTGCCCCAGCTGCGGCTCATCAACTCGGCCTACTTGTGTTTCCATTCTCTACTCCAATCCACGTCCGGCCAGACGAACAAATACCTGGCTCGAGATTTCTTATCAGATACATTCAACAACACCCTTGACACAGAAAACAAAACCAACAACAAAATCTTTTGAAATGGAGCACCACCAAAGTGCCAGCATCACCTTCACCCTCACCATGGCCGAGCAGACCGAGAAGGCCAAGGCCACGGTCAAGGCCAAGGGCGCAGCACCCCTGACCGAGGCCATTCTTTCCGCCTCCGAGGAGAGCTCGGGCGAAGAGGTCTCAGGAGACACTGGCGACGAGGACGAGGACGAGGACGGCGACAACAACAACAACAACAACAACAGCGGCCTGTTCACCAAGGACGGCCGGTGCCAGCGATGCCTCAGGGTCTTCGCCCTCAACAAGAGGGCGGACCACCGAAAGGTCCACTGCCTCCAGGGCAAAGACGGCGTGGCAGTCCCCGACGCCAACAGGTGCGCCTACTGCGACCGGCGGCGGCAGAAATGCATCGTGGCAAAGGAGCCATGCCGCAAGGGGCTCAACACTCTCGGGTGCCTCGTGTGCATCCAGGGCGGCCGGTGCTGCTCCTTCAAGAAGACCTTCAAGCACCTGCGGCTCAGAAATGTCCGCATCCACCCGGCAAGCGCACCAGCGACCTAGGATGGACTGGGCTGGGCTGGTTTTTGGTCCCGGTAGCGGGACTTGCCGGAAGCGTGGTCAGGGTTTGGGCCATGTGGGATCTACGCAAGACTGGCGGACGGCGTCAGGACAGGATCATGGGTGGGTGGGAACCCGGGGCTTGCTTGTGATTTGGAATATGGGATTTGAGATTTGGGATTTGGGCTTTGTTTCATGATACCCCTTTCGCAATGTCACTTCTTTTTTGGGCTCACCCTAGCTTCGTTTCTTGATGTGACGCGCCGCGCCCGGCAGGTTCGTCGCGACTCGCGACACGGCCGTGTAAGTGCGTAGTCCGAGACCTCGTGCTGACAGAGCTTGAGAATCCCACGGCCTCACCCGTGCCGTCGGGGATCCCGCGTCACGTTACGTGGTGATGGACAACTTTTGCCATCTCGTCACCGGCCGAGTTTGCGTGCAAGAGTTTCTGCGGCACCCGAGCCCCCAGGGGTGAGTTTCTGACGACGCCGGCCTTGGCTCTTCTTTGCGCCGGCCGGACGGGGCCACGGGTCACGACAAGTTTCTAGAATGCGCATGCGGACCGTGCCATGCTACTGACAGAGGTCAGATCAGGCGTCTGTCTGGATTCGACGAGTAGCGGAATCCCTCCCTGCACCCGTGGCGGACACGCAAGCCTCGCGTCGTCGTACGCTCCCCGCGCTGTGGTCTGATGTTGTACGAAAGACTAGTACTAGCGTCTACGTGTATGGCACTACGCACTCCCGTGGGTTTCTTTCCATTCTACATTCCACACGGAGCAGTGTGTGAGTACGTGTGCGTGTACGTGTGTGTCGGCATTGCATGCAGCGTACCTGGGTCGGGTCTGCATGTATATGTGCCCTCAGGTAGTTTTGCGTGCGGTCTATACTGGAAGAAACAGGCACGTACGCGTATTCTTCAGAAGAGCTGCACTGCAGCCTTGGTTCTCTGGAATATCCTACCCGTCTCGCCCCTCGCCTCAAGTCCCGGATCGACTGTGCTCCACGAGTCGACGAGAGACGCCGCCCCCAGCACAAATGACTCGACTAATCGCCAAATTCCGCACCGTGTGCCATACAGGGCCCTCGTATTGCCTGGACCGAACTTTGGAAGCCGCCACATGGCCGAATCCGCCAAGTCTCAGCCCGCTCATCCAGCAGATGGCGGAACAAGCATAGACGGGACGGGGACGAGGCTCTGCGAGCCCAGCGTCAGCATCTTGGCGTGTGTTGGACGCCCACGAAGCGTCTGACGGCGAAAACACATGGAGCCAAGTCGAAGGGGTGAATGGGTGCGCCGCCGTGGCAGTCTAACCAGCCTCGGGGGTGTGAGCTCCTCGCGGCCAGCGACTCGGAGGAGAGGCTGGCTTCCGCATGACGTTGCCGGCAGGGACTGCTTGAATGCGATCCAGCGAGCTGGAGTGCGGAAGCGCTCTACTCGACCGGACTGCCGAGGCCGATACGTCCTGCGTCATTGTCCTTGGTGCGCGGATGCGTCGAGGCCTCTGGAAGCTGCTGGACTGGCCGGCGACTTGGACGGCCTTCAGTACGTTTGTAATGCGATCTGGATCGAGGAACCGGCTGGAGGCTTAGCAAGGCCCTTGCGGCTGCTGCTGCTTCTCTCTGCGCCTGACGAATGGACTAGATTCCTGGTCCATACGAGTTGCGGTGGTGGATTGGGAATGCGAAGGAGCAGACGAGACGGGCGACAAAGTAACACGGAGTACGGCGTGACTGACGCCACAGAGGCATCGAGAAGTCACAAGAATTGCAGCCAGCGAAGCTGGAAAAGAAAAAAAGAAAAAGAAAAAGAAAAGGATGTGCTTCGTAAACGTGCCGGATGGACAGCGAGAGTCTGCAAGCCGTGCCCGCTCCCACCTGATGGGTGAATATCTGGCGCAGGAGTGGACGTCGAAAGTTAGTGACATACCGATGATCGTTGGCTGCAGATGATTGAACTCGTCATGTCATGTCTCCTTCAAGGTATGATGCAGTGCTCGACTCGACGGCTCTGGAGTGACGCAACTTGGTGAGGGCGGACGCAGGCTGCTTCTCCTGTGACAAGGCTGGTTTGAAAGAGACGCAAGATGCTCATGCGACGTAAAGTGTCACGGGGATTGAGTGCTGATCGATGAGACGAGAGTCACGTCCCCAGTCTGCCTCGATCGATTTGCAGCATTGCGAACCTGACCGGGTTGCAAGGCAGCTTTACTACGAGAAACGGCAATGACTGAAAAAGAGGGCCATACGCCTGCCCTGCCGTGACGCACCGCGCGACGGCTTGACGGTATGCCATGGATCAGTCCAACGTGGAGAGAGGGAGGGCCTTGCACCACAATACCCGTCTCAGCCGGCCGCTCGACTGCTCACCATGGAAGAGGAAGAGGCGACTATTCAAAGGGACCCGGGACCAATGCGTCGGCGCGGTCTCAAGTATCACCACCGGGAGACGATCCATCACCGAGGCAAGGCGTGTCTGCAAAGATGCTTCCCAAACGAGGAGCCGTGACAAGCGGCGCCGACCAACACGCAACGCAAGCAAGTACAGCGAGACCTGTCAGAAGACACGACTTCTCCTTGAGCAAAGAGGCCACAAAGAAGCACGGACCGGCGCGGCTACTGGCCATGGTTTGCGGTGGACGAGGCGGCATGGACGCCCACAGCGACGCGTCGGGCCAGGCACGCCCCCGACATCGATCAAACCAACAGTCACCGCCAGAGTCCAAGGCGAAGGTTGGAGCTCATTCGTCCAATGTGCAAGATGCCGCCAGCCAGCGTCTGCCTACAGGCGGAGAAGCGACCATGACCATGACCATGACCATGACCATGACCATGACCAGGCCGAGGCGTCCCCACGAATCCGCACGACTCGGCGCGCACCTCTGCAGTGTGGAAACTGTTCTCGGGACAGCGGTTGGTGGTGGAGGGAGCACGGGGACAGGAAGCCTCGACCGGCCCGCCGTCAGCACATGGTGAGGTTTACGACGAAGCATCAAAACATGTGAAGCGACAAACAGCAATCGTTTTGATGACGATTCGAGAAAAGTGTCGTGTGTAAGCCGGAAGCCGGAAGTCGGAAGTCGGGCGGTCCGGTGGATCGAGGGACGCGTGGCGCCTTCCGCACCGGGTACTGGGTGGAGCAGGAATCTGGGCTCCGTCACATGACCATCACGGAACCGCACCGCCACGTAGCGGCCACGCCTGGCCACACCCACGTGGCTTGACGGGGAGGAAATCAAGACGCAGCCCGCAACGGTAAACCTGCATGACGGCGTCGCATTCACAAAGAGCTCGGGCAAATGAACGACACGCAGTTGGCAGACAAGCTGTGCGCTGCGGCGCATGCGCCTGACGCATACGGAGTACGGAGTACGGAGTGCATGGGGAGAGGCAGACGAGGCGGCGTGGACATCCAAGAGGCAACACAACAGGGCCCGCACACCGAATTGGTCTTGCGGTGATGCGGTCATCATCAATCAGCCCTACACATGTCGAGTGGTTGCCGACCGAGAGAATGGCGACGAGGCACAGACGATGGATGTCACATACCTACCTGTCTGTCTGTCTGTCTGTGTCTTGTTTGCACGAGACAAGCTGGAGGGGAGCAGGTAACGGGTATGGCGACGAATGACTTTGGGCACAACGAGAAAGGCGAGAAAAAAAAAAAAGTTCACACACACACAAGTGCTCCGTCCCTCTTCGTCGCCGCCTTGTCGAGATGGAAATGTGATCGGTCTGATCGGGCACATTGGGCAACGGCCAGCGACCTGCAAACTTGCACATCGCTCACCTGCTCACTTGCTCGCGTCGGCGGACAAGGACAAACATTGCCCTGGCTGGCCAGCTCCCGCACTCACTCAGCCTGCACATACCACGACGGATAGTTTGCACCCAACATGGCCGCGACGGAGTGGCGGCAGGGCGATCAGAATGAGGCTGTCGATGGCGAGGCCCCCCAAACGCAGCCTGCGCATTGTGTGACGATTGACGGAGTACGGAGCGCAGAATACCGGGCACGAGCGCCGTTACCGGTCTGCGACGTGATGGCGAGCGAGAGGGGAGCCACTGGGCATTCTTGCAGCTAAGGCATCGAGAGCGGCAGTAGCTGGAACCAGAGGGGCGTGGACTGGGATATGCATGTGCCATGGTGCATCTCGGGCGCCGGGCGCAGCGATATTATGCAGCTCGAGCGAGGCCTTTGTGCTTCGAGGCCTCGAGACGACACCTCGATTCCATACGAGGGAGAGAGAGGCGGCGAGCGACGGTGCAAAAGCTCTCGCTTCGCTGTCTGCGCAGCAAACAGGGACGGATATCAAACGGAGAGGCTTGGCTGCGTTGTCGTTGGCCGCTGCCTTGGACGCAGGAGCACGGACAAGTCTGCTTCGACGTATTTCATTGCACGATCCAGATCTTCGGGATCGGCGACGTGGACGTACACCAAGTACGCGGCATGTATGGTTGATGTGCCTTTCTGGTCCCAGCACGGCACCTGAATGAAGGACTCGATCAAGGCGGCACCCGCGACGACGTCATGCAGGCCGCACGAATGGCACGTCGAGGCAGAGCCCGCAAACCGACCAAATCGACGTGTCACGAAAGGTGTAGTACGTATTGTATTGTAAGTTATATAGCATCAGCAGGCATCTCTCGCATTCATCAATCACCCACCCCCCTGGTCCAGGAAGACGAGTAACTGTATGACAAATTGTTACTGGCCTGGCTGGGTCCGCGCCTCATCGTCATGATTGTTCGCCTCGGTCGCAAAGATGCGGGTGTCGTGTAAGACAGATGCGTCTGATGTGCCCAAGAAAGAGGACCCTTGGTCGGCTGCCTCTTCCAGCAGATGGATAGATGGATAGTATCTTGGGATTGTTCCACGAGATTGCACCCTCGGCCGAGCCATGAGCCATGAGCCATGCGCCATGCGCACGAAACACTCTCCAGCCATGACTCAAATCGACGTCTGGCTTCTCACTTTTACTGGCATCGAAACCAACGGCGGTTGCACTCTGTTTATTTTCCTTTCTTTTGCGGACGCAGATCCATACACACGACCCAGCACAAGCAAAAACAACAACAGTTCCTAAACTGTCGGTCAGCCCCCGGCCTGATGCCTTTGTAGGAGGCTGTGGCCCCTATTTTGGGGTCGAAGCTGCAGGCTTCGCTGTTAACGTCGGCGGCACAGGAAATCATCCATCGTGGTTGGCCGCTGCAGAGCAGGGATGGTGATCTGGCGGGGAGTATTTCGTACTCGACGATGCGTCTGCGCCTTGTGCCAATCAACGCCAGTACCGAGTAGCAGCGCGCGATGCCCTGTTTCGATGAGCAATCCGCTTTGGACATCAATACAGGAGACCCGGGGACCTCGTTGGGAGACGACGATGCGTGACAAGAGGATCGAGACTAGACACGTGAGTCACATCACGAGGCCTGAAGTGGAATTTCGGTACGGAGTATGAGAGAAGACTATCTTGCGTCTCGAGGGGGGAGCGTCGTCCAAAGAGAGCCCGGGAGCGAAAACGAGAAAAACCTTGCCCGTCCGCCCCTTGTCGAGCAGGGGCTCTGGGCACCTAACAATGAAAAGACGAAGCACGGGCCGGCCACGGGGGCTAGCAAGACTACTACTACTACTCCGTACTAATAATAAGACAACGGAGGGTGTGGTACTCGGTAGTTGTGATGTGAAATATCAAGCGACCATGGTGAGAGCTGGCTGATTTCTCTCCCAGCGAACGCGGAAGAGTGGTCCAGGTTGGGGCTCTTTGCCCACGACAGACAATTCGTCCTCCGTACAGCGTGGGATCGACGGGCCGCGGACCAGATGTCGAGGAAATGTGGTGGCGAGCACGTCGGTCGGTCGGTCGGTCGCGGGCGGGCTGGGCCTTTGCTTTGTTCTCGACGAAAAGATGGAATCAAGCAACATTGAACATTGGCCCAAGCGCCCAAGACACAAAGTGCTGGGGTCCGCCTGCATGGGCCAAGACGTTTCTCAGGCCGGGCATGGAGGGATTTGAATGCGCGAGGGTGCCACTTTCGTATCGAGCAAGGATGTCAGCCAATAAGAAGCCTAGATGTAAAAGATACATGAGCCCACTAAGAAGCAGTAAGATGGTAGAAGTTCTAGCAATTTCCCTATTTACATAGAGCTACATCACATTTGTCGCAGCCCTAATGCGAGTAGAGCGCTCAACTTTTAGGGCTATTGAGGCTATTATTCCTAGAGGCCTCTTAAGTTGGCAGACAAATAAAGCGCTCTTAGCTGCTAAGATACTCGTGGCATCACTCCTTGGCTCTATTGAAAATACCTAAATTACTAGTATGAAGAATATAGTGTGGAAGGTTGGCGGATAACCTTGTTGCCAAAAAGGTACCTACTTGGTATCGCAGAAAAATGGGTCCCGCACCCAAGTGGCACCCTCGCGCATTCAAAATGCTGTTCTGTGTGTTGGTCCTGTACAACGTCCATGCCGCCGGTATTGATTGTACAACACTTGCAGTTGGGCTGTAGCGGTATTTCCCCCTGGGGATTCGGTGTTCTGGCGCCTAGTCGATCCGTCCAAGTGCCCAGGCATGTGTGTATGCGTTGATTGTTGATGCTGTCTGGAACCGACGAGGACGATGATGCCCGGAACGCGGCGAAGACGCATGCAGCCCACACCTCGATGTGCTCCGTAAGAAGACGATGGGTATACACAAGGCAAGGCGCGCATGTATGTATCAGACAATGGACGGGCCCGCGCCATGGCGAAGGAGAAAAGCAAGCCTCATTTTTCCCCCCCCTGTATTGCGACGGGGGGTTGTGCTGCGCAAACCATGTGCGTCCTCGCCCATTGGCGTTGATTGCCGAGCAAGACTCGGCTTTGCAGCAAGGCGTCTCGTCGAAGACTTTGTCGATTGATAGTATCGGCACCAGACAGGGCAGGCAAACAAACGACTCGCAGACGGACCAGAGGGAGTCTCGGCTGGCGTTTCTCCTCTCGGGATGGGATGGCGACGGCGACGGCGACCGGCGTAGGCAGCGGCACGGGGTGAGACACGCGCAGGCGTCCAAGGGAGTCAGTCATGGGCCATGGGCTATGGTCCAGGACGTCAGCCAGCCTCGTCAAGGTCCAAGGACTCGAGAGGGCAAGCGAGACGAGCATATATGGCATGTACTTGCTTAGTATGCACGCATCACGTTGGGAGAATATTGTATTGTACGTATTGTATTGCAGGTTGGTACTCGGCACTCGGCAGGAGCTCGACAGCGCGTCCGCCGTCGAGTCTCCACACGTGGACGTGGAAGGATCGCGCGGCCGGCGGCAAAGGCACCCCACGAATCTGCGACGGGGGGGATTCAGAGGCTTTTTTTTTAAGCTATTATTTTGGTTGCCGTCACGGCGTGCCACATACACGACATGCTTTTTTTTTTTTGGGGTCCGTCGTCTCTTTTCTTTGCACAATGCAGTCGCGCTCGTCAGGCGGCCGGCGTCCATCCATCCATCCAGCCGTGCGGGGCATCGTTTCGGCGCCGAGCCCTCGAAGAACAACCCTAGAGTCTCTGTTGAGAGAGAGGTCGTGTGTGTGAGACGCGGGTTCTTTTGTCTGCCTAGGCCCGCCCTGGGTGCTCCGTGCTTCCGTGCTCCGTAAATTTGCACATTCCCATGATTTCCCTCGAGCAGAGGCTGGCAATTTCGCTCAACGGCGCTTGGTGTCTCGGTAAATTGCAGTCGCAGGCCCTGGGGGCACCCACTGACTGCCAGCCAGGGTAGAGTCAGGGCTGCGGGGGAGGCTGGCGGGTGGTTCGTCGTTTACAAGCCGGACGGGGACGGTCGACAAGGGGACAAGGCGACGAATCAGGTGAAGACGCACACGCGCACAGGGCTAAAAACAAGACGAACAAGACGAAATTAAAATTCGAAAAAAGTCGCAGAGTGCATCGCAACACATGCTCTGCGCGTGCATTGGCAATCTGGGCTGTGACTGAGGGAGCCCCGGGTCGTGACGATTGCGGGAGCGCGCGACGAGTCAAAGACGTGTGCCCATTGTGTATTTATTGTATGCGAGAACCGTCATGGGATCAATCTACTGCTACTGCCACTCTGCACTGCGTACTCCGTACCACTACCTACGACTGTGACTAGCAATGAAAAGGCCGGGGCGTCTGGTAGTCATCAATCAATGCAATTTTGATGGCACTCTTCCCTACGGAGTAGTAATACGGAGTATTTCCCCGTCGGCACCATGCCATGGACCCCGTCGAGCACAGACGCAATATCACATCTTACGCAGGGGGCAGCGGTTTGGCGCTGGCGACACTCTTGGCTCTTTTTGTGGCTGGCATCCCTGTCCCGTCCCCGTCGCTTGAGTGCACACATTTTCACTCGCTGGACGTCTGCGCGAGCGTCTCTTCTTCCCTTCTCCGTAGGCCCGGGGAGCATTCTAGCTAGCATCACAGAATTCGCAAAGGCGCCTCGGATGAGTGTGCCTGCTGGCCGAGGCCAAGGTTGGAGGAGAAGCCCACATGTCCATGCTCGTTGCTTCGCACCATAAGTACTCTGGCATTTTCCAACCAAGTATCCCGTATTATTGTTCACTGTACCGAGTAACGAGTGCTCACTGTCGTATCGTATCACAGAATGGAGTCCCCGAGAAGCAACTCAGCGCACCTGGCTCGTGTTTCTCATCGACATGGACTCAACGCTTCCCTCGATTGGCTCCTTGATCCGACCGACCAGACAGGAGCGTCAACCGGGTCCGTACCAGTCAGCTTTGAAGTCGCAGTCAGCCAAGAAGACAAAACCTTGACAATGAGACGCCGGCCTTAGTCCTTCGTCTGCAGCCAGTCAGAGACAGCGAGAGACACCAACGGTTGGACAAAGAAAGCGCACGTCTCGTAGTATGCCAATTGTTGCCCTCTTCACCAAGCAGAGCCAACGAGACACGGGACAAGACTCGACCTTGCCATGTATACGCACCGTCTTCCGTACTCTGTAGTAATCACTGCCACGTACGTACTCCGTACTAGCTTCAGCATGGGCCGCGCACATGGGCATCGCGTGGCCTCCAACGCCGGGCTTGAAAAGACGGTATAGTGCTCCGTACTCGGTACGTGGCGGACTGCGCAACTTTTTTGAGGCCTACGCCTACTGCTGGGAGTAGCTTATAAGCACTCCGTAGGCGAGTTGTTGAGACCACCACGACCGACAGGCCCCGGGCGGCTCCGACTCTGCGTCAGGGGCCAAGGGAAATAAGCCAAGTGAGTAATTATGAATCGCACCGGGCTCACTTTGGTCGTCGAGCGGCGTCTTCCAAGGTTTGCTGTTGCACAGACTCCAGAGTGTGACTGGATGGCTGACTGAGCGTCTGCCTAACATCGGGCATCGTACGGAGTACGGAGTAGAAAGCGTTCGAGGCTGGTGCACCGTCTGGACGAAAATTCTGCGACCCGGCGAAGCTGACGAGGTTGGACAGTAGGACTGCACATACAGAGTACTCCGTACATGGTCTGGCGAGTGACCACCACTAGCAGCGGTACTGTTAGCATCGTGTCGTAAATAAGGCCATACATACGTACATAGTACATAACTTGCGTGCTCCGCAGCCACGGCTGGATTATTGTTGTCGTGTCTGCCTCCCTCCGCCGCCAGGCACGTCGTAGGGACACCCCCCTGGCAACCCCCCTTTTCCCGCCGCCTCCGTCGAATCATCGGGTGGTGAGGCGCGACTTGTTGTTGGAAAGTTCCGTCCTGTTCGGTGGTCTTCGCTGCGCTGCGGGCTACCTGTGTACGTACTTAGTTACTTGAGTACTTTACTCGACCAGACTGTATGCTCAAGTACTTGAGTATTCAGAGTAAGTGTACATGATGTACGATCAATAATGCTGCTCTGTACGGAGCGGGGACGGAGTACTCACAGCAGGCGCAGTCCGCACGACAGACACCATGCGGCACGCGGCACGCGGCACACCCAGACAGGCACAAAACCACCCCCTCGAGTGCGCCCACCCCTGGGGAGCCATTGGTGGCGTGGGCTCCCGGCCCAGGAGGCCAGGAGGACCTGTGCAGATGCCAGGCTGCCGGCCAGGGTTTGCTCTGATGGGAATGGGGGGGGCCTGCAGTGCTCGGCCAGGCCAGACAGACTTCAATCAACGTCTCAACTGCCTGGCTCCATCCATGCCCTTGCCTGCCCCCCTGTTTTTCTGTTTTTTATTTTTTCGAAAGCGGATCATTGACCCAGCACGCGGCCAGATGGGCGCTGGGCCGTGGCCGATGGGACGCAAAGCTCCTCACGTCCGCTCCGTCTGTTGCCACCGCAAATCATATAAAGATGCCGTCATCTCCACCTGGCCACCACGCCCTTTCCTCCGATCTCTCACAACTTTGGCTTTTGCCAATTATCGAATCACATAATCATCTGCTACATTGATCGAGGCGCGTTGGAAAAGCCCGACGACGTTTTTCACGCTCTTTACTCAACTGTTGAAACGTGGAGTCGGTGGCTGCCTACTCAACGTCTCCAAGAACCACCGCTTGCCCCTCGCCCTCGACAAGGCCACAAACTCTCTAATCATCCAGTTCCTCTCTTGAAGCAGAGGAATACTCCAATTTGACTCGTTCATACCGGTCATGTTTGCAGCAGCAGGACAATTTCTAAACCCCTACTCCAACCATCTACCGAGGTGACGTTCAAAAGAGGGAAAAAAAAAACCCAAAAAGAAAAAAAGCACAACAAAAACGCCAACAAGATCACATCAATAGAAAGCGTCAACCCATCCCGCGCCACACGCCTGAGGTGCGACCACAGATCGAAACCTCGACGACCTGGGAACGATATTTGCACGAGACGAGGTGGGAGGCCTCGGCGACCGATTTGTCTCTTTGCCTTGGAGTGCACTGGTTACGCCGGGTCGCGGTGGCGTTGACGCACGACAACACACGATTCGCATGTCGCGCTGGGCACAGCTATTCGAACTGTCGACATCATGAACTATCCTTCGCCACGAACACCGGGATCAACACCACTCCGCGACTGGGAATACTCTCGGATGACTCCGGCACCTACTCCGTCTCGGCCGATGTGGTTCGACACGTCGACGCCACGGCGGCCGGCCACGCGAGCAGCTCACACGCGATCCTCCAGCTACTCGCAGCACGCTGTCCTCACTCCCCGAACACACATGGAGTCCCCCAGATACAATAGTTATGGGGATTATTGTACAGTAGATGTGAGTGCTACAGATTTTTCGTCGTCGCGCCGCCACACGGCACCATACCAAGCTCCCCCCAGGCGCCATCGTCACTCGTATACCTATGTGCGGGCTTCCACTCCCTATGGAGAATCCGACGAGGACGAGATCATCGAGATTTTGGGAGAAGGCACTTACGTGCTCCCGGGCGAGCCGCGGGCCTGGAGTCGCCGCGCTCCGAACTTGTCGAAGCACCACGGGGGATGGTACACTAATGAGGGGGTCCGTCCGCAGAGCTCTTATCATGTCGATCCTGCATATGCGCGTGCTTCACCTTACACATCCCCGCAGCCCCAACCACCCCAAGCCCGTCCACCAACCAGCCATGGCCATTCTCGCCGCTCGTCGGCTTCGGTGCCCCAGCGGTCGTCTACGGTCCGTCCGGCGGCAAGCGGCCAGCGATCAAAGCCGCCGCCGTCCACGCCCAAGGCGACCGAGGCCGACGCTCGCCGACACCGCATTCCCCAAGGCTACTCACTGAAGAACTGGGACCCGGAAGAGCAGCCCATTCTTCTCTTGGGAAGCGTCTTTGATGCAAACAGTCTAGGCAAATGGATCTACGACTGGACTGTCTATCACGAGGGCCCAGACAAGCCCATCGCCGACATGGCGGGTGACTTGTGGCTGCTCCTCATCAAGTTGTACGGCAAGATTAAGCGCGCTGAAGAAATTGTCGGCCAAGTCCGCAGCGTCGAGAGTAGAGAAATCTTGAACGACTTCATCGACGCAGGTGAGCGTCTCACAGACAAGTTGCGAGCCCTCCTCAAGGCCTGCGAGTCACCGATGCTCAAGGCCGCAAAAAAGAAGGGCTCCGGGCTTGGGAAGAACTCGGGTGTCGAGTTCGTGGTCACCTTGTTTGGCCGAGATCGAGAGTTGGCCAAGACTGAAAAGTTGATGCAGGGCATTAGACTATTCAATCTCCGATTCGACGCCAATTGCCAGGACATTATCGACACTCCTACCCTCTAGACGGCCCCCTCCCATGTCGAATGGAACAGGATTCATCCCTCCCAACTGGGATGCCAAATAACGCGGAATGGACATGGAGCCCGGATGGATTCTTTCTTTCTGTGGTTCTCCATTTCCCACTTTTTCTCCTTGACCCTTATTTTCTTTTTAGTTGTCCTTGCCCGGCATAGTTTGGATCCGGAGTTTCATCGATACCACCTTTCCTGGACCGGGCATGCCGGGAGACTGGAAACTAGAACTGTACATTTTATACCTTGCCTCTTCAGCCTAGTGGAAATACAGGATACGGCCCACGCCTGCATGGATAGGACCGATCTTTTTTTTTTCTGTTCTTTTTTTTTTCCTTTGTCCATTCCTCTTCACATCCTGGACGCGACCAACCTCGACCTGGATTATGTGTTTATAAAAGTTACCAAGACCACTAACGGGCGACCTGTACCATCAGCAATGCAAACGCGGAGGAGACTTGGAGCAAGGGGCATTTTTTCAACATGTAGAGATACCCAAAGTTTTCATTTCAAGCGTCGCAGAATAGGCGAAGAAGCAGCGCACAGATGTGCAGAGAGGGTAGTGTGTCATGCCCTTCTAGATTAGTTTATGGATAGCAGCGTAGCGCAGGAGAGTGCACTTTTTAGACTAGACAAAAGCTTGTTTACTGAGACTGTGGAGCTGGTCAGGCGAGATGTTAGACGTGAATGCACAGTGCCGCTGTTACGGAGGAGTCCGAGAATGTATCACGCATGCACGTATGTATGTACGTATGTCTGTGGTCACTCAGCCAATGATGGAAGTGTGACAAGATAGACGCCAGCCACGTCCGTGTCCGCGTCCAATTGATGGTTGTTTGCATCCACGCAGGGCCATTTGATGCAAAGGGACCAGACCACTCTGCCATGTACTCCGTACCCCGTACAGTAGTGTGAGCTTAGGTACTCCGTACTTGACGTAGACTTTCCGCCGGCCCGGCCCTTGCAGGCCCGCCCGTAACGCTAATCACTCTGCGTCCAAATATGCGAGTAGTACTAGTACTCAAGTACTTGGGTACTTAAGTGTCGAGTGTGCTCGAGCGGGGTTTGACACAATACAGTACGTGCCACGACGTGCGGCGTGCATGTTGAGATGAGGCTTTTTTTTCTTCTAGCAGGAAGTCTGGGCCATTCCATCCATCTACGGATACGTGCTAGTGCGACGGGAGTTGGCACAGGAAGCCGATGGCTGGCTCTACCCCGTAGTTACTCGGTACTCCGTACACTGTCCGGCTTTTCTTTTGTGCATCCCACACAGGGCTTGATTCCTGATTGCATGGCCGACGCGACTTGTCCCAGTTTGATGCTGGGTCCTGGTCGGCCTGTGCCTGCCTGTGCGTGAGAGTGGCGTCGGTGTACTCTGCACGCCTTGACTGCTGCGTCGGGGGCCATGCGGCACTGTCGCAACGCCTTCCGAGTTGCTGATGAAGACTCGAGAGTTTGAGGGCTCCCAGCCACCCTGATGAGAGTGGCGTCTCGCAGCTCGCGGTTCGCGGCGCAGGCGGCGTGGCTGCGGTGGCGGGATGCGTGTATGCGTGTCTCGGGTGGCTTGACTGGGGCTCTCGCCGGCTTTCAGCTGAGGCCGCGATGCGGAGGCATTTGAGCGTCAACTTGTCGACTGGTGCTCCGTAGTGGTGATGGATGAGACGGGATCCCAGCTGGTGTGATGGCTTTTATTGTTGCCAAGTCCACCCCGCGCCGATTCCTCACACACGCTCGTCTCGACCGTCTCGTCACCTGTCGTTGGGTGGCCGCCCCCTCCTTGCTCTCTCTCTCAACTTCTCACCCTCGCAACCTCTCTCCGCTCTGGCTTCGACCGCACTCGTTTCGCGCCAGCCGCAGCAGGTCGAGGCCGGCGCACGAACCGTCACCACCAGCTTGGTGGCATTGGGGGGTTCGTCCAACCACTTCACTCTTTGTCGTCAGTGGTGATCGCTGATGACGATGCACACTCCTCCCCCTGCCTGGTCTTTGCCCCCTCCGCTCGCCTTTGCCATCGTCCGGACCGAGCCTTGCCTTGGTCGTTGGCCCAGTCTCTTCCGGCCTATCCACGGAGAAGTGGTCAGTTGCAACTACACCTCGGATTACGGAGCACTCCTCCTCCGTATTACCACCAGCAAATGCAGAGGCCAGGAACCCAAGGTCCCCCTCCCCCTCGTCATCGACCGACGACAAGTAAAAAGAGGCGAGGGGACGAGCACCTCCGACAAGCCCTGTGTCGCGATATTACCGACTGGTGCCAGTATCCATGTACTGCTCCGTACCGAAACAAGGAACAACGTCATTGCGTGTGACATTTCCACGATCCGTCTTCCGGATCTAGATCGCCATGCCTGGTCCTTGTCGAAATGGCCGTGGAGTCCATACACCCGAGACCTAAGCGAAAGCCACATCTGCTGATCTCGTGTGACGCTTTTTTTTTTCTCGTCGTTTCTCTTTCGGGTATCAAAACCGTCTGCGGACGCAGCGGCTTCTTTCCACCAACCACCAAGCAGTTTTTATCTCATCCCCAGCTGCCATAAAAACGCCTTTTCGCATGGGCCGCCGCAGAGAGGATTTGTCGTCGAGGATTTGTCTTCCTAGGACGAACTGAGAGCGGGCAGTTTGCGAAAAGAGGCGCTTGATGCGCAACCGACTGCTTGCGCGACATGCATCGATATCAACGTCAACTCGCGTCCGTGGTGGAGCGGGAACAACAGGAGCAGCATCCCCACGAGCCAACCAACATGGGCCGAATGCAGGCCCTCTCCCCCCTCCGCAGACGAAAACGGTTTCCAGTACAAGTCCCATGTTGTGCAGCACGGGGTTACAGCGAGTCTCTGGTAAGATTTTCTTCAGCTCTCCATCAATCAGCATGTGTTGGGCGTAAGCCACAGCGTGTGGCCTGCGTAGTTCCTCGTGCGACGCGAAGAACGGCCGACGGCAGACATGGCTTGCCAGTCATTAGGCGCTTCGACCTAGACCTTCCGGGTCCGGCTTCTCCTGAGGCGCTTTTGTGGCCCGTGGTCTGGGTTCACGGATGGCAACTTGGCCCCTGGTGAAGCGGGGGACCCATGTGCTCGGGTGGTGGTCCACGACTCGGTACGGAGTACGTGAGAGAGTTGTTTTGTGGCGGCTGTGTGACCTGTCCGCATGGCTCAGCGGGACGTGGCCTCGTGACGCGGACTCGCAGACGGTGCTCGGGAAACGGTTATACATTTTCAAAGGCAGGCGTTTGAGCCCTTGTTTCACAGATGAGATGAAACCGTTCAAGACACTGCCTAGCCGCTTCTACAACTCTTCGTGTCTGTCTCCCAAGAGGCAACACGGTAGCGCCTTGTTGTCGTCTGGCTGCAAGGACCACATCTTCCAACGGCAGCACACCGAAAAAGGTAATTGAACGCATCCATGAAGCCAAGTTGTATGCAATTTGCAATTCTCTGTAACTACAATACACCTCGGGGCTGTCCCATCATCCAGTCGATGCAAGCATGACTGTAAGTAGCGGATATGCTGGCGTTGCGAATGAGAGGTCGGGTAGATTCAGGACGTCATTTTGTAACCATACCGGCAAGGAGCCTTGGCTTCCAGAGACCTGCGTGAATGTCTCGCGGTGTGGGAAAGTGAGCAGCGAGCATTCAACTACAGGTCTCTGCCCACAAGCGAGAGAAACCTGCTGCGGGTGACCTCGGTCAAGTGCTTCCAATACGAGGATCCTCCACGGAGCAATTGATGCAAGAGATGATTATCTGCTTGAACTCGTCTCGGTGAAGAAGTGCTGCTTCGTGGCGTGAATGGCGTGAACTGTGTCATGGTCCATGGATGATGGCGTTTACCTTTGTCGGCCGCGAAGGAGGCAGTGACGTCGGTTGTAACTAACTTATTTTGTAATTCTACCATGATTGCTGCTGGTCTGGTTGGTGGCTGATAAATTACCAAGAACGGCGACGAGTCGTCTGGGGTAGGCCATCACCGCTGGCTGGCCCACGCCGTGATTCACGCACGAAGTCGTCGGTGCGACAAAGACGTGCGCATCGTCCGATTCCATTGTGTTTTTTTTTCTTCCCACAACCCTCAATGCAGGCTCAAAGAAAACAAAAGGTCTTCTTCATCGGCGTGGACAAACTCACCATGGCCCGCAGCCACGCGTTCATGGCTTCTGCCACTTGCCACTTTCCTGCGCTCGGGGGAAAAAAAAGGAGAGCTTGCCCCAAAAAAGACATGACTAAGCCCAAAGCGGCGGCAGGTCATCGTCATGGCCTTTTTCCACCGTCAGACTGCAAAAAGTCCGATTGATCCCCCGAGTTCAAAAGCCGTTCCCCAAAAACCTGAATCACGAACCTGTGTTTCTTCCCTTCTCCCCTCTCCACCGACCGACCGTTTCCCACGTGTTCAGTGCGCGGCTCGACGATACATGTCTCTCTTTAATACCGCCCCGGACCTAATCATGTACCTGTGACACCTCCTTCCATCCCTTCGTGTCCCAGCTGGCTGAGATATTCCGCACACCAAGAGTCCAAGATTTTTACGAAGAGAGATAAAAACACGGTCGTCGTCGACCACCAGCCTCGCAACACCATGCATTACATTCGACTGCTGCGTGCTCCACGTATGAGCGTCCATGCCGACGGCATGCAAGCCGAACTGGTATTCACAATCACGACTGATCTGGGGGAGTCCTTTCTATGCCCGGAAAAGGCCATCGACCTGGCGGTTACGGCTCACGTCACCTCGCTGTGGGGAAATTCATCATGCCTTCTTACCAGGAAGGGAGCCCTACAGTGGAAGGCTGGCAGGCGAGTGTGCAAGCCTGTTTTCGAGTTTCCGGAAACGATTCAGCAGGCCTTCATGTCCGGCGACACGGTTGAGCTCTGTATCAGCCCCCACGCGGAACTGTCGGGGGACGAGGTCCAGCACATCCTCAACTCGTCCATCAAGAAGGCCGCCAGGGACGCCAGGGGCCTCATCGTGCCTGTTTGGGTCGGCATGAGCGGCCCCGAGGTGGAACAGGACATGTCGACTCGCCGCCTCCGCCTGACTGCCCCCGCCGAGCCAGCGCAGTTTCTCGAGATCCAGGAGCAGATTGGTGAGAGCATCGCCCGCCACATCTGGGATGCGGGCGTCATCTCGCTCTGCGCCATTGTCGGCGCCTACAGGTTCCCCAAACTCGAGACCAGCCAGCACCCCTGCATGAAGAAGCTGCTCGGCATCCTCAACGACAAGGACGGCGTCAACGTCCTCGAGCTGGGCTGTGGAGTGGGCATCCTCGGCATCGGCCTCTGCGCCGTCTATCCCAGGGGCACCGCCGAATGCACAATCTTGATGACGGACCTGAAAGAAGCAGAAGGCAGGGTGCGCTCTAACATGGGGCTCCTGCAGCAGCTTCGCTCTGGTTCGGATCTCGGCTACGCGCAAGTCATGTATGAGAATCTCGACTGGAACGCGGCCCAGGACGGAGGCTTCCGCGGGCAGATTCAGTACCGGCGCTGGGACCTCGTCATGCTGAGCGACTGCACGTACAACGTTGACATGCTCCCAGCCCTCGTCGGCACCCTGTCAGCCATTCACCGCGCGAATCTGGAATTCACCCCCGACGACGACGAGTTTTCGACAAAGGTGTTTGTTGCCACAAAGCCGCGCCACCCGTCGGAGCGGGCCTTCTTCGACCTCATGGCCGCGGAGGGTTGGGCCATGGAGGAGAAGCAAGTCCTGTCGCTCCCCGTCCTGAGTGGTGAATGCGAATCGGTAGAAATGTACCTTTTCGAAAAGGCATAGGCCTCGCCGGTCGACGCAGCGCGATCCCTTGTGGAAGCGGAAGCCCCGTGCGACCAGGGGTCGTATACGTCTAGGGAGCGCAGCTCCTGGCCAACAAGGATAACGTCGTCGATGCTAGATCCCTCTTTGGTCTCTAGGGCCCCGGTGGCTCTCCATCGTCCACGTGTCGGATGTTATACAACTGGGAAGGTCAGTTTCGGCACTTGGTCACACCTGCAGAGCAGGGAATGCCACTATTTTTCCCACGAGGCACGAGGAGCGCACATGACATTGGGTGCAGCGGCTCTGAGTTGTAGGAACAACAGCCGAGGACTCTGGAGTACTATGCGGAGTGCTGGTGCAGTCTCGGAACAACGCTGGCTGTGGTTCATACAGTCGAGATTCCCGGCATCCGAATTCGCAGCTGCGCTACTACCGAACCAGCAAACCTGGTCCGAGTGGCATCATGTCCACCCAAAGGAATCCTAGTTGTACGGTGTACTGGCTTCAGTGGGCAAGGCGCATGGGCGTCGTCGGATCGTTTCTGTAGACTGACAGGATTAGCGGAATAGCACTATAGTACATGACGATGGGCATTGTCCTTTTTGGTTGGTCCCTGCTGACCTGGTTCGTGTCTTGCGTGCAGTCCGAAGCAAAACGCATGTAGCTGGACAAGTACGAGGCGCTCGGGGGTACAGCATGACATCTGGACCGTAGAAGACTGCAGAGACTGCAGCACATTCGTATATCCCCAAGGAGGCAAAGCCAGGGCACACCTTGATCTATTTCCCGTGTTTTACCAGCAGCCAACATGATGTAATCGGTTGCTCGGCATCCATCTGGCCTACCTGGCATCTCTCGTCTCTCTGTCTGCGCCTCTGTTCATTCCTGCCATCTGCCCGGGCCCAGGGGTCGTGATTGATAACTGCCTCTCAGCTCGGGCTGGTTTAGTTTCCCATGCTGCGGAGCTCACGCACGTGGCGTTTCAACGTCGATATACTACTACGTACTACTCTGTGCGGTGGACGCAACGTCCTACGTACTACTGCTGCTACTGCCACTACGGCAAAGCCACCCCATGCCCGGTCCAACTTGCTCACATCTGATCTGTAATATATAAAAACAGGACCGTCAATCATGCCCAGTGACATTTTGCAATGACTAGCCGGCCCATCTCGGCGGCAGTCTCTGTGCTGCAGTCACGACTCATGATACGTGCTGTCGCTTGCCATGTCCTCGGCAAAGAAACGAAACTGGCAGCTAGCAAGGGCCGTGGGAAATGTCACGGATACGGAGTTCTGTCAAGCAAGGATGTAAGATAGCTAGTGGGTCCGTGTTGTGGCGCGTGTGGCTCGTGCCAGTACTGCGCAGTACTTGCTTGCCGGCCTGCACCAGCCCGGCTCAATAGCCAGGCGAGAGCGAAACACGACCGGCTTACCAAGTCTGGTACAAGGCGGCGGCTCACGGGCCAGTGGCACGTAAGGTCTCAAGCGTTGACAGTTGGACGGCGCTGTCGCTGCCTTCACCGCGTGTATAACCGATCATGGTAGGCACTTGGCTAGTGGGGCTTTGCCGCACAACTCTGGCCCAGCAGCACAGCCACAGTCGCGTGACTCGTGATTGCTTTTTGCATGACCAAGAAAAAATTCACCGGGAGCTGATACCCGACACGTACTCCGGAGTCCGTACCCGCAGACAAAGATCAAAGACGCAAGTCTGACAGCGAGCGAGCGACCTGTTGGAGTCGTCTGGCTGGCCAGGTCTGCATCCTTGCTCGAAGTTGCTTCTGTCCTTCTCCGAATGACTCACCAGGACCAGGACCAGGACCAGCGCCAGCGGAACAGACACCGCACATGCCACCCATCCGTCCAATTGTACGTCGGTGGACATGGCGGGCCCCGTTTTATTACCGTGGTTGGGATTTGAAGAGGCTCAGCGGAGGTGGTGTCTGACTCTGGCTCTGGATGCGGAGCAACTTGGTCAAAGTCCCGCCGTCTGGACGTCTCGTCTGCTCGATTGGGCAACAGACAATGTCGTCGTGGTGAATCGCACGGCAGCTCCAGCACACCACGGCCGATCAATGGTGTAGATCCCAGATGCCGCACACGGTCCACAGACCGAGATGGTGCCTCGGTCGCAACCGACTTCGTACTGAACTGAACCGAACCGAGTAACGTATAAACTGACTGGTGAGTCGCGGCCGCGTGCGTGGCTCATTCTTCGTAAGCGTCGAGCCTTTCCGCCTGTGGTTGGTTGTGAGCATCGCCAAGCGTCCGTCCGTCCATATCATCATGAATCCACCACAAATCCACGTCTGTGCTGCTCGCTGACCGCCGGACCATATTTCCGCCAAGGCCTAACCGAACCTAGTAGCTCCGGCTCGGTTTTGTGGAATGGCAAAAGGGGTTCCGACCCCGTCATCCTTGCCTCTGAAGTGTTGTGCTTCCGTATTTTTTGCTCACCGAATCTCCGCCGCCCTTCGCCCCTGTCTATGCACGCGGGAAAGGCTTCGACCGGTATAGTATATCATGTAGTGATCCAATGGGCATCCTGGCCGGTTGGGATTGAAAGTAGGACTCGCATCAACAAGCCTCATCTCCAGTTCTCGGCGTGGACGTTGCCGCAACGCCGACCTGGCCACCTGCGCCTCCATCCATCACATCACATCACAGCCTCTCTGCTTCCACCCAACTCTGTACACCACAACAACAGTCTGCCGGATGGGACGGCGGCCATGCATGAGGGGCCCTGAATCATTCGACTGCCGCCTTTCTCCTCCGCCAGCGATATTGATGGGACGACGGTGGGCAGAGCAGGATACATGGCGCCCCATCATCTGGCTGGGCAAACAGAGGCCCAAGACGACGAGACACATGGACGTGCGCCCGCATCTCGATGTCAGTCTCCGGATTCTGACTTGACCGCAGGCCACGGCCGGACCGCTGGAGCAGACACCGGTCGTGTGCTGTCTGGTGTGTCTGTAGAACAGGCCGAGGCTGACTTTGCCGACTTGCAGAGGGAGTTCACCGGTGCCTCTCGAGCGAGCCGCCGGGGCAGAGCCGTCAAGGACGGTGACCCCGAAAAGGCCGGCCCAGCAGACCTCGGCGCCGCAGATGACGACGAGTCCCTGTTTGACCTCGAAACCGCCCTGCGCGGTGATCTTGCGGCCGGCGAGGCCGCCGGAATCAAGGCGAAGCATATCGGAGCCTGCTGGGACGGACTGACGGTCAAGGGCATCGGGGGCACGGCCAACTATGTCCAGACGTTCCCCAACGCCTTCATCAACTTCTTCGACGTCATCACGCCGCTCATGGGCCTGCTGGGCCTGGGCAGGAAACCCCCCGAGGCCACTCTTCTCGACGGTTTCCAGGGCGTTTGCAACCCCGGAGAAATGGTCCTCGTCTTGGGCAAACCAGGATCCGGCTGCACCACCTTCCTCAAGGCCATTGCGAACCAGAGGCACGGATATACCTGTGTACAGGGCCACGTCTTTTACGGCCCCTGGACGGCCAAGGAATTCAGCCGCTATCGAGCCGAGGCCGTCTACAACGCCGAAGACGACATTCACCACCCAACTCTTACAGTCCAACAGACGTTGGCGTTTGCCCTCGACACCAAGATGCCCGCCAAACGGCCCGGGAACATGACCAAGGCCGAGTTCAAGGAGCATGTGATTTCCACACTGCTCAAGATGTTCAATATCCAACACACCCGAAACACCGTGGTGGGCGATCATTTTGTCAGGGGCATCTCTGGCGGAGAGCGGAAGCGAGTCTCCATCGCAGAGATGATGATAACCAATGCCTGCATCTTGTCCTGGGATAACAGTACTCGCGGTCTCGATGCCAGCACCGCCTTGGACTTTACAAGATCCCTTCGCATCCTGACCAACTTGTACAAGACAACGACCTTTGTGTCCCTCTACCAGGCGTCCGAGAACATCTTCAGGCTCTTTGACAAGGTCCTGGTCATCGATGAGGGCAAGCAGGTGTACTTTGGTCCCGCGGATGAAGCCCGAAGCTACTTCGAAGGGCTCGGCTTTGCCTCGAGGCCTCGACAGACCACGCCGGATTACTTGACGGGCTGCACCGACGAATTCGAGAGAGTATACGCAGCCGGACGCTCCGAAAACGACTCCCCTCACAGCGCGGATACTCTGCGTCGAGCATTCCAAAAGTCCCACCATCAGAAGAAGCTTGAGTCCCAGATTGCGGAATACAAGGCCAACCTGGAGAAGGAGCAGCACAAGCACAGCGATTTCCAGCTCGCAGTCAAGGATAGCAAACGAGGAGCTTCCAAGCGGTCGGCCTACCAGGTCGGCTTCCATCTGCAGGTCTGGGCCCTGATGAAGCGGCAGTTTATACTCAAGCTGCAGGATCGGTTCAACCTTACACTCTCATGGGTCCGAAGCATCATCATTGCCATTGTCCTGGGGACACTCTATCTCAACTTGGAAAGGACATCTGCCAGCGCATTCAGCAAGGGCGGCCTTCTCTTCGTGGCCCTCCTCTTCAATGCGTTTCAGGCCTTTTCCGAGCTGGCAGGAACAATGTTCGGCAGGGCCATCGTGAACAAACACAAGGCGTTTGCGTTCCATCGGCCGTCTGCACTGTGGATTGGACAGATCATTGTTGACCAGGCATTTTCCGCGACGGAGATCATGGTCTTTTCCATCATTGTGTACTTCCTCAGCGGGTTGGTGAGGGATGCTGGCGCCTTCTTCACCTTCTACCTGATGATCTTGTCGGGAAACATTGCCATGACCTTGGTCTTCCGAATCATCGGCTGCCTAAGTCCCGACTTTGACTACGCCATCAAGTTTGCTGTTGTTGTCATTACGCTCTTCGTCACCACCTCCGGGTATCTCATTCAGTATCAGTCTGAAAAAGCCTGGCTGCGATGGCTTTACTGGGTGAACCCGCTTGGCCTAGTATTCAGTTCACTTATGCAGAATGAGTTCCAAAGCATCGACATGACTTGCACCGCCGATTCCTTGATTCCTTCTGGGCCGGGATACACCAATATCAGCCATCAGGTATGCACATTGCCCGGCTCCAAACCGGGGACGACATTTGTTGCAGGGCCGGACTACATTGCACAAGGCTTTTCGTACTATGCCGGCGACCTATGGCGAAACTGGGCCATCGTTTTCAGCATCATAGTCCTCTTCTTGATTCTCAACGTTGTTCTCGGCGAGCTTGTCAAATTTGGAATGGGAGGCAGCTCATTCAAAGTCTACCAACGCCCTAACAAGGAGCGCGCAGCCTTGAATGAGAAACTGCTACAGAAGCGAGAGGCCAGACGCAAGGACAGGTCGAACGAGGTCGGGTCCGATCTGAGCATCAAGTCGGAGAGTATTCTGACGTGGGAGAATCTCAATTATGACGTCCCTGTGCCGGGAGGCACACGGCGCCTCCTAGACAACGTATTCGGTTATGTTCGACCGGGTGAGCTGACGGCTCTCATGGGTGCTTCGGGAGCTGGCAAAACGACACTTCTCGACGTTCTCGCATCCCGTAAGAACATTGGTGTCATTACCGGCGATGTTTTCGTCGATGGCTTTAAGCCTGACAAGCAGTTCCAGCGATCGACCTCGTATGCCGAACAACTCGACCTCCACGAGCCGACGCAGACTGTTCGTGAGGCGTTGCGATTCTCCGCTGACCTCCGCCAGCCGTATGAAACCCCCCTTGCGGAGCGCCACCTCTACGTCGAGGAGATTATTGCCTTGTTGGAAATGGAACACATCGCAGACTGCATCATTGGCAACGAGGAGGCCGGTCTAACTGTTGAGCAGCGCAAACGAGTTACCATTGGCGTTGAGCTTGCTGCCAAGCCGGAACTTCTCCTCTTTCTCGACGAGCCCACGTCCGGGCTTGACAGCCAGAGCGCATTCAACATTGTCCGATTCCTCAAGAAACTCGCCGCGGCGGGACAGGCTATTCTCTGCACGATCCATCAACCCAATGCCACCCTGTTTGAAAACTTTGATCGGCTCCTACTTCTTCAGCGTGGCGGCCGGACGATCTACTTTGGGGAAATTGGCGAAGACGCCTCCATCTTGCGCGCGTATCTCAAGCGTAATGGTGCCGAGGCCGCTCCCACGGACAACGTCGCCGAGTTCATGCTCGAGGCCACGGGTGCCGGCAGCTCTCCTCGAATCGGTGAGCGTGACTGGGCTGATGTCTGGGACGAGAGTCCCGAGCTGGCGTGTGTCAAGAAGGCTATTGTTGAAATGAGAGAAGAACGAGCGGCCATAGCCCAGATTGCGAATCCTGTCCCGGAGAAAGAATACGCTTCGCCGACCCATCACCAAATTAAGGTTGTGGTACGCCGCATGTACCGTGTCTTCTGGCGCTCGCCGAATTATCTCTTTACCCGCCTCTTCAATCACTTTGCCGTGGCCTTTGTTTCCGGCCTCACATATCTCAACCTCGACACGTCCAGATCGTCGCTCCAATACACCGTGTTCATCATCTTCCAGGTCACAGTTCTGCCACCGCTCATCATCAGCCAAGTAGAAGTAATGTTCTACATCAAGCGAGCCATCTTTTTCCGCGAAGCCTCCTCCAAGATGTACTCGCCCACGACCTTTGTCACCGCCATCATCGCCGCCGAGATGCCGTACTCGATCCTTTGCGCAGTCGTCTTCTTCGTCTGCCTGTACTTTATGCCGGGCCTCGACGCCACGCCCTCGCGGGCCGGCTACCAATTCCTCATGGTTCTCATCACGGAAGTCTTCGCCGTCACTCTGGGCCAGGGCCTCGCAGCTCTGACCCCGTCACCCCGAATTTCGGCCCAGTTCAACCCCTTCCTCACCATCATATTCGCTCTCTTCTGTGGCGTCACCGTCCCGGCGCCCCAAATACCAGCCTTCTGGCGTGCTTGGCTCTACCATCTCGACCCGTTTACCCGGCTCATCAGCGGCATGGTAACGACGGCCCTGCACGAGCTTCCCGTCGACTGTACCTCGTCAGAGGTGAACCGCTTCATTGCGCCCAGCAACATGACATGTGGAGAGTACATGGCGCCGTTCTTTGAGCGCGGTGCACCGGGATATCTCGTCCGCAACGACACGCAAGATTGCGAGTACTGCGCGCACAAGGTCGGCGATGAGTTTTACGAGCGACTCAACATGTCGTTTGATGATCGGTGGAGAGATTTGGGTATTTATGTCGCCTTTATCGTCAGCAATTTAATCATTCTCTTCATCGCGGTATGTTATATTTTGTACGATGTGGACATTGATTTCCTGTTTTTCGTGCTGACGTGGCAGCTAGAGTCGATTTCTGAACTTCAACAAAAGGTAGTTGGTCGCATTTGGGTCGCGCATCACGTAGACCACGAGTCCACGACGGCAATGCATGTAGCAGAGTATATGAGCAATACATATGTCACAAGGTCCGTAAGGCGGGGGGGGGGGGTGAATAATAGAGAAGTAAACAATGTCTCCAAAGTAAAGTGTGACCGACTCGACTCTTTCCTTGATGGTGCACTGGTGCACTGGTGGGTGAGCCGTAGCTGACTAGTAGCGAATCTCGTTGGGGAGAGCGCACAAGTGGGGCGTTGGGTTTGAGAAGGCGCGACGGGCTGAATCCTGACGACTCTGATCATCGTCGAGTGACCTCGAGTCTCACCACCCATGCCATGCTTCAATGAGAGACATTAACGAATCGCATGATGTACGACGCTTCTGCCAGGCTTCATCGGGCTGTGTCGGCTCCTTTGCATTAGTGTGAATATGACATACCTAGCAACTCATAATCTAGTACGACTTCCAAGAGCGTTTTCCCAGAGAGACGAGCCAGCATACGCCATCAACGGCGTCATCCGATCTTCACCAAGACAATATGTGCATAGTACTCTTTACTACGGCACATCCCGACTACCCTCTTATTCTCATTGACAATCGGGATGAATTCATCCTGCGGCCGACATCGCGCCCTCACTGGTGGACACACCCTACGTCTGGCGAGCTCGTCTTGTCATCAAGAGACCTCCAGCGCGCAGAAAAAGGCACGTGGCTCGGCATCACTAAATCCGGGGTGTTTGCCGTCCTGACCAACTACCGCGAAGCGAACGCCTATGATGCCAGTCGCCCTGTTCACGGGAGGAGAAGCCGCGGCGCCGTGGTAACGGCCTGGCTGGCCGGGCTAGGGAACAGCATCAAAGACGGTGTTCAGCGGCTCGTGGAAGACGACGGCGTCAAGGGAGTGGGCGGCTTCTCCTTGGTATGCGGCAAATTGAGGAAGAGAGGAGAGGGAATAGCCGTCATAAGTAACAGGGCTGAAGATGCTGACCAAGTCCCTATCGTGGCCGGCCAGCGGGGGGAGACGTGGGGATTGAGCAACACCACGTTTGACGCCGAGGTCGCGTGGCCAAAGGTCGAGATGGGAACCAGGATGCTTCGCGCAACGGTGCAAAGAGCGGCCGAGGACAAGGCGAGCGAAGCGGATCTGATAAAGGACCTGTTCAAAGTGCTGGATACGGATACGTTTCCTGCAATCCGGGCGGGGACGAGCTTTCAAGAAATCACCGGCCTTTTACGACATAGCATTTTTGTTCCCGAACTCGGTGATGAAAGCCAACGGGAGTCAATGGATGCAGCCCGCGCAAAGGGCAAAGCAACATGGGCCAGGGACGAGGGCAAACTCAAGGCGGTGGAGGAGATCTTGCTGGAGCAGCAGCCGGAACTGAGCGCGCCGGCGGCAAATGGCTTTGAAACAGGCACGTATGGCACGCAGCGACAGACGGTGGTGCTGGTCGACTGGGATGGGAATGTGAAGATGGTGGAAAGGGCATTGTGGGATCGCAACGGACATGGGATTGGGCGAGGAGATGGGGATGTTGTGATTGAGTTTGCCATTGAGGGTTGGGATGAGTGACGGGCGATGAGCCGTGACTGCGTCGTCGACGGCGGCGGCGACTGCGACGGACAATAGGATGCTACGTGGCGGGATACCAGACAATAATGAACAGGTTTGAAATTGGCCTGGGCTGGACAAAACGTCGACGACTTTTGCTGCCCGGCATGAAAGGAACCTTGCAAGGGAGCTCGACAACATTGGACGCCGTTGGACATTGAAGAACATTGGCGACAGAGAGAGGGCATTGCCGTGGCAGAGCAGAGCCCAGCCCACTCACATCAAAAAAGACGGGCAGCTGCAAACGGCTGTCAATCACCTGCCTGCCCGTCACCTGGCGGCATTCGCTCTACGCGGCCGTTGGATGGCCTTGCATCCGACGCGTTCAGAAGTTTTGCCTTGTTGTTTTTCTCTCCCCCTTCACTCCGTTCTTTCTTTTTAATTTTCCCAATCGTCTCTGCAAAAAGTCACCATAGCTCCTGGTGCCGGTGCCGGTGCCCGCGTCATTGTTCGCTGCTCCCTCTTTCCCAGCTCACTCACCACCATCCTGTTCGTGGTGTCTGTTTGTTCGTAAACAATCAACCTTGACCGCGTCTGAAACACTTGTCTTCATTGACGGCCCGTTGAATATTATCCAGTTCGTCCAAGTCCAAGCGCCTGCGCGTTCCACAGAGGCGAAGACGATAGTTTTTGCTGGCATTTCTATGTTCGGCTGCGTTTGCCTGCTACTCTCATTGTCTTGACTTTCTTAAAAACAACGCATCTCAACAACAGCTCGATGGGTGTGAAGCCGAAGCAAGTCAAGTTCAAAATCTGCTCCTCTTCTCTCTCTCTCTTATTCAGTCGCCTACCAGTGGCACTTACTTCCAAGGACGACATTAGCCCCCCGGGCAAATTCTGAGTGACGTCAGTGCAGCCATCATGCCCCGGCGAACACATGCAAAACGACCCGTCATATCAGCACCAATTGGTCCCGTCAGGCATTTGGAGGGAATAACTTTCGAAGGAAATGACGCTCTTAGGATGGTGTATCGGTCAAATTTCTCGACGGCCAACACCAACCAAAGCATTACAACAAGCAGTCCGATTGTTTCTTCCGACTCACTTGCCTCTCGAAAGTCGCGTCGGGTCTCCAGAAGCTTCCCAAATACGCAGCCCCCGTCGGCAAGCCCGACTGTTGTGGAGTCTGACATCAGTGCTCTAAGTCGGATTGAAACAAATAGTTCTTCCAAGGCGTCTGTTGGCAAGAGACCGGCCCTGTTATCGCTGTCGACAAGGTCTTCTTCGTCGAGGCATTTACCCAAGTACACCCTGGTTGCGCGGCCAGAGTCGGCTGGAAATGCCGCCGACGTACCGCCTTTGAAAGGGCCAAACCACGATGGGGATCCCTCCATTCCGAGATCGATGAGCAAATGGAACACAAAGACGCTGGCGGTGCTTCAAGAGCTCAAAAAGCCCTTCCTGAGAAGGAGCCTGGCCGCTGTCCGGGGTCTCAGCCCTGATCTTCCGCGCCCGACCCAAGTCGTGTCCAAATGTAGAGGATCTGAACCGAGTGTTTCGGGCTTTCGGTCCTCTGCATCGACCCTGGCAACCTTCGTTGGCATCAGTTCTCGACCAAATTCTCCTCCCAATGTCTCCCCTGGCAAAAAGCCCAGCCCGAGACAGTGCGAGGCCTACTGGACCGGTCGGTTCACGGCGCTGAGTGATCGGTTCTTAAACGAGAGGCTTAACAATGGCGCTTTCAGTTCATCTTCATCACCAACCCACAATACCAGAGACCAGGTGCAGACGCGATTGCCTCTCCCATCTCGCCCATCTCTGGCTTCTCATGACCGCCTGACGTATCTCGCCCCGTCAAACACAACATCCGCTCTACCAACAGCTGTGCACGACCCTAGACCACGTCCCCCTGATGACCAGGAAATCTTGCGGCAAATATGTGAGCAACTTGAGTTGGAGTGCCGCACACCAGCTGAGCGAAACTCGTTCTGCGAGTGGAAAGACACGTATTATGCTCTCAAGTACGTTCAAACAGAACCCCGCGCCGCCGAATGGACGTACGACAAAGGCCAGAAAAACGGGCTTCTTGCTGGTGTGGGCAATCGCTTTAAGAGGGGCGAAGTACGACGAGAGTCAAGTGTTAGGAAATTGGCGAACTCAAGGTCAGGGGCGATTGGCATGACATTTGGTCGCGGAGTGGCGGTATACTGAATGCTCGTTGGCTTATGCTTGTTTTGAACACTGGCCTTTGGGCGTTTTGGGCTGTTATTGAGTCTCTCGCTCACGAAGCATATGAATAACGGGCTGTGTTGGCTTCAGCTTTCTTGTCTGAATAACGGTTGGGCAGTGGATCAGATCAGTATTGGATTTGCGACTTTTGTCACATTCTTTAAAAGGGAAAAGGAAAAGGAAAAAAAAAAGGTCGTCTTTTATGCTTCCCTCCCTCTCTCTCTCTCTCTTTCTTCTTTTCTTTTCTTTTCTTTTCCCGTCCGGCATGATAATCATATCATATTGGCATGGCTGATTCGACTGGCTGACTGGTTTGTCTTGTAAATTTGTGAAGGATGAGAATGGCTTACGATGACTTGCTTTGCGGGCAGAAGCAGACATAGGTGTATATTAAGTACGGGAAAGGGACCAGGCACTGAAAAAACTATGTTACGAACTGATTCTTTTTCTTGCCCCTTCTGAGATTCCCGTGCTCAAAATTTGCTCATGTCGGGCTTCCTGTGTCTAAGCGTGTAAAGTCCCAAGTCCCTGAAACTGTTTTAACCCTCCAAACGCCGCTTCAATGTTTGACAAGTACATGGCTATCCTCCCTGGGAGCTATGAGCGGGCAAAAGCACTCTTCGCCTATTCGATGCGCTTCCTGCTCTTCAAATAGTCCCTGATTTGCTCGTACTTGTTGGCAAAAAACATGCCTGACTTGTCACTTCTCCAGACCAGGACGCCAATCTCCTCTGCAAATCTCGCCGTATCCAGAAATTCCTTGTGGTCTTCAAAGTCGCGGAACAGGAAGCCACCCGTCGTCTTCATGCGTTCGTTTTCCAACTGCCATAGGCGGATCTGGTCGACGACAGTGGGCGGCAGGATCGGTCTGTTGGTGAGCGCGGCCGTGCGGTGCATCTGCTCGTGCGCATGGGCAGCGAGGTACGAGATGATCTGGTCGGCCGTGATGCCGAAATTGATTGCCTGGTGGATGGATGTGCGGGTCACGCGGCCGGCGACCATGTCGGGGAACCGCATGGTGAGCTTGCAGAAGAGGGCGAGGACGGCAATTTGCAGCGTGGACTGGGTGTAGGCGTAGATGCGGTAGTTGGTTTCGACAATGACGCTGCCCTTTTGGTCGCCCGAGGAACCGAGAGGGCCTCCTGGTGGCTGCGAGGACGATTGGCCTTGGGGGCCGGCAGACGCGGCAGCTGTCGCGGCGGCGACGCCCTCGCTTATGGAACGCAGGCTGCTCCCGCCGCTGGTGAGGGTGGTGGCCAGTCGGGTCGGGAAGAACATGGAGCGCTTGTGCTGCGGGATGTAGATGAGGCCGAAGTCGAGGAGGGAGGGGAGCATGTTCCTGCGCTGCTCGGTCAGGGCGTTTGTGTCATATGCGCGGCCGAGCTCCAGGCTTGCAAGGACAAAGAGGAACGACAGCATGTCGACGGTCTCGAGGCCGGCGGCCTTGTTGGTCTCGCTGGCCTCGAGCCAGAGCAGCAGCAGCGTCCAGACCTGGGCGTTTGGCTCTTGCAGCAGGAACGTGAAGCCGGCTTGGGTGATGCCGATGCTGCCGTTGGGCCGCCTGTCTACCAGTCTGCCTGCGACGAGGAGCTCCTTGACGCTCTTGTTGGGGCCGGACACTTCGCCCGTGCTCTTGTATCCGACACTGGAGACGACAAAGTGCAGGATATCCTCCCACTTCTTGCGGGCGTAGCGATCGAGGAAGGGAACGTCGATCTCGGGCGGGACGATGAGCGTTGAGGGCACGCCGAAGGAGTTGTGTTCGCCGCCGCCGGTGAGGGCCAGCCGCAGCGAGTTTTTGAAGTTGGCCGTGAGCTGCATCTCCTGGGGCTTCTCCTTGGACGGCATGGAGATTTGGATGATGTGCAGGCCTTTCAGTGTCGAAATGGCATGGTCTCGCAGTCTATTTTTTGACATTCCGGGTTAGAATGAGATGATGTCACTGCGGCAAGGCACCTGCATATGCAGTTGGCAAAAAAGGCAAATTTTCTTCTTTACCTCTTTGCGTCCGGCTTCACCCAAAGGTCGAGGTCGGTGAGAAGCATAGGCCTGGGCATGTAGAGGATACGCATAACCAGATTTTTCGCTGGCGGCGTCGCCAGAGTCAGCAGCTAGTCTCTCCACAAGAAGGGCATGGCGACGGATACGGCTCCGACAAGACGTACCCAGATGCGGCAGCATGCGGCGGAAGATGGCAAAGGCTGTTGAGGGCTGCTGGTACAGCTTCCTAAAGGTGGTGCCAGGCAGCTTCTCAAGGTAGTCGGCGAGCTGGAGCGAGGGTGCTGGGTTGACGGACATATTGGCGGCGAGACCCGTCGGTCGGGGAAAACCATGTGCTTTGGCTATACCATGATAAGCGGAAGTGATGCCCGCCAGCGGGAAGAGGTCACGGAGTGACGGTGACGGGCGGGCGAGTGCGTCGCAGGTTGGTGAATGTGCTCTCGAACATTTACACTGTCGTTGATGTTGAGCCGGGTGATGGTCGGAAATTTAGTATTTAGTTCTGACGAAAGGTGCAAGGCGGAAGGCGCTGACTGTCCAACTCCACCCACCTCCAGGTGTACTCTGTACGCGGTGTCCGATTCAGGCATGGCCAATGTTTTCCAAGTACATAACTACCTAACTTAAGCACTACCTAGGTGGGTCTCCATCTTTTCTTCTCCGAGCTTCTCCGTACATACAACTGCTCAGGCCGACCGAAAGCGCCGGGCCACAAGGCACCTAGCTTCCTCCGTGTCTGCACCTACCCGCTGCCGTCTTGCCCGCCCACGCGGAGGCTCAGCCAGCACTCAGGAACCGGCAAATAAATAACGTTACCCGCCGCCGGCGCCTTCACCTCTACTCTACTCCCAGCCCACACACCAGCCAGCCACCAAAGCCAACCCGACACAATGGCCAAGAGACTATCCCCTACAGCATTCACAAAAGCCGTACTCAATCCCCGTCGATGCAGCCTCGTCCACGACGCTAATCGACGCAGGTGATGCGGTCATTCATGGCCGAGTCCGGCCTGGAACCGAAGTAAGCCGCCGCCGACCCTACGTCCCAAGAAAGGGCCGAGCCTCTGACACTCCAAAACACGCAGGCTGCTCGGCCCGGGCGTAAGCAATGCCAGCAGACGGACCTCACCGCCAACCATCTAACAAAAGCCCACGCCAGTTCCGCCTCGTGAGCGCGCAAGCCGGCCGCGTCGATTTCGAGCTCGACATCCACAGGGACCACACGGTAGGCACATGCCCCCTCCTGCTCGTCCCGCCCACGACAAAGCCACGTGTTCACGGTCCATCTTGTGTGTAGAACCGCCTCAACACTCTCCACGGCGGCACGCTCGCCAGTCTCGTCGACCTGGGCGGCTCACTCGCCGTCGCCTCCACGGGCCGCTTTGCCACCGGCGTCTCCACAGACTTGAACGGTAGGCTAGGGCCCTGCCCCTGCCGGGGCCATTCGGCAGCTTTACGTGAACGAGGGCGTGGCTGACCCCTTTTGCGCCTGGTAGTGACGTATCTTGCGCCTGGTGGGAAGCCGGGCGATGTCCTCCGCGGCACGGCCGTTTGCGACAAGAGTAAGAGACCGGCGCCGTCGTCGTCGTCGGACGTAGCTTGGGTCGGCTCCTTGCTGTCCGCGATGAAGTAAAACACGCGCAGGCTGACGGGCGTGGTTCTAGTCGGGAAAACGCTCGCATTTACCACCGTGACCTTTACCAATAACAAAGGCCAATTAGCCGCCCGGGGCAGCCATACAAAGTTTGTTGCTTCTGGCCGCGGAAACGAAACAAAAATAAAGAAAAGGCATTCTTTGCTAATCTCCTTCAGATATGTCGCCGGCACCGTGGGCGCAGACGGCCCGTATGTTGCACCGCTCGAATTTTCTGAAGATGTAGACTAGATTGAGCTCAAGGCTAGAGTACAGATATGCGCATACATACATCATGATATCCCCAAGTAGACAGTTCGTTTCGACGTCACATGTTCCCTCTATAATATATGTCATGGTAAACAATTACCTTCCAAACGCCTCAAACCCTGTTGCCCTCTGCACCCATGAGTCCATGAGCTACGGGGAGTATGCATAATGACCAAGAAAAAAGGAAAAAAAAAAGAGACAATTATCCCCCAGTCATCTCAGCTCTTCTCATTGTATGGCAAAGGCTGTGACTGCGGTGTTCTCCCGTCTGCCTGATGATATAACCCCATGGCGTCCGCGTGAGGAGGCGGCGAGCCAGGTAGTGGTATGCCACTGCAGTAGCCTGAATGTGTTGGCAGCGCGAATGATGGACCGGCGTGCGCTTCCTCGGGACCATTAACAGGCGTGAATGGCAGTGCGTGCTGAGGCGGGGGCTGCGGAGGGGCTTGGTGGCGGGCACTGTAGTAGTCGGGGGGTGAGTCATCTTCGCCTTCGGCCTCCAAAGTTTGTCGTATCTGCTGCTGCTGTCCCTGCAACTGCGGTGGCGGGTTGACTGCGAGGCGGGGGATTTCGCGCAGAGCGATCGGCTCGTGTGTCGGCTGCTCGTGCGACGTCACTTGCAGCATCTCATGCACTTGCGGTGCCGGCACGTTGAACTCCATGTCTGCCTCACTTGCCTGACTGGTATTGTGCGAATAGCTCCGAGGGCTTTGCTGAGGTGTGATGTCTAAAAGCCCCGGTGTCACAGGCTGCATCGTAGACCAAAGACCGCGTTTCTTGCAGCCGAGGGCGAAAAGGACACAGAATATGACCAAGGCCGGCCAGGTATCTGCGACGACATCTACCACGGTGAATGCAGAGGGCGGGACGTTGGTGGCGCCGTCGCGCGGCTTGAATATCACACAATAACCCACGTTGTAGGCAGCACGCAATACAAAGAGCGATTCGCATACGATAAGATATGTAGAGGCCTAGAGGTGGCGGAACCGAATGTCAATACGAATGATCAAATGCCGCATCAGACTTGGACGACGCCGCCGTCAACCTACCATTGCGACACGCTTGTCTCCCCGACAGCGCACCTTTGTAAGGATAGACTTGACGAGAATACACAGGGCAACAGCCAGAGCCATACAGTGCACGGCCAGAGATAGATGTTGGGACGTCTTGCCCAACGTCATCTGACTATACGATGAGCCAACGAAGGAGTGATCATATCCGATACGGCTGCTGCCCAAACCAAAAACGGAATATAGATGTTGACCAATGGCGAATGCAACAATGCTCAAAGTAAAGAGAAGACCGGCGAGCCCGTAGACGGAGAAGTGGAACACGTTATCAACGAACTGGACGGTTCCGGGTGATAGGCCGCCATTGCCTCGACTCGATTCAGTGTTGTGCGCAACAATTATGCCCTTGTCGAGCCCACTGATGGCAAGGATTATGCAAATGTCGGAGAGGTTCGCGAGGAGGGTGCCCAAAAGATCAAATTCTACCTGGACAGGCAGGATCTCTTTCGAGCGGATGGGCTCATAGTTTGGCAGATAGAGGTCCGAGAAGAGAACGGCGAATAGATTGACGAGAAAACAGGAGAAGCCAGCCCTAGTTGAAGATGAGCATAAAAAGAACAGGGAAAAGAACAAGAACAAGCATAAAGTCGCCTCCCGCATCCGTGTGCGCCCAAAAGTGGGCAAAAGTCTACGTGTCATGGTTGAATTGTCGGCAGCAGGTTTTGCACGGCAAAGGGATGGAATGTGGTCGAGGGCGAGGCGTAAGGAGCGAGTAAGGAGTAGGGAGTGCTTACAATGAAAACAAAATGAAGCCTGTTTTGAACCAGACCAACCAATTTCGAGAAGGATCTCCTTTCCGGCGGGCAAGGCATAGCGAACAGAAGAAAATGACGAGGGCGGGAAACGAGGTCAGGAAGAGCAAGACGCAGGCTGCGATGACCCAAACCAGTTGGTAGCCGGAATACATGTTGGGCACAGAGCAAACCCAACCGTTGTGGGCGCTCGTCAATGCATTCGGAACGGTTCGAGTGCAACAGCCGACGGAGAAGGATTGTTTTTGACGAGGTGACTTGAAACCGCGAGGAAGTGGATGCAGAAACGCGAGGACATGGATGATGGGAGGGCTGTCGGATCGGCTGTGCTCTGTAGTCAAGACTGCGAATGTACTCCGGCGCGGGGTCCCCCGTCGGCTGTCGGTGCGACACGCGCGAACCGTTTGACGGCGGCCACGGCCCCTGGGCCTGGACCCTGCCGTCGCTGTGCTGTGCATGACAATTGAAGATGAAATGGAAAATGGAAGACCGGCAACGGGGGTGACTGCTCCGCGAATCGGTGCGCTGGCAAAACTGGGTCGCGACACGGTCGGCTGCTCTTGTAGTGCTATGTAACTACCTGGGTTCCTTTGCTCGTCGTATCGATCAGTTGACATTTCCACTGGCTCGGTGCTCCGTACCTACCTCGAGTACTTAGGAACTTAGGTACTTTACCTTAAGTAGGTACTTAGATAGAGTGCTTAAGTAGGTACCTAGGTACGTACCTAGGTATGTACTTAAATAGGTACCTAGGTACTTAGTACTTAGGAAGTAGGCACTCGATGTAGATACCTGGGTAGTCTGCTCGCTCCATTGTACCGAGTACGTGCGGAAAATTCCGCACACTGCAACCAAATGGGGAATGGACGTGGGAATGACGGCCAGGGATGGATGTGCCTCATCGCCTCTCGTCGCCTCGCCTCGCCTGACCTCGCCTTTGTTTGGACATTCTGCAACGGGTTTGGCGGTACGGCGTATGCGCCTAGCAATTCCCAGCTGCTAAGTGAGTACTTTCCCAAGTACTTGGGTACTTCACTAAGTTCCTACTTAAGGTACTCATTTAACCTTCAAGTGCAAAGGTCGGAAGTCAGGCCGGAACCTTGGTCGGGAGGGACGTCGATGGATTTCCGCAGAAACACAATCCTCATTGTTCAAATTACGCCTCTCACCAAACGTTCAACAGTCCACGCGCACGTTTATCTATCTTATTCTTCTCCCCTTTTCTTCCCTTCAGCCTTGGCATTCAATCTAGTCCATTTCCGTCTCGTAGAGTCTCGCCGCCTTGCTTCCAAGGCCGAAAATTAATCAAAATCAAAGGGACTCCATACCTACAGCTATTACAATGAATATCAACATCAACAGCAACAGCAGCATTGATCGATCATGAAACCGCGCGAAGAACAAGCTCACATCATAACTCTTGGCCAGCTGGACTGCAGCGCTGTCATGGTCCCAATTGACAAGCCTTTCGTCCATGCTCTGCTCTATCGTCAACTTCCTGCCAAGTCTTGTTTGGTAATCTTGAGCCTTATGTTGCCCAGAATAGGCATGAATTAAGGACCGCCAAAAAAATAATGTTCAAGGCCCAGCTATATCTGTTTGCATAATTGATCAACCACGCCTTACTCTTGCGGCTCCTTGGCATTCACTGTGAAAGGGCTCCCGGGGACGATGGGGTTTGGCCTTTCATCTCCCTCTCTTCTTCTTCCACCAAGGCGCCCGTAAACATTTCCAGGCAGGCTTCTCATGCGTCCACCCACATACTATATCCTTCAGGCCAGTACTCTGCCCTCCTTAGGAGCAGCCACCACTGCGGGTCGGCAGACAACTGCGCCGGGGCAGGATAGGCGAACTCCCAGTCTATGACACTCACCACGCAGGTATTTTGATCGATCAAGACGTTGGACAGACATAGATCCTCGGAGTATAGCCAAATGTGGACTCGCAGTGGTCCTTCTCTCCGGACACCAATCCGCGCAAGCTGGCCGCTGGATGCCAGGCGTTGAAATAGCTGGCGAGCTACGCACTTGCAGCGTGCGTCTTCTTCCTCGTTCCTCGTCCAGAATCGCGTCATTGCGCTGGAACCTTGGCCGCGCCAGATGCATACCACTCCGTGGAGGGAGAGTACCGCTGCGACGGGTGTACTTCAAGATGATGGTTGCGTCCTTGCGTGCATGCCTAGGAGGGCACAAATATTTATTTATGTTTGACTACGAGAGAACCTTGGGCTTGAAGAGACGTGCGTCGACGTTTGGAAATCATCCCGACAGGAGCGGTCAACATGCCAGCCACAGAAGCCCCTTGGCCGTTGCAAATGGTGCATGCCTTGGCCACACGCGCGATGGGTACATTTTTAAACTTGATGGGCGGGAATCGAGTGGCGCGCGTTGTTCTACAATAGTGACGATGTAATGTGCCCGTCGTTCGCTTCTGCCTGTCTGCCTGTCTGCCTCCTTCCTTCAGCCACCGCAATTGAATGCTGGATTATTCAGCCCTGGAAAGTTCGCCATCATCAGCAGCCTGTTCCTGAAGCCCGAGCGAGTCCTTGGTCGCTGCTGCTGCTCCACGAGGTTGCGGACTGGCCGACTGTTGAAGCCAAAAGTGCAAATCAAAGGGTGCTAGTATTGACAACATTGTCCGACTTGTCAAGTGGAGGTGCATACATACAGCTCGAAATATGCCTCGTGCCTGGCGACCTCGTTGGCTGGATCCGTGCCATATTACCGACGGTTTTAGGTTACCAGGCATGTTTCAGATGGCTTCTCCCAGGCCTTTGGTTAAAGAGAGGGCGCGGCGGGATGTCGTCAGCCGGCACTTGAGACTTGAGCCGTTGCCAAACGCAAACATGGAACTGTGCGGTGCCTGGGCCCTGGTTCCTTCAAAGGTCAGAGAAGGAAGGCACTCTGGCAAGGGCCGCAACGCACTCTGGTTGGCTGCCAAGGCAACGCCGCAACGGCACCCGCCATTTCATGACGTCACCGTTTTCGCTGCCGCCATCGACATCAACCTCACGGTTGCAATTGCAAATCCGCGCGTGGCACGTACCGTCGATACCAGACACACATACTTGAGTAGGCAAGTTAGTCCACACAGCCAACCACGTCACTATGAAGTCTTGTCTGATCCCCCGGTTGCTGGCTGCTTGGTTCCACCCCACACCCAGTTTGATAAATACGTAGCCAGCTGCTGCGATCAACCTGCACCGCACCCAGGCCGATCACGTCAGCAAAGTCTTGTCTCTTCCTCAAACACGTAACCGCACGCCGGTGCAACTGAATCCTCCCAACACAAGACAGCAAAAAAAGCAGAAGCAAAGCCAGCAAACGACTAATAACCGTTGCAAGTATGGCGCTTACATCCGCCGTGTCAGACCTCTTCAAGTCCATCTACGAGCTCCTGGCCTCGGTCCTTTCCGCCATCTACGCCGTCGTCCATGCGGCGTTCAGCACCGTACGGGGCGTCATTGCCGGCATCTTGAGCCTGGTCCAGAGCACCGTCCACGAGGCCCTTCATTTGACGGGCGGCGTGGGCAAGTTTGTCGCGAGTGAGTGTGCATACTGCATCCCGGGCACGTGAAGCCACAGACAACGTTTCCCCCGTCATGCTCACCACAACCAGGCAACTTTGCCGCGCTTGTCGTCGGCGGCTTACTCGTGTTTGCCTACCTGCGCTTCTCGGCCACGCCCTCTTCCCGGGCCGGGTCTGTCGCGCAGAAGAAGAAGACTCAGTAACGGACGCGCGCGCCAACCCGTACCTGACAGGCCGATGGTGAGAAATAGCGTGGCGAGTCATCATCGGCGCTGATGAGAGGGGGTGGTTGATCTGTCGGATTCCTCTTTTCCTTTTCCTTTGTCTTGGCGGGCAACATTCAACGGGCTCGTCGTTGGGAAGCACACATGGTCCGGACAGCTTTGCAATAACATCCGCCAGCTTGCGAGAGCCCGCCGTCCCGACAACAATCTCATGACATGCCTGCCGTATCAAGTGCTCCCATGTGCCAGACCACAAAACCATGTCGCCCTCGTCACCGTGCTCCTCTCCCCCCCCCTTTCAGTCTGCCCTTCTCGCCGCCTTGGGCCCGCCCTTCTCATCCGTCCCGTGCCACCAGTCCAGGACGCCGATGCCGCCAAAGTAGACACTGAACCGCTCGTGATGCCTGTCGTGCTTCCTCGCCAGCCCGCCCAGGAAATCGTAGCCGCTGTGCACCGTCGCCGTCTCAACAAGCTGGTACGCCAGAAACACCCACATGGTAACAATGTGCGTCCCCAGCAGCATCGGCGGCAGCGCAACCGGCAACACGTTGGCCACCAGATGCTCCACGGGGTGCGCGTACTCGGACGCAAAGGCCACCGGCGCCGTGAAGCGGTGGTGTATCTTGTGAACCCGCTGGTACAAGCACCGCACGTGGAACAGCCGGTGCGCATAGTAGAAGAGCACCTCTCGGCCCGCGGCGCAGAGCACCACGCCGCGCGCCAGCTCCGCCAGCGACGGGAGCGCCGCCTCCACGCGCACGGCCGGCAGGCGCCCGCGTCTGGCCATCTCGCACGACAGGCCTACCTGGACAGCGCACACGATGGCCTGGTTGCGGAGCGAGACGAGCACGGCCTCCCGCACGTCCGCTGCGCTGGGCTGCTTCGGCGCCGGCTGGATCTTGTGCCGCGCCGAAAAGGCCGGCGCCACGGCGTCGAGGGACACGAAGAACGCGCAGGGCAGCCACCAGAACACCAGGTGGACCACGAGCTGGCCCGCGACGTCGATTGTGTAGGGGCCGTGCGTGGCCACGAGCCGGGACCACAGCTTGGGCACGTCGATGCCGTACCAGGCGTCCATCGCTGAGCGGCTAGAGGAGCGGCGTCGTCGACGAACACGGACGGGGAAGGCTGGGGCTTGTGTCGACACGCACGCGTCTTTTCCTTGGCTGTGGTGTCGCTTTTCACACTCGCCTTCGTCGTCGGGGTTTTATCCCAAGGCCAACGAGGACAAAATGTTCGACGTCGAAAACGTCCCTCGGCCCGGACGGACGTGAACGGGTCGACCGCAAGACTTGCGTGGCTGGCCAATCATGTTGTTACGCCATTTCACGTGCAATACGAGGTACAGTGACACCATCTTTGCGCCCGTCTGATATCGGTGCGACTGTAACATGTCACGGCACAGAGGTGGGGGCGAAACTTACTTAAAGGAGGAAAATTTGCAGTCTAGAATCGGCATAAAGAAAGAGCCCTTGATTACATCACATAATTTACGTGACGCAGTCGCGTAATATGTTGCAGAGGCTTCCTTTACAGGTGGCTACATGGAAATAGTTTTGCAGCGTCCAAATCAATACACGGTCATGGCATCGTAACTCCAACCGCTGACTTTTTGTTCCTCCCTTGCCCAGCGTTTTCTGCATTCTGCGCCAGGGTCGACAAGACGAAAAACCTACATCGTCAACAAGTGTGTGTAACCTTCAAGCCTTGTGCTCCACACCCAATCCGTGGGCTACAAGAAGCTTGAGAAGTATATGCGTAGACGTCATCGGCCAACGTTGTCAAATGTACTCGGTGCGATGCAAGCCGCTCAACGTCAATGAGCGTCTCCTTTCCGCTCAGGTCAGAGTGCTCAACATGGCTCGGACAAGAGCTGGCGGTGGTCCTAATCCGCATCTTCGTCAGCTGCAAAGCTCAGCCTGGCGATGGATGCAAGTTGCCAATAACCGTGCGCACCTTCATCGATATCTTGGTACGCTGATGGACATCCTACCTTTCTTGTCCTTCTCAATCCGAGGAGGTTTCGGGCGGGCCACTGTCCGTTTAACTTCCTCCTCGTAAACAACAAGCTGTCCGTCTGGTAGTCTCTCCGTTCGGACCACTTCGCGTTCAACCTCACTCCTTGGTCGGTGAACAAGCTCTCGTTCTAATGCCTTGATCTCAGCGCGAATATCGCGGCGGGTCCGAGATCGGGACCGAGAACGCGGCACGACGACAAGCGCACCATCGTCATGGTGATGGTGACGGTGCTTGTGGCGATGGGTGTGGCTCGATTCCCAGCTGCTGGAGCTTCGCGATGGCGATACTTCTCTGATGACGGTCTTATCAACAATGTCCACGTGCCCTGTAGCACTGCGAGGAGCTGCATCCACGACAACCGGCGCTGGGCCAGCAACGGGAACAGGAGCAGGAGGAGGTGGCACCACGACAGGAGCGGGAGGTGGTGCCGGAACAACCATCGGGGGGGGAGGAGGAGGGGCTGCGACATGTGCCTCAATAACCTTTTGTTTCCGCTCCTCGATTCGCTCCTCGACCAAGTCGCCAGCAGAAGACCGGGCCGCGGTGACCTCTTGATCTACTACAAGATGAGTTAACAAAGGTCCGTCCCAAGCACAAGACTCATGCAATACCTTTCATATAGTCTTCACTCAATTTCAACAGTTCGTCGATGTTCTCTTGCCCTAGAGCCTTTTGAACAATGATTGAATTATCCTGGGTTCATGTCAGCACAGGTTTGATTTGGCTATGCAGAAAGTACTACCGTACCTCTTCGACATAAGGGTATCCGAGGTCAATGAGCGCTCGCTTGGAAACCAGGCGGACTGGAATCTTCGTTTTGCCCTTCTTTGGGTACTCGCTGCGAATTGTGGCTCCTCCACCACTGCTCGATGAGCTGCTGGAGGATCGCGAGCTGCTACGGTGGGTGTGGGTTCGAGTACCCCTTGATTCTCGACTCCTGTCTCGCCTTTCGCGCTCCCTGATGAATTCTCGCCCTCTTAATCTCTCCGGCATGGGTCTATATTCATCTTCTGGGTAAAAGTCCGACTCCGGACGATAATCATAATATCGATCATCCCGCCTTCCGGGCGAGGGGAGTCCTCTGGCTTTCGGGAGAGGAATAGGTGCGTATGGTGCAGCTCGATAGTCGTCCCTGAATATGTCCTCTCGTCTAGCAGGAGGTGGGTATTCCTCACGCTGATCGAAAATATTGCGAAGCGGTCGTCGGTCGTACGTATCTAGAGACGACTGACGCCGGAGAAAAGAAGGTCTAGGGGGGGAGGAATCCCGATAGTAGTCTCGGTCTCTTTCCTTCTCCATGACGATGCGACGACCGAAGTCTGGATGACGGACAGGTTCTCTCCTCGGTTCGTACCGGGGCTCATCGTCGTAGTATCGTCGATCTCGCACGAAGTCGTCTTCGCGGTACCGGCTGCGGTCATGGCGATCCTCGGAACGCTCTCGGCTTCTTCCACCTCTCATGTAGTATCTGTCATCTTCGAAACGGTCACGCTGCCAGCGTTCACTGCCCATGGTATAGTCGTCGGGTACAAACTTGGTTGGGACCCAGGTGCTTCGGTGTGGCTGTGCTTATAGTCTGAAATCAGGCGGGTTCGCTGAAGTCGAGGGAACAGCAGTGAGCGACAAGAAACTGTTGTAGATATTGCTCGTCCAAGATCCAAGGAATCGAACGAACAAAGACACCGCAGAAGCGACAGGATTAAACAGAGCCGGATGCGATGGATCGTGAAGGGTGGGAAATTTTGCAGAGGCAAGTCGGGGAAATCGACGAAGCGAGAGTCGGAAGATAACGACTATGTATGTATGTGGGCGGGCTATGACGTTGATGAGCCAGGCCCCCCCGCTTGACAATGCTCAACGGTGGACTGGCGTTTGACCAGCGTCGGGCTTTCCTGGCTCAGGTGGTTGGTTGGTTGAGGTTTTGGCAGCAGGGAAGAGGAGGGAGCAAGGAAGGGGGTCGGGGGGGCTTTTCCTGGGATGCCTGCCTGCCTGCCTGCCGACTTAAGTAGCAACGTCTGGTCGATGGGTGGATGATGGCTGGAATGGATGTGACTGGCGGACGAGCGACGGCTGAGCGAGGGCCAGTGACGCGTGACCCTGGAACGAAGCAAGCTGGACCTTGCGGTCAAGGCACGTTGCCCGGCAGGACCAGAGGACGAAGACGAGGACGAGGACGAGTGACCCTGCCGACGGCCTCAGTGTGAGTGTTGAAAAGGGTCTGGTTGCACTACAGTCGCGCTCAGCCGTCGTCTGGTTGGAGCATACGAGCATCACCTTTGATGTCGGGATGACCTCGTCAGCCCAGCCGAAAGCACCCAAGGAGGCGCATTGTCTGGTATCCGCTCTGGCTCGAGCCGTGGCCCAGTTGGGATCTGGTCTTGAAGCCTGAGGTGGATCTCGACCAGGATTCTTGCGCGTGTGGCCGACATTTGCAGGGTTCAGGGCGCAGGATACATAATACGCACAGTACGGAGTACGTGAGCGACGGCACTCCGATGGGATTAGGTTGTGCAAGTACAGACAGCTATAAACTCTGCCCACACAAATAATGTGGTCCGAGTACTCCCGGAGTACCGCCCGACATATTCGCACGTCAAGCACGGCTTTGTTGCTGTTGTTGTTTGTTGTTGTTGTTGTTGTTGTTGTTGTTGTTGTTGTTGGTGGTGGTGGTGCGATGGGACCGCCGCCACTTGAAAGAACCTCGCACGGTCTTTCGCTGCGGAAGAGACCAGAGCATCTCTTCCCAGGACTATGGCATGGATAAGTGGCGGTCGAGTCGAGTCGAGTCGCCCGACTCATTGGCAATTGTGGTCGTTTTTGTGGGCTCGTTGCCATGCAGGTGTGGATATTAGACTAGTACCTTGAGTAGACTTACTTATTAAGTACTAAGTAGGTTCCTAGCTACTTCTAAGTAGGTAAGTAGGTGCCTGGATACTTGGGTACGTGCCGAAGTGATATTTGGCCAATCGACTGCGAGACAGAATGCCCAGAATGCCTAGCCGGTATTTGCCATGAGCATGACGGAGCCGGTGAGGCCCGAGGCCGCGCAACAGAGGGAGTTGTACGGAGTATCTTCAGGAATCAGCTGTCCTTGTCGTTGCTAGCATTTCGCATACCGATACCATTCACACACATCTCTTCTTGTACGTTGGAGGCAGTGAGCTTGGGCTGCTCACGATGGAGAACGTGCAGCACGCAAAACATTGCCCCTGACAGGGTCCGCTGGGCCATCAATTTGATTGCTTGTCGAGACTTGCTGCTACGCTACATGTCTACAGAGTACGGAGTACCAGGTCGACGGTTGAGACCTCGGCTGGTCAATGTCTCCATGCCACTCCTTCCCCGTTATCACAGCAGGGCTGTAGCCCCCGAGTCCCAGACCCCAGTTGCTCTGCACGCGCTCCTGTACGTACAACTCGAGGCCAGGCGGACCTGGAATCATTCTGCTTCTCTTGAGCACTCATCCATCGGCGGCATCTAGCTTCAGCCACTAAACCACTGTCAATCTTGCCCAGTTACGTTGAATACCATGCACGCCTCGCCTGAAAACGCTTCTTCAATTCAATCTCTGCACTCGAGACTCTCTTCCAGCGCATTCCCGGACCCGGATGGATGGTCTCAGGGATCGCCCGAGCGGCAGTTCCCGCCTGTCTCGACTCCCTGTACCACGATCGAGCATACCGAGGCCTGTCCCCTCGCCCCTAGCGTCGACTTCAACGACTACACCACTCCGTCCCAAAGCCTCCAGAGACAGTCTTAGTCTTGGTGGAGGGGAGCTCAATCCGCCAAAGCTGAGGCCCGCTGCATCGCGAGATCAACTTCGTAACAGCAGAAGCGGTGTCGGGAACAGGGATCGCACATTGCGACTGGTGTCCTCGCAAGATCAGCTTGGCTCGAGCACGCGTCAACCCTCAAAGACCAGGTCGCAGCTCGACCAGACCGAGAGGAAGCCGAGGATTCCAAGCTCCCAACTGCAAGCTCGTCCAGCGGCACCACGACCTTTGTTCACGAATACTTCTTCTCATACCGCCAACGAAGATGAGTGGCATCAATCACCCACACAGAACCACAACTTATTCGACAATGCAGCTGATCCTGGTGGTGGAAAAACAATCTCTCGGGATGATTCGCCTAGCTGCGACGAAACAGTTGTCCACACTTTGCAGACTCCGAGCAGCGGGAGTTTCAAGCCTCACCCCTCCCTGACAGAGCGCACAATGAAGACCTTGGCACAGATTCCGCCATCCCCAGCTTTGAGTAAGAAGTCTTCATCCTTATTTGAACACGGTCGACCAAGATCACAAGCAGGTGGGGGAAATTCCAGACCGGGTTCCAGCTACAACTCTGATGGCTCTGCAGGAGCACCATCGCGACAGGGAAGTCGACCAGGTTCCAGTGCTGGGCAGGATGACCATTCCGCAGCATTCTGTGCCTCTGGCAATCCATTCAAACGCAGCTTATCGACCAACAGTGGCACTCCACGAAAAACCTCTGCTATTGTCGTTGCAAAAACTCCACAGACCAGAGCGAGTCCAAGCCGTGCTTCGCACGCGTCCTCTACCAAGTTGGACAGTATTCGCATGTCAAGTTCGGAAGACGCTGCGAGCACTTACCCTGAAAAGACAAAGTTTGAAAAACGTTCCATCATGCCTGGCTCCAAATCCGTCACTTCAAGACCAACAAAGCCCCGAGCATCGGCTACTGGTCTGATCAAGAAGCCTTCCCTTCCCTCAGTGTCTAAGGCTGCGGGCGCACCACCAGAATCTTGGGATGGTGCTATCCCGCCCGCACCGGCCGCTTCAAGCCCCATGGGCTCTACACCACTAACAAACCGAAAGTCTTCGGCAGCGCTGCGAGAACAAATTGCCAAGGCCAAGGCAGCCAAGCGCGCGGCTGTTAGACAATCATCTGCAAATCGGGAATCAATTGGAGCATCTACCATGTCATCAATTGCCGCAAATGGCTTCGACATGGAACATGATGACCCTTTTAATCTGAGCAAGGGAGCCAAGCCGAGCGCTCAACTTTTGCAGCAACGAGTGGCGGCTGCACGAACTACGGGCAGGTTGAACATTGCCGCGTTGGGACTAAAGGAAATTCCACAAGAAGTTGTGAGAATGTATGATTTAGAGAGCATCGACAGCTACGACGGTACCTGGGCCGAGAGCGTAGACCTCACGAGGCTCGTTGCAGCGGATAACGATATCGAATGTTTGGACGAAAACATATTTCCAGACGCGAGCCCAGGGATGTTTGATGAGCAAGAAGGACAGGGGAACATATTTGGTGGACTAGAGACGCTAGATATGCACGGAAATCTGCTTACACATATTCCTCTTGGTTTCCGGCGCCTTGCGAACCTGACGTCGCTCAATCTTGTAAGTGCTGCTGCTCTTTAAACAATTGACCACCCTCTTGCTTACACCAGGGCAGTCTTCAAACAAGCTTGAAAATGATAGCCTAGATATAATATCCCAAATGCCTTCTCTTCGAGACCTCAAGCTGTCAAAGAATCAGCTGTCTGGTCCACTGAACTCGGCACTGATGAGCCTGAGTTGCTTGGAGATGCTCGATATTCACGGAAACGGCATCTCCGCTTTGCCTCCCGTTGTCGAGAACATGCAGCGTCTCCGCATCCTGAATATGAATGAGAATAAACTCGAAAGTCTACCTTTTGAGAGTTTGTCAAAGCTTCCCTTGACAGAACTATCCGTGAGGAAGAACAGACTTTCAGGTGTGCTCATTCAGGAGCCAGTCGATTCTCTCCCCTGCTTGCAAAGTCTCGACGCCTCAGTAAATCAGTTGACTCACCTGACGCCTGTGGATAGCGTCATCAGCCTCCCGGTGATTCATGCCATTTCGCTATCTGTCAACAGACTGCAATGTCTCCCCGATATGTCGACGTGGACAAATCTCTTGACATTATCCGTGGATGAGAACCATATCGCCAACATTCCCGACAGCTTTACCGGCTTGCAAAAGCTGCGTTACGCAGATTTCGGCAGCAACGACGTCAGGATAGTGCCACCAGAGATTGCCAGAATGCAAAGCCTCTCAATGATTCGGTTGACAGGCAATCCGTTAAGAGATCGCAAATTGGTCTCGGCTGCGACGGACGAGTTGAAAGAGATCTTGGCCGGTCGCCTGGAGCCACCGCCTCCGTATCAAGAGCCTGGACACCACACCGCTGTCACGGGCTTGATGGGCAGTCTTTCAGAAATGGACGACAGACTCAAGGCAGCTGGCCACGTTGACCCCATTCCCCCCAGTAACGATGAAGACGTTCGATCTGACGTGGAAGACAACTTCACCACACCGCCCACCTCTGCTCCGCATACTCCAAACCGGTCACGATCACAAACAGTCGTGAAAGACGTCTGGTTCGTCAAGTCAGGCGGCTTGTTGGACTTGTCGAGATGCGGCATGTCCTCTTTAAACCCCAGTACCTGCTCCACCGTCGCTTCGCAGAACCAGGTGCGCCAAGTCCAACTACATCATAACCCTATTGCGTCGATGCCTATTGCGCTTGGCGCATTTGGCTCAACTCTATCGTTCCTTTCCTTGGCACATACACAGATAACGGGGATCTCGTATCTTACAGAAACGCTTGAGTTACCCGCTCTGCGAGAATTGAGTCTCTTGTCAAACCAAATCACAAGCTTGACTCCCCTGGCAAAGTTCCTCAAAGCGCCAACCTTGGAGAAGCTTGACGTGACGCTCAATCGCGTGAGGTCACTTTCCGGCGCTTTGAAACAAGCGTTTCCCCGATTGTCCGTGCTACTGGTAGCAAGCAATCAGTTATCAGAGCTCGATCCCGAATGGATCCGGGGACTGAAGATTGTCGACGTGTCTTGTAACAACATTGACCAGCTCAACGCTAGGCTCGGCCTCCTTGGGGGCGTTGACGGACTAGAGCGATTAGAAGTTTCTGGTAATCGATTCAGAGTGCCGAGGTGGAGCGTACTTGAAAGGGGCACCGAGGCCACACTGAGATGGTTGCGAGGAAGACTTCCGAATGAAGAAATGGCAGCTTGGAGGGCGGCAAATAGTGAGGATAGTGGAGAGGATGTTGACTGATTTACAACAAACAGGAAAATGTACAGTAGAGAATTGTAGTCATTGAGGACGGCGTTGAGCAAGACACGGGCTGGCAGCAAGATTACACACCATTGATATGTAGACATTTTGAGGCGTGAGCATGTGGCCCGCTGCCAGATTGAAAGTTTTCTGGGCCCTTTAGCCGGTATCGAGGCAAGGACCAGTTAGTCTTGAACACGTTGCAATCTTTGAATAGCAAACACGTGCAGCCCAGATCCGGTGGATGAATGGTGATGAAAGTCACGAGTAAGTCACGAGTAAGTCACGAGTGTGAAGGAAAGGAGGCTCCTACTTCCTCGAGCGCATGTCCTGCTGCACGGTTCTGCTGAATGGCAGGAAGGCGGTCGTGGTCGTGATTGACTGCACTTCTCGTCATGTAATGCCACTACATTTCCAGTTCCAGCGGTGGCTTGTCCGTTTGTCCCTGGTCTTGATTTACTCGAGTATGCAATACGAATACACGCAAGCATAAGCAGCCCTTTTCCGTTCTTCTATCCTTATCCGCGGTTTACGCCTTGCCCGTCACGAAAGAACCTTGAGCCCCTGTACCATGTACGCCAGCCGGCCAACAAGTTCAGGCCCAGGGCCGATTCGGGGAATCGCAGCTGATGAACAGGTGTTTCCGGGGAGCGAAGTATCCACGATGCAAATGTCCCGGCCGTACAGCTCGTACGACATGTACAACCCCGGGCAGTACTACGAACACCACAACATCATCAGGGTGTTGATTCCGATATCTGTGGCTGGATGGATACTGTTTGGGGCAATATGCATCTTGTGCATCAATGGCCACGGAAGGGCCGGTCGATGGGTTCCCGAGTGGTATCTTGATTCCGAGGGAACGCGTTGGGACAAGGCTGCTGTGGGAGCGTGGTGGCTCGTGGTCCTATTTGGGTGGCCTGTGATCCTGCCTGGTGTCGTGGTCGGGCGCTTGTCGAGGAAGCTGAAGAGATTGCGCGCCGAGAGAACGTCCAAGACGCTGAAGACGGTGAGGGATCGGGAGTCAGAGGGCGAGGTTTGACATGTTTGGGGTTTCTGTCTCCTCCGAGGGAGACGCCGAGGTCTCTTTTGGCGTCATGGTCGTCCCGACTCCCGATGCAGGGAGGCGATGAATGGACACTGACTTGCCGCGCTCGTGGCATAGGTTTGGCACGATGTATTTACATTGTATCTACTAGATGGAGAAGCAGAAGCAAAAGCAAGCAAATGGCATACAGTTCCTTTGAGTCTCATGATGATGCATGGCCAGACGGCAGCCAGGCCACGATGGGTACGCGTGGGCGTTGCGTCGTTGGTGTGGCTGAATTGGGTCTAGTCTAGCTTAGTCCTCATGTGACTTTCAGCATGCACCCTGTCACCGAGCAACCAAAAAACCCACGGCTGGGGAAAACGCGAAGCGACGCTCGCGGCCAGAGGCTAGTGTTAGTTGCGGGCTGTAACTTGTGATTGTGTTCAATGTCCTGTCCTGTACACATCACCGCCGCCAGACCGTCCAACTCATCTCGCGCTGCCCGAATCACTGCCGCCGTTCCGTTGGGTTCACGCAAACTGGGCTCCGCCGTCGGGCTGCATGCGTTAGGCCGCCCCAGCCAGCACCAAGGAGGAGGCCCAAGGCCGGTGCAGGGATTTGAACCAACCGACACAACCATCTCTCGCTCGCTGCCCTGTCCCTTCAACGACTACGAGCCACCAGCTACGGAAAAGCTCTTTTCGCGGCTCGTCGACTCGCGCGTGCCGAGCACTTATCGAATCATCATGGCTCACCCGGCCGACCTGGACGCCCGCCAACCCAGTGCCCATGTCGCCAGTCCCGTTGAGCCATCTACGCCCGAGGAGGTTGGGCCTCCGCCGCTGTCCTCGCAAGTGACTCTGCCGTCTACCGAGATGCCTGGATCGCCAATCGACCCGAATGAATCTTTCAAAACCGAGGCCAATGATGAGCAGCCAGCTACCATGGTGATTCCCTCGTCTCTGACCCCTCCGCCATCCACTCAGGTCGCCGCCCACAACAATGCGAGACGAGCAGCATTTTCACAGCCACAGCAATCCGCGCTTTACTCTCCGCCCGCTACCATCCTGAATAACATCCGTGACCGAGAATTCGGCACCGAGTACGCCCCGCCGTCTCCCCGTCAGGTCCTCGAGGCCCCAGCCGACGAGTTGAGGTGCATGCTCCAGACGTCCATCGCCGAACAGCAGAAGCTGAAGATGGAAACGGCGCACCACAAGCTGCAGTACAACTTGCTGAGACTCCAAGCAGAGGACGACGCCAAACGTGCGGCCGTGGAGCACGAAATGATTCGGAGGGAGGTGGACGCTTTACGGATGGCAGAACACTCCCGGCAGGCGAAACGGGAGCTCAGCATATCGTCCGATTCCACGCAGGCCAAGTATCTGCAGATGAAAACGTGGTACGAGGCCGCCATGGAAGAGAACGAGACCCTGTGCCGCCGGCTGAAGGTCGCCAAGAGAATTATTCAGCAGAAGGACGAGGAGGCCATGTGCCTGACGGAGGAGAGGGACCTCCTTTTGACTCGCATCAGAGAGAACAGAGAGCACTTCCACATGCTGTGCAGCCCTGGCGGGATATTTCACAGCGCTCTGACCCCGAAACAGCAACATGTTTCCACCCCTCAGCGGTATCATCGCGTACCGCAGGGAGCTCCGCACCACACTCCGCGATCCTCGCAAAGGGAGCCCACGGGCGGCCGCGAACATGGCCTCTCAGCCTTGCTGCAGGCCATGAGCCAGAGTCAGGATGGCAACAACAACAACAACAACAACAACAACAGCGCCCCGTCGACGCCGATGACGTCTCACCGAGCCGTGCAGAAACACTCTGGGAGGCACAGCCGCAATGCGCAGTCCATGTCATCACTGCCTGCTACGCCCGTCAGCCGATCTCGAGACGGCGGCCTGTTGCCATCCGCTGATTTGGTGCCGCAAACCGAGCCTCGCCACCGCCACACCGAGCAGCAGTATGTGCCGACGACCCCGACCCCGAAGCGGGCTCGACGACGAAAAAGTCGAGAGAGTACCATCTCGGCCGAGGACAATGAAGAGCTGGCAAGGCAAGCGTTGGAGTCGGTCGAGGCTATGCAATCATTCACGTATCACGGATCCGGATGTGCACCGCAGACATCACGTCAACAACAACGCAGAGCAAACGAGGTGGACGACGATGAGGAGGTATTTGACAGCCAGGCGAGTCAAGTGGCGACGGAGATGCTGCGGCGTCGTCCGGGTCGAAGCTTCGGAGTGGGCGGCTCGGCAGGGTCTCGGGAGGGATCTTCTGGGGCCGACGCTGGGGCCGGGCCTGTTGAGAGATCCGCCAAGTTGCAGGCCAGGCTCCTGTCGGATTTCAGGGGTGAAGGTGGCGCGACGGACAAGCGCAAGCTCAGCGGGAACGCATTGGCGGCAGACGATTCGCGACGTGAGCACGGGACTCCCCCGAAGAAGCTCAGAGTTGGGTCGATGACGGAGGAGCAGCGAGTGGGACTCGGAATACAATACGGCAGGTGATGATGTTGACGGGGAACCTTGGTGAGAACGTACATACAGCCTGATGCAGGCATGGCATATTGTAGCACCGTCACTACGGAATGCGCCGTGGGGGGGTTGCGCATGGACTCAGCGTGTGTATTTGGGTATTGCAGGTTGGCCTGGCTGTATCTGTCGAATGCTGGAACTGTAAGCGCCGACACTGCCGTGGATAGCGTAGACTTAGACGTATCACGATTATATGATGATGGGGAGCCGACTCTTGGGCGTGCCACAGAGATGTACGGAAAGGTCGAGCGAGGATCGGACGGTTCACCTCACGTCGGCCCCACACGGCCCCATCGGCTCGGGATGTCGACACCCGAACTCGACGACGGCAACTCGAGAGGGGAAGGGGAACTTTTTCAGCCGCTGCGGCTCGATCCGACAAGCCCACGAATTTGCCTATTTGAGGTCGGATAAATAGTCGGGGGTCTTTTTTTTTTTTCTTTTTTTTTTTTGGTTGGTCTTGTTCTTGGTTTTTTTGGTTTTGTTCTTCTCCCTTCATTCCACCTGGTCAGTGTTGGCATTACTCGCCACTTTCCACTCGCCGTCATATTCCTGCTCAGCCTTTGCCATCCGACAGACACTCACTCGAGACGCAGGGCCGGCCACAATGGCAGCTCCCGCCCGCGGCGTGGCCAAGATCCTGGCCAAGTCGCCGGCCGACGTGGTGCTGCTGGCGGCGGTGCGGACGCCCATCACGCGCGCCTACAGGGGACAGCTCAAGGACGCGTACCCCGAGGAGCTGCTCGCCTGCGTGCTCCGGCACGTGCGGGAGCGCGCGGCGCCGGGCGTCGACCTCGGCCCGCACATCGACGACGTGGGCGTGGGCGTGGTGCTCTCGGAGCTGGGCGGCTCCAAGGCGGCGCGCATGGCCATGAACCACGTCGGCTACCCTTCGTCGACGGCGCTGTACACCATCAACCGGGCGTGCGCGTCGTCGCTGGCCGCCGTGGCCGCCGTGGCCGCGCAGATCCGCACGGGCGCCGTGTCGGTCGGCGTGGCCGCCGGCATGGAGAGCATGACGCGCAACTACGGGGGCCGCGCGGTCCCGGGGGACGCGTGGCCCGCGGCGGCGGCCTCGCCGGTCCGCGACGCCAGGGACTGCCTGATGCCCATGGGGCTGACGAGCGAGAACGTCGCCGAGCGGTACGGCGTGTCGCGCGAGCACCAGGACGCGTTTGCGGCCGAGTCGCACGTCCGCGCGGCGGCCGCCCGCGGGGGGGGCCTGTTCGACGGCGAGATCGTCCCCGTCGCCACGCGCTTCCGGGAGCCGGACGGGCCGGGCGCCGAGAGGGCCGTCACGGTGGCGCGCGACGACGGCATCCGCGACCCCATCTCCCTCGAGGCCCTGGCCCGGCTGGAGCCCGCCTTCAAGCCGGGCGGCAGGTCGACGGCCGGCAACTCGAGCCAGGTGTCTGACGGGGCGGCGGCGGCGCTGCTCACGAGCAGGGCCACGGCCGAGCGGCTCGGCCTGTCGCGTCTCGTCATGGCCAAGTTTGTGTCTGCCGTCGCCGTGGGGTGCGCCCCCGACGAGATGGGCGTCGGGCCGGCCCTCGCCATCCCCAAGCTGCTGGCGGCGCATGGCCTCGCCGTCGGCGACGTGGACAGGTGGGAGATCAACGAGGCCTTTGCGAGCCAGGCGCTCCACTGCCTGAGGGAGCTGCGGCTCGAGGACGCCTGGGCTGCCGGCCGCGTGAATCCCACCGGCGGCGCCATCGCCTTGGGACATCCCCTGGGCGCGACGGGCGCCAGGATGACGAGCACCCTGGTCCACGGCATGAGGAGGGACGGCCATGATTTGGGCGTCGTGAGCATGTGCATCGGGACGGGCATGGGCATGGCTGCTCTGTTTGCCAGGGAGGCCTGAGTGCAAGTTTGGATTGCTCTGGGCGGGAGTCTGACTGCCTTGGCTGAGAAGCCGACGAGTGCGCTTTAAATCATGGCGACGTCACGTCGGCTGGACTTGGCTCGAGAAGAGCGCACGGTCTTGCAGAGTGAAGCATAGTCATGTATGTATATATATATACATGTATTCGCACAAGCATACATTACCAAAACTGATCGACCTCGGAGCGAGAGATGATGACAACAAGGGCGTCACGAGGCCCCGGTGAGCCTCCCTGGACACTGATAAACACCCATCCACGTAGCCGGGTCGACAGCAACGCGGCCCCATGCCAGACGCATCGCGATACTGCTCCTCAGGGGCGAGCTCGGCTCTCGAGGTCACGGGCTTCCATATTTGAGCAGGCAGCTACACACCGTGATTATGCCGTCTGTATCTCTGTCAATCCCAGACACCAGCTAGGAGTCAATGATTTTAAAACAGGGTTTTCAAGTCTTTTGTCTAAACTTGTCTCCCCGGCCGCGTATCTACTGAGGCGGGAGTGTGTTGGACGGCAAGATGTCGAGGCGTCCTCGGACCAAGGATTTGAAGGTTGAAGCTTCCTATTTTGCCAATTAAACTACGCTCTTAGGGTTGTCAAAAGCAGATGCCATCAAAGCACGTCCGTCTTTGGTCATGTTCCGGCAGACAGGTGGCGGGCAGGCCAGGAGGTGCAGGGCTCCTGCCTCGTCGAGATGTCGAGGAAATATTATGTCAGCAGCACCAGGCAGCATCAGCCAAGCCACGATGTCCTCGGGGTCCAGAATCAAAAGAAGCGGCCTCATGGCAAGTTCCCGGGCCGGCAGGGCTGCCGTCCGTCTTCGCAACACGCGGTTGAATGACCGATAAAGCACAGAAAGCAAGATACGGGAAGAGAGGGTGCGAGATACCCCCCTCGATGACTATCCGTCTCTGGGATTGGTTCCGCAGAGGTCGGATCAAGAGCCGGCTGCACACCCAAATCTCAGGGCGCCGTGTCGTCGAATGGTAGGTGCCAATTCCCATAGAGTTCCCAGAGGCTTTTCACTAACGATCTGCACAGGGTATGGAGATCTCAATGTGTCCCCGCCGAGGTCCAGATGTCACGACCTGTCGAGCCAACCTCATTCATGTCCCTTGTGATTGGCGGCTAGTCAAGAACGGAAGTTGGTGCACAGCCCGTGAAAGCCAAGGAGAGCAAGCTGTCACAGCGCAGGTCGCAGGTCGCAGGTCGCGGGTCGCCATGTCAAGCGCTCTGGTTGTCATGAGCCGGACCATGACCATGGCTCCATCACCCATGAGCAACCTCTCTCCACCCCGGTGAGCTCCCCATCTCCCCATCCGTGCGCTACGGAGCAGACCCTGGCGAGTGTCTTGCGGGGAACGAAGAACGAGAACTAGCCAGCGAGCGCATCGAGGATGAGGCGGGCGACCGGACGTGGCAGGACAAACGACATCAGCAGCTGAGCAGCACATGCCGCGCATGGCTGGTCATGCCGAGACCATGCCAAATGCGCAGCCTTGTCCAAGTCCCCTGCGGGTCAGTGGCGTCACTAGTGCCACGTCCGGCGGCATTGGGTTGCTTGATGGCGCCGGACGCCAGGTTAGGCAGCTTCGAGCCCGTCTGGTTACGAGTTGCGGAGGGACGAGGGACGAGGGACGAGGGACGAGGACGAGGCGCTCTGGGCCGGTGCTTCTCGGTCTCGGCCATGTCGAGAGACGTGCAGAGACGAACAAGAATCGGAGCGGCCAGTATTTTGCCACCAGAGCAGACGAGAGAGGAGGGAGGTCTGATGTCCGGGCCCGAGAAGGGCCATCCATCGTCAGACCTCACCTCGCACCAGCACCAGAATCAGATCCCATCACACCTGCACACCCGCAAGCGGGCCAGGGCTCCCGGGTTCCATGCTTCCATGCGATGCGCCGGCTGCCAGGCAAGGGTTCCGCATGCTTTGGCTGCAAGATTGCAGCCAACCTCGACCAGCCCATCAGCCCCCTTTCCGGCATGGAGCCAACCAGGGCGGCCTGGTGTGGTCATGACAGCCGGAAATGCGTCATGGCATTCATCTCCCATTGCCTTTATCGCATCCATCAACCCGTCGACCGGTCGGCCGTGAATGCGCAGCACCCGAGGCACCCCGTGTCGCTTGTCCACGGGTCTACGTCGCGCCGTCCTCGCTGGCCTTGGCCTGCCTTGGGTGCTCGTGTAACTCCCTCCGTACGCCGCCTCAAAGGTTCCTCTCGCCCCGCTCGACTGGATAAAGTGTGACATTGAAAAGCACCGGCTTTGAACCAAAAAGCTTTCCGTCTCGAGATTCTCCCTGCGGATGAGGCACCCACGGCCGGCACCCACCACCACCACCACCACCACCACCAAGGACCTTGGACGTGACTCCTCCTTCCCCCGAGTTAAAAGAAACTTCACGCCCTCCTCTCATCGCCGGCACTTCCTCCTCCTCTTGCCCCCTCGATTGGCTTTCTCAGCTCGACACTGTCAAATCATCTTTCCAACTGTACAATATACGCGTCCATCTCTCTCAGCTACCTTTTTTGGCCTTGCGCGCGCAACACACCGCAGAAACAGAAAAACGACAGGACCATCAAAATGCCCGCCTACGAGTATTGCTGCAAGTGCGGTGGCATGATTGTCATTAGCACCACCTGCAGCGCCTGCGGCCACAAGCAATGCAACAACTGCCCTGCCTCGTAGGGCGCAGCCCATGTTGTCGACCTCGTGTGTCGGAAACTTTACGGCCTCGCCAACCCTCTTCTCGGCAATGTATTATGTCTCCTACGGAGCTCGACGAGTTTCGCCGCCTTTGATATCCAGGTCCCTTTTTAGTCTGTTGCCAAGGCCCTTGTCCATGGCTGCGATACCCCTCTCAGTCTTAACGAAGCAATGGCGATCTTGTTATTTACAGAGCGACTTTATTTCCGGCTGCTTCTTCTTCTCCAAGCCTAGTCTTTACGTGTAACACGAATGTGCGGGGAGTTGCGGAATGCGCGACAACAAGCGTGTGAGCACGACAAGGGACAAGGGATGCAATGCAGCATGCGGGCTCCCATGATTCCACATGCAAGCACACAATGTCGATGGGAATTTCCAGCGTCAAACCGATGTGCTGGCAGGGACAGGCATGTTGCACCGTCGCGGAGGCCTCTGCGGTTTGCTTGTCTTTTCTTTTTGCTTTCGTTTCGGCGCTAGATACGCGGGCGAGTCGTGAGACTTGTTTACGGAGAATGATGGCATGCGTCCTCATGTCGACATGTACGGTGCGTTCCGCTCGAGGTGTATAACCAACCCAAGGATTGCTTGTGTGACTTGGTGTGCTCGGGTTTCTGGATGAGAGTCGGGCAGGAACCGGAAGAGAAGAAGTTTGAAACCCTCGCATGATCTGACCCGAGTGACTGTCGTCCGTGTCATGTCTCGACATACCTGGGCATCCCCAATCCCCGGCCTTGTCAAGCAACGTATGTATGCCCTTGCTCGCCGCGACGTCCACCGTCCCCGAACGATCTCGCTCTCTCGACAAACCCCCGTCAACCAAGTACGTGTACACGTGCGCCCGGGGAACCACGGCCATACTCGAGGACCAGACGTGTACAGCGTGTGCCACGGTTTTCCAGCCAAGGCGCCCAACACGGTCGTTTTTACATCCCGTCTTCCCCCTCTGTGTCGTGCTCTGTGAACAATTTCATCTGCCAGTCTTCCAGGACGGTACGCAGTGCGCGCAATGCACACCAAACTTTCTGCTTCAGAAGAAAAAAGTCGCACGCAACCTCCAGCTCGCGGCCGATGCCCCCCATGCTGCATCGTCAACTCCCCAGACCGTCCACGCCGCACCGTCTAGTGCGAGAAACGGCAACGACACCAGCAATAAATTCCAGTAGACCATTTCCAACTTGACTGAATACACAAAGACTTGGGACAGGCCGCAGTGGTGCGTGTCCCATAGACAAGTGAAACCAGACTTGGGAGACTGCTATGGATGCCAACATGTCTTCGTTCCGTCACGTGTCACACGCGTCTCTAGCATGCAATCCTCATCATCATTTCCTTCGCAATCACAAGGCGTCTGCAACTTGCCCAAGATGCACCACCAATGAATGCATGCTCGCCTGCCTCAAGTACCAACGGCCATCTTCTTCGTCCGTCATCGCCCCTGGATTGCTCATCAAATTTTTTCAAATTTATCAATTGCTTATATGTCTATGTATATGAGCTTTGCTTAATACACCTGCAATGTCCTTCTTATTGCTTTCCTTTAAACCCGTAGGATCCTTTATATGCGACCTGCAATATCCTCAAGTTAAATGTTGCGCCTTGTCCATTCTTCAATGACCTTCCTGGTTTTCTTCTTCTATCGCAGGAGCGTATTCCGACGCCAAGAGAGTAGATCAAATGCCAGCCTGATCTTTTGGTTGCAGAGGTCGTCCTAGTCGTGGAGACGCTGGACATCTCCAGAAAATAAAAAAAACACAAATGAAAACGAATGGGAATAACACACAAAGCAATAGAGAATAAATATGTCAGACAGGAATGGAACATCATCCATCGAAAAAAGACCAAACGAGGGCCAGATTCGGTCGCTAGACATTCGCTGCGTGCCGTTCATACATGCCCTCGTCCAAATTGGGCTAATAAAACGGCCGTCATTCGTATTACAAAGATTTTGTCCTGACAGAGTCTGAGCTCCACGGCCGAGGTAAAATGGCGCACATTGGACATGTGGGAGTCATTAAAACCTCCGCCGGTCAGGCATAATAAAATATGTCAGAAGGAGAAGCAGTAACGGAGGATATTTGATCAAATCATGCCACCTGGCAGGCTAGCGCTCGACATTGCAGATTGCGGTATGGTTGGCCGAACCGTTCGGGGAGGACTTTGTCGAGTCTTCTGTCCATTCATGGACTTTCCGCCTCTGTAGGACTCGACGCCAACATCGCCATCTCCCATTCCAAAAACTCTGTTGGGGACACCATGTCCCGAATCCTCGTCACTGAATCTTGGAAAGGCATTCTTGCGGCGAGGGTTAATTGGCGGCAAAGGTGGTGCTCCAGGGCTGCCGTGCAAGTTTGGAGTTGATGCCGCAGTGCCCAGCACGCTGCCATTGCGGCTTCTCGTGAACGAATGTGTGTCTGACTGCGTGGGGGACTGCACGACTGGGAAGTACTGCCTGCCAGGTGGTTCAAATGCGCCTACGCTGTGGCTTGGACTCATAAGTGTCGAAGGTCCAGTAGACACGTACGAAAACGTACCAGATGACTCCATTGCCTGGCTCCCGATACCCGGGCCCGGCGGGCTACTGGGTCCTCGCCGGCCGTAGTGATCCTCGTAAGTTGCAGAGCCATTGCGAAGCCCATCACCCCGACTATACGCAAGTCCACTTTGGCTGGTTTCCGAACTACTTCGGTCTCGCTCAGAGGCCGCCCGAGAACCCGCCCGAGAAAAACTCGCATAGCTCTCGGCGTCTCGGGGCATGCGGTTGACAATGGCCGATGGTGGACCACCCTCGTAAGGGGTGACCATGCCGTTCGTAGGACGCTCCGGGTTATGATTGGGCTTCTGCGAATGCCGCTGTTGTGTCTCGAGTTCTTTCATTTTCTGTAGTTCTCGGCGAGCTTGGCGGAAGGCTTTCAGGCCTACGTGTACATTTGTCTCCTTTTCGGGAGGCGTTGATTGGTTTGACTGGGCAGGAATTTCACCACCTCGCGTTTCTGCTTGGCTGCTCGAAGCCTTCCTTGGAGAAGGTGACGTGGCGATTGGGCTGGGTTGGGAGCTGGAAGACTTGAGCGTCTTGCTGCGGCCACGCTCCTTGTCGGCCTTGTCGAGAAGGGATCCCCGGCTTGATTTTGACCTCAACATACCAAGACTACCCGACCTGGGCGGTCCTAGTTCCTTATTGTGTTCTGATAGAGGTGGGGTGGGCGGCGCAGAACGCTCATTATCTGATTCGACGTATGTCGTTAGTCGTTCACGGACCCGTCGCGCACGCTCGGCCAAGTTTTGAGCAAATTCATCCTGCTCCGCTGTGGTTCCGTCGTCGCAAACACCATCATCATTTCTTACGAAGACGGAATTGGCCTCCGTTACGCTCGGTTCTAGTTCGTGACCCATCAGGGCATATACAGACGAGGCGGTGCTATTTTGTCGAAGGTGTTGTCGAACCATACCGCTTAGACCTGTCGTGGGGCCCAATGTGGGAGAATCTTCTGTCTTTTCGGTCTTTGGTGCCGGTGAGGGAGACCTCCCGTCCTCGGAATCCTTGGGCGATGTCAACGATAGAGGGGTAGGGAGAGCAGATTTACGGAAAGCCGGGTGGTCGTGATCGCTTGGGCGATCAAGTCTCAATCGAGGGGCAGCAGAAGTTCGATTGTCCAATGATCCGTCGTCACTTTCATCAAATGTGCTGCTGTAATTCTCGTTGGGTTGAGAAATTTCAGAATGAGCAACCGTTGTGGACTTCTCTACTGCCGGTCGCTGGGCCGATGATGAGCGAGACCTGCCTTTGACAGGAGAGCCTACCGACTCCGTGTACAAAGAAGCAGACGTGTCTCGTCCTTGCTGGAGCTGACGTTGTCGCTGTGTGTATCGTGACTCGTCATACTGCATTGCTGGTCGACTAAAGACACCCATTGCCGTCGCCTTACCACGGTCATTGGGTTGGATAGCAAGGGTTGGGTGCTCCTCAGTTTCACTGATGGGTGGGCTTAGAGGGAGATTCGCTCCAAAACTGGGCTTCGACTCTTGCCTTGGGAATTTGGGGGTCAAGTCAACGGGGCTCATCGGAGAGCAACTCATCAAAGAAGAGCTGAATGACCGTAGGTTAGGTGCGCTAGCTTTGGATACGATGGGCCGGCGGTCTGTAGCACGCTCGCTGAAGGTTGTGGTCGTAGGCGAAGTAACAAGGGAAGCTGAGTCTGGAGTTCGCGAACCGAAGGGCCGCTGTCGTGACAAGGTGTCCATCCGATATACCGCCGAGTTTTGTTGATCCTGAAGGTCTTGCGTTAACCCTTGCTCATAGAGCCGGCGGGTTCGAGTAACGCTTCGCTCGAGGCCCGGCAAGTGGCTGCTAGATGCAGTTTCTTTGATCGAAGACGGCTGAGATGCGATTGAGGTTGCAGCTGTAGAGTTGCGAGCTCCCGAGGGAACAGACGACGTTGTGGAGCTCGTTTCTCGGCGTCGACTGTAATTCAGTGTGGCTTCCACATCGGATGTGTTGATGTTCTCACTGTCTTCCAATGACTTTCGTTCCTTTTCGGCCTGCCGCCATTTTTGGAATGAGGATTGTGCTACGTCGTCGTCGTAAAGTGCTCTACCAGTCATGCCGCCTTTGGAGCCTGCGGTAAGCTTGTAGATCTTTTGTCTACCACCGAAGAGATTATTCCCTTCCGTGGGCTTACCACGACCCATTACGCTCCCTGTTGTTGAGGATGCATCGTCAGAATGATACGAGTCAAAGCGGCCCAATGGTGGCGCCTTCAGCGACTCGATTTCGGCAATATCATCCAGTCCACCTGCAAAAGCACCAAAGTCCGCTAGCCTCGACTGTCGCTTCGGGAAGAGAACGCTGTCGTCGCTGGCCTTACCCAGTTTGCTATTCGGGTCGTCCTGTTCTCGAAGCATGGAGAAGCGGGCTGATAGACCTGTCATTAGGAGACTGGTTCGAAAGTCATCGCTAGGTGGTAAAGCCGCAGCGAGGTCAATCTCTTTTCTAGGTTCGTCTGGTGTTTTCTTTTTGCCGAACATGCGAAAGGGACCAGAAGACTCAGCATCTAGTGACGGGCGGCCACCAATGGATGTATCATCCCTGCCCTTCTTCTTGGTTCGAAAGCGATTCATTGCAGGGACTTATTAGATGGCTGCCCAGGCGGAAAAGGACGGATGAATACCACAATGAGGCAAAGTCCCGGGATTTCGACCACCAATGTTATAATTCTCGATGCCTCAATTCATGAGAATATCAACAAGGCAATCGGGACACCTCAATAATGATCCAAGGAGAGACGACACTGTGCTGTCGGAGTTGTCAGTCAACTACTGAATGTCCATAGATAACCTTCCTCGACACTGGATGCTGGATGTGTGTTCCCAACGACATATTGTTGCAGCGTGGCCTGTCTGTGCTTTGGTGTAGGCTGATGGGCGCAAAGCATTTGACAGCCGGCTGTTCTTATCAATGTGTCACACGAGGCACCCTACCAGCTCTGTGCGATGACGATGGTCCCAACATACCTGAACAAGGGGCCAGCTTTCCTACTGAAACTCTCAACGAAGCAAAATGAGATGACGCTTCAGCGGATCGCATGAATTGAACAAGTGACGGTTGCAGAGACGTCGGATTAATTGAATCGAGGCGTATCGCAATACGCGTTGTTGGTGTGAAAAGATGATTATCTGGGCACACCGGGGTATTTGGTCGGCTCCAGTTTGGTGCAGAAGCTGGGTGTACAGGCGTTCGGAATATTCAAGTAGAGGCAGGCGTCGGCCTTGAAATTTCGCTCGTTCGGCGTATGCGAAAACTGGAAAGGGGCACAAACGAGATGGAGAAACCGGCGTGAAAAAGAGTCCCGAGAGAATTTGGTACAAGAAGGCAGTACTTGTTTGGTATTCCTTGAAGACACGAGCTGCTGGTGTGGGGTCAGTCACGGCATATGTTGACAAGGAGACAGTCTCGATCAACAATTGCCACAGCCAGTCATTATTGTTGTGGCCAGACGTGCCAGTAGGCTATACCGACGGACACCGGATTGCAACGACAGGGTTCAAGAAACAAAAGCCGGAGTCGTTGATGCCCGAGAGGAGTATTTCGCGGGTCCAATTCTTGTTGTTGCTAGAGGAGGCGAGGTATCAAGGAGATTCGCAGAGGGAAGAAGAGTTGGAGGGATGACGGGGGCTGCCGAGATGAAAAAAGATGCTTACTCCGTAATTACTGACGGGGAGGTGCAGACAGAAAGCAAAGCAGGGGATTTCAACGCGGAGGCGCTGGAGAGGCGGAGAGGCACTTGGGAAAAAACAGTCCCAGCGCGACCAGGGTCTCAGAAATTGGCAAGCGGAACGACGACAACAAGAGGCGAGAGGCGGATGAAGGGGGAGGGGGGGGGCGTGAACTGTGAGCTCAGCCGCGAAAATAAAGTGGTTGAGCCTCCGTTGGCGACCGTGCTCGTGCAGCGTCTGGGTCACTGGTACCTGAGTGAAAATCCAAGTTCAGCGTTCGGAGCTGGTGCCAGTCTGTTGCAACTGCACCACTCTTGGCGGACAAGTCAACGCTAGTTGCGTGCTAACTTGTAAGACTTGTGGTGTTGGTGCATTGGCTCCAAAGGTTGTAATTTGTGGTGGTGTGCGGAACGCAAAAAGTTGACGTTGGGATTGACGTTGAGGGGCCCGAGTCAGTTGTCTGTGTCTGTGTTTGTGTCTGTGTCTGGGCTCTGCTCTGCTCTGCGCTGCACTGCCTTCCGGCGGTGTTGGTGGTGGTGGTTGGGGGGGTGGGACCAGGGCCAAAGACATCGGGATGGTCGTGCAGCCACTCATGAGCTCTCGAGTTCAAAGAGGGAAGGAGCGGCATCGTGTAATACAAGTCAACCTGGAGCACCAAGCACTCCATGTTCGCAAAGGGACTGGTTGCTTGACATGACAGGCGGAACGTTTAGAACATTCAAGGTAGCATGTGAGGCCCCAGATCGTCCTCGACTCCTCGGCCATTGCTAAGTATGAGGGGGATGCGTGGTCAGACGTTGTGCTGGGACGCAACGTCTGAACATGCGCAAGGGTGAGGTGCTAACCGGTGCCTTTGGCATACGGAGTATACATACATAAGTTCCGAACCTAGGTGACTAAGTACCTACGTATGGTGCACTACGCGTAACCTTGAATTTGGATAATACGGTACGTCGCGCCACAATATTAATAAGGGGGACGAGAACTGTGACAGCCGTGCTAGGCAAGGTGCACGGGATATATCAAAATGCGTATGTACCCTCATCATGCAACAAAGTTCCCGACACACACAGAAGACGACAGACTTTCATAATGACTGCTAATCACTAGACTTGCCTCCCGACTTCTATTGCGAACGACCGACTTGCCATTTTCACATTGAACTACCACGCCGTCCTCTGCACCCCGTTGCTCGGATTGTACGGAGTGCGCGACTACTTACTACGTTACTTAAGTACCTAGGTACCTAGGTATGTAGTGTGGCCCACCAGCGAGCGGTCTCAAATGTTTCTGCCCTTCGCCCGGCCCCTCCCCCCAAATCTCCTTCTCATTTTCTCCACCGTCAGTCCCCCGGTGGTTCCTCCCTGTGCCCATCTCAGGCTCCCAATGCCCAATAGCCAGGCAGTGCTTGGGGAAGGTGGCTGCCGTGGCGAAAGGAGACATTTGAAGCGGCAGGAACAAACCTCAGTCTTGACTACCTAGGTACTTAAGTACGTACTTGAGTAGAAGTAGCTGCGCATACGGAGTACATGGGGGATTCCTTGTGAGCCTATCTAGGTAGTACCTGCTAAGTAGGTACCCAATGCTGGCGTTTCCAACCGCGACTGCCACCACGTGCAACTAATTGCTCCGTGACTACTAAGTACCTAAATCTAGGTACTTGTGAGACCGCAATCTGGCGAAATCGCTGCTAGGTCGCTCTCAAGGGGGAGGGAGAGGAAAGGGGAAGGGGGCGAGTGCCGATGTGTGAAACCGACATCTCCAATGCTGCTGCTGCTGCTGCTGCTACTGCTCTACTACTACTACATCCTTACTACGTCCGTGGCCGAAGTCTTCAATGACAACTCTTGTCCGGCGCCATCTCCTCGAAAGCGGTGTATGTAATAAAGTTGAAGCTACGGAGAGAGTCACGCCCGTCCAGCCTCGGAGTGGAGTGTACATGATGTGGTACTCGAAGAATAGGACTTGACGCAGCACCTCTGATGGCCTGATTCGCCTGCCAAGTCGCTTCGGAACACGCTGACAACCTATCGATTTACTAATTCTCATCATAGTTCCGTCATGACATTTGCCAGCTGCAATAATGCAGGACTGCCTTCGTTTCACAGATGGGAGTGCACGGACAATGGCTTTCCTGTCTGTGCCTGCATGCAGAAACACCGGCTCGCACGTTTTGTGCAGCAACACGATCCACTGTGCAGGTACCCACAGGTATGCACAAGCCACCGAGGAACTTTTCGCGACGAGGGATGGATGCACAATGAATGCATTTCATTGGAGGTCCGGCCCATAGTAATAATACCACGTTTGGTAGCCTTCGGCAGCACCTGACCTGACTGCTCGTGCCAAGGTTGGCGCACGCAGATTTCTGTATGACATGGAATGCTCCTTTTGGCGCCATGGATGGCTCCCCGCCTTCCAAGCTTTTTTTTTTTTTTTGCCAGGAATATTCCATACGGCTATAACACCTTGTCTACTCCGTACGGGTAAGATCTACAGTAAACCCGATTCGAGCACTTCGTAGTTCCTCCGTGTCGGGGCCTTGTTCTTACGGTCCTAGAAACTAACTAATTATGACCAATTATCATTGCACCAGTCGTGCCAAGTTGGCAGCACTACATTCTCTTGATGCTTCCTTTTTCATTTTCCAGATGTTTCTTCAGCAAACAGCAAAGACGGCCTAATGGATGGCCGACTTTAAATGCCTACGTTCTGTCATAGGCTCGATTAGTATCGACCGAAATAAGCATCGCCAGGCAGAAGGCCAAGACAGCATCATCATCTCACATGTCCTCTTCCACCCACTTTTTGCTCCTCTGCTAATCTGCTTCCTCATCCTTCTTGTTGGCGCTCTCAAGACGCTGTTTGGCATGCGCGTGCCATTGCTTCTGCTCCCGCACAAGATATCGAATCATCGTCCGTTGTACGGAGTAGAGGGCACGGCGACCGCGGCCCAATTCCATCCGCGTACCATTGTTTGGAGGTGATTGCCTTTTGTCCATGCATACTTGTGGGGCACCTAGCATCTAGTAAGCTAGTTGCGGCCGCCACAAGCCATAGGCGCTTTCTTTTGGTCATTGATGCATCAATGTAATTGGTTATGATGCCTGGTATCAATCCTTTCTTTTGCCTGGTCAGATTGGTGCGTACGGAGTACCTCATGTATTATTATTATGTGCTTGGGCCACCAAGACCCTTCTTCCGGGAAGAGGGGCAACGCAAAAAGAATCCCACTCGAAATCCACTGCACAGCTACAGAGTATCTGTACGCTGTTACTCCGTACGTAGCACGTTCTATTGAACATTGATGAGCAATACTAGGCCTTGTTCCCTGAGCCAGTCCGAGACAGTGGGGGTGCTGAACACGCATAGGTAAACTATCAATGCTCATAGGTTATCAGCATAAAGATCTGACGGACGCCCTGCTGATACAAAATCAGGGTGGCTTGCGTCAGTTTAATTTCGTCGTGGTTTCGTAGCCTGGTTCGGCTGCGATAACCGCCGCCCGAATTGACGGAGATGAATCCCTCAGCGGCTTCTTGGGTATTGATAGCGTCGACGGCCTCTTCTGCCGTCACGTAAAATAGCTGCAGACTTGATTGAGGATGACATGGCAGGCAGGATAAGCCAAAGTATGAGTAGCAAGGGCGGGCGTTGTGGTGATGTGTAGTATGATGGTGTTGACGTCGAGAGAGAGGCTGAAACCGGTGCAGCTATTATCTTGAAATTGTGGACTGTGCTAGGTACCTAGGTACTTGGGTAAGCTCTTTAGTACGTACTAATACCGCAAAATTATATGTAAAGATACCTGGCCCGGTCAGACTGGCTCCACCTATGCGTATCGAGTGCCCCAAAACAGGGTGGAAGGAGTTGAGTTCATCTGAATGTCATACAGAGGTTTCTCGGAACAGAGTCTGCCGAATAGATTGGTACTCCTTGTTTCCAGTGACAGCATCACACTACGTACTTCAGACATCACTACAGTTTGAGCAGCAGTATCCTCTCACCACAGACGCCACGCAACAGTCACGAGACCACACTAATTTCATTCGTCATTCGACAGAGACACTTTCCGCCTAACGGGCCGTCACCTGCGCAGAGGTACTAATTGTAAGTAAGGTGCTCAAGTCTTCAAGGGACCTTCTTCCGTGCTTCAACTGCAAACTAGGGTTTTTAATAACTCGTCCCAACGTGGCGCCCACTCACACAATACAACAATGTCTTCGGCACTCCCGATGAAACCATCTGCATGCAGCATAGAGGGAAGCAAACAGTGGCCTGGCCCACGTGAACAAAGTATGCGGGCTATGTGCTCTCCGTGGGGGCCTAGCCGCCTGGTTCATGCTGTAATCAGAGGAGACCAAAAAGAAAAAAAAAGAGAGAATTTGAGGCGCAACATGCTAACTTCACATTTTTGCACTCCGTAGCACGAGGTTTTGTTTCATAGTTAATTCGAGGCTTGCAAAAGAAAAGCCTGTCAGCGACACGCTGTTCCTTCCCACTTGACATGCTGAGTCGCTCAAAGTTCCGAGGCGACCGTCTTTCCAACGCCTTCTATCCTGTGCCCGAGCCACTCTGCAGTAAGGGAATGTGCAGGGCTTTCACCAGCCCTCCGTCCCTTCCACGAGGTTGAGTCTGTGGAAGGAGGAGAGTCCCCGCTTGCGATTTTACGGGCCAGGATCTCGGCTTCCCGTGCACCAATCATACGGTTGTTCCTGACGCTTAGCCGTTTTCGCACAAGCATAGTGCCACTAAGTCACTCTTTCCCCTGAATAGTGGTGGGTCAAAGTCAGGGGAAGTGCCAGGGGCGTGCAATTTGTTTCGCGGGCAAGACCTTCAGATGAACTTTCCCATTTCGCTTTGGCTATTCTCCCCAGTCAGCCCCTCCCACCAAGGCACCAATCAATGGTTCCCACTGACATGGTCTGATGCGTTGACTGAGTCATTGAGGCACTGTTACGGAGTACGTACTAGTTAGTAGATGTCTGCTTGTCACTCCACACTCTCCCTCACGTGTGGATCGTATCGTGCCAAACAATCCGCAAGCTTGGCAAAACCGGTAATTAGGACCAGATATCGAGATCGAGCCATCTGGGCAACACGTACGTCGCGACAACAAGGCCATGGCATTTTCGTTGAGTAGAAGATGCAATTCCGCTTGGAAATATTGCACGCTAAACCCAAGGACCGCACGAGGCTCTTTAACTGGTGTACAACAAAGTCAGTACCGATCAACAACGCTAGTAACGGCCTTTTCTATTGCTGGCAGCGGCTTCCCACTCAATCATCTAGAATGCAGCGTCTCAAGAACGCTCTCAAGATGTGGTACGATTCGGTAAGATGCAGTCCAACGCCATGAAGCGCCTCGTTTCACTTCGTCACGTACACTAACTAGCATCCCTCCTAACAGCTTGAACTAACGTCATCACCCTCGCGACGATACTTGAACATCTGTCACTAAGTTGCCTCATTTGTGTGGCAGGTGGCGGCGCATGTGCCTGCCGTCAGATGTTCCGCGCTTAGAAGAGTTTCAAGTCAAGGTCCGACGGAATCGCCGTTATTTCTGTGTTAAGGGGAGCTTCCAGACAGAACTGGAGATGTATGTGGCGGCGGCTGAGCGGCGCAGTCTGACAACTTTGGGCGTCTATCGTCCCTAACATGGGGCAATCATCAATTGCTAGCATGAAGCCTCAAAATGATTTGTAAGTTGACAATGCTTTACCGAGATACGACAACGTGGTCTAATAATGCCTCATGCAACGAAGCGTGGGGTTCAACTGGCACTAGGCCCGTACAGCATTAATCGAGAGATCATCATGTGATTCAAGGCTCGCGACAATTTCGCGACGCGGGGAACACATTGGCGCACGGTTCTTTCTCCGTACATCTTTGCGGTATCTCAGGACGTGTCGACAAGAGTCCAGTAATGACCCGTCTCGGTTGACGCCTTGGACATGACCTTCCAATCGTGGCGCGATGACCATTGCCTCTACTTATACATTCAAACTTATCCGTGGCCGGCAAAGGATAAAATGGTCGTGACTTTGCGCGCTAACGGTGCAACTGGATCATCGCTTTACCAACGGTGTGGCAGCCTGGATTAGGATCATTATCCACATTAGCTTCTCCAAGTTCGTACGAGGATACGGGGTTTCAACCATTCAAGCCAAACCGAAGCATGTCAAGTTTGCCAAGCGGCAACTTGCACGAAAATCTGTCAACACGCCGTCGTCGAGCAGTTGTTGATGAGGAACAATGACGTAACGAAGCAAATAACATCACCCATTACTACTAGTACTGTTAAGGCCGATTTTTCGAATGGTCTATCCTTCCTCCCCCAGATTATGAAACAGACGCTTGTTTTCTGTGCAGCCCGGGCTCCGTGGCCGGTTGCTTTTTTTGGCTGTTTGGTGATCTTTTCCTATCCAAACATGTGAATCAGGATTGTTGGCGTGGTGTGTGAGTGGTGGCTTGAAGGAATGAAGTGGCTGTCTGCCCAAGGCTCAGTGACAAACCCACGTTCATTCGAGCTCTTGTTGGCGGCACTAGAAGGCTCACCTACGAAGCTCTCGACACCATGTCTACTGTCACTCTCGGGGCTGATAGTTCGAATGTGCAGGATGACGATTCCGTACAGCCACAAATACAGATGCAAAACACCCCACAATGCATCGCACTGAAGCAGACCACGGTGTAGCACATATGCAGGATATGAACAATTCAGCATCTTTTCATACTCGGTGAAAAAGGAGCTTGCGGTCGTACAACTACAACTAGTACAATGCGTTTCATGCTATCCGCTGGACGGGGAATCCTGAGGAAACACGATCCAGGGTATCACGGGCATCATCCGTCATCCGTCATCCAAGCCCAGCCAAGACAAGGGGGCCCACACACGTCTCCCTTGGGCCTTGGCATTTTGAAACCCCATTTACTACTTCGCGTAGACGGGCAGTTAACCAATTCGTTACACAGCATAAGGACACAATGTTTCGTGTGGAATGACCAGGATATAACGTTTTGCCAGACCCTGCACGCCTTGGTTGGTGAAGCCCGGGACAGAATCGATCTTTGGCCATGCTACCCTGCAACCAAGGTGCCTTATTGCTTGAAAAACCGAGGAATGCAGATTTCAAGGTCTCATCCTATTCATCTGGTGTGAGGCTTCATCCGTCTGGACCGAAAACGGAGAAGTTGTCAATACATAAACCTCGAAATACCATGCTGGACGTCATCATTGTTGGGGCTGGTATATCCGGCCTGACATGCGCAGTTACCTTGGCCAAGTACACGCGCATCCGAGTGACGATATTAGAGCGAGCAGATGCCATGGACAAGGTGAGTTGGTTGCAGATCTGTCCCCAACGGTGTGTAGGTTTGGTCTATACCTATGGCAATGCAGCACGTTGACTGTATCTCAGGCCGGAAACGGTATCCAGGTGCCATGTAATGCTGCTCACGCGATGCGATGTCTCGGGCTGTTGGATAAACTCCTCGCTAAAACGAACGGGCCGGCAACGACGTTTCTTAATCTAAGGTACGACGACGGCAAGATACTTCTACATAAAGATTTGACTGTGTGCGAGGGACTCTACGGTGCACCATGGCTGTACGTCTGCCGTTGTGATTCTGTCCATATATGGCCCATGTTGGGTGGCTGGTTTCAGTCGAGTACTTTGTGTACTCATTTCATGACATATCTAGGTTGATCCATCGAGCGGATTACATGACGGTGCTCCTGGATGAAGCCCAGCGAGTGGGAGTCCGAATCAAGCTCGGCTGCGATGTGGACAGCGTCGACTTCGACACACCATCTGTCAGACTCAAAAGCGGACATGTCTACCAAGCCGATGTCATAGTTGGCAGCGATGGTACGATTCATACAGCCCCCTCCCAACTGCTCCATGCATTCTCATCACCCGTACTGACGTGACGCAGGAATCAACTCGACCGTTCGCTCCATCATGCACCCGTCGATACAGCCCATCCCAACCGGTGAATATGCCTACCGCACGCTCTTCGCCCGCTCGCAACTCTCGTCTCCATCCTTCCAGCACCTCCTCTCCACGGCCGGCACCTCCCGCTGCTGGATGGGCCCCCTCGCAAACGCCGTCTTCTACCCGCTCCAGGATGGCACCCTCTTCAACCTGGTCATCGCCATTGCCAACCCACACTTCAACAGTACCTGTGATGAGAAGGCCCTCCTTTCCTCTGTGCGAGCCTGGCTCTCCGGCTGGGACCCGACTCTGCTCGAGATGCTCGACGCAGCAAGCCACCTCGTCCGCTTCCCGCTCTACCAAGTCGACAATCTGCCCTTCTGGTCCAAGGGTTGCGTCACGCTCACGGGGGACGCCGCTCACGCCATGCTCCCACATCTGGCACAGGGCGCGGCGACAGGCGTCGAGGACGGCTTTATCCTAGGCACTCTGCTCGGTCGACTGTCCCAGCATGTGTCAGACTCGACGCCACATGTGGTGCTGCAGAACCAGCTGCAGACCGTTGTCCATGCGTACGAACAGCTGCAGCATAGTAGGACAGCGCAGATTGCTTCCGGGTCCCGCTTGACGGGTATGCTGGACCATTTGCCACAGGGTCCGGACCAGAGGGCCAGAGATGCCGAGTTTTCCACGTACGATCCCACGAGGACGGTGAGTGCCATGCCGTGGATCGACGCCCGCACGAACAGAAAGTTGCTGGGGAGAAAGGTGGACGAGGTTGCCGAGGCTCAGTTTGCACGGCTGGTGACCGAGGGCGGATTAGATGACTATAGACTGAAGTTATAGTCGGGTCAGTAAAGCAAGTATCCTTTCTGTTATTAGCGGCAGTCAACGACGTCTGTCGTTGGGACCAGGCAAATATTGAGCACAGCGCACATGGTCTAGGAACATTACACCTATTCAACCGTGTTTTACTACTTCGTCCTCCTTTCTGCTCTTCATCGTACAAGTCTAAGCAAGTCTAGTTTATCTAGATGTCGGTGACAACATATCGAACCTGCGAAAAATAGGAAGAAACCCCTAACCCCCAAACCCCCCCGTCCTCTATGTGCAATAATAATCATAAAAAGACACCAAATGGTATTCTATCTAGAGCCATGTAGTCGTAACAATGCAAGGGATACGCCACAGATATGTCCATTGTCGAAATGATGGGTTTGTGCATCTTCAGCGTCTATGTAAATGGAGTACTGTCCGCGGGGCAACGATACTCTTTGTATGACGGTGTGGAAAAGTAAATGTACGGATGTTGGGAAAAGGCTTTTCTGGATGAAAGTGGGAGCGAGATCGATTACTCCTTCTTCGCCTTCCTACCGCCGAGTTTGTTCTTGGGCACACGAGCGAGCCAGTACACAAACAGAGCGGCGGCAATGTTGAAAAGCACAAAGACCCAGAGCAGACCAAAGTTGCGCCAGCGATCGCTGTAGTCGCTGCTGACGCCGGCGAGGAAAACGTTGGTGTCGCTGATGGTGCAGAACTCGCACGTCGATGTGGCGTCGGGGTTCTTCAGCAGGCCACCAAAGACTCCAATGTAGTTGTCCATGTACTGCCAGCAGGTCTGGTTGGAGGGAGGCTCGAAACGAAGCAGTTCATTAGCTGCGCAGACGACTTTAGAATTGGCGACACCCGTAGCTAACATGCCTGATACAAGGTATGTAAACGGCGAGACGCGGTCTGTCACCAAGCGTTAGTGTGGTCTAGAGATGGAAGTAAGACAGAGCGCGCTGCAGCTTACACATGAAAATCCAAAACCGGGGCAGAGTTTCCGGGGTGGCGAGGACACCGCAGAAAATCAAGCAAAGCGTGAACAGCAGGTTGGCCAGATTACCACCGGCCTCGGCAGTCTCAAATCCGGCAACAATAAAGGTCGAAAAGGTACCCGTGAAAAGCATGAACATGAGCAGGAAAAGAAACATGAGAGCGCCACGCTCGGTCACGGCGTCCGTGGGGATGGCGTTGCGGTAAAGACCAACGGGATAATACCAGCAGAAGTACATGATGACAGCCATCAGCGAGTTCCAAGGAAGCTCAACGATGATTTGAGCAAGCATGAAGACCTTCCAAGAATAGACCTTGGAGGGACGTTCACGGGCCTCGTATAGAGATCGCTGAATGATAAACTGGGGCATGGACTGCTGCACCATCTGACCAAAGATGGTGAGGAGCTGGAAAATGGCGAACATTTGGTTCTGGAGGCCTTGTTTACTGTTGGGAGCCCTGAAGAAGATGAAGCCGATGAATAGGGCGACGAGAGTGCAGAGAGCAGTCTTGGCGTAGATGTACACAGGGGTTCGCCAGTACTGCTGAAAGACCCGATGAATATTTTCCTTCAGCTGGACCATGAAGGGAGCAGCAAATTCACGATAGCTGCCAGGGTCCTGTTCAATAGAGCTGACCGGGGTGCCGGCCTGCTTCTCTGCCTTGATGGTCTCGAGCTCATCCTGGACAGCCCTATACTCGGGGCTGTCGCGCCAGGTTTGAAACCAGTCAATGTCGGTAGCTGATCCTGGGGCAGCGCCAATGACTTCCAACATCCACTCCGCAGGGTTAGCTGCCTCGGGGCAGGGATGTCCGCCGTTGCGTTCGAAGTAGCCCGTCATGGTCCTGGAATTCTCGCCAATGTCTCCAAAGTACACAGTCTTTCCACCCTTTGCCAGGAAGAGAAGTCGGTCGAATCGCTGAAATAGCATGGCAGAAGGCTGGTGGATGGTGCAGAGAACGGCCTGTCCAGCTTTGGTGAGCTTCTCAAGAAGATCGAGAATCGCCCACGAGGTCTGCGAATCCAGACCAGACGTAGGCTCGTCAACGAAGAGTAACAGGGGGGGCTTGGCGGCAAGTTCGACACCAATGGTGAGACGCTTACGCTGTTCAACGTTGAGGCCCTCGCCGGGAACACCAACGACAGCATCAGCATACTCAGTCATATCTAACAGCTTGATGACTTCCTCCACATATGCCAGTTTCTCTTCCTTCGGGACGTGAGCAGGTTGGCGAAGAAGGGCACTAAAGTTCAGTGCCTCGCGGACAGTAGTTGTCTGCAAATGTAAATCTTGCTGCTGGACATAGCCAGTCTTGCGTTGGAAGGACATGTCGCGAGGTCGTCCATCCACGAGCATCTCTCCGGTAATAACTCCCATCGAGGTTCTGTCTGCTAGGCAGTCTAGAAGAGTAGTCTTGCCGGCACCGGATACACCCATAAGTGCAGTTAGAGTACCGGGCTTAACCCATCCGTCCACGTGATCCAGAATTTTCCGAGTCTCGCCTTTGATCTTGATCTCGTAGCAAACGTCGTGCCACTGGAAAATAGACGTCTGCTGCTGGAGAATGCCACCCTCCTTGCCTTGTCCACGACTCTTCTCTGCCGTGATAATTGGGCCAATATTGGCCATGGCAGCTTCTGGGTCGTTGTGTCGCTTCTCAGCTTCCTTAGCCGCAGCCGGCTTGTGTCCCCTTCGATAAACGAGGACTTCACCTTTTGATTTTTTCTCGGAAACAAGTTCGGCGGCAATCATGTAGCAAATAAGGAAGAAGACGGTGAAGGCAATGACGATGCCGAAATTGCGCCAGCGATGATTCCAATCATAGTCAAAGTTGGACATGACGTAGGCGTCTCCATTCACATTAGGGTTTCCAGCGACAGCACCAACTTGAGAACATATTTGGTTTTCAGAGGCCACATTGGCGTATTTAGCGAGAACCTGGGCGGCACCAGCAAAGGGCGCTTTCGAGGTTGGCACATAGTCTGTGCACCTGAACTCGCGATCATGGAATTCATTAACCATGAGAGCCTCAAATGCATAGCCGAGAGGGTCGATGTAGCTCAACCAGCGGCACCATCCAAGCATATACTGTTTGGGCAGTACGAACCCGGTGAAAATAACAAGATCGAGAATGAGAATAGCCGCGGGTACCAGAGCCTGAAATAGAGTTCGGGAGGCAGAACCAATGGTTCGGAAGATCATAGACATGACCATGACCGTTGAGAAGCTTATGAGTAGGAAGAAAAAGAAGGCACCTGGTTCTCGTCGTAGATTTGTCATGAAGTAGAGTGTGATGTTAAAAATGATTGCGTTTGCAATCTTGTACGGCATATCGCAAAGCATGGAAGCGACTGCCTCGGCTGAGGGATGATAAAGCGCATAACGAGAATGTTTCTCGACGATTGGCCGTTGTGAGTAAAGCGTGAGAATCTGCACATTTTTAGGTCAGTTCCTCATTTCAATTTCGTTCCAAGTTTGTAGAGAGACGAGGTTTCTTTTCCCTCACCTCGAGAGCGGACGCAAAAGCGTTCATAAGACAAGCGAAGAAGAGCAGTGCGCCACGTTGGAAGAAACTAGACGACGTATCATCTAGGTTGTAGAAAACGCTGCCAATAATGAGAGCCATGATGAGGTTCCCAACGAGGGCACCAACAGTCAGACTTGGATCGCCAGCAAGGCGCTTCCAGCCGCGCCACAAACAAAGCTTGATCTGTTGGGCATAGGAGAGAGTAAAGGGGGACTTCTTGCGCTGGCCTTTGGCCTGTTGTGCACGGCGGGAGGCACGGAAGGCCTCTGCGTCAGGACCGTCAACAGGGTGGGCTTCCTTGTACATTTCAATTTCCGCCTGCAGAGCCCTATACTCGGGGCTGTTCTTCCAAGCAGCGGCGAACTCATCAGGCGTGCGAGGTGCCTTGCCTTCAAAGCCAGGGCGGACGATGCGCTCCAGAGACGAAGTCATCGAGGTGAGGAAATCGGGAGTAGTCTGACGAGCTGGGCATTCGAAGCCCAAGTTGACAAAATATTGCTTTGCTTCGTCGGCCCGCCCAAAGAAGATCTGTCGACCCTCATACAAGACAACCGCCTTGTCGAAAAGATCATAGGCAGTCTGAGGCGCCTGGTAGATGGAGACACAAGCGGTGCTACTAAAGAGTTCGGTTTGCAGACGGAGGGTGCGACAGAACTCGACAGCATTGGCGGCATCGAGACCTCGAGTCGAATTGTCCCAGCACTGTAGAGGAGCGCCAGAGAGGGTTGCCTCCGCAATGGTCACACGCTTTCGCTCGCCACCAGATACGCCACGGACATACTCATTGCCGACACGAGTGTTGATGGTATGTGATATGCCAAACATGGCCATGACAACATCACGCACGTGGTTGGCGAAGTCATGCTTGTTGAGGCCCTCCGGTAGGTCTCGAGGTTGACGTGCCCGCGCAGCAAAGGTGAGAGTATCACCAACAGACAATTGGGGAAAGTGGACATCAACTTCTGCGGTGTAGATTGCCTCGCCACGATGTCTGGTATGCATTTCCTCGGCCGAGATGCCTGCATCGCAACGGTTAGCCACAGCAAATCTCTCATTGGCGGTGTTCAAAGTACAAGTGATGTACAAGAAAAGGTTAGAGGGGTATGAATATATGGTGTGGCTGGCCCAAGACGCCATCTTCCGATGCCATTCCATGTGAAACATGCCTGGCCAGGCGCGGGTGCGACAATGTCGCAGATTCGGCCCAAACGGCAAGTTCCGTTGGCCTCGGGTCAAACCCAGTGGATATCGCGGCGTAGACTTGTAGGATAGAGTATATATATATATATATATATATATATATATATATATATATACATATGCCCACTTGGCGCAAGACGACTGGCTTTTGTGCTTGTATCTCCTTTGCTTACCTTGATAATTGAAGTAAGAGCCCTTTTCAACGAAGATACCATTCATCTCGCCGGCAATAGTCTTGAGAAAGGTAGAGCAGCCAGAGCCGGGGGGGCCCAGAACAACAAGCATCTCCCCCTTGCGAACCAAGCCGTCAAAGTTGCGCAGAATGTCGATGCGCTGCTTGCCGCTCCCCGTTAGCTGGCGAGCGACGCCAGCCGCCGACAACCAGACGTTGGCGACATCTTTTTGATAGTCGGTGGCGGCGCCGAAACCGTGGACATTGAGGTTCCGAAAGCAAACGCCCGAAGAACGGAATGATTTCCCGTCCCGCACGGCGAGTTTAACAACGGCCTTTGCCCACTCCCGGCCGCTGAATTTGGGCGAGTTTGGATTTAAAGGGGAGTGCTCGTCCGCAAAGAACGGATTCTGTCCTGGCGCCATGGCTGCAGAAGTTCGCGAGTAGGACCGTGCAAGAGCCTGGACGGCGGATGAGCGACGAAATATTTCCGCTTCAACAGAGTCGTCGTCGTCATTGTGAACTTCTGTGAGGGAAGTAGACTCGGTCTTGGTCGGATCGTCGTTGACGGCGGCCCCGGTGTCTTGCTCGTGGGTTGGGCCTCGAGCAGCCAAGGGGACTCCGTCTCTGGTCGCCGTGGAGTCGTAGTTTGTGTTGATGCCATACATGGCGACGACAGCGGCTGCGGGGGCACTGCTGAGAGCCACTCAGCCGGTCGGCACGGCCTTGGCAGACTGTGGTTTGGTGGTGATCGTCCGCCGACGGCGAGTAGGCGTTGCAATTCTTCACCCCCGAAATCGTGGCAGCGTGTTTGCCAAGGGGAAAGGACCAGAATATCAAGGCCTCGCAGATCAATTATCAAAGTTCGACGAAGTACTAGCAGACAAGATTGGGACGAGGAGGGACGCTCGCGGTTATAACAACACGCGAAGTAGGGAAGGAACGACGGAAGCTTTGAGCCTAATAAGGACGAAAGGCCAATGGCCACCTACTTCCTACATACTTGAGGTAGGTAGGTGGGAAGGTAGCTAGTACTACTTGGGACTATTACCCGATGCAAGAGTGGGAGTAGACCCCCCCCCCCCCTTTCCCGCCCCCGAGTATAGGAGAGAAAAAGAAAAAAGGCCGCGCCTTGTTGACGGACGAGCCAGCGGCCACCGAAGCCACCCCGAACTTAAGCTGTGGTGGACTTTGCGGACATTAAGCGGTGGAGTTTATGGGGGAAGACCGCGGTAAGAGATGTCGGGGCGTAAATCAAATCCGCTCTGTGTCGCTCCATTTTGCTCATGATCCCGGCACAACGGCAGCGTCCTTTCGATAAACGCTGGGTCCGGGAATCTACAAGCCTAAGTAGGTACCTAGTTAGTACCTACGCATACCAGAGTCTACTTACTTAAGTAAGTACTTAAGTAGCCAGTGGTGACTCTGTGAGCACGTTGCTGCGGTTTCTGGCTGCGAAACGTGGCTCCACACCCCGGATACCTAGGTACGTACCCAAGGTAGTTACTGCAAGTCCAAGTAAGTACTTCAGTACCGGAAGATGGGAAGCGAAGCCGATGCACTCAAACAGTCCGCGGCAGCGGGGCGAGGCGTCAATGTTCATTGTTCAGTCAATGGGTCGCTGCAACGTGCTTCGATGACCATGACTCTATTCGGACCATCCGGATCCGACCATGTACAAGCGACGGCCAAGTACTAGGCAGAACGAACCAAGCACACTTTAAAGTTCGGGGTCTTGGAGCAGCCCGACAGCCCGCCCCCCACTCCGCCGTCCACGAGATGCCCCAGGACCACGCAGCTTTTGGCCGGATTTTGGGGGTGTGCGTAGCAACGAGACTCCGTCGACTTCGTGCTTCACAACCAAACCATGCGGCGACACGGGTATTAGCCAGGCCGGGCCTCGTTAAAACTCACGGGACGGGACCTGCTGGCCTTGACGTCTAGAAAATGTCGTCATCAGATTCTCCCGCAGATCAGATCTGGCTGCCGGCTGCACCTTGTCGTCTCTCGTGTCACGACATCTACGATCTGACTCACCAGAGTCACCACCAAGCGGCCATCCGTGCGTGCCCAGGGCTCATTCATGTCAGGGCGAGCACGCGCTACGCGACCAACGAGCCGACACACCGACACGGACGGACACGTCGCCTTGTCCGGGGGTGCGACGAGGGCAGTCTAGAGCAAGCGTCCAACGTCATCATGGTGTGGCAGCTCGCATGCAACCATTACTCCGAACACCACACCACGCATCAAGAGACCAGTAGCCAACAGCTTTTTTGCCTCGCCGCCCAGCCAGACTGGGCCCTGTCCGCAGATTCTAGGTTTTGCATCGTGGCGAGGATAGGGTTGCCAATGCCTCACGGGAGTTACTCCGTATCCTCCCTTGACTGACACATCTCGGGCGTTGGCCTGTCTGGACTCTGTACCACAGTCAGTCAGTCATCAGTGATGGATAGCACTTGGAAACACCGGGCAGTGCAGCTATGTTTCTTTGGCCGTGACGCCTCGGTTGTCGACCGCTAGAACTACCTCACGGTGTTGGGTGTTGACGCGGCGAGCAGGAGTTGCCGGGTTGAAGGACAAGGCATTTAAGCTCTGTGTTAGCTCTGAGATGGTGCGTGTGAATGACATGTTCATGATTAACTACCTAGTGCTGCAGGTCTCGAGTATTTTGACATGGTTTTAGCGTTGCGTTTCGTCTCGTCGCATCCCACGATGAACGTGGCGAGTTTAGACTTTTTATTTTCATTTTTATTCTTCTATTTCATTTCATATATTTAAATCGCGTTGGTTCTGTACCATTTCTACACCAAGGTGGTGCACCGTTGTTGCTAGCTTCCCCCAACAGGTGTGTTTCCAGCAGTTTTGCACGATACCCATACAAATTGAGACAAGAGTCTCGCCTCGGAGTTGACGAGGCAAATCCATGCGTCAACGTGTCTATATTTACACAGGGGAATGGTATTCTCCAGCACGAAGAGAGCAGAGAATAGTTACAACAGATTGATGCCAACTCCCATCTGAAACCCCTTGGTTCCAACCTCGCCCTGGCGAAGGACTAGAGGAAGGCTGAAGTTGAGCTCGAATCTGGCTACAGGGTGAGCATATACAAGTCCCACGCCGGCAGCCACGCTTGGCAGGCCGTTAAACAACTCCCCAATGGCACCTAGCATGCCATCGCGGACGGCGCCACCACTGAGTCCGTGCGATGCGGCCGCTGCCGACCTGTTCTTGTCATTCAGGGCGACCAGTCGGCCACCATTGGCAAACACCTGGAAGCGGAGGCCGGAGTCTGGTCCTTTGTACGGAAGGGGAAGCAGCATGTTTACGCTCCCCGCGGCGAACACATCGCCTCCTACCGCGTCTGCGCCGTCGTGGGGCCCGAGGCCGCCGAGCTTGAATCCGCGGACGTCGGTAGGCCCGCCCAGCTGGAAGCGGTCGTTCAGACGACTAGGTGACGACTTGCCACCTAGGTTGAAGCCCAGAGGTAAGGGATACAGCATGCCCATCCTGAAACCTGCTCCGATAGATGCGCCCGATCGCTCCTGAGCGCCGGGCAGCGGGATGGGGATGGCACCACTCATTTCAATGTCACCCTTGGAGAAGGAGACATCACCGCCGAGGGGGCCAGTGCCTGCAAGTTCCAGTCCAGATCGTAGCATGTACCCAGACTGGGGCAGCTGTGGATTATCGCGCCTTTCCCGATAGAACGTGTGCTTGATGGCGCTCTTTATCGTGTCGCCAGAGTCCTGACGGACGGTAGGGCTAGCACCTTGGCGCAGACCAGTGATTTGTCGCCACAGACCGGAATATTCGACGGAATGCATGTCTCTTTGGGAATTGAACCAAGAAAAGCGCAAGGAGCCGCCCTTGACTACCTCTTCATGTGATGCCCATGGCTTTTCTGCGGCTGATGCCAGCCCTTCCAGCGAAATTCGCCTGTCGGGATCACTCAGCACCGGGGCACTCAGGTTGGCGCTGTAGGCTGATTTTGTCCTCGTCCCGGCTTTGGCATTCAATGTGAGCATCTCTGCGCCGCCAAAAATGTTTCTCCAAAGCAGAGATCCATAAGCCGAGCCTTCACCATTGCCCACGTCGGTACCAGTCTGGAGTTTGAACCGGGGCAGTTCTTTCAATCCAATGGATATATTGACGTCGTAAGGATTCGTAGAGGGATCGGCCTGGCTAGCCTGTGACAAGTAGACCGCTGGAGGCTCCCTGAGAATCTCTTCGAGCCGTCAGCAACCAATCTGCTCAGTACGACGGCACTGATGCGCGGTCAACTTACGCAGCCCGGAGAGCTTCGAACTCGCCACTTGAAGGAGTGCCATGACCTCACCGACCGTGGAAGGCGCATTAGAGCCGCCGCGGAGCAACGGCGCACAGATTGGGTCCAGAAATCCTCGTCGAATGTTCTTGGCGCCGTTGACCGAGATCTCGTTGACGGTCATGGGCATCAACATTTGATCCGCCATCTATGTATGGTGTCTATTAGGACGGCTTTCCATTACGCGTTTCACACTTCCTCATACCGTTTGCGCAACTCTTCGCTCCTTGGCCGCATGCTCGGCGTAACGAAATTCGGGCGATGTTTTTGCAGCATTGAGAACGTCGTCCGTACTCGAGTGAAGCTTGTCGATCAGACCACTGGGCTGTATGAACAGTAAGCTTTTTGCAGTGGCTCAATCCGAAATACCGCCGCCTTACTGACCTGTCCCGGGGCGGTGCTCGCGTTTGGCGCCATGGGAAAAGACTAAAGGCAGCACGACTAGCCAATGCCAAAAGATGATGGCATCGCAAAACCGAAACCTGATGTCGTCTGCGCTCTTGGTTATCGGCGAGGATCGGCCGCCGTGCCATGCGCTGCGCCACAACTAGCTGTGGCGCATGAAGCATGTCTGTCCCAAGTGGCGCGCGGCCGCCGCTTGGGCTCCACGGCCAAGTCCGTCCGTCTTTGGTGACTTGGAAGTTGGAACACTGCGACTGCCTTGGCCCAACATGCTTCACACAACGACGACACTTTGATCCCACACCGTGAGCTCACATTCATTCCCCCCCTGCTTTTTTGCAGGCGACTGCTTTGTTGTTTCGGACTCCGCCCTATCGTCGGTCTTCTCCAGCCGCCGGCACGCACGGCAGCAGCCTGCTGTATTCGTCTCTGCCCGACGTATTCGACTGACCCTCGATAACGTCCATCACTACCGCCACGTCAGAACTCATGGCAAGCAAAGCGGCACACAAGCGGGTAGGATATTTCACGCGAACTATCGCCTCGGCGCACTGGGCTGTACTAACGTCTCCAACAGTTGACCCGCGAATACAAGACGATTTCCGAGAACCCGCCACCTTACATTACAGCCCATCCTTCCGAGTCGAACATCTTGGAGTATGCCTTTGCCGACCACCCCCGCACACATTTCCATACCGCTAATGATTATTATAGATGGCACTATATTATTACCGGCCCCGAAGAAACGCCCTACCACGGCGGGCAATACTGGGGCACTCTAATCTTCCCTCCCAACTATCCGTTTGCGCCGCCCGCCATCCGAATGCACACACCTTCAGGACGATTTCAACCGTCGAGTCGGCTGTGTCTGTCGATATCAGACTTCCACCCAAAGTCATTCAATCCCGCGTGGGAGGTTTCGACCATTCTCATCGGTCTCTTGTCATTCATGACGAGCGACGAGATGACCACTGGTTCCATGTCAACAACCCAAACAGAAAAGAAATACCTTGCCTCACGGACTCGATGGTGGAACTCTACAGGCGGAGGATCTCAGGGCAGGCCTTCTATCCAAAAGGGCAACGTCAAGGCCGGCGATGGAGGCGCCAAGTTCCGCGCCGAATGGCCCGAAGTCGACACGGAGAACTGGGAGTGGATGAGGAAGAACAAGATCGAGTCGACAACAGGTAACCGGTTGGATGGCGAGAACGGGTCATCTTGCGGGCCACAACTAGGCATCACGGGGACCAGCGGCCACCAGGCGCAGGCTGTAGTGGATGCAGTTGTTCAGCAGCGTGATGCCGGTCGTGGTTGGATATATCGGAACAAGCTGCTGGTGGCGGGGGCGGCAATCTTCATTTACGTGCTCATCGCGAGACTCGTGAGCGGCGAAGGGATCGCGTAGGGCGACGTGAAGCGGCTGACGGTCGGAAAGCGAGGGTCGTGACGCATGCCTGTCTGCGTCCGTGGCTCGAGGATGCCTGGCATGGCCGCCGCAATTCTGATATACGAGGGACTCGTGCCAAGTAATAGCGTTTTTTTTTTCCTTTCTTATTTTGCAGGGATCTACCCAATCTTGCGTCAGTAGACACGGCAGCGTTGAGGCGGATTTGGTTGGATGCGTGCAAAGGATTGACTGGTTGGGCTCGTCACTGTCCCTCTGCTGATGCAATCAAATTGGCGGGACGAGTAGAAGCACAAGAGCACTAGGATGAATAGAGTATGTTGGTTTCTGGTTTCCAGATTTCAGTTTCCAGTTTCCAGCACGTTGTCGACTGCAACTTGGACGCGACACAGACTTTCAACGGCAAACTGCAGCCCGGAAAGACGGCAGCGTACAAGGGAGCACTCCACGATGCGGTCCGCTTGCCCTGGTCGTCGCCAGGTAGGCTAGACGGGCGTTGCGGCAAGCGAGGCAAGCGAGGCAAGCGAAGAAGCACGCAGGACGGTAGGTACTTGAGTATAGTACTGCACTCGCGCGGCCTGGACATGCAGCCCGCACCAGTTTAGTACAGTATAAGAAGTACCTAGGTAGGGAGGTACTCAAGTACTACATGGGTGCTTCCATCGCCAAGGCTCAGGACTCGGGATGGCTGGCGAAGACTCGACTCGGCATCCCGGACACACCGGGCAAAGCCAGGCAACGCTGCATGTACGGCTGCAACGGAACCCAATCGTCGACGGGACTCTCACCGTCGGCCAACGTTCAAGCGCGTTTTATATCTAACCCTGCAATAGGGTCACTTTGGGGCGGGCTCGACGGCGTTTGAGAGGAGGAGATGCAGTGGCCTTGGGTGTGTGTATAGTTGTGTGCGTGTGTGCGCGTGTGCGTTGCTTATTTTATCTTATTTGCATTGCATTCTATTTTCTCATTTTCTAATTATTCGGCTCTCGCATCATCAGGCTCTCGTCGTGGCGCCTTTCTGAATTGCGTGACGAACGAGAATAAGCATAAAATGTAGCGCCACTTTCTGTAGTGCCTCGGGACTCGGGAGGGACAGTGGGCTGCGGCGGCCTGTGCAACCGCAGGACAGTTGGCTTTGACAGGTGGACTAGGTACCTACCTAGGTACTTAAGTAAGTAAGTTACTCACTTAACGTACTCAAGTAAGCACGTTTCGCCGGGCTCTCGAGTCTCGACAGAGTTGGCAGTGCTGGTGGCGTCTGGTGGTTTGCAGTTTGCAGTTTGGGGTCTGGACCCCTGTGCTAGTGGGCCTCGTAGCGGTCGGTACCCAGTAGCAGCAGCGTCTGGGGAGCCCCAGGTGTCCTGTCCTGACTGGCCGTGGTGCCAACTCAACTACTTACAAGTAAGTGCGGAGTAGGAAGTAAGTAATAAAGTGCCGACCTAAGTACGGAGTACTCGGTACGTGTACTGGTAATCATGTACTCCGTACCTGCCCAGGTATTATTATTCTTGCGAGCCGAGACAGGGATCAATGGATGGGTTTCTGGTACTCGGGTTTGCAGGGCCCAAGCCAAGACAGCGGTAATCCATCACAGTGTGTTTACTTGCACAGACCTGGTTAGCCTGCCTGCGCTCCGACTTTGGATTGACGCCCTCGTCATCTTGTCTCGCGGCGTTGAGTCCGGTAGATACTGTACCTACGGCGTAGGCAGTACCTACCTACCTAGGCACCTAGGTACTTTACAGAAGCATTTGGGTACACGCATTTGTGCGACCTGGCGTACCGCGGACTGCGTTCCGTGTGCCAGTGCCAGTCCCGGCATCGCCAAACGGCCAGAACTCGACCGTTGCGGATGCTGCTGCCGCGGCGTGGATGCCGTCACACTTAGCGTGCAGACAACTCTGACGTTCGATCCGGGCCGCACCAGTCCGTCGGGTTGCATGGGGCCATTTCGAGACAGCAAGAACGAGCAGGAAGCACAAAGTCGACGAGGAGCTGTCTTGCCGCCGGCCCACCTTTGCCGACGACTTACATGGACATGCGTGATACCAGCCAGCTAGCGGCATGATTATATCATGTACGTAGCATGGCATACCTCAGACATGCGTAGGTCGACTGGGACATGTTGTATTGTCTGGCACTCGAGTCCTGGTCGCCGTCGGCCTGGTCTCGAGTCTGGACTGGAAAGCAAGTAAATGCCTGCCGACGAGGCCCCATGCCCTTGCCCTTGCCAGCAACTCCAGCACACGACTCGGTGATCCCTGCTGGATTGCTGGATTGCCAGTACACACTGAGTGCTTGCCATTGCCGCTGATACGCCGCGTCGCCTCGTTTCTTTCTTTTGCCTGCTCAACCCCACCGACTAGGCTTGCCGACACACGCGGTGGCGCAACGAGCTGATGAAATAGGACACGGAGCATGACGGGCCTAATCCTCAAGCAGCTTCCTCATCCGTCCGTTGCCTTGGTCTGGTCGCCCTCGCCCTCGCCCTGGGCCAGCCCGTCCCGCGAAATGGCGGGATGGGTGTACTCCGTAGGCATTGACTGCTCCCGTAGGCCCTTTCCCCCCCCCCCCCCGGGTCTGAGTTGGCGGGCGGAGGGACCTTGCAAGAGTCTCTTTTTGGACTTTCCGTCTGTCTGCTTATACAATCCAAACTACGCTTTGACCTCCCCAACAGGTTGTTGTATGGGTCGATTGTTGTTGGTCTCTCGTCCCTTTTGACAGACGAACAACTTCTTACTCTCCTCATAGACATGACGGTTTCTACCACGGCCAGGAACACCGTCGCCATCATTGGAGCGGGGCTGACGGGTCTGCTCGCGGCACATGGGCTGCAGCAGGTAAGACGCAGCGTGCCGTTCTGGCCATGTGAACATACATCGATATCGCGCTTGACCGCCAGAGAGCCTTTTCGCTGACCCTGTCGCACAGAATGGCTTCCGCGCCGTCGTCTTCGAACGAGAGGCCAGCATCGATGCAAGGGACCGTGACTGGACCATGTTGGTCCACTGGGCCATGCCCATCTTCGAGAAGTTGGTGCCAAAGGACATCATTGCGGATCTGAAGAGCGCCGTTTGCAACCCCTATCTGGACTTCAACAATGAGGTAGAGAGCATTCCCTGCTACAACGGCGTCACCGGCGACTTGCTCTTCCGCAGCCCCCTGCCTAATGCGAGGCGAGTCAGCCGGCAGGCATTGCGCCGGTTGCTTGCCCGGAGAGTCGACATCAGGTGGAATGCCCCTCTGAAGCATCTTGTTCCCACGAACTCCGGAGTGCAGATCAGATTGGAGGACGGCAGTGTCTTTGACTGTGACTACGTCCTGGGAGCCGACGGCTCGTCGTCTAAAGTACGAGAGTTTCTGCTGGGCCCTGACGTCTCCCGGCCTCGCGGCTCCGGGTTCCAGTTTGCCACGGGTATCACAAAGTTTGGAGACGCCGAGAAGACGGATGCGATTGTGCAGGCCCATCCTGTGGCCGCGCTGATGATGGGAACAGCCTCGGTCGGGGCTGTTGGCGGTACGTACATGACCATGGCCAACCAAGAAAGACGAGGAGGCTTTGTCCATCATCTGGCTGACGTATGAAATTTGTCTTGACCCTGCAGTCATGTCAGCCGACAATCCAGCCGATGAATCCAACTGGACGATATTCTGGACCAAGATATGGAACGGCGAGGCGGTGCATCTCAGGGGCAACGACGCGCTCACCTACGTGAGGGAGAAGACGACGCCGTTGCGCGACGTCTTCCAACACGCCATTGACTGGACGCCGGAAGACAGTAACGTCTTCATTGACGAGATGAAGTACTGGAACCCAGTGCCCTGGGACAACCATGGAGGCCGAGTGACGCTCGCTGGCGACGCGGCCCATCCCATGCTGATATGTTTGTTACACGCAACAACAACCCAAACCCAGACGGCGGGCTCTGCCGGAGCAGACGAGAAAGATGGGACTAACCGACTTGTGTGTTTTCTTTCTAGATCGCGGCCAAGGGTTTCAGCACTCCATCACAGATGTCGACAACTATGTCAAGGCGTTGACCGGGCTGAAGACGCTGAGCAGCAACAATGCGCGCAGAGAGGCGGTAATGGCCAGCTACGACGACGAGATGATTCGGAGAGGGGCCAAAGCGGTCCAGGAATCCTTGGCGGAGGCGAGGAAGTCATTCGACCTGGACACAGTCAAGAAGATGCTCATGGCAACCCGGGGACATGCCAAGAGCGAGTCATGAAATTTTATTGTATTTTTTGTTCTTTTTTTTTTTAAAAAAGAAGAAGAAGAAGAAGAAGAAGAAAAAGAAGAAAACTAAAAAATTAAAAAAAAAAATACGGCAGGCGCGCGCGAGCGGCGTGGCGTGGCACTGCTTGCTTATTTAATCCAGAATGCTCGAAACTCGAAATTCCCGTACTCGGTCGTCATGGCTTCTTGTTCGGTGCTGCTAGTGTCATGTGTCATGTCTAGTGTTGAAACGGCAAGGCGTGACTGCAATGCGGACTGCGGACTGCTGACTTGTCAAGAGTCAGTCAAAACGTTGCGCGGGCTGCCCTTGCCCTGACGGAGGAAACTGAGACTTGACGCCGCGGGCCGAAGACGACTGTGGGACCGGGAACATTCAACTGGGCGGCATTTCAACGTCACGTACTTGAGTGCTCCGTATTACTAGTAGTAGTACGTACTCCACCCAAGTGGGGTGGCCTGCCTCGCAACGCTTCTTCCCTGGGGGGGGGGGGGGCGCAATTGGCGCAATTGCATTGTTGACATGTCAATGGCAGCGGAGTGTGAACCTTATTAGAGGATATATTGGCCACAATACAAATCGATCGTGTGTAACAGGTGACCCTCCCGTCGATAAGGGCTGCCTGCAACACCACGCCCCGCTTTGGCTTAGATGATGGCTCAGCAGTCGGAGCAGTGACAGGTCACTTTTGTCCTGTGCCCAGGTCGCAATCCGCGCCTCCCCCGTGGTCGACTGGTCGACGGGTCTCAGTTGGAAGTCCCTTCCTAACAGACCTGTGCGGAAGTCTCCTGCCGAGCCCGATATGCACATACATGGCTGTCAGTTCGGCGCAAGCCAGAATCGTGACTACATGCGCCACCGCTGCCTTCCTGCTCATTGAGACAAATTCGACCGGGCGAGGCGAGCAGGGCAGATTCATTCATTGACTTGGCTTCTTCAATCGCTTTTCCGTACCCTCCCTACCCTCCGTGCCCGCTCAAGCCGCCGTCCACAGGCCCGCAGGTTGTCTGTGTCGCATCCTTTGCCTCGACATTCCGGGCATTGAGCCGTCAGCACAAAAGTCCATCTACGCATCATCTCGACACAACCTCGGATCCCATCGTCGTCGTCATTACTGTCCCCATCGCCTGCGCTGTCCGCCGTGTCGAGCACGCCTGCCCGCCGGCCGCCGCGATGGTCTTATCAAGATCTCGCGAGCAGGCCAAGAGCGCCGGAGTCGTCGACCCTGTCCAGTTTAACCATCGGGAAAACGACCCCGACAAGGTCGAAGCGCCTATCGATCCTAGGGAACCGCCACAACCATCACCACCACCAACAGCAGCAGCAGAAACAGAAGCAGACGTCGCACCAACAGGACCCTCTGCCATGGTCCGGGCGACACAAGCGCCGGTAATCGAACCCGGTACTGAGTCTGATGATGAATTCGATCTGGATAGTAGTCTCCCGAGCGACGACACGACTGCAAGTTTATCTTCGAGTATCTACACCTCCTTCTCGTACGAGCGTGGTCGACGCTACCAATCATTCGGAGATGGCCGGTATCCCATTCCCAACGATGACTTGGAGCAAAACCGGGAGGATATGAAGCACGCCATGTTGATGATGCTCACTCAGGGGAAGCCGTTCTTCTCACCGATAGGGACGCACCCACAAAAGATATTGGACATTGGCACGGGGACCGGTTAGTCTTTTCTTTCCACGCCGAAGTGGAACATTTACTCGCGAGTCACAACATTCGCTAACGCCTCATGACGACAGGGATATGGGCCATAGAAGGTTTGTGACAATCCTACGCTCGCCAGAGAGGAAGAGGGGGGGGGGAGGCGAGACTTGTTTACAAATTTGCCGTGCTAACAGCTTTGCGCTTAGTCGGTGACAGGTATCCCAGTGCACATGTCTGCGGCATCGATCTCACACCAATTCAACCGGAATGGGTTCCGGCAAATGTTTCCTTTTTAGTCGACGACTGCACCTTGGACTGGATAGAGCGAGACGTCGACTTGGCTCATTTCCGATTCATGGTCATGATTTTAAAGGACATTCCTACGGTTCTCGGCCATTGCTACGAGTATGTGACCTGGTGCCATTGAAACTTTAGCTCGGGCTAGCCATGGTTGGTTATTGACAGTCACCCTAGGAGTCTCCGTCCCGGTGGGTGGGTTGAGCTACAAGAGCTACATGGCGTACCGCTCTGCGACGACGGGACAATGACGGACGAGGATCCCGTCAAGACCCTCTACGACACCGCCGGTGCCGCATATAAGAAATTTGGCATGAGCACGACGCTTCCCGCAGAGCTCGAGCCTTACCTCCGCGAAGCTGGATTCGAAAACGTGCACTGCAGAATCATGAAAGTCCCCATCGGGACGTGGGCCAAGGAAAAACTCATGAGGGCAATAGGGCTTTATCAGAAAATGGCGATACTGGACTTTATCCCAACGCTGGTGGGGCGACCTTTCCAGGCTTTGCAGATATCGGAGGCAGAGGCAGAGGTTCGAGTGGCGTTGGCGAGAAAAGGCTTGGAGGACCCGTCGACTCATCGGTACTTCAACTACTACTTTTGGTATGCGCAAAAGCCAGCGTCCAGGAGGGGTGAAGATGAAGATGTGTAGTCCCTTTTTCTTCCTCTTTTCTGTGTCTTCTTTGCCCGTTTCCTTCTCCAAGACTGAGCTTTTGGCATTGCATGGTGTATATATATCGGGGAGGGTCGGCTCTTGTGCTAGCGAGCTCATGAACTTATGATTTTTACGACCAAGAGGCTTCTTGTGATGTTGAAGGGCCAGGATCTAGCTAGGGGCATTGTTGATCACCCATTGTACATTGAATGTACAGTAAGATGCGGCGTGCATGCGCAAGAGACTGTTGGAAAGTTTTTTGGTGCTTGTCCCGAATTTCTAGGCGGCCCCAGCCACGGTTACATGTGGCGCGGCACGACTTGGTCCTACCAAATAAATTTGCGGGGACGGCTCCAGGCGCCGTCGTGAAAAGACGTAAGACTAACAAAACACCACAGTATTCAGACTGTGGGTGACCGCCTCGTCACGAAATGCGTACACGACATTGAGAGGCTTGTTTGGCCCTGACTGGTGCAAATCCGCAGCATTTTTCTACGACCAAGCCAGGTAGATGGTGTAGATGGTGTCGAAGGATGAACTGGTTAGCAGGGCGGGTCTTTGAGATTTGCTCCGTACAGGGTGTGTAGTGTCCGTCCTCCGCATGTACGTACCTACTCATCAGTGGCCGGCTACCACGACCCTTTTTTTTTTTTTTTTTTTTTTAATTTTTTAATTTTACCTGTCCACCAGCCCATCTTCTGCTGGCACCCACCGGACCACGATCCTCTCTTCCCCTCAACACCACGCACTGGGACGTCTGGTGAGAGGTGCATGCGACTCGGTGCATCCTCTCATGACGGAACCTCTGCGTACTGGTCGAGACGTCTAGAGCATTTATTCTATTCTTCGCTCATTCTCTTGTTCTCGCAGCCTAGCGCTGGCTGCGTAAAAACCAACCCAGACCAGACGACGCTGCCGTCTCGCCGCCTCCCCCCTTCCGAACTCCGACCCCCCCCCCCCCCCAAAAAAAAAAAAAAATCCTTATAACCGTCCTTGGCTCCTTTTTTCTTCTTCCCATCGTTGATACGTCTCGTTTCCACCCATGGCGCCGCCAAATGGCTCTGTCAAGAGCCGCAAGGCTGTCACTCCCAAGCCAAAGCCGAAGCCCGTGGTGCCTGCGTTGCCTCTAAAGCGGAAACCAGCATCTGTCACCGTTGTAACAACGGACAGCGTTTTCACGGCTCATGGTGCCAGGGCAAATGCTGCCGTTTCTGAGACGTCCCAGTCTAAATCGCAGACTAATGGTGCGGTGCCGAAACACATGGCCGGGAATGACACGGCAGCCGCAGTTCTGGATTCACAGCGCACGGCTGAGTCACTGCCACGGTCTGAGGGTTTAGCCAACGGAGGCACTAGCACAAACGGACAGGCCACAGTTGGTAAGTGTATTTCCGCGTCGGGTAGCCCGGCCTGGTTGATGCCTATGGTGTGCATTTGGCTGATGTCGAGTTTTTGCTTTTCAGTTGCAGAGGCTGCTATACCCGAGCCCCAGGCTGGGCGCAAGGCGACGACTGACGTCAATCAAGAGACCGACTCAGCTAAGAAGTCAAATGGAGCTACGAGCGGTGCGCAGACAGCCGCCAGTGTCTCCCCGACTGATCTGACCTCGGCTGAGCAAACGCCGCAGCCAGCCAAAGATCCCAATGTTGCGTCCAAGAATGAGCCAACGCAAAAGCCAGGTTGGTTGACACAGTGAAATATATCCCTTCACAGACGTCATTTGTTTACTAACCCGCATTGCCCAGTCCAACATCATGCTGTCAAAGCGGTCAAGGGTCAACCACCCCCGGGCATGTCGCCGTCTCGCTATCAGATGCCCCCCCCATTTCAGCCCGCCAGTCGACCATATGCCGTCGTGAACAATGGGGACATCTCACGTGGCCCGCCGGTTCCTCTGCCCAGTGGGCCTGTTCATATGCACCACTCGCATCCCAGCAATAGCAGCATTCACTTTGGCACGTTCCCGGCGTCGCAAAGCCCGTCTCCAGTGCCTCCTCACACTGGGGACATGGTCCCTCCACCCGGCATGACGACGGCTGATGCTCGTCCGGCATATATCGGTCCGGCAGGGAGCGGCTTCCCACCCATGATGCCCCCTTACGGTGCAGAGATGATGCAGCCCGGAAATTTCGACAATTACGGGCGACCCGGCATGGCTTACGGCCCCATGGAGACATTTTCACCGTATGGAAACAATTTTGGGCCCTCGACGCCCCATAGCTTCCATGGCTCCCAGTCCTCTGGTCACCCCGAGGATGGTGGCATACATCACCAATACCCACCCGCCAACGGGCATCGCAACGGGGCTACTGGACCTGGGGAATCTGATGGACATGTCCATAATTACCAAGGCAGAATTTTCGGTCACCCAGAGTATTCGGCAATGATGCCGAGAACCGGCCTTCCGCATCAGGGGCCTGCTCTTGATGACGGCGGCGATGGATTCCTCGGTTTCATTCAACAGCAGTTCGGCAGCGCCGAGCTAGCTGATTGCACGCTGGAGCTCAGATATGTAGACGACAGGGCTGCTCCTGTTCGCATTCCAGGACACCGATTGATCTTTGCCCGCAGCGTCACTCTCGCTGAGCAAGTGAAGAGCCAAATGTATCAAGTGTCTGACCGGGGGATGCAAAACTTGCTACTAGAGACGGGGAGTAGATGGATTCGATCCGACTCCTTTTACATGGCTGTCCAGAGACTTTACGGACACCCGCTCCTCTCTATTCCGCCTCGAAACCGCGCAGAGTCAGCCGATGTCATCGATGCCGGCACGGCCAGCGAACAGCTTGACTTTGCCTTGTCTTACGCTGCGGCAGGCCACTTATTGGGATGGCCACCTGTCGCTCGTAGAGGTTGCGAAGTGGCAACTCAGTTGCTGAGCTGGCAGACGCTTGAGAGGGTCATCGAATTTGCTCTTGATGGGTCTTCTGACAATGGCTCCCATGTGTCTTACAAGTACGGGGAAGGGTCCAAGGTCCTCCTTGGTGCAGTGGTGACTTTCATCGTTCATAATCTGCCTCCCACGTTTAGCCTTGACACAGCAGCAGGACACCCGGGACAGTATGCTCGCCTACCGGAATGCCCTCCGCCCTCACCAGCCAGTAAGAAACGTGCGCCGGTGGTTGCGAAAGGATCCTCGGTGCACCTCGGAATGGGTCGGCGCCCTCAACAGCTTACAGGAATACAGTTTGGCGACCTATGTCTGGCAGAGGAAACTGGCGGGGGGTCGGACTCGGTGACCCCCAAGGCGGCGCAGCAAGCTCAACCCGTGCCACAAGTGGTGTTGTCTCGAGCCCTGATCAATCTTCCGTTCTCTCAACTTAAGATGATTCTAGAATCGGCAGGGTCTGGAAACGTAAACGGATGGGCGAACGCGGAGTCACGCTACCGCATCATTCGGAGTGCCGTGCAAGAGCGGGAGGCGCGACGACATCGCACTCTTGAGGCCGTCCTGCGAGGAGGTCTTCAAAGCTCCATCTCGCTTCGTTCTGCATTGTGCAATCCCGCTCCACAGGATATGGGCCGGTGGAGTCCTCTTGGCTGGCAGGAGGAGGTTCTCCCGTATGGTAATGCCGACGGACCATCTCTCGGACGCAAGTGGGTTCCCTCGGTAGAACCGCAGAGGACTTCTGAAGCTGCTTATCCTTGACGGGGCAAGTCTACGCGCTACGAATAACGAGACGTTGGGTTGACAAAGTCGCCAGCATACATTGCATTTTCATTTAAAAGTTTTAAAAGGATGCATTTTTATTTTTCTTGGTGAGATATTGTTACTTGCTCGTGCATGGAGTTGGAGGCGGTAAGGGTTCTCTGCGCGAAACCTCTCATTGATGATGTTTCTTTTCAGGGTCGCTTGTCTACGGAGGAAAAGATGAGCTGGCTGGACGCGAAGAAACAAATTGTATGTACCAAGACGATGTCCTATTCCAACATGGAAAGCAATCCTGTTGTTGGAAGACGAGAGAATGTCCAGATCACACATGGCAGACCAGGGCGTCTCGCGCGCCGCGTGGTTGCAGGATAGAGAGTTGCGACAGCTCCTGGGGAGGTTCGGGTTCAGGATACGAGTTGATGGGCGATGACGGAGGAAGAGGTGTATGGACGGGAGCATGGCGGAGGCCACGGGACGTGCTACTTGGGCCATTGCGTCTCATGGATTCGGCGCTGCATGGTTGAACAGGAAGTTGAGAGCGGTGTCACGTGTGGGTGGGCATGGAAAAGGGGCTCAGCCGGCTGCAGTTCTGGGATGCTCGGGATGTGTTAGCAGGCGTGGAGATGAGGGCCCGAGGTAACTGTGCTGCCGCAACTTCCAAAGGTCAGCGGGTGGGCGCAAGAAGGGACGGAGCAAAAAGTCGATGGCAACAGAGTTGCGGGTGACGGCGGGCGGATGAGATGTATATAATTTGATATGACATGATGGGTTGGGGGGGTGATTGGTTTTGCCTAGGCAAAAGTCCAAGGTTGAGCACTCGGCAGTGGCGGAGATGAGGCCTTGTCGCCTAGCTGGATGGCGGATGAGCTTCTACGGTTGGTCGACACGAGGAGAAATGGCCACGGGATGAATAAAAGCAAGTCGCACATGGTGCTGGTGAGCGTGAGCGGGTGAGAGGTCTTGTACGGAGTAGACGGAGTAGACGGAGCACAGGAAATAAGTTACGTCGAGGGGACTGACGTGGTTGGTGGCTTAGTCATGATCCCTACTCGACGGTCCATCGCTTGCAAGTTGCAACCGAACCGAGCCCACACTTACCCACCTTGGTAGGTGATGCAGGTCCACGGAGGGCCGACCAATGAATGCAATGAACGCCGTTCTCCACCTGCCGAGGTCCCAGTCGTCGGGTTGGACGAAGCGGAGGCTAGGAATTGGAAACCCTTGTGATGATGAACAGACAAACCCACACCTCGACATCGCCCTGCAACCTCGCGGCACCGCGCCCTCGTTGACGACGCCGTTGCCACTCTGCCTCTGCTTCCCCTCCCCCTCACGACACGGTCCTCACGGCGTCCGCCATTGTCAGCTTTTGCAGCGAGGACAAGCAACCCTCTGTTCTTTCGTCTGCTCCTCCTCATCGACAGACGGGACAGACTGGACGAGGAGGGTCTCTGAAAACCGCCTGACTGACTGACTGACTGGCTGGCTGGCTGCAAGTGAACGGCTTGTCATTGCGCGACGTTGACAACGAGACACGCCTGGTTCCGTCAACCCGGGGAAACGCCCTCCCCCGTCGTCATCGTCATCGTCATCGTCATCGTCATGGCATCTCCCGCTCCCGTCGACCCGGTCCTCCGCAACACGCTCCGGTACACCATATCCGCGCGCGAATATGCCACGCTTCACAGATACGTCATCTCGCGGTCCAGGACGCTGCGCCGCGCCGCGCCCACGCCTGCGTCGGTGGACAGGGCGCTGCAGCCGCAGCGAGACGGCGGCGACGACTACAATGCCAGGGCCGTGAGGCACGCGCTGAGGGTCTTTGTCGCCACCATGGTTGGCGTCAAGGGCTGGAAGGCCGTCTGTCGACGTGTGGACAAGAGGTTCGTCTCCCCTTCTGCGTGCGTCTCGCGCGTGCTCCCCAAACAAGACGCGCGCGCGGTCCGTCGAGCTGACAGGTGAGCAATCAATCTCGAACACGGCGCAGCCATGACGGGCCAAGGCAGCCGTGGCACAGGTCTCCGGCCCTGAGGCTCTCCCTCTCTCTCTCGTCGATCCTGCTCCTGTACCGCTTCCTCTTCCGCTTCCTCTCGCGCCTGCGCGCCCACCTCCTGGACGCGCAGGTCGAGCCGTTCCGCCTGCGCAACCCCCGAACCGCCGCCGCCCTCACGTCGCCGTACGCGCCGGCCATCGGGGCCTCCCTCGCCGGCGTCGCCCTGGGCGTCTGTCCCTCGCAGCAGCTGCGCGTCTCCGTCGCCATCTACGCCATGTTCCGCGCCCTCGAGTTCGGCTGGAACATGTGCGAGAGCGACGGCCTCGTCTGGGGCCGCCTCAAGGGGGGCAAGAAGCGCGAGCGCCCCTGGTGGTTTGGGAGCTGGATGCTGCAGCCGCTGGCCTTTGGACAGCTGCTGCACGCCGTCGTCTTTGACCGCGACTGCTTTCCTGCCGTGAGTCGAGTCGGCGCCCGACCCCGGCCCTACGCGTGCGTGTGTGCTGACGTCTGACGCTGATGCTGATGCTGATGCCGCCAAAGGCGTACGGCAGCTTCATCTTCAGAAACTCGCATGGCTACCTGCACGCGCGCCCGGACGACTGGTCCGGCGACGCAAGGTGGCCCTCGACCACGGACGTCGTCGACGGCCTGTCGCGCATGGCCAGGCTCGGCTGGCCGGCGTACACGTCGCCAGCCATGTTCCCGACCAAGCACGTCCTCCCGCCGGGCCTCAAGGCCATATCGCCGCTGACCTCGCGCGCGCACCCGCTCATCACGTCGCTCTCCTGCGCCGCCCTGCACCCCGACGACCCGTCGTGCACGCGCACCTATCTCACCTTCTGGCTCAGCTCGTTCCCGCCCGTCGCGCGCTTCTTCCTCGCCGTCTGCTCCGCCCTCACCCTCGTCACCAACCTCGGGTCCCTGTACAACCTGCCCGTCACCACGGTCCACAAGGTCGTTGCCCGCGCGCTCCGCATGTCGGCCTTTGCCACGGGCGCCATCTCCACCGCCTGGGCGTCCATCTGCTTCTTCCAGGCGTACCTGCCGCGGCGCGCGCTCGCCACGCAGCGCTTCTTCCTCGGCGGCTTCCTCGCCGGCCTGTGGGCCTGGGTCGAGCGTCGCCACGGGCGCGGCGTCTTCCTGTACAGCGCCCGCGCGAGCGTCGACAGCCTGTGGAAGGTCGGCGTCAAGAGGCGGTGGTGGAGGGCCATGAGGGGCGGCGACGTCTGGGTCTTTGTGCTGGCCCTGATGGTCACGGGCGTCGTCTACGAGAGGGACGCGAGGGCCGTCCGCGAGACGCAGTGGCGCAAGGGCGTCAGTTGGATCCGCGGCGAGGGCTGGAGGGACTGGGCCATTGACGACCACGACGATGCCGACGACGCCCACGACGCCCACGACAAGGATGATTGAGCTCTGCTCTACTGCTGTCGTGGGCGCGAGCCTGGCAGCAGCCCTGGCAGTCGCAGTCGCAGTCGCAGTCGCAGCCGCAGTCGCAGTCGCAGCATTCGAGGCGTCGTGGCGGATGCGAATGGGAAAGCGAGCTGTTACTCACAACTGCTTCCGCCCCTTCATCGTTGACCTGCCGAGGCGGGTTGGTAGAACGTGCCTGAATACAGACATACACATACATGCGTGCCACAATTGAATTTCTCGGTTGGGGAGAGAGAGAGAGACGTGTTCAGCTCTGCACGACATGCCGTCGCTTCCTACATCCCATTCGTTCCTCGCTCAATCCACGAGCGACCCTCCGACGGACCATCGTGACGGCCCCTCGTCACTCACCACACGCCCACGCCCATCCATCCCATCCATCCCTCGCCTCCTCGCCTCCTCGCCTACGGGGCCGGAACCTTGCCCGCATCCCACCACGGATAGAACCTCTCTCCCGGAGCCAACGACTTGATCGTACATGCTTTGCCCTCACACCCGACAGACGGCTGCGTGTTGCCCCACCACTCAATCTCAACCCCGACCCATTGCACAGAGAAGAGCATGATGATGGCAGATATGGCGATGCCCGCAGACAACGCGGCCGATAGAACAAAGTTGTACTACGACATTTCTTGTCAGTTCCCGGCCGCAACACGCGCGAGCAGGGCGAAAACAACATACCTTGGACCAAAAATCGAGGTACCGCCCACGGATGTAGATCCACGAGAACCAAGCTACGGGGACGGCGGGGAATGAATATGAAAAGCCTATTCTTGTTAATTTCCGTCAAGACACACACACACACACATATATATATATATACATATATATATATATATATATATGTATATTATATATGTATATACACGCGCCGAGAGTGGTACAAAGAGTAAAACGTACTATAAGGAGCCCACTGCAAACCCCCCGCAATCGCAGCAACAAGGTGAACCTGCCTCAGGGCGCGGTTATTCGGCCACAGCTTTTTGAGGCCGTAGAAGACGAGGACGAGGGCGACGCCCAGCGGGAAGCCTAGAAGCAGCCACCTGTACTGGCCATTCTTGCCAAACACCTTGATGGGACCAATGGTGCCCCAAAGCACGGACGCGGTGAAAAAAGTGTTTGGGCCGGGGCATCGGAAGCGCATGGGCGGGTTGAGGGTGCAGACGCCGCTTATTTCCATCTACGTCGTCTTGATTAATACATGGGCTCCAGGGGAATTTTACTACCAGCCGTGGGAGTCCAAAAGAGGAGTCATTACCTGGAACTTGAGGATGCCGGTGCAAATCAGGGTTGATATAAGCGTGGCAATCATTTGCGCGGAAAAGGTGACGCGGGGAGGAATCTAGACATCGTGTCAGTAAAAGCCAGAATACCAAGTTTCCAAGTTTTGGACCCGTGCGGGATGTGGTCAACCTTGACGTAGTGGGCGAGTTTCAAGTCGTTGGCAAAGGAAAGCGCGTGGGCACAAGTGACATATCTAATGCAGGTAATTATTAGTGCAACAGATATTTTAGGCCCTGCTGGGAGGGACAAGCTTACCCGTAGGACTTGAAAAAGTTCATTGCCAAGGCGTTGCCCTCGACAATCATGCCGCCGATAAATTCGGCGAGCACGTTGAGGGTTACTTCTATCCCCGTCATGGCGGCGACGATGCCGACGGGAACGACGAACATGATGCACAGCCATATGCCGTACAGAACGACGGCCGGCGACGTGTACGTGGGCCAGAGCGCAATGCCGAGGACGCCAAAGACGATGGAAATGATGAGAGTAAGGAAGTAGAACCACTCGGACACTACAGAAGCCATCAGCATGACACGCGGAGAGATGGCGCCGAGGGGGGAGGGCAATAAGTTGGATTGTTTGTTTTCTCAAGGCAAAATTACCTTCGGGATACGCAGACATGAGACGGTTATGAATATCGAGGTATTCGCCATCCGCCGCACGCTGATTGCCCTGCTCAGTCTCCCCCTCCTTCTTGTTGCGCCTCCATCGCAGTCCCTTAACGAGGTTCTTGAAGCCCATCTTGAGTTCATAGCGGTGGTAGAGAACGACGTGTGTAATCACGGCGGCGTAGATGGCGAAGAAAAACCCGTAAACCAGCGAGTTGGCAGCAGTCATGTAAGGCGCAGAGTACTTGCTGTATTTTTCAAGGTCGAACATGCCTCGGTTGTCCAGGGTCCGCGACACGTTATACAGCTTGCCGAAATGGTCGTAGATGCGGTTGCTGTTGATGGGGAGATACGCCGTGTTCCAGGTATTGGAGTACCAGACGCCAAGGATGAAGAGGCCTGTGATGAACATGCCGCCAGCAAAGTTGAATGTTGAGAAGGATGGGATCATCTTTCAGAAAGGGCGTGGTCAGCAATATATATATATATGTGTGTGTGTGTGTGTGTGTGTGTGCGTGTTGCGGTTGCAGCCAACATACCAGGGGGTCAGTCTCGTTAAAGTTGATGACGTTCCAGTCAAACGTAGGAAGTGGATTGAAAAGCTAGTCAAAGGTTAGTTTATTCGATTTACAACGGGCGTTGGCGGGCGTCGACTCTTGCAACAAACTTACGCCGAGACCATTCTGCATCCCGGTCAGAATGTTCAAGTGCACATTGTCAGGAGCAATCCACGTCATCCATGTAAAGTACGTAAGAACCTGAAACAAGTAGTTTGGGAACCAAAAGTAAACAAACATGGCCGCAAAAGCAATCATGAAGAATCGGTATCTTGAAATGTTCCAGATCTTGCCAAACGGTCCCTGCACGGGGTGGTTGTCCTCGTTGTGCAGAGCGGTATTGAGGGCAATGGTGACGAGGGATCTGGGCCATACGCAGTATGACGGGTACACGAGAAACTTTCTCGTTAGGCCAGCCAGACCATAGCCAATAAAGTTGGTAGCAAACCCGTTGAGGAAGATGTAAGAAAAGCTACGAGCGTACTGCTGGTTAAAGTACTGAGGAAGCACCTGGGTCCAGACGATGTACTGCGTGTAAGGCAGACTTCGAGCCGTGTTGGCCATGATGGCGATGAGCATGTGCTCCTTCTTGTTGAATCTTCCTGGGTTCAGGTTGATGGCCTGGCTTGTGAAGGGAATTCGCATCTCCTTTTTGGGCATCCACTTCTCCCATGCTTTGCCGACCGGATAGGCGAGTAGCTGGGCCATGTTCGTGTCGAATCGGATGGGCGGCTGACGGATGGAGAAGAGCTGGTTGACAAAGGCAAGGAGGCATGAAAAGAGGATACCGATGGTCCAGGCCCGGATCGTAGAAACCGGCATGCTGGGGTCGTCGTGGTTGTCTGTAACGGCGCGGACTTCGGCGTATGGACTGTTGTTGGTGATGAGAGCAGCTTCAAGCTTCATTTCTTGGACGAGGCTTTCGTGCTTTTCGGGATGAACCATCACATCAGTATTATCTGAGCGACATGTCAGAGTATATATCAAAGACAAATTGTAACGAACAAGCCGGTGTATGTACGAACTCATAAATTCCTGGATATTCTGCAGAATGACGTGGGGGAAGTTTGGATCCCCATTGTGGATAGCCAACACATTTTTCATCAGCTACTCGACACGTCAGTTGAAAGCCTGAAGATGACGTGCTCACGGCGATGCCTACACTGCGGACTTGCTCCAAGGTCATGGAAGCAGCCAGCTCCTTGGCCTCGAGAATGTCGTCTTCAGTGGCATTGAGATGGCTGGCGGCTTTGTTAGAGAATTTATGATGAGGCAAGACAACGTTCAAGTCTTGCTTACCCTTCAATTGTGCGAGTACGCTCGGCTTCTACCTCTGAGATCTACGAGTCGCCATTAGCACTGGTCTATAACTAGTTCACGGGTTGCTTTCTAGGGGTGGCGATTGGCAAGCACCTACCGAATGCTCAACGGTCTCAGACGCCTCCGTCTTCTTTAGAACCTGCGACTGCTTCTCCCTCGTCTCGGACGAATTTTCCATGGCTGCCATCGTACAGAGCCAACCGGCCGAAAAGAAGTCCTAGCTTGTTGGAGAAGGACAAGCTCACGTATCGAAAGGTGACAAGACATCAACGGGGAGGCAGCACGACCTCTCTCTTTTGATATCAAAAGCTCGGGGCGTCTGTCAAATGGGCCGTCCGTGTTGGGGGCATTACTTTCAACGGGCATTCGGGAAGGTAACTCAAAGTGACCACATCATTAGCTTTCAGGCAAGCTTCAAGATAAACAAGCAGCACTTGAACCCAATGGCTTGGTCTAAGCTTAAATCGATCGTGTGGCTGGCAGGGATGCAGTGGACAAAGGTTCAAATGGCTGGGAGGCTTTCAGTATCCACCTGCAGATCTGCACGTCCAGATCTTTTGTCTCTATCTGACTGACTGAATCGGACTGAACCTCGTTTCCGAAGGTGTTTTTTTCTACGGAGTACGCCGTAGGCGTTCGGTGTGCCAAGCAATATGCCGCCAGGATGATGCATATGCATGAGCTGTGTGTGGTGTATGTCGTGGTGCGTGGCCAGCAAACGAAGTCTCGCTCGCACCATCCTACAGGGTATTGTAGCGTCACGATTGCCGGGGACCACTGACAAATGAAGAAAGGTGGAAAATTAGACTTCTGGCCCGTCAAGGAACCAGTATCAAGGTTGACGTGCGGCGTCTCTCAACTGCCTGTTCTGTGATACTCGGCGCACTGATGGCAATTGAAATACCACTTGTTCGACAGTGTTCGCGAACTCATTGGATATCGGATTTCGAGCCTTGCGTTGTGATCCTCGAGGGGAATGACGACATGTGTTGGCGTCATCGCCCACATTCTCTTCCGCGGGAAGGGAGTAAAAAACTGCCCCTCTGTGTAACCTCCAACAGGCCAAGACATTGCCCCGTTTCTCCTGCCTGCAAACCGGCCCCCCCAAATAATCTTGGGTCTGGACACAACAAGCCCTTCTGTGGGCTTTGCGTAGTCATGGTAGTCATGGCTCGTAACAACGATTGACCGACTGTTGGTCGATTACAAGACATGAGGTTGCCTCGCATATTCCGTCATTCTTCCAAGCCGCGTGATCGCGGGGTGGACTCTCCCTCAGGTTAGGGTGCTTCGGGAAGACTATCTGTCGCGGCGATAATCTTCAAGTCCACACGCAGCAGCAGCAAATTTTTCCGGTTCGGGACAGTACGGAGTAGGCGTGGGGTGTTTTTCAAGTTGTTTGTGGCACACTTCTAAGAAAAACAATCCAGAGTAGGCAGATCCTGCGCCGTAGGATCTTTTGTTCATCAGTACTCCGTAGCTTCAGGATGTTTCAAGGGTAGCCACCGGGACGGGAAGGCTTGTAAGTTGTGAGCGAGACTGCATGCCGGAGCCAAGGTCTGCATGTGGCCGTGTGCGGGTTCCAACAGGTAGGGTTGCAGAACGAGGGCCTATCAAGGGAATGAGTGGTTCTATTTTGCCCTTTTCTTCTTAGTGCCTGGCAATGTCATTACCAAACACAAAGCGTCGCCAGGTAGGTAGGACTCGAGACTGTGCCGGTCGGTATTGTTCTGTTGGAAAAGACGAAAAGATTCGGACTTTGGAAGACGCAAACGACTGCCGAGCAGGGTGACTGACCACTCACTGCCAGGGTTGCTCCTTCCCCCGAACAGGATGACAGACATGGGATAGTACTCCGGTACTCCCTGCCTCAACCTGGCGCCCAAATCTCAAACCTCCTTCTTCATTCATCCTCCCTTTCCCATCGCCGTCGCCATGGTGCTCAACTCCAAGGTTGTTGCCCTGCGCAGTTCGCGCCCAGCCACAGTCCGCAACCAGGATGTCCCGGGGGCTCTACGTGTGTTCTCGACCCTGAAACATGTTGACCAACTCGGCAGGTGAAATTGTTCCTCGCGTGGCTGACGGTGGGCAAGCAAACGACCACCGCCCATGTTTGCAAAGCAATGACCGAGCAATGGCCTTCATGCATGCGAACATGCGCGCATGCAGTTGACAAGAACCAACCAGGACAACCCTAGATTAGACCGCATGCCATATCACGGATGTTTTGCGCTACACAGGCCACCAAAACATCTTGGCCTCGTTCTTTCCGCCAAGGATGACGTGCCGACAAACTGACAATATAACTTGCCTCTGGATATTCGTGGTAGGTGAGTGGTACCCTTGTCGTTTCTACTCATAGACATGTCCTTGCTTGTCCTCCTCGCCCAAGTAAGCTATATGTCTATGTGTCACACAAGAAGGCGGGACGCAATACATACAAAACAGTCGAGACATACATACGTTGGCATGGCAGCTCAGCTCAAGACTCCTTCCTGCAGCCACTTGGCACTTGGTTGTGCAACTCAGCCATCCTGAGTACGTCCTCGATTCCCCTACAGCTAGCCGCCCGGACAACGGCGGAACTTTTGTCAATGCGCTCAGGACGCTGATTATACCCTGGCCAAGTCGCAAAGTTCTGGGACATCCGAGACGGGAAGGAAGCACTGCTCCTATCGCAAAATAAGTGTGCAGAAAGGGCCTTCAGCCAAGATCTGCCCAGACGGGTCCTTCACTGATGGAGGCCTGACCGTACCACGACGACGATAGGAGCTTCTTTTCTCCGTACAATCTTGCACTTGAGAGTGTTATGGCGTAATATTGCCGTAGTTCGTCTCTGCAGCGCCGGGAGGGGGGGGGGGAGCTATCGCTACACCCGTCTCTCATAGACTGTCTTCATACTCTGTCTCCGCTACCCCCGATTCGGACCTGAACTTGCGAACCACAGAGCAGGCCTTGGCATTCGTTGAGTCCTTCTCGTATCCCACCCTCTGCGGAGCTTCACTCCCTCTGATACCAGGTTTGGCCCTTGACTGTTAAAATGTGAGAGGCGTGTCGAGGATACTGCTCAAGCATGCGTTTGGGAGTTGCGAAGATGTTTAAGAGCAGGTGAAATCAGGCTCGTCTTGATTAGAGCGAAGTAATCACGATTGAAGCCATGAAAAATTACAATTGTAAGGTATGAGCACACAAACGATGAATGTTCTTAGCATACCAGTGAATGTAGCCACTTCGCAGTGAGAACAATTTATGATAGTCAGTGACAAGCGACGTGAATGAAGGCATGTCGCTGAAAAAGGCCCGAATGCCCCGCGAACGATATGCAAACCTCAAATTGGTGTACACTTGTCTTCCTTTTTTTTTTTTCTGTTCTTCCCGCGCTATACCGTACAGCTTGTCCATCCCAACAAGGGTGCCAGAAACAGGAAGAAAAGGAAAGGAAAGAATGGCATTATCATCACTTTACATTCCACGCAATACAACATAAAGGCTGTCGGCAAAAGATTCCCCCAGTGCCTGCTATCTCTTTCCCCCGCAGCAGGCCATCTTCTCTTGTTCATTTCGTTCGTGAGCTCATCACTGCCCGAGAAAAAGGCAGGACCAGAAGGGGTCTCAATCCGAATCTGCCAGGTGGCTGATGGCGACGGCACCCTCAGGCAGCCTGAAGTGCGTCAGGACGCCGCCCCAGCTCTCCTCGCTGTATCCCTCCTGGACCTTCTTGCACGTCTGGAGCCCCCACTCGGTCACGCCAACCATGAGACAGCTCTCGAACATGAATGCGCAGCTGCCGGCGCCGACCTTGACGGGCTCCAGCTTGGCGGCGCGGGCGGCCTCGTGGCTGTCCACGTCGGGCCCGTGGCCGCTCATGACATTGTGCAGGGACGCGCCGCCGGGGACGAAGCCGCCGGCACCGCCCTTCTTGGCGTCGTAGCCGCCGCGGATGAGGCCCATGAACTCGCTCATGGTGTTGCGGTGGTACCAGGGGGGGCGGAAGGTGTCCTCGCCGACGAGCCAGCGCGGCGGGAAGATGACAAAGTCGGCGACGGCGGTTCCGGGGACGGGCGTGAGCGCAGAGAGCACCGTGAAGATGGACGGGTCCGGGTGGTCGAAGGAGATGGTGCCGATGGCGTTGAAGCGCCCGAGGTCGTACTTGTACGGGTAGTAGTTGCCCTGCCAGGCGACCACGTCGAAGGGCGTATGGGCCTGCGTCGTCTGGAAGAGCGTGTTGTTGAACTTGACCGTCACGAGGTAATGGTTGGGGCCCTCCTGGGCCGTCGCGCCGAAGTCCTCGCTGAAGTTGGCGACGGGCGCCATGAAGTCTCGGGCGTTGGCCAGCCCGTTGGACCCGATGGGACCGAGCTCGGGGAGGCTAAAGTGCCCCTGATACAGCTCCAGCGCGTATCCGCGAGCTGGGCCCGAGGCGAGGCGGACGTTGTACTTGATGCCGCGGGGGATCACGGCAATCTCCATCTGTCTGACGAGCAGCCATCCGAGCTCGGTGCGGATGTCGAGGTCGCCTTCCTGGGGAACAATCAACAAGTCGCCGTCGGCGGAGTAATAGGCTGCTTGCTCGTCCATGTCCTTGCCCGCGGCGTACACGTACATGCCGAGGCCCTGCTTCTGAGTAGGGTCACCGGCGCCAGCAACGAGCTTCAGGCCGGACACGAAGTCGTGGTCCTTGGACTCGTCGTGGCTGAAAGGATCCCAGCGCAGCTGGTTGGGAATGTAGTACATCTTGGAGCCTTCGGTTTTGACGAGATCCGGGGCAAAGCCCGCCCGGGAAGGCTGGTACGGCGGGTGAGCGCACGAGGGCAAAATGCGATACAGCCATGTCTGCTTGTTTTCGTGTCTGGGAGCTGTGAAGGCGGTGCCGGACAGCTTCTCGGCATAGAGACCAAGGGGCGGCGCCTGGGGAGAGTTGTGACCAATGGGCAAGGCACCTTTGATCGCTTCTGATCTGCCAATATGAAAAAAATCATGCCTTGTCAGCGCTTCCAGTGTCCAATGTTGTGTTTTGCTACGATCCGTGCCTCGCACTCGAGACCCTGGGCGCGAACCGTGGCAGAGACAGAATACTCACTCAAAGTGGCAGTCAAAGCCGTTCTGATAACGATACTTCTCTTTCGTTTCAAACTCCGTGAGCGGCATTGTGACGGTTGCTCTCGAGATGGATTCTGCTGTAGTCCCAAAGGAAAGGAAAAAGTAAGCAAAGAAGCTTGTCTCCGGAAACACCGGAGATATTATAGCTTTACTTCATTTGGAATGGAAAGCCCCGCGTGCACGGATTCCGAGCGTCCTCATCCCATCGTCATTAGCAAATGGCCAGAGGCACGAAAAATTACCCGCTCTGTCCAACTTTGCGGCACAACGACCGCGAGAGCTCCTGCATTCTCGGAACATGCCACGCAGTCTTTCCGCGGTGGGGAACGGCAGTGCGGCGCTCATCGGCCCGAGAGTAACCGCAAGCCCGGAAGTGAGTGGGCAGTTCCGAACCGGTCGATGCAGGGCCGATGACGCGGCGGGGAGATGCTGCGCTAACACCATTGCCCGGTGCCTTCGCTTTCATCTGATATCGTGCTATCTCCGCATGTCGAGCTGACCTGAACCAGGCCAAACGTTGGTCTTATTGCGTCGCGAAGCTGAACGAAAAGTTCAGAAGCTATGCGCCAAAGATTGGCACAGCCGCCTCATAAATCATACCGAGCAGACTCTCCCGTGCGATAGCCGTTCAAACACGATGAGTTAATAGTTCATGCGTATAAGCCGTTCCACCCGTGGGTCTCTGATATCTACTGCGCTTGCAGGACACTGCCACAGACGGCGCCAAATTGCCAGTCTCTCCTTCAGTAGTAGCTGCGCTACGTCCATATCTCACTTTGAATATGGCAGGTTCACACACAAAGATGATGGCGACCGTGATGCGAGGTGAAGGAATTAATACTTTCCGGCGGATCCGGAAGCTTGATTCTTCGAGACCGTCACCGCAGCAAGAATACCTAAGTATGAGTAGGAGAATGGAACAAGGCGCGATGCATCCCGCAATCGCTTATACATGACCCAGCCAAGAATACCTAATCGCAATATCCCGGGCGCCCGACTCGCAACGAAACCAGCGAAGCCAAACAAAAGAAAATTGATGGAACTATTGGAACAGATATCAGGGTTGTGTTCAGTATCTTACTCTTCGTCCTTCTTGCCCTTTTTCTTCTTGCTGCCGCCGTGGCCGCTGGTACCAGGCTCCTTCTGGAGGTGTACCACCAACCGCGTCCATGACTCGTCCTTATCCCACTCGAAGCCAGCCAGGTATGGATTGTCAAGCTCATCATCAGCCTAAGGGACACCAGAATTAGTTGTCGACCCACCATACATTTGACGAACCATTTCGGAGACGAAACATACCCGCTTTTTATATGCCTTGTATATCGCATCCATGGCATCTTTGATTGTAACTCCCTTCATGTTCCGTGCTGTTACCTCCATTCCTAACGGGAAGTGCAGGTCAATCTTCTTGACAGGGGGTTTCGTCAACATGACTTTTAATACACTAGGGTCCTCGACCGTGGTGGGGCTCTTGTTGATTTTCCTGGTTGATATCACGCATGTTAGCATCAAGGTTGGAGCGAATTGTCTGGAAAGGTAAATATTCCAGCACATAATGTGGAGTTCGAGGGCAATGAGAAGACTGACCAGCCCGTCTTTTGCGTCTCAATCGCAATCTGCAACTCAATTCCATCCTTCTCTGAATTATGACATCAGTATCTTGTTAATATTGTACAGCACACGGCACCCAAGCTCCCGGGCTTGAAGTGACATGTCCCCCGTGCATCCCTTGGGAGCGTCTGATAGAACGACTTACCCAAATCATTAATGTTCATCACACCAGCTGCGCTGGAGCTGGCCCTTCTATGGCCCTTGTCCTTTGGCGGTGACGATGACAAGCCTTGGACGGCAGAGTCAACCTTAGTGAGTGGTTCCGTCATGTTGGTGATTGTGTGGATGTGTGTTCAGTGAGCTGAAACGGCCAACCAGGTCGTGTCGTCTGAGTAGCTTGAGAGTAGCTGAGGGCAGGCTCGAGTCAGCTGTATGTCAATGGCGTCAAAAGGCCGGACTGTGACTCTCGCTAGGGCTGACATGCTTGAAGAAGACCAACCTTTGATGAGGGTTTATAGGCGAGAAGCGTTGAGAGCGAGTTAGAATGGAATCAGTGATGATGGGGGGAGAGAGGAGAAAAAGGGAGGGAGGTGGGAAGGAGGGGGAAAGAGGGGAAATACATAGGAGAGGACCCTAGTATTCTTTGGCCTGAGGTGCTCATCTGGACGTTGACTGGAACAGCTGTCGGGCTGGAAATGCCCCTACTCTTTCGTCAGACCGGGCGGGGTAATTGCCATCGAGTCTGATCAACACTCCTCACAGCACTCCGTACGAAGCTGCCCACCAAGGTGGTAGTACTTGACGGGACATGGCCTCACCCGATCGCGTGACTGCGGGCCCCGGCGTATGGAGAGCAGGATCACGGAGCACAGTGTAAAGTGCAAGCGCTGAGGCCATGGGACAGAGCGCTTGAGCCAGCACTACAGAGTACAGAGTACTGCCGCAGACCTGTAGACGGTTCTGTTGATCAGTCGATGGATTCCAACGTCAATCTCTCAGTGGCTCCAGCACTCCGTGCGACGGGGCGCTTCACTTCAGTGGCCCGCTTGGGTGAGTGACAGCACGCAAGACACTGGCTTGACACCAGTCCCATTTGGCTTAGCGCTACTCCGTACACCTGCTGCAGCCGATGACTTGCTGTGTGCCAGCCAGCTGGGGTACAAAATCCGGGGAAGCCTGTCGCCCGACCCACTGCCAGAGCGATTGGGACCCAGGGCCCTCAGCAGCTACATAGCTCAGAGACGCGGTAACTCCCAGACCATGACGACGTTTGAGGGGCTGTCCCAGATACCAGCTTGTTTGTCGAGGGCATGGATGCATTGGTGAAGCTTCAATGGGGCTGCAAAGTGTGGGAAGTGGGAATTGGAATTGGGCGGCTGGCGGTCCCTGAACAGCAAGAGGCCGCTTCAAGGGGGGCGCGCACGACGGGTGAGGCAGATGTGGCATGACGCCGGCAAGCTGGTCCCCATCCGCCCGACTTGTCGATGTCGCCTCAACGCCGTCCCTCTTCCCTCCCCTCTCTGCCGTCCACTCTCATTCCGCCGTCTGTCATCTCGATCAATTGACGCTCTCGCCGGCGTGCCAGCCAGCGCCCCTGACAGCTTCGGCGCATGGTCAATCGAAGCATGCAGCCAGTCTCTATGTCTTTCCCGCCATCTGAGCCAGTCAAGCACTCCGGTGGTGGTAGCAGGTGGGTCAACTGGTGTTGCTCCCCAAGGACCTCGGTCAGCCACGATTTTTCCTAGCCTAAGTACTTAAGTACTTAAGTCTACGAAGTACGGAGTACTGAAGTGCCCAATTAGGTACTCCGTAGCAGTTGACGGCAGCGTGACTGAGACCTTGTCCGAGCAGGTCGCAACGAAGCAAAGTTCAAGGTGGCCTCGGACGGATTCGGGCAAAGCTGCCTGCACTGGCCCCAACAATGAGCCTCAAGCCAGGGCGTGGTTGACGAAGCAACCATCTCGCGTGCCTGGCATGCGCCGACATCACTAACTGCCCCCCATCCTCGCCTCGATTTGAGGCTTCAGCTTGAGTTTCTCTTCGCCAGCAAAATTGCTCTTTCCCCCATTCATGCTGAACAATTCGTCACGAAAGCCTGTTCGCTTGCTGTCCCGTCACTGGGGATCATGCAGGACGCCTCTTGCCTATGACGAATGCGGCGGTGGATCCCAATGGCACATGACACCTCGCAGGCCGACATCTCGAAAGGTGGAACCTCTGGAGAGCTGATGCCGGGGATCGCCCCAAAAGCGCCTGGACTGGTAGGTCTGCGAACGGAATCAACTCCCAACTCCCAAGGCCCTTGAGAGTACAATCCTTCAGATAGTCCATTGTGAGAAATCCATCTCCCAAATGTTGTCAAGGGCAGGACCTTGAATGCTTTGATGATTGCCGATTTGTGTACACGGACGTGGGCGTCTTGAGCTACGGTTGGTAGTATACAAATAGGAACCGTGTGAATTGATGCTCCGCTACCCTGGAGCACTACTGGGATATCGGGATGAGAGGTCCAATCTGGGGAGCAACGTTAACCCCAGTGATGAGGTACATAGTCTTTCTGACATACACAGCTGGAGACGAGTCACATCCTTTGTCTCAGATCATTGTTCGCAGCATCTTGCACAAACTGAATTGGCAGCGACACCTACTACAACCGAGATCCCAATGTTGAAATTTTAAAATTTTTTTTGGACAAACGTATCACCCAGCTAGACATTTCAATTCACCTGGCCGTGTCCTCAGCAAAGAGACGATTAAGACGTCCGAGTGGCAAACAGACGCCGCGTCACAAAGAGATGTGACTCCATGAATCTGGCGGAAAGTTCAGCCTGCCATGTTCGCGTAAAAAGGGGTGAGTAGTAGGCAGGATGTGCCCGAGACGAGCCATGCGGAGACGGGCAACGCGGCCTTTTGTACTGCGATGTCACCATGACGCGTGCTCCGGCGGCTCAGTCACAAATGACGGCTCATGCGGCAATGGCTTTGCTGCGGTCCTGGCTTGCCTGTAGATTCTTCTGGTGCAATGCTTGCAACTTTACCGAGTACTTGCAAGCCTGCCTGCCTGCCTGCCCGCTTGGTCCAGACCGGTTGAGCAGCATTGACAAGTCTTCGAACTCATCGGCTTCAAGGTTTCATCTTTGCCGGCCCTCTCTGGCAGCCACTCACGAGTCACCTCTTCGGCGGTCGCGGGTCGCGCTTTCCCACTTTATCATGGGGACGCGCAATTCATGGACAGCGCAACGTCAGCCCTGGCGTTGCCTTCAACCCAGAAATGGACCAAACTGGACAAGAGCCGGCGCAAAGATGGCACTCGGACCCATCGTCCGCCCAAGACGACGACGCTTTTCCCGGGTCTGCGTCCTCCTCCGCTGCCACCAGGATGCGGCGAGTGTTTGGTTCCGGGGCAAAATCTGTCACCTGCATCTTGCGTCGTCCCTCCTCCCCGTCATCCCAATCCTCTTCTTCTCCATCAGCTTTTCCCGTAGGAAATTTTTTGCCCGCCAACCTTGTCTCTGCCATTCCTCCGCTGACTGTGATTCTTTCCAACACCACCCGGGCGACCGACCGCAAGTCTATACGCGATCCATGCCAGTCATGATCAGATATGCCGCCGCCGCCTGGCTTGCCTGACAGCATCAGAAGACCAGGGGTATTGTATACTCGGCCGTACAAGCCTCCTCTACCGACCCTCCCATCGCGAGCATCGCAACAGACCAGGTCCACAGAGGTTCAGCTGCCACCGCTCATTGCTGGGGCGTTGAATGCCGCCTTCGCAAAGATCCTGGCTGACGGACTCGACAATGAGCTTCTGACTCACTACTACATCGGCGAGCAGAAATTTCCCGTCAACCTCGACCGTGTAATCGATCGCCTCATGTCAAAGTTCACCTCGGAGCTCTGGGACGAGCTTTATCAGTTTTACCAAGAGGCAGGCTCCGAGCCTTCGCGACAAGTCACCCTGCTCTTTGAAGGTCCGATCCGCCAAATAATCTTGATCCTCAACGGCCCCGAGGCGGCCAGGTGTATTCTCGACAAACTTGCGCCTGGCTTGTCGCAGAGGAAGGAATCATGGTCGACGAGCGCAGGTGGAATAGACCTGGCTCTGTCATTGCAGCTTCTCTGTAGCTATTGGCACCGAGAGATGTCTTCGCAGTCTCCGGGAGGCTCTCCAGAAGATATTGCCCGCAACCTCAACGCACAAATAATCAACGGAAGCTCCGCAAAAAACCTTATTGCTTCCATTCGTAATGTTCTAATGACTCCGCACTATGTCCAGGTTCACATCACCGAGTCCGCAATCTGGAACATTCTTCTGAAACGACCGTTTCCTCCCCCCACAGATGGCTTCCATGTCGTCCAATTCAAATTCGATTGTGAGCTATTTGGGCCTCTGGACGGAATTGCCGATCCGCAATTGGTCAATATTGGCTCGTTGCCGGCCATCACAGGCACGGCACAAGAATGCGTGTATACTACCGTGGAGGAGTATATTGAAAAGGCGTGGCCCAAGTGCGGCTCCATAGTATTGAAATGTCTCGAAGAAGCCGTCGGCAGCGCCTCGCTGTCCTGCCAGCAGGGCGAACCCATGTCAGGCCTGTCTATATGGGATGCAAGCGACGAGCTAGGACCTTTCTGCCCTGGCTTGCGACTCCTTCACGTCGAGTTGGAGAACTCGGCGGTTCGACTGACTGTTTCTGGCTGGTCTCATAATATGATTGAGATATTCCAGCAAATGTCTTGGCTGTGTGCGGTATTAAGTGCATCACCTTTTCCCGGCGCACTTTCCGAGTGCGTCACCTCCATATCGGACTACACATATATGAACGACTCGGTATATGTTAACTGCAGTCTAGAGCACCGGCCTGTCCCTGACGGCGATGGATCACCCTGGTTGCAGCGGATGCAGGGAGCGGCCATGGCAAGCGGATTTCCCGTGCGCGGGCTCACCTCCACGCAACTTTGACGCCATGTACAACAATGAATTGACGAGGCTTGAAATTATGGGATGCACATGGTCTGGAGTCTACATCTGTAGAGGTTGCATTTATATAATCTGTATACACACGCATGTGGCTCTCGAGTCAGGTTATACGCTCTGCATAAGCATTCTGTACCACAGTTACATATTATATAATACCCCTATCTTAGGGTTACACCTCGCTGCCTTCTTTCATCAAGTAGGGAGTTCACCGACTAGTGTACAGAGCTTGAAACAGTCGCAAGGTCTCGTCATCTCCAATACTGGGTTTGGGTGCCGGGCCGGAAACGAAGTGACTTACCTCTGAACATTCAGTTTTCTCAGTTCAATGGGACCCTGACTAACCCGGACGTCTTGGACTATGTTGTGCCTGGAAACAAGACTACAGTCGAGGCTCCGAAGGCGACTGTGGACAACGTATGGTTCCGTAGGTACCCACGACCTCGTTCTCGCCCTTATTGGTAGACACATTGGAGCTGAAACATTGGTTCCGCCCAAGAAGTCTGTAACTTGGGCAAAGCTCGCCCAAGCAATGTTCTCGGGCACATCAGTCAGCCAGCCAGTTTACTCCGAGGGCTGTTTATGTTGCGGTGACTCCGCTGACTGATGCCCTCTCATGCCTACGGGACGAGGCACGCTGTACATACAGCACTCCAAGGGAGATGAGGCAACATATGAGACGAGGAATGGGAAAGCCCCGGTAAAAATTGTTCCCACAACATGTGTCAGAGTCGGGAATAGGTCTCGAGGAATATGGGCGGACGGCTTCTGGACTTTGGATAACGAGGCCACGCCATCCTTGTCCATGCTTGCTCCCGTTTTCCCGGGCCCAATTTCGACAACACAACAACAAAGCCCCAAGAGTGCCACTTGCGAAGTGAAGCAAGTTTGGGCCGAGACCTGAAGACTGGGACTTGACATGGTATATGCTGGTGGAGCAATTTGGCGCTGATTCCTGGGAAATGCCGGAGAATCAGCCAACGTACGTGCCGGGTGCGTGTGTAGACGAGGAATCAAGCCTGGAGCCCTGCTCCTATGCAGCTTGCTCATGCCCTGTAGCGGCGGTCAAACTGCCGTCCTTGTTGGGCATCTGTTCGGGACGCGTCTAGCTTCCCAGCAGAGCAAAACAGGTCGGTTCATTGGCAACACAAATTGCAGCTGGTTGCCTACCTCTATGTAGAGCGCTATATTAGATACATAGACGTAGGATACCCGGAGTGACTAGGATTTTTGAAGTCATGAGAAGCGTTTACCTTGCTGCCTGAAACAATCCAAATTACTTAGCCAAGCGTGAGCGTGATTTCCAGCGGCGGTGGTGACTGGGCCACCCTCTACTTTGGCCGGGTTGTGAAAGCTGCCACCCCCATTCTCCGTTCCCCTTGACTGTATTCGCACGAGATGATCCAAGGAAGAGAGGAAACAACCGTCTTGACAATCTTGAAAAGGATGGACACTTTACTTGGTACCAGGTCACGACACGAGGGGTTGGCAAAAAGATGCATAAATGTAGACGGTGGGATGCCCACCAACAGCTCGAAACCCAGACCAGGCCAGGTCTACTTGTGATTTGTCCATCTGGTAAACACACCCTGTCAGCCCGCGGGATCCCCTTCACGGAGCCTTTGTAACGATGATGGCCGAGTCCTCAAACCTGGTAAATCTCCGAATATCCTGAATCACAAGGCCGGCCTGAGCGAGCAACTCCCGCCACTGTGCCTCTCGGCGCTCCTGTGCATCGAACAGGACCTTCATGCATATGCCCAGGGCGGCGGTGTACTCCACTCCTGGCGTCCTCCAAGTGTGCTTTGTATCCGGCAGGGCTTTCTCATCGATGACGATGGTGCTACGGGACCCATGGCCGGGAGCTGGGACCGAAGGATGCGGATGCAGGCCTCGTCATTGTTGTTGTGCAAAATTTGGCGGAAATAATATACGCGGGCATCTGAGTGAAGAAATGTTAGTCGTCAGCCCCCCCCCAGTCCTCTGTCAGTTTTGTTGGTTTGGAGCCGGGCAGCTTACTCTTGACAGGCTGTTCTGTAAGGTAGTCGTGGGACATCTTTTCCATGTTTTCCACCGACAATGCTGTTTGGAGAACATGGGGTCTATCCTGAAGGATGATTCGGCCCTGTAGACCGGGGAACTTGTTCTTGAGTAGGGCGCATTGTTGGCCGTTGCCACCCCCGACGTCTACGAAAGCCACGTCGGACGGGGCGAGGTCGTTGCCGAAATCCGCCTCGAAGTCGACGACGTCGAGCCACGTTGGGAGGCTTGCGAATTGGGCTTCCATATACCGATGGAAGGCCCTATCGTGCACAGGGTGCGTTGACAGCCACGTGTAGAAGTCTTGGTCAGTGCGGTGACCGGCCTTGAAAGCATTGAGCTTGGCCCCGGGCTGGCGGAGGACCGAGTTGAGCGCCGCGAGTCCAGGAAGGCGGGTGTCGTGGCTGTGGCACGAGAGAGAACCAGTTAGCTACCAGGCGTACTGTGGTTTCTAGAACCTTAATGTCCAGGCAGCGAAGAAGACCGAGGCGATCATTGGTGTGCGGTAGCGAGTATAGGAACTTACAAGTGCGTCACGGCGTCTCGGAACAGCGGGAGTGTCATCAAGTTGGATAGCCTTGTGGGGGTGAAACACCCGGGGACGACCTCATTCGCCATTCGCTGAGTGCACATGTAGTCCAGAATAGATTCAAGGACGCCGGCTTCCAGACGGCTGGCATCTTGAAGGGCTGCAAAGGAGACGGGTTCTTTGGAAGCAACTAGAGTGGCGAAGATGCCGTGCTCCTGGGCAATCCGAGTCGTTATCAACGGGAGCGGCTGTGGCATTGAGCTCTGCGTCAGCAAGCGGTCAATGAATGGCTAGACGAGGCAACCTACAGAGTACCCGACGCGTTGGAGTGTCTCAAACGGCTCTTCGATTGCAACTGCTGCAGCTCGTGCCAGTTGCAGAACCTGGTGCCTCTTGGAACCAGCGGCCACGGCTGCTTCGGGATTGGCGATTACACGCTCAAGCTGTTGGATCAAGATGTCGAGGTCGGCCGCAGCGTCAGCAGCCATGGCCTCAATGTCGCCCTCGTAATGCGGCGGAGAGGAAGCGGTTGACGTTGACTTGATGCGTCACACGAGAGGAGGCGCGTTTGCTGACTGACGGATGCATCCGTCTTGTCACTAGAAGCAGTAGTAAATGAGCCTCAACCCAGCTACAAAGACAGACGCAATTGTGTGTGAGCGTGTTGACAATATCTACTTGGCCAAGCAGAACGTTGTAAATTTGCAGTCCTCTGGGCAACAACCTGGCCAGTCTCTGGACTCCGAGTCTGGAGTCACCGGCCAGTGAGTGTATGCATGTGCCGTACTCCGTACTGTGACCTGATACGGCTAGTCGGGGCATCAGGGTCCTCAATCAATCCCGTCTGGTGCAAGCAGACATCGTCTTGACTCACCGATTCGCGGGTTTGTGAGTGTGACCAAGCTGAGTGGAACGCGACAAGATTGAACAACCAACTGGTAAGAATTGGTAAATTGAGCGGTTACCTCTGTTCCAAGATTGGCTGAAAGACATGTTCTTTACGGAGTACCGTCGATCGAGACATTCCGGCCCCAAGCAAAGACGACACGCGGCTGTGAAAACCAACTACTGAGCGTAATCCCGCCAACAGACGACATTGTTGCATTTGGATCCGCAACTTTACTCTCTCCTTCACTCTCAAGGGTCCGCAGGAAGGGTGTGGCTGCACTTGGGGCGGCGGGACTGGCGCTCTGCCGTCGCTCCTAGGGGGAAACTAGCAAGGATTGTTGACAGCCGCGAAGCAGACTACTACAAGTTAAAAACACGTGGGGGACGGGCTAGACAAGGTCAGACTTGCATGCGGTAACATCTCTGTCGGGCCAGAGCTGTGCTGACACCGAAGAAGCTGCTTGTGGACCGTGCCGATGACGCTTGGCGCCATGTCCGCCGCCTCGTGCTCGATGTTGACCTTTGCGAAATGCTCGCCGGCAGATCGGGCTTTCGGACACGAGGCACAGCGCGAGGGTATCGATCAGTGTGTCATGTGGTGGCTTCGGCCTATTCCCAAGAGTCGAAAGGGATACATGCAGTCGGGGGACCTTGGTAGCTGACTGCAGCGGTGATACGGGAGCTCGTTCATGCAAGGCGCCATCTGCCACCAGACTCTTTTCGTTGCATAGTCACCGGAAATCTACCTGTTGACTGGTTATTCTCGACCATTCAGCCCCTTGGCCAATGTTGGTCTCGCTTCAACAGCTCCAGAGCGGACAGAATCCAATCCAGCCTCGTGGCTGGCCGCAACGTCCCAGGTCCGGCCGCTCCAGCGTCGTGCGACATATCCATCCGTGTCACGGTCGAAATTGTTTCTTGTATGTGGCATCCTTCCGACGCTGCACCCGCTTTTGCGCTCGCTCCGATCTGCTGCGGCATCTGTTGCGAGCAGCATCAAGTCGAATTTATGGAGGGGCAGAGTGGTATCCAAGGCTTCTTCAAAAGGAGCAGTCACGGAGATCGGCCATGCATTGACACGAGGTGACTCAAGTGAGATTGTGGATAACCTTGTAGAGGGGCATTGTTTTACCCGAGACTTGTCTTAGTATCACGTAACCATAGAGGGACGCAAGGTGCTCCACAACAAGCTTGGATGTGGAATTGAGGTTAAACTCGACGAGCTCCTGGGAACGGCGTTTCACAGGTATAGACCTGGCTGCTGAAATGGCCATGAACGAATGGCGCACGTGTGCAGGCTGGATTCTAGCCCCCTCAAATCGGGCTCAATGACAGTTGAAATAGAAGTGTATATGTATCAAAGTGTTTAAAAAATGTCCTTTGCCATCGTGAGACTTCACAGAGAGGGCCCAGAGGCTAAAGAATATTATAACTTTCCCCATGTCATAGAAACCATACGAATTAAATTATCCTTCTTTTTTCTTGTCCTTTTACACTGCCCCGTCTGCTTTGGCTCCATGAAGATCCGTAAAGGTGCCGTCCATCGCACAGAAATTCGCTTGATATAACAACGACTCATCCAATGCAAACTCCGCCTGGGGTGTCATGTTTGTGTCTGCAATCCAGGGATCTCCCATGCCAAAAGTGCCATCGTTCTGGTTGAATGACAGCCCATTCGCCCATTCTTCCACAGAGGCAGCCGCCGTCCCGTGTGCCATATTGTTCATGCTTGCCCCGAATGTAAAACTTGGCAATGGCGCAGCGGGGCTCTGATTTACACCGGGAGCAATGGTGACAGGAGTTGGAAATATGTCGGCACTGCCTTTGGGAGCTATATTGCTTCCTTGTCGACCTGCGTAGCTTCTGACAGTCCTGACACTGTCTCTGTGGCCAAGGGATGAAGATCCCACTACGCTACCGCTCTCCTCGGAGGTGTCGTCAATGACTACACCAGAGTCAGGCCTTGAGGCTATTTCCCGTGGTTTTCTGCCGACCAAGCTTTGTGTGGTCTGTGTCCGGGAAGGTTCGTTGCGCTTATTGCTACGGTTTGTGTAAGGCATGCTCTGGGAGGTTAGGACACATCTCTCGACTGTTTCAATGAAGCAGTGGTGAAACTTGGTTGCTAATGTTTCCAGCGTCGCAGGGTTGGAGATTTTGTCTCGTAATGATGATTGCAGGTAGTTGAAGGCTTCGAGATAGTGCGCAGACAGCTCAAAGTGTTCAATTACAGGAGTATAGTCTGTGGGGCTCAGTTGTCAGTTGCATGGAGGCTGTGTGGAAGTGACAGTCTGGCGAGTGCTTACGATAAGACCGGACCAGGTTGTCATCGTCATCTGGGAAGAGGATATTCCATATCTCCTTCCATTGAACCTCGGGAGATCCGCCGCTTACTCTCTTGCGGCTGAGCAGCTTGTTCGACGTAGGACCGTCAATTCCAGCCTCGGGATCATGGTCAGAGATGTCGCACATGTGCTCTTTCGGCTGTCGCTGATGCTCTCTCAACTCCTTTCTAGTACGAAAATCCCGAGTACAGCGATCGCATACAAATGCAGACGGATCATCTCGTTTGTGCTGCTTGACAATATGTTGCCTGTTATCGTGTCAGTTGGGTACGCGAAATCCAGGGCTGGAGGTCAGCGCTGTCTCACCTCAATTCAGCAAACTTGGGGAAATAGGTCATTGCGCAGCTATGATGGTCGCGGACATTGAAACGATGCGGGTTTCGTTTTCTATACGGACAGCTGAGACGCAGGTTCTCGTCTTCCTTTGGGCTCGGCTTGATTCTTTTGGTGCGGATATAACCAGACCCCTCGTCATCGCTAATGTCTTCTCCACCATCCTCTCCGTTATTCTGCTTCTTTCGCTTGCCGAAGCCTTGTGGATTGTCTCCACCAGCTCCTGTGGAAGGGGTTGTGGAAGAGCTTGAGCCAGAGGTGGTTTGGGAGGATTGTCCGTCCAACGGAGCTTGCCAAACATGCCGGCCGAGCTCCCGAACGAATTTAGAAACGACGTGGTGCAGTTCTCCTGATGGCGCTGGCACTTCACTCAGCTCGAGTCCGTAGACCAGTTGAAGAGTGTAGTCCAGGACTCCGTCAGCATCGTCTGAAGAGACGGTGTCGCCAAAGGTAGTAAACGAGATTTCCGACTTCTGGGTTGGAGATGCGCAAGGTGTCTGATTCTGTTCCCAGTCACTGCTTTCGCCTGGAGTGAGGGCATCGTCTTCCTCTTTGGTCGGGGTTGCGTCCGTCCCTGGCCTGAATGGTAGGGTCAGCTAAGCACTGTTGTAACTTGCACAGGCGACAGAAACCTACTCGTCTAGTTCCACTTCATGAGTCTCCGCAGTGCCGGCGTAGTCGTTATCGGCCTGTTTCGTCTTTTGAGTCACGTCATGATAGCCAACGTAGACGGGGCTTTCATCGTCATCATTGATAAAGGTGGAGCAAGTCGCGATTGACGGACGGTGACGATGGCGTATCCTGCTCGGTGGCCTTGATCCGTCGAGAGTGTGACAAGCAAATCGTTCTTGAATATCGCTCGCATAACTAGAGCTCAGGGGGCTTGCAAGCGTTGATGGTGAGTACGCAGTTGCTGAATCAGGAATATGTGCTGACGAAATGCTGCTTCTCGTGGAGGCTGTGCGCGATCTCATGCGAAAGTTGCCAGATGGAAAATGAAGGCTCTCTGGGAATTTCTTGCGATAGTTACTGCCATCGTGTTGGGGTGAGGATACCGACTTCTCGGGGTCCAGGCGAAGATGCAGAGGTAGATGGATATTGTCTACCTCTCGCATTGGCGATGGTCGAGTGTCCATTGATTGCGCGTTCCAGTGGACAACTATTCGGCAATGTATACTTCCTCGCGGTGTTCAATGGTTTCAATGGCGCAATTGAGCGAGATCAAGATTAAAGACACAAACGCGACCTGACAGAACGGTGGTGCAGTCAGCGCACTCCAGATTCTATTCAGCACAAATTGAACAAGTCAGTCACACACCGAATCCAGAAGGGGTCTCCATTAGAGCGTGTCATCTCCCCCCAGTTAACCAGGCCAATGCCTCGCCCGCAAAATGCGGCAAAGTGATCTGACCTTTTGGTCTAGTCATGTCTGGTGGGTGAAGCTCTTCTTCCCCAGGCCACAGATTCCAGGATGCCAGGGCCAGTCTGCGAAACCCAACCCTGCATGAAGTCAGGCCCACCACCAACGCTCCAATGACCGCCAGAAAGACCTCGAGAAACCGTCTGAAAAAGACGGCGAGTTCAGGTGGATCGTGGCGCTGATTTGCTGGTGGCGGCTGCTGTGACAAGGGTTTCGCCATGATTCCCAGCATCAGCGTGCATGTTGTCCCATCAGCAGTGGAATACAACAGAGTTGATGCGAGGCAGGCATTATGAATGCTTGCCGGATCCGACACAATGATGGCGTCGAGATGTGGCGACTGGCACACGCCGGATGCGAGAGACAGGGCCAATGTAACGCAGGCACCTGTCCAAGTCGAGCAGGTTGGGAGAAATTCAGCCGGGCCAAGCGATTATCCGATCCAGGGTCGCGCAAGAGTTTGTCATGTGACATATTCAGCGTTTCTTGGTCGTTCGACGCGACGACCATGAAAACGAAACACGTTTGTTTTTACAATTCACCACGTCAATCCCACAAGGCCAAAGAATCCATCTGAGCCGCGTCCGAAGCCATTTCGGCGGGCACGCGATCGCAAGCAGTGAAAGTACGTACATGCATGGGATCGTTGTGGCGAGCTAGACTATCCTCAGTTTGTATTGAAGCTATGCTTACTCTGGTTGGTAAGGTCTCCGTCTTGCATGAACTGGACGTCCTTTGTTTGTTATTACTGTCTAATGCTTACCTGCCTACCTACCTACCTAGGCAGGTAGGTATGAAAGTCCTTGAGGTCATGACGGCCTCTGACTTATGCCAGAACAGAGCATGCCGGATTTCGACCGACCACTCTCGCCCCGAGTCGCGCCGTGAAGCTGACGCTTGTTAAAAATAAACCAGCTGTTGAGGTTTCATGCGATTTTGTCAATTACATGGGTACATCTGCTTTGACGCCCCGCCGAACATTACTGGACCTTAGGACGACGGAATGGCGCTTCTTCACCTCCTAGCGCATAAGATTCATAAATTTGGAGTGTCAAATACGGACCTGCAATTTCCCTAGGGCAGGTCTGCCCATCAAAAAACGTTTTTATATTTAGTTGCGTGCTCATCATCAGTGGCAAGAGTGTTTGAGTAAGTCTCTAGCTCGTACAGGAAACAGGATTACCCGGATAGGAGGTCCCCAGTGGCCGTGTTAGCGGTCTATGAAGCTCTTCTAAATTTGGATGCTCCTGCCCGCGCTACATTGCCAATCGTTGTTGTCATTCACTGATGCTGGGTGCCTGACATCGCGAAAATCAGGAGAGTTCGTCAAATTCATAATTCGACCGCTGGCTTTGGAGACGGGTCTGGAACTTGTCGTCCCGACGCCGATCAATGCTGGTCGACCTTCTCCTCAAGGACACGTATTGTAGCCGCAAATCCCCCAACACGCAAGTTTTACTCAAAAGTCGAGCATCCACAACTCTCACGTCGGAAGCCGTCTCGCAAGGCCCAGTCCAGCGGGGTGGGACGTTTTACCTGCAAGCAAGTGGAGGCTTGAAACAATCGGCAGGCGCCCAAACGTTGACTAACACTTTTGTAGCTGTCAAGTGCAAAAGGTAAATTTGGTCTGATGAAACTCATCCTGAGCACCTCGCTGTGCTTGGTGCAGGATCTATTGCAGATAGCCTACCATTCTGCCGTGATCCAGGTGCATACCTGGATCAGCCTTGATCCTATAATTTCAGGCTCGCAGTAATGACCAATCTAAGTTCTCGAGAAAGCTTCCGAGTTTCAGCCTCGAGACAAGCTAAATCGCCGTTATACTAGACAGGCAGCAACCGCCGTTCCTCAATGACTGCTCAATACAAAACTTAAAACATAGAAAGGTAAACGCATGGCATGCGAAAGAAACAAGTATAATAGCAGCTAGAGTATAGAGATGACATGGGGAGACTTTGATGCAATGACACGTAAAAGCTCTGTCGCAGATGAAGTGTCCCGTACAGGAGGAGTCTAGATCTTCAGCAGACAACCTAGTACGAGTCCTCGTCATAATGAGTCGATATCGATGGGCATGCACTTATGCTTCATGTATTTTGAAAAGTTGTCATCGGTGCGTCAGATGGCGTGTTCGAAGGAGATAAAAAAAAATAATAATCCCTTACTTGATGAGTTATTGAAATTTACAGTCTCCTGACTTCCAACAGACCAAGCCTTTAACTTCGTTTTGGTTTTCGGTATCCCTGAAGCGAAGAGAAGAAAGGCGATCGAGATAATCCAGAGGTATCTGGATAGCCACGTTTTGAGGCTTAAGCGACTGGCCAACAGAGTCGGGATATACTGAAGCAGTTTGTGGCAACGTGATTTTGACTTTGAGCGTTGAAGATATTCAATATACTCAGAAATGTGGCGAAAAGAGTATGAAATGATATCCTTCGTCCTGTGAATCAACTATGCATACAGAGATGTCATATACAGGGCGCCTTTGTCGCAAATTGTCCCAAGCCATTCCAACTTACCGTGTATTTATGGGGTACCATTCCTCGTCCACCATGCGTGCCATCGTTTGGTAATTCCGTCAACTCCTGACTACTTCGCCCTTGCTAGACATGACCTCAGCCATCAGCTTCCGGCGCTTATTTCTTTGATCTTGTTCAGCCAGCACTTTAGCAGTAAGGGATGCTGCAATAGGATTATTGATGCCGCTGGTTCTCGAGTCCACATCCTTCTTTGTCTGTGATGCATCTGTCTTGATGGCCTTGTTGTCATTTTCGGTACTCTCGTCACCCTTTCGTTTCTTGTTCTTCTTCTCTGATTTATCCTTTTTAAGGCTGTGCGTCAAACCCTTCGCTCGTAGGTCGTCTAGCCTCTTCTCCAGTCGCTGGAAATCCTTTTCGGTCGTGGGCAATATCGTGATTGCGTTGTCTTTGTCGAAACTCCCACCACACTCAGGACAGGAGCTCTCTTGAATTTCTGTAATGGCAACTTCAGCAAAAGCATGGCCACAAGGAACCAGGTAGACGGCTCTGGTGGACGGCCCCATCTCTTTCATTGAAATGGGACATGTCCATCTGCCGTCCGTCTTTGAGAACTTGAGTCGCACAACGTCTTTGAGTGACTTGATGCCAAATGAAGCGGGAGATGTTTCAGCAATTTCGTCCGACGGCATTAACCCACTTAAAATGGCTTCATAATTGAATAACCGCCCTTTCCAATCCGAAACGGCGGTTTCCATCTCCAGACTGGTGCCGCTAAGGGCGCAATGAGTCCACGCGTGAGTCAGCGATTCTAAAGCAGTAGCTTTAAGTTCAGACACCGTCGGCGCGCGAGCTGCATTTTTGACGAGTTCTCGCCGCTTTGGAATCGAGCCACCGTCGTTGCCCATGATCGATAGGCAGAAAGTAGTGATGGAGTAATGGCAATGTAGTACTAGGCGTCGCTGCAGTACAGAGACGATTTAGCGGTAATGGGAGTCGATATACGATGCGCGGCTGGGATATGTCGTCGGATAAAATGCTGGTACAGCGAGATAGAAGTCAATTTATCGATAACAATTTTAGTAAACCGATTTCCTAGAGGTGGCGAAGGCTCCACAACACCCGTGCAAGCAGCTGGGGACCTCGAGTGCTCTTGGTAACAGCGAATCTCGCCGTACTAAAGCACCACGGAATGGATTTCACAAATCTAATGATAATTCCTAACGTAACAACACAACAAGAAGCTGTGTTGAGGGTGTTGAAGGCGAACTTTATAGATAACTAGGAAATAGATGTATCTAATAGATCTTGGCTTCTTATTGGCTACACGCCCCTCGTGGAGCCTTCGCTGCCTCTGGGGGATGTAGTAGTCATACAGTGCGTAAGTAGGTAAGTACGTAGAAAGATCAAATGTCTTTCAGTACTTAATAAGTACGGAGCGCTTTGCAAAGGTGCGTTGGTTGGGGCGGATCCACTTTTCTGCAATACCGGGCGGGTACCTTTGGCAACGAGTTGCGTCACCTATGGAGCGATGTATCTTTTAATAATAGGTTTTTGATTGGCTAAAGCGCATCAAAGCTACAGCTCATCGCGGGCCGCGTAAAGCCGGCCTTCCGTTACCATACAGTGCGATGCACGGTGCCCAGCTGCGAAGATCCACACGAGGTTACCGTCGCCTTGTTGCTGCGTCTTTCCTTCCGTGATCCCGCACAATCAACAAGCAAGCAGCCAGGGAAATTGACGCTGCCGAGCGACTCATCAGCTGTGAGTGTTTACCCACCCACACTGTGCGATCGATCTGGCTGTTTCCTACCATATGCATTGGAGTCGAGACATCACAACGATCTATTTATTGATCAGACATCTTAGCTCAAAAACTTGTTCATGTTGGCCTGACTTCCGAGCTCTGGCGCCATAGGGCATGATGGCGCAACAACAGCAGGTCGCTCTGGAGCGACTTGAGCAGGCCACCAAGGGCCTTCGATCTCGGTAGGATGCTTTCAAGCTTCAGCATGCCCTCTTTCACTTACACATGCATAGCAACGGAGACGATGTGCGCAAACGAGCTGCCATCCAGCTCCGTGACCTTGTGGTCGTTTGCCATCGAGGTATGGCCAAACATCCCCTCTTGCCATGACTGGGCTGGAATCGACTGACAACTCAAGAATAGACCTTAGCCAAGAGCAGTTTCTCGCCTTCTACAACGCTGTCAATAATAAAATAACTCAACTTATCACTCATGGCAGTGACTCTGCCGAGCGACTGGGCGGAATCTATGCACTTGATGCTCTGGTCGAATTTGACGGTGTCGATGTTGCGGCCAAATACACTCGATTCACACAGAACATCAAAACAATTTTGCGAGGCAAAGATATAAATCCGATGAAACCGGCAGCTATTGCCTTGGGAAAATTATGCCGACCCGGAGGCTCTCTCATTTCTGAGTTAGTCGATTCTGAAGTAAATACCGCGTTGGAGTGGCTCCAAAACGACCGTGTGGAAGAACGTCGATATAGCGCTGTCCTCGTTCTCCGGGAGTTGGCCAGGAATGCGCCAACGCTAATGTACCAATACATCCCAACCATATTTGACTGGATTTGGGTCGGATTAAGAGATCCTAGACAGCTTATCCGAGAGACTTCAGCAGATACAGTTGGTGCCTGTTTCCGCATCATCCGCGAACGAGACCAAGAGATGAAACAGATTTGGATGAGCAAGATTTACAACGAGGCTAGGCAGGGTCTTAAGGTTAACACTGTCGAGTCCATTCATGCCTCCCTTTTAGTTCTTAAAGAGCTTCTCGAGCAAGGAGGCATGTACATGCAGGAGCATTACCATGAGGCCTGCGAAATCGTATTCAAACATAAGGACCACAGAGACCCAACCACCCGAAGAACAGTCGTGTCACTCATTCCTGACCTGGCTAGTTACTCGCCGGCGGATTTTGCGCACACATGGCTGCACAAGTTTATGGTCTATCTGTCCGGAATGCTCAAAAGAGACAAGGAACGAAATGACGCCTTCTTAGCTATTGGAAATATCGCCAACTCTGTCAAGAGTGCTATTGCTCCTTACCTTGATGGCGTCCTGATTTACGTCAGAGAAGGCCTCAGCGTCCAGTCGCGTAAGAGAGGCTCTGTCGATCCTGTCTTTGACTGCATCAGTCGATTGGCGGTTGCTGTTGGACAAACCTTGAGCAAATACATGGAGGCACTTCTGGACCCCATTTTTGCTTGCGATTTGACCCCAAAGCTCACCCAAGCACTAGTGGACATGGCGTTCTATATCCCTCCGGTTAAGCCTACTATCCAAGAGAGGCTTTTAGATATGCTGAGCGTCGTTCTCTGTGGCGAGCCCTTCAAGCCGCTCGGTGCGCCTCAGCCCAACACTCTGAGCTCGGTTCCTGCCATTACCAAGGACGTCAAGGACCCCCAGGCATACGAGAATCGACGGTCAGAAGTCAAGTTGGCGCTTAACACGCTGGGCAGCTTTGATTTTTCTGGACACGTATTGAACGAATTTGTTCGCGACGTTGCCATCAAGTACGTGGAAGACGAAGACCCTGAGATCCGAGAAGCTGCAGCTTTGACGTGCTGTCAGCTGTACGTACGGGATCCGATTGTCAACCAAACCAGTTATCATGCCTTACAGGTTGTCGGCGACGTAATTGAGAAGCTACTGACCGTGGGAATATCGGATCCTGAGCATCACATCAGACAAACAGTTCTGGCTGCCCTCGATGAGCGATTTGACCGCCATCTTGCAAAAGCTGAAAACATCAGAATTCTGTTCTTTGCCCTAAATGACGAAGTGTTTGCCATTCGCGAGGTTGCTATCTCGATTATCGGTCGGTTGGCACGATTCAATCCTGCATATGTCATTCCCTCCCTGCGCAAGACTCTGATTCAAATGCTTACGGAGCTCGAGTTCTCGGACGTGGCGCGGAACAAGGAAGAAAGCGCCAAGCTACTGAGTCTCCTGGTGCAGAATGCTCAGTCACTTATTAAGCCTTATGTTGAGCCCATGATATCTGTACTTTTACCGAAAGCTAAGGACTCTAGTCCGTCAGTTGCGGCTACCATCCTCAAAGCACTTGGAGACCTCGCGACGGTTGGCGGCGAAGATATGCTGCCGTACAAAGATCGCCTGATGCCATTGATCATTGATGCGCTTCAAGACCAGAGTTCAAATATTAAGCGGGAGGCCGCTCTCAACGCGCTGGGCCAGCTGGCTAGTAACTCTGGCTACGTCATCGAGCCGTATCTAGAATACCCCCAGCTCTTGGAAATTCTGCAAGGCATCATTCGGACAGAGGATCAAAGAGGCCCTCTTCGGCAACAAACCATTAAGCTCATGGGCATTCTGGGTGCTCTGGACCCGTATAAACACCAGCAGGTGGAAGAACGTACGCCTGAAACCCAGCGACGAGTCGACTCGAACCAGATGACAGACATTTCGTTGATGATGACTGGGTTGACACCCTCTAACAAAGAATATTTCCCCACCGTGGTCATCAATGCACTCCTGCAAATTCTCAAAGATACCTCCTTGGCACAGCACCACGCGGCCGTCATTGAGGCCATCATGAACATTTTTCGCACTTTGGGGTTAGAGTGTGTTTCGTTCCTCGATAGGATCATCCCGGCATTTTTGCAAGTGATTCGATCATCGGCGTCCAATCGATTAGAGTCTTATTTCAATCAGCTAGCGACTTTGGTCAGCATTGTTCGCCAGCATATTAGGAACTATCTCCCGGACATCATACAGATACTCCAAGACTACTGGGACAAATCACCATCACTGCAGACGACAATCCTGTCCCTCGTAGAAGCAATCTCGCGTTCGTTGGAAGGAGAATTTAAAGTTTATCTAGCTGGTATTCTGCCCAACATGCTCGGAGTGCTCGACAAGGATTCATCTGCTAAGAGAGTACCTTCTGAGCGAGTCCTGCATGCCTTCCTTGTTTTTGGTGCCAGTGCTGAAGAGTACATGCACCTGATAATCCCGGTTATTGTCCGGACATTTGAAAAACAAGGGCAACCTGTATTCATACGGAAGCACGCTATTGATACTATTGGCAAGATATCACGGCAAGTCAATCTGAACGACTATGCGGCGAAGATCATTCATCCGCTCACCCGAGTGCTTGAAAGCGGCGACCCTGCTCTACGGGTGACGGCACTTGATACACTCTGCGCTTTGATACAGCAACTTGGAAAAGACTATGTGCATTTTATGCGCACGGTCAATAAAGTCATCACTCAGCACCAGATACAGCATCAAAACTATGAACTTCTTGTGAGCAAGCTTCAAAAGGGGGAAGTGTTGCCACAAGATTTGACATCCGAGTCACGATATGCTGATATTGCAGATGAAACACAATTCGCGGATCTGGGAACTAAGAAACTGGAGATGAACGCAATCCATCTGAAGGCGGCTTGGGACACAAGAGGGAAATCCACAAAGGAGGATTGGCAAGAGTGGCTCAGGCGGTTCAGCACGACCTTACTGACAGAGTCGCCAAATCATGCACTTCGTGCCTGCGCAAGCTTAGCTAGCGTTTATTTGCCATTGGCCCGTGAGCTCTTCAACTCAGCATTCGTGTCTTGCTGGAGTGAGCTGTACGAACAGTTTCAAGATGAGCTGATACAGAACATCGAGAGTGCCATCAAGTCCGAGAATGTTCCACCTGACCTGTTGGGATTGCTTTTGAACCTTGCTGAGTTTATGGAACACGACGACAAGGCGCTTCCGATTGATATCAGGGTTCTCGGACGAGAAGCCGGCAGATGTCATGCATACGCCAAGGCACTTCACTACAAAGAACTGGAGTTCCTGCAAGATCAAAGTAGCGGCGCTGTTGAGGCGCTTATTGTCATCAACAACCAGCTTCAGCAGTCTGATGCCGCCATCGGTATTTTACGGAAAGCTCAGCTGTATAAGGAAGGCATACAGCTTCGTGAAACCTGGTTCGAAAAGCTTGAGAGATGGGAAGAGGCTCTAGCCTTTTACAACAAACGTGAACGAGAGATCCCTGCCGACCAAGCCACCCCAATTGAAATCGTCATGGGCAAAATGAGATGTCTGCATGCCCTCGGGGAATGGGATGCGCTTGCCAGCCTCACCGGCAGCACCTGGGTTAACTCGGCTCCTGAGGTGCAGCGGATGATTGCGCCGCTCGCCACCGCCGCTGCATGGGGGCAAAATAAATGGGATCACATGGACAACTATCTGTCGTCTCTTAAACGGCACTCGCCAGACAGGTCCTTCTTTGGTGCCATTCTTGCACTCCACAGAAACCAGTTTCGTGAGGCTGTTGCGTGTATCGAGCAGGCTCGAGAGGGTCTGGACACGGAGTTGAGTGCCCTTGTCAGCGAGTCTTACAACCGAGCATATCAGGTTGTCGTCCGAGTCCAGATGCTTGCGGAGTTGGAAGAGCTTATTGTTTACAAGCAGTGTGACGAAAAGAAACAGGCAACAATGCGCAAAACTTGGGAGACAAGATTACAGGGATGTCAGCGCAACGTTGAGGTGTGGCACAGGATGCTACGGCTGAGAGCCTTGGTCATCTCACCAGCGGAGAACATGCGCATGTGGATCAAGTTTGCCAATCTTTGCCGCAAATCTGGCCGCATGGGACTGGCTGAGAAGTCCCTGAAACAGCTCATTGGCACCGATGCTCCGTTGGAGACAATAATTCCGTACTGGCCGGACAATAGGAGCGAGAGGTCGGGCTCTACGCCGCCGCGGAACATCCCTGCCCAAGTAACGTACGCTATGCTCAAGTATGAGTGGGAACTTGGCCAACAGCCGCTTGGAAGGCGACAGGGCATTTCAGAGAGGACGCTGTATTGCCTGCAGAGGTTTACAAACGAAACCGCGCACCGACTGGATGTGGCCAAGGCTCACCTTGCTGCTCAGGCTGGCAGCACTGATGGCAATCTTCCAACGGACTATGGAATCCAGGGGCAGATAGACCCGTCCCTGATGAGCCCGCAGACTCAACGGGCCTTGTATGACCAGACCGTTTTGCTGGCGAAATGCTATCTGCGCCAAGGAGAGTGGCTGATTGCCTTGAATAAGAATGATTGGCAGCATAGCAAGGTACACGAAATCCTGAATTCGTATTCCCAAGCAACCAAATACAACCCGCGATGGTATAAAGCTTGGCACGCTTGGGCATTGGCAAATTTTGAAATTGTCCAGACCTTGTCTGCCAGGAATGAGAGCCAGCTATCCAGAGCAGACCAAACGCTGCTTATCGAGCACGTGGTCCCTGCCATTCAGGGATTCTTCAAGTCGATTGCTCTCTCAGTCGGCAGCTCCCTCCAAGATACGCTCCGTCTGCTAACTATGTGGTTCTCGCACGGCGGCAGCGCCGAGGTCAATGCAGCCGTCATGGAAGGCATTAGCAACGTCTCTGTGGACACTTGGCTGGAAGTCATTCCACAGCTCATTGCTCGAATCAACCAGCCTAACAAGCGGGTGCAACAGGCTGTGCATAACCTACTAGCCGACGTTGGCAGAGCCCATCCTCAAGCGCTCGTATATCCCTTGACAGTGGCTATGAAATCATGGAAGAATACAAGGAGGTCGCGCTCCGCCGCGCAAATAATGGATAGCATGAGACAGCACAGTGCCAACCTGGTGGCTCAAGCCGACATCGTCTCCCATGAGCTTATTCGCGTTGCAGTCCTCTGGCACGAGCTTTGGCACGAAGGACTCGAGGAAGCCTCGCGACTTTATTTCGGTGACCACAATATTGAGGGCATGTTCGGATGTCTTGGCCCTCTGCACGATCTTCTGGAGCGTGGACCCGAGACGTTGCGTGAGATTTCATTTGCGCAAGCCTTTGGACGCGACTTGAAGGAAGCACATGAGTGGTGCCGCCAGTACGAAAGTTCCAAGGATGTGAATGACCTCAACCAGGCCTGGGATCTCTATTATCAGGTGTTCCGGAGGGTCTCTAGGCAGCTGCCGCAGGTCACCAGCCTTGAGCTCACGTACTGCTCACCAAAGCTCCTCAACTGCAAGGACCTGGATCTCGCAGTTCCCGGGACCTACAAGAGTGGCCAGCCAGTCGTCAGAATAATGTCATTTGATACCACTCTCAGTGTCATCAATTCTAAACAACGCCCACGAAAACTCATACTCAGCGGCAGCGATGGCGTGTCGTACGGTTTCCTCCTCAAAGGTCATGAAGATATCAGGCAGGATGAGCGAGTCATGCAACTCTTTGGTCTCTGCAATACTCTGCTGGCCAACGACTCTGAGTGTTCCAAACGACATCTCAACATTCAGCGTTATCCTGCCATTCCACTGTCGCAGAACTCGGGTCTTTTCGGTTGGCTGCCAAACACTGATACTCTTCACATCCTCATTCGGGAGTATCGTGAAAGCCGCAAGATCCTTCTCAACATTGAGCATCGCATCATGCTGCAAATGGCACCGGATTATGACAATCTCACCTTGATGCAGAAGGTAGAGGTATTCGGCTATGCGCTTGACAACACGACTGGCCAGGATCTGTACCGCGTCCTGTGGTTGAAATCTAAATCGTCTGAAGCATGGCTCGAACGGCGAACCAACTACACTCGTTCTTTGGGTGTCATGTCGATGGTCGGCTACATTCTTGGCCTGGGTGACAGGCACCCTTCAAACCTCATGCTTGATCGTATAACAGGCAAAATCATTCACATCGATTTCGGTGACTGTTTTGAGGTGGCGATGAAGCGAGAAAAGTATCCCGAGAAGGTTCCGTTCCGGTTGACTCGCATGTTGACGTACGCCATGGAAGTCAGCAATATCGAAGGAAGCTTCCGCATCACATGTGAGCATGTTATGCGGGTGTTGAGGGAGAATAAAGAAAGCGTCTTGGCTGTCTTGGAAGCAGTATGTGTCACCTTGCCCAGGCGTGATGAAAACTGGTGACCGGACTCTAACATTTGCACAGTTCATCCACGATCCTCTCCTGACATGGCGCTTGACAAGCACGGCTTCCCCTGCTGGACCCAATTTCCAGTCTGAGCGCGAAGTAGCTCTCGCGGGCCCAACCGTAGGCCGTGCTCGCCGACATTCCATTTTGAACGCAGATGTTGCGCCGTCTGAGCTTCTTGCTAATGGAGAACCGTCGGGGCCACCTGCGTCTAGGGCAAGAGCGCGCACCAACAGCTCGGCGGCCCCCGATGGTAATGCCGTCAACGGCGCGCAGGAGACGGAGAGCCGAAATGCCAGAGCGGTGGAGGTGCTGGACCGTGTGCAACAGAAGCTCACCGGCCGAGACTTTAAGAATAACGAGGAGTTGGATGTGATCAGTCAGGTCAGCAAGCTGATTGTTGAGGCTACGAAACTTGAGAACCTTTGTCAACACTACATCGGCTGGTGTAGCTTCTGGTAAGCATGTCTCCGATTTCAGGGTATCCAGAGCTACGGCGCTTTCGTTCAGATGCTTGGTTTCACGCTCTTTACTCCGGTTCGGTCTCGGGGGGTTATAAGCCGGCGTTTGTTGGGTGTATCTCTAGGAGGTGGACTGTTGTATAAATCATGGTTTCTCTGTCGCAACTTTCGACTCTCTGTCCCGGCGTTTACGATACCTTGACTAATGGTCCATGTTTCAAGTTGATCTGTCTAGTTGCGTTGAGCAGCGACGGGTTGATTAGTGTATTGTTTAATGAAGATTTGTGTTTAATCCAAACAGCACGCTTGTTCCATGTTTCTTTGATGCGCGTTTTGGTCAGCCTCTCGATTTGCGGGCTGAGTTCCCATCATGAAAGCAGGGATTCATTTTCATCGTTGGGGGTTGCCGAGGATGACGTGTTTCTATACTCGCCCACGTCCTCAGTTCCTCGGTCCACAGCATCGGTCGCATCCGTATGCTCAGAGGTTGCGAACAGACGCTCCATGTCCTCTAGTTCTATACCTTTTGTTTCCGGATACAGAAGCCAGATGGTCTAGACACAAAAATTCATTAGCTTTCGATTTTCGCATCTTGTAGTGCACGGCAGCGCATGGCGAGCCGGGCCAGCATCCCATACCGGTACACATGTGAAATTGATCACCATGAAGAAGAAGTATATGCCGCTGCCGAGTCTGGCATTTCCAACCGGCCAGATCTGAGAAGCCAGAACGCTGCCGACGGAACCTCCTGCCGCAGCGAAATTGAGGCCCTTGGCTCGCACGGAGGTTGGGAAGATCTGCTTCCCCGAAGAGAAAAGACGGCAAGGAGGCTTAGTCTCTCCATCTCGACTCGAGCGTGAAGGGCGCGTGACAGGGACGAGAATTCCTCACCTCGGAGCTGTACACCCACGCTGCAGGGCCAAGCCCAAGACTATATCCCATGGCGTATATGAATATGAATGAGATGCAGATGACGTCTGCCGCCTTGCTCCTGTTCCCGGGGTACATGATTGGCAAAAGGCCATTGACCTAGACTCGTCGTCCGCGTCAGAACCAGGGCATTTCTGGGCATTTCTCCCATCTCCCCCCCGTCTGTCTGGACCAGGGTTTTGGAAAGCAGAGGAGGCGGCGGCAAGGACCAACCAGCATGGCAGTGCCCATGATCAAACTCCCGCCCGTCAAGCACGTCCGCCTGCCGAACCTGTCAATCGCCCACATGTCCACGATGGACGTGGCGATCTTGATTGTCATTTCCGCGGCGCCCGCCAGCAGGGCCGTTCTGCGCTCCAGGCCGAGGGCTTCGAGCAGCGTAGGGAGGTAGTACTTGATGGCGGTGGCGCCGCACATTTGCGCCATGAAGTGCAGGAGGAACGCGCGCCACAGCCGCGCACGCAGGCCGGCGTCGCGGAAGAGGTTCGTCGCGCCGGCCGCGTGACGGGACTCGACGTCGGCGCCGATGGCGTGCAGTTCGTGCGTGATTGCCTCGGCGGGCACGGTGTCCTGACGGAGGTAGCGGAGGACTTTGGAGGCGCCGTCCGCGTCGCCCTTTTCAAGGAGCCATCGTGGCCTGTTGGTCTCGGTGTCAGAAGGGCGCGCATCTTTTTGTTTTTACTACAGTCACTGTTGTCACTTTGGCAGACGGGGAAAGAAGAGAAGAGAGCTGACGTTTCTGGGAGGAAGAAGAGACCGCCGGTGAATACGAGTGCTGGGCCGCACTGGACGAGGACCGAGTCTCGCCACGCCCAGTATCTGCCTGCGTCCGAGGTCCAGAACGCCATGGCGTACCCGGTCCTGCGTGCGGTCAGTCAGTCGGCAGCTTCGTCCGAGTAGGCGGCCGGGACGGACCACAGACCAGCGGCCAGGCCGGCGACGAAGCCGACGTGGTTCACGGTGACGAGTCTGCCTCTCTGCCGGGCGGGAGACACCTCACTGCCGCTCGTCAGCCCTGCTGCCCCCCCACGACGCAGAAACGGAAACGTGGCCCGGTCTCTCTCACGTCTGGTACAGCGGCACCGTGGTGCTCACGACACCAACACCCAGGCCGCAAGTCCATCTCCCGAGGGCCATGATTGCCACGGCTGCGCCGCCGTGGGCAGAGGCCATGCATATCGCGCCCAGACACAGGGTGCCGGTGCCCATCATGGCCGCGTGCCGCCTGCCCAGACGGTCCGCGAGCGGGTGCGACAGGAGCACGTGCGAGAGGAGCGTGCCCAGGTAGTATATCCCCGTGACGAGGCCCCTCGACGCCGGCGTGGGATCGTGCATGGCCTCCCGCCAGCCCGGATGGACGAGGATCGAGGAGAGGATGCCGATGTTGTAGCCCCATATCGAGGCGCCGACGGCGAGGTGCAGGCATATGCAGTAGAGGCGCCTTGTCCCTCGAGGCAGTTTCATCTCTGGGAGGCTGAATCGAGATGGGACACAGATGACGGACCGGACGGGGGCTGCGACGGCGGTGCTCGTGGCCAAGGTAATCGTGAGTGCTTCGCGGCCTCGAGATGCCGATTCGTCCAGCACGTCTGTCGTCAAGTTTGTAGTCGGCGTCGTAGGTTAAGTCCCGAGTTGTCGATTGGATGGGATGCACGACGAGACCCACAACGCCGGATATCAAATGCCGAGCCTCATCTCGCACTCAAACACGTCGTCGTCGTCGTCGAAATCAGTGGACAAGATGCCGACAGGCCAAGGATCGAGACAAGCCATGCAAGTATACTGGCATTTCTAGATGATTTACCGGGCATGGCGGCGCCACCTGATTCTCTACAGCGTCAGCGTCCTCTTTTCGTAATCATATCATACATTTTGCTGGACCTGGAGCGGTTCCCCGTGTCTACATCTACAGCTCGTCCTTCTTCTCCTGTCGCGGCTCCCGGCCATCGCAGGCGGCCGGAGTGCCAACTTCCATCTTGTACACGCACTTCTCGGCCTCGCTGACCCGCCAGAGCTCCTCCTTGTCTGCACATCCAAGCCAAACCTCGGTGCTTCGTCGGGGACCGTTCCAGCACTGCTGCCCGTCTTCGTACTTGAGCACCATGCGCTCGCCCTTGCCGAGGCTCTTCCCATCCAGTCTCTCCTCGTCGTCGGCCAGCTGCCAATCGATGCGGACAAAGTTGCCCATGTTGGTGTGTCCGTGACCCTTCTTGGATTTCTGCATCGTCTTGTCGAGATAGCAGAGCTCGTACTCGTACTCACCGGCATCGATGCTGATGCACTTGCCCTTGATGCCGCGCAAGATGTCAGAGGGTCCGTAGTCCTTCTCGAGGTCCTCCGTCTCGCTGTCGCGATCGCGAATCTTGTCTTGAAGCTCCCTCTCGGCTGCTTCAGCCGCCTCACGAGCGGCCTTGACCACCTGCGACTCTGCCCCGGAAGGACTATTGTCGGCCAGGACACCGTTCTGAATGAGCCACAGTCTTACAGCGGTAGCTGTGTCGTGGACGAATCCGTGAAGGAAGCCAGGCAGATAGGCCTCAAATTTATACACTCCACAGAGAGTCAGTCAAGTGTCGGAAACCTCGAGCGACCACGGCGACAACCATGGGCCGAGACCTGTGCAAAAGCTTGGATGGAGTTTGATTCCACTCACAGATATCAGTATCGGAACCCTCCTCGCCGCCCTCAAACTCAGCCCAGTTAATGCCACTGCTCTCACTGTCCTCTTTGAGAATCTCGTCGACGTCAGAGTCGACAACTTGTTCATGAACAGTGTCGGCTTCCCTGGCAGCATAGTCCTCCCAAGACTTGACCGCGGACTTTACGCCCTCATCGTTGAAGTTGGGGTTGTATTCGTCCTTGAACTTCCGGAGAATAGACTCCAACTCCTCCACCCGGGAACGCAGATTATTCCGCTGGCCCAGAACCTTGTCGAGCGTGTTGCGCAGCTCATTCACCCGGGGCTTGGCCACTCCAACAAGGACACCGAGCTTGCCTCCGGCCCCCTGGCTCTTCACGACTCTGCCCCGGTCCTGGAGTTGAGCTGCGGCGTACTTCTTTTGCAGCTCGGCCTTTTTCGCGTCAAGGCTCTTGATTTCGGCGTTCAACTGGACGATTTTGGCTTCGGCTTTCTGGCGGAGCTGCTGGGCCTCGCTCAGCAGAGCGTTCCGCTGCTTGATGGCCCTCTGCATCTTTTGCTTCTTCTCGGCCGCCAGCCGCTTGTATTCCTTGCCGGCTTCGACACAGCGGTTCTCGCACTTGACGCCCCCCACGTGGCCATATTCTTCGGAGCCGTCGCAGCAGAGGTCGTAGTCGCACACGCCGTCGTTGACGTAGAGGAATGGTACGTAGGAGCCAATGTGGCCCTTGTTCTCGCACCAGAACCCGGGAAGCACCGGCTGGGCCTTGGCCGAGACTGATCCGGAGCCGGGAAGCGGTTGCGGGGGAGAAAGAGGGTCGATGTGTGCACACGCAGCGGTGCCAGGTTCGTCGGAGCCATCCGGACAGTCACAGGTGTTGTCGTTGACGCGGTCCGAGCTCAGAGTGATGGACACGTCTGAGATGCAGCTGAATTCGGTCTTGTCTTGGTAGTGGGAGGCAACTGCGACGGCGTCGATTAGAAATTGGGCCCCCCGTCCATGGAATGCAGGCACAGCAACTCACACTCGGGCCCTACGCCGCGCGGCAAGCTGCCAGCAGCAACGGCGGCGAGGGAGGAAACGGCGCCTAGCAGCACCAGAGAAGGCGGGTGCTGCATCGTGAGCAGAGATGCGGCCGTGAGAGACTGGTGTGGTGACGAAGAATGGTGGAGGAAGCTCAATCGACCATGCACCATCGGTGATGACCTGGCCGAGGCGGATCTGAACACGGTGACCGATTGGGCCAGGGCCGCGTTGCAGAAGCCGTGCGGACCCGCAGGCGGTAAATCATCGGCCGGGACGACAGTTGCACCAGTGGCTGCGTACCAAATTAGTACGTTACTTGCCTCGAGTACTTACAGCCTGGTGCTGGTGCGGGGCGGAAACGAAGAGCAGAAGACCGGACCAAAAAAAAAAAAAGAGTCAACAAAAGCATCCTCCAGCCGAGGTTCGAGATGCCTCCAAAAGACAAAGACGCGATCGAGGCCCTCGCGGCTCTCGTCCAAACATCCTCCGCCCTCCTGGATCAACTCCAAGCGGTCCTGTCCGAAACACACAAGGCTCCCGACTCGGCCACCTCCAGCTCGCCCTCACCGTCTCCCCAGCCAGACCCAAACTTCAATGCCCTATCGCTCGCTCACGCCTCTGCATCCCTCATCCGCGCCCACGGCACCAAGATCTCGCTTCTGATAATCACCGAGCCCTTCGCACCGAGTGCCGTGTCAGCCGTCGTGCGGGAACTCGTCGCCGGTCCCGTCCCCGGGCTGGTCTCCGCCGCCGAAGCCTGCGTCGCGAAGCAATACACAGGCACTGTCCGCCGGGAACTTGCCTGGCGTGCGCGGCGCGTCCTCTCCGGACTCGGCCAACTGCTACACAAGATCCCCAACGACGGCAAGCTTGTCGCGCAAGACGAGCGGGACGCATTTGCAAAGGGCGAAAGGGGCAGCTTGCCGGCCACGGGCCTCCTCTGGTCAGCATGCGACAGTGTCACAGACCTTTCCAACATGGGCGTGGCGGGCTTCTTTATCCACAAGGTCGACCAGTGGAGGGATATCCTCAACGACGTCATGGACGAGATGAGGGAATGGGGCGACGAAGAAGCCGACTCCGATTCCGATTCCGACCCCGTCCTGGACGGCCACGTCGACAACCCGTCCGACCAGCCCGGCTCCGAATCCCTCTCCGCCCAAGCCATGCTCGACTCCCTCGTGAACTCGCACCAGACGATCCCCTCCTCCGACCCAGATCGCATCCGGCCCCGTCTCGAATCATCCCTCAAGCGCCTCCGCCTCGTCACCCTCCTCTACCGAGCCCTCGCCAAGCGCCGCCTCAAGAGGCTCCCAGCTTTCCCACCCGCAAACGCCGCCTCCGACGTCCCCTCCCGTCTGGACGAAATGGCCAAACTCCTCGCCGAGCTACCCGACAGCTTTGGCGATCTGGCGTGTGCCTTTTACGAACTGCAGCCATCCGAGATTGACAAGACCACGGAACGGTGCTTCCGTGACGCCTTTGCCGCCAGCGAGTTGTTCGTCAACGACTGGGACAACAAACGGGACTCGTTTTCAGAATGGACGGAAACGTTTCAGGCCGAGATTCAAAAGATTTGATGCAACGGGCCAGCATTGAGTTCCCCCCAGGTTCCAAAACCAAACTCCTTGGCCAAACACGTTCGCCCGTGACGTCTCTGCCCCGAATCACGTCGTGTCTCGTCTGTCCTTTGGCCGCCCGCGGTCCTGCAAGTCCCTCCACGCAAAGCATCTTGGCCCAGAGCACGTCTCGCCGCCTCCCGCGCCGAGGGGACGTGCTGCCCCTCAATGCCACTGAATGGATATGATTTTGTGCAGCCGGCTGTGTGTTTGAGAGCGAGCGCGGCGTCGTCACCCTCTCTTGATTTACTCCGCAGGTACTCGACCATTGTCATAGGTGCTAAGTAGCGAGCAGCCTGGTAGGTACTTATAGGTTTACACGATCCGGCCGGTCGGGTGGCAACGGCGCCAAATCGCATCGCTTGTGCTTCCGTAGTGAACGAGCCGGCCTCGGCCTGTCCCCACTTCCCGCAACTTTACACGCGGTTAATCCGTGTTCGTGCCCGATACGTACACGGATCCCGGCTAGGGCTTTTACGTCGTCGACACTGTCCAACACTCCAACACTCTGGATAAAACTACGAGAACCCGACCAGGCTAGCATTCGTAGTGTTTATTTGTATTCCAAGCGATTATTTGAATCGTTTTATTTGATCGCGGCACCCATATCTGCCTACTCTCTGTGGCCTACCAATACTTGTTCGGCGGCCCAACGCTAAGACACCCTCCGGGTTGATGACCCAATCCTTGTAATGTCACTATGAAATAATCGTCTTCGCTATCGTAAACCGGGTACACCCATCATTATAATCAATGGTTTGTGGAGAATATATATCCCGCTCGTACATCCAGATACCCATCTTCATCGTGTCAGCGATTCATCATCTTATCAAGCTGAACTCCCCACCTCAGCGCATGGATTCGGGCGGTTGCATCCGCACACTCTAGTCAGGTTGCTTGGCTTCTGAGCTGTCGACATCATCACCCTTGGGGGTTATCGTGACCTCTGGGGACAGACGGGTGGCTCCGAGGGTTTCAACGGCTGTCGGCTCATTGCTCAACGTTGATTGCGGTTTCTTTTCTTCTTCGCCAGCTTGTCCAGCGCTGAGTTTCTCCGCATGGTCGGCTTCTGACCCAGCCTTCTCATCTTGCACCTGTGACAGGAGGCGACGTGTTGTATCCTTGGCAAGGTTTGATGATGCCTCTCCTTCACTCCGATCTGCGGACCCATCGTCAATGTTCACCCCGACTAGTTCAGCCAAGCTGCGAAAGTTGAACATAGGCTCACTGCCAGTGTCTCGATCGCCTTCAGATCGAGAACCTGTGCCATCAGCTCCGCTAAACCCTGGCCCAGTATAGCTTCCAGAGGGTGTGTCCGCGAGAGATGATCCAAGCGAGGAGGCGTTGCTCATCTGGCGCAGATGCGAGCTCCCATGAGGACGGCTGGCGGCTATGGGTAGCGAGGCGGCAGCGGAACTGCCTGCCCCCGTAATATCCTCCGATCCACGGTCTACGGCTTTGCCTTTTCCTGGGAGCCCGCCCATGGTTTCGGTTTCAGCAGCCAGTGGTTCCTCTCCTTTGGTAGCTTGCGACGCTCCCTGCGTCGTAGCCTCAGCCCTCAAGGCACTAGCTCCACTATTGCCACGCCTTCGGCCAAGGCCCAGAGAAAGACTACTTCTGCTGGCACCGCTAATGCTCCCTCCATATGGGTCCTTGCTCGCCTTCTTCTGAGCCTTCTTCTCGGCCTGCTGTCGCTTCTTGGCCTCCTTTCGTAGGGCCTTCTCTTCTTTTCGTTTTCGTTCCTCCTCCGTCGCAAGAGACAGTCGAACAGCCTCCATGAACATCATATCTTCAAGCTCATCCATTCGACTCCGGCGAATACCGCCAGCATTCCGACTGGACGCCATCTCGTCGGGATCGGCCTCTGCTTCGCCGGGATTGCGGGCCGTGTGATCGTGAACGGGAGTATCTGTCCCGGCACTCCTTCGTCCAAATCTGCTGGGGCGGAGTATGGATCTGCTTTCCTGGGCTCCCACCAAGAAAGCTGCGGTGTGCAGGGCCGTGGCCGCTGCGGCCCGGCGTGCCTGATGAGCACGAGCAGAGGCCAGTTTTGTGGCCCAGTCTGGCCGGACTCGGTCGGTTGTGATGACATTGGGAGCGGTGGCTGACAAGCTATGTGTCCGCCGCCTCCCGAAAGGCTGAGGAGTTGCTGGCGAAAGCGTAGAGTTGAGAGAGCTCTGCGAGGACATTGCGGTTGAAGCGAAGTTCGTGTAGGTTGAGTAGGCTACGCCCCTTCGAAAGGACGGAGGTTCGTATGTCACGCCGAATTCAGGCTGTTGGCAGTAGGGACACGCTGACGGTTCTGATATGAGCATCTCCGGCGGGTCTTCCGGATTGGGCCCTTCGTTTGGATCCCTGGTCTCGCCGTTTGGATGACGCTCAGGCAGGTGAGGATCGGCTCGCTTTATCTGCACAAAGCACTCGCTACAGATAGGCTGGTCGCAGCATCGTGTGCGGTTCAGATAGGGAGGGTAGGACAGGAAGCATATAGGGCATTCGGAGGCGTCCTTGTACAGGTACACCTCGATGGGCTGACCATTAACAAACGGGTCACGGGGTAAAGGTACCTCCTTTGGCGCCAAGTCAGTGGATGAAGCACTGCGAGAGCCCACGCTGAGGGCTGCCGCGAGTGCCTTGGCCCTTGGCTTGATTGACGATGATTTGGGAGGTGCTGCTGTCGTTGGAGAAGAGATGCCAGACCCAGCCCCAGAGCCACTACGATCTGAGGCGGCAGAAAGAGTTCTGGGACCCATGGGAACGGTAAGGCTCTGCAAGCCCTGAGCGTTGGCAGCTTCCGCCTGGGGTGATGAAGGGCGAGGCATCAGGTCGGGATCGGGAGGCGCGTCGGCGTCCGGGATTGGCAGGCCCCGAGCAGCTGCAACAAGTTGATGTTCTGTCCAGTTTTCAGACCAGTCGTTCAGACCGCGCCAGAAGGGAGCCAATTTCCTCTCGATCTGATTGCGGAGGTTAGTACCCGACTCGTGCCTTTTGAGCTGTCCATGGAGGGAAGAGAGTAAAGATGAGGCAAAAGGCAGCAAACATACCTGAAGCTGTCGAACCACAGGCTTGCTGAAGTCCTCGGTGCCGGTATACGTTCCCATTGTGACCAAATACCCCCCATCCACATGTTCCTCCCGGATGCTTCGCTCTCGATCCTTGGCTCTAGTCTGACGCTCCTTTTCTAACCGGCGAGCCTCGCGCTCTTGTCTGGTCTCACGGTGCTCGAATGGAGCATCGTGACGGTCTCGGCCACGGTCCCGGGGGGGCTGTAGGCTGAGAAATCCGCCCAGGTCCCCTCTGCTGATGCGATTGCGCGACCTCGCACATTCGCGGGGATCAGAGGAGCCGTCGTGGTGTTCCGAACGAGACTCTTTGGTGTTTGAATTGCCCATGACGAAGGCACCGCACCTTGCGGCTAGGGAAAACTTAGTCTGCGCTTTCGCTGCCAGGAAGGTGTACGGTATGGAGTAAGGACCGAAACAGGCTATCCGACGCCGATTCTTGTGGAGATTTGTTCAATCCTCGATATCTGCGGTGGACCGTCTCATGTTAGAAGCAGCAGTCATAACAGTTCAGAGCTCCAGGCAGCATTTCCCCGCAGGCTGGTGGCGTGAATCCTGTGAAATTCACAGTGTTGCAAACGAGGCAGAAGAGGCTGGAGCCGCCCGGGCAAACATACGTACCTGACACAGTGCAACATGAAGCTATGGTTAGAGTATGTCAGACGGACAGTGCAGCACGGGGATGCATGTCGGTGTCGGGAGACAAGTTGAAGAAGGACCGGGGTTGGTCCACCACAGCAACCGAATGGCGACAAATTGTTTGAGAGTTGGGGAGCGCGATGGAGAATATGAATCAAACATGCAGTTGAAGAGCAGAAAATACAATGTGCGATGCCACAAACGTCGAGGCTTTGCTTTCGTTCGGCAGGAGGCTAGAAAGGTGCTGGAGGTGGCAAGTGAGCCGAAGAAACCGACGAGACCGACGAGAGGGCGACGTCAACGAGGGACAAGGCTCGGTCAGGATGTCGAGGGACGTGTGTGCACCGCAGTGGCAAACGCCGGGACGGTGTAGAAGTAAGTATGATGGCGGACGATGACGGGTGCCGCTATGGATGAGAGTCGGAGGAGGGACCCTGACGTTGAGAAGAAGAAGAAGAAGAAATGCAGCGGCCGGCCATGGCGAGTGGTGGTGGATGGTGGACGGCGGATGGCGGATGGCGGATGGCGATGGGCGAATGCAGGTGGTGAGCGACGGGGGGGAAGGCATGCTGGGCAGCCGTAGTACAGCCTACAGGTCTGGGCGGATGCAGAGGGGGCAGGGGGAGGCAGTGGGCACTTGGCCAGTTGGTTCCAGGCCGGTTGGTGCAACCGGCCGGGGTTGAGATGGGCAATGTTTGGACGGGATTCGCTCCTCGGGCCGGCCTCGGTTGGATGGGTTGACAATGCGAGGAGCACAGGGCAGAGTCTGTTTCTGTTTCGCATTTCGGATTCCAGATTTCAGATGCATCCATCAGCTCTTCGACTACGCCCGGCGCGACTGAAGGCCGTTCGTTGGTTGATGCTCTTTGTGCCCCTTGAACTGCCACATGCGGCCGAGTCAAGCCTGGTTGGTACGTACCAGAACGAACCGCACCGCGCGGTTGCTAGGGGCAGGTCGAGCTCAGCCAGCCAGCCGCTTGGCTCAGGTAGCTCGGAGGCTGTCGCAGCTCCGGCGCATGTTGCCCAACAATCCAGTCATCAGAGATTCGCCAAGGCAAAGCCAAGTCTCCGAGTTCAGGGAAGCCAAGCGGGCCTCGTCAGCTCAACAAGAATCAATCCGGCATCCGGCCCTCGAGGCTTGGTCTGCCGGGCTTCTCACGCCCCGGAACTGGAATCCCCCGCAGAATCGAAACCACCAGCCATGCCGCGGCCCTCCAATCACCGGTGGCAGGGCTGAACCCTCCTCACCTCGTCCTCGTCCGATGCCACAGCTACTTTACTTTCACTCCATCCAGCATCAAGGCTTCATCCGTCACGCAGCAGCATATTAGTTTTGATTTGTGAATCCCACCCGCCCACTTGTCCCAGGCCCAAAGCTGACGATGCAATCCAAGCACGTTGCTATACACTCAACAATACGTACTACACCGTCAACAGCATCCACAGACGCCGCCTTGTGGGCCGCATCGTCCGCCTCCGACGTCCACAACGTGGCTGCTTTGCATATTCTCTCCTGCGCATACGAGCGATATCTTTCGAGTATGTCCGTCTTGGCCATGCCGTCTCTCTGGGCGCCAAAGCTGTAATGAGCGGCCACGCCTCCGCCGGCCGCCACCGCAGCTGTTCCGGGGACCAAAAGCAAAGGCACTGCGCGGGCCACCTACACCGTCCCAGCTTCCTCGGCATCGTAACGGTAAAGTAGTGCTCGTCGTCCGGGGCGATGGGCTTGACGCTGTTGATATCCTTGCCCGTCATGGCCACCGGTTGGATGCCCACGCGAAGGTCTCGATGGTCCCAGGCGTGAAACCGATACCGGCTTAGCTGATCCCTCTCCAGATTCTCCAGGAGGCTGTAGTGTTGCTGCGCGCCAACGGCCCAATGCCACCAGCCGGGGCTCAAGTAGGCGTCATATGTGGTCGTTCCCGCGAGAGACCGGCAGCCATCGATGCCTCCGGCCCTCGGGGGCAGACCACTCGGACAAGTTGAAGTCTTTGGGGGCAGTCCAACGGGGCAGAAGCGACGGGCGCCAGTCAGTTGACCGGTTGGTCATGGCCCTGCATCTCGTCGTCCTTTGGGTAGAATGCCCCGGTTTCGGGCATGTATGGCCGCACGACGCCCAGGCCCCAGTGCAACCAACTGCTCCGGGGCTGGTTGATGGTCTTGACCCCGACGACCAAGTAGTCTGGCCGTGTCGCTCGCAAGTGCACCATGGACAAGATTGTCGTGTCTTCGGTGTACACCTTGATGCTGGATGAGTACCACGCCCGCGCAACGTCTGCCTTGCAAAAGCCACATAACTACAATGTCCGTGTCCACCTTGACGTACAAAACATCATCCTCAATCCCGTCGTATGCGCTCGCGTAGTTGCCGTCGCTGCGTTCCACGTCAGCCCGCGAGTAGTCTGCTCAGAGTCAATAAGCTTGTCGAGGAAAGCCGGGTCAGCCTGGTCCTGGGTTCGTTGAAGCCAGATGACCTCGTCGAGGAGTCCGCCGTTCTTTGCAAGGTTGCGCTGATGTGCGCGTCATCAGCACTGGGGGCTTGGAAAGCGAGCAAGGAATCTCAAGATTTCCACGCAAATCATCCTTCAAGTATTGATGGAACACTTCTCACGCTAGGAGGAATCGACCGTGGTTTCTCGTCGGCTCACCTTGAGGTAACAGTCCAAATCGAGGCCTGACTCCGTCTGCCATGGAAGACCATTCCCACGATCCTTGGTATCTGCGACTCGTTTGCTAACGCCTTACATCCGACAGCATCTCGCCGTCAGGTTCGACGGCATCTCGAAATGATTCACCGGGCCCGGTAGTGCTCAACGCGCCCAGCCTCTCCTTCAAGAGGAAGTAGGAGCAGAGTATAAACACCACAGCCACCCCCAGCAGGATTCGCCGGGGGACCAGGTTAAACATGGCGTCTCGATTCCCTGCTGGCACGGCAGACAGAAAAGAAAGAGACGAACGCAAAAACGAATTACGTGACGGGCTCCTCTCGTCTCGACGACAAGATGCCGCAGCTTCCGTGCCAAAGGCCTGAAATATGCAGCCCCTTGACGGGAAAGTCTTCACTTTAAGAACATGTCAGCCAGGCCATCACTGAGGCAGTCTCGTGTAACAGGCCGGAACAGGCCGGAAAAGTCAGCGAACATGTCTCATATACCATACTCCCGTACGGCGTGCTCGGCAAGGAGAAGAGGAAAAAGAAAAAGACGGGGGTAATCGGCCCACGGATGTGGCAATGTAAGCTGACACGGTACCCAGGTATTTCCTAAGCAAAGCGCTATGCACAGCAAGGAGCCCTCCGCCTTGGTTATTTCATGGAGAGGTCACGAGTATTTCAGACCCAACTTGCTATTAGTCGACACGACAGCAAGCTAGGCCGTACAAGTAGTACCGGATATTCCACATATGAACTCCGTATATTCCCTCCTACATCCATCCCATGTGCTCCATGCAGACATTGTTCCGCAGCTTTGACGCAGTCCAACTTTCCTGTACAAAGCCTGTCCACCCACCGTCATAATTGTCAAGATATATATCCCATCTTGCACCGAGATTCGAATCCTGTGTGGCTACCAAAAAAAGACCGCCCAACGCCATGACACCCATCCAAGATGCTCCCATCTATTAAAGCTCCCCATCAGCGCCTCGGCGCCCAAGCCTGCAGCCAGTCTCGCATTCTATCTAGATTTCCCTTCTCTGCCTCCGCCGCTGCCACGCACCACTCCAGATCCCAAGACTTCTCCGCCGCAAGCATTTCTGCCATGCTGCGTCTCTTCTGATTCGTCTCATCCACACAAAAGTACATGTGTCCATTTGGGGTTCCAGCCATTGCCATCAGGGGCTTCACCAAGGGTAACACGGCCGATGCTGAAGTCCCCTTTGCCTCTGCCTTGATGTTCTTCCGGCCAGTCTTGCACCACTCGTTGGCGCAGTGCGGCCTGCCACAGCCAGTCATCATTTGTCCCAGGTACTTCCTCTCGATCCTCCGTTTCAGAGCCTTCCCCTCTGGGTCGTGCATGCTAACGTACAGCGGACCAAAACAGAGGGAGCACAGCCCAATGTCGTTTCCAGGACCCTGGCCTTGTGATGTCCCGGCGCCGATTTGTCCTTTTGGTCCTACCCCGTGAAATGTTCGTCCGCAGTTTTCGTTGTGGCATATCTCTGGCTTTTCCCGGCTCATCTTGTCTAGCTCGTGATGCTTCATGTGCGTTTCCATGTCGCGAAGTCGCACAATCTTGTCGCACAAGTGACACTCAGAGGTGCGGGCGCCATCAGCAAGTTCGTGGGCTGTGAGACCGGACAAGACGACCTCTGGTGAAGGGTTGAAAGGATCGCCTTCCTGTGGAACTTCAAGGTGACAGAACCGACATAGGATGAGCTTGCCGGGGCATACCGAAGTTCGGTGCCCGGCTAGGTCTGCTAGCGAGTCTGTTGTGAATTCACAGTCCTGACAGGTGCGGTGTTTGTGACATATGCTGTCGTGTTTTGATTTGCTGGCAGCCGAGTTGCCCCTGGCCGAGTCGTGTTCGCAGTGCCAGTGCGAATGCCACTCATCCGAGCCTTTCTTGAAGACGGAAGCGCATTGAGGACACGGAATGTTGTTCCTCCGGCAAAAATTCTCGTGCAGAATCATTGTCCGTTCGGGAACCCACTGCCTGCAGTTAGAACACTGCCGCTCGTCAGACGAGTGCTCCTCGCCGTCGTCCTCCATGCGCTCTTGCCCAGCTATGATTGTTGGCGATCCGATCTTAGCTCGGATAGTAAATGAGATTGGCTCGCTCTCTCGTCGGTATGGAGACGGGAACCCATGAACAGAGACGAGTATTGATTCTGCTCCTTCCATTTCGACATTTGCGGGTGATATGGTGATGGATTTGATTCCATTCTCGGCAGAAGAAAAGTCGCCAAAGACATGAGCTGTATCTCTGGGTAGTGCTCGCTGCCGAGACGATTTCGGCGTGACAAAAAGGTCCAAACTATCTTCCTGTTCTATACCACTGAGGATGATGCTCAGGGGTTGTGACCGGTCCCAGGACGGCAGTACGTAGTCGACGTATCCACCGGGCGGAACGTTTCCCGAGACTTGTCTCCATGTGTCGAGATGCCCGCCTTTTGACACACCACCAACTATCTCAGTCTGGGCCTCGGTTAGGATTTGTCGCATCGTTTCCCGAGCCTGCTCTTCGTTGAGCGCCTCAATATCCACTTCTAGGTCAGTATCAACGACGCATATTGCGTCTCCTTCTGGAGAAAGCTTGTCGACCAGAAACTTGAAGTTCTCGCCTCTAACCCCATTGATGGAGAGAATCGAATTCCTGGTCAGACACGTATAATGTTCCCGGAGATGTCGTTCCAGCAGCGACTTCCAATCATCCGGGTTATAGCCCGCTTCCAGCGGTCTTAACCTGACGTATGTTCCCTTTGGTATTCTTGTTGCATGAACCGTCAGCTCAATCGCTGCGGTCGTCGACAGGACTTCGTCGCCAGTAATATCAATAGGATCGGGATGGGAAGTCCGATCTCCATAGTTTGCTTTGAGCTTCTGTGGCTCAATCCCCAGCGCTTCCATCAGGAAAGAACTCAGCCCCATGGTTCCCTCAGGGGCAGAGAATTCTCGAATACCAGCAAAGACAACATTGCCATTCTGACTATTCACAAGTCGGAACGCAAGTGGGTGTGGCAGTTGCTGGCGCTGTTCGACCCCCAAGGCGTCGGACCGGTACGGGTTATGGGAATCCCAAGCCGTGAAACTCGACGCCGTTGTCGGCTGCGACGGCGCAGCGGCCAGGAGCTGTTCTAACGCAGATTGTGGGAGGATGATCTTGTCTCCGGACAAGTTTCTGACTGCCGTAGCTGTCGTGGGCGGGACTCCAAAGGAGCCTGACCAGCGCAAGGCTGGCTGCTCATCCATGGCCTGTCTCTGGGTCAAAAATGTCGGTCGTCGAATACAACGGTATCGTGAGCTATGAGGTGTGGGCCGTGGGTTCGGTTTACAGACACGGTCTAATCCACTTGAGTTGGAGGACTCGGGTTGGACTGGGAGCAAGATCCATCTCAGAACACTCTGGGGCTCAGCTGGGGATGATATACAGGAAGAGATTGAGGTTTACGAATGCATCATACTAGACATTCGGTGAGAACGGAAGCTCGTCGCTGCCTGGAAATATGGCGAAATTGGGATGCTCAGTCAGCGAGATTCTGTCGTGTTCCATGTCCATCCAACACGGAAATGTCACGGTCACGTGAATTGTATTAAGTGGTCTGCCTCTTTGCTCGATACGGAAATACAGCGTCTGGGACTGTTGGAAGCCGCCAAAAAAAAAGAGGATTTCGAAATAGCCTGTCGGTTTGAATATGACTGGTCCTCTCCGGGCTGGTGGAAGGGCGAAAGTCGGCTCGTCTCACAAGACTGTGGCTGTGGCTGTTGCGGTAAGTTGTGACCCTCGCAGATTCGAGATGCCCAGCCGCGCCAGCCATCCGCAGCAGCAGAAGATGTCATCAACGCGGGTCATCTTCTCTAAGTTGTTGCAGCAAGGGCTTTGCTCTTTGCCATGGACTCGGTACGTTTGTCCATTCTGCTCCGGCGCTACGACGACTTGATGCCTTCGGACACAAGGTTTGATAAACAGACCAGTCAACGCAGGCGAACGGACTGCTTCGTACTACGGAGTACTTATCAGTTATTAACTACTCGGTAGGACAATCAATCAATCCATGGCCTTGAATCTGCAAAGGCGCAGCCATGTCTTACGTGTCCGCCGAAGAGGCCCTGCATTTCTACCTACGTCGTGGATCTTGGCGTACCTAGAACGCTGCTATTCGACAGGCTTGGGAAGATCGGCAATACATTTCCTCACATACATACTCCGTAGTGATGCTGAATTGGTATGCATGCTTATTGGCCTGCCTCTTGGGCCTTGGCACATCCAAGCCAAGGGGACTTGACTTGGGACACGGCAAATGGGCCCATGTGCAGAAACGACACGGACAAGGGTAATGCAGCGCGGCCACGGCCACGTAGCAACGACAGTTGACCAAGGCGCTCCCTTGAAGTAATCAAATCTGTCTTGCAAACGGCATCGTAGGGCCCGAAGGGCACTGCCGAGATTGGAGTCGTCAGGGATTCTGATGGCAAGTCGCAACACCATCTTCATCTTCGGATCTGGAGCATCTCATCCATGGGCGCGCGCGCGGGCTGCGGGCTGGTTGCCTTTCAGGAGTGTCGGGCTTCGTCATCATCATCGTCTTCTTCTTCAGCATTTACTGTTGCCCCCCCCCCCCAAAGCATGACGGCGTCACGTCACATCTCCTGCCTCCGATTCGCCGAAACAACGGAGGACTCCGGTCACTCTCGACTGACCTCAGGCGACTTGTCTGTACATGCTTTGTTCCACCCATCGTCACACGTTGTCCGGACACATGTCCGTCTGGCCTGGTCGGAACTAGCATTAAGGCGCACCTCGTACGGAGTTAATGGTACTGCGTGCTCCATTGTAATTTGCATGTCCGGTGGATGTCTGCACGGTGTCCAGCGTGCCTTGTGGACATGGATGCAATGTCCAGGAAATGGTGGCGTCGGCGAGTGTCCAAGAGCCGCTCTTGTCGTTTGTTCAATGTCCACCTCACCTCCGCCAGCCGTTTGCTCACCGAGATCTCCAAAGACGGACAAGAGCCAGTAACGACCAAGGCTGCGTCTGTATGCGTGTGTGTTGTGTTGTGTTGTGTGTGTGCGTGTGCGCGTGCGCGTGTGCGTGTCTAAAAGAAGAAAAACGGAAAAAAGAAAAATGCTCCAGTCTGTCATCCCATCGTTTGTCCTCCGTGTGCCGCGGTTCTGCATCTCTGCGTCTCCTCGCCACAGCTACCAAGTACCACACGTACCACAACATGGTTCTTTATTGAACTCAACAGCTTCTCTCCTATCCGCATCTGCTCCGTATGGTGCGTGCATACAGAGTGCTCCATCTATCTATATCCCCCCTCGACCAGGCTGTCCCTGGCCAACCTGCTCAACCTGCCTTCTACTCAAAACCCGACGTTTGGTGCCTGGGACCGCACACCACACACCATCGTCATCATCATAATCACCGCCATCACCATCATCTCCGAAGCCAGCCAACTGCTCCGTGCCATCATCCTCGTTGCACGACGCACCAGCCGCATTCGGCAGGAATCTCCCGCTCGTCGCTCGTCGCCGCCAATCCACACCCCGGCTTCCGTTTCACCCGTGAATGAGATATCTTCTTCACCTGGCCGCGTTTGAGCAGCGAATCCCATTCGGAACCTGTCTCACTCACACCCCCGTCTTTCTCTCGCGGCCTTAATTTGTCAACCCAAGCTACTCCGTCGTCCGTCGTCCAAAAAAGACAGTCCTAGGGTTACATGACAGCCAGTAGTTTGCATAACCTTAGGCGGCATCTCTATTTGTTGTTTCACACGGGGACCGCCGAAACACGCATCACCTTTCAACTGCGCCCCCGTCTCGACTGGCCGGGGGCTAGTTGACACGGCAGCTCTTCCTATTTATTGACCGAGCTTCGAGCACTACTACCTGGTATCTGCTGCTCTGAAGCATGCCTCCCTCGACCATCTCACATCGACTTGCATCCTGAAATCTCGTGTTGCGCCCACTACATATACACTCCATATTCATAATACCCCTTGGCTCTCAAGTCGTCATTCTCTCGCAGCCTGACATGAGCCAAGCTACCGTCATCGGTCAAATGCGTCAAGAACTCGAGATAAACACACCATCTCTGTTCGATATCCTGCACAACTCTCTCATCCTCCGTACCATCGCCCCCTACCTGCCCATATACAGCCTCCTTCAACTTTCCGCTGCCAACCACGAAATCAGATCTCTTATCCGCAACACCCCTGGCGTGTTTCGGCACCTCGACCTCAGACAGGTCAAGAAGGCGCAGTTTTACATCAAGCCCATTGACAACGGTGGACAAGTGTGGCGTAATGTGCAACTGGATGAAAATCTGAGTGAAGATGAGTGAGTTTTTCTCGGTTTTCCATTCTTCCTTTTACGGCTGTCATGTCTGTATTCAGAGTTTGCACACGAGTCGCTCACATGATCAAGTTTCTACTCCGGTCCGTTGAGAGGCGCTTTCAACGCCATCCAACGACAGGACATCTGGAAAGATGTCCAGACCTTGATTCTCGACGGCCTATCGGTGACGTCTGACTTGTGCCACGAGCTCATCAATGACCCTTCATATAGCGTGCGCATACTGAGTATACGAGAGGTTGAAAACTTGAACCAGGCCAGGCTCCGAGAGGCTCTGCAGTATGCGTGTCGGCCGACACGACCCAAGAACTCTCCGCGGCTCAAGGCGCTCTATGTATTCGGTTCCAAAGAGGTGCATCCAGAGATGAAGCCAGGTCTGCCGGATCGGGAATCCCGAGGCGCCATCAGCTGCAGGTGGAATCACGAGAGTCGCCAGGCTCTCACATCGTCTCTCGAGCGACAAGGCGACAGCTGGTGGTGCAAACGGGGCCGCGTCATCACGCGGCCCGTTTCGCAGGAATGGGTCAACTGCATGGCAGCATGCGAAGGCATCGTTGCTTTTGACGCGGTCCTCTGCCGGGGGCCCCGGCCCAGAACGTCACCTGCCTTTGGACGGCCCTTGATGATGGCAGACAACGAGCCTGCCGTGGCTACGCATGCCGTCGGCGGCTGCGATGGTTGCGCCAAGGCACCAGAGGGTTTGGTGTCGGAGGAGCACCGCCCGCCGCAATGCCTGCCTCTTCTGACCCCCCTTCCCATCATGGCGTCTTCGGTCCGGGCCGCAACCTGTCCGTCTCAACCTGGCCAGGCCTTTGTCCCGCGATGCTTTGATTGTCTCCACGAGCGGTACTGCGCGTGCTGCCATAGGTGGTGGTGCGAGTCGTGCTTCCAGCTTCCCGGTCAGGGACAGCACACAGACGTGAACAACTTCATCGTGGTGGATGAAGACGATGGTGTGGCAAACTTTGCTCAGATCCTACAGTCGCAGGATAACACACCCAAGATCAAGGTACGACATGGTACATGTTTCCAATGTTCGGCAGCGAGACTGGCTGCCCAGGATGATGCTCTGGTCCCTCCATGACGAGACGGGGCTTTGTAGTTGAGTGACTTGGTCCTGCAAGCTGGTGTTTTGCAGATTTGTACGCAGAACCTACGTCACCTTGATGTCCTTTTGGCAGTATTTCTTTCCCTCTGTCGCGTTATAAAATTTCATGTTTGCCTTCGACGATTTGCTAATTTTTTTATAGAGTTGCGTCACCAAGAGCTGCTGGGAATGCGGCAACAACGCAAGTCACTGATAGCCTCTCCCGTTTCCTTTTTTCCTTTTCTTTTTTTTTTTCTGATCCCAGCGCTAACGCTCAATAGTGCGAGGAATGCATCAGTCAGACACAACGGAGTTGCAAAAAGTGCTCCGCTGGTTATTGCATTGTTCACAATGAAGGCTCATCTCCTGAATATGTACGTGTTCTCGTTACCAGTATTCGGCCTACCATCTACTAATACCTGCCATCAGTGCGATTGGTGCATCTCGCGTGGCCGCGGTTTATCACGACAGTAAGACCCTGCGATACTCTAGGCGTGTGACCATGGGGTGAGGAATTCGCAGCTGATTAGTATCAGAGACTCCAAGTCAGGTGCTCGTTTGCACCTTGCCTCGAATGGCATCCCTCTCAGTCTCGCCCGACGTAGGATTCGAGACGCGCTGACCAGGCCGCTTCTCTGAGAAAAGAAAGGAAGGGTAGGGACAGCTGCTGGCAGCCGGAGCACCAGCAACAAACAGTTCTTTCTGTGCCGGCCTCGTCTAGAGAATTTCTGGACATGATGAAGCCATCAACACACGTAATGTGTGTGATGTTACGACCGAAATGATCAGTATCAATTTGAGACAAAATCTCCCCCATCAGATAGCGACTCCATACTCGACTCTAATGAAGATATTGCCAATGTTTAAGTTGTTCTGAGCCAAGATCCCTCTCATTTCAACGAGTTCCGTCACGTCGTGGGACTCTCTTGTCTGCTGCTGAAAAATTGGCGAATCCTGACTTGACGTAGCATCTATTGAGGGTGAAACCGCCGGGGGGCATGGCATGCCGAGAGGAACTAGCCGAAAGTCGACTTCATGTCACTGCCGACGCAGCCCGACGCAGCTCAACCGAGCTCAACCGCAAGCCTGGTACCGGCGCCAAACGCGTCATGTCCCTCGATAGGGGGAGCACAGGGCTGTCGCTGGGGACTGGCGAATCGTACGGCATCATGGTGACTGTTTTTCAGGTGAAGTTGAGGCCAGCGGCAAATTTACGTGCCACCAAAGATGAGCCAAGTTCCTCGTATTCCTTCTTTGTGACGACAAGCTTCTCAATGTTTGGATGGCTGGCCAGATTGGCAGCCCCAAACCAAGTGCTGGTAATGGGATCGGCAGGTCTTGCAACGCGCACGACACAGTCATCCGGTACTCGCTGCACGACCTCCTTCTGAAGACGCTGGATGAAGCCATCAAACAAGGTATTGCCCCCCACAACAACAATATTTGCCAGCAGACCGGGCCACAATCCCAGGGGAAGTTGTTGTATGGATTGCTGGATCAAGTCCGCCAGCCCTGGTTGACGCATGCCCATATCTAACGGATTGAATATGAGCTCCGGTACGGCAAACCGCTCGTTTCGCAGCGTCAAGACATCTTCATCCGTCTGGCCGGCCGCGGCCAGTTTTCTCGCCCTTGTATGCCTCGTGGGATCGTAGTCGCGCATCGACCCCCTAGTGCGGGTGTGAAAATCCGGCAAGACGTAGTCTTTGACGATGCCAGCCCCGGACACGTACGACGGTCGTTTCTCGCCCCTCGTGCCCTTCCACGTCTTCTCCAGGTCCGACTTGAAGTCTAGCGTCACGTAGCATGCCGCCTCCTTCATTTCGTTGACGATGCACGTCTCGTTGCGCATGTCGAAATGCCGGAGGGATAGGAGACGAGCCAGGTAGTTGGTGAGAAGCTTGCCGCCAACGTCGAGTCGTCGAACTGCCGAGTGCAGCGGCTGCCCGCGGAGCAAGGGCGAGACGGTCGTATGGGAGTATCCGGAGTCCACCACCAACATGACTTCGGCGGGGACGTTTGCTGCCGTCGGGGTCTCCTTTGGCGTCCGGAAAAGGTTTTGCACGTCGTGGTAAGCATTGAAGGTCGAGTCTATCACCTCCCTCCCGTCAGAAAAAATCGAGCGATGGGCCGGCGTTTTGGGGCGAGACTCGCGCCACACTTACTAATTCCTCGGTAGTAGCTAGCGAATCCGTACTCCTCGAAGACGACCTGGTCGCAATTCGTCTGCAACGCTGGCAGTCCGTTGGGGGGCTCTGAGAGGATTAGACGAGTCTCGGCGGGATCGCACTTGGTTGCAGCATTGTCGAATATCTCCTGGTCCCAAATCTCCTTTTGGGCCTCCCAGTTCACGATGAAGCCTCTCTCGACCGGCCGTCGAAACTGCAGCTCGCCAAAGTCGCGGCACTTGGCGATTTCGGATCCAAGGTAGACCTTTCGTGATCGGTCGCGCGCGATGCAGTTGGGGACGACTCTGGGCTCACTGACGTGCCCGTTGGCTACGATGCCGGCCTTGAACGTGTACGCGCCGTTGTCTACGATGAGCGTGTTCGTGGGCCGCGCGGGAAGTGTAGGCTTGGCTTTCCGCCCGCCCGCCATGAAGCCTGGATGCCAATGTGTAGCCGCGGATGTTGTGTTGTGTGATGGTGTGCGAGCTCCAAGTTGCGTTTGTCGGAAGTACCTGGGTACTTGTCAAAATGCTTGTGGGGGCAAGTTGCAGCGAACGGACGGACCGAGGGACGGACCGAGAGACGTACCGACCAAACTTCTCCTCAAGAGGAATTGATTACTCAGAACATTATAACTACCTGGCCAAATTCACTCTTGCGCATACCAAGAGTCCACGTGAAAAAGTTGACAACGAGCGCCGCGAGGGACATTTTAACTAATCAACCAACTACCAACTATTCTGACAAACTACCCGGCAACTGCGTAGTTTATCTGTCACACTAAAAAATACACATTTTTTGTGTGTTGGTACCCTTTATATGCTACGCGACGTTATCCTCGCCACGCCGACTTACCTGGGTCTCAGGATTCCCGATCGAAGAAAGGGCATCTCAAAACCAACAACATCCTGACGAGAGTCCTTGTAGAAGACGACCCTGTCAAGAGGCTCTTTCCCGTAATGTATCCAATCCCCAAGAGTCCACTGCAAACAGTTTTCGTAGCCCAAGTTGAAACCAGGCATATCAGACGGAATGGGCTCGCCAAACTCGGGCCACATACGCCAAACCTCAGCAGTGACGTTGTTGCCGTCCATCTGAGCTGTTTGCGACAGGTCCGTGGGGAACAGTCGCATTGTAGAGCCGAAAGCCGCCGCATATTGCCCCACGGCCAATCCCCAGATCTTCTTGATGCCAGCTACTATGTCTTTCCCGCCATGGCGAATTTCGGAAACGACGAGGGAATCATCGTCCAGCAGAAAAGCCGCTTTCACGGCCTTGCTTTGTGGTATGGTCCCGTCAGACTTGAAAGTGCGGGCGTATTGCTTCTCAGCCTGGTCCCTTGAGGCCTCGTCTGCCGCTGGCACGAAGATGGCGAGAAGTGCGTCAGAGAGGACCGTGGAGGCCCCTGTATTGCCTGCAGACAGCATAATGAGCCCCATGCCATACTCGTCTACTACATTCAGTTGACTGCTGTAGAGTTGCGCGGCGCCACCTTTGCCGGCCACGACGACTGGGTGTGGGTGCGCCGGCGTGAGATTGAGAGGCCGAAAGAACTCCCAGGGCATACCGACTGCACTGTATGCTCCGGTCCAGTCCGCCGGCTTCAACCATTGCCTTGTTTGTGACGGTGTAGGATCGAGGGTTCGTGTGAGGAGGGCGTAGGTGAACCTGGAGAGGTCGGCCACCGACGACACCAAGCCGCCTCCACTGCGTCCAAGATGGCCAGACGGTCAGTGTCGAGAGGTCGGAACGACGGTTAGTCTCTAGGGCTGTCACCTACGGAGCATTGTATGCGTAGTCCACACCCCAGGAGCTATCTCCCGGGGGAATCACAGCCTGGTCATCGTCTCCGGGGGAGGGAAGAGTATTCCGCATGCCAAGCGGCTTGGTCACAATGTCGGCCACCAGGTCGGTGTAGTTCTTCCCAATGGCTTCCTGGAGTGCCAGGACAAAAATTGCAAAGGCCACGTTTGAGTAAGCTGGGCGCTCCATGGGCGCCGTGACCGGATATTGGGACGTCATGCCGTCGAGGAGCTCTGCAAGACACAGGTTTAGCCCGGGAACATGCCGCATATCTGTAGGCGTCATGCCTACCATTCACAGAGCAGCCTTTGTTAAGACCGATAACACCGCATGATGGGTAATCCGAGTCCTTGAGTGGCGGGAATCCGGACTGAACAAAGCGTTCTCTCAGATAGTAATACTCTGAGAATCCGTCTAGGAGTCGTCAGCATAGTCACAAGTTACAACACCCCCCGCGGCATCACTTGCTGCTCGCGGAATACGGACTGTTCGTAGGTGCACCGCTCAGCTGTGAGCCAAGCATGCGCAATGTGACATGTTTCCAATGAGTCTTGGACCTGGAGCTGTTCAGTTCTGGAATAAAGTCGGTAACAGGCCGATCGAGGTCGACCCCAGCCTTGAGGAGGATGTAGTCAGAGATGACCTTGCTCACAGAACCAATGAGGTACTGCGAGTCACGGGTGACGTTTTTCGTACCACGATTATTCTTCTCAGCCCGGTGGTGATACTCCCAGACGGGGACGCCGGCGCTCTTCTGGTCCGTGGACACAACGGCCAGAGAAAACGAAACATTCTCAACGGGCCACCCTGCTTTTACGACGCCCCTGACAGCATCGTTCAGCGTCTTTGCGAGGCTTGCCCCCGCTGATTTTACTATGGGCGAGTCGCTGAGGTTCGGTTTGGGTAGAACCCGTCCCTCCGGCCGGCAGTTGAGGGCTGCCGAGGTCGGTCCAGCTAGGGACATGAGCAAAACGTATAATCGAGCGTAGACATTCATCGTGGGTATCCTTTGCGTGCCTGGGTGGATGTTGAGGACTCATACCGGCAGTTGAAATTTGCGTGGCTGCAATTTTCGAGGCCCTTTATACACGGTTTCGGGGCATCACGTCATCTTTGAGTCACGCAGCGCTCACGCCAAGCGTTGATGTAATGATGCCTTTGAGCGTCCAAACTCGTCAAGACGAAATACGAGCCATGTCTTGGCACCAGAAACGACGCCCAGAACGTGATTCGGTGTACTTTGACCTCCGGCTCGCAAAGGTTTACATGCCGCTCTGGTGTTCTTGCGGGCCACATCGCCGCCACTATGACGAGCAGTTTTGTACTTGCGTATGCGTTCTGAACTTCCGCATGTGGGTCTTGCAGGGAAAGGTCGAATGCGAGATACGAGGCGGCTCAGGGCTGGTGAGGTGCCACGCTAACCTGGCGGAGGAATATCGAGGAATCCGATTGCCTCGATGGTGTTTACTGCTACGTCCGCGGAACATGTGCCGGCGTCATCGGCGGGCTGCAAACCCTGGAACAAAGCCCATCAAGTCATGCATGGCAAAGGATAGCAATCAAGTCAAGTCCGTTTCAAGAGGTGCGATCCAGGGCCGTCAAGGCGAGTTCGTCTTCGTCTCTCGGGGACGAGTTTCTTATTGCTCCTGCGGAGCCGCACTGGTGTGCTGGCTGGAAACTCGGCGGCTATGAACAGCTGGCTCCCGATTCCTCCTGAAGGATAAACGCAAAAGGACAATCTATACTCTACATGCCAGAAATGCGTACTGGATGAATGCCGTTAAATTTTGGCGTTTTCTAAAAAGTTCTTGGGTATCAACCCCCACCGCTGCGCGACTGCGTCGATGGGAACGACGCCTTTCGCCTGTCTCATGTTCGTAAAAGCCTCTCCGCCGCTCTGCCACGAATAGTCTTTCCACGATCCCAACTTTGGCCACATCTGCTGCGTGACTATACGGTTAATTCTGTCTCTCCTCTCCGCCGCACGTTCATCCCCTGGGCTCGCAAGTCCAACAGCACTCTTCCAGAGGGCCCACGTCTCCTCCAGTTCGTCCACGTTGGAAACGCCCATCACAGTGACACCAATAGGAGCTGGTGAGCCATTTTCGTCCATCCTTGGCTCTGATGAGAGCTCGGGCGGATAAGCGACCGAGCCGAATTGGCTACCAACACGGGACCAATTTTCCAGGGCCCATCGAATGGCAATCTCTTCGATACGCTCTCCCAGCTTGCTTGCAACCGACGTCAGGCTGAAGCACGCGTCTCGTAAGCCTGGCGGCGCCGGGTGCCAGGAGGCCATGGGTCCACCGTCAGCTCCTCTGGTGGTGATCAAGCCCATTGCTAGCATGCTAGCATTCGGGATACAGTCGACGCCAGCCTTCTTGAATCGTTCAAGGATATCCGGCCGTCCCAGCTGAGTATTTTGAATAGAATAATTCGCGTACGACATGACGGCATCCAAGGGCTCCCCAGTCTGTTCCAAGACCATCTCGGCTAGCGACACCAAAACTTGGACAGGATAACCGCTGATTCCTACGTAACGGACCAAGCCTTGGTCTCGCAACCGTCGCAGCTCCTTGACGGCCTCCAGGACCTCCGGCGGAGACACGAATTCCGCATCGTGGGCATAGACGAGGTCCAGGTAGGGCGTGCTCAACCGCTCAAGACTGCGACAAACGCTGTACCGAATCCATGGCGGCGAATAGTCGAATTCGTTGCTCGCAATTCGGCCAGCCTTGGTAATGAGAAAATAGCCATCCCGATCTGGCGGAGGTGTCAATGCTCGAAGCGCATCGCCGAGCAGCACTTCGGACGGCCCATAATACGGCGAGGTGTCAAAGGCGGTGATGTGGTGTTGAAGCGCCTTGCGAACAATGTCGTTGTAGGGCATTTGCGAAGGGTCGTCGTTGTATTGGTAGTTGAAGGTGGCCGTCCCCAAAATGAGAGGAGGCAGGACCTGCGAGAGCGACTTGTCATGTTGCGCCATGGTCGTGGGCCTCGTGGCGAGGTTGGTGACGCAGGTGATGCCGAGAACCGAGAATGAATAGCCGAGCCGGTGAATTATGACATGGCTCCAATAGCCTGTGCAAGCCTCACAGAGCGAGAAGCAGGTACGGAGAAGTAATAAAAGTGCTCAAACTGTCAACAAAGCGTCGTCAATCGACGCAGGGAAATTGTGTCGGTACCACGGAAAGCAAAAAAGCCCCGCCGGCGGACCGTCGATGAAGTTCCGGGCCGGTGGGGGTCACGGCTGGCTTATGTAACCTGAACCCCGCCCCAAGTTCCAACCCATCGTCTCGCGGATGTACGACGAAAACGACGAGTGAACGATGTGAGTCTAACCCAACACCCCAACACCACCAAGGACCTGATTACTTCGTCTGCTGTGCTTGGCACAACCATTCGTTGTCGTCAACCTGCATTGAACACTTCACCAGCCAACACCCCAGTGCCGTCTAGTACCAACCAACAGCCGCACGTGCAGCACGTGCTGCCCGTTGTCAATCCAGTCTGGTGTTTTCTCGACAGCCAAGCTGTCATCTGCCCGTGGATTCGCGAACAGCCGCTAACATGATATCGATTGCATCTTCTTCTTTCTTGTTTCTTGAGCTCGTCAAATCACCTGGACACTCATCGGGTTCCTGATGACCAGGTACCGTTACAGAACAGGACCAAGGCCAGTGCCCCGGATAACCAAACGTTCCGCGAGGGCAGCCTCACATCGCGATTTATTTGAGAAACCTCGCCTGAAACGGTATACTTTGTATCAGATGGATATATACGGTACGGCCTACGACACGGATATACATTTGCTTCCCCGCCCATTGACCTGAAGGCTCATGATCCACTAGCTTTGCCACCATGCCGCCTCCATCCTCTCAATTATTATATTGAACAGCAACTTGCGACAATCATCTGCGCTTTTATACCTGCTGCGCAGTAGGCTTCTCCATGTAGTCGCCAGCCCCGATGGTGCTGGCAAAGGTTCTGGTGGGCTTCCACTTGGCGGACTGTCGGGGAGTAGTCTCCTCCATCATCTTGTCGACCTGCTCGAGTGACAGACCCTTAGTCTCGGGGATCAAGAAGTAGGCATAGACAAAGGCGCAAGTGCAAAGACCGCCCCAGATGAAGAAGACGGATGACTTCAAGTTGCCACGATCCTCGCCCACCATGTAGGGGGTAATGACGGCAATAATAGTATTCCACAGCCAGTTGGAAGCAGTGGAGAGGCCAACACCACGAGATCGAATAGGGAGAGGAAAGATCTCGCCAATGACGATCCAGGCACCAGGACCCCAGGTGGAGGCGAACCAGAAGATGAAGATGGCGATGAAGGCAATTTGGGCGTTGACGGCGGCAATGTTGTCGGCAATGCTGTTCGCGGGGTTTGCGGGATCACGGTGAGTGCGGTTGAAACCGACGGTGACACCAATGATGGCGACGAGGAACTGGCAGATGAGCATACCAAGAGCGCCGTAGATGAGGATGGTGCGACGACCAAATCTCTCGACAGTCCAGAAAGACAGAGGAGTTGAGCACACGTTGACAAGCGTGAAGATTAGTGAGATGAGGAAAGTGTCGCTGATGGCACCGGTAGACTGAAGGAAAGGAGTCGAGTAGTAGAAGATGAAGTTGACACCAGTCCACTGCTGCATCATTTGCAGGGAAGTACCCAAGATGGTTCGACGCAAATTGGATTTGGCACTCCAGAGGCTGCCCTTGAAGCAGTTGGCCCAAGATCCGAACCAGGTGGTGGAGGGAATGAGGGCGCGCTCGTATTCTTCGTTGGCAATAATTTCGGCAACCTCAGTCTGGACATATTCAGAGTTCTCGGGCTGGCCACGAACGCGGGACAAGGAGTTTATGGCCTTCTGAATCTGGCCCTTCTTGACGTAGTAGCGAGGGGAGTCGGGGAGGAACAAAAGACCGATACCCAGGATCAGGGCCCAAGGGAACTGGATAGCGATTGGCACGCGATAGGCACCGGTGTTGCCATAGTTCTGGGTGGCATACACTACGATGGAGGCCAACATGATACCGATGGTGATGCAGAATTGGTACCCAGCGACGAGAGCACCCCGAACTTTGCGAGGACACTGCCACGGGGCGTGAGTTAGCATTGCTCAGAGACGAGGGCGCCGAGGAAGCGAATCATCAAAACTACAAGCCCATTTTACTTACAATCTCGGACATGTACAAGATAACGATGGCGGACTCGAAACCAACACCGAGACCAGCGACGACACGGCCAGCGACGATGGGGCCGAGAGCATTCTCAGGGCTAGTAATCATCTGAATGACAACACCGAGGGCGTAGATGACGCAGCCAGCGATGACAGTCCACTTTCTGCCGATCCAGTCGGCCATGTCACCAGCAATCAGAGCACCGAAGAAGGTTCCGCAAGACAGGATGGACACGATCAGGGAGGACCTGGATTCAGAAATCTTATCAAAGCCGGGACCCTCGACGGCTTCGATGAAGATCTTGGAGCCCAAGACACCATTGATGTACCCGGAATCGTAACCGAAGAAGATACCACCGAAGGAGGCGAAGGCGCAAAGAAGATAGGCCTTCCAGGTCACGGGGGCCTCGATATGCTCAACATCTGGGGCAGTGTGGAGGGTGACGGAGGCCTGTCGGCCCTCCCGCGCCTTTTCGACACTGACGGGCATTGTTGCTCGTGTCGACAGTTGGTCGATACTTGGTGATGGCTCAACAAGTCTCAGTGTCTTGGATGTCGAAAGGGAAAATCGAAAGGCAAGACAAGATGTGGGGCAGGGAAGAAGACAGTCCGTCGGACAATGGATGGATGGCACGAGGAGCAAGACAGAGAGGAGAGGCTGGTCAACGGGAGGGGTGAAGACGACTTTTTATCCCACGAGCCAGCGGAGCATTCGATCAAACATTGGCAAGGGTGTCAATGTTGCATCCCGTCCATCGTCCATCGTCGTTAGTGGCATCTGCGCCGCGTGAGAGTCCCACACGTGTGGTATATGTACGGGGCGCAATTTTGAGAATGAGACGCGCAGAAGGCTTGCAGGAGTGGCGCTCCCACAGCCGATGCGTAGTGCATTACGGAGTGAGTACCTATACTTTCTTAGGCTCTGGGTCAAGGAGTCAGGACTCGGGGCTCAAGGAGCAGCGAGACGCAGGCCAGGGGCTGCGAACCTGTAACCCGGCCATGGGCGAGGTGGCTAGTCCCGACTCAGGCGCTTGCGACTGACAGTGGACTCCGTGTTCGACATGGAAGCGAAAGGCGCGTGTCCGGGGAACCGGCGTGTAGATTTGCGGGGCTCGACCGGCCTGAGCTGCGAGGTAAGACCGATGATGGTGGGCCACTGGTGGCAGATGGAGGCTGCGGCCCACATGGACCAGCAAGAAGCGCCGAGAAGGGCCGGCGGTTGGTTCTTTTTTGCTCAAGCGGCCAATTGAACAGTCACGCAGCACCGAATGGCCGGGGCTGGTTTTGACTTTTGCTGGGCCTCGGCGAGGCTGTACGGAGCAAGTCGAGAAACGCACTAGCACTCCTCCTCGCCCCCTCGTCCGTGTGGCCCAGACTAGTACTATGTACTTGTTAGGCACGTCGACCCCATTGGCCTGATCCCCCGCCAAGCATCTGGAACACCAAGAAATGAGGGGACCGACGAGCTGATGCCCCAGCATCTCCAACCTGCGCCCCCAAATCCCCGTGGGAAAGCGCAAAATGGAAGGGTGGGAGAATGGCAGACTGGAACATTCGACCGTCAATTCTTCGCAGCTCCATGACGCAGGATTTCGCATGTTTTGTTGTTCGTCCGCCCCGGTATGACGTATCGGGTCCACCATGAGCATCGCAACAACGATGACCCTCCTACACGATGTTTCTTTCTTTCATTCTGTCATTCTTTCTTCCTTTCCTTCCTTCCTCCCCGGCGGACCTGTATGCTCGTCCGACGGACTGTCCAGACTGCTACTAACTAACCCAACAGCAGTCATACGATGGCTGTGAAGGGAATGGTGTGGGATTAGTGCACCGCCATTGCGATGGCTTCATGCTCGCTGCCAAGCACCACAAGGGCATGAGCTTGTCAATAACGCTAGGACGCTTGCGGCCATGGCATGCATGACATCGTGGGCAGAAATAGAGAGTCACGAGACCCCAGTGGATTCATTTCTGACGCCGTGGAGACGCATCTTTCAACGGCACCCCAGAAAGTGGGCAAAGACCGGTTGACAAGGCAGCCAGGGTTTATTCTTCACCTGCCTATTGCACGACAAACACAAAGCGACCAACTCGTTACGCTGTGGGCCGTGCTCAGATGAAAACATCTGCAGAATGCGGTGCATCAAATGATGCCCCTACACATACGGACTTCATGCGGAGTATTCCGTACAATTAACAATACGTATACGAGACACAACACAGCCAGCCTCCAGAATGCAGCAAGCCCCCCCTGATCAAACAACAACAACAACAACAACAAGAGCCAACACGGCCCACACTCGACGCGGGGACAAAGGCCGCAGGCCGCAGGGCAGCACCATGGCCTTGCCAGGGGAAGCTCGGGCACGAGTATCATAGCATGGCTGTGGGATAGTAGTAGTATTGTTGTGACGCTTTTTTGTTTCTTTACGCTGCCGGAACATTGAACCAGCCTGGCGAGTAACGATACATAGTAACCAAAACCAAAACCAAAGGAAAGGGCCCGAATTTGGAGAATGGGAGGGAGCTAGCGAATTTGGGCAACTTTTTTCCAGAAGCATCCCACCAACACCCGATCTTAACCCTAACCCTAGCCCAGGGCTTTGTGGTGGGGCTGTCCGCTAGCGCGTTGATGCATCTCCGCGTCTATTCCATCTCAGTACTTGGTACTCGGCAAGTAGACCTTCAAGAGTGTTCATCCAAGGCTCTGGTGCTCCGCAGACATGATGCATCTTGAACAAGGTTTGAGGCCATCGAAGCGATCGATCCGTCTATGCATCAACGTGTATGTATCTATGTATATGTATAATACAGGGTCTCAACCCGTCTACTCACGGTTCCCGCCATCTTGACCTGGTCGTGCACGCGCGACGGCCAAAGTTGGGGCATCTGACCCACTCACGCATCTCGACGCGTAAAAAAAAAAAAAAAAAAAGT